TCTTCTTCTTCTTCTTCTTCTTCTTCTTCTTCTTCTTCTTCTTCTTCTTCTTCTTCTTCTTCTTCTTCTTCTTCTTCTTCTTCTTCTTCTTCTTCTCCTTCTCCTTCTCCTTCTCCTTCTCCTTTAGTGATTTTGGTAAAAGCTGGAAAGCTTGGACGTAAGCAAGAAAGCTACCAGGTAAGAAAGCAAGAAAGTAAGAAAGTAAGAAAGTAAGAAAGTAAGAAAGTAAGAAAGTAAGAAAGTAAGAAAGTAAGAAAGTAAGAAAGTAAGAAAGTACGTAAGCAAGAAAGTACGTAAGCAAGAAAGTACATAACCACATAAGCAGACGAAATCTAGTCCAATCCAATCCAATCCAGTCCAGTCCAGGTATCAAAGCTAGTATTACGAACGCAGGTTGATTAGCGAGTAATTAAGTGAGCGAGGCTATGCTATCTCTACATTGCATCAGATGGAGGATGGACACTCTCTGCTTGTACATCTGCATTCTATCTATATTTATATTTCGTGGATGTAATGCGCCATGTACATGACATATATCCAATTCTACATATCAGTATTTACATACCTAAATTACACAACTGAAATACCAAAACATGGGACCTTTTCAAGCTGCTGCTATTCTGTATATTTACATTTAAATTTAGATGTATAGTGTCTATATATATACAACGAACCCTTGATGCAAGGACGTGGTGATATGTGACGCTGTGTCGGTAGTGAATTTAGCGAGTTGTTTTTGCCGTCTATGAAGATGTCGTGTATAGATAAATGATGTCTGCACACTGCACACACTTCTGAAGCGAGTATTGGTGACATCCGCCGGGGAGAAGGGGGGAAGTGGTCTTGATATGATGTGTGTGATGGAGGGAGGGAGTATGCGGGACAACGGCAGCAACAACAACAACATCAGCATCGCAAAAACAACACAGACATCAAGCCCGTCCTCTCTCTCTCAAACACCCCCACAAGCCCCCCCTCCCCCTCAACCCAACACAAAATGCTCAAACCTCAGCATTATGATCCAAATCAACCGGATACGTAAACAGACCATCAATCTCATCCTGACGCAAGCCAGGCTTCATCTCCGCCCAGAGCGCCGAATAGTTATTCTCGATCCACGTCATGACCAGCTTCTGCGCGTCGGGCTGGACGGTCTTATTAAGTAACGAGGCGAGCCTAATTGAAAAGAAAGAAATCGAACATTAGCTCCCCTCTCCCCAAAAAGTGATACATATAAATTGCCAAAAAAGCAGGAGGACAACTTACAGAAACACGTCAGGCTTCAGACCCAGCTGCTTTTCAATGTACTGAATGACACGATACGCCGGGTCGCGGCGGCCATGCCTGGCGAGTGTGCCCACAAAGGCAGCGACGACAGGCACGTCAAGCTCGATATCGTAGCGGCGGAGCCGCCTCCAGATCGACGCGGCGACCTCGTCGCCCGCGGGGTGGTACTCGCAGACGCGGAAGATGTTGACGATGCTCTGGTAGCTCGGGCCCTCGCGCGAGTCGGCGATCTGGTTCCAGATGTTGAAGGCCTTGTCCGGGTTGCCGCAGCGGCCGTGGGCGAGCATGAGGGCGTTGTAGAGGCGGGTGTTGGGGTCGAGTTCGTCGTCGAGCTTGAGCTGGTTGAAGACCTGGAGGAGGCCTGTTGCGTCTTTAGTTTCGGCGATGCCGGTGAGGGCTTTGACGTAGGTGTCGATTGTGGAGCGGCAGTCTGGGTATCGGTGGCGGCGCATGTGGTTGAAGACGTGCAGGGCGAGGTCGGGCCGCATGCGCGCGTAGAAGTGGACCATGTACTGTGTGCGGACGTCGCGGTGCATTTCCTCGAAGATGCGCTGCAGGATCATGTATACGTCCCAGGCCTTGTTCGTGGTGGCCTGTTTGTCCAGAGCATAGGCTGATAGGAATTCCCATATTGATGTTCGTTCTTCCACCGAGTAGAGGTTGACGTTCGTCTGGAGGAGGTCGATGACGTCGTAGAATTCGTCCTTTCGGAGATGGTGAAGACAGAGAGCCTTTGTAGTCGCGGGCTCAAACCGTACACCATGACTTGCAAGCCACTCGGTAATCTCAAGGATATGGGCATCTAATTGAGGTCGGAGCTTAGTGAGCGCTTCCAAGTATCTGTTCAGGAGAGGATCCAGCTTGCTTCGGACAAACATAGACGTATCATCTACAACTCGCAGCTTTTCGACTGCTTCCTTGGCGCCTTCTATATCCCCAGTATCAAGCCTCCACGTTGCCTGTAAGATGTATGTCAAATCACTAGGAATAATCTTCAAACGGTCAGCCAAACCCATGTACCGCTCGGCAAGGTAAGCATCCTTCCGATGAACAGCATATTCTAGCAGCGCGTTCAAAAGTCTGGCGTTGTACCGTAGCCTCGACCTATCTGTCATTTGATCGGTCGGAAGTTCTTTCATAATGCGCATCATCCGCTCAAGCTCTTCAACATTCTTGCCACTTGCTGCGGCCCACGCAAGGATTTGTCCCAAGATCACAGGTCCGGAGTCTCGTTGCTCGACATGCCGTCGAACAAGATCTTCTACCAAGTCCAACTTACCGGTCATCCAAGACTGCTCAATGATGGCGGCGATGGTATGGCGAATCGTTTTCATATCATCATTAATCGACATCCTCTGTTGATCCAATTCCAAGTCCGAAAAACTTGGAAAAAGTGACAGGGCTTTCGTGATGTCTCCTATCTCAGTATATGTCCGAGCAATATAAATCATTTGCATCTTGCTAAACTGCAAGGAGGTGTCTTGCTTTAACGTGGTCCATATCTCCTCAACCTTAGTCATGTTGTGACGTCTAAGATGGGCCATGAGAAGGACAGCGGGTGCCCAGCTCCGACCTCTAGCACTATCGATATGGTCTCTATGATCTTTGAGGAATGTCTTGGCTTCTTCGAACGCTCCGCAATGTAGCAATAGATGGAAGAAGTTTGCTTTCAGGCTCAGGGAATATCTTTGATCAGGTATTTTACATGACTCTGGCGGTACAGAATCGCCATCCCCAGTAGATTCGGTGGTCTCGGGCGCTGACGCGTGGGCCGTATGCCGCTTCTCAGATTCTACCGACGTCGCCAATTCATAAACGCGGCGCCCGAGATTGATAAATGCATCCGTGTACTTGGCATCCTCCTGGGCAGCGTAATAGAGTATGCGCGACGCGTTTTCATGAATATATTTGCGAAAGGGCTCGTAATTCCTGCTCTTTAGGTAATCGAACGTTCTGGTGACATGTAGGATCTCGAAATTCCGTATGCTGGGCTTAGGATTGCGCAGGGCGAAGAATTCGTCAAAAGCTTTGGTCAAGTCTGCGTCGGGCGCAGGCCTCGATCCTACCTGGAGCGCTCGAGACAGTGATGCCATTTGCTTGACTCCAGGCGCGAAGGTTGGCTCCTTGGTATGTCTCTCTGGTTTTTTCGGCTTCATATTGAACAGTGCCCCGATGAAGGCGCGTGAGGGACTTCGGAATGGCAGTCGGCCATTGCGTGCGATGCGTCGCGATGTTCGTAGGGCTCCATTGGCGCAGTAGGTGTGAGGAATAGGCTGGTTTGACAGGATTCGGTGGAAGACCAGCCGGGTGAGTTGAGAACGCATCGTGATGTTCGGTAGCACTCGCCGATTGGCGAAAGGACGCTGATGTGTATTGGCTGTTATAATATTCTCAACATTATTTCAAAAAAGTCTTTCAATGGATCGAGAGCGTGATTGTCGTGGTAAGTGAGTTTTGACAGAGAGTTTTGGACATTTGAGGCTTGAAGCTCCAACGCGAAGCTTGTGGTTCGAGAAAACTAAGCGTCCGTGCGTAGGCTTAACTTCATGTCCTCCGCAGCTCCGCAAAACGATCATATCTCTCTCCCCTTGCAGCGACCGCAAGAGAGTATCATAATGGCAACCTGGTCAAGGACCCTCCCATTTCGGCATGCCCTCAACCACGAGAGTCGCAGAGGCGCCGCATCTCTCCCCAGCTTCAGAAAGCTCCCCACCGACCTGACAGCAGCACGGGCGCGATCAGGCACTGGTATGCATGCTGCCTCTCTCGGGCACCTTTCGCAAAAAAAGGATCAAACCTACTAAACAAAAACACAACAGGTCTCGTCGAGAAGCTTGGTTCGATGCAACAACCGGCAACGGAGAGCAAGCCGAGCGCCGTCCAAAGACTCACCGCAGACGGGCAGAAGAAATCCGTGCTGGACAGACAGGCAGCAGACTTCCGCCGGGACTACGGGCACCGCCTACCCAGAGCCTACGAAACAGGCGACGTCTACTCGCCGCGCGACCTGAGCGGCGCCGAGACGGAGCGCTGGGCGAAAGCTCCCCGAAAGAGGCAACTGATGGTGCCCCTGAAGCGGCAGGGAAAGAGACAGGACGTGTTCGATATCACGGGCATCAACCCGCTGCATCTATACAAGGTGAGTTCTTACCGGTGGCCGTGGCAGGCAGGCAGGCAGGCAGGCAGGCAGGCGATAAGAAAAGCAGGACTGACCCTTTTTTTGGCGCTTAGAACTACAGTGTCATGTCCGAATTCATGCTTGAAAGTGGCGGAATCATGCACAATAATGCAACACACCTACGACCGGTGAATCAGAGGAAATTGGCAAAGGCTCTGAGAAGAGCTCAGGGATTGGGGCTGATGCCGAGCATTCACAGACATCCGCTCATATTGATGCCTGAACACATCACGGCGAAATGAAGCGGGTCGATCGAGTGTTGTAAGAATTTTCGAATAACGTAGGCAACTAGAGGTTGTCTCCTCGCAGGTCTGGAGGTGCATGTGCGGTGTTTGAATGTATGATACAGGCAGAAATGTACATAGAGTCGCCGCTCGTCGCGGCAAGCAATTCGACCGCGCAAGGTCATTCTTGTTCACGTGTGGATATTTTCGTCTGCTTCTTTGACAATGCATACAGAATAAATTCGATTTTCAAACTACACGGCTGGGTAATGGAGAGCATCTCTTGATGAATATTTCCCGTTGATCTTGCTACACATATGAAGCCATAAGCTCCACGGATACAGATCTAAACTGCTCATAATAGCCATAATTCCACCCTGATAAGATCCTTATGGTTGCAACAATATTGTAAACCATATAATCGACCAAATACAGGCTATACCAATCACAAAGATGACCCCAGAAATTGCATGCTCCAAGCTTGCCGAGCCCTCATGAAAGGTTGACCTTGATCTCCACACCCTCCGAAGCGACCCAAAGCTTGCGGACGATCATGGACGTGGCCATCTGGCGGGCGATTTCGTGGACCTTGCTTGCTTGCACAAGTTGCTCAGTGCCGTACCCGATGTCGTCGCCTTCATAGTCTCCAAAGACTTCGTCGGAAATGGCATACCGTGTTGCATATTTGGCGAGCCAGACGCCGGAAGGGAGGATTTTTGCCCGAATCTGCGCGTCCCATTCAAGCATGTTTGTAACATGTCCTTGGAAGGGCAGTGGAATCGTCCTTACAAAGCCCACCTGTAAGCTGTTAGTTGCGACTCAACGAGGGAAGAAAGGGGTACTCACTCTGACATCCCGGTCCTTACGGGCTACGACCAAATCGTAGAGGAAGTCGTGATTTTCTGTGCGCACGAAGTTGAACTCTTTGACAGACAAATCGAGGAAAAGTTCCAAGATGTTTCGGTTGAAATTGAAAAGTAAAGTAGCCACTCCGTCAGGGAGGCGGATGCCTTGAGGCGCATTTTCTTCTGTGAAACCGGTCGTATGATCGACGATGTGAGGAAAGTTCAACGGTCCTCCGGCAGGTAGGAGCGCAGTATGGACGTAAGGCACGCTAATATATAGATCTGCGTCGTGATTGCTTTCACATTCCGACTCAAGATCTTCAGCCATTTCTGTGGCGTCCTCCGAATAAGTAAGGAATTCGTCATCGGTGAGATCCACAACTTCATCCGCGAGTGCTAGCAATTCTTGATCAATCGAACTCAGCTCAGACGAGCTATCATTCGAGGCAACGTCGTTCTCGAGCTCAATTCCATATGGGCCGGATGGTGTTACTGGCGGTGTCAACGGTAGTTCGTTCGTAGCATGCTGAACTGGAGTTTTTGGAACAAACTCCATGATCGACGTGTGGAAACCAATTGTAGAAGTTAGGGTGTGTTGGTGAGCGTAGAAATAAGAGGTAGGACTATATATGTACTTCGGGAAAAGATCTTGAGCCCGACGCAATGGTCATCATCGAGGTTTCACTCATGCCACCATGTTGACACGCGGTAAGTTGAGTGAACAGGCGAAAGATCGTCGCATTCATGTCCGCATTCTGGCTTCTGAAACTCGCAGAACTTTGAAAGCGGTGAGTAGCATTCGAGTTGGGCGTGAGCATCGCGGGTTTCTGTTCAATGAAACAAAGTGAATGTGGGTGATCATGAGCCGGGTGAGGTAAGTGATACCTACGAGAGGATACTTTCGTGATGGCCGGAAGTGAATTGGGCCTCATGTTTGAGAATATGACTTTCGCAAATCACGCTGTTTTGCATTACGACGTCAGGTCAAGCGTTGTCCTTGACTATAGCTCTCGCTCTCAGCCGTTCACTCTTGTCTAGGACCCAGGTGATTCCCATCTCTTTTTCCTTTCCCCCGTCTTCCTCAGCAACCTCCTCCCACTCATCGTCTTCCATGTTCATGATGAGTGTCATCTGGATTGAACGTGCAAAGGCGTCGCGTAGGCCATAGCGATTGCCAGTCACAGCTACTGATACAATGTTGGCAATGTCTCTCTCCATCCGCACAGCTCCAAGTTCATTCACTCGTCCGTAAAAGCTCTTGATCCGGCTCTCGAGTGACTTGTTGAGCGCAGGCATCGCAGCAGTGAGTAGGCGGTCAAAGTTTCTTTCTGTCAATATCCGCTTGATAGGTCTTGTCAGACTGTTCCAGCCGCGGTCAAAGCGGGACTTGACCAAGCTTTCATGATCGTCAGATCCTTCTTCTGCTTCAATTTCCTCTGTAGTCATGTTGTAGTCGATATCGCGAAAAGCTTCGGTCAGTATAGTACGTATTCGTGGCTTCATGACCTGGTGAAACATGACGGAGATGCTATCGTGAATCAATTCCCCAGATTTGGATTCGAAGCTCTGTCGCATGGAGCGAAGGATATTCCCCACGAAAACGGCGTCGTGACCAAAGGGAAATATGTTCTCAAGTGGGTGGCCCTCGTCGCTGTTCTCATCGGGATCCGGAAGATGCGATTCAACAATACGCTTGATGTAGTCGTTGGAGACATCGAGATTGTTGATGAGGACCAAGAAAGAGATGATCTTGTCTTCGGGAGGAAGTGCGCCCTGGATTGCGGCTTTGGGGTAACTCTCGTCCCGCATCTTGCGCTGTACCATGCCAACGAATTCAGCACCGAGGACTCGACCGATGTCAGGAATAACACTGGCAACGACGGTACGTTGAGATGTCGCGAGTGACCGTTGAAGGACTTGATTGACGATGTACATGACATCGTCGACAGCAGAAGTAATGAAGGGAGGGTTGGCTGCCAGGGGCTTGTTAGGATTTAGAGTGAGGTCAGATGGAGATTCATCAAGTTGAAACGCTTTCTCGACGGATCGCCGGAAGAAGAAGGTCGTCATGAGGTTGAATGGCTCGAGGACGTATTTGTTGACCTTGTCGTGTAAATTACTTCCAAGCAGCACCTGAGGCATGACCAATGAAGGCCGGTCGAGATTATCATCCTGAGGCTGCGAAGGAGAAGTCAGCTCAAGTAAGACGGCATACTCGTCGCTACGTACAGTGCATTTACTGGCAATGAATCGCGAGTAAAGAGACCATCGTCCCAACATGAGCGCAGTTTCACCAAGAAGGCCGTCTATCTCTTTCATGTCGACGCCTTCGTCTTCAGTGGCTTGCGATGCCGTCGAGCCGTTCACAGCAGGCGATGAAGAGCGAGGAGTGCCAGTAGTGGGTTTCGAATTTGGTAGAAAGCTTTGAACAAGGAATGAGAATGCGTAGGATTTAATGTCTGTCAACTTGCGATCGATAACACGCTCATCATGCCAAGTGTCCAATATGATGCCACCCTGGACATCAGCCTCGATCTGCAAACGCTCGATGACTTTGACCATCATGCCAGTGCCATAGTGCCGCTCAACAAGGGGTTCGTGGCTATCCACTATCTGAGCGATATGTTCAAATAATTTGGTCAAAGCATTTCCGTAGAAGAAGCCTTCTTTCTTCGCATTCCCAGAATTCAATGTCGTCCGAGCTCTTGAAGCTACACCATGGCACACATACCTACCATAAGCATCTAGTCCTACGTCGGATCGTCCTATGAGCGGGAACAGCTTGAAGAAGCGAGTGACCTTGCTGCCGTCACCATCCTTTGCAGCCTTCTCGAACTCCCGCAGGAAGAGTCCACAAAGTGACTCTGCAGCGGAGTCCAAAGTCACCCTTGGAGGGTCAGGTACTTCGGCAGTAGGCACGTTTTCTTCGGCAAAGGTGCCATCTATTACATCAGCTGGAATCTTTGAAGCTCGACTGAGGTAGCCAGCCGCAGTCTCCCAATCCTGTGGAGCGCCCATGGAGCCATTGACACCGAGAACACACGCTTTGAGCTCGACTACTTGCTCGACTACTTCCAAGGTAGCCTTTACGTTGGACTGTTCAAGGTCCAGCTGCTTGACCGCACTAGAGATGCGGTTTGCGGTGGAAGCAGCATCAGACAGCATGCCATTGCTAATTGCGCGCGTATTGATCACCTGAGAACCCAGTCGAGCACGCAAGAGATCGAGTCTTCCAAGTTCACGAGACAGATCCTTTTGTGAGGCAAGCAAGGCATCGAGGCGAGCAGTCACAGAACTTTCCTGTCGACCTAGCTCAGCAAGAGACGCCTGGATTTCTGCCAGCGAACCTGCGGCGTAGATGTTTGGTGTTTCATGAAGAGCAGTAGTCGGGCTAGACATTGCATCCATGAGCAGCCAGCACTGCAGCTACGCTAAGTAGTGGCAACAAGTACGAATAGCATCAGAAGGCTGAGTAGAGCAGGCGAGACTGTGAATGGTGGTAGAGTTGTCGTCGTCGTCCTCGTCGTCTTTGGCGTCGTCGTTGTCTGGCCAGGAGGCTGAGCAGGCTGCGTTGTGGGGGTGTTGTTGAACAAGCGAGATGCATAATACACTGCATGGAATCGGGAGCGGATGCCAAGACTCTGACGCGCGGAGGGACAGGGGACAAGGGAGCAGCTGAGCTTTGCAGGTTTTGGTGGGGTCGCCCGCTAAAACGAAACTGAACAGGCGGCCACACCCACTAATCCAGCTGTGTCCGGGCGGGTAGGGCAGCTAAGTGGGCGGGGACTGCAGCCCGGGACAGCCTAAGACAGCCCAAGAACAGCCCAGGCCTCCCATCCATGCCATCCATCCATCCATTCATCCATTCAACCCATCACAAAGCACTCAAAGCGCCTGAAAGACCTCCACCACTTTCGCCTCTCTTTTCCTCTCCTCTCCTCTGCCTTTTCTCCTCCTTCAGCATTCTCTCTCTCCACCACGCAGTCTGTTCTATCTTTCAGTCTTGCCTCTGTTATTCAGCTTGCATATCATCCTCCTCCTCGAGTCTTCCTCGACATTAGACCTATAGTCAGTCTGTCTGTACATCTCCCCCGCAACCGACAAAACAAACTTCCTTCTTGGCTCCCAATCCTTGGCTTTTTCGCAATTCGTTCGAAGATTGTCCCAGAACAAACAAAGGAAGCATTTCTACGATACTACAATACATACCTGATCGCACTGTCTACCTACGTACCTCCTCGATCGCTTCGCTATATCCAAATACACCTATCCTCGGGCCTCGACCGTAACCACAAGGCTGCCGTAGCCTTGTCCGACTTCACCTGTCCCACAACGTCATATAGGCCTCGCGCACCCAATGTCGGTTTCACAAGTCTATTGAAACTTCTTATTCCCTTCTGGCGCATGCACGAGCTGCGCCTTGAGCCTGCACACCTTCAATCTTCACAATTCCTACACTCTTCGACCACGCCATGTCTACCTTGGAAATATTAACTCACGCACATGAGCTGATCGCAAGATCTGGGGGTTCTTCAGCCTCGTCAACAAGGCCTCCGATATTCAAGGTCGTTGGAATCATTCTGGCCATAGCATCTGGCGTCTTCATTGGAGTGTCCTTTGTCTTGAAAAAGCTCGGATTGCTAAAAGCGAATGCCAAGTACAATGAAGAAGCAGGAGAAGGCTATGGCTACCTCAAGAATTGGTATTGGTGGAGTGGCATGATACTGATGATTATTGGAGAAGTCTGCAACTTTGTCGCATACGCTTTCGTCGACGCAATACTGGTAACGCCTCTTGGTGCGCTCTCAGTCGTCATCACCACTATCCTGTCTGCTATATTCCTGAAGGAGCGCTTGAGCTTTGTTGGCAAGGTCGGATGTTTCAATTGCATTGTTGGTTCCGTTGTCATTGTGATCAATGCGCCAGAACAGTCTGCCGTAGCCAATATCCAAGACATGAAAAAGCTTGTGGTTACGCCCGGATTCTTGACTTACACAGGAGTCGTTATTATTGGTTGCGTCTTCATAGCGCTTTGGGCTGGTCCTCGCTATGGAAAGAAATCAATGATGGTATATCTCAGCATCTGCAGTCTGATCGGCGGTCTGAGTGTTGTAGCTACCCAGGGGCTGGGTGCTGCCATCATTGCTCAGATTCAGGGGAAGCCTCAGTTTAACCAGTGGTTTCTATACATTGTACTTGTCTTTGTGATAACGACACTACTTACAGAAATCATCTATCTCAACGTAAGTCTATCCCGAAAGTTCCAAGGGTGCCGTCCACTAACCTCGACTAGAAAGCATTGAATCTCTTCAACGCAGCTCTAGTGACACCGACATATTACGTCTTCTTCACGAGTGCCACCATCGTCACTTCTGCAATATTGTTCCAGGGTTTCAAAGGCACCCCAGCAACGATAGCCACAGTCATAATGGGCTTTCTCCAGATATGTACAGGTGTTATTCTCCTGCAGCTGTCGAAATCAGCCAAGGATGTACCAGATACCGCTGTCTTCAAAGGAGATCTTGACCAGGTTCGGACGGTTGCGGAGCAAGCCGAGCCAGAATATGAGCCAAGAGCTGATACGATCCGTGGAGGTGGCGCTATTGTGCGTGCCATCTCGTCCGCACGGACGAAACGACAAATCGAAGAAGCAGAAAAACTGCGTGAGGAACACATGCGACCAATTGGAGAGAATGAGCAGGTCGAATTTGATGGCCTACGACGACGCAGAACTGTTATGGAATCCGGACAACCGTCTCTAAGACGCCAGAAGACCATTCATCCACCTCTAGGAATGACACACTTTCCAGCAGACGGCGATCAGAGCGACGAAGAGAATTTGCATCCTGGCTTTTTCGCACGACTCCGTGGTTCTCGTAAGAACACCGACAAGCCTCTTCCAGAAGAGCCTCACGGCATGGCTATGGAGGGACTATCGCCCGAGGGTGCTGCTCAGAGGTCATTTGATGGCACAGACGACCACGTCTACGGGCTCCCAACAGGTCTTAGGAAGGTACCACAGGACAGCATCGACACGAGCTATAAGCCTCATGAGACGACGATACACTGGTCATCTGATATCGACCAGCCGCACTCCACCTCTGGCTCCCATCTCGAGCCACCAAGGCCGCCCGCCCACGGCGCGAGACGCCAATTCTCCTTCCAAAACGTCTTCCACAGAGGCCGAGCCACAAGCGACGCCAGCTCGCGTCCAGACACGGCAAAGAGCCATTTCAGCTTCGGCAGCAACAAAGGCCCCCGCCGAAGCGACCGCGCCGCAACCGAAGAAGAGCGTCTCGGACTCGTCAAGGGCGACAGTCGCCATCTACTCACTCTCCAGGAGACGCGGTCGTCGGAGCAGCAGCAGCCGCCCCCACCGCCGCAACACTACTCCGACACCGAATTTGACGAACCGGTTGAGGCCGTGTCTCCGGTCTCGTTTGTCAGACCACGCGGTGACACGGGCGCTTCGGGCCCGAGTCGATCAAGAGATACGCCTACTACTCATGACCCTGATGACAGTGATGACGGTGATGATTTGGAGAAAGGGGGCGCGTCGAGGGCGTTTTTGTGATGATGCGTCGTTGGTGGGCGTTGCTGCATTTGCGTCGAATTAGCGTTCTTTGCATTGGTGCGCGGGATACATAAAGGAGCGTCGTGTATGTGCGTGTACGATTTGTACACTGGCTGATGATGAAGTTTTGCTGTGTAGCAGAGCATGTGAGCGAGCCTTGATGGGAGGGCTTGCCTGGTTTGGGAGTATCTCGTTCGCAGTGATCAGTCAGTCAGAATATACCCTTAACTGTCCTAGCCTCAACACGACCTTTTGGGAGTGCATTATGCTGTGTACGTCACTGATTGTCTTGGTTAAATATGCGTCTCATGGTGTTGATGTATTCCCATTTTTATTACTGCTTCTAGGATCAACCATGCCTTTATCGAACCTCACAGGTCCATCTCCGCCAACGCATCCTCATCCACCTCATCGAACCCATCATCACCACCCCCATCCCCACCCCCCATATCAACATCCTCCCGCTCCGCCCTCAACACCCGCAACTCATCCTCCTCAACCTTGGCCTTATGCCGCAGCAAATCCGCCTTACTCCACGTACTCACGCCCTCCTGAAACCGCCCATCAAACGGCACACTCATATCACGCAGAAACCGCTTCGCCACCGCAGTCGCCTGATCGACACTCAGATTCGTCTCCGCCTCAGGCAGCGCCTGATTAATCCATTTCGGCAACTGCGCGCGCTTCTTCTGAAAGCGGCGATCAGCAAGCACCATGATGCCGTAGTCGTCCTTGCCGCGGAGCACACGGCCGAGACACTGCGCGGCGTGGCGCATGGCGTCAAAGGAGAGAAAGTCGGACTCGCGGATGTTGTAATTCTCGCGCATGAACTGGAGGCGCGCCTTGAGGATGCGCGACTCGGTGTACTGGAACGGGACGCCGATGCAGAGGACGGTGCGGCCGTAGTGGTGGTCGAAGTCGATGCCCTCGCTGACTTTACCGCGGGCGACGCAGAGGAGGACCGCTCCGCGGCCGTTGGAGCAGGCGGCGCGGAAGGTCTCGAGGGCGAGGGCGGTTTCCTGGGAGTCGGGGGTCTCGACGAGGATGAGCTTGTGCTTCCAGACGGTGTCGAGGATGGCCATGCCCTGCCACATGGAGATGATGGATTCCATGTAGAGGTAGGAGGGGAAGAAGACGACGAGGCCGTCCGGGGTGAGTTTGCAGAATTCGGTGAGGAGGTTGCCGTAGTTGCGCACCACGGAGGGGTCGTTGCGGATCTGGAAGCCCGAGGAGATGGTGCCTTGGTCGCTGCCGCGGGTGACGATCATGGGGAGGAAGGATTTGCGGGCGAGGGTCATGGTGTAGGATTCTTGGACGACGGCGGTGAAGCCGAGCATGCGCGGGTACATTTCGAGTGGGGAGATGGTGCCGGAGGTGATGATGACGGAGCTGAAGCGGTCGAAGACGGGCTTGATGGCGATGGCGGCGTCGAGGCAGGTGAAGTGGAGGATCGGGTTGGGGACTTGGGCGGTTTCGCTTTCGTAGGGCTCGAGGATGAGGACGAAGCCGGTGTCGTAGGTGGCCACGAGGGTTGCGAATGTGGCGACTTCTTGGAGTGGTTTGTAGTCTTCGATGTTTGTGAGTTCGAGCGTGCGGACGAGGGAGGTGAGGCGTTCGGCGCAGAATCTGAGGGGCTTCTTCTCGATGAAGGTGAGCTCTTTGAGGTGTTGGAGGAAGGAGGGCGGCGTCTCTGATATTACGTGGTGGACTTTCATACGCGTCTTGAGATACTCTATGAAGCGTTTGAGGAAGGATACAAAGTGCTCTGCTCGCCGGATGTTTCCAGGCACGGCTTCTTTGAGGAGATCGTCTGGCAGTGCAGGGTTGGCCATGAAAGCACCTTCGTCTCTCTGTTCGCCGGCATCCCGGAGCCCTTCTACTAGCTTTGCGTATTCGTTCTGTAGCTTCGCTGCGTCTGTCGACTTCATTTCAGTAATCTTCCTGTCCAGATTGTTCGCACCTCGTGTTGCTTTCCGCAACGAGTCTTCCGTTATATCGATGCTTAGTGACTCAATGCAAACATTGTCGATGTTGTGGGCTTCATCAAAGACAACTATACAATCCTTGGAGAACTCCTTCGAGACACGCTCGGCGATCTTGGGATCTAGCAGATAATGGTATGAGTAGATGATCACGTTGCAGAATTGCATCATGCGTCGCGCTGTGAAGTAGGGACACTGTTTCTTGTCCTCGCCGTAGCGCAAGAGGCCGTCAATGGTCCAAACGCCAGTCGGAATCAGATTGGAAGGCTCAAGAAGATCCAAGTTTTCGTGATATATGCAGAGATCTACGTCTTCCCCGCGCTCTTTCTTTTCCTTGACAAAGCCAGCCGTCAGGCTACGACAGCGGGCGTCAACAACGGATCCACTTTTCTCACGCTTGACCGATGGATGGAGACACAAGTTCTTGCGACTAGACAAGCCGACAGCACGGAATTCTTCCTCGTAGCCGAGCTGTTCTGTGCGGTACTTCATAAGGGCCTTCAGCTCTGCGAGCGCCTTTTCAATCTCGGACATGGTACGGGAGCAATATATGAGCTTCCTGGCCTCTGGGTAATGCTGCTGATACGCAATAATCAGCGAGAGCAGCGAGACCGTCTTGCCAGTACCCGAAGGCATCTCCAGAACGCAGTGTCCAGACGAATCCAGCGTCTTTTTGAGATCGCACATGTAGGCATATTGCTCTGGATATATCCTTGGATATGGGAAGAGCACTTCCAGCTGACTAGGGGACACTTTAGCTCAGGAAACGTGACAAAAAGAAGTCATCGAAGGAGGCCGCACTCTATGAAGAATCTCATCTTGCAAAGACAAGCAGGCCTGCTGCTCGACCTGCAGATGATTGTGTTTGTGAATCTGCTATGGACCCGGTCGAAGATGAACAGAAGATGTGCTGTTGCCTCCCCAATCGCGCGTTGATATCAAAAGTTCACTAATTAGGTCGTTCGTTCAGCCCTACGAGCATGCGCTCTGGCCACCACGCTAAGCTACTTTCGGTCCTAGGTGTCCCTCCGCATATGTCATAGACACCGCAAACCATTTTCGGTCGCTGACATCTTCACTTCCGTTTACATGCGACCTCACACCTTTCGATCTTCCTGACTCTTCTTCCCTTTCATTCCTCGCTTTCTTTATCCATTTCCTCACGCTCTCTTGGTTTAGACGTACTACTCCCTTCGTTCTCACAACGCACCCCGCCATGAGCAAGAGACAATTCAAGTCTCAAGCGAGCAGCTCTCGTGCTGCCAATGCAGGCTTCGGCGGCGGCTTTGGCGCCTCATCATTTGCAACTGCATACTCTCCTCTCTCTTACGTGACCGAGCCTCCGAATCTGTCTGGCATATCGAATGCGAACCTTGTCGTTTCCTTCAAGAACCTGTCCAAGAAAGATAGCACAACCAAGGCAAAGGCGCTCGAGGAGTTGCAGGCGTATGTCGCGTCAGGCGAGGAGATAGAAGATGCAGCGCTGGAGGCATGGGTGCGTGTCCTCCATAGGTCTCATGCGCGTATATGTAGTAACCAATGCCAACTCAATAGATCAAATTATATCCCCGCACATCCATTGAAAATTCACGAAGGGTGCGTCAATTAGCCCATACCGTTCAGGGACAGATATCTACTGCGTGCGGTAAGCGCATAGCAAGATATATGCCCGAGGCCGTGGGGGCCTGGCTGTCAGGATTATACGACAACGATCTCTCCGTGACAAAGGCCGCGCAAGAGTCTTTTTCGCAGGTCTTCACTACCCCTGAGAAGCTCCGCAACGTACGCAAAGCGTTTCAAGGCCCGACGATAGAGTATTGCCGTAACGTGATAGAGAATGAAACTGTTGTGACACTGAGCGATGAGCGTACCGTCAGTCCAGATGACGCGGAATCGAAATATGCTCGAGTTGTGTCCGCTGCAATAGGCGTCATTGGGGATCTCCTGAACGAGCTTAGTGAGGAGGACACAAAGAAACAACAGGAGCAATATGATGCTGTTTTGAGCAACGAGAAGCTATGGGATCTCATCTCCCACAAAGATTCTCACGTACGCCGATCGACTCTTCGGTTGCTCCGGACCTGTCAATCAAAGCAGCCAAGTATGTTTGATATGACTACGTTTATACATCGTTGCGACATTACATGCTTACAAGTCAACAGACATCGTCTCCCAGAACCTGAAACATTTGAGCAAGTGTCTGCTTTCCCACGGCCTCGGTTCTGATCAGACTGGCTCGGCCCTCAACTATATTGGTGCAGTCATTACCATGAGCAGAGCATACCCGACGATATGGACGGAGCAGTATTCTGGGAAGAAGTCTGCAGAACATCGACTTAGATCTTTTCTGAAGCGCGGGAGTCAGATGGGAACTCGAGAGTATTGGAATGCTATTCCCGATTTCCTAGAGGCCGTTCCCCAGGCAGTTTTACCCAAGACCCCAGCAGATGTAAAAGATCTACTCTCATCCATACATAGCGGCATAATCAAAAAGGATGAGCCCCGTATGAATATTGGAAGCGCATATGAAGCATATGTGAGATCAGCAGTCCGGATTACAGCCGCATTGGACAGTGCAGACCAAGAAACTATTTTGCAAGAGATGGTGCTTCCTCTTGTTTCCCAATATGTGAATCCTACCCCAGATAGCGTCGAGTGGGCAATTCCAGGACCACAAGCCGCTTCAGTCATATCAAAGATCACAGAACAAGCGCCCATGTCCGAGATCTTAAACCGGCACTGGCCAGTTATAACTCGGGAGCTCGTGGATGCCATCAAAGCCTCGGCGCCTGAGCAGTCCAAGGAGTATGAGCGTTCGCAGGATGCCGTGTCAGACTGGGCTCGTAGGTGGGCTACTGTCCATGCAGGATGCCTCAAGGGCTCAAATTCCAGCGCCCTCTTCGATGGTTTCAAAAGTACAGCTGTGGGATTGGTGAGAGAATCGACAGCATTGTTGAAATCGCGAAACGGAAAGCCATATTGTGCTGCCGCGGCTATCGCATACTTACTCCGGTTCTCATCACATGTAGCACGAAAAGACATCTTGCAGGAGCTGGATAATTTCATTGCAGAGGATCTTCCGTCATTAGTTCTCTCTCCATCATCATCTCATCTTATTGCCATACTATACCTTGCCAAGGATAGTAGCCAATTCGCAAAAGCCTGGAAGTCGACCGTCGAAACGATTACCGCAGATGCAGAATCACCCTCGAATGCCTCTGCCATCGAGGAGCTTCTGAGCTCATCCGATATGCCACCCGATTTCGCGCTCGCAACATCAGATACCAATCTCCAAAACTTCATTTCTGGCCGACTGAAGACTATTCTACGGAGTGACACGGACTGGGCGCCATTTGGTCGTATACTGCGCCAAGCACGAAGACTCCTTGCTCCGTCTACAACTGAAGAAATGCTAATTGAAATGACCAAAGGGCTTTCCATGAGAGACACATCCCTTGGGGCTCTTCACGCCATCGACCAGGTCGCGAGACAAAGTCCTGCAATGCTACGCGAATTTGTGCCGACTGGTGAAGGCACAAACTTACTCCGTTCTTTGCTGCTTCTTGGTGAATCTGCCGACGAGCATGTTGCGCAGGAAGCTTCGTCGGTCAGTGCTTCTATACAGGCGCTCTTGACTCAAGACTCATCCGACCCGTCGTCGAAGAATGCTGTCTTTGACGTCATCCAAAGCGGTCTATCAGAGGCTACTAGTACGTCCGTTACCGTGGAGACTCTAGTAGAGTTGGCGACCACGGTACTGTCAGATGAAAGCTCCAAGAACGAAGCAATTGTGTCGAAGCTGTTCCCGCCTGTGGATGTGTGGAAAGCAGCTCTGCAGCCGTTCTTGAATATCGCGCCTAGGGCTCCTTTTGCTGTCACTAACTCACTTTGCGGGACAGTATATCTCGTCCGGGGTTCATCATCCAATGACGTGAAGAGTCAAGAAGCTCAGCGAGACATCAACGGATTTTCCTCCGCCTATAGAATCGCTGCCTATCTTGTTGGTCTGCTTCAAGTTCCTGACCTCCTGGACTTCGTTTCTCCTGAAGGCAAGGCCGCGCTCTTTGGGTTGCTACAGCTCACTGTCTTACTCGCCAATGACAACCTGAGCATTGTCGGAAGTAACAATCTCTGGAACGTCTACACTGCTGAGATAGAAGCAGATGCGCTCGAGTTTGTATCCGCCGCTCAGGCGCTCATCAATGGCTGGCTACAAAAGTCTAGCGATTGGTGGGCGGATGACACGATGGTTACTGACTATTCATTCGTCCATTCAGCCTTGGAAAACTTCCTGCAGGCGTCCACCGGATCGAGCCCAGCTGCGCTGTACAACGGAAGTGCTTACAGCATTGTGACGGCTGAGCTCATCGAATTGCACGGCTGGCAGATGAAAAAGACCGACACGATCGAGACTACTTGGAAGAGCTTTCGAAAGAGCGAAAATGCTATCAGGACAGCTGCCTATCTTACTGGCTATAGAACTCCCCTCGCCTCATCTAAGGTGGTGGAAAGAGCATGTAATGAGATAGTGGCTGATTTGACAGGTCTGGAGCTTGAGAACAAACTCGAAGAGACTATGGTCCAGTTGAACCTCTTGAATCTTATGCTTCAGCACCTAGACGGCATGACGATTAGAATCGCAAAGCAAAGGGTAATATTCCTGATCAAGCACATCCTTCCGTGGCTTCAAGATGATAAGCTGCCGGTTCTCTTGCAAAGCGAAATCTGTCGAGCTTTGTCTGCTCTCCTGCCAGCCATGAAAGACATGTATGGATCCCACTGGACCGAAACGCTTGCCTACATCACGGGTTGCTGGTCAAAAGTCGAACAAATCGACTCTCAAGATGGACAGGAAAGCAACATACCTGTTGTGCATTCCACACTGAAACTCTATGCAACGCTGCAGGCATTGTCCAAGGATGAAGACCCAAATGACGACCTTTTAGACGCCCTCAAGGATGCCGAAGACGATGAAGCCAGAGGATTGATTAACCTTCTCAAGAATTCACAACATATACCCGACGATTTCCACCAGCCTCTGCGGGTTGTCAACCAGCTGCTCGCGCGTCGCATCTCCACGCTTTCACTGAAGCATATTGACGACCCTTCAGAGCTATATCCTTTGCTATATGTCCAATCCAGCCCGGTACAAAAGACCGCCTGGGATATTCTACACAAACATATACCAGCAGCCCAGGAACAAATCTCCCTTGATGCCGCGCTCGACAAGAAAGATGCAAAATTACCTGACGAGCTTCTATCCCTCATCCTCGAAGCTCCAACCACAACTGCACTCGCCGACGCCGACTTCGAACGCTCCATCCCTTTACCCCTCCGAGGATATCTACTCAGCTGGCTCCTCATCTTCGACCACTTTCCCACGGCCTCACACAAAGTCCGAACCGACTATACCGAACACCTCAAAACCGACGGCTCCCTCACCGCCCTCCTCGACCTCACCGTCTCCTTCCTCGGCCACACCCGCGGCAAACCAACCGACATCTCCGCCCTCAACATCACAACATACACCCCAGACACAACCGACCCGCCCACCCGCGACGCCCAACACCTCCTCTCCCACCTCTACTACCTCGCCCTCACCCACCTCCCCGGCCCCACAAAAACCTGGTTCATCGCCCTGCCCTCCCGCCAAACCTCCCTCGCCCTCTCCACCTGGACAGAACGCTTCGTCTCCCCGCCCGTCATCGCCGCCGCCCTCGCAGACGTCATCGCCTGGGCCTCCGCCCAATCAACAACCACCCCCGACCCCGCAGAACACCTCGCCGTCAAAGTCTCCCCCCGTGCCCGCGAGCTCTCCGCAAGCTACACCCTCGACGACCAGCCCCTCTCCATCCGCATCGCTCTGCCCCCCACGTTTCCCCTCGCGCCTGCTACCGTCGAGGGCCTCGCCCGCGTCGCTGTCACACAGGCGCGCTGGGAAGCCTGGCTGCGCAGCACGGCGGGTGTGATTGCGTTTGGGGGCGGCAGTGTCGTCGATGGGTTGATTGCGTTTCGACGGAATGTTGTTGGTGTGCTGAAGGGCCATGTCGAATGTGCGATTTGCTATTCTGTTGTGGGGCCGGATCGCAGTGTGCCGGGGAAGCGGTGTGGGACGTGTCGGAATGCGTATCATGGGCAGTGCTTGTTTAGGTGGTTTAAGAGTAGTGGGGGGAGTGCGTGTCCGTTGTGTCGGAATGCGTTTAATTATGGGTGATTGGGGTTGGGTGGTGTGTGCTTGGGGGGATTTGAGGGGGGTGGAGTGGAGTGGAGTGGGGAGGAGGGAAGATGGATTGAATAGGGGGGGAAAGGTACTGGGTAGAGTTTTCGTGAGGATAGTTACTGGGTGTAGAATTTATAGACGGTGCAATGGTCTTCGACGAAACTAGTCTCTGGCATCTATGGCCTCTTGAATGTACTCGTCTGATTAAGCTTCGAATACATGCGCGAATAATGCTAATCGTACATGGACAGACAGACAATTATCCATCCATCCACCAAGCCACATAACCAACACACCACCATCAAAGCAGGCACACCGCCAAGATTCACGGCTGAGGGGACTGGAAATAGTTGAGCCGAGTAGTGTAAAATACACATTTGGACAAAACAAAGCACACAGGAAGGAGGATTTTGAACACACGTATAGCGACACAGAGCACAGCGTGACACGGGGATTTCCTGGATGGGTGGGTAAGTTAGCAGCTTAACGAAGAGTGGTATGGGTTGAGTTCTTGAGACGATGAGATTATTTGGGGAGCTAGCGCGGCTTCACTTTGTATCTGGTAAGCAACGTTAGGACTCGGTGATGGTGGTGAGAGACTTCTTCGTATTCCTGGAACATGGTGCCTTCGTCTTTACAAGGTCTTTGCCTCAGCCCCAGCCTGAAGATGCTCTAGATGGACGTGCAGAGGGGATCCAATCTGACCAGTGTGTAGGTTAACAAGTTTTCATTGTTATTGACGAACAGCCCAATATTCCATTCGCCGTTGTTTGCTCTACTTTTTCGCTCCAGGTGAACTACGGGGAAGCAGTCGAGCATCGACACACCATAAGCGCTCCCAGAATGAGACCGTAAACCATTCCACAATGCAGCATACCATCGCCATACAGTTCTCCTTAGACCTTGAAACCTCGCGACCGTCTGCGACCACGGGCGCGCTCGAATTTCCGTCCCTTGCTCTCGACCTTTGGCTTCTGTAATACTTGTTAGCCGACGACGTCTTATTGATGTCCATTCTCTTGAGCTTACCTTGTGGCTGTGTGGGCCGAAACCGAAGTGCTTGACAGCCTCGCGGGCGTTCTTGGGTCCGCGGAGGAGGACAGTGTTGGAGCCAGTTGGGGAGCGGAGAGCGAGTTCGTCGAGGGTGAGGCATTCACCACCAGCGGCGACGATGCGAGCGCGCGCACCGGAGGTGAATCGCAGAGCAGCGATGGAGAGCTTGGGAACCTCGAGCATCCTGTTGTCATCGGTGACAGTTCCAACAACTACGACGGTCTTGCCCTTGTGTGCTTCTCCGGCCTGGTAGGCGGCGGTTTGCGAGACGATGCGGGACATGGAGATTGGGGGGCGGTTGATTCTGGACATATACAGGCGGCGGAGGACGACTGCGTTGAAGGGCGAATCCGTGCGGCCTAGGGTGTGATGTTAATTTCCATGTCGCTGCGGTTTCGCAGGGCTACGTACGGGCTAGGAATCGGTAGAGCTTCACCAGCACCTTGAGGTACACATTGTCGCTCTTGGGCGCCTTCCGGTGAGGGCTCTTGACGTGGTGGTTGTCCAAATCGATACCTAAAGAGAATCTTTCGTTAATCCCATGTTCCAATCATAGCGTCGGCGCTCAAAGTCTCCTTGTCGACAAGTCGCGGTCGAAAAATTCCAGCAATTGAGCGACGAATGCAGTGCGAGGGCAGATTGACTTACCCATCTTGAACGGCGTCGAGGAATGGGTGCTGTGATGATTAGTTGGGCGGTCGTTAACGTCGTCGTGCTAATTTTCGAGAGAATGCGTGGTGGAGAGTGCGGCCTCGCTTACGGAGTTTCTTTTCGCCGCTAAGAAACCTCAGCGCCAAGCAATCGACCCGCAGCCAATCATTGCCGTTGTAGCCACCTCAAGACGCCACAACGACAGAGTGCATGCGCATGAGGATGCATCGTCTTGCTACATGTGGTCCTGTATTGAATGCCTAACCTGTTTCTTATTGCACTTGCACCGATATTGATGCTTCTCAAGAGCAATTGAGTAACACTGTAGGAATAAAGGTGGTCACGTCGCGAGACTCAGTGCACTAGCCACATCCGATCAAGTTTTTCGATCACTTCATTTTATATCTTCTCTCCCCGCATCAAAGCGAGGGACTCGATATTGATTCCACAAATCAAACTCTTCAATCAAGAAACATGAACTCCAAAGTTGGTGTCCTGGGAGGTCAGCTATCATCAACATTCTGCCAAACACACATTGACACCTCGTACAGGCGGCCAACTAGGGCGCATGCTAGTCGAGGCTGCAAACCGACTCAACATACAAGTGAACATATTGGACGCCCAGAACGCGCCCGCAAAGCAAATCAGCAACCATCCAGGACACATCGAAGGCTCGTTCAAGGACGCAGCAGCTATCGAGAAGTTGGCCAAGACATGTGACGTGGTAACGGTGGAGATTGAGCATGTCGACGCCGACGTACTCGCCGAGATTTCCACAAGTGTAAAGGTGGAGCCGTCACCAAAGACGTTGCAGATTATCAAGGATAAGTATGCGCAAAAAGTGCATTTGCAGAAGTTTGGAATCCCGACTGCAGAGTCTGTTGAAGTCACTGGTACAGACGAAGCTAGCCAGATCACCGAGCTTGAAGCTATTGGGGGCAAGATTGGGTACCCGTTCATGCTGAAGTCTAAGACTGAGGCTTATGATGGCAAGGGTAACTATCCTGTCAAGTCGGCTGAAGAGCTGAAGCCTGCTGTGAATGCGCTTGGGAAAGGGAGCAGGCCGCTGTACGCAGAGAAATGGGCCAACTTCACCAAGGAACTGGCGGTCATGGTCGTCAAGACAAAAGATGGTGTACTAGCGTACCCGACAGTTGAGACAGTGCACGAGGACAGCATATGCAAACTGGTGTTTGCGCCTGCGAGAGTACCAGAAGGCATACGCGAGAAGGCAGAAGAGCTCGCGCGGAAAACGATCGCAGCGTTCGACGGCAAGGGCGTGTTTGGAGTGGAGATGTTTTTGTTAGACGATGGAGAGCTTTTGATTAACGAAATTGCTCCCAGGCCTCATAACTCTGGACATTACACTATTGAGGCTTGCCCGCTGAGCCAGTACGACGCACATCTACGGGCGATCCTCGATCTTCCAATCCCGGTCGAAAGTCTGAAAATGAGGGAGCCTGCGATCATGCTTAACATCTTGGGTGGACAGACGCCGGATTCGCACATCAAGGTTGCGGAAGTCGCGCTGTCCAACCCCCGGACAAGCGTACATCTATATGGCAAGGGAGAGGCCAGGAAAGGGAGGAAGATGGGGCATTTGACAGTCACAGCACCGACAATGGCAGAGGCAGAAAAGCACATTACACCCTTGATCGAGGCGGTCGATGCCCAGAAAGGGGTAGAGACCAAGTCCATACTGTCAGCACCCAAAGGCAGCCCCGAGGTGGCCGTGATATGCGGATCCGACTCTGACCTGCCGGTGCTCAAGGCCGGCTTTGAGATTCTGGAGAAGCTTCAGATCCCATACTACTGCGGCGTCGTCTCGGCACACCGGACGCCAGACCGCATGGTAGAGTTTGCCAAGGCTGCAAAGTCGAAAGGCTTCAAGGTGATTATTGCAGCAGCAGGCGGTGCAGCCCACCTGCCCGGCATGACGGCATCAGACACTTCGCTGCCCGTCATAGGAGTGCCGGTCAAGGCAAGTTCATTGGACGGCTGGGACAGTGTGGTGAGCATGACACAGATGCCGCGAGGAACACCTGTGGCCACGGTGGTAAGTGACAGGCTGCCTGTAGCGTGTAGTTTCGATATATTGACTCTATCTCAGGGCGTCAACAACTCTACCAACGCTGCTCTTCTCGCGGCGCGAATACTCGGCGTTTCCGATGCCGCCATCCAACAGCGCGTTCGTGACTTTGCAAAGAACAACGAAAAGGAGGTTCTAGCGAAGAACGCGCGCCTGGAGGAGATTGGACCTCTGGCATATCTGTGCAAAGACTGATGGAGACTACCAAGTGCTGCCATCCTCAGTGCAAGAAAGATACCCAAAAGCATTGCCATGTATGTTTAGAAGAAGCGACCAAAAATAGACGATATCGATAGCTGCTGCAGGACTAACGAATTCACACTGCGGGAAATTCACTACTCATCATACAGGGCATTCTGATTGGCTCGCATGGACGATCAGATAGAGTTTGAGCAGGCAGCAAGGCTGACATGACTCGGCCGAGGCTCGAGCCGTTTGTCCAATAAGCTAATTTCAGCCTTGCGGAGACCGATCTGGGCAATCCGCCGTTCCCATTGGTGCATCTGCAAGCCGAGACTCGGAAAAGCCATTGTGAGATTGGCGGCGTTGCTATAGTCAGCAAACAACACACCACGATGCAAGTCCGAAGGGTTAGATTCCAACTTTTAGGCTGACGGACGGGGGTGCGCGTGCCCGCGTCTTGTCTTTTCTCTTTTCCCTCTTCTTCTTCCTCTTCTTCCTCGTCGTCTCCGTCCGTTCGCTCTTCGTCGTCTCCTATCCTATATCTTTTCTTTCGTTACTTGGTGTTTTCGTCCATTCGTTTCAGATCTTGTACACGGTACATACGTAAGAGGGAGAAAGGAGAAGGACAAAAGCGATGGCGGACACAATCTCCACCGCGCCCGCGACCACGGCGCCCACTGAGCAGCAGTCTTCACATCGGCCTGTCTCACCACTCGAACCTCCACCAGAAGCAGCAGCACACACTCCCTCACCAGAACCCCAAGACCGATCAACATCCGCCAGCCAACCTCCTCCTCCTCCTCCTCCTGCAGCAGCAGCTCCTCCTCCAACCCAGTCCTCTCCACTCCACCCTCCTCCACCCCACGCCCAAGCCCAAACATACATCCCCCCTCCCACCCCCCAACTCACCCACCGCGAGAAACTCACCACGGCGGACAAACACTGGCCCTGGAAAACCGGCCTCCGCACCGTCCTCCTCCTCACCGCCATCATCGGCCTCGGCACCACCGCCGCCGCAACCGTATCCTCCCAACACACCCACCACTACTACGGCTCCTCCTGGGCCATCGTCTGGGGCCTCGTCACCGTCCGTCCCCCCTTGAACCCCATCCATCCCCCAAACCTCCAGCTAACACCAACCCCCCAGTTCTCCGCCACAACAATCTACACCCTCATCCTCCTCCCCACCTTCCTCGTCCGCGCCCGCGCCCCTCACCCCGGCGCCCTCGTCGCAACAGACCTCCTCCACTGGCTCGCCTACATCTTCACCGCCCTCCTCCTCACCTACGCCGCCGCACGCGCCCTCGCCTTCGGCGCAGACGGCTTCATCTCAAACTACTACGGCAGCTCCTACGGCGAATACACCCTCGCGCAAAACGGCACCTGGGTCTGGAACGCCACGGCGTATGCTTCCTACTACAACTCCGACTACACGCGCGGCTGCGAGCATAACTCCACTGGCACCAGTACATACTACACCTCCCCGTCCCCGTATTCGTATGACGACGACGACACCAGCTTCGCTACCTGCGCCGCGCAGGACGCATATGTTAATACCCTCTGGAATACACGGCATACCCGGCAGAACACGCTTCTCACGGCGGCCGTGTGCCAGTGGCTTGCGCTGGGACTACACTTTATCCTCTTCGTCTGGGCGTGCGTGGATACGCATAGGCGCAATGCGGCGCGCACGAGCACGCAGGCGGAGGTGTTGGCGAGTCGGATCGTGGGGAATATGGTGCGGCAGGGGGTGGTTGTGCCGGTTGGGTATGCCGGGGGTGGGGTTGGTGGTGGGTATGTGCCTATGCGGGATATGAGTGCGGGTGGGAATGGGAATGGGAATGGGAAGGGCTGGAATAATGGGGTTGATCCGAGGGTTTATGGGTGGCAGCAGCCGTCGCAGCAGAGTGGGAGTGCGCCGGCGTGGTATAATGCTGAGGGGTATGGGATGCAGGGACAGCAGCAGTGGCCGTTACCAGAAGCAATACATGCGCGCGACGCACAGGCAGCGCAGATGAATATACCGGCTGGCAAGGCGGTGTACAGATGACGGCGGGAGCGCGTTGGATCTTTGTGATATCCTTTATTTATCTGTCCGTAGAGAGAGAAAGATGCGGTGTAATGTATGTATGGAGGTGGAGATGGTAGATGGAGATGCAGATGGAGATGCAGATGGACATGGAGATGGTATGATACCCCCTTAAAACCTCACACCTACACATACTCAAACACAATCAAACACAATCAAAAAACATGACAAAAAACACCTATCAATCCGTTCTATTCCTTCTGCTCCATTACTTAGTTACTCAGTTACTTCCTCCAGTCAACCCATACCAGTCCAGTCCAGCCCCCTCCTCCTCCTCTAGTTTATACTTCTTTCTATCAGAATTTATGGAAAAGCCAAAAAAACATACAACGCAGGACGAACGACCATGACAGCGCGTATGAAATGTTAGAAACGCCTGCTATGTGGATAGTACGTGTCAAAGAGACTGATGCTTTGTTCGTTTCTATTGTTTCCTTGTTTCAATGCATACATGTAAGAAATGAAAATTCTAAAAAGGGGAGCTAGCGAAGAGATGGGTAGAAGGGATGGAGGGTTAGGGAGACAAAATGACAAAATGACAGAGTGACAAACGACAAAGTAACAAACGACAAAGTGACAAAACGACAAAGTAACAAACGACAAAGGGACAAACGACAAAGGGACAAACGACAAAGGAACAGGACAAAGTGACAAAATGACAAAGTGACAAACGACAAAGTGACAAACGACAAAGGAACAGGACAAAAGCCAACAGGACAAAAGTCAACAGGACAAAAGTCAAAACTCAAAACTCAAATAACCAAAAGCCAAATAGCCAACAACCCAAAAGCTAACAAAAAACGAACAAAAAAACACACCACGTTCCACAAAAGCTCACTCGCATCTACTCTACTCTAATGCACAACAACACAAACAAAAAGGAAACATCGCGAGAGCCAGGAGCGCTGCTAGCTATATAATATAATATAGCTGTGAAAACATGGCATGGCATGATTCCGTCTTTCTTCCGTCTTCCGTCCTCCTTTCTCCGTAAGACCACGACTACTACTCCTCGTTCTTCTCCGCACTGTGGAGAATATGCTTTTTTGTGTTCTGCCTCCCAGCAGGCAAGCAAGCAAGCAAGCAAACAAACATGCAAACGAACAAAGAAACATGCATCCATTCGACAAAAAAAAAACACACAACGGTCTATACCAACGCCTTTCCCCCCAAACCCATTTTCTCCTTATACCTCTATGCTTCTACCTCTACCACCACCACCACCCACCCCCTCAACCCCCTCACCCTCACCCCCCCACCCTCACACCCCCTCATCCCCCCCCTCACCACCATCACCCCCTCCATCACAACCCCTCATCACCCTCATCCCGCACCTTCAACGCCAAGATCCAATCGCGCGTAAACTCAAAGCTCAACCAGCTACTCGCCATACTCGGCGCGACCTTGAGCAGATTAGGCACAATGCCCTTGTACATACCCCTGACACCCTCCTGAGCAATGATCTTGCGGATCGCGTCCACGATGCCGTTGTAGTGCAGTTCCATGCCGGACATGGTGTTGATCTGGAAGCGGCGGCGGAGGACGTCGCTGGTTTGGGGGATTGGGAGTTAGTTTGTTGACTGGTTTACGGGCTCCGGGGTTTGCGGAAAGGGGGGGTAGTCTTACAATGGATACGTGCACGTCTGCGCAATCGCGCCCGACACAGCGCCCGCAGCAAGCTTGCCCGCAGACGAGGGATCGCGTGCGCCCTCGGGGGTAAAGTACGCGCGCGCAGACTCGTAGACCATGAAGTTGAGCCCGACATAGGGCGCGACGCCAGCAACGGTGGGCAGGATGCCGCGGTACAGACCCTTGACGCCGCCTTCGGTCCTGTACATTGTGCCCATCAGGCTCCACATGCCCGGCAGCTTCCTGCGGCGTGCCTCGATGGCCTCCTTTGTCATCTTCAGCGACTCGAACGAGGCGGACTGGATGGAGAGACGGGTGCGGACAATGTCGAGCGGGTAGGTGAAGGTGACGGAGGTGATTCCCGCGCAGCCGCCGCAGACGAGGCGCTGGTAGGGCCCGAGGTTTGCGCCGGGCGAGTCTTCGAAGAACTGGAGTGCTGCTGTGTTAGCGGAGGTCGGATCAACGACCTGCAACGCACGCCGGGGCGGAACATGTTGTACGCACCCGTTTGTAGAAGTTGTATGCGCCAAACTGGACGGCCGAGTAGGGGACGATGCGAATGCAATTAGTGCCGTTGCCGGCCATGAAGCCGCGCAGGCCCTCCTCTCTCCACATCTTGCCTAGGGCCTTGGGCACCGACATCTTGTACTCGGTGCGGCCGACGCTCTGGACCTGGAAGAGGATCTTGAGTCTCTCGAGCGGCGAGACGACGGTGCGGGAGACTGCGCCGGCCACGCCGCCGGCTGTGAAGGCGGCGAAGACGGGCTGCGCGACAGTCTGGCGGATCTGCCGCATGCGGTTCGGCGGGGCGACTGGGCTCGACATGTCTGACGGTATCTATAACGGACGAAAAAGCGGGTTAGCAAAAGTGTCGTTTTTCCGGCTGGGAGTGTACAATCAATGTCTGCGAGCCACGAGTCTGCTCTTTTGCGCGACAGTCCGCATGAGCTCGTGGCTCGGACATCATTTCACCTCCAGCACTCCTCGCGTCTGACCACATGTCCAGTCCCCTTTTGCTGAGCAACTCCCAACATGGAGACTTGCTCCAGGACCTCCATCTCGAGACTTTAGAGTGACGAAAATGCCCACGTACAGGGGTGGCCGACATGCCCAGCGGGCCTGATCAGGCGAGATCTCTGCCAGCGGAGACCAAGGGGGGGGGGGGGAAGCCGATACTTATAAGGTCTCGAGGGACAATTGCGTTTGCTGCTATAGCCGTGGACGTAAGAAGTGCGGAGCGCGAGGCTGCGTGCTCATTGATTGACTGCCTGACTGAATGAATGCCGAGTTGTTGCAAGACGTGGTCTGAAGGTGCTCGTCCGAGGTAGATCTAGGTCGAGCGAGGGCTGAGCACACGACGGACGGCGCGGACATGCAGATACACGAGAGCAACGGAGGGAGGGCAATGCAAGTAGGCGGATGGGATCGTGGAGCAGTGAAGCTATGCGCGGCAATGATGGAGAGTTATGTTATGGATGGTGGTTTATGGTCGTGCAGCGGAAAAAGGTATAATTCGATTGGTGGTAGGGGTCCGGAAATTAGCGCGGGCAAGGATTTCAGGGTTCGTGAGTGATCCATTCCGCTCCATACATCTATTCATTATCAGTCCCTAATCACCACACAACAACAACAACACACGCACGCACAATCCCGAGCCGGCCGTGAACTGCATGCATGCATGGGCACCTCATCCCGATAAGCCCACCACGAATGCGCGGTACCATAGGCAGCGAGTCGAGTCTCGGCCTGACTCCACTATGCATCCATAGCGGCGGCGGCGGTCCACAATGCATACATACATACATACATATACACTATACCATACACCGAAGAGATAAGAAGCGATCAGGCGGCAAAAGAGATATATACAAACCATCTACCCTGAAAGAAGGATGGAGAGAGGATGTAGTATGAAGCGTATTCACATCACATCTATAATGATTAATTATAGACAACAACAAGGCATTCCGGCACACCTTACCCGCCGTCATTGATCGAGTCGCAACGTGAGCGTTGATGATACTTTCGAGTACTATCTAAGCTGGCTCCGCACAGCAGCTGCCCAAGCGAACATAACATCCAAAGTGTATATTTCTATATTCGCCCTTTTGATGACGCTTCCTCTCCTTCTTCGTCGCGTGCTGTTATGGTGGCCATCTGGGAACATCCATCCATCCATTCATGCCGACGACCCAAGCAAGCTCTAAATACAGGCCCGCCAACGCCATTTCATGTCCTAACCGCCGCCTGTTCAGGCAAGTTTTGTGATATGCATTTTTCTACGTTTCCTTGATCTCCCTACGCTTCATGTATCCTATAAAAGAAAGACTAGACTGTCTTGACAATGACCAGCATTATATGGAAAGTGCAATCTAGTGCTGTTGCTGGAGCTTGGCCATGCGCTTGTTCATGCTGTTGGTGGTCAGTCGGAGTCGAAATCTGATTCAGGCGCACGCTACTCACAAGTCGAAGAACGCAAACTGGCTGGCAGAGATGCCATACTCGTACACGAAGCGTGACGCGAGATAGCTGCCAAAAATGGCTCGCAGATAGTTCTCTGGGACCTGTTACAGGACATTAGCATGGAGCTGCGCAAATAGCCAGCATCACTACTTACGCGCCCAAGCAGAGTTGAGAGACCAATCTTGTTCAGCAAAAGGTTCGGGAGAGCGTCTTTGAGGACAGCCTCGCGCAACTGCACGTTGTTCCAGAGCTCGGTCTTCTGTAGCTCCTCGTCAAGCTGGGTGATGGCGATACTGAGCGTGTCGCTGAGCGAGCTTCTCGGTTGGCCAGTCTTCTGGTGCTCCCGCCAGATTGCCTCAAACTCAAGTGCAGCGTTGTTCTTGATCACTTCCTGGACTTGCTTCACGTACTGGTTGTAGAAGTCTGGCGCGGTGCCGTCGGCGCGGATGCACATGTTCTCTACGAAGCCTTCCTCATCAAAAGACAAGGACGCCAAAACTTCGAGCGAAGACGACGTGACACCTCCCTTGTTGGCAGACGCATCTTTATACAGGATGCAGCCGGCTTTCTCGAGTCGCAGCTTGGCGTCTTGAGTGATGAACAGGTTGGCGCCCTCCACGATGTACGGAATGACCGACTTGCCGTCTTTGATGAGCTTGCTCACGGAGTTGAGGTTGATAGACTCGGGACGGCCGCCACATGGTACAAAAGTATCATACTGCATGTCGCTCCGGAGGTGGAAGAGGTTGCGGAATGTAGTCCCGTTGTTGACAGTCTCACCATTGGGTAGACGGACATTGTTCTCCTCGACCAGCACACGGTAGCCGTTCTTGGACAGTTTGGACGTGTCAAACTCCGAGATCATGGCACGTTTCTTCGCCAGACGGAGCAGTTCAGTCCTATCAATACCGTTCTGGTCTACGAGCACACCAGAGCCGTCCACGATAGCGACATAGCTCTCGTTGCCCAGCAAAATTTCATTCGAACCAAGGTCACCGTCAGGGCCACCAGTCTGCAATTTGCGCACCTTGCTGGGGTCGAGATTGAGCTTGCGGTAGATTCCCTTGACGTACTCGCGGACAGACAACGTAGTCATTCCATAACGATCGTGAGGAATGCCACCAAGCCTGGGGCTCTTACCAGTGAAGAACGACTTCCACCACGGAGCTCCCCGGTTCCTCGCATGTTCCGTCGCCCAGTCGACAAGATCGGCGGTGTTCTCGTCTGGACCCATGAACAAGATCTCCTCTTTCCCATGCAAATCGACAATAGGATCCTTTATTCCAGGGCTGTTTGGCGGCAGTAGCAAGTCGAGGATGCTGTCAATGTACTTCTCGAAAGCGACTCGGGTCTTGTCCTGGTGGTCAACATCAAGCAGAATGACACCCTTCGAGCCACCTTCCGGAATATCCTTATTCTTCCGTTGCTGAGTGTTGGCCAGGTTGTAGTTTTCGTCGAACAAAGACCGCGCATTGATCGAGTAGGCTTCCTGGCTTCGAGACTTGACGATGCGGATACCACCACGTGCAATGTCACGGAACCGCAAGTGGAACCCACGGAACTCGGAGCTGATGATCAGGAACATACCATAGAGCGGCTGTGGATATTCTGACTTCGGCAGGAATCGCGGGTCCATCCTAAAGCTAAGTGCTACCTTGGTCGGAGTGAAGAAGTTCGTCTTACTACACTCTTATTAGTCACGATACTTGTCGTGTACGGAAATCAAAACTTACAGCACAGCGGTGTTGAAAGTCTGGAAAGCTGTCATGACCCAAAGGTGATGTTCGTTGGCAACAGACTTGGCGATCAGACCTTGAAGATCAGCGTCGCTCAAGACCTTGTCCAGCGACAATCTCTGGAAGCTCAGCGTTGGCAGAAAATCATCCGTCTCTCCTCGCAACTGAACGTAATGAGTGTTTGCGAACGAGAGATAAAGTGCGTGGACTAGATCCGGATACTGGTGGATGATCTCAAGAATGTAGTCAGAGGTAAAGGTCTCAGTACGCAGCCGGCGCTTCAGATTTGAGAGCAGCTCGGCGTGTACACTGTTGTCTGCTTCAAGAATTTCCGTGAGAGCGGTATACTCACTGCCCAGGCGGTTGAGAAAGTGCCCAACAAAGACCCAGACGCAGTGAGCATAGATGGTCTCCTGAAGACTGAGACGACCAAGCGCAAAGTGCGCCTGGAACTTGTTTTGCGGGACGCAGTAGAGGAGAGATATCTCCTTGATGACTTGGTGGATCGATGCTTCGATGGGTGGATGCTTTGCCGACGCCTGGGTGACAGGTCGCAGATACAGCGACATGACCGTGTATCCATTCGAGAACTGCTCGACGTATTTACGCGATGATGTCAGGCCGTAGTAGTGGTACAGATCGCTCAAGGCACTGAACAGGCCGAGAGCGGAGCCCTGTCTAAATGCAACAACGACGCGCTTCTCCCTCGTTCCCTCCACGTCAAAGTACTCAATGACTGGTCCAGTTCGCGTTACAGCCATCTGCATGACTTCTTCGTAGATCTCTTTGGTATTCTGGGTGGCTTTCTGTAGGAATCGCTTATCGGAGATCTTCGCCAGGTCTGTCTCTGTGACTCCCGGATTGGGATTCTCAAACTCGCACTCGTATACGAAATAACAGCGAAGAGACTGGTCCTGGTTGCTGGGCAGAGGACTAGCAGATCTGAATGTCTCCACACGGTACTTCGACTGTCCTGAGGACCCATCAAGGTATTTCTCGTCAATTCTCTGCTCATATTGTGGACCCTGGACCGACGTGATACCAGGGACACTGGTATCGATGTAGACTGCGTGATCTGAAGCTTCTTTATCGAGCCGGATTTCCAGACGCTTGTCGTCGCGGGCGTACGCAGCGATCTTGGCAGCGTAGAGAGAATGGATGTGATTGACGATGCTGCAAGCGACATATGAGCTCGAGACTGGCAAACACTGGGGAGATATTTTGAGCTTACGCTTCGACAGACTCGGTCTGGAAGTACATGTCGTCAATGCCCAACTCATTGTAAAACCAGGTTGTCTCGGACTCTACAAAGTCAGGCGGAATGAAGCCTTTCTCTTCCACCTGGTCCATGACCCTGTGATTGGTCAATTGAGAATCTCACATGTACTCTCTCGAGACGTCATACTTTTCCTGCTGCTGCTCCTTGCCCTCAAACTTGGGAGCAACATATCCGAAGCCCTTCTCATGCACGATGCGCTGTGCATGGCTGCCAGTGACATTGAGGTGTGTGGGTTGAGGCGACGGCCTTCTGCCAGGTTCACGAATGACCTGCTCGAGTTGCTTGTGGTGGGGAACACCATTGGAGGGGATTGGCGCCATGGTGCGTTTTCCGGCTGGAGCCAGTCAGATATTCAGCGGCAGAAGTGAGACGTAGGATCTAGAGGAAGAAGGGCTTTATATATCAGCAACAAGAACAAGAACAAGAACAAGAAGCGTGAAAAGAAGACGACACAAGTGTTGCGTGAAGCAATGTGGGTCAAGGTGAGAACTGACAAGTCTGTTCCGGGTTTGCTGCAAGGGACGCCGCCACCATATATTCCGGTTCCCGACGAGGTGTTAATTGGGCGATGTTTCTGGAAGAGTAGAAAACAAGACACAGTAGATAAGAAAGGATAAAACCAAGAGTGACACGCCAGACTGCAGGGTTGCGGCTGAGTACAGACGGTCACACGGCGAAGCTGGTGTTGATGACGGAGTTGACGCGGTGAAGGGCAGGGAGGGAAGCTAAGGTACCGCAGACGAAGGATGCGATAGACTGATAGATAAAATAGATAGATGATAGGCGGCGACAAGGCACAACGCACCGTTCAATTGGGTTTGTTTGCCGCGCGAATGAAAGGATGTGAAGAGGTGGGCGATGTAGGTTTGATTGATTGAGGCTTTCTTGCAGCTCACCGCATCTAATTATTATTCAAACAGTGGAAAAGGCTCACGGTCCTGAAGAGCGGGCGGCGTTCCGTGGATAAGGCCACTTCGGATCCATTGTTTCGCTTTGATGCGGTTCAAACGTCGCGGGCACCAATTCATCAATACTTGACTTGATGGTATCATCATCATTGACATTGACTACTGCGGACCTTGTTGTCCGCTCCACAGCGCCCAAGCATCGTGAACTCGTTGCCGTTGACCCGCTTTGTCGCCGTTCCTGGCACACTAGTAGAGACAGAGTTTTTTGTTGGATGCTTGAGGCTGACCAGCAATTCTCTCACTCACTCACCCTCTCACCAATCTAATCATCTCCAGTTATTAACTTAGTCTCGCCTAAGCTCCCCAACCTAGAAGAAGGCCTGGAGCCCTGTCAAACGGCTACAAGCGCGTCCAGCTCCGCATCTGCACCTCGTTTTTAGGTAAGCAATAGCTAATTCATGCCAATTTCCCTCTCATCCAACGTCCAGCTGACTGCAAATTTTACCTTTGCCTCCTCTCTGTTACTATAAATGCCTCATTCGTTGTCTGGTGATTGGTTTGTGGTGGCACGCTATGAGTAAGCTTTTCCGTTCGCCACGTCCCCCCTCTCCCCCCCTGATGAGCCGCTCGAAGACGAATCATTCTGCAAACTCTGTCCGGGGTAAGAAAATCCGGGGTTTTTTACGATCACGATCACGTCTTCGCTGCGACTGGCGGCTGGTTCGTATCGTGAACTCGTGCGTGCACGTGCAATTAGTATCTGATGAGGCCCGTTTTTAGAGGCATTCGAGACGGACTGAGAGCTCGCCACGTCAGCTTAAGCCTAGACTCGAATTGGCACGGGCTGTTGATTTGCAATGGAATGGATAGTTGGGGATTGACTGCGTCTGAAGACATCGTCGACGACGCAAATAATGGCACAGTTTTACTTTTGGCATTGGCACAACGGTAGTCTTAGCTTATCCGTCCGGGTATTATAAGGTATTAATTAGTAAACACTGACTCGATTCCGCATTATGCTTTTCTGCAATAAACGACCACGAGCTGCTGCTACAATTATGACAACGCATTATGAATGTCCGTTCGGTCCCTGCGCTCGGAAGTTCTTCAACAATTCCAATTCCTCGGCGTTGCGGGCCATGCCTTCTGCCACCTCGTGCCCCACGGGAATCTGCTGATGCTTGAATTGCCGCGTACCACCAGATCCGTAGTCCTTGGTCACTTGGCCAGTGCCATCAATCAGCCATTTGTATATCATCAGACCGTCCAGACCGACAGGCCCTCGAGAGTGAATCTTGTTTGTGCTGATGCCAACTTCCGTGCCGAAGCCGTATCTCTGGCCATCGGCAAACCGCGTGCTTGCATTCCAGTACACGGACGAACTGTCGACTCCCGCCTGGAAGCGTCGCGCCATGCTTTCTGATTGAGTCAAGATGGCATCGGTGTGGTGGGACGAGTGTTCGTTTATATGAGCAATTGCCAAGTCCAGTGCTTCTCCGGCGTTTGAAGTCGCTGGTATCGTCTTGACTGCGAGTGTTAGGTCGAGGAACTCTGTTCGGAAGTCTTCCTCTGTGGCATCTTGTATCATGGCCGCATTGTGCTGATCGAGTTTGGAAGTAAGAGCTGTCTTGGACTGGCCATCACAACGGAGTGAAACACCTTCGGCAAGAAGGGCCTCTGCGACTTTGGGAAGTGTTGTTTCTAGAGCATCTGCATCGACCAGCAGAGTCTCTACTGCGTTGCAGGCAGCCGGATAGCTTGTCTTGGAATCTACAATGACCTTGACGGCGACGTCGACAGGACTATCGTGTCGAACATAGATGGAGCATAGTCCATCAGCGTGGCCAAGCACCGGTATAGAAGTGCTATTCTTAATAGTGACGACTAGTTTATTGCCGCCGCGAGGAATGACCAGATCTATGTATTGATCGAGCTTTAATAGTTCACCAATGACATCATGCGTCTGTACTAATTGAAGGCAATCTTGTGGCACTTGCGTCTTGGCCAGCGCGTTAGATATGAGACTCGAGATGGTTTTGAATGACTCTGTAGATTCCTTGCCGCCTGCATAAAGTCAACAGAAGTGTCTATTTCTCGCAATACATAGACCAACCTTTCAAGATGGCTGCATTTCCAGACTTGATGGCCAGAGAAGCAATATTTGCAATGACCTCCGGACGAGCCTCAAAGATAATAAGCAGCACACCAATAGGACAGGACTTGCGCTCGAGTATAAGCCCATCATCGAGTAGCAGCTTCTGTTGGACCTTGCCATTCGGATCCTCAAGACCTCGAACGTCAAGGATGCCCTGTAGCATGTCCTCAAACTTGCCCTTCTTGCCCAGATCTAGTCTCTTGACCAGACTTTGGCTCAACTGACCACCTTCTGCAGCCTTGGTCGCTGCAGTAAGGTCACGATGATTTGCAGCGAGGATGTCATCCTTGCCAGCGGCCAGAGCGTCGTGGATGGCTGTCAATGCATCATTACGGGCTTGCACCGGAAGCACAGCCAGTTGTCGCGAACCCAGACGCGCAGCACGCGCGACTTCGAGAGGAGTGGCATTGGTCAACGACATGGTAGATGACAGTCAATGGGTGCAGGATTAGTTCTAGAGTTCTCTTGATAGCTAGCAACCTGTGAAGTGAAAATTGATGCCTGAGTCATAGCCGAACACAAGCCACGGCGGGGTGACACGGCCGAGACCATCTATACATGTGAGTCTAGACATGGAAATGTGAAGATGCAAAGCTTGACAACATGCAGTATTGGAAAAAGTCATGCTTGCTGTCTCCACATTTAGTCCTGCAAAGATCGTTGGGTGCAGATTTACAGGTTTACAGTACGGATTGGCCATAGGGCTGTCAACATGTGTTGAGGCTGCTCGAACAGGTGGCTGGGGTGCAGGGTCCAGTGGCTGGTTTAGCGCCGGGAAGCCCGTTGCCGACACGCCGACCAGCCACACAATAACAACATTCCCTTTCCAGCCACTTCACTTTGTTTGTTACAGGCCCAGCACGGCCACGTAGCGCTATCAGTGCAAACATGCCCGGTCCAGTAGAATTCTAGAACTACATATATTTCTATCCGCTGGTTTCATTCTTGCGCTGACGTCGTCTTCATTCTTGATGGCTGGGGATGGCTGGTGTACTCCAACCTACCTCTTAAAGGTTCTTGTGCCTTCTGCTCCCAGCTTCCGTCTTACCTGCCATTCACCGGACAATTACATCTCCATCGTCTGTCCTCCGAGAGTGACAACGACTCGGGTTCTACGCCATCTCATCACTACCAAGTCACCAACCTCACGTATTACCATCTCTCCTCACCCGCCATCTATCTCGTTATGCGTTACACCTCCCCGGCCGCGAGGTATCTGGCCTCTGTCGCCCTGCTCGTGGCACCATCGCTCGCACAAACATACTCGAACTGTAACCCCATATCCCGATCGGATTGCCCAGCAGACTCTGCCTTGGGGAAGACGGTCAATATCGATTTCAAATCAGCCTCCGACAGCTTTACGCCTCAAGGCAACCCAACCTACGGCTCAGATGGAGTCTCGTTTACTGTGGCCAAATCAGGAGATTCGCCTCAGCTGACGTCGAAATGGTACATCATGTTCGGCAAAGTCGAGGTCTCGATCAAGGCGGCGCCCGGCGCTGGCATGGTCAGCAGCTTCGTTCTTCAGTCGGACACCTTGGATGAGATCGACTGGGAATGGCTCGGCGCAGATGCCGGCCAAGTGCAGACCAACTACTTTGGAAAGGGACAAACAACGACTTTCAACCGTGGTGCCTTCCACGCCGACCCAGACAACCAGGCCAGATTCAAGACCTACACCATCGACTGGACTCCGAACCAGATTGTCTGGCAAATCGACGGCGTCACCGTTCGAGCGCTCTCACCAAACGACGCAAACGGCCAATATCCTCAGACGCCCATGCAGATCAAAGTCGGCGCCTGGGCTGGCGGTGACCCATCCAACAACGCCCCTGGGACCGTCGAATGGGCACGCGGCCCCATCGATTACTCGCAAGGTCCCTATACGATGCAAGTCGGTAGCATGAAAGTGACCGACTACTCGACCGGCACTCAGTACCGCTACAAGGATTCCACCGGCACATGGCAATCGATCGAGGCCGTCGGTGGCACCATCAACTCTGGCGGCTCGTCTGAGGTCGAAGAGAACCCGCCAACCGTCACGTCGACGAGCTCCGGACAACCGGTGCCGTTTGACGGCACGCACAGCGACGACTCTTCAACCTACATCCGCCCCTCCGTCTACCCGTGGGTCCCCGAGGCGACGACACTCAGCACTGCTAGCCCGACGTATGCGAATTACCCAGGCTTGCCCAGTGGTTGGACTGTGTCGGACTCGGGCAAGGTTGTTCCTCCCAGCTCCGCACCAGTGAGTAAGAGACTAGCGTGGTTTCTGCCCTACCTGTCCATCCTAACATTCGTCCTAGTCCACGCCTCCTCCGGCAGAGTCTACACCGTGTTCCTCGTCAGTGCCCTCGCCGTCAGCAGTCGATGGTGTTGAGCTCTCGACCGGGTTCGACGACCGCGGATTCACGACTGTATATACCATCACCCCCGGGCCAAGGCTGCCGCAAACCACGGCGCCTGCGGGTTTCTACGGCGCTGCTGGCACGATTCAGCAGCACCAGCCCAATACAACACCTCAGCCTTCACCGGATCCGTATACCGGTGCTGCATCTGTATTCAGCGAGCCACGTCTCACGACAGTGGCATCCCTTTTATCTATCTTAGCCCTCGCATTCGTCCTTTGAGCGGCATCCAGGGGTGGCATTGGGAGGTCGCATCTTGCATTAGCGTTTGGCGTTTTGGAAAGAGGGCGTTGGGAAGTCGTCGCTGGGTACACTGACGCGCGTGTTTGGGTATTGATGTTACGGCATTGTGCCAATTATGTGTAATGCGACCAGAATTGATAGAAATAATGATATTGATCTCGAAAGTATCCAGTAGCTGCTCGAATGAACATGACTCGTCGTCCTCATCATCATCATTTACCAGTGACCACGTTTCACATGCCACGAGGCCTAATCAGAGCGACTAGTGTCGTCGAAACAGACGCAAGCGAGTTTGACGTACAACACAGGTAGGCTCATAGTTCGGACTCTGCTCCGGACAGCTTACTAGACGAGGGGGGTGTCGCCCGCCGTCGCAACCTCGGAAGTGAGCAATCAGATGAAGGTGGAGGTCTATATAGCGATCCAGATGCCCCCTGTTTGGCCAAGACGTGCTAGCGAGATACTCCACCCGTTCTGCAATGCTCAAAAGCCGGATGAGCACGTGGGTGTCGGAAGCGGGAATATTATGTTTCGTCTTCTCCGGGTGCTGAGTGTGGTTGTGTCGAGTCAAGTCAGTGGAGGCCAGTGTATTAGCGAGATGACTTGTGCGGTTTTGTAAGAGCGGTATGCGATAGGGGTCCACAGTGTCAATAGTGGAGTGAATAACAACTCTCATGAATGGTCCGAGCACACGGGTTTTGGGCAATTGGTGGCGTCCCCACGTTGTGCCCGAAGCGGTTAGCGTCGCGAACGACATGGCGTCTGCACTGCACTGTTTGGGCTTGGACACTCGAGCACATGTCAAAACGAGGGTTTGTTTGTTCCAGGATTGTGGTGAGGAGCAACAGAGGAGGAGTTCAGGATGATGGACTCACTTCCACCCAGCGGCTGTGTCAGTTCACCCGACCCCGACTACAACTACAACAACTCACAGGTCACGACTCGGTGTGAAGGAGGGATAAAGAGCATCGGCTTGACGTCAGGCTTGTTCTGGTGCCGTAACAACACCATCATCATTATCATCTACCGCTACTTGAGAGATACCTCGACCTCACCTCGACCTCACGGACCTCTCCTCTGCTACAGCCGGATGCCTTCATAAGTCTCTTCAACTCTCTCCTCGACGCCTCAACGCCTCCACGACTATCAAGATGGCCAATTCCATCTACGAATACCTCTCCAAGGCACCGCTCTGGCTGCTTGTCGTCGTCGCCCTCGTCCTTGCTCGTCATCTGTCTCAAGTCTACGCCAGATATCGCATCAGACAGCTAGGCTTCCAGGCGCCCCGACGCGTCTCCTACTTCCCCTTTTCTCTCGACTTTGTCGTCCAGGGTGTGCGCCATGCCATCAAGCATGAGAACCTGGCCATGTGGAACCGCATCATGCGCGAGTATGGCAACCCGAAGAACCCATGGACCGTCGAAGCAAACGCTGCCGGCCAACGTGTGATCCTCACTGCGGACCCGGACAACGTCAAGGCTATCCTCGCCACTCAATTCAGCGACTATGGGAAGGGCAAGACGTTCAACGAAGAATGGCATCCGTTCCTCGGGGACTCCATCTTTACCACCGACCACGGCCAGTGGCACCAGAGCCGCCAGCTCATCCGTCCGCAATTCGTCAAAGACCGGCTCAGCGACATCCACGTCTTCGAGAAACACTTCCAAGCCCTCCTCCCCCACCTCGGCGGCCAGGGCCAGAAAATCGACATTGCAGACCTCTTCTTCCGCTTCACCCTCGACGCCGCCACCGACTTCCTCCTCGGCCACAGCGTCGACTCGCTCGACAACGCCCAAACCCGCTTCTCCACCGCCTTTGCCGAAGTCCAGCGCATCCAGTCGCTCATCTCCCGCATGGGCCCCATCAACTGGATGATGCCGCGCAAGGCCTACAACGAGCACCTCCGCACCCTCAACGAATTCGTCAACCCCTTCATCGAACGCACCCTCCGCCTCTCCCCCCAGGAAATCGAAGAAAAGGGCAAATCCGACGACGGCTACACCTTCCTCCACGCCCTCGCCGGCCACACGCGCGACCGCAAAGTGCTCCGCGACCAGCTCATCGCCGTCCTGCTCGCCGGCCGCGACACCACCGCCTGCACCCTCTCCTGGCTCTTCTACGAGCTCTCCAACAGCCCCGCCACCGTCGCCAAACTGCGCGCCGAAATCAAAGACGTCGTCGGCTTCTCCGCCACACCCACCTACGCGAACCTCAAATCCATGAAATACCTCCAGTACACCCTCAACGAAACCCTCCGCCTCTACCCCGTCGTGCCCTACAACGTCCGCGTCGCCCTCAAGGACACCACCTTGCCCTCCGGCGGCGGGCCCACAGGTACCTCCCCCATCGGCGTCCTCGCAGGCACCCCCGTCGGCTACAGCACCCTCGTCATGCAGCGCCGCCCAGACATCTACCCGCCTACCTCCCCCGATTTCGCACCCCCTGAATCCTTCTCCCCCGACCGCTGGGCCAAGTGGACCCCGAAGAGCTGGTCGTATATCCCCTTTAACGGCGGCCCGCGCATCTGTATCGGTCAGCAGTTTGCACTCACGGAGATGGGATACACGGTTGTGCGCATTTTGCAGCGCGTCCAGCGCGTGCAGAATCTGGGTACGGGTGTGCCGAAGTTGAAGGCGGAGATTGTGTTGCAGCCTGAGGGCGGGATTCAGGTTGGGCTGTGGGAGGGGGAGGGGGATGGGGACGGGGAGGGGGTGGGGGAGAAGAGCGGCTAGGGAGAGAGTGGGTGGGTGGGTGGGTGGGTGAGTGAGAGATGCCTGGTTTGAGTGTCTGTCAGGAACGGGAACGGGAACGGGAGACTGGATATTGGCTTGTCTTTGTGCGGGCAGGAGCGGTGGCGGCGTATAGGGTGTCTTTCTTTTGGCACAAATCATACATATATACTCCCCCAGGATATTTTATCCAGCAGGTCCTTTTTCTCGGATGGATAGAAATCCCACTCTTCCAGCCATACACACTACCACGTAAATGACGAATCCCAAAAAAAAAAGAAGAGAAGAAAAGAAGAGTCTGGTGGTAGGTAGGATAGAGTAGGATATCGTAGGATATCGTAGGATATCGTAGGATATCGTAGGATATCGTAGGATATCGTAGGGCAGCACAACTAGTCAGTCAATCAGTCAATAGCAGTTTTTCGAAACACCCTCCCTCCTCCCAACCAAAAAAAAAATAACAGAAAAACGGAAAAATGGGAAATAAGTCTGTCTACATACACTTAACTTAACTTAACTTACAAGTCACTTCTTACTTCTTCGTTCTTGCGTTCTTTCGTTCTTTCGTTCTTGCGTTCTTTCGTTCTTTCGTTCTTTCGTTCTTTCGTTCTTTCGTTCTTTCGTTCTTTCGTTCTTGCGTTCTTTCGTTTTTTTGTTTCCGTTGTGTTTTGATGTCGAGAATATGCGTGCGTGACATGGGTGACATGCATATACATTTCTTTTTTTTTCTTGTTCTTCTTCTTCTTCTTCTTAGCGCAGACTGGACTTTCGTGGCGTGGGCGGAACATTGTGTGTATGTATTCAACCTTTTGTATCTAGCCGTGTGTGGATATTCTAGTACTATACCCATCTACGAACGAGGGACACATACATGCAAGTACAGTCACTCATATACGTATCCAACCTACGTACATACTAAGTACCCAGCCAGCCAGCCAGGCAAGCAGGCAATCAAGAGCAGGGGAGCGGTTTCAATTTCATTTGATTTCATTTGATTTCATTTGATTTCATTTGATTTCATTTGATTTCATTCGACTTCACACCTCATCTCCTTCGCGTCTCCCAATCACCAATCTGCCCCAATGCCCGCTTTCCATGGAATCCATGGGAATGCCTGGACAGACCGATCGTCCCAACACCTCCCCTTCCCCAGCCTACGCTCCAAAGTCAAAGGTCATCTGCTGTATATACACATGCACACACACACATACACACATACACACATACACACATACACATACCAACCCCCAGCCGGTAGACAAAGAAAGAAAACACTTCTTCCCCAAGAAGCGCCCGTCAGCCATGAAGCATCGTATCGGAGGTTACAACTCCGAAGTGCGTGGGACGGGTATATGATATTTAGTAATTTTTTTATTTCGTCGGTTTTGGCGGGAAGGGGCTATCGTTTGTTTTGCTCTGATCCCCCCCAACAAACTATGCACCCAACGCCCTAAAGCCCAATGCAATGCAAAACCTCGATAATGTACAAACGTGCTAGCTGATCGGGTCGACGTGATCCCTCGACGCGAGAGAGTCGAAAGAGAGCAAAATAGCAAGAGGGAAAAGAAAACGCCGTTTTTTTGAATGCAGGTTCGGGTGGAAGCAGAAGAAGAATAATAATATCATGCAACGAAGTCTTGGTGGCGCTACGGCCGAGGACGCGCGCCGGCTAGCCAAGTGAGAAGCTAAAGCTCGAAACGGAATGCTCTGCTGCAATTGGGTGCGTAGATCCGTAGCGACTTCTTTGCGTGTCTTCGACACGGACACGCAGAGAAGAGGCATGCCGGAATGGAGGGGGTTCCGCGCTGCGTAATGGTTGATTGAAAAGGTCCGCGTCGAAAGATATTTCTTGTTTGTACAACAGCAGGTCGGCCGAAAGGATGGGCCGCTGCCAATCAAGGTGTGAAATACATGCAATGAAAGCACCAAGTGGTGCATCTCGAGAAGGACAGACTGGACCATGACCTACTAATCCCGTTGTCCCGAAAGGAAAGGGGCTTCAATTGGCCTTTGCGTCTCTGGAGATTGACGGCCCATCAAGCATCCTAGAAGACACGAGTCTACGCACCGCTTCCCAAGAAGCCGGGATTAACGAATCATGTAGCTCGTGTCGCAGCTTTGATTATTATGGTGAGGCACTTCTCGACCAGCGCTTAGAGGCGTGCTGACTGTATCAGATTGAACCCCGGTCCAACGTTTCGCGTTGCACGTTCGAATCAGAAGTAGCTATTGTCGTGCCGTTTCAAGGCCAAATTTCGTTGATGCTCTTGCGGCGAGAGGATGAAATTGGAAAGATGAGCTTCAAACTTTGAGACCAGTCGCCTATGAGGCCTGTTTTCCTTACTAAACTTGACATCATGGATCATCAAATCACATTCACTGAGTCTCCTCTCGCTTCGGAGACCTGGTCGTTGTTGGCGGCGGCGGCGGATATCCAGCTCGCACAGGAGTCGACGTGTGTGATGCTCTGTACCCCTCTCTGCTGTCTCTAGCCTCTCTATTCCCGCTCTCTCTACGAGCAGGACTCTCGTCCAAGCGCTCAGGACCAGGACGACTTTCATAGCGTTCAGGGGCAGGACGGCTTTCGTAGCGTTCAGGAACACGACTACCACCTCGTTCCGCTTCTGCGTAACCGTAGACTGGGTGCATCCCGTGACGGCTGCGCGGTCGAACAGCTTCAAGTGCACGAGTCGAGGTGTCGCTGCGAGTTCGGACGTGGCCTCTGCGAGCAGGAGTCGACGCTGACGAAGAGTCATGCGAGAAAGGCGGCGAGGTATATTGAGGGGCGGAAGTCGGTGGAGGAACAAAGGGGTGAGGGCCCTGAGCCTTTCTCTTTTTCGGGGACGTCGTGTGATCTGGAGCAGCGACGTATTAAAATCTGATGCATGCAGTCATTAATCGCAAAATGGCTATCTTTTACCTGAAGGGGTGGCAGGCGGGTCTCGACTGCTCGAAGACGGCTGCGACGTAGGGGGCACCCAGTGGTGAAAGTAGATGGATGGCGAAGAGGTCTGCTCCTGCGGCGGTTGCTGCGGTGGATGCTGCTGCTGATGCATGCTCGACGGAGGCGGTTGCTGGACTTGCATTTCGTTGGTCGTAAGTCGTGGCAGGGAGGACTGCGTGGGTGCTCTCGGAGCTGAATGTAGCGTTCCTGTTTGGCCTCCCGATATGGTCGATGCTCGTGTTCGTGTTTGCGGCGACTGGCTGCCACGGGCGTACGTTGATTGTGCAAAACCTCCGTGGGGTGGTGGTACTGCAGAAAGCGGTTGGCCCTGTACGCCTGGCGCCATGGGCAAACTCTGCTGTGAACCATACACACTTCCATGAGGGGGTGGATTGAGCAGTCTGGGTGGCTCTCTTCGCGCATCTGGTGACATCTGTCCCTGAGATACTTGCTGTGGCTGTACGGTGCCTTGCACCTGAGACATGTATTGCTGGAGCCACTCCATACTCATGTTCGCCAGATTGCCACCACCAATGCCTGCGAAGATAACGGGCACCATGTGCGGAGGAACGCCACCTTGGAATGAATCGCGTAACATCTGCTGTTCGATCTGCCGCTGCTCTAACCTCAACCGCTCTTGCTTCGTCTTCTCTTCTTCTTGCTTCCGCTTTTCCTCTTCGGCCTTGGCAGCCAGCCAGTTCTTCATTGGCTCCTCAGCACCTTGCCATTGCGGTGGTGGAGCAGGCATCGATCCTAGTGACTGAGGCATTGATGGTGGTGGTGGCGGTGGTGGCCCGCGTCCTGGGTCTGCTAATTGCATTGGTGGTGGTCCTCGCCCTGGATCTGCTAATTGCATGGCTGCTGGGGGAGGCAGCCCTCGGTGAGGATTACTCATACTGGTAGGTGATTCTCTCCGGGCACTGACAGAGAGCGGCCTGAGGATTCCGCCAGCCGGCTTTGGAGAGAATCTTGAAGAGTAAGGTAGTGGTGGTGAGTACTCATGAGGATGCTTGTATTCGAAATCGGCTTTAGCTGGCTTCTGGAGTGTGAGCAACATCAGGAATGGCTGATATGAAGGGTAAAAAGGTCGACATGGAAAGTGTACATGAAAGTGTACTTGAAAGTGAAGTCAAAACAGGTGACGACAGCAAGAGAGACGGGAGGGACACACTTTAAGACCGAAGCTTTTGGGAGCAGCGTACCTAGTGGCCTGAAGCATAGAAACGGTTTACCCTGAGGCGTACTAGAAGCTTGCGGGTATTCGTGCGTAGAGACTGTGATTCGTCGGGAGTACGCGGCTACCAACAGAGGTGGTGTCTGGGTAACAGGCCACTTGCTGCAACGACGATCTCGCCCAGTCTTCTCTACGCGTGGCTGGGCACCAGGCTCAGTACCAGTTCCAGCAGCTGTTCGTGGGTTGCTTGTCCGAGCCAGTTCAAGCGCAACGGCTGCAGCTGGGACGCGGCGAATCAGGAAGCCGGAAGGCGTTGATGAGGAACGGGAATGGCAAAGTGAGACCGTTTGAGGAAACACATGTATACCCGAAGCGAGGTTAATATGGGAGGGAGACGACGACAGCAGAATCAAGCAGGACGTAGGAAGAGTCCGAACCTAAGCGAGGCAGCACTGAGGCACGAAGTGTGCTTATGAAGGGGCACCTGTCTGGAAGGGGGATATCGCTTAGGATAATTAGAGAGGCCAGAAGGGAAGAATGCGAGCGAAAACAGGATATGAAAGGACTTGCTCGCTCACTTCGAGAGCTGAATGTCCGCTAAGGAGTCGGACGGACCAGAAAGGACCCCAAGTATAGAGCATGAAGGATGCCCTGTCAGTGGCCAGTGAGGCGACTCGTGGCGCGAACGCTTCTTCCAAGGTCATCAATAAGGCATAGGTGAAGGAATGGGATAGCATCCATCGTCAACGGCTTGCCGCTCTGCTTCATCTTGCTTGCTGGCGGACGGCGAGAAGGGGTGGACCTGTACTGCGCCTGCGCCCCTGGTTCGAGCCTAAGGGAAAAGAGGCGCGTAGACACACGAGCTAATTGTGTTAGACAGATAGCACGGCTTGACATTCAAGGGTCCCATCCTGCAAATCTGGCTGCAGAATGCCCATAGCTTCTTGGGCGCTGGGAAAATAAAAGCATGCTGACGGCGGAGGCGGAGTGGGGAGTACAGAGGTAATAGAGGAGGAGGTACATCAAACTTGGATATGGAACGGACTGGGGGGGGGGGGGGGGGGGGGATTGGGTGGAGGAGGGGTAAGGTAAACTTCCAACAGACACACAGACACTATAGCAGCTGCGGTACTGCTATTACCACATCTACTGCCTGAGATAGTCCTCATCGTTCCTGGAACAGGGCTGCATATCACAGAGATAGAGACAGTGTATTCTCTCCAGCAAGAATGTTGGCAACACCCCTTTGAATACTAGTAGTACTGGCTGTCGAGCTGTTCTGTATGCCGCCGGTTGATGGGACGCGGTGTCCAGCTCCAGCAATCCGACCAAGGTCATCGTGACCAGTAGACCATGTACTCTGCTATGATATCCACTACGGAGAGGACTGACGAGAAGTGATGGAGTACATGGTGTAATGGCTAGAAAGCTCGCCGTCATTGCTCCAACCTTGGCTGATGAGATGAATCGTGGCATGCATATTCTGAATTTGCTATAACCATGGCAGCGGGTGCTAAGGTTGTTGCTTGTGCTTCAATAGGTCCAGCACCTCGTGGTGCAGCGATGCATGAAAAGACAGATCCAACGAGACGCCCTGATGGGACTGCCGAGACCGCATTACGAACCGCACAATCCTGCAACACGAGGGGAAGATGGCCAATTGGCCAAGATAGGTAAAGCAATTCGCCAACGCTCGGGAGTTAGCGAGATGCGGCTTGGACGGGACCTTTGATGCTCTAGCAGCTGTGATGCGACGCACCAGCGCAAGCCTTGCCGCAGTTGGAGAAGGGAGAGTTTCTCGATTGCCATGCCCCTGTTGCAAGTGTTTGAAGTGGATGTTGCTGGAAAAAGGTCGAAATGAAGGGGCATGCCAGCTGTCAGACTTAATGAGCCCACAATCCCGATGCAGCCATGAGTTAAAATGAGCTTTCACAATCTTGGGATGTTTAACTCGAAACAAGTCCGAGATGACTGCCATTTCCCGCCGATTCGCGTTCACGCAGACTAGAGAGACTCGTACTGAGCATCGCTGTGGCAGTTTGGGAACCTAAGCGCGGTATCACCAGCGACTCAGCTGACGGAGCTCGTAGCTGATGGAACTCAGACCGTCACAGAGCTATAAGCCATCTATTTTGCAGTCAAGGTCCCGCAACGATGAATCAATTGGAGGTCTGTGGCTAGTAGTGCCACGGCCTCCTCCTCCAAGCCATCGGCCTATTTCTAGGTTGGAGCTACATCGTCTGAGGGGGTTCCACTAAAAGGAATGGCGGCATGAGCGGGAGGCTCAAGTGCTGCGTTCCAGACAGACATGACTAAACGTTACATAAAGGCCCTCCCTGGTGTCCACTGTCTAGTGCCCACTGCAGTGGGTCGGCCAGAAAGTGACATTGCTGCCAAGTAAGTCTCTGAGAGTATCGCGCCGTCCGAACGTCTACAAGCAATATGCCGACAGTTGTGTGACAAACATGTCAGAACTCTGGGACTCTTTCTTGGACGGGTCAGCATGGAGCTGGGAGGCCTGCCATGATGCCTAAAAGGTGAAAAGGTCCGCGTAGGGAGGTGCTAAACGGTACCATGGAAAGTGTATTAGAAAATGAATTGCTCCGACGAGGACAAGGCTGAAGGCGATGCCTGATGCTGCAGTGTATCATATAATGGTACACAGTACAGGTTCCCTCTTAGACCTCTTAGGGTGAGAGGGGGGCTTCTGGTTGCGCAATCACCGAGGTACGTACCAACGCCGCACGGCTGCTTGATCGCACTGAAGCCAGGTCGGAATAGATTTCGTGACAGTATTAGGCTGATGGCAGCAATAACAAAAACACACAAGTGAGTTAGTTGCCAGGTGATTGCTGTGGAGTGTGAAAGGAGGGAGTGGAAAAGGAATGGAGGCTTTTTCGTCTGCGATTCGACGTTGTGGAGAGCAAGCGAGCATTTGACCTTACCGGATTGGGCACGCGTGCCATTTATATGAAACCGTGGCAGGCATGGCGGCCCCAATCACTTGAATCTGATTCGTTCCCAACTTCTTTGACCCTCCCAAGTCTGCCGTCTCTCGGACAAAGAAGTTTGTAACTCTGCAGCATGGATTCGTCTCTGTCACTCGGGTCATCGACTGGATCATGAATGGAGATCACACGAGTCGTGCTGGTTTCACAAGACTGTATTAGATTCCATCTCGCAGGCTTATGCCAGTCGTGCTAGGTACCTACAGTCTCCTGGCTCTGGGCATGCCATGCTCACCGACAACGAGGATGTGAATGTAAACGGAGTTCGATCATTCGCTGCTTCACGTCCTGGGCTTTGCATGCAGTATCTGGGGGCTCTCGAGCTATGCGTGGTTTTCTCAAAGGATAACATCACTACTAGTCACACAGCTCAAGTTGCACACGCATGCATGAGGTTATTGCTCTTTGTGACCTATATGCTTTTTCTTACGGCAATGGGTGCACGTGGTGGACCGCTAACCTGCATCATTCCTACAATATCATCCATCGTGGTCACCACGCGTCCGATACAGGAGACACGACAACCGCATGTAATAGAATGCGGTGCTTGATCGAGACAATGTCGTTTCCTCTCGGACCAAGGCAGAGCCATCAAGAGTACATACTGCGGCACTTGCATCTTGCAGCGATCAGGATGCACGGCTGATATGCTTAAGATTTAGCATTCCGTGCTTGTTTGTCGTCGGAACTGCTATCGATACCTAGCCGGGAAAGGATACATATCGATTGGCAGATTACAGATAGCTGGGACTCGGGAAATGAGACGGATCGTCCGTGAGCATACATCACAGGCCGGCCCTTGTCCAGACTAGGACACCTGAAACGCTTACATGACTTTGCTTATTCTGCTCTGCGGAATTGCGGCGTGTCCCTACGGTACGATGAACGACTATACAACGCCCTCTATCGCCAGAATCTAGACAGCTCAAACCAAACATGCGGTATCGGTGAGAAGTGCCAAGATTAGGCTCACCCGGCCGTTTCTCGCGTTGCAGATCATTGCATCTAGCCTTGCAAGCATCTTTTAGATGTGTAGCCCAGCAGAAGTCTACAAGGGTAGGAGAGGCTGGAAAAATCGCACGGTGGCATGTCGAAGCGCGTCTACTACAGTCGTAATAGTCAGTCAACACATCTAATTCTGCGCCCCGCCACATCTACTGCTTCTCCATTGCCTCTTTCGACTAATTACTATTCCAGCGCCTTGCTTCTCTCCTGGTTATGGTCCACTACTGTCTAATTAGCTGGGCTGTGGGGCCTTTCCCAATTGCTCTACAAAATGGCCGCCACGTTCCAAGCTTTCCACTTCGTACTCTGCACTCGCCACCACCATCGGTGCATCGCCCATTACTCACTGCGTTGGCTTGACAGCCGTTTGATCCCGCTGCTAGTGATGCCCACTACTCTTGTCTTGCCCACTACTCTTGTCTTGCCCACTACTCTTGTCTTGCCCACTACTCTTGTCTTGCCCACCAAGTCGCCCAAAGCTAGCTTTGCTTCTTGGTTCTGCATCCTCAATCTAGACTCGAAATGCTGTAATTCTCACTAGCCATTTAAATAATACCATCGTGTTTACGTGTGCTCGTCGAGTGTAAGGCATCGACGGTCTTGTGTGTGCTAGTACACGGTGGCTGAAGCACGAGCACGGTGCTAATAAGGTTGGGCCAACATCCCCAATTCGGCATCGTTCAGCTCCCTAGTGTGCTATAATCACGTGTTGTTGAATGCAGTTTGTTTCAACATATATTACATACACCACCACGCCCACGTCTTGCCCATACGGCCCTATTCATCCACTGCTAATCTATTTATGAATGAAAAGTTTCCTTAGAGCTCGCCTCTACTCGGCTACATCTCGTACGAGCTGGCCCACATCGCTCTTCTAGTGCCGGTGAAAAGTTCCCAGTCTAAATAAGTAATTCACGCGCCGGGTCAAATGAGCTTTCTTCAATCTGGGCTCCCGAGAACCCTGCTAATTTGCGGTGCTTCTCCGGCCCGGGGCTGCACACACAGACTCATCCGCGATACATGTCAGAAACTTGGAACATGTCTTCACCTCGTATACAGCCTTCGGAGCCTCGTCTTCGCTCTCACCTCAGCTGAAGTGCAGGGACAAAGAAGTTCAACATGGCAGCATTGACAGGCGATTCCACCGTTCATCTCCGTGAAGGTGGGCATTACTGCATGAAACGGTCCGTCTGATCCTTGAACCTGGTATGGCTTGTTTAGACCTGACGAATCGACGAAACTGAACTTTAATTTGTGTACCGTATAAGTAATATATCAGGCTTACAGTCGTGCTATGACATGTAGACTTACTAGACCAATACTAAAGATAGATCATGCGTCCTACTCAGATTGGCTAACAACCTACTGGATATAGTTTAACAGCTGCGAGGCTGCTTAGCGTGGACCAGACCCGTGGATGCAGTGGAAGTATTATTGGTTTTTAAGCACCATTGCTACATGTACTAAACATGTTTGTTACAGGATACTAAAGTGCCCCTAAAAACTATGCATTCATTGCGTCCCAACTGCTATAACACGAGGGATTAAGCCCTAGAATGGGTAAAGTAGCCTGACAATGACCTACAAGCCTTGAAAAGCAATTGTCTTGTCCATACTTGCTGCTCGACTCGACCAGAAACACGTTCTCCAGTCACCTGTGTCAAACACTATACCTGAATGTGCAATGTGCCTCACGAACCACATTAGGCGGTCCGCGTCGCGCGCCACAGCCAGTGACAGATGGCACCGGTCGTCGATTCAGCATCATATGCCTGATGCGGAAAGTCGTCCTTGGACTATTTGTTCCCATTACTTACAAAGGAACCTGCTGTGCCGCAATCACCTATCCCACGCGAAAGTCAAGCCTGCACGTGTGGTAGTGTTCCTTCGCGTCTTCCGCATTGTACTAGCCCAGAAGAATCTATATTCTAGAACGTCGGCCTGTCGGCGCTTTGGGTATCGACAATTGCTTTCAGCAATCGGTAGACGCCATTTGTTTGCGGGACTATTCCCCATCCTGCAATCTGATAGTTCGCATCCAGCGTTTGGTCGTTCATTCGCGCCCCCTTACTTCCGACTAGTAGGGCTCTAGTCTGAGGGATGGAGGTTTCCTTTGAACCCGACCAGACCAGTCAACTGTATAACACACTCTGCCCAACTCGGGTTGCTCTCCGTGCTAGTACCGGTTTTGACAAGCATTCTCGGATTTCCCCAAGGGTACGCGCCGCGACGATCTCTTGTCGCTGTTGCATTAGCCTTCAGCGCTTTCATCTTCTACGGAGCAGGCATGCGGTCGAGCCAGCCACAGCGGCGCAGAAACCCTGCTATATACCATCCCATACCGTACTATGTGTACACACACCCTGGTACAAGAACTTGTCCTTCTCGTGCGATTCTGATGACACGATCGACCGGTGCAAGAGTTGCTTGATCGGCACAACTACCCACGCAAGGCTCAGATGCCTACCCTACGTATCGTGATCGTCTGCTACTGCAGCCATTATCGCTGTCCCGTCGGCGCTGTTGTGGCCGATCATCGAACGTTCCGAACACGGCGTTGTTACCCTTTTTGCCTTTGGCTCATACATATACACCTGCATCATACAGCCGCCGTGTTGGCAATGGAGGCGGGTATCTGCACGACGTTGCATCGGTGCTTTTTCTTTTGATGCCAACGCAGTCCTTACAGACCGATAGAAACGTGCCGGTACTCCTTGTCTGTTGAACATCTTGATCAGACGGCGTTCCGCTGCTCGCCATGAGCTGCCTGCGAATTCTAGTTTCCTTGCTGATCACCGACCCGCCCACCCATCATGACCACCGTGAGACTTCAAGCTCAAACAGGAAGGAATAGCCTAGCTTCCAAATGGTCAGCCGTACAACGGCTATCGCGGCTCGTGATATACAGAGAGACACTCATGTTATGATGCCTTAATCACGGTCTTCTGTGGTTTGATTTTATGTCCATCGAATCTAGAAATCAACCACAGCGATTGTGTTCAATGTTGAAGTGTGTGCCCGATGTGTGTTGAACTATCGCCCTGGAATAAGGAAACCGTACCATCTTCGTGATAGTTGCTGAGCAAAGATAGGGCTTTTGCCCAACAATTGCCAAACGGCAACCAATCTTCCAGGCGCGACCATGATGCATGCATGTCAATTACTGATGTATCCCAAGTGCGTCACACCCTGAGCCTCTCACAGACACTGAAGCATACGACGATCCATCCAGTTCCTTTTACAATTTCACTCCCGAGCAGCATGCCATTTAATCCCCACGGATACCTGAATGACCGTATATCCACGGTCTCCCTACAATTGAGCACCTACTATCTCGATCTCGTTGAAAGCAATATTACGACTCTGTGTTTGGGCTTTCAATATAGACTGTGTGACTAATAGGTCAGGCTGAGGTACGTTGGCTTAGATTATTACGTGGGAGCTATCAGGGAGATTCTGGTAGGTGTTGAATGAGGATATACCTGAGCTTTAACACATTATGTTTGATAGTGTTGTATGACTTGTGTGGAGGGAAAGGCCAATCGTGCGGAGCTCTACATAGTACAGCTGTGTTGTTCGTGAAATGTAAGGAATGGAAAGCATGGGCATGTGCTGTCACTCTTTTCGTTTCTTGTCATGCTCTTTCGACGTATCGACATACCATCTCGAGACATACCCTCGCAGACACATAAGCACACACATAGCTACTATTCCTTATCCCTGACACAGAATCCCATGTCCAGTAGGCAGTGTCAAGGAAATGCTCAAGCACACAGCACGATGTTTAGACACGAATCAAACTGCGCCTTCTCACACTCTCTATCCCACGGCAAGGCGTGAGACATTCCGATCAAGACAGACTTAGACATATACCGAATAGAAACGCTAGGTAGGACACGACTTCTGGAATATGAGAATGCTGTGGAACTAGGCAGCAAGAATAGAGATTGGTCCGGATTCTCCGGAAGATTCATGGTTCTGCATTGGCTGAGATGTCCTTCATTACAGTCTGTCAATGACGGAGGCTTTTGAAATCATGCAAATGCCAGCCGGTTGAGCCGAGTATTAGTTGATACTATGTATTAATTATCGACTACTGGGATACGCACCGGAGCATCGGCGATGGGTTGATGCTGTGTCAATCGATATCAGATCTAGAAATAAAGATTGAGTGCCGTCTTTGAGGCTGTCATTCCGTGAGCAGTATACTGAATAGCTTCTTCCTTGGCTCACTGTCGATATATACCGTGAAGCAAGTTGATGTTGCCTCTCATCCTGGCTTGCTCGTAAATCGTATCCCAGTAGACAGTAGCATATGCCGCGTCTTCGAAGAAGTGATCACCATAAGAGCTATCATCACCTTCCGTAAACGATTCCTTAATCAACAGAAAACTTTGAGGTGGAGTCGATGTGACCGGCTCAGTTTCAAGATTTTCCGTCCCCGAGAACGCATGACACGAGATTAGACATCGTTGCGAGCGACCCGATGCAGGTCGACTTTACGACAGCCTGATTATTCAGAGCATTCCTCTATCCTCGGAAGGACCCGACACAACCTCCACGTTTTGACACATTGTCGACACAGTCGCGGTCAGGGGTCAAGACATGCCGTCAAGAAATTAATCCCACGCCAAGAACGGAAGCTTACAACAAAGCAGTTTCTACACAGATAGCCAGATGACTCTGCGTCCGTTTACTGGACACATCCACCATACTGGTTCCCCGCGGGTGTAATGCTGGTTGCTGTGATGTGGCATGCCGGCAGGACTTTTCCTCTAGACTCCTGCAACTCCTACAACGCAATCACTCGAGCCATCTCTGCGCCAATCGAAGGACTTATGCAATATGCCACACGAGAATACGAAACGATAGCGCTTAGGTACATGAGCCTGAGGGAGTAATATATCAAGAACGAAATGACTGCCAATGAGACGTTCTACCGATGTGCTACGTGGATTTTGACAAAGTCCTTTCCCTGGTCCAGACTGAAATATAGCCAGAATTTCTTCCGCCAGTACCGTAGAGTCTGCCCGGAGTATGGGGTTGTATGATGATGGGGACTGATCAGACTGGTTGATGAGTTATGTCGCAGCCTCACGTCAGCGCGTGCCCACAGATCTTTAAGGATACCAGGGTTACTCGAGTCGTGGCATCGAAAAATGGCGTGAGTTGCTCGGGGGGGGGGCTTTGTGATGGGATTTCGGGATTCGTGATACGTGCATGGAGACCTGGACGTGCAGAAGTGGCAATGGAAGCGAAGAGCAAAACTTGGCCAGTCAAAGAATGAACATAAATCTCAGCGTTATAGTGGCGAACAAAGGTTGGGAAGGAGGTGTTGTAAGGACTAAGGTCGAGAACACAAGACATCAGTGCGATTGACAGAATATACACATATGCCTGGATTGGTCTCTGGTAGAGCATATTGTGCCTATACGTGGGCAAACGATGGCAGGTGATAGCTATGTAGAGTACAAATCGACGAGGTCCGTCGTCGGGTCAGCCCGCCTTTTCGTTTTCATGCTTATAAAATTACAAGCGCCGACGCTATGTTAGACCTTTTCCTACCTACCCCAGTGACGAAAGTTCGACCTCAAATGACATCGGAGCCTAGCTGTCAGCTAGGTACAATTGATTCAATTTGGCTAGTGGTTAACACTGCTCACCTCATTCGTAGTCGTCTAGTCCGGCATCGAGCTGGTCTTCCTCCTGCTTCTTTGCCTGCGTAGGATCATGAGTCCAGATGGTTTGGACTTCGGTCATGTCCGCTGCCTTCGCCAAGTTCCACATGTTCTCCATCTTGAACTTCGACAACTGATCCTTGGCCTCTTGCTCAGTTTCACAGGCTCTCATGCCTCGCCACTGCCTGAACGAACGCTCCTTGACTTCACCCTCCCAGACCAGGATGCACTTGTTCTCCGAATTGTCCTTCAGATCGCCATTCTCGTCATATTGTGACATGAAGGCATGCTTAGATTCTGGCGGGCCTTCCTCTGCCTCATCCTCTTCCTCATCTTCGCCTGAGTTCTTCTTTGGGCGACTGAAATTCTCGTGCCATTTGATACGACGTTGCATGAGCTTGCGATATAGCTGAAGGGCACGCTGGCCACCCTCGACGATGACTATGTTCATGTTGGGTGTCATGATGCCAATTCCAGTGAGCGCCTGCTGCTTAGCGTTCTGGTCTATCTGATAGCGATGTTTGCCGTAGCTGAGATTCCCGATGCGGTACAAAGCGACATGAATACCCTTGGCAGCATCTCCGAGCTGCCGCTTGACCAGTTTCTCGCCTCGCTCCTCCTTTGTGAGAGCTCTGTCAGCGTTGGCCGCTTCGTGCTTAGCGAGACGTTCTTCAATTTCGCGGTTCACACGAGCTTCGACAGCTGTTGGATCTTGAACCGCCTGGTTGCCGAGAACACGCATAAGATTGGACTTCTTCACCTTTGGTGGTGGTGGCTCGACCAACCCGAGTCGGATCTTCGCTTGTTCGTCCTTAAGGTCGGCCTTACGGCGAGTGCGGCGATTCTTGGCCATTTCCTTCTTTGTGAGATATAGTGGTTTTGGAGGAGGGGCATTCTTTTCCTGTGGCGGCTGAATTGGTACAGGGTGCAGAACGTATATAGTGATAAGACTGTCGTCTCCATCAAGCTTCAGCTTGCCAGGCGCATCCAGATTTGTGTAGTCTGTGCCATTCACGAAGGATTCGTCCCACCATTCGATCTCTGGAGGTTCTTCAATGACAAATGCTCTCTCCGGACCTAATTGCTCCTGTGCCTTCTCTACGCCTTGCAACAAGCCACGCATTTCTTCCAGCTGCTTCCTGCGTCGCTCTTTCGCAGCTTCCTCAATGAACTTTCCGTGGGGATTGAAGATCAAAGCACGAGCTGGGCGAGAACGAGCTCCCTCGGTCTCAGCATCGACATCTTTAGACAGGTAAGGATTGTCCTTTGCTTCCACGTCCTCTGACATAGGACGCCTCGGAGAAGGTTCGCGTCGGCGACTCGTCTTCGATCTTTCCACTTCCTTCAATGGTTCCGCCTTTGTCTCCGGTGAATCCTGCAGGGCCGGGTGCAGTCCTATACCTAGTCCTCCTCCGATCCTTTCTCTATACTGCGCAATGGTTTCATCTTGTCTTCTTTTTGTCAAGTTCTCGCTTGGCTGGTTCGCCAGCTCCAGCGCCTTACGTTTCCTCAAAGCCTCAGCTTTAGCTCTTGCTAGCTCGCCTGGAGTAGGTTTTGGCGTCTCATGAGCGTTGGATGCAGCAGACGAGGTGCGTTGGCTAAACGCCGCAGCTTTAGCTCTCGCGATCTCGATGGGCGACTGCACTGGTGGCCCACTTGGAGGCGGTCGTTGCTTTGATCCATGCCTTGCTGCAACTTGCGCTGCCCTTGCTCTGGCCTCTGCTATTTTCGCGGTCAAGTCCATTTTCGGAGCACCATTTGGGGCAGGCGATGCGTTGTTTGAGCGTGGTCGTTTGTTGTCGTTCTCCAACCCGCTCCCATCGTCGAGATGTCGCTTCTCAGGCATTATGGTCACCGTGCCCGATGTCTGGACGAATGTCTGGGACTGGAATCGATGCGATGATGCAGTCGAGTCGAGCCTGGACTGAGTGAAAGGTTGTCTGTAGCAGTTCGACGTGACGTGACGTGCTTACCTGAACCTAATTAGTACCGCCTTTTCGTTAGCTCGACCCACCAAAATTCTGCCATGGTCCGAGCTCAACTTTTTTGCCATCCGGGATAGTCAATTCTGAGCTTTGCGCCAAAGACGTTGCAGAAGTAACTGACGTAGAACAATTCCCTCGCTCGAGCTTCACCAATATTGACAAGCCTACCTCGGTGGTAGCCAGTGGGGGCAATGAATATTTCGCAACCTGTTTCGTCCACCATCGAGGATGTGAGCTTTGGGTTCCTCCCGGCGGAAGAGATACGGCAACTCTCTGTAAAGAGATTGACGAACCCACTTTCGATAGATCCTATTCTGTTGAACTGGGTCCCTGGAGGCTTGCTGGATCCTGCTCTTGGGGCGTGGGAGGATAACAGGTTTGTCTAAAATGGGCCCAGAAGTGACTACGGTATGAGGTCGTTCTAACACGAGGCACAATAGATGTACAACATGTAATCAAGACAGATTCAGTTGTCAAGGACACTGTGGTCATATAGAGCTGCCTGTCCATTTGTACCATCCGCTTCTCATGGACCAGATACTGAAGCTGCTCCGAGCGAAATGTATCTTCTGCCACCACTTCCGACTGTCGCCCGATACTATCGATTACTACCGGTCGGTCTTGTTACTACTTCGCCACGGTCTCTTGAATGAAATTGGAGAAATGGAACAGCTAGGGCTAGGGCGAACAAGGAAAGGTGAACAGAAAGATAACGCCAGCGACGACGAGGATGAGAGCACGAATTCCGAAGAGAGAATCAGGTTCATCAACAAAGCAATTAAACGCTCAAGGAGTGCGAATAAGCAGTCTGGACAGTGCGAACAGATCTCTACTACGATTGCTTCTGCGCGCAAAGCTGCACTACGGGATTTGTTCCAAGATCTTGGGAAAGCCACAAAATGCGCGCGTGAGGATTGTAAAGGTGTTTCGCCAAAGTTTCGAAAGGATCGATATACAAAGATATTCAAGATGCCGTTCAGCGAAAAGCAGAAAAAACAGAATGACACTGTTACCAGGAAGATCGGCAACCCGGTCCTTCTCGTTCAACGACAAAAGGAAGCTCTTGAAAAGCATGCGAGGAAGATGGACGTCGACGAGGCTGTCGCTGATTTGGACTCGGCCCACAGCGAAGATGAAGAAGGAGAAGAAGATAGTGAGGACCTGCAGATGAACGATATGACTGGCGACATTATACAGGCGGAAGCGTCCATGACAACCGCCACAACACAACCAGGCACGCAAGAGAAGGAGACACAGCTATATATCAGCTCTGAAGAAGTCCGAGCAGCCCTGCAACTCCTCTTTGATCGCGAGCAGGACATATTGACCATGATATACACCCCTCATACTCATGCACGAGACCTTAAACGCCTCAGTCCGGACATCTTTTTCATCAAGACACTACTTATATCTCCAAACAAATATAGACCGACCGACAAGACTCCTGCTGGTGTATCGGAGCACCAACGTAACAAGATCTACAACAGCATACTAAAACTCAGTGAGCAAATGAGCACAGCGACGAAGCGTATCAATGATGCAAATGAGGAGCTTGCAATAAGGGCCTCATCAATGAATGAATTGCAGAGAACCTGGTTGCAGCTGCAAGAAGCGGTGAATTCACTCTCAGATAATACTAGAGGGGCGCCTTTGAATTCTGTTACTGCAAAACAAGCCGCGAACGGTATCAAGCAAGTGCTGGAAAAGAAGGCAGGACTGTTTCGAATGAACATGATGGGGAAGCGGGTGAACTATGCGGCGCGTAGTGTTATTTCGCCCGATCCCAACATCGAGACAAATGAGATAGGTGTGCCTCCGGTATTTGCTCAGAGGCTGACCTATCCGGAACCGGTTACCAATCATAACTTCTACGAACTGAAGCAAGCAGTCATTAATGGACCAAGGAAATGGCCTGGCGCTGTCGCTGTCGAGTCAGAGGATGGTGTCGTCACCAGCCTGCTGAGAAAGAATGACGAGGAACGACTGGCAGTCGCCAACCAGCTGTTAGCCCCGTCGAATACGAGTGCAATCGGCGCCAGGAATAAAAAGGTCCATCGGCATCTCAATAACGGAGATGTCGTGATAATGAACAGACAACCCACCTTGCACAAACCTTCGATGATGGCCCACCGTGCTAGGGTGCTTCCTGGCGAAAAAACCATTCGTATGCACTATTCAAATTGTAACACATATAATGCAGATTTCGATGGAGACGAGATGAACATGCATTTTCCACAGAACGAGATTGCACGAGCAGAAGCGCTTATGATTGCAGATACGGATCACCAGTATCTGTCTGGTACTGCAGGCGCACCTTTACGTGGTCTGATTCAAGATCATATCTCAATCAGTGTATGGTTATGTAATCGTGACACTCTATTCGACCGCGATCATTATCAGCAGCTCGTATATGCTGCACTCAGACCAGAGGACAACCATACCACAACAGGAGTCATTGAGACCGTGGCACCTGCCATATTCAAGCCAAGTCCACGTTGGACTGGTAAGCAGGTTATCACAACATTATTAAAGAACTTAAAACCAGCAAGTCACCCAGGACTTACCCTGAAATCGAAGTCTCAGACTAGCCCAAAGCTTTGGGGCCCGGGCTCCGAAGAAGGCGTCGTCATCTTTAAGGACGGAGAATTCCTCTGTGGTATCCTGGATAAGAGACAGATAGGCCCTAAGCACGGAGGTCTTGTCAGCGCTGTGTACGAGGCCTATGGGCACACCGCCGCCGGGAAGCTTCTCAGTTCTCTAGGCCGACTCCTTACAAAGCTTCTACATATGAATGCATTCTCTTGTGGTGTAGAAGATCTGATTCTTACACCGACCGGAGAAAGCAACCGGAGGGAGGCGCTCAGGGAGGCCGATGTAGTTGGCTTGAAAGCTGCTTCGGAATACGTGTCACTATCCGCCAAATCATGCAAGGAGCTCGATATAAGGCTTGAACGAGTTTTACGCGACGATGAGTTGCAACAGAAATTGGATTTGAAGGTCAACGGAACGACGAAAGACATGTCTGCCGCTGTAACGAACGCCTGTCTTCCTGTTGGACTCATCAAACCCTTTCCGAGAAACTTCATGCAAACCATGACCCAATCAGGTGCCAAAGGAAGTGATGTTAACGCGAAGCTCATCACCTGTAATCTTGGGCAACAGACTTTGGAAGGTCGTCGGGTTCCAGTCATGGTCAGCGGCAAAAGTTTGCCGTGTTTTAAGCCATACGAAACAAATGTCAGAGCTGGTGGATATATCGTCGACCGATTTTTGACCGGCATTCGTCCTCAAGAGTATTATTTTCACGCTATGGCTGGTCGCGAAGGTCTGATCGATACCGCTGTAAAGACGTCGCGCTCTGGGTACCTTCAACGCTGTCTCGTCAAAGGTATGGAGGGCTTGAAAGTCGAATACGATACCTCGGTTAGGGACACGGACGGTAGTCTTGTACAGGTTCTATACGGCGAAGATGGCCTCGACGTCGCTAAAGCAGCCTATTTAGAAGACTTCAAGTTCCAGGCTGATAACTTCTTGTCACTAGTTGAGTCTACGAACCTTCGTGAAGACTTCACAAAAGTACAAAGTGATGAAGCAATTGATGCAACCAAAGCTGCGCATAAGAAGTTCAAGAGATCCGGAGACCTCGGATCAAGCGATCCCGCACTATCGCAGTTTGCACCAGGCCGCCATTGCGGAAGCACTTCCGAGAGATTTTTCGAAGCGCGAAGGAAATATGTGGAATCAAATCCGGACAAATTAATCAAGAAGAAGAAAGCAGACATTGTTTGCCAGGTCACGAGACAGAATACGGTTACGAAGAAGAATTTCGAGAACGCTATGGACATGAAATACTTGAAGTCCGTAGTGGAACCTGGCGAGGCCGTGGGTATCGTCGCAGGACAGTCAATTGGAGAGCCTTCGACCCAGATGACTCTGAACACTTTCCATTTGGCAGGTCACTCTTCTAAGAACGTCACGCTCGGTATTCCTCGCCTTCGTGAGATTGTGATGACGGCCAGTGCAAAGATATCTACACCAGAAATGACCCTTCCCCTGAGAAACAACGTTTCGGAGGAGGAAGGACAGAAACTTGCGAAGTATTTGGATCGTCTACCCTTGTCTGCCATCATCGATACAGCCTCTGTCACTGAAAAGCTAGGCCAAGGCATCGGACATGGTGAGGCCAGGATGTATGAGATCTCACTGCATTTCTATCCGTCAAAAGAATACTGTGAAGAATACAATATCAAGGTTGCAGACGTCATGAACGCTATTAAGGATAAACTCATACCCGGGCTTCAGAAGCGCGTTCGAATCGAGGCCAAAAGGAAGGCTAAAGAGCGCTCCTTGAGTAATGCCAAAGACTCAGATGCCCTACCTGACATAGGTGCTTCTGCTGGGCGCGTTGAAGAGGCACGACAGACTCGAAGACGAGGTGACAACGATGACAGCGATGTCGAAGACGAAGACGACGATGCAGACGCTGCAAAAGCACGGCAAAACAAAGACGACGAGGATGATTATGACGCTCCGGATCAAGATGAGGAGGAGATGGCAAACGAAGAGCGAGAAGAGCGAGAAGCCACACCAGAGGATGAGGCCTATGGTAGCGCCCGTGAGGGCTCGGTGGAGTCAGAAGCCGGGTCAGATTCCAGTCCAAGCGACGACGAAGGCGATAATGATTCCGACACCTCAATGACGGATGCGCCCTCGGCAACACCAAACCTCGCGGACTTTGAAGACACCATCAAAGCTTACAACGCCGACGTCACCGCCGTCAAATTCCGCCCAAACTCCTTGAAATTCACACTCGAATACTCCGCCACTGCCCCCAAAACCCTCATGCTCAACCACGTCGAGCAAGTCTGCTCCTCCGTCTACATCCGCAATACCTCCGGCATCGCCTCGTGCGTCTATATGCTCGTGGACACGCCAGATCCCAATAACCCAGGCCAAAAAATCAAAATCCCCATACTGTCCACCGAGGGCGAGAACATCCCAGCAATGTGGCCGTACGAGGTGTCCTCAGTCATCGACGAATCGCGTATCTCCACGAACAACATCCAATCTGTGCTGAAATACTACGGTGTCGAAGCGTGCCGCGCGAGCATAGTCCGCGAGATGAATGCCGTCTTTGGCGGCCACGGTATCGATGTCGATAACAGGCATCTGAACTTGATTGCAGATACCATGACGCGAGAGGGCGGATTCAAGGCGTTTAATCGTATGAGCATGGCGAGCAACTCGAGCCCGTTTGCGAAGATGAGCTTCGAGACGAGTGTCAACTTTTTGATCGATGCGGTGTTGAATCAGGATGGTGATGCGCTAAAAGGACCGAGTGGAAGGATTGTTGTTGGGCGCGTGGGCAAGGTCGGAACAGGAGGTATTGATGTCCTTGCACCTGTGGAGTAGCTCGTCTATCGGAAAGAGAGCAGTTGGTGTATATTGTATACCCAGCTAGGCGTTCCTTGTTATGAACATTATTGGCTTTGGCGTCTAGTATCGGAAGTCAATGTTGTATATGATTTTTCAAAATTATGCATGTTGTAGAGCATTAAATTCAGGTCTTTTGGCACGGGAACATGGATGTGCACGCGTACAGTATAAGAACCAAGGCCATTGAAGAGTCTCAACTCATCGGCTAAAGTATAAAATGTGCATCCCGGAACAATCCTCGACTATCATAATCAGACTCCAATGTCGCCAAACCAGTAGTCAACCGTGGACGCTCCCAACCTCATAACGCTACCAAGTAGAAACAAAGGAACTCCGTCTCTAGGACTGGACTCTTTCCCAATCCAACCAACAGAATACGTGAATACACTTGCCAACCACTTCATCCATACATGTCTTCTACTCAATTTCCACTCAATGTGCTTTCCTCCTCAGCCTGTCGACGAAAGTAGTCTGCCTCGCTCTCGGATCCCGCATTCGCAGTAGGCAACTCTGTGCCTAGTCCACTATCGCTATCATAAATGAATCTTTTAGAGCGAGGAGATCCTCCGACAGTATCGAAATTCGGCTTGCTCGGGGAGGGCAAGTCACCCAGGACATCCTTGGCTTCTACTTCCTCGGAGCTTGGAGTAACAACAGGACTGCCTTTCGGGGAAGCCGGACGGCTTGTGTGATCTACCTCCTCGTCTTCGGGATCACCATCTTCAGATGCCGACCTAAAGCTTGCCTGGTCCTCGTCTTCCTCATCGATCACCGTATCGGCCCCAAGTGTGGATCGCATGGTCGAGCCGTAACTGGTGCTGCGGTACGTACCAGACGAGCTGCCTGATGCATACGAGCTGCCATATGTGTGTTCACTGCCGTTGGTCTCGTAACTCAGGCGACGATCAGATTCTGCGCCAGGTGTGATTCCTTCCATGTGAGAATCATAACTATGACGACGCTCCGTTCCAGCGTCGCTACAAAGGTCGTCCTGGTCTAACTCGTGGGGGGACGCAAGAGTCAATTCATGAGCTTCCGATACATCATGATCCCCCTGCGTATCGACGCTCAGATCGTGATAGCTATGCTCTGACTCTTCCTTTAGAGAACCATTTTCTTTGTTCGCCACATCTGATACGGCGCGCTTGCCGGCCCAAGGGGCTTTACCTCCATATTGGTGCTTAACCGACTGACTGCGCTTTATGTTGTTGAAAGATGTTTGTGGAGATGCGGCATAGGCTTGCGCTCCCGTGGGCACATTACCGGTTATCTGACTAAGGGAAAGTATGCGACGTGCGGCTTGCTGAGGAGCGTTCCTGCGGATGTTAGGACGCTTGGAGTTCAATGCGAAATGAAGTCCGTTTGCAGCAGCACTCGGGGGTGGAAGGCTCGATAGGGTGCTGTGAGAAGCATTGCTCACAGTACGCTGTGGCTTCTGAACTCGCTCGGGTTGAGATTTTGCAGACTTGGCGAACAACATCGCACGAGAATGGTCCATTATGCCCTCTAGAATTCTGCGCTCCAATGCATCAGCCTTGGCATCCATTGACTGTAGCTCTTCACGGCGGATGTTGAGTGCGGTTTGGAAAGCAGCAACATCTGCATTAAGGCGATATTTCTCGGCAGCTAGAGCATCACGCTCAGCCTTGAGCGCCTCAACAGACGATCGCAAAGATTCCTTATCTTCCCGGAGCTCGAGAACATCGGACTCGAGCTGTTCCTTCTGGACCAGGCGACGCTCAATGGCGATCGCGAGTTCTTCGGCTTCCTTCTCTCTGCTTTCATGGCCTTCAGTTATCAATTTCGTCTGGTTGCATACGAAATTAGTGACTTCTGCGGCCGTAGCCATGACTTGAGAATGGATTTGATCAAGCCTTTCAAGTTGCGCTGCTGACTCCCCAGTATCGTTGGCGTGTCCAAGCAAAGTGTCCAACTTCTCATGAAGCTGGGCATCATCATACTGTTCCACATGGATTGGGTCAGCGGGCGGGGGCGGCAGAAGCGCGGGAAGAGCTGTGAAACTGTTCTTTAACTCCTCTGCGTTCGCTCGGGCAGCTTCGGTCGCCTCTTTGATCTGCTCTTGCGCACTCTGCCCAGCCTTCTGGGAGTGTTCATAGTGTTGATTGACGAGAGCCAAAACCTCCTGAAGCGTGACCATAAACTTCGGGTGGTGCTCCGTTATCTCATTCTGCATATCATGAACAGCATGAAGAGTTTCGACCACTTTGCTACGAGTCTCCTCATGATCTGCTCGGCCGTCTGTCGGAAGGTCGTTGAGCTTTGAGGCCATCTCATCTACTTTGCTAAATACTGTCTGAGAGTCTTGGGATGCTTTCTCGGAAACCTCGGTAAATGTTGTTTGAAAGGAGGTCAAAGCTGTGCCGAGAGTTGCGATTGTCAGATTCAAGTCCTCAGTCATTGCTTTGGCTCCCGAGAGTAATTCCTCTTGACTGGTAGCTTTCTCCTCGAGTAGCTTGACTGATGCCTCGGCTAAGATCGTAGTATCATCGTATTTCGCCATGATGGAGTCAAACCTCTCGTCGAGCTTTTTCGAGACTTCTTCAACGACAGCATCGCGGATCTCGTGATTCTTTTCCAGTGTAGTAGCGAGCTTCTCGTCTTGGTCGATCTTCAAGCCATCAGCAGCGCCTTGTAGCCTCTCAAACTCTCTGTTGACAGTTTCGACGAGTTCTTTGACGTCAGCATTGATACTGAAGTTGGTTGCGATGGTTTCCTCGAGACTCTTCACATTCTCTTTGACGCCTTCCATTCCTAAACCCTCTTCCAGCTTCTTATACAGCTCTTCCTTGAATTCCTCCATTGCGGATTTGACATTCCCGATCTTCTCGACCATCACCTCGGCTTCAGTTTTTCGATCATCAAATGCCTTTGCGGTGATAGCAATATCCATTTCGTAGCTTTCCTTCATTTTGTCGTGACTTTCACGGAAATCATGAAGCAGACCTCTGAGTTGGTCTACATCGGCCTTTGCGGGAAGAGAATCGCTGTCAGGGATCTTGAGCTCTTCGATCTTGTTCTTCGTCTCGGTACACAGGACGCCTAAGACGTCAAGATCGGCTTTTGTCATCATTTCCGATTCCTTAGTGGTGAATATGTCCTTGAATTCTCCCAATGAAGTTTTGATGTCACCAGCCAAGACCTCAACCACAGCAACATCAGCTTTGGAAGCACCTGACTCTTCAGACTTGGCGACCAATGCTTCCAAAGCAGCTTTGATGTCACCAGCGAGGACCTCGACCACGGCAACGTCAGCCTTTGAAGCACCTGACTCCTCAGACTTGGCGGCAAGGCCATCCACGGCATCGTTGACAACCTTCAGGCCGGCTTCAATGATATCAAGATGCTCCTTCGAGGCTAGAGTAGTAAGATCAGGAAACTCTAGGTCGTCTAATTTGGCCTTGGTGTTCCTCAGAAGAGTCTCAATAGCTTCGGTGTCTTCTTTTCCTTCGCTGTCCCGTGATGCGATGACCGAGACGGTAGCTTGGAGCTCCTTGAGCATTGCTTCGATCGATGCAATGTCTTCTTTGAGCACTGGATCTTCTGTTACTTCATTTGGAGGAGCTGGTATTGGATTTTGTATATTCGCATCCATTGCTTCCACTTTGATCTGGATCTGTGCTAGGGCAACCTCTATTTTCTCGAAATCCTGGCGGTGAAACACTTCGGCAGAGGGTATCGAATCTTGTGCATCGCGCGCCACAGGCGCATCTGGATCATCTGCAAGCACAACTTCGCGGCTGATGATAGCAGATTCCCCGCCTGTCATATCCACACCTTTAAGTTGATTCATATCTTCGCGGAGGCGACTGAGGCCATCTTTGAGTGTCTCCAAGATCTCATACGAGACTGTCATATCGACAGGCTTGTCCACAATTTTGGTAACATCTGCGCGGAGAGAGTCTAGTCCATCGTTAAGTACGTCCAAGAGCTCGTTGGTAGCGGACATGTGGCGTTCAGGATTATCAATCTTTTTCTCTAGGTGTGAGCGTAGATCGTCCAGGCCTAAGCGGACAGCATCCAGTACTTCTTCCGTGTCCGCTCCCGAACTTCGGAGAGTGATGCCTTGAGAGATCATTTGTCGGAGACTGTCGAGATCGGCACGCAAAGTTTCTTGTGCTTCGTTGTCAGTCCCTCTGGAGAGATCCAGACCCTCTAGACCTGTCCTGATGGCATCTAAAATCTCCTCCTTGCCGGCACTTGGCTGTCCCATAACCATGCTAGAAGTGATACTATCCTGAAGGGATTTTATCTCTTCGTGGATCTCTGTCAGCTTCTCGGTGGTCAACCCTTGTTCGGAGTCTTGCATCTTCGATTGTATGCCTTCAGTGGATTCGCGGATCGCGTCGAGGATATCGTCCTTCGCCATAGCGGCGCTAGAGTTAATCAAGGTCGCTGCGAGTGTTTCCCGTAGATGATCGAATTCTTCCTTCATGTATGCAATCAGGTCCTCGCTTGACTGCGAAGAAGGTTCTGAACGAGAAACGATGCTGCCGGACTCCTCTTTGAGTATACTTAGAATTTCGTCCTTGTTAGACGCATGTGTTTCGGCGAGAGATTCTTGGAGCCGCTCGAATTCACTCATAAGCATCTGCTTCACGTCCTGGCCGTCTTCCTCTTCAAGTGCTTGTACACCAGCCTTGAGTTCAGAAAGACATGATTTGAGCATCGAGGCCATTTCATCCTTGTCCAACCCTGGAGCCCCGTTGGGACCGATCGTCTCGTGTAGATGCTCGAACTCAGACTTGATGTAGGCGAGAATATCTGCCTTGCTCATGCTAGGGCCCTCTTGCGCTGAATTCAATACAGATTGTTCATATTCACCTCTGAGAGATTCGAAGCCATTGCGAATAGTTTCAATGATTTCGTCCTTGCCCGTGACGTCCTGGGCTTTGTCGACGTAGCTCTCGATTTCGGTGCGAAGAGTCTCGAGACCATCCTTCATGGCGTCCAGAACTTGCTCAGTGTCTCGTCCATTGGCAGATGAATATGACTTGAACTCGGACCGCATATCAGTCAGGATATCATGTAATCTATCCAGAACTTGAGCCCCAATTGGGGTGCGAGAGCCCTCGAGACCAGCTCGGACTGCATCGAAAAGATCATCACGGTTGATTTCCAGCTCCCGGGGATTAGAAGCCTCACGATCATTAAGGCTTGGTTTGAATTCATCAAGACAATCCCGGAACGCGGCCATCATTTCTTGACGTACTTCATCTGCTTCAGTAGTTGGTCGTGGGGGATTAAAATTCATCAATGCTTCTTGTACAGTCTCCATGAGTTCTTCCCGTTCTATGCCGCGAGGTGGCTGCTCGGCCGATTGTCGATACTCTTCGAGTCCTTCTTTTAAGCATTGAAGAATCTCCTCGCGCTCCAGCCCGAATTGTTGTAGCTCAATCTCGGGTTTGTAGGCTTCATAGGCTTCTTTCACAGCTTCCAGGATTGACTCCTTATCAATACCTTGTTGCTGAGCCTGCGCGGAGACTTGATCAAGACCACGCTCGGCCAAGGCATGCTTGACGACATCGTAGACCTCCTGGTTGTTAACAGTACTTCGAGACATGACTGTCGATGATGATTGGCGCCTCTTTTCACGAATGACACGATCCATTTGATCTCTCAGTTCCTGGAGGCTGTCACGTACGATTTGGCCAACATCTTCTTTGCTGTCAACGACGGTTCGATCTGACGTCGTCTCGCTGTCTTCCAATTTGCGGCCAATTTCTCTACCCATGCCGAGAACCTCACTTCGGAGATCACGTACAAGAGCCTTGACCTCTGAAGTCATGCCGCCCGATTCTGAAACGCTATCTTTGATCCTTCGTAGCAGCTTGAGCATCTCCTCGCTCACGAAATCCGCGGCCTTCGGGCTTGTGTATGGCTTGGTGAGGTGAGCGAGGTGTGGCATCTGGAAGTTTTTGGAGGCTATCGACCCGGTTCCATCAAGATCAACAGCTGAGACTGGACCGTTGCTATCAGCGCTGCTAGGGTGTCGAATAAGCGCCTGGCTTTGTGGTCCTGTCTTGATGAACTCCACTAGTTCCGTCACCTTTTTCGCAGTTTCGCCGGAATCTTCTCGTGCCTTCTCGAGGAGCTGTGAGAGATTTTTCAATAGCCTTTCTTGGCCTTCCTTAGTGACCATCTCCCTAATAATCTTCTCAAGCATAGCGACACTCGCAGCTCCTTCGACCGAATAAGGATTCGGGCTTCCGACGACATCTTCAAAGAAAGTGCCCGGCGAAGGTATTCTAGGCAAAGTGAAAGATTTTGGGACAGCTTGCGGAGTGGTGTGAGGGTCCCGAGCTGTCGTGAATGCATCGCTAGCAGCACTCCCCGACCGGGATAGAGAGCTCGTCATGCCTAGAAAGGCCGCTGGGGAGTTGTTCATGGTGCTGACGAGTTCCTTCAGGCTTTTTCGGATATCCTCGTCACGTGCCGAAGCTGCGTCTTTCAGACCCATGAGATCCACGGCATTGTCCTTGCTTCGCCGGCTAAGCTGCTCCATGTCATCCTTGAGCTTCTCCGCTATGGTTGTAAGGCTTCTGATCTGATGTGAAATGTCGTCAATCCCTGGTGGCTTTCGTGGACTTGATCCATTTGTGATGTCCGATAATGGCTTGTCGAAGTCCTTCAATTGCAAATTCTGCAACGCCAGCATAGTAGAAGAAGTTGGAGGTGTATTCTCGCCGAGTATAGCTCTAGGAGGAGGCCGGCTGCTGCCCCGGACGCTCGAAGCTTCTTTTGCAAAGTCTCTGATTGTTGGCGTGGGCGTCTCAATGCGTGAGGGACTCCTCTCTCCTGGACTACCCAAATAGTCTCGATCGATTTCACGGCCGAATAAAGGCGTTCCATTCCGCGTGCCTGGTCGTTCTGGTGAGCGTTCGGGTGTTCTGACGCCATCAAGGTGACTTCGGAGATCCTTCACATTTGGGGGCTGCAACGATTGCAGCCGCCTATGATGTGCGCCTTTGATCAAAGACCGTTCGGGAGACTTCTGTGGCATAGGGTTGACGGTATATGAGCTGGCTGGGGCACTCTCGCGTGCTTTCTCTTCAAAGGCTCTCGCAGCCGCTGCGATATTTGCAGACGTGTTTGGGCGAACTGACGGTGAATTGGGATTGGGATTTAACGGTAAAGGCGGTGGTGCGCGTTCTGGATCTGAGCTGTCCCACCTGGTACATAATCACGTCAGTCACTTGTGCGTCAAGCTATGAATGGCAGGGTGTTGTTGGGACATAGTGCCTACATTGGTATGCTCATGCGACTGCCATCTGATGAGAATGAGTATTGGTGCTTTACTACCATTTCACGCTCGCGTGAGGAGTCTCTGTCTACTGAAGACATCTTTAGAGTGGAATTTATTTCGGACGATATGTATATCGGTTGGTAAATAGCTGAGCCTCTGGTCGCAAAAGGCAGTAATTTAGCTCAAGCTAAACCATCTGCATAATGAGTAGCTAATCGCGATCGCAACGAAAGTGTAATATGGGGAGCAAATGCAAAATGCAATGTTGTAGCAGGATAACGTTGACGTGGGTATATAAAGAGGTCGCGTAGGGTAGAGCAGTATATTTTGTAGACCGTCGCCCAAGTTAAGCACAACAAGGGCCACTAGCGCGGTTGCCATAGATACGAGCGATGACGACGATCAACCCATTTTGCCTGCACCAAACCTATGGAATGGCGCTCGCGCGTGAAAGCCCCAGCGCTTATTTCGTGTCATGTTGAGATTGGTTCAAATTCATCTAGACAAGACTGAGCATGCATCTGCTTTGGGCGACTTCGTCCGAAAATAAGAACGTGAGAAATGGCCGCATGGGTGCCTCAGGTTCGCAATTCTTGACTTGGTACGACAAATGGGCCCAATGAGCATCAGCTCCATACGATACAACCAACCATTTCCTGAACTGTCTCAGACTCTGTAATTTAGCTGGAGATGATATCTCTCCTATGCATGAGCGGTACGGCACGGCTGTCAACCAAGAAGTTCGCGACACTAAACAATCAATAATAGTGGTGACAATAATGGACCTTTGTTAGGAACGCGTGCCAGGTGCCAGAAGCGCTAGTACGAGCTGCACTGCACCAATCACCGGTTCTGATGTGCTTATGTAACCTCCCAAAGCTCCCGATCACCTTCCAAGACATCCTCAGGCTGGTGGTGGGTGTTTCAACAGCTACGCCCGCCGCATCTCATCTTACAGCATTTACACACTTGCGTCAACTGTGCAATCTTGTCGACCTCCTCGAATCCCCCTGCAAACTCGAACAGTCCATCGGCACCAATGGCGCCCGCCCCAAGCGCCGTGGAAGACGCCAAACGCATCGAAGAAGCTCAGAAGCTGGCGAAGAATAGTCCCAGCAAAGCCGAACAGATCTACAAAGATGTCCTGTTGAAGGAACCTGGCTCTAGTGATGCGGCAGTGAAGAACTTTGAAGTTGCTCTGGTGGGACTTGGAGAACTATATCGAGATCAGAAGAAGGTGGACGAGCTAGCTGAGCTTGTGCGGACAACGAGATCAGCGCTCTCATCGTTTGCAAAGGCCAAAACTGCAAAGCTTGGTATGTTAGCTTCTTTGTACACTCAAAAGTATATATCACTAACTGTCTGCCCTCAGTGCGACAGCTCTTGGACTTCTTTACCGACATTCCGAATACTCTCGACATCCAGATTTCCGTCACGAAGTCTAGCATAGATTGGGCAATAGAAGAGCGAAGAGGTTTCCTGCGGCAAAATCTCGAAACTCGTCTCGTATCACTTCACATGCAGAAGCAGTCATACTATGACGCACTCACGCTCATCAACAGCCTTCTAAAAGAACTCAAGAGATTAGATGACAAGCTGGTCCTGGTGGAGGTACAGCTTCTCGAGTCGCGTGTCTACCATGCACTTGGCAATGTACCAAAAGGGCGGGCGGCGTTAACTTCAGCAAGAACATCGGCTGCATCTGTGTACACACCACCGCTGCTACAAGCCGGTTTGGACATGCAGAGTGGCATGCTGCATGCTGAAGATAAAGATTTCAACACTGCATTCTCTTACTTCATCGAAGCGATGGAAGGCTACCATTCTCAGGACGAAGCGCTGAAGGCGACATCTGCTTTACAGTACATGCTACTTTGCAAGATTATGCTCAATCTCGGCGACGACGTCAACAATCTCATGACTTCGAAGCACGCTATCAAATACGCGGGGAAGAATCTGGACGCCATGAAGGCAGTAGCACGTGCGCACACAAACAGGAGCTTGGAAGAATATGAGAGAGCGCTGATGGACTACCGTACAGAACTGGGCAGTGATCGATTCATCGCGAACCATCTGCGCAGACTGTATGACGCTATGCTGGAGCAAAATCTCATAAAGGTTATCGAGCCCTTCAGTCGGGTCGAGATTGAGCACATCGCAAAGATGGTAGGATTAGACACACATCAAGTGGAGCGCAAGCTGTCGCAGATGATCTTGGATAAGGTCATTGTCGGAGTCCTCGATCAAGGCGCCGGTTGCCTAATTGTCTACGATGAAGCAGAACGAGATCAAAGCTATGATGCTGCACTAGACACCATCGAAAAGCTTAGCAACGTGGTGGATGTGCTATACACTAATCAAGCGTCGTTACTGGAGTAGAGTAGTTCTACAGGGTTATTATAGCATTATGGAACGGACCTGTACCATAGTATAGATGGTGACCAAGCCAATACGGGAATAAAACTATCCGTCCATGGCAATCTGAACAGTGCTACCTAACTGTCCTTTTGTGATGGGCGACTGACGAAGCAGATTCAAAGTGTGAGAGACGGCCAGACTCCTAGAGGACGTCACGGTGCTGGATCAAAAGTTACTGACTAAGCCTCAACACTACGGACTTCCATCCCCACAGTCCGATCCATCCATTGCCCAACTCCAGCCACCTTGCAACACCATGCATATTGTCCTGTGGCCAATTCCTTGCTACCGGCAATGAGACTGTTCTGCCCTTATAACGATTCCCTAAAGCAGACTCAACTTCATAGCCAAACGTCCGCTCGGGTCATGCCATACATTGAAGGGCATGTTTCCGAATTATGGACTGGCTCTCACTTAGACGAACTGGCTTCTACTTAGATGGACTGAACGAGTAGTTGACATCACTCAACCAGTCTCATCTATCACGAACATTGACTGCCTTCTACTTTCCAAACGAACGTCTGAGAGCTGTCGCGGATAAGTGCAAATTTGGAGTAGACTGGATCCTCTTGAAGCGGAGAATAAGTACAACGGTGAACAACTGAAAGACATCAGTCGTTGGGCGCACTGACAATCTGGACAATTTCGTTACTGGCCACATGGTTGCCCGTTACGGGCGCTCGCGGATCCTTGGTATGCTCCGGACAATATGTTTGCGACCAGGCTCCATCTGCAAGATCCCGCCACTCCCAATTACTTCTTTCAGTAGAGTCTGTTATCTATGCCTTGCAGATCAGAAGAACCTTTGTTTGCCAATACCTCTCGTTTCACTCCGACCTACAATCAGGTTCGTTGGACCCCACGGAGATGCATTCACTTGAAGGCAATCCTGGTCTGGTCGTCAACACCCCGACCAGGCGCTTACTTTACTTGCGATCCGACAGATGAATGACCTGCCCAAGTCCAGACATGCCTTGTACATCTAACGGACATCGTACTCAAGACAAGCCGGGGAGTACCACCCAAATGGTTCAGCCTGCCATGTCCCATCAATTATCTCCGTCAGGCTAGCAAGCCCGTGTTCTCCACTCCTTGTGCATCATGTTGGCATAGCTTCTACATATTACACGCTACGTCGTCCACGAGCTCGTCTCTTCGAACAGAGATAATTCATCTGTCTGTTTGTTCGTTATTGTCAACTCCCATCATACTATACAATATGAGATCATGTCAAAGAGTGCTCGTTGTAGGAGCCGCCAGCTTCAGTGGGCTTCGAATTCTTGAACACTTTCTTGATGCAGGTCTGCCGGTACGCGCAATGGTTTCTTCGCCAGAGGAAGTTGAGATTGTGGAAAATGCCTTCCCCGCTTCTCAATACCGACTTTTGGATTCCGATATCAGGATAGGAATGGACCGGATGGCTTTAGAAGCTGCCTTGACTAGGACCATTACACCCTTCGACACTGTTGTCTATGCTCTATCGCCGACGTCAACACTCAACACAGCCGATACATATCGAAGTCTTATCAATGCAGCTACCGCATCGATCGCAGCCTTGCTGCTTACTGTGAAGGTGGCTGCTCCAAGAGTCACGAATGTCATAATCTCGACAACTACAAGCTTGGTTGGGAGCTGGATCCTCCACAATGAGCTTCCGAGCCAAGCTATCTTTGAAAAGCATCGAGACGGCGGAGATCCAACACATTTAGGCGAAGTCTGCTCCGATGACTACATATCAGCTTGCAACGCAGGGCTGGAGCTAATTGAAGAAGATCTGAGGGCGTTCATGGTCAGGCAAAAGCCTCATTTTTCTTTGACTACTCTCATAGCACCTTCAATATATGGACCTCATCTACAAACAATTGGACGTGGCAGTCTCGGAGACGATTGGCATGGTGCATCCAACTCCTGTGACGAATTAGCAGAAAGCAGCGCACAATACCTCGACGTCAGGGTGAGATTAATCTCTGCAGCCCGTTGAAGTTATTAAGCTAAATCATCACAGGATTTCGCGTCTGCTCACGTAAAGGCCGCTGTAATCCCCTCAGCACGAGGCGGTACTTTTACCTTGTGTACTGGCCAAGTAATTTCTTGTCGCCAGTCTATGGGGGAAGCAATCGCAGATATCTTGAAACGAACGAGACGGTGCAACGATAGGACATTCTCTAGATCGCACTCACTCGCGCACTCCAACGAGATCGTGACGAGCACATTAGCATTCCGTCCTCGGTATCGCAGTCAACCAAATGACCCAGTCCCGGAACCGCCGAAGTCGTCACACAAGCACCAGTTCCAACCCAAACACGATGCTTCCTCGCTGGGATATGCATGTCCGACTAATGCGCCAACCCCGGACTCCGGACGCGACCATAAAAACCACCAACATACCGCCGCCTTCACATCCTCGTCGCCATTAGAGTCACACTCAGACCCTGAAAGCACCTCGTTACCATCGCCCCAATTTAGACGACACAGGACTCGTGACTCTGGCATCGACCTCGCCCCGATATGGATTCCCAATGCTGATGTGTCCCCCATGACATTACCCATCGGTGTCTCGCATACAAAGTGCAGCATTGACAGTCCAGCCACCGCCTGCCCATGGCCAGACGCGGACCGAATACGGCAGCTGTCTTATCAAGATACCGAGCGGATGCAGGTGTCAGACGTTGACATGTCCGACGCATGCAGGCCGGCTCCGCTACTCCGTGCATATATGCCTGCCGATCGCGCAGCCAGCCCCACCGAGCGCGGATTCCGAGGAAATGCAGAATCAGCCTCGTCGGGCAGCGATGCCGCTGCCATTGCTGCGACGACCCATGTAGACTTTGACGTTGCAAAAATGAAAGAGCTCGTGGCAGAGAGAGCGGCGGATCTGTTGGGCGAGCCGGACGATGTCGAGATGTGGGACTCGTCGACTGCGGCGGATGTCCTTGGTATGGATGAGTATCGGAGTGTGGAAGAGACGCTCTTGCATGTTGCGATGCAGATGATGTAGGGTTTGGTTGGGTAGATTCGTGCCTTCTCTGCTTCGCTGTACATTTCTTCTTTCAACGTCTATACTTCAGTTCAGCCTATTGAAAGGTGCGAGAGTTGAACTCCCATCGTCATATAAGGATCGCTTCAGTTCATGTTTCTTGTTATATTCTGCATTTATGCCTCTCAAGATATCATCACATCTCACTCTACTACTCTCTTAATGGTCTCTACTACTACTTTCCTCTTGGTGTTGTTGTTCGTCTCCCTTGCATCGCCTCCCGCCGCTGATCATTTGTTTTTCGCAACTGCTACGCCAATTCCAGAGAAGCTGGCATCTTTCTGCGAACAAAACACATGCCCAACGCAAGCACAGCACACATGTGTCCCGGGCCGCCTTCTTCCTGGACCCTTTCGATCTAGCATGCTCTTCTTTGTCCCAGGGAACGGCGGTGCAAAATAGCAAAAGACCAAGCCCTCGATGGGAACCTGGGAAAACTCTGCCCGTTGTACAATGGGTTGGTTTATTTGAGGGCACAAGTGCCAAGAGGAGGGAGGAGGAGGAAGGAAGGAAGGAAGGAGGGAGGGAGGACGGGGAGGACGAGCGGGCACGTGTGCCAAGAGGAGGAGGAGGAGGAGGAGGGAGGGAGGGCTCGAAAGCAGAATCGAATAGCAGGAAGGAGGATCGAACCGGGTCCGCATCGGTGCTCGAGAGCAATCGTTCGATGAAATATGACAATCGTGCCAAGTTGCCTAGTGACGTTAGCGACGAAGGTATTATAATTAAGTTTATTATATACCCCAAGAGAAGGTATCTGATCGATCTTCTTGGGCGGCGCGAGGGGGATTCTGGTGGTTGAGATTCTGGTGGCAAGGGGCTTGTTCACTTGGCCACTGAAGAGATTTCGCGACCTGGCACAGCGGTGGTGGTGTTGTTGTTGTTGGATCTTGCGCGTCTGCAGCTGTTCAAGGTATAGCAAGCCCAGTCTGCCGGATTCGTTGTTCGTTTTCTCAGTATTTGCTCAGTTGCCATCTCCAGTGGTATCCTCACTGTTTCTCGAAACTCCATCTTCAGTCTCTCCCTTATCATACTTTTCTTGCCCTAGTCTCAGACTACTGGCCTAAAGGACCTCCGACACTTTCTACCGCGCGACCTGTGAGACCTCGACCTTCAGGGGAGAGCGAAGCCTCGTCAACGGTCAACGGAAGCTTGAACTGCATCTCCGTCGAAGAAGATTATTGATACTCCAACAACGGAATATGAATGCCAGGATGATACTATGAGCAGCGAGAAGAGATTTGGTCGAGCAATAGGTAGTGCTTCCAGCCAGCCGTATGACTGTCACTGTCAGGTAGTGATAGTGACGCGTGGCTATTTGGTCGTAGTAGGAGTACTGCGTGGCTATTCTGACCTTCTCTCTAGCACCATAATACCGTTGAAAGGAACGCGTGAGCAAAGAAACCGATATTACATCAAAACGCTTTCTGGTGAGCGAAAAGAAGATCAAAATATGAAGAGCTGGGCTTGACCTCAGAACACTCCTACACTAAAACCTCTGGAGGTGAAAAATATGCCACTGGACTATCAAACCAGTAAGACAGTACTATGGATTGAATTCATCATATGGTCCAAGAATATACGATACTAAGCAGTCTTACCGTGGTATAATGTTGGGAGTGAGCCCCTTAATAAAAGTGGGTCAGAGAAAGTGAATCAGAACAGAGGAGGTTACGAAACACTGCGCGTAAGGCTCCTGCTTCTATATGGAGATATAACCTCTACGCGACATGATAAGGCCTACTTGATTGATTTACGTGACTAATGATCTTGCTATTATAGATAAACTACCACAAATGGGCCGCGCAGCTCTTGTCCAGATGGACCATCATCGATAGTAGGGCACTGGCTTGCGATGTACGACATGACAATGATGTGAATCAAAATGCTGCAAAATGGAGAAGAGAGCATAAACACCCTGTCAAGGTCGACATAAAAGAGATTAGTACTACGCGGTCGACAAAAATCTGGGACGGAGCTAGAAAGTCCTCTTGGACTTCTTCAAAACCCCAGATAATATCTAAGCGTCTTACATCAGGATAATGGACTTCCTTGGACAATAAACCGCTAGATACAGAATGTCGGGATCGCTGGATCCCTCAGATTTTGGTAACAGAAAGCAATTATTATTGCATAGACAGACAGAAAGTAGTGACATTCAGAGATGATGCAAGTCTCAAAAATGGTATCAATGTGTGCGGAAAGACAGAGATCTAATTCACGGTACAACTCCTGTCTTGGCGAAGGTATGATCTGGTAACAAGAACAATCCGATGTTTTACGGAAGAGCGCCGAAAACCCTGGAGCGAGATCGTGAGACGGACCAAGTTGTGGACCTTGCATGGATCGATCGTCGAAATAATGGATACTTGAGGGCAGATCTTGCAGTCACTACGAAACGTGCATCTGGGCCCGTGAGAAGACCTTCAATGTCCCAATGCACCACGGAGTGTGCTCGACTGTAAAAATTGGACCTGATAATGCGTTAATGCTACTGGCACGCGTCATAGCTTGCGAGCGACGTATTGCTGTAGGCGATCGCTAGAGAAAGAATTGGCAACCGGAATTGCCTCCGAAGGTTTGATCATATTGCTATTGTTGATACTGCTGTGTTGGACCTCTGGTCAACATTTGAGTATAGTCGCCGCTGGCCATTCTATCACCTGCCTGTACTCGCTTTGGGATCAGTCGGAGCTGTCCACACTACAACCAGCTGTGTCCTTCAGCATTTCTAACTAATTGACCAGCAGAATGATGTAGTATCTTGATAAGGCTGATACTTCCATATGCCTAATATAGAAGTTGCAGGTTGAATTCTAAGAAAAGCAAATATAGATATAGGTAGGATAGAGTTTCAGTAGTGTCTGAGATCTGCCCACTTGCGTGGCTATCCACATGGTCCGTGCTTTTGCTTGTTGCTTCTTTGGAGAGAACTAACCTCACCTCTCAAGCTAGAATAAGTTTTGAACCTGCAAACATCTTCGGCCATTACTTCATTTCGACTCAAAGGAACGCCATGACCACATGGGAGATGACATTCACCCACTAGTAGAAGCAGGCTAACGACTTGACATCTGCATGATGCTGCATGAAATGCAATCAGGGTAAAATGATCGGCCCCATCTAGAAGCTCGTCAGCACCCTTGGATGAGGCTTAGCAACGCCAACGATTAAGTTTGAGAGCAATCTCAGCAGAAGATATGCCAATTATGCATCCGCCAAGGCTGTTGGTTCACAGCGTATCCAGTGATAGCGACCACCTTCCATTTTGCGCCATAGTCGTATGCCTCGCTAGCTTTTCCAATGGACTGCAGGGTACTGGCATGTCACGATAGTGAACATGGGGTCCACGCTCCTACTAGTTAGTGGATATCGAGCATCAAAGACTGTAATTTGGTCTTGCCAAGCACCGGGGACTTTACAGTATGATACTCGTCTGTTACTCCATCTCGTTGTGCCGGTGTTACGTGATGCTTTGGACGTGTTGATTTATCGTCGTCCCGGGCCTTGGCAACCAACAGTATATATGAAAAGGATCTCCTCTACCGCAGTTGATTATTATTTATCAATGAGCCTCATCGATTTGAATACCTGATCCCTACACTCATTTTCTTTTGACTTGGAGAGTTTACTTTCCTTAACGGCTTGTCTGTCCAATCCCATTGTCATTCCTTTTTTTATTCAAAGTCTTTCATTATGCCTTCAATTATCAAGGTTGTGACTTTTTTGCCTGTTCTTACTGGCTTTGCAATCGCTTCCACAGGGCCATCTGGTGTCCTACAGATGAAGGCGGCAGTGAAGAGATCTGATCTTATGAAGAGAGATCCTACTATTCGCCCATCTTATTCGACAGAATTGATATATGCTGATGGTAAGAGCTTCTTGGTCCCAGATATGTATCATTTCTAACATAAATGTAGTTGAGAATGCCCACGACCTGAGCAACACATTCTTTTCCAAGGTCAGATTCGGCTCGAATCTTCCAATCATTACGTTTGAGGAAATTGAACACCATCTCGAAGATGTCCAATGTGGAAGTTCCCACATAACCGTCGAACTTCGGTCCCGCGAAGCCCAAGAGGCTCTAAGGGGTGCCTGTGACAACGAAGATGGTGCATACATCATCACTTCACATGACGGATGCAACCCGGATGGTGAGCGTACTGCATACCAGGTCAAGCACCATGCTTCCAGTGAGAAAGGCCTATCGTTCAAGGCGACGAAGATCCCTTTCCACAAAGCTTTCACAAATATGAAGCTCGAGTTTGGTCAAAGTAAGGAAGGTCATGTTTTCCGTGATGGCCAGAGCCTTCGCCGCCGACAGGCCCCTGAAGCTCCGTTTCCTCTTCCAGAAAACAATGGCAGTCCAGGAATTACCATTGACCTCAACAGTGTTGTCAAGGATACGGTCTTGCCATTACCGACTAACATAACCGACCTTCTCCCAGTAGGCATTCCAGTCGAGATCCGCTGTGTGGAATGCTCCACTTCCGGCAGCTTGGAACTATCTGCCGGCGAATTCGAAATGGACCTCAACGTCTTCGACGGCGATGGCATCGACCTATTCCAATCTGGCTTTATCTCCATGATCGGTAACGGGATCGGCGCTCGCCTCGAGATGGCAGCCACCCCTTCCGCCGAATTCACAACCGAGCTCCCTCTCCCCAGCATCCCCATCCCAGCCCTCGGATTCTCCATTCCGGGCATCGGCAACGCAGGAGTAAACTTCTCCCCTGAAATCTCGCTCAGCTTCGGCGTCAAAGGCGGCATCGAATTCACCTACGGCCTCACCGCATCCATACCCGACAAATCCGAGATCCGCATCAACTTCGCCGACTTCGGAAGCTCCAGCACCACAGGCTTCACCAACCCAACCGTCGAAGCCCTCCCCTTCAACGCCAACGTCTCCGCCGTCGAAATGACCCTCGCAACAGGCTTCCGGCCCCGCCTCACCCTCGGCTTCGAATTCGTCGGCTCCGCAACCGCCGAAGTCGGCATCTTCGCAGACCTCCCCTCCCTCTCCGCCACCTTCTCAACCCAGTCCAAAGTCGACCAGAACTGTAACCCCCTCCCCGCCGACGCCGCCCCCGCCGACGCAGCAGACCCCCTCGCCAGCGCCCTCGGCGACTTCACCCTCGTCGACTTCTCCATCGGCGTCGTCCTCGGCCTCAGCGCCCAACTCGCCGCCCCCGTAATCCCAGACTTCGCCACCGAACTGCCCCTCGCTTCAACTACATTCCAGCTCGCAACATCATGCATGGCCGCTGTTCCCAGCGGTACAGGCCTCGCCCCCGCCGCCCCGCTGGTCAGCAGCATGGTCCAGGCCGGCCAGGTCGCGAGCTGGGTCGCTGCGCTGCCAGATGTACCCCCCGCGACTCCGCTTGCGCCGGCGTTTACCCCGCCTGCTGTGCAGCCGCACGCGCTGGGTGCGCTTGAGGAGATGGTGGGGAAGCCGGATCCCGTGGGCACGGCGAATGCGCCGTATGTGCCTGCTAATACGAGTGGGGCGAAGCCCGGGCATGTGTATCAGGTTGTGCCGGCGCCGCCGGCGATTGCGGAGGCGGCGGTGGCGACGGAGGCGCCTAAGGTGCGGTCGAGGTTTATGAGGGCTTTGGTTTAGGGGGTGCGGAGGGATGGAAGGTTGCTTATAGCGTATGGCTTGACGATGGGTTATGAGGGATGATATGAGTCATGATGGAAGCAGGGGGGCAGGCTAGCTATGATCTGTTGACGGATTGGTTGCTGGTGTGATTGATCCTTTTATGCTGGGACAGTGGTTGGCTTCTGGCTGGTCCAGTTGTCATTGGATGTATGCATGCAGGCCTGTATATATTTCCATAGCCACTTGAGAGCATGGTTTAACGTGCCCGTGGATACGAAGGAGCACGTATTCTACTCTGCTCTACTACCTCTCGCATGATATGTGCCGTCCTAGATTCACGTATCACAGCTCAGAAGCCCTGGATGAAGCTCTAGATGGACCAAAGTTTTGACGCGCGACGTTAAAGTAGTAACAGTAGTCTCGGGTCCTTTGTATATTTCTACACTGTAACATGCTTCCTCTTCCGGCTAGAGCCATCCGCTGTAATTACGTTGGTGAATTGAAACTGAGCAGGCAAATACATGTCATGAGTGCTCTGGTCGAATCACGTCATCCTCTTGTACAGCCCTTGGCGAAGCCGTCGACCCTTGTGCCTCTTCATCACTTGTATCACGACTTTCTACAGGTGTAGTAGCCATGACAGGCGAGTCTTCCAGGCGCTTGGCATGTACTTGTTGTTCATGTTCATTCTGGTCAGCCTTGTTCGCCTCCTTCATGGCGATCAGTTGCTTTCCATGTCTCTCGGCACGTTTTTGGGCATAGGCCCATGCACGACGGGCCTCCTTATCAGGACGCACATCAGGCTCGTTGCTGATGACGTCAGCAATGCTTGGGACAGCGTCTTGACTCATGACTTCGCGCCCATATTCTTCCAGCTTCCATCTCCGCGACAGATGCAAGGGGAAAGCTGGCCCGACTGCAGGCTCGAGGAGTGAACCTTGACTGTCGGCTCTGATTTGGACTTTCAGCTCTTCGCCGATGGAGCGCAGTGTCGCTATGATATGTTTTATACCGAAAGACTTGTAGCCCAAATCGTTCAGTGGATCAGCAGGATCTTGCAGACACATAAGATACGGTTGATTTTTGTCGATGCGGCCGATCTGAGTCCGGCCATGGAGGATCTAGGGTTGGAGTTAGCTTGAATTATGACCGTACGCACATGAAACCGACCTCATCTACCCCAGAGTGTGCGTCTGGTGATGCCTGCGGTTTGGAATTTTTGTGGTTTCCCTTCTTCGGCTTGGAATTACTTTTCTTGAACAGTGCAGGTGGTTGAAGCGAGACTCCCCATGTGTATAGATCGAGATTACCCCAGAAATCCAAGAATTGGAGAAGGTTCTGTGCTGGCGTTTTCGATTTAGCGTCGCCATCGAGTCGGAAGCTTGCCGCTACCATCATGAAAATGGAGTAGGACCCAAGACCCCCACGGAAGACATCTGTGAGGCCCCTGACGTCCATGGCGAGCTTGACAACATTATATACCCTCCTCAGGCCAGGGTACATCTCCAGATAAGTAGCCATGTAGTCTCTCGATACACTTGAGTCGTTGGCGCACACAATCTGAACGTCAAGGCCCGACTTGATATGCTGCATTGAAATTAATGGATAACGCGCGTGGCGATATTCCACAAGCATATATGGCGGTGAGATTGAACGTTTCCTATGACTGACAATATTCCCGTGAATACGATCATGGAATCTCTTCAGCGAAGACCCTAGCTCCTTTCGGATCCAGAATCTAGGAGCCGTTTTGCCTTGGGCGCCACGAGGGGCCTCATTGAGACGTATGCGGATATCAATGTCGGAGGTTGCCAAAGCCAAGCCTGTGCGAACCGACCCAAAGACTTCACTAGATATTCCATCAACAAATCGCTTTATATTGGCTCGAGTGTCTGCGATTACTTGCGCCCTGGCAGCTTCGTGTACGGGAGAAGGCAGAACGTAGGCATGGAACCTTTCGATTTCAAGATCAAGTCTGCAATGATTAGCGCTGCGAATGAGGATGTACATGACAGAATTCTTTTACCGCTTAAGCCCATCAAGGCCTAGTCGGCGTCTTTCTGATTCATCAATATACCAGGGTAACTTCTCCGGTTCGACGACGGTATCGACCATTGGTTGGATTACCGTGCCTTCGTATTCCAACTTCTCTGCATCGTTCATTTGTCTTCGCTCTGAGCTACTAAGCGTGGCTTTCGAGGCTCCTCGCTGTATATTCAGCGTGCTTTCTTTCGGCCTTGTTACTGGCTTTTTCCTTGCTTCAGGGTCTGTGCCTGAGCTTGGCTGGCGCTTGTCTTTCAGTCTACTGTCGAGTTGTTTATTCAAGCGTTTGTTCATATTTTTCATCATTTTCCCATTATACTGCTCCAGGTCCCTTTTACCTGCATCGCGACTCCGCGTGCCGACGTTGACAGGTGGTGTGCTTGCCACACGTTCCGCATACGCGGCATTGGATGCACGATGAGCTTCAAGTGTCGCCTCGAGATCTTTGGGATGGATATCTTTCAATTGCCGTATGTTGGCAGCGACTATTTCCTTGGTGACACCTGGGATGGGCTCCTGTTTCGATTCGTCTGTGGGATTGGGCTTGGAGCGGTGGGTGCGTAGTAGAGTTCCGAAGGGCTCATCGAGTCTGGAAGTGGTAGACATGCATCTCTCCGAGGAGAAGAAGATTCGCAGCAAGGCATCGTGACATTTGAAGGTATTGCGGGCAACACAGATCCGGGGGACCGTTGGTCTCATGGAGTGAAGGAGTGGGCAAGCCCGAGAGTGCTGCGGTCTCCCGTTGCAGAATGAGTAGCAGAGCACAGATACGCGCAAACCTAGCTTGGAAGCTCACGATAGAGAAATTTGATACACCGATATAAGCACAGTAAGCAGGTAATCTAAGTAACCTTCCGAACGAAAAGCTGAAACGGCTAGCCCACGGGCGGCGCAGCATCGTGCCTATAAATACGCTACGTCTGGGGATTCCCTAGCGTGTTCTGGCGTGTGCTGGCGTGCCGTTGGACGAAACTTGGGGTGACCGGAAGCTAAAGGAATAGAGTACATACCTTACCTGTTTAGTACGTAGTTCTATTAGTAGGTGCAGTGGAGGTGGGCGGTCCAAACACCACCTTTCATTTCATCATCATCATTGTCACCAAACACCAGTGCACCTGCTCTGTTTCCCCGGTTTCTGCTGTTGCTGTCCAACTTCTATCCAGGTATCGTTGACTACGCTAAAGTCAAAAAGTCCATCTCTCCCTCTGTCGCTCGCTCCCTTTGCTCAACCTTAAACGACAACTCATAACATACCTACCACCGCCTCATCCACTCTTACCTCGTCCCATCCTTGACCTCCCCGACCAATCAAACCCCAGCGACATCCCTGCTCGTCTGAGAATGCCAGAGTGACGCAACGTGGGCTACAGTGGTATACTCTGGATCCATCCTCGTCCCCAGCTGTGGACACGCAGCGAAAGACATACCTGCTGTACCAGCTAAAAGCAAGGTGAGCAGCAAGAAGTCTGGGGTGACCTGACCTTTACCTATCACCGACCGTACTCGTCCCTCGCTGCTTTCTCCTGCTTGACAGTGCTCAATCCTTACTCATCTTACCTACCGTTATGTTTACTGGCTCCACCCTCACCCTTTGACTACACTGTTGTTAGCTGCTACGTTGCATCATTCTCTCAATCGCCTTCGGCCTGCGCCCGAATCGTTCAATATTTTGCTGAAGCTGATCTCTGTTCGTCACAATGCAGCAGGATTCACAAGAAACCGAGTCCATGTCGGCACCATCCTCACCCAAGTCCCCCAAATCTTCGCAGTCGCCTCGTTCTGTGAGGTTAGCCGAGGAGTCTCCCACGAACTTCTATGGCTCCAGAGGGCTTCCGCCTGTAACTCCAGGCGTGCACATGAGTGGACAGTCTGCCTACACCGAACCGAGCTCTACGGCCGACGGGACACCGTTCCCTCCAGCAAACCCTGACTCTTACTTTGAAGCACAAAATGGCGGACGCCCTAGTTCGCCTACAGAGGTTGCAAAGGGTGCAACGTCGGGAGCAGAATTGCTCCGTCGATTGAGCCTGGCCAAGTCCCCGCCCACAAACATTGGGAAGGACAAGGTCGAGATAGACCCAAAAGCCGCACATCCAGGACTCAATCTGAGCGGTGGCATCATCAGTGCAGCCTTCTGTGTCCCGTATAACATAGGATATTCTCCAGGCGGCGATTGGGTAAGTACTGGATTCAGATCCATGCTGGCATTCTTGCTTATGTTGTCTAGGAACTCAGATCAAGACGTGGAACCTCCGCCCTCTTCGACTCTTTCTCTTACCTTGCGTCTCCTTCCTCCCCCTGGGACCACACTCTGGTTGGCTGGACTGGGGAATTTATTGAAATACCAACGCATGCAGCAACAAATTCCGCTACAAATGTAAATCCTATCAACAAAGCCTCAGCTCCAATCCCGGTGAACGGTGGAAAACCGCCTGTTCCTGGTCAATCTGAGGGGTTTCATATCACCAAAGACAAAAGACGGGAGCTGGAGAAGCAGCTTGAGCGCGACAATGGTGGAAAAATAGTTCCTGTCTGGCTCATGGACGAATATGATGACAAGACCGAGACCGCCATCATTAAAGATCAGTCGAGGTGGAGGAAATTTGCCGAAAATGAACTGTACACCCTCTTCCATTACAAGCAGAATGAGCCGAAAGACGGCCGGGCCGCTCGAAAACATTGGGCAGACTACTACCGCATGAACAAGCTCTTCGCGGATCGAATATTGGAAATCTACAAACCTGGAGACATCATCCTTATCCACGACTATCACTTGTTGCTCCTCCCAAGCTTGTTGCGCCAGCGTCTCCCACACGTATATATTGGCTTCTTCCTGCATGTCCCGTTCCCGAGTAGCGAGTTCTACAGATGTTTGAGTCGGCGGAAGGAGATTCTCGAGGGTGTGCTGGGTGCCAACATGATTGGCTTTCAGTCTTACAGCTACTCTCGCCACTTCTCGTCTTGCTGTACTCGTATCTTGGGTTTCGACTCTTCATCTGCAGGCGTTGACGCTTACGGAGCTCACGTCGCAGTCGATGTTTTCCCGATCGGGATCAATGCGGAGACAACCAAGAAGGCTGCGTTTGATGATCCTGTAATAGCAGAAAAAATGCAGGCAATCAAAGAGCTGTATGCTGGGAAGAAGATTATCGTTGGTCGTGATAGGTTAGATGCGATCAAGGGTGTTACCCAGAAGCTACAAGCCTTTGAGATATTCTTGGAACGTTATCCTGAGTGGAGAGACAAGGTTGTGCTCATCCAGGTCACAAGTCCAGGAAGCGTCCCAGGAGATCCGGACAACGAGGACAGTAAGCTCATCAACAAGATCTCCGACCTTGCTGCTCGTATCAACGGTGCCTATGGCTCGCTCAGTTTCACTCCAGTACAGCACTATCCGCAGTATCTAGCGAAGGAGGAATACTTTGCACTACTGCGACTCGCCGATGTCGGTCTTATAACAAGTGTTCGAGATGGCATGAATACGACCAGTCTAGAGTATGTAATCTGCCAGAAAGACCACTCTGGACCTCTCATTCTATCCGAGTTCTCAGGAACAGCAGGCAGCCTGGGTAACGCGATACATGTCAACCCGTGGGATCTTGGCGGTGTTGCAGATGCAATAGATCGCGCGCTGACAATGGACGAAGACCAACGCAAGGCGCAACAAGATCGACTGTATGAGCACGTAGTGGCAAACAACGTACAAGCGTGGACCACGAACTATCTCAAGCGGCTTATGACCAACCTAGCTTCCTTTGATCAGTCTTTTGCCACTCCAGCTTTGGATCGTGCGAAGCTGCTCTACCAGTACAGAAACTCACGGAAACGCCTTTTCATGTTCGATTATGATGGTACTTTGACTCCGATCGTGAGGGATCCACAGTCAGCTATTCCATCAGACCGTGTGATTCGGACCATAAAGACTCTGGCATCCGACCCGGCAAACTCTGTCTGGATCATCAGCGGTCGTGATCAGGCATTCTTGGATGAATGGATGGGCCACATCTCTGAGCTAGGACTGAGTGCCGAACACGGCAGCTTCATGCGCCATCCAGGGTCTGAAGAGTGGGAGAATCTTACGGAGAAGACGGACATGAGCTGGCAATCTGAAGTGATGCGTATCTTCCAGTTCTACACTGAGCGTACTCAAGGTGAGCAAGTTGCTGTACACTAGGAGCGCATGCACTAACAGGCTTCGAGGCTCGTTTATCGAGCGCAAGAAGATAGCGCTGACATGGCACTACCGTCGAGCTGATCCCGAGTATGGCGCCTTCCAGGCACGTGAGTGTCAGAAGCACCTCGAGGCCACCGTGGCCAAGAAGTGGGACGTGGAAGTCATGACTGGCAAAGCGAATCTCGAAGTGCGGCCTCGCTTTGTCAACAAAGGTGAAATCGCAAAGCGTCTGGTGAAGGCGTATGGCAACGAAGAAGGCGACCCACCAGAATTCGTGCTCTGTCTAGGCGACGACTTCACGGACGAAGGTACGATTCGGCACTTGTGGTTCTGTTGTGTGGGATATGAATGCTAACAAGATTCGTAGATATGTTTCGCTCGCTCCGCCAGACCTCGCTTCCAGACGACCACGTGTTCTCCGTCACGGTTGGCGCCAGCTCGAAGCAGACGCTGGCTAGCTGGCATCTCCTTGAGCCTGGCGACGTCATCTCCGTCGTCTCGCTGCTCAACGGCACTGCCGACGCGGGGAATGTCGGTGCTGTAGCTGTCGTCGACGGGCAAGTTCCGGAGAGCAGGCTGTAGACTTGATGCTCACACGCTGCATGTAGTGACGACCATGACGACGATCAGTAAGGGCGGTGGCGCGGATCACACGGCGATGCGAGCACCCCTTGTGCATATCTCCGGATAGACGATTGTGGTAGGATTAGGACATCGAGCAAGGCCCACTCGAGGAGTATGTTGACAGCATCGCGTTTGGGAGGACAGGCTGTGGATACGTGCGCACATAGACGATTGAATGGTCCTGGATCTGCATTACTCCATAGACGCAAACACATGCATCCATGTATGCATGCATAGAAAAGAGCACGTATCTTGTTGACGCAAACTTGGGACTTCTGTGTCGATCCATCTATCCATGCCCTCCTCCCCTTGCCGCACATCACACATCACACATCACACATACCCTCGAACATGAAGTAAAACACCCTGCACGTCACCCATCACGACATCCGCACATCTACGAACCCCTAGCTCATGATCGACCTCTTGCCTTCCCTTGCTCCCCTTGCCTTGATGGCCTCGTGTTGCTCCTCACAAGCCCCTATTCCCCTTACCCTCCCGTCCCCCTATCCACCTCCCCACAACGCTCTCCTCCCCTTAATTCCCCACCTCCCCACAACGCTCACCCATCTCCCTTTCCGCACGGACAAGTTCCCCACGGTGGTGTAGATGGGATGTGTAAGTGCGTAAAGTGCGTATGTTTGTTGTAGGCAGAGCGGAGAAGGGCGACGGAGATGGCGACGGAGAACCGGGGGAAGAATGGAGAAGGAGAAGGAGAAGGAGAAGGAGAATGACGGTAGAGGTGGAGGAGGAGGAGACAGCGGGGTGGGGTGAGATGTTGTGTTGTGTTGTGTTGTGTTGTGTTGTGTTGTGATGCTGATGATGATGGCGTGTAAAGAAGGATATGGGCTTTTGAGATGTGGGCGAGGGGGGGGGGTTATGCTTGGGATTGATGGGTGGATTGATGGGTGGATTGATGGGTGGATTGATGGGTGGATTGATGGATTGATGGGTGGATTGATGGGTGGATTGATGGGTGGATTGATGGGTGGATTGATGGGTGGATGGATGGGTGGATTGATGGGATGGATGGGTTGGATTGAGTGAGTGGATGGGATGGATGGGATGGGTTGGATGGGGTGAATGAAGGAACGAAGGAAGGAAATGCCGTGATCTACTCCCGCGTTTCTCTGTGTTTAGTGTTTCGGTGTTCTGCGTGCGGCGATATCTCTTGTCTCGGTAGAGTTTGGTGGTGGAGGGTAGGGCCTGTGTGTTGCATGTCTGTGTGTGTACGTACTATCCAGGAGGGATGAGTCTGAGTCTTATCCTATAGCGCGAGTCTGCGCGAGTCTGTGTGTGATAGAGGTGTAGAGAAGGGGGGTCCATGTCCTACCAGAGAGAGTCTGTAGCCGGAGTATACTATGCGATCCTCCTGATAGCTATGGGATGTATTGGTAGTATCCTGGCGTGTGAGTGGATGGCGTGCTTTGTCTGTTTGTGGTATCCATGGTCTTGTTTACATGTGTATGTGTCTTTTGGCTGGACTTGTCGGTGGCGTGCTTCTGTCTGTCTGTGTATGGCAGTCTTGGTCCCTCTTGGAGCGGGAGGAGTCTGTGTTGGGGTAGGGGTGGTAAGGGGGTGTGGAATCTATAGATACCGGAGTGTCGGTGTAGGGTTCTATGTCTTGTTTCGGTGGTGTGGTGGTGGAGGGTTGGGGAGCTGTTTTGGTTAGTGGATGTGTCTATGCGGCATCCGTGGTGGTCTAGGTGGTGGTGTGCTGTCTGTGCTGGAGTAGGATCTGTGTGTCATCGTCTGGGTGGTGTGCTTTGTCTGTTTATGGTCATTAGTCTGCTGTAGTGTCTGTGCTGTTGTAGGATCTTTAGTGTCTGTGTCGGTTATAGGATCTGCATCTTGCGTGCCGTCTACCAATGTATCCTGTCTTGTCCATGTGTCTATATCCCGTTTACATGCCGTCCTTATCGGGATAGGACCTGTATATCATCGCCTAGGTGATGTGCTTTATCCGTTTATAGTAGTCTACTATAGAAGGATCTATAGTATCTATAGTATAGTAGGATCTAGTTTAGATAGTCTAATATAATATCTATACTATAGTAGGATCTACATCTTACGTGCCGTGTATCCCTATATCCTATCTTATCTGTGCGTCTGTTTATATGTCGTCCATCCATGTCTTATCCATGTGTCTTATCTATGTGTCTGTGTCCATGTGTCTATGTCCATGCGTCTGTTTACACGCTGGCCATCCATGTCTTGTCCATGTGTCTATATCCCGTTTACATGCCGTCCTTGTCGGGGTAGGACCTATATATCATCGCCTAGGTGATATGCTTTATCCGTTTATAGTAGTCTACTATAGAAGGATCTATAGTATCTATACTATAGTAGGATCTAGTTTAGGTAGTCTAATGTGATGTCTATGCTGTAGTAGGATCTGCATCTTGCGTGCCGTCCATCCCTGTATCCTATCCCACCCTACCCTACCCTATCCAACGATCTCCTCCCTAATTTACATCCAACATATCATCCTAACCAGTACAGTACATACATCCTAATAGTCTCCCGCAACATCCAATCCCATACCCATCCCATACCCATACCCAACCCCAACCCTCTTAATCCCCATCCCTCCACTCCCATACCAAGTACAAAAAAGCCCCCTAAAAAAGCAACAGAAGGTAAAAGAAGGCCTAAAAAAAAGAAGAAAGGAGAAGGCAGGGAGGTGTAAACCGTAAAAGGCAATCAGAAACCCTCCCTTTTCCCTCCCTCCCTCCCCTTCCCTCCCCTTCCCTCCCAATTTGAAAAAGAAAAATAATTAAACTTTCGGGTAATAATACTCCATCTAGTCCTAGTCCCCCCCCTAGTAATAGCCCCAATCCGCCTTTTTTGACATGTTAATGTATTGATGTATTGACATTCTGGTATAATTGACGTTTCTAACATTCTAACATTCCGACACACGCACAATACCGTTTTAAGGAGGAGGAGGAGAGGGAAATTGAAAAGGTTAAAAAGGGGGGAGGGAGAAGAGAGGGAGGAAAGGGGGGGCGTTTAAGTCTAGTTTCACACATGTATATTGTGTACATTTACCGTAGGTTGTGTCGTGTTGGTTTTGGGCTGTGTTAGTCTGTGTTAGTCTGGTACCATTCCTGTACAAGTCAGCTTTCCTAGTCCCGAGGTCGATCGTGGATATATAAATAAATAGCTTTTTTTACCAAATATCCAAAGGGAAGGGGTGGATGGGTGGTGATATGTCCGAGGCATGGAGAGAGACAGTCAACAGACAGACAGGGACGTGGATGTCCCCGTTCGGTAACGCATGAGAGAGACCATAGTTAAGTCAAGTGAAAAAAAAGAAAAAAAAAAGGTCAAGAATGAATGCAGTGAGCACTTAATTCTTCTTCTTTACTCTAATTCTTAGTTATATATATATACTCTTCCCCATGGTTTCCATGTTCCTACCGTCCTTGTTGTTGTCATTGTTGTTATTGTTGTGTGTGAGTGTGTGTGAGTGTATATATATATATGTATGTATACATAGAGATTTGTGTGCTCGAAAGCGTAGACCCCCATCCCCCAAAACACGAGAGAGAGAGAGAGAGAGAGAGCCTAGCTAACACCTCCACCCTCCACGCCGTCCAGACAGGTTACAATGTGTGCACGTGAACGCTAATAAGGGGGGGGGACACTTTTGTCTAGCCACTTTTTCGGTTCGTTCGAATGCTCGGGGGAGAAAAAAGATTCATAATACAGACAGCCAGACAGGCAGCTAAATTTAACGAGAGAAAGGGTATCGTGGCCCGCAGAAGAGGCGAAAAAAAAAGGCGGACGCTGGCTGGCTGGCTGGTAGGCCTGATGATTGTACAGGAAAAAGGAAATTAGGTTTGTGGTGCGCCCTGTAGGGCGGATAAACGAGAGAGAGCAAAGGAAAGATAGGAAGCGTTTGGCTAGTGACTGGACTCGTAAATGAACGTAGGCTGCAGTGCTGCGCAATTGACTGCTCAAAATCCCCTGAATGGATCATGGGGGTCGTATCCGAGTTCTTCGAGCATTCGGTGGCCCTCGTTGGTGCTGCTGCTCCACTGGCTGTTGTTGCGTTTTCTGCCAATTGGCTTGCGCCCGTTGCCCCACATTGAAGAAATCAGAGTTGTCTCTTCACCGTTCGGTCGCGTAGTCTCTGCAACGAACGCCTCCATTCGGACGGTTCCCATTGCATCGAAGAAGTTGTGGTGGGCAATCGTCGAGGACTCCGACGGTCGACCGCTCGTCACCACACTTTGCGGGCTGTAGATCGAAGAAGGAGCCGAGGCAGCGGCGTAGTACTCTGAAGAAGCCGTAGACTGTAAACCAGCCGAGTGAATCTGCGGTACTTGGTTGCTCGAAAAGCTGCGAAAAGATGTGTTGATAGGAGGCGGCGGGATGCGAGGTCCTGTAGCGCTTCTCTTGCGGCCATGTCCATAGCGAGGTACGCAAGGTGGCAATGCCGCATCGGAAATGGATGGGCTGGCCCTCGAGGAATAGTATTCTTGGATAGGCTCGACATATGCCCCAGAGTGCATCGAAGGTTGTGATTTCTCCTTCGCTAGACGTACCGAGTCACGGATATGAGGTCGGCGTACTGCGACCGATCCCTGTTGCTTCGGAATCTCCGGTGGTGCCCGTGTGGGGATTGGTGGTGGAGTCGAATCTGCGACGGTTGACGTTTCCACTTCGTGATGGCCGTTGCCGGAAGAGGCAAGAAAAGATAAAGCAGTCAGCCAAAGGTAGTGCCGTTCCTTGGATACAGCGGTAAACTTCAGGGCGCGTGCCGGAGTCAAAATCAGGATTGACCGGTTAAAGACTTGCTGTCCCGATGTCATCTTTGGTGGCGGAGCATTGTCTGGCACGTCAAGTACGGACTGAATGGTAACTATGGGTTGTTAGCTCAGTATCTCTCCAGGTCCTTTGTGTGAACGTACGCTTGCGTCCGCTCTTGCCCAGCAGAGCCGTTCCACTTGTTGGCTGCTTGCTGCTCCACATTACAGATCGTTCATAGGGTGAGAGCCATACCCAGCGTCTGTGCCTGACGCCATTCCCGTCGTCTGCTATATCATTGGGCGACTCAGTGACACCAAAGGACTTTCGCTTCCGAACATATTTCCACATCCACTCTCCTACCATCGTGGCTGCTATCGCATCTACAACGCTATTGGACTGCACCGAACTGCCGACGGAGCCACTGCCAGTGAGAATCGTGTTTGTCGAGTGGTCAGCCTTGTGGCCGAATTTGGAGTTCGAGAATGATAATTGAGGAGAAGCAACGACGTCATTTGGCATTGGGGGAATTTGAGAGGATTCCGATGGCTGGGCAGATAGTGGTGGTGAGCGACTCCTGACACGAGCACCTCTCTGGATGACAGCAGCTGAGCGAACTTTACGTAGACTGTCCTGTCTAGCATGCTTCTTGTATCCGCCGAGGCGGCCTGGCATTGCACCATTTGGTCGATGTGTTGGACTTTGGGAACCCTCACTTTTGCTCATCGGCAAGCGACGTGAGCTTGACCTTGTTGGGACTGGGAATGGAGGCTTCGTGACGTAGCGGCGCGTATCGCCAGAATTAGTACTGCCTAAACTAGGACTTCGAGAGCGCTGCATGTGCACTGCATTGCCACTATGAATGAGTGCAGATCGCCGTATGCTGCCAGATAGACGCTTGCTACTGGACGAACGTTGCAAGGGCTTGACAATCTTTGCTTGCTTCTCGACAGAAGCACGTGGGCTGGTCCCTGACAGGTCCTTGGAATTCGACCTCGACAAGTTTTCATTTTCCTCAGGAACCGGTGTTGGCGGAGTACCAAACGGTCGCCCATGTTTGAGAGCCCGGTTGCCAGGTGTGGTTGTTGAGCGCAAAGACGATTTGCTCTCCTCGTCGCTGGCGTCTCCCCGGTCCTCATCTTCGTCGGAGCTGGCCCCAGTGAAACCGGCGAATAAGCTGCTGGTCCGGAAAGGCCTCCTTATGCCCTCTCCTTTGTTTTGAACAATAAAACCATTATCATTATTGCCAGGATATCTATTTTCTGTTTTCGTGTCATCGGACTTTTGTGGATCTGAAGCGCCCTCATGCGCCATTCGAAGCAGAGCAACACGGCCGAGAAGCTTCTCTGACACCTGGCTTAGCTCAGACCTGCTCTTGTTGTCAGGTTCTTGCCCTGGCTCGGGAGTACCAGGCGTAGAGCGGATTGCAGATGGCAGCAGGTGGGGGGGTAGCTTTGCAAACCGTGTAGCTGACCTGATGGACTCAGTCTGTACTGAAACCGACCTCATAGGGACTGAATGAACAAAGGATGCCTGGACGGCGATGTTTCGGGTGTTTGGTGGCAGAACTGCCTGTCTCGGTGATGAAGGAGCGGAAAGCGTGGGCGAGATTACGATGCAAGGAACTGTGATTGGAGACGGAGGTCCTGATCTCTTCGAGTGCGAGACTTCGTCCTTGGACTGGTCTGCGAAGTTCACTGGATCAGTTTGTGTAGCCGTGGTGGACACGTTCGTCTTGAGGAGACCAAGTTTACGAGGCGGGGATTGCTCGAGCTTGGGAGTGGCTGGAGGACTGAGGGGATGATCAGTGGTTTGCATCGAACTGGATACCATAGCAGCTGCATCTTGCATCGGCTCCGAGGACTGTTGAACGGTCGAGTTTGGAGGACCGAGCGACACGCGTTTCCTGCGTTGGTTGGCCTCGACTTCATGTGCTTCGTTCGCGTTGCAGGATTCGTCAACTACAACAGGCTCTGCATCCTTTGAGTCTACAGGTGCCAACACCGGTGAAGGCGGAGGCGAGTACTGGACTCCAGTGTCCACATACTGGGGCTTCGGCACAGTCGTGTCGATTGATTCGACTTCGTAGACAGTTGAAGGTGTACCGCGGTACCGTAGCCAGCCATCGCACGAATCTCGAGCGTTTGTAGAATCAAAGGAACTTTGCACTCGATCCATTCGAGAATCTGCTCTCACTTCAGTCCTCGACTCCGTCCTGGATTCCGCACGCGTGGTGACAGACTCGACGGATTTGGAACGTTCAACATCCGCATCTGCCTTGGAGTCGTTCATCAAGCCCAGAATCCGCTTGGCCTTCTCATCCTGATAAGTAGACTGTCGTGACTCCAGAGCCCGACGGGCTCGCATTTCATGCTCCGGAAAGTCGTCAGAGTCCAACTCGAATTCCTCGAGATCTTCGTCTTCCTCGTCAAATTTTAGTTCATCTGCCAAACTCATTCCATTGACCTTTTGAACAGATTCAACGCCGTTGATACTCTGCGTTGAGAATCTGTAGAGGCGGCCGATGCTCTTGTGGCTGCTGTTGCTCATCGTCCTGCCATGCTTGGAGAGGCGGGTGATTGAATCAGTGCGGCTGCCAGACCTGGAGTAATTGCTGGCAGTATCGCTGTCGTTGCCAAGCCCACTGTCCATGGTGGCATCTTCAGCTTCGCTGTCACCGTGTGCCTCTGCAGGCTGTTGGGCAGCTAGCTCGTCAAGAACTATTCGTAGACGTGTCTCGGTCGCATGCACTCGTCTCTCATACACGCGCTTCTCTCCTTCCCATTGCTCCTTTTCCCTCTCCCATTCGGTATGAATGCGATCTGATTCGTCGTCTTGGATCTTCACTCGTTTCTGTGAAGCTTCAAGCCTCGTCTTTAACTCCTGGTTTGCGGCCGTGATGTCTTCCTTTTCCTTGGCTAATTGGTCGAGGGCAGACATTGTTTCGTCTTCAAAGTGCTTCAATTGACTCTTCAGAGAACGATTCTTCTTATCGCGCTGCGATATCTCCTGGTTGAGCGCATCGTTCTCGCTTTTTGCAGCTTCCAAGTCTGTCTCTATGCCTTCTATGTATCTATGCTTGGAGTCCAACTCCCGGCGTAGTGTCAATATTTCGGAAACAAGATTCGCGTGTAGAGTCGGAGTGAAGCGGCGAGGATCTAGAATCGAAATTTTCTCGTCATTTGCAGGATCTGTTGCTTGGCTCGCAGGGTCTGGTGGAAGTGGTGGCGGCGAAGACGACAGAGGAAGAGGTGAGGGAGTGCCGAATCGTGAGGAGCGCCTCGATGAAGGAACGGGAGTGTGGTAGGGCGTGTCGGAGGGAGTTGGCAGAGCGGCGTGTGGAGTGTGATGGACATCTTGCTCTGAGAAGTAGTCCATGGTGTGTGTGTGCGTGTGTGTGAGCGAGAGAGGATGTGTCCAGCACTGCGTTCGGACTCTTGGAGGAAGTTTTCCCTCAACGATTGAAACAAAGAGCTATGAATCTATAACATGACTGAGAAGAATGTTAGCACAAGCCTTTGAGCGAGTGTGCAGATTAATTGGTCTGAGCAGGGTATGGTACTGACTGGGTATAGAAAAGTGACGAGTAGGACTGGTAGGAGGACAATTATGGAGTGCAGACGGAAGTGAATTGAGGGTCGAAGGAGGCACAACAGAGCGAGTGGATATCGGTAGGGCTGGACATGAATTGTAGGAACTGAATATGCTTTAGTACAGACGAGGAAGCGTTGTGTATTATGGCGACCGGGGGCAGGGGATTTGGCGACAAAGTGACAGGTGACCAGGATGGAGGATGGAGAAGATGTGTGTGTGAGGTGGAATGGCAGGCAATGGCTGCATAGTGGGTAGGTCGGAGTGCATCGAATATCCATGGATCGCAGTACGTACGTGCACGGCTGCTTACCTACTTTTGTCTGCTGGCAATGTCCGAACGTCAGGGATGGTATTTCCCAAATCCTAGCTCAGATCTCTCTCTCTCTCTTTCTCTGGATCACCAGCCTAAGCCAGGTACCAAGATTCAATTGAAGATTTGGGGAGGGGGATGGAAGCAGAGAGAGATGGTAGTTGTGGTCGGCGAATTGATAGTGTATGCAAGATAGGAAAGGAGATGCGAAATGGAGAGACAACTAGCCAGCGTTGGAACGATTCGCAGCCGGGCGTAGTTCAAAGAGAAGAGAGAGGAGAGGGAGGGAGTGAGTGAGTGAGCAAGTGAGTAGTAATTGAGTAAGTGAGTGAAAGAGGTAGAGAGAGAGGAATTAGTGATGAAGAAGCGACAGCAGCACGACTCTGATGAGCACAACGAGAGAGAGAAAAAACATGGTGATGAGAATCTACATGCAAAAGATCCACCAATTCATTCATAGTGGGGACCCTCGCGTCGGACATGAGTCTCTCCCATCATGCCCCATGTCTATGTGTTCCCCTCCCCCCCCCTCTCTCCTTGATAATTTTGATAGGAACAGTAATTAGTGGCAATGATGGGAGAAAGAAGTCTGGGTCGGTTTCTCCAAGGGGTAATTGACAGGGAACAAGGAACAAGGGGAACATCGGCCAGGAACAGGGGAATTATGAAGGAACAGTGACAGTCTAACCCATAGCTGGTTAAGCCGAGTGGGGAGTTTTGTTCTTGGGGGAGGGAGAGGGGGCCAGACTGATGAATAGTTAGTTAGCCAGTCGAGTACTGACGGTATTGGCCATAAAGTAGCTAGCGAGCGACGGTCATGTTGTCTATCCTAATTGACGCGCCGCCGCCTGGCTCTTCTTCGTCTTCTTCTTACTCTTACTCTTCTGCTTCCCTCCAGATTTAGGGGGTATTGCGGCGACGGTAGTGGAGGTAGTATGTAGTATGTAGGTAGCTAGTGTAGGAGGCAGAGGGGGGGCTAAGCTAACAAGTAGCAACAGGCCACCAGCCAGCACCGCCAAAACATCCCCACCCAGCCTGTGTTTCGGGGCAAGCCGCACGCCCGCACCCAATCATGGCTTCAAAGGGGAAAAAGGGAAATTTGACCCATCATGTATTATTACCAGCAGTGTGGAGGTGCTGGCTGCTGGCTGCTGACTGCTGGCTGCTGACTGCTGGATGGCTGCAGTGCAGTGCAGTGCAGTGCATACACTGGCTGGCTGGCTGGCTGCATACTACAAGTCATTGGTGCCGTCATATAGGCAAGGTGGCCAGCGACCGAGGAGGAAAAGACGAAGCACCACCAACCACCACCACCATCTCCATCTCCATCACCACCACCACCACCACCAACACAACTTAGCACGCACACGCACTCATCTTAGCAGTCATCTTAGCTAGCATCAAGATAACCGTCTCCGTCTCCCGGCCGCCGCCTCATCGGCTGGTCTATTTCGTCCTTAGCTAACTAACCAACCTGCCCGGCCCGCCTCCTCCCCGACCTCGACTCATCACTCTCGCGCCCTCTCTCTCATCTCTCTCTCGACTGTTTCATCACGCGTCACGCTAATTATCTACCTTCCTACCTTCCTACCTTCCTACCTTCCTACCAGGTACCTACCTTCCATAGCGTAGGTGACGACTATCGCATAAAGCTGGAGAAAAACAGGTTTATCCCGGTACTACAACCTTATTCTCATGCAAGGCTCCTCGACCTCTTGACTCTTGACCTACTTACTCGAACCTCCAAAAAGAAAAAAGGACCGATACTGTGAAACCCCTTTTGGGCCTTGACAGTCATCCACGGTCCGTGGCAGCCGGGACCAGGAGGGCGGGAATGAGCCCAGGGCTTCTCCCCCCTCCCTCCCTCCCCATCTCGCTTGACGTGACGAGCAAAAAGCTCTGCTGCATATTATACTGTATATCTTTTCATCAATTGACACTTCAGACCTTCCTGTACCAACTTGGCCAATGGTGCACTGCAGCATGTGCTCTGAAGAGATAAACATAGCACCACTGATGATATCCTACATCGTTGCACGTAATTGGCATTAGCAGATAGCTGTCAAGTGTCGAACAAGCAGGACGGGAGTGCCAGCACAGCACGGCTCGCACTCGCTCCACGATCCTCCAACGGCCACGAACCGTCTTGGCCTGCCTTTATCGCCGCCTTCCCCCCTGCCCCGAGCACACCCCAAGTGCAACATTACTACAACGGCTGCCGTCACCTTTGCCCGGCATTTCCCTTGGGCCTGTCCTGTCATCGCTGCTCTTTTTCCACACCGGTATACTGCTTGCTACCTTATACTATGGTCCTTGCGTCGGTGTCTGGACTCTTGTCCCCGTGCCCATCTGTCATCCTTCTTGGTCATCATCCATCATCCACTAATTACGTCTTCTCTTTGTTGATCTGGCTGTGACGCATGTCTCGGGACTCTGCAACAACGGCAGTCCATTCGTTCTGTTTTCCCGAATCTTGACCCATCACTACTGTGGACTGATCAGCTTCGAAGCCATGAGCCCTGCGCGACGCCGTTTTGGGATAAGTGGACTTTTGGTCATTGATTCGATATCGTGAAACGCTGCTTATAGAATCCGGCAATCCATCGTCCAGTCCTCGCTTGCTTGCCATCAAGCCCATCACATCCATCACATCCTCCAATCTCACCTTGGACGCTTTCATGGGAAGATGGTCGACGTCGGCTCCAGCAGCCTGGGTCTCACTTATTTATCACATCGCAGAGTCCATGTCATTGGTGCCTTCGATACTCTTTTTTCACAATCCGCCCGTTGTGCATATACGGCTGGCCCTGTAATAGAGCGACGGTTCGCATCACTAAGCCTGTACTGTCGTCCCAGCATCCTTCTTCATTATATCGCGCACACGGGATGAACGGTGGCGACCGATGGTAATCTGCTCGTCTCAAGGTCAAGTAATCTCAACAATTGATGCCGCGCCGCGTGGACCACAGCTGTCGTCACCTCGAATCCTTCTTTCGTGTTTGTTTCAGTTGCAACGTTGTCCAGTGATCCGAGTGTAGAGTGTAGATCTTGACGCGTGCGTAGAGGCCTCCTTCGTCCGAGCAGTCGCACCCGAGCATCTAGATACGAGACGACGGCAAAGGTGTTGGGCGCAATGATAACACGATATGCATATTGCTGTATTGGACTGGGGCCAAAGCTGCCTCGAGCCGCCTCGACAGGTCACAGCAGGGACCCCTAGCATTCTCCCCGCACGCTACCACAAAAGAAACCTGCCGCAAATTCCCCGGCGCTAATGCCTAATACGGTATAGAGCTCCGAGCAGGCCAATCCCATTGGAACCTGAGGTTTTAGTGTCCAGGAACGACAGCGACACACACGCTAGTGAATTTTGACACAGCTGCGTCATGTTTCACACTTCCCTTCAATTTCAACATTCTCAAGAAACCTCAAAAAGAGTGAGCAGTCCCACCACATGGCGCTGAACAATCAGCAAGACGCCATTCCAGAGTCTGCCTATGCACAGATCCCAGCTTTCCCGCTGAAACCTGGCGCCCAAACTCAACATGCCGCTCCAGGTGAGCCCTCTGCGCCGCTGCCACCAGGCATGGCTTCGGTACGGCAGCATACCGCCGACGAGGTCTTGGAGTTGATGAATCGGGTGCCTCTGTTTATGACCACTCTAGATGAGACGGATGGCGAAGGCGGCGAGAATCTGGAGCTTGAAGCGCTAAAGGCGATGGCCTATGAAGGCACTCGTGTCGAAATTGCAGCAAACTTCAGAGAGCAAGGAAACGATTGTGCCAAGACAAAGAGCTGGTCGGATGCGAAAGAGTACTACGACAAGGCATTGACAGCCCTGAGAGGTCCCCGGAATCCCTCTGGTGATCCGGAGATTGAAACAAACGTGGTCGATCTGGATGAAGAGGAGGCAAGAGAAAAGCAAATGGAAGAGGCCTGTTACGTTAATCGCGCACTATGCAATCTGGAAAAGAGTCCGTATTCCGCATTCTCTCTTGACAGCCCCTCACCTCTGCCGTCGTTTATCCCAGTTTGCTCCTGACACGTACGCAGAAAACTACGGTTCCTGCATCCGTGACTGTGCCTCCACACTTCGCCTCAATCCACGTAACGTCAAAGCCTTCTATCGCTCTGCTCAGGCCTGCCTTGCTCTGGACAAGATCTCTGAGGCTCTTGACGCGTGCTCTCATGGCCTCGCCCTTGATCCCTCTAACGCTTCCCTGGAGCTTGTCCTCTCCAAGACCAAGGCCCGCAAGGCACATCTTGATAAACTCATACGTGACCGCGAAGCGCGCGAGACCAGAGCTCGCAATGAAGCGGCAACTCTAGCCCACGCGCTTAAAGCACGCAACATTGCCGTTCGCAGCACTGGCCAGACACCCGACATGGAAGACGCAGCAATGCACCTCGACACTCCCACGGACGCCTCGAGCACGCTCAAGCTCCCTCTAGTGATTCTCTACCCCCTGACTGCACAGACAGATTTCGTCAAGGTGTTCGCAGAAGACGAGAGTCTCGGCCAGCACCTCAGCTACATCCTGCCTGTACCATGGGACGAGGCGGGCGAATACACTCCCGCTAGCGTCGAGTGCTATTTCGAGACATGTACCGGAGGTCTCGTAAAAGCAGGCAAAAAAGTGGCTCTGCTAAAGATTCTCGCCGGCGGGAAAGTCGAAGTCGTCGACGGCATGTTGCGCGTGTACGTTGTGCCAAAAGCGCGCGCGCCGGCGTGGATCGAGCAATGGAAGGCCCGCCGCGCCTGAAGCTTCGGCCTCACAGCTTGTCATCATCATCATATTACTCCGACTTTCCGAACGACTACTATTTTTTTTTTTGCGCGAAGCCTTGCGCACGCCCCAACCGTGTCACTGCCCTACGGGTACCTTCCGGGTATCTCCCTGCTCAAAGCGGCCCCCACCCCACGCTCCAGCCAGGATAACCCCCGAGTCTCCGTCGCACAGCATTGATGCCGGCGACCGGAAAAACGCTCGGGTCGCCGCACGGGGTCTCGCTGCGATGGCGTAGCGCGCAGACCGTGCGCCCCGGACTCTCCTAAACATCTCTCAAGTTCCATTCCCCAGTCATTCAACGGTACTGCAGGGATCCTGAAACACGGGTGATCTCGGTAAGTTGCACGGAGCTTGTGTCGGACAGTGGTGGCACCACTCGTCACCATACTACTGCGATATCTGCGATTTCGCTCATCTAATCATCGTACGATGGAAAAATCTTCTTTGTGCTGGTTTTGTCACGGCGCAGCGTCACGCACACGCACGCAGGCTTGAAGAAAGGGGAAGGAGAAGAGATTGAAGGGAGATAATTAGCAGTACGACGGGATAAAGTTTCACGTCAGGATTCTGGGCCCCGCATGTCCGCGCCAGATAAGAGAGGAGAGAGAGGAGAGAGGAGACAGGCGGGGGCGCGCGTGGTTCGACACTGTGGAGCCAATCGAAATGACAGGATTTGTGGGTTGGTGGTTGGATGTGGGTTCTTTTTTTCTGTCTGTTGTTTTCCAGAGGCTTCACACGTTCTACTACGAAATCTTGCTATTTTTATTATTATTATTGTTTCTCCGGAGGGACCGGTGGTGCTAATTACTGGTTTCATTGGGTCCGGGGGGGGGATAAAAAAAAAGGAGAAAAGAAACATAATCCTGCCACACACACACACACACACACACACTGCAGTACTGCAGTGCAGAACACGTCAGGATAGATCGCTGGCACCGCGGGAGGGAAGGATGGATGGATGGAAGGGAGGAAGGACCCTTCTCGCCGCGGTGTTCTATTCTAGTTGTTCTACTAGCCTGCAAGGCTTCTTGGGAAAACGACTCGCACCTGTGTCTATGTATGTATGCTGCAGTACATAGTCAGCGTATAGAAGGTCGATGCGACACACAGCACAGCATAGCACAACACACATCAAACTCGACACACCACACCACACCACCCAACCAACCACCACATTTAAACAAAAAAAACCCCAACATCAAATTTTATAAAGAAACCTATCGAACATCTCATCACAGCGCTAGTTACCTTACCCTACCTTACCCTACCCTGTCCTGACTTACCTATCCTACATACAGCACACCGATCAAGTTCATAAACACAATCACACACATAATTAACCAAACACAACCCAGCTTACCCAGCTTACCCAGCCTACTCAGACGAAACTAGATATAAACGCGCTAATAAGCACCCCTCCCCTCGATCTCGACGCTCGTGTATCTACGATGTGAATCGGCGTGGATGGGTGTTGGGTGTGTGTGTGTGGACGGATGGATGGATGGATGGATGATGCTATGATATGTGTGGATGGATGATGGGTGTTGGCTTGGTGACTTGGTGACTTGATGACTATGACTTGATGACTTGATGACTTGGTGACTTGGTGACTTGATGGCTGTTGGCTTGATGGCTTGGTGACTTGACTTGGTGACTCGATGATACGACGTTGCTGTGGACGGGTGGACTGTATGCGTGTATGCGTGTATGTGGGTATATAGTACGCATACTACGCATATCCACATAATACGCATGTACGCATCTATGTACATAATATGCATCTGTGTATGCAAGAACCCATACCTCGCATACCTCGCAAACCTTTCAGTCCAAGTCGTCTCCACACACACATTCTTTCTCCCTACTACATCTCTACCTCCCAACTTTTTTCCTTCTTCCCACTCCAGGCAGGGGGTTTTACTACACGTTTCCTTGCTCTCTATCTATCTTATTTCTCCCCTGAATTTTTTTTTCATTTCTCGCATTTCTCTAAATCCTGTTTCTTCATCTCGTATTTCCCCCTGATTTTTCTCTTTATTTCCCTTCTTCTTTATTTCCCTTTTTCCTTTTTTTTCTTTTTTTTTGGTTTTGTTTTTTGCTTTTCGTTTTCTTTTTTTTTGCAAAGCACTTGGATGCATGCGGAGCATACGTACATACATGTATGCATGACATGCATATACCCATATTATATACCCCACATATGTAGCACGTCTACATGCATGCATGCATACGACATCCTAGAAAGCTGTTTTTGTTGAGTTTTTTTTTGGCTGTGATGTAACGTCGATGGTAGGTAGGTAGGTAGGTAGGTAGATTATAAGCGCGAAGGGGGAAAAGGAAAAAGTAGTAAAGTAGTAAGGATGGTTTTGGGCTGGGTTCATAGGCTTGCTTGGATGGGTTTGGGCTGGGTTGGGTCTGGGTTGATAGTATGGATGGGATGGGATGAGTGGAATATTGATGAACGTGTGTGGGTGGGTATAGGTGGGTGCATGGTGTGTGTATGTGGATGTTTGTGGATGTGTTTGTATACGTATGTATATGCATACGTGTCTGTATAGGTATACATATAATATCGAGCAATATAGTATGTTATCCAGTAGTATGATGTAGTGTCACATAGCATAATATAACACAATATATCATAACATAACACAATATATCATACCACAAGATAGTATAACACAACACAGTATAGTATAACATAATATACTATAATATCTAACAGTATAGCATAATATAGTGTAACACATAATACACTATAGTATAACACAATAGATCATAATATAGCATAATATAGCATAATATAGCACAACACAATACGCTATAGTATAGCATAACATTATATATCATAACACAACACACTATGTCATAATACATTATAACACAACACACTATAACACAACACACTATAACATAATACACACTATAACATAATATATCCCAAAGTCACACCACACACCACACACCACACACCGAGTCAAGTCCGACCACGTCAGCCTACAGACTTCCATCTCCTCATCTCACGTCTACGCGTCCTCCTTATTGCATGAAAGGACGGATGAACACGGAAATACATGAATCAAACGCCAAGTCACGGAGTCACTCAAGCAATAAATGAAAACGTTACTATACAATAGAACATGCACCATTGAAAGAAGTGAGACAGCACGATTTAGATGCTAGATAGACTGGTACGTAACCTAAGCTATGCTATGCTGCCTGCGCTATCCTATCCATGTTATTCATGTAGTCCATGTCATCTAGATCCACATCCAGGTACAAACACTCAAACACACACACACACGCACATACGCACATACACACGCACACACACATACAATCAATCAAACAAGACCGAAAACAAAAACTAATCAACTAGTCCTAGAACCATACCTACCCTACCCTACCCTACCCTACCATACCTACCTCCCTAGCCTCCCCAATTCACCCAACGGAGCGCCCGCGTCCCGAAAGACTAATGACAGACAGACTGACATGCAGTCACTGACAAGTGCGCTGACAGCCTGACAACCTGACAAGTGTGCACTGACAAAGTACTCTATGCATTGACAAAGTACACTGACAAGTCCACACGAACAGCCTAACAACCTGACAAAGTACGTACTAACAGCCTGACAGTCTAAACAGCCCGACAAGCGCAACCACCATCCAAACCCCCTCCCTCCCCTCCTCCTCCCTCAATTTCATCTCACACAAATTGCATGCTAAACGACCTCCCAAACCCCCCCTCCCCTCCCCTACCCAAACAACCCCCCCAAAAAAACACCCAATTAGTGGAAGTGGGGATGGGGTGTGTGGAGCGGCAAAATGTCATTCTTTTAGCGTACCACGTTTTGATAGTCAATGCTTGTATCAGATTGAATAGATTTTATATTTTGTTTATAATTAGTATATATATAGATAGATAAATGGAGAAGGGGGGGAGATTGAGAGGGGGGGATAGATTGAACAGATTCTTGGGTCGGGCTGCGATGCTAAAATAGGTGGCGGCGGCGGCGGCGGCCGGGGCGCATGGACGGTTCCGTGCTTTGTTTGCTTCGGCAGTGTTATGTGTGGATGGATGGATGGATGAATGGAGTGTGACAGGTAAGCTGACAGGGCGGGACGAGACAGGACTAGACAGGAGAATCTGACAAGTAAATCGACGGGTAGGCGATCGGCTTAGGTTAGTGAATGATAAGTAAACAATCTTATGTCGTACGATTTTGGTCATGGGCGGCGCACCAAAGAGTGCTGGTTAGTTTTCTACGATATTCGTTTCACATGGCAAAATCACACCACATAGTTATGTTGTCACAAATACTGGCGTCGGCGATGCCGCTGGATGGCATACGTACGACGGCCAGTACCGCTAGACAGACCTCCAAGGCACAGCGTTGGATGCTGCGCCGCCCGGAGAAGGCACAACGGCAGACAGTCCAAATGGCCCAGCACACAAGAACGGTGCCCGAGGCAACATTCTGCCATGCGCATGCACCGACTGTGCCATCGCTTTCAGGAGTCCAAGAAAGGTTTGTTCAGGAATGTGTATTCGACTACGTTGCAGTTGCAGTAGGAGTACTTCGCATTCCTCAGCCACCACGCTGAAAGAGCCAGAATGGGCCCTACGGACTTCCTCCTTTTCGACCCTCCTTGGGTATTTTTGTGTCCATCCTTGTTCATGCCCATGTCTCTCTGCACCTTTTGACCATTACATACTGATGCTTATGCCACAAGCTGGACGACACCACCGGCCTCAGTAATCTTGCGCTCGGCCTCCTTGCTGAAGTAGCGGGCGCGGACGATGAGCGGGACTTCGGGGATGCGGCCCTTGCCTAGAACCTTCGAGTATCCAAGGGGAAGGAGGTCGAGAACGGGAGCGGTGCCAGAGGACTTGTTCTTGAGGTATTCATCGCGCTTCTCAGCAGGGATGAGAGCCCAGAGCTTTAATTAACATCAGCATTTGCGGCCATATTCGGACAACACTTTAATGTACCTTGTCGAGGTTGATGACGGGCTTCCAGAACTGGTTCTGAAGCTTGTGGAAGTATCGCATACCAACCTTTCCGAAGTAACCGGGATGGTACTTGTCCATGTTGGTACGGTGGTGGTCTGGCCGTGGATCAATACAGACTTCCATCATCGAATTCTTCTTACTACTCACGCTGACCACCGGCAAGACCACGACCACCGGGATGCTTGCGGTGCTTTCCGACACGACCGTGACCGGCGGAGACGTGACCGCGGCTGTAGACAGAATGTTAGCAGGAGACCCGATTTGCGACTATTCGTGATCGTCGGAGGCATGTCGCGCAATCGCAAGCGGAAACATGGCCAATCCAATGATAATAGTCATTCGAGGGATAGAACATACTGCTTGCGGGTTTGAGACAACCGAGTAGGCATTTTGGGATGTGATGCTGTTGGTTAGTTTGACGATGCAATACTAGATGTTCGTGTGCGCGATAATCTCGAGCCTCGCTTAAACTAGTGCGAAAACGTGACTAAGCACCAAAGTACAATATACTCACGTGATCAGATCTGTATCAATAAGACTTATCCTGTAGCAGTACTCTAATATTGCCTTTGATCAAACACAAGGCAGCATGCTACGTTGGTTGATCATCTTCAATATGGATACAGTCATATATAAAACTATGCATGCTATGGACGGTGTGAGGGGATGCTCCATCTTCTACAGAACCCACAAAAACGGACCCATATACGCATAATCATCTGATTCGGTAGCCGTGGGCTCATGTTCGCATAATGATTAAGGTAGCCAAATCAATTCCAATACGGTGTCCTCAGTCCGGTGAACCCGGCGTCACCAGCATCTTCCTTCTTGCGCTGGCCAGCAAGCTATGTTCGTTAGTTCAGGAATGGCATAATTCTCGACTCCTTTACTTACCTCCAACTGTATGTGCCGATGTACATGTACGAGCCAATCGACATAGCTTTGTGCCTCATTATTTCGATCTTCGTACAACAGTCGAGCAAACTCGTATTCCGCACCATCAAGTCCCTGGCGAGCCAACTGGATGGTCATGGCTTTCGAGCCCCTGGACCCTTCCAAGTACTGTAGAATGTTCCTCACTTGTGCGTTCAAGTGTGTCTCCAATACCGGTATGGAAGATGAAAATGCGTCCAAGACCTTAAGAGAGTTTCGGCCTTCCCCATACAAGTCCTCTAGTAGATTTGGAGAGACCTGGGCGTGTAGCCAAAGCAGACAGATCTGTCCGTTGTCCACAATGTAGGCGCCGCCTTCCTCGACCTTCGAATAGGACGCTCGTATAGCCTGGGGCATACGTAGGTGGCCATTCTCGTTGGGAAATCCGTCTTTCTCGTCGAGGTTGTGGATGGAATAGATCCGAGGGTAAAGATACAGAGACAATTCCAGTGTACCCATAGACCTGATCATTCTCGCGTCAAAGACGCGGCGATCTGTTGGCTCTTTCCCGTTCTTGAATGCTCTCGACTTGATCAGACCGAGTATATACATGCTGAACTCTTTCAGATTTTCAGGCAGTACCAATTGTCCAGGAGGATGAGACCCAGAGAAGTTCTTCCTATAGCCGGCTAATATGTCAATGGTCTTTTCGGTCAACGCCTTGCGTATATCTGTACGTGTTTTCTCGCCTATCCTGGCAGCAGCTTCCTTGGCGATGATATTGACGACAGCATCCTGGTCGATAAATTTCATGGATTCAATAGCGCCCTCACTCACGCTAGCTACCAAGTTAGTACAGCGAACGCGTCGTTGTCCACCAGCCGTTGTGTACAGTAAAGCACTCTGGAAGTGTGCATCCAGCTTTGGGTCAAGCTTGCCATCATAGCTAAACATGACGCCTACTGATTTATCTGCGTCGATGCTTCCGAATTCCAGATCAGCTCCCAGGTTGTGATGCCAGAAATTGCCGTGATAGGCCGAGACTTGCAGGCCGTTCGAGCAACGAACCTTCATCAGAGCCTGGTAGCCAGTCTCTCGAGTCACTGTATGCGTAATTTCCTTTGAGAGCTTCAGTAAGTCTCGAGGGGAATGGAAATTTGGGTAATAGAACGCCTCGCCACCTGAAAATGCCGATACATGGCCAACAGTCGCAATATCGAGGTAGCCTCCGCTTGGAGCAGCCAGGAAGAAATCAACGCCAATACCAGCTTCAACCAAACTTTTCGCAACTTGTCTGAACCCAGGATGCTCCGTGGTGAGTAGTTTCTTCTCTCCGTCGGTGTCAAGCATCTTGCCATCGTCTCGAAGATGGAGTCGGCCCGGGCCCCATGTAGGTAACGATGCCAATGAGCAGATAATCTTACCACCGGTAGCTTTCAGTGCTGCCGTTGCAGCATGTAGCGTCGGCAATAACGCCGGCTCCGGATTCTTGATTGAGCCGAACATATCGGGTAGGCGGGTCAGGAGAGAAGTGATATTAGCTTTGGACTCAATGGGGTCTACGAAGAGACCCTCGCTCAGAGGCACGAAAGGATCCTCGATATCCGGCATCACCAACATTTGAGCCTGTTCCAGGCTGGAGCTCAAGTTGTAGAAGTGTATTTCTTTATCGTAGGTGACAATGCCAACCTTGGCCCCTGGAGGTGATGTCCGGCTCCCGCCTCTGCCTTCCGATTGCTCGCTGGTCTGGCCATCCTCTCCGTACAGGGCAGTCAAGATGCCGTCACAAAATCCGTCGAGAAAGGCGCGATTGATAGCCTCTGCACTCACATCAATTAGGAAAAGCCAACGCAGTCCCACTGGCTCCTTGGTCCAGTACTCCTTTGGAACAATGTATTCTACTGTGCCCATACTGAGTTCAGGCCTTTGCATTCGGTCAACGCGAACACCAGATGGGTCCGTCGGAGAGAAGTATTCTGGTGGAACGTCGTTTGCAAACGTACACATGTTGCAAACGAACTTATTGCCTCCATTGCGGAATGGCATGAAAGGGTTGATGTAAGCTCTACATCTTCGACACCGAGGCGGTCCGGTATCACCAAAGTCCAGAACTGGTATAGGTTGTTCGCCTTCTTGCAAGGGTGCCAAGGGCTGGAGTATTAAACCGAGCGGTAGATGGGTTGAATTTAAAGCCTCGCCATTGGCAGGGATATTGTTCATGGTGAGACGGGCGAACTTTGGGGAAGAATTGCCCTGATCGAACGCAACGAAAGGTACAGCGGAGGGAGGTGGAAGGTGCTGTTCCATAGTTGGATACACATGATCGAGGTAATATTGAGCAGGGCCATCTCTTGACCGAGGTATGCTAGGTATTTGCTCTGGATCCACTTGACCTGACGCTGTTGATGCTGGGGCGCCAGTCGGAGCGGGACTCTGCTGGATATGACCGATTGCTTGTGGCATCCCTGAATTTGATGCTCCAGCTGAAAATTGTGGCATCGCAGAACCGGCCTGCTGTCCAACAAATGGTCCTGGTGCTCCCTGCGCAGGCACGAATTGCGATCCAGCACCTTGCGGGATACCGTTGAAACCCTGCGAGCTTCCTGCTCCGCTATCCAGTGTATGATATGCGTGTCTGTCCTTCTTTTTCCGCGCCGCTGGCATGTTCGGCTGGACATCTGCACCTATTCCCATACCGCCCATTTGCTGTGCAAGTCCACCCATGGGGTCTTGCAATTGCTGGCCAGGTAGTCCAGCTGGTGCCTGCATCGCCTGCGCTTGAGGAGGTTGGGTCGGGAAATAGCCTTGCTCTTGTGTCTGATCCGACGCAGCCTGTCCATATGATGAGCCTGTCTGCTGATAGCCACTAGGGCTTGGAGCAACTTGTGGTCTCCATTTAGGTGCTTGCTTTTTAGGTTCTTCGTTCCGTGGCGAGTTCAGCGGTGATCCTGCATGCGTAAGGGCAGAGTACATGGAGAATTCGGCCATGATGAGTCTGGCCAAGATCACTCGGGTGGTAGAGGGGAGGTCGTCAGGTAAGTTCTATACTCATGAGACCGATGAGGGGAGAAGTGGAAGGATCATGATAGCAGAATCGAAAATCTCAATGGCGTGGAAAATGTGGCGAACATACGGAAGAATTTGGGCGTGGGAAGTAGTCTGTTCGGCAGGTTGTCTGCTCGCGATTTTGACACTATGGCCTCAAATGCGCGTTGCAGATCGGCAACCTTTCTTAGTCCATTTATGGAGTGGTAAATAGCCCCCCCGGCCACTACCGCGCCTTCATCTTATGTAATCCAACGCTCGGGGGTCCGCAAAGACATGAAGTCAACATCGTTGTCTTCTATTGTGAGACTGCCGTTCACTCATGCACGTGTAGTCAAAGCAGCTCTAGGAATTGGTTGGAGCTCGATCAAATTAAATACAGTAAATTGATAGCAGTAAGTTTCCAAAGTCTTAGTATACTCTACGTTGTTCGGTGTTCAGGTACAACGTTCATGTTGCCGCACTTGTACAGTGTGCGCCTTCTCTACGGCCATTGCCGATCTATGTTGAAATGGCGTAGATAATTGTTGAAAAGCACATCCTTTCTCAAGTGCCCATGTATGAAAACAACGAAACTTTTTGAAATTTGTGGTATATCCCCGCGTGACGCCTTGTTGTTGAAAGAAGATTTGCTTCGCCATGCAATGCCAATCAGATAATGCAGTCGTCTAACGGGACGATATAACTCCGTGTGGGTTGAAGTTGATTCACCCACTCATGCTACTACACGCAACAACCTAGAACTTGAGAGTTCTTGGTTGTTCCCAGGTAAAAGACTGGTTGGTGAAGTGTCCATTTTGTGCGGTCTGGTTGTAGATGGGGTTGATGAGGTTAAGGTCCTTGACAATGACACCAGGGCGAAGGTCAAAGTTCTTGTGGATGATTTCGACAAGCTCTGCGGAGCTCTTGTCAGAAGTACCGTAAGAGTCAACGAAGATGGATAGAGGCTCCGCAACACCAATGGCGTAAGAAAGCTGGACGAGAGCACGGCGAGCGAGCTTCGCGTTAACCAGCGACTTGGCGATCCAACGAGCTAGATACGCAGCGGAACGGTCGACCTTGGAGTAATCCTTTCCGGAGAAGGCGCCACCACCGTGGGCTCCCCATCCACCGTAGGTGTCAACGATGATCTTGCGGCCAGTCAGACCAGCATCACCCTGAGGACCACCAATGATGAACAAGCCTGAGGGCTGGATGTGGTATACGGTGTTGTCATCAAGGTACTTGGCGGGAATGACCTTCTTGATAATCTTCTCCTTGATCTCCTTGCGGAGCTGCTCGGTGCTAATGTCTTCGCTGTGCTGAGCAGACACAACGACGGTGTCGACGCGCTTTGGAATGACTCCACCGTTGTCCTTCTCATACTCGACAGTAACTTGAGTCTTGGTGTCAGGTCTTAGCCATGGAAGGGAACCGTTTTCGCGGGCTTCGGTCATGGCTGCATTGAGACCGTGCGCGAGCTGGATAGTCAACGGTAGGAGCTCAGGGGTTTCGTCGGTAGCGTAACCAAACATGATACCTTGGTCACCGGCACCTAGCTTCTCTAGGGCCTCCTCGTAGTCTGAGTATTTGTGTCAGTAAAACTTAGTCGGTACATGATGGCTGGATTCGGGCTTACGCAAGCCTTGTGCAATATCCTAATTCCTGGGTTAGCAGTATTCTTAAATACGTTAGGATCATGAACGCTGTAACTTACCGGCGACTGCTCCTCGATAGCGACGAGAACGTTGCAAGTCTTGTAGTCGAAACCCTTGTCAGAGCTGTCGTAGCCAATGTCCTTGATGCTATTCTGGTCAGTGTGGCTCAATGTCTGAGAATTTGTCTAAAGCGTACGCGGCACGAATGATCTGGGTCTCATTAGTATAGTGGGCAAACTCAAGACGCGAAACCACCAACCTTCTGGTAGTCGAGGCGTGCCTTGGTGGTGATTTCACCAAAGACCATGATCATACCGGTTTTCGTAGCAGTCTCGCAGGCGACCTTGGACAGGGGGTCCTCCTTAAGACAGGCATCGAGAACGGCGTCCGAGACTTGGTCGCTAGACGCACAGTCAGAATAATGAAAGAAAACGACCTTGTTGGACGCGGGGTCATCTCGTACGCAATCTTATCGGGGTGGCCTCGACCGACAGACTCAGATGTGAAAAGGAAAGTTTCCTATAATGGCTCTGTGTTAGTCCTGGATCAATTGGGTGTATGCAGCTTCGCTACAGGTTGCGAGCGATGTGGAAAGACCAGAATTTAATTTTAATCGCACCTTTGCAGTTCCGTTGACAGCAGCCATTATAGCGGTGTGTGGATTGTGAAGGAGAAGAAAGGACTAAAAGAGGGATGTGGAAATGAGAGGAAGGTGGACAGTATGCTTGGGTATTTTGGGGTATCTGGAGAGAAGAGGTGGAGAGGAGGGTGTTGGATAGAAGTATGAGTGATCGGGGGGAAAAGAGGTGTAGAGAGCGATCCTGGCCAAAGTTCGGATGCCGAAATGCGGGCGGTAGAGCAACATGAACCGGAGAGAGAGGGGCAGACAGTCGGAGCGATTTGCTCGCTGGCGCTAAAGAAAAAAAAAAGGTCCCTAATCAAACACGAGCGAGCACGTCAACCTTCCAGCTTCTCACGTGATGAATTCAATCCAAGCTAGCTGTGGCACACTGTGACTATCAAACGGAATATCCCTCCGGAGCTTACTGCGTCATTCCGTCGGTGTATTTTCTCTGCCTATCATAGCCTCTTCGAGACAGATTCGCCAGCCCTCAAGATTCGCTCAGCGACCGTCTTGCTGCTATTCTGAGCCTCCCACCTTCATGAGCCGATCCTCCACGCTACAACCCTGACTGACACCTTGCATACCCGTTGTCTCCGTCGCGACGCGCATCTCCAGTACGCCGGTTCACAGTTTCCACTAACCGCTCTCTTTTCCCCACCGTCCACTATGAGCAAGTTCGGGGTCGTCGTAATGGGCCCAGCCGGTGCTGGCAAGACAACGTTTTGCACCGCCCTGATTGAACACCTGCGAGCGAACCGTCGATCATGCTTCTACGTCAACCTAGATCCTGCCGCGTCCGAATTCACCTTCGAGCCAGACCTTGACATTAAAGAGCTTATATCTCTCGACGATGTTATGGAAGAAATGTCGCTGGGTCCAAACGGCGGCTTGATATACTGCTTTGAATTCTTATTGGAGAATCTCGACTTCCTTACTATACCGCTGGAACAGGTCACGGAAGAGTACCTCATCATAATAGATATGCCGGGCCAGATCGAGCTATACACCCATGTGCCAGTCCTACCAAGTCTGGTCAAGCACTTGATGCGCGGTAGTCTGAATATAAACATGTGCGCGGCATATTTGCTCGAGAGTACATTCGTAGTTGACAAGCCGAAATTCTTTTCTGGAACGCTGTCCGCTATGAGCGCCATGCTCATGTTAGAGATGCCCCACGTCAATATTCTCAGCAAGATGGACCTTATCAAGGGAACAATCAAGAGAAAAGACCTTAAGCGCTTTCTGGCGCCAGACGTCAACCTACTAGATGACGGGGAGGCTGCGAAAAAGAGATCAAAAGCCTCGGAGGTGTCGTTTGACGATCCTGCAGCCACGACCAATATCATGACAGGAGCTTCCTTTGATAGACTAAATCGAGCAGTGGCTCAACTCATCGATGATTTCAGCATGGTTTCATTTCTACAACTCAACGTTCAAGACGAAGACAGCGTCGGCGCGATCCTTAGCTACATCGATGACTCAATACAGTACCACGAAGCCCAGGAGCCAAGAGAGCCTAAAGAGGATGTAGAGGTCGAGGTCGAGGGATGAAAGCTAGCACTAGGTCATGTCCAAGACTAGAAAATGATGCCAATGAGGCATCACAGCGCCATCTCACGGTGTGTCGAACAACCTACTGACCAGGACATACGAACAAAGTCACTCAGCACATGGAAGGCCGGACACACTGGCTGTATCAAACCTCGCTATCGGGGTCAATCAGCATTTGTGATTCGGGCCACAACACACATACACTTACGAGGTTGTAGGTGGTGATGTGGTTCGCAAAACCACAAAGACTTGTTGTCATATGGTAAGATGCTTCGGATTAAGGACCACGGTGCATGAGGGGCTACTATAACTATATGGTATACACAAAATCTGGATTCTCACGATCCGTGAGATCGAGGAACTCCTGATTTTCCAACTTCATATACTCTGGTTGCGCCCGGATAGCTGCTTTCTTCGCGTTTTGCTTCTTGCAGTACCACCAGATGAATGCCATGTCAAGGATACATAATCCCCAACATACAATTATGGTAATCTCTGCAGGTACGTATCGTGGCGCATCGCTTTGACGGAACGTCTGAGGGCCTGTCGCAGTCGTCAGTATCGGTTGGAATCGATCCAGGCGCCATGTATCCTACCAATGATATTACCAACGCAGTAAGCTACCAGGTACATAGCGGCAACCTGTTCTAATGGTTATTTACTGCCTATTATCATCCTGGAGGATATATCTTACAGTAGTCTTCTTGGTGTATCCTGCGACATTGGACGCGATGAGACTCAGCAGAGCGACGAAAGCCGTCGGGGACGCCTGAGTCAGATAGTATCCGGCCAGCCGTCCTGAGTTGTTGTCTAGTGGCAGAGCTACAATCAAAATCATACCAAGAAGCGCACAAACCAGTCCAGAGCAACCGAGCAAGATTCGGTTACCAATCTTATCACCAAAATAGCCGCAGGCGATCAGTGCAACTACTTCTACTGCTCCGCCTGGTGTGCCATAGAGCAAAGATTGCTGAGGTGTGTAGCCGAATCCGACAATCAGCTGAGAGAAGAAATTTGAGATCCCGCCTAGTTATGATGTCAATATCTTCCATGATCAATATATGGTCCGCACAAGTGTTCAGGCTTAATCGCCCGAAGAGGTGGACTTGTTGCGCAACGCATAGCTATATGAATATTCGGAGATAAGGGCTTACCATTGGGAATGTCTGCAACCAAGGCAAGGAACACAAATGCCCATGTTAGGGGGTCCGTGAAGGCTTCCTTGAATTGATAGATTTTCCAGTGCTTATTGCCCACACCCTGCCCGTTTCCCTTGATTCGTATCAATGCCTTGACGCGGTCCTCCTTGCTCAGCCACCACGCATTCATCTGGTTGTCCGGCATAATGATTAGAAACGCAATACCCATCACAATTGTCAAACAGCCGGTGAGCAGGAACACGATCCGCCACGGCTCCAACACAGTACCGTGCCTCTCGCTACCCACAGCAATCCCATACGCCACGAGCCCGCCGAAGATCTGAGCGAAGCCATTAAACGAAAACCAGATCCCAACGCGGAGCCCCTGCTCACGCTTCGTATACCACTGAGAAGTCAACAACGCAAAGCCAGGCGTGACGGCAGCCTCGAACACGCCCAGAAAGAACCGGATCGCAATCGCACCCGAGAAGTTATTCACGGCAGCAAAGCAGCTCAGCACCAAGCCCCAGATGATGATATTGGCAGCCGAGTACTTGCCCAGCGGCAGCCGCTGGATCAGCCGGTTGGTCGGATACTCCCACGCGAGATAGCCGAAGTAGAACAGACTCGACAGCCAGCTGTACTGTGTCCCGCTGATCCCGATACCGCTCTGCAGCACGTTGTCAGAGTGCGGTTGCTTTAGCCCCATGATGGATGCGTACGAGAGTGTCGTTTTATCGAGATAGTTGAGCCCGTAGACAAGGCACATGATCGGCATGATGAACATGTCGATCCGGCGTAACAGGCGCTTGTTTGTGGCGGCATCGAGCGCGATGACTTGGCCGCCGTAGGCTTTCAGGGCGTCGTACGCGGCGTCGGCGTCGTTGGCGTGGGCGAGGATGTCCTGTTCTACTTTGGCAACGTTGGCGGTGGTTATGCTGGTGTCGCTGTTGCCGGTTCGGGGCTGGGAGTCTGGCGTGGGCTCCGCGTCGGCCGGGGTGGATATGTCTTTTTCCATATCGATAGACTTGTTTGATCGAGTGGTTTGCGTTGGCATGGTGGCGGTTTGTGGGTGTGTGTGCTGCGCAGGGCAGCAAGTTGAATTGTGAGACTGTCGTGAAATCAATAGTATCAGGGTCGTTTGATCTATCGCGATATAGAGCTCGCCAGCTGCGTCACACGTTCAGACAATCAATATAGCTGATGTAGACAGGACACAGTTGGACTCCGTTGAATACCAACTGACGCAGAACCACTCTCGCATTCAATTGTTGACAGAATGGAGAGCAACCTATAAATATCATAAATCTCGATATCAACTGCGTCTCCACCCAGGTCTCAACGAATCCACCTCTGCCAGCATCGGAGGTGGATGATGATGATATATGATAGATAAGGTTTGCTCAGGCCCCGGCCGGTCTTCCGAGGATCTATCAACCTGATAACGGCCGCTGCTACCTAACCATCCAGGCTGCACGGTTCCCCGCGCGCGGCAATGTGTCCGTCGGGACTGCCCATCTTCAACGTCTTTGGCAGGTGGAATTGCTCAGGCTTGGCTTATGGATGGTACCAAATGGGACAACGATGGTTTGCGAGATGCAATGAGAGTGGATTATAATAGGTATCACGTTATTTAGTATGGGAAGTATAATTTGCCATCCGTACTTCATTCAGACCGTGATATCGACGCTAGTATAGCTTTCATCATAGGTTGATAGCGTAGGATAGACAATAAACAACGCTTGTTTAGCCATATAAACGTAGCAAGAACTGCCGTTCAAATAGACAAAAATACAAAACATTCAGCAGTGGGTATTCGCTAGTGGTCACCCACCTAACTACTAATCCACCCCTAACCAGCTTAAATAGGCGGGAGCGAACGGGACCGCTTGCTTTCTGGTTGGTATGGCCGAATGTGAAAGCAGTTCTGACAGCAGTGTTTATGAAGAGTAAAGAATCATGGCCATCGTTGCATTCATTACTAGTATCGTTGGTGCGCCATTTAAGAAGTAGCCATTTCCCTCAAAAGAGAAGTTTCTTCCTTGTTTATAGACGAATGTCATCAAACAAGGCTGCCACAGTAGACAGTTCGCTAGCTCGTCATGGTCTTACCCAATTATATATTGAAGACACATAACGACGGAATAGACAGGACCAAAGCTATTTTAGGGTTTTGCAGAACACGTGAGGCAGGGTGAAACGGCCTCGTGCTTATTGGCTCTGTTTCAGGAGATTTTAGTAGGCAATACTGTCCCCGTAACTGTAAGTAAGCGGTGCTGGTGCTGAGGAGCCCGGAGCATGGGCCAAAACGTGACACCGTGCCACCGTGCAGACTTTCTGGAGATTGCGCCCAATCTCTGTATTCATCGTGTCTTGTTTTGAATACTTTGTACATGCCCTCGCTCATTCACCATACGTCGACATGCTCTTCACTTCTTGTATCTAGTATCAAGACCTCATTGTGAACTCATCGGTTCCTTGCTCGCTGACTCTCGTTCTTTCCCCGGATCCCGGCGTTCTTGCATCTGTCACATCACGACACCAATAGCTGCATAGAGACGTCTTGATTCCTACGAGTATATTGCCTCTGCCACTGACGACATGTCCTCCACTCCAAAGAAGCCGCCTGTCTCTGGCGCATCCTCCCGGCCTTCCTCCAACCCCTCCTCATCCCCCGGTCAAAATGCCCGTAGTCCGTCCCGAACGACGACGACAACGCCAGCCTCCTCTTCTACAACAGCTCCAGCTCCTACTCGGACTAGATCGCTTCGAAATGGCGCCCCGCTGTCGGCGCGAGCTGCAGCGCGGAAGCCGGGGGCTCCTTCGAATCTCAGTACGTCGGCATCGCAGGACGATGCTGCCGCTGCCGAAGATGCCCGCGCGGAATCTGCTGCTGCCATACAGGAATTGAAGGACCAGTTACTGAAGGCAGAAAGTACATCAGACGATCTTCGTAAGCAAGTAGAAGTCTTTCAAACTCGCCTCGACGAGTCGCACAGCGACCAAGCGAAACTTGAAGAGAAGGTTCACGAGGAAGAAGAAAGGAACGAGGGTCTCGAAAATGAGAAGCGTGAGCTCGTTCGACAAAGGAGGGAGCTCGAAAGCATATACGAAGCGGAGCGGGCCTCGTTCATGAAGCAAAAGGACGAGTCACAGACTCGTGAAGATGAACTATCGGAGATTATCCAGAGGCTGAAAGAAGGCCAGGCGCACCGTGAATTGCGGCCAGGGCCTGATAACGACGGGAAATTGTCACGGAATTGTAAGGTCCCCAGCACAGCCTCCTCACATCATCGTCCACACTGCACTGCCCTTACCAACCTGAGTACCCAGCTGACGTAATTCAAACAGCAAGCTTCAGGAGCAACTCTAGGAAGAACTCTGAACAAAATATTAATGACAACGGCCAGTTTGCACCTCCTGGATCAGTTCAACGAAGCGACTCGCGGAACAGCTCTAAACTCCTACTACAGAAGGACAAGGTCATCGAGTCACTCCGACTAGAGCTCGCTGAAGCACAGATAAAACAGGTTGAGTTGGAAAACCAGGGCGGCGGTCGGGTTCAAGAGCTAGAAAGACTGCTCATGGAAGCTCGTATGACCAACGCCCGTATCATGGAGGACAATGAGAGCTTTCAAGTTCTCTTGGGCGAGAAGACTCTTAATGGCGATTTCGCTCGTGGAGACTTTATGCGCGGCACAAATGATATGAATGAGCGACCGTCGACTAGTAATGGTCCGAGCACGAGTCTCGCCGACGAACTTGAGTCTGCCGAAGAGGCTGACGAAGCCGAATATACGAAACGACTTGAGGGAGAAGTGAGCAAGTTAAAAGAACAGAACAAGGCTCTTACGCTATATATCAACAAGATCATCGAGCGTGTCTTACAACATCAGGGCTTCGAGTCAATCCTCGACAAGAATGATCTAGACCTTCCAAGCGCGACGACCACCCCTTCAAAGCCCAACACAGACAAAGACCTCCCACCTCCACCAGTTCCCAAAGAAAACTCATCCTTCCTCCAGCGCGCCAAATCAGTCGCCCAACGTGCCGCGACAGCAGCAACAACCTCAAATACCACTTCTTCCGACAGTCGCAAATCGCGCCCAATGTCCTACATCCCCCCACCTAATCCTAATGGAACGATCCTCAACGAAAACCCCGACACCGCACCCTCTGTCCCCCTCAGAAACAACCCAAACCGCAACTCATCTGGAAACTTCCACCGCCGCTCGAATTCCGAATGGCCCTCCGCCAGCATTGTGTCAAACATGTACCGCGGCCCCCTGCCGGCAAATACTTCCGGCCAAGTCTCACCCGGTATCGCATCACCCCGGAACTCATTCTTCGGTTCGCTGCCCGGTGGCCCTGCACCCTCGTCATCCGGCTCTCGCGCGCCGTCTGCTACATCAGCCCCACCGGGACCAGGCCACGCGCGAGCGCCAAGTTCGGACGAGAACAATCGCCCTGGCACAACGACGCCGAATGAAGGCAGCGTTAGTGCCGAGGGTGGGAGCGTCAGTCTTGACACACCAAGCCCGCCGCGCAGTGTTGCCAGTAGCTTTGACCGACAAGGCGGCCCTGGTGGCGGAGCCGTCATGAGCGGACGTGGGCCTCGGCCACTGAGATTGGTACAGGAAGCACAGGAGCAGGACGCGGAGAGTGAGAGGGCGCGAAAGGCAGCGAATCGGGGCAGTTGGATCCCGACTGGATGGTTTGGAAACAAGGCGGAGCAAGGCCCATAAGAGAACTTGTGTGTGGCGCTACTTGAATAGCGAAGAATTGCTGGTCAAGAAGTTCGAGTGGTTGTTGAATTTGACCTGGGTTGTAACCTGTTGTAACTTTCTCGTTGGTGAAGGGCTTCTTGGAGAGTTCGTAGGGATGTGTTTGGGCATGGCTGGTCTGGCACTCTGACACATTTTTTTTGGGAGTCATGGCGGATGATGGCATGAATATGCGCTTATCGTCTTTTTCCGTAAAACTCAAATGATATCCTTTCTCAGGGGTTTGACATAAACTCTACACTCTGGGGCTTTGATCTTCTTTATCATACGTATCCTCCGCCTTTTTTCGGGCAACAGCCATGGAAGTCGGACATTGCGGATATCCCTGATCTGATATCCTTAGGAACACACCGCCGTCTACAATACGGGTGCCCCCTCCTTCCATGTACATGCGAGATAGAGGCGAGGTATAAGGTAAATTGCGAATTTTGAGAGTGTCTCTTCGGGGCCGCCAATGCCGGATATCATCAGCAACTTTGTAGTGTCTGGACGGCGCTGGCGGCGAGAATGATATCTTTGGATGCTATCGCGAGCAGTGTGTTGCTGCTTCTGGAATCTGTCGGGATGAGTCTGGTGGTGGGGCCTCTTTTCTGTCTTCGGATATGATTTGGAGGGCCTGGGAGGGTTGTTTGACGATGGGATTTGCCGTACTTTCGGATTGGTTCATGATGAACACTGTAAGATGTCGTTCGGTGGCTGCGTAGAGTCTTGAGTGATGCATTGATTGTTGGTCTGCGCCTGGGGTATAACTAAGATTCAGATCGTCCGATGCGGATGTCTTGGTTGCTTTCATAGCCTGGACCTAGGCTACGGTATAGTCGAGTGTGAAGGTAGGGTATCGACGACGCCAACTATCCCAGCTATCTGTCCTGCTTCAAGCACCAACACACTCGTCGATAGAACCTCGCTGAGGCGGTGCGGTACGGCTGCTTCAGATCTATCTCTTGTACATACGAACTTATCTGTGAGGTGACGTTTAAGGAGAGCAGGTGGCAATCTCGAAAGCGAATCTTTGACTCCACTACTGATTTCTGTGATGGTTGTTTCGTTTGGGGGGCTACTGGCAGAGGTTCTATATACGGCGGCAGCCATGACAACGCAATTGCTCACGTACATGTCTGTTAATGGAATGTAGTGGGATTTGTGACTGCGAGATAAGCATTGCTGATGTCAATGTCTATAGCAGCCATGTCATCGTTTTATTATACAATGGTCTTTAAATCGGGACTGGCGGCGAGGCGTACACTCTCTCATCTCGAGTGTCGATGTAATTAATGTTGAACCTCGACTTGATCACTGTGTAGAGCCGCAAGCAGGCTATAGATGAGCTATCGACTTCGGCGGAGCTGAAATTCGTGCCTGGATATGCGAAGTTCCTGGAGATATCGGAAAATTGGGTTCTAGTCCATGGTTCGTACCAAACTCGATGGCTTTTGGGACACTTCCAGGAGCCTTTCTGTCCCGTTTACGTCATCGCTCAGCGTTTCTATCATCCGTGCCAACGGCTGCCATATCTCCGAAAGGCTCTTCTACGATCCTTGCCCTGGATGGGGTCTTGGCCTTGACACTCTATCTAGACCTCCTGTCTATGTGTTACTGGGTGGGACTGTGGGAGACTTCTCTGCAGATGCGTTGCTGCTGTGAAGGTCGGCTCTAGACATAGACCTCAGGAGGCAGTAAACGTGGAACTTCATCTACTGAAGGTAACTGTTGGGATCTTTCAACACCCCTGAAGCGCAGTAGGCCCTATGATCAAAGACCAGCATCAGCCATGGACAGTTTCAAGGTCATCTTCTGTATCTGCTCGTGTCGATAATATAATCGATGTTATTGATGAGCCCTCCTATCAAAACTGTATGGTGCCGAAATAAGCGGTATCACAGAATGATGCATCTATTTGTTATACCGCTGCAAAATCACCCCTTCATCTCTAGTCGAAATGTGTACATGGAAGAACGACAAGACGGCATTGATAACTTCACATGACGATCATATGAATGCTAGCCACGTACGTACGCACCGGCTTCAGGGTCCCGCCCGACAACCACAACTATAGCGTAATAGTGGACACGGGTTTGGAGACTTGCCTAGTGAGTTCTGTGACTAGTTCTGCATATCTATAAGCTGACACGTTAGCCTACCTCTACACTATCCGCCGCATTGACCTTCCCAATTCAGCAAGTAGAGTGAAAGATGCCTCTACCTTCGAGGCCGGAACTAAGGCCATATGTGGTAATCCCGAGGGGCCAAACTTGTTTGTCGGAGCTGTCGTCCCTAGCTAGCTGTGGTATTTACCTTTTGTACTATCACTTTGTCACCATCCCATTGTGTATAATAGATGAAGAACTTACGCGGAGACTGTAATCACTAACTGCGCGCCGTCACAGATGTTTCGTAAACAGAAAATCAAGATCCAGTAGATTGGTCACATTGTCGTCCATGATCATCAGTTTTGAGACTGTAAGCGTACTTTTCGACTCCGAAGGTCGGACTTGGTCCTCTTGTAGGCCCAATTGATGTGTCACCGTCTACTACAATGGGGCTCGGGAAGATGTTTACAAGCTTTTCGAAGGCTCCTTCCGATGTATCCGGATGCTTCAGTCGTTCGTAATGGTGTCTAAGCTATTTGGTGCCCTGATAGTCCCCCTGGGCGTGTATATAAAGGACTGATTATTTCCCTTTCGTTGAGACCATCAAGCCTTGCTTCTTTCACGAATAGATATCAACATCTTGGAACTTTTCCCGACAATGAAGGCAACCATTGCTACTATCCTTGCCACGGTTTTGGCAACAGCTCAAGCCTATGACGCTGTCACTGTGAGCAAGCAGACTTGGTTTGGATGTAAGTACCCTCCCTGAAACTTCAGCATGAAACCTAAACTTACAATCACAGACCCAGACAACTGCCTCGACGGTTACCACGCAGGCTGTGGCAACAACCAGGTTGCGTACAGCTGCGTTGGCCGCGGTGCCCGCGCTGGAGGCGATGGATCGTATGACAAGCCCCTGACATACGCGACCAAAAAGGGCGGCTCGCTCCACAAGCCATGCGAGATCACCTGGTTCCCGTATCTGAAAAAGTACCTTGTCATGGCAGACATCTGCACTGGCTGTAACGACAAGCAGATTGATATCTGGATTGGAGACGGCGACGGCGGTCAAGCTGAGCTCAACTGCGAGAACAACTCTCCATCTGGGGGCGGTCACAAGCTGATTCGTGACGGCTCAAACGGACATTCTCCCAACAGTAAGCATATAAGTCCGGATCATGATACTAGTAGCATGTGACTGACACAATAGTAGCAAACAAATTGTGGAGCAGCTCTGGTGGTTGCAAGGTCTCTCAGAATGTCTACCCTGACGGCAATTGAGCGCTTGCTGATGGTACTATGTAACGACAACAAGTACTCCAATGTGGAAATGCTTTGTACCAGATAGCTAGAAGTAATTCGATTATCTCAACTGGACGGATCAATTTTGAATTGTAAAATTTGAAAAGTGATTCATCAGTGTACGAGTACGTGCTCTCACAGTGTAGGAGCGAGAAATGAACCAGACTCAGACTGTGGAAGGGTTGATGACTGATACTAGAGTTTTCCCTTGTGCTTTATTCGCACCTCAGATCGTAGTCTTGAGATACTCCCCTATGTATATTATAAAGCTTATGTGCGATCTTCGAGGTCTAATATGGATAGTGCGTCCATCGCCCTGTGCGCTCAGCTCAGATATCCAATTTCATGTCATGCGAATATCCTTAGTTGCGAATGGTCTTTTGACACCAGCATAGGGTGTTGAACAAGTACCCGGATATGTTCTCATATATTGAGAGATGTATCTAATACCGCTACATCAGGAAGATGATATTGGAGGCCGCACGATATATCCGGAGTTTTGGCCGTTGCTCCTGACAACCGCACGCTAACCTCATTCAGGGACGGTCTACGCGAAACTCTCATGAGCTCACCGATGCGAGGTCCTATCCATTCATACACAACAAGATTGTTCTTGCATTGAGCTACGAACAAGCCTGATACTCATCCAGGCCGCTCATAGAGCTCATCTCTTCGCGCATTCTTTCACCCTTCCCCCAACAACATGAGCGTCCGCGTCGTCGCTCGAATCCGGCCTTTGCTGAAGCTCGAGATCGAAAAAGATGTAATTGTCACCGCCGAAAGCGTCGGCAATGAGAAGCCAGCCAGTCCCACGGTGGTCCGAATACCAAACCCTAAGAATGGTGCAGAGAGCTTTTCGTTCCAGTTCAACAGTGTCTACGAACAACACGCGACGCAACAGGACCTTTTTGACCACGAAATCGCCCCGACCGTGAAGCATTTGTTCAATGGCTTCGATACTACGATATTTGCGTATGGTGTTACGGGCACGGGCAAGACACATACGATGCGCGGAGGAAAATCTCTGGCCGAACGAGGCGTCATCCCGCGACTGCTTAGCAAGATATATAGGGAACAGCGAAAGATTGAAAAGAGTACGGCAGGGGCCACAGAGATTGAAGTCGCGATGAGCTACTACGAAATATACAACGATAAGGTCTTTGACCTATTCGAGCCGCCAGAAAAGCGAACACCAGCAGGCCTGCCAATACGGGACAACAATGGCAAAACAGTCGTCGTGGGCCTGACCGAGAGGCCGTGCACGACACTGAAAGAGTTTGAACAGCTGTATGACCAGGCCAATGTGAACCGGTCCACTTCTGCTACCAAGCTGAATGCGCACTCTTCGAGATCTCACGCGGTCCTCTGTGTGAAAATTACTCAGACGACAGAAACGAGCGTTCGTGTGAGTCGGGCGTCAGCCATCGACCTGGCAGGTTCAGAAGACAATCGCCGTACGGACAACAACAAAGAGCGCCTCGTCGAGTCTTCCAGCATAAACAAGTCACTTTTCGTGCTTGCTCAATGTGTTGAGGCAATAAGCAAGAAACAAACCAGGATACCTTACAGAGAATCCAAGATGACTCGCATACTCTCATTAGGGCAGAATAATGGCCTGACTATCATGATCCTTAATCTGGCGCCCGTGAAAGGTTACCACCTGGATACCCTGAGCTCGTTGAATTTTGCAAATCGGACGAAGAAGATCGAGGTATGCGAGGTCGAGAACGAGCCGGTGTTCCGGTCAGACACGAAGTCTTCTACCACGACCTCGAGTATAGCTGGAAAAAACATACAAAGACAGCCGCTTCGGGCTCTGGCGACGGCGCACAACATAGGCATCAACAAAGTTCCAAAGTCCGACAAACCGGTGAAGGAATTCTCAGTCTATTCAGATTCAAGAAAGCTGCCTCGAGCATCTGCCAATGCACCCACTGGCACTACACGCCGCTCGAATGAGACCCAAAAACGGCCTGCCGAGCAGTCAATACAAAGCCGCCCCTCGAAAGCGATACGCCCGGCTGTCTTCCGATCGCATCCTTCGGAGCCAGTCCTCTCAGCGGCTGCCATAGAAGCCATGATAGACGCTAAGCTGTCGGAGAAGTTCGCGGAGAGGGCCATCTCGGATGTGAATTCTGCGTTACCCGCGCTGCCTCCTGAGCTCCAGCAGCGATTGCTTGACTTGGAACGACGGGTGGAAGCGTCCACGGACAAGAGCAAGGAAGAGGGGCTCCACTTTCTCATGATGGCAAAACAACACCAAGCCAGAGGCGAGGATACGAGTGCGCTGAAGATGTATCGACTGGCTGTGCCGTACTTCCCAGATAACGAGAAGCTGGAAAGGAAGATCGCCGCCTTGGACGAAAAGATCCGCGAAGCGAAGCTTCAACAGGGACAGATTACCAAAGAGGACCAGTATTCAGAAGAGAACCCGCACATCCAAAACGGGAGGACGAATGGGAACTCATTCCAACATCAAGCTCCGGCATTCACATCTACATCCACCGACTCCTACGACCCGACCCCGTCATTCCAAGCCCCAGCCGCGCGAGCCAGTCTCAACGCCCCAGCAAAACGCTCTCTCTCAAGGACGACGAAACCCAAATCCCGCATCAGCGAGGAAGCCAGAAAGCAGCCCCAAGACGACCCAGACACGTCCGAATTCATCCCCAACGCCGACCTCGACGACGCCGACGAGAACGACAACGACAACGACGACGCATACACCTCCGACTCAAGCATCCAGTTCAAAAAACGCAAAACATCATACACCACCAAACCCAAACAGAAACGCGCTCCCAAAGTCGCCATCTTCCGCGACTCGATCTCGGCATCCAGTTCAGACCCCCTCCACCGCGAAACCCAAACCTGCACGACTATTACCATACCCCAAGCATCAGAACAAGCACAAGCACAACCACCACCAACCCCCCGCACAACCTCCCTCCTCAGCATCATCAACTCAAGAGACATCAAACAGATCCGTGCGCTCCGCGGCGTGGGCGCGAAGCGCGCAGAGACGATTGTGAATAATCTCGTCGAGATGGGCGGTGCGGATGTGCTTGATCTGGCGGCGCTGGCGGCGTTGAAGGGTGTTGGGGTGAGGTCGGTGGAGGGGATGAGGGCCGGGTTGGGGGAGCTGGATTTGTGATTCTAATCGGACGGGATGGGGGGATGGATGGATGGATGGATGAGGGAATGGAGAGGGGGGGAGAGGGTCGTGAGTGGATTGGTGAAGGGACGAAGGGGTTGCTGGATATAAGGGGAGGGGGAAAAGGGGGCGTTTTGTGTGTTTTTTTTTTGCTGTTTGGGTTGCGGTTCATATTAGCGTGGTGTTTGGGAGGATTTTGTTTTTTTGGGGGTTTGTTTCGTCTTTGTATAGCAGCGAGCGGCATGTTGGAAATAGCAAGCAAGCATACGGCATACAGCATACAGCATACAGCATACGGCATTCATACACACACATAATAGCTAAGCGCGTAGAATTTCCAAGGGCGTTTTTTTGTTTTCTCAAATCACCGAAAGTAACGCAATTGTAGCGTGCGTGATATCACACAGTCTCTGTCTGTATCATCGTTGTCTTTTCGTTGTCTTTGTAGTTTAGGTAGTTCATGTTTTGCGCGCGTATACACATGAATGCATGCATGACCAACCCGTAAGCGCAGCTCATAGATGCAGGCCAGTGTCTGTCTGTCCGTCCGTCCGTCCGTCCGTCCGGCCGTCACACACATAAACGAACAGTAAAGACGTGGCTTTCTTGAACACTCATATGCATGATTTCCGGGATATTTCCTCCTCGTCCTCATCCTCCGCTACATCGCTAGATCCTCCATCCCGCACTTGCATATACATTGATGCCCTTCCCACAGAACAAGCGAGAAACAACTAAAAAACAAGAGAAGAAGAACGACGACGACGACAAAACGCAGCCCATATTGTTACATGCCATACCATACTCATTGAGTTCAAATCAATTCAACATCTCCACTCAACGCCAGGCCAATAAGGGGATGGGGGATTGGGGTATAGATAGACCTGAGTAGGTAAAAGTCTGTCCACGACATCACTCCCAATCTTTCCCTTTCAAGATGATTATGATATCTCTTCAAACGCCTGGTTAAACGCCGCGTTGAGGTAATAGTGTATTATATATGCGCGTGTTGTTGTTGTGGTGCTGGTGGTGACAGACAAGTAAGTAAATGCGATATCGAGATTGAAAGGATATCGGGTTCCGAGGACACTTAGTATCTGTGGGACAAAGCATATATTAGTATTTCAGGTTTTGTTGGAATCCGGGTTTGACAGCCAAAAGGAAGATCGACGACTGCTCCTCAGTGAACAAAAATCAAGCATCTACTGACCTGTACCCGCCACTTCCACCATCCCGTCGACTGCTGCTCTTCCGACGCGGCGGCGGCGGCGCACTGCTCGCCGTTATATCGCTGACCTCCTCGATAACCTCAACCATATCATCGCCGGGCACACGATGCTCGACGCGCTCCTCCACTAGAATACTCCTACTCCGCGGGCGACCCAGCGGCACTCCCCTCCTAGTATCGTCTATAATAATGCGCTCGCTACGGCGCGGACTGCGGCCCACACTGACCTCGCGAACCGAGCGCACCTCACGAGTCGAGCGCGAGCGGCGACTACGGCGACTGCGTGGAGTGGCATGCGAGGGCTGTTTGCGTACGATAATCTCTTCTTCGCCGCCGACGATGGCGCCGCCGGAGAAGCCGGCGAGTGACATGAAGAGCCAGCAGAGGAGGAGGAAGCCAGCGACGGAGCCGAGGGTTGCGCCAATGACGACGCCTGGTGCGGGACCGCTGTTCATGTCATGGTAGGAGGAGGGGATGATGCCATTGCCGCTGTTGCTGACACTGACGCCGACTTGGCGGGCTTGGAGGGCGGAGTGTGGGAGTAGGGAGGTGAGGGTGGTTGTGAGGGCGCGGAGGGAGATCAAGGGCGCTGAGGCGTCTGGGGATTGTGGAATGGGCGCCATGGTGAGGATGTAGGTAGGACTCGGACGCTTGTCCTATGGAGGATTGGAATGAATGGTTTCAGCTCCTCAGGTGGCGGAGGAGGAAGAGGAGGGAAGAACTGCGTAATTGCGTAGTTGCGACGTAGCTATGCGTGAGTGAGGCTGTTGGAAGTTGGCAAAGACAGGGCGGCGTCGGCGTATGTTCAACAGCGGGGCAGGGCCATAGAGAACGAACGTGGAGAAGCTTGGGAAGCAAGGCGACAGCTCTTGAAAGAGTGAAGAGAACCCGCGAGGGCAAGACAGAGAAGGCAGAATGAGAGAGGAAGAGGAAGAAGAGCAGCAGCTCAAGAAGTGAGTAAAGTGTGTGTGTATTGTAATCGAAGTGAGAGTGACAAAGTCTGTTGTATTTCGCCGAATGACGCCGGGATGGTGCGGCACAATCCATGGGGGGAAGGAGCCATCGTCGTCGGTCGCGGGTGGCTGGTAAGGAAGGAAGGAGGCTGGGCTGGCACTACAACTCAACCCCGGATATTTTTTAATTGCGACGAAACTCCCGGCATGGGACTCCGGATTTCGCTGCATGGAACTACTGTAATGGAAATATTCTAGATGTGCGTTCGTCTAGCAAATACATTGTTGTAATTGGACACGATGCCTATAAGTGTAGCTATATACATACACATCTGTATGTTGTTGTTGTACCTACATGCCCGCGCGCATTGCATCACGCCCACCCCGCATCTTCACTTTCGCACACATCAAGGCAGTAAATGACACGTCCACGGCCACGACACACACCGCGGGCGGAATGTATTACAGTATGATGCAGTATTGACCACACTGGCTTTATTTTCTCCTCTTGAAACAATTCATGACAGCGGAACCCATGATATCGAAAGATTAATTGCCGCAATGCACGGATCTTGGAGTTGCTTGAATCTTCAACGACCGGATCACGGGCGGGTACGTCCGACCGAGGCGATGGCGCTAGGACAATCGCTTGGGGGAGCTGACCATCGTGTGTATTATAAGTCCACTAAATTTGTGTTTCACATGCACCAAGCTGAATGGCGCAGCGGAAGCGCGCCGGGCTCATAACCCGGAGGACAGTGGATCGAAACCACTTTCAGCTATGTTCTTTTGTCTTTTTCTGGTCGTTGACTATACTCAACATTTCTTTTTGGTATATACCTCGTTAATGCAATGCCTCAACGCACAATACTGTCTCACAGCCGTCTAAACAGTCTTTCGTAATTAGTGTAATAATCATCAAGTGTATCTTCCATAGCGAGACAAAACAGTCACAATAAAGGCAAAGCATTCTTTTAAAAAACGGCAAAGAAGTCCATAGTATTCATTATGCATCAATTTTTTGGCACAAAGTCAGCATGTGCTAATGAGTTGAGTGTCTCCCCCAAACGATCGCCACCACAAACAGCAAGAAAAAGACCAGTTCGCTAATGCAATCCAAACGACGAGTCCAGGAGTCTACTAGGACCACCATTAGAATGAACGTGGTAGGAGACTCCCGGCTCAGGGTTGAGGTGCCCTTAGTATGTGCAGGTATCTCGAAATCAAGAACAGGGAAAATTGTACGGCTGGGCTCGGCCAGCGCACGACGATCTATAAATCAAACAGGACAAGAACCCAAAACACCGCTTTTGTCTACTCGGAATTTCACCTAATTGAAGGTGGAAAAGGACGGGTCGTGCGCTTAGAGATGCGCGGAGCTGAGCCCGTTTACGACGCCGTTGATTAGGCCATTGACTTGGCCATTTGTGTAGCTCATGCCCGATGCCGTGGTCTCGAGCTGCTCGACCTCGGAGAGAACCTTCTCGACCTCCGTGGACGGGTCATACATCCTCTCTTTGATGTAAGCGTCGAGCTGCTCATCGCTGAGCCCGCGGAGGAGGGTCTCGCGATCGACGCCGTTTTCTTGAGCAGCACGGATCACGCCACGGGTGATGATGACGCTCACGTCGCGAATGCGGCGGATGTCAGGGTACAGCCAGCCATCGGCGCGCTCCTGCTCGTTCAGCGACGCAGCCAGATGCTCGGCCGAAGCGTAGATCATGTCTTGCGTGACAGAAGATGCCTTGGAGAGGATCGCTCCGAGCCCGATGCCCGGAAAGACGTACATGTTGTTGCCCTGGCCTGGGACCATGATGCGGCCGTCACAACGAACCGCTGGGAAGGGCGATCCCGAGGCGAAAAGCACGCGACCTTCTGTATAAGCGACGGCGTCCTCGAATGTGCATTCGGACTTCGAGGACGGGTTCGAGAGAGGGAAGATGATTGGGCGGTGGTTTATGCGAGCCATGCGTTGGAGGATATCCTTGGTAAATGCACCTCCGATCGTGGAGAGGCCCATCAGGATGGTTGGCTGCACGTACTCGATGAGGCGTGCCAGAGACTGAAATTGGCGACCTTGGTTGTCGTCTCGGGAGAAGTAGACTTTGTGCTCGGCGAGCTTGTCACCACGGTCGTTCGTCACCAGGCCATTCGAGTCTACGAACCAGAACTTGCGGCGCGACTCGTCCTCGGTGAGACCCTCCTTCATGAAGTATTCCACGAGCTGCTTGGCGACACCAACACCAGCACTCCCAGCGCCGAGAAACACAGCCTTGTGATCTTTGGCTGGCACACCCGAAGCCTTCACGGCGTTGATGAAGCCAGCGGCAATGACCGCACCAGTCCCTTGCACATCGTCGTTGAACATGGCGTAATTGTCACGATACCGTTCGAGAGCCGGGAAGGGGTTCTTGAAGTCCTCAAACTGAATGACGATGCCTGGCCACCTCTGCACGAGCGCCTCCATCAGTTCGTCCAGAAACTCCCGCTCTTCCTCCGCTGTGACTTTCGGCCTTCGACTACCCATGTATAGAGGATCGTTCCTGAAAGCCTCGTTGCTCGTACCAAGATCCAGAGTCAGAGGAAGAGTCTTCTCTGGACGAATGCCGGCGCAGGCGGTATATAGAGCCAGCTTGCCGACCGGAATACCCATTCCGTTGACGCCCAAATCTCCGAGACCCAGGATACGAGAGCCGTCGGTGAGAACGGTGATGTCGACATCGTAAGGCCAATTCTTCAGCACTTCGGCGATATGACCCTTGTCTGAATATGAAATGTACATGCCCTCGGGCTGGGTATATATTTCTGACCAGCGAAGACAGGCTTCACCGACGGTGGGGGTGTAGATGAGAGGAGTGAGTTCCTGTGGCGGCATCAGTACCAGATTTGCACCTCATGAAGAGCGAAACATACTCTAACATTATCGGCAAGGAGGCGGTAGAAAAGATGGACGTTGGTGGCTCGGAGATGTGTCAAGTATTGGTACTTTTCGATTGGAGTGGGCTTCATGGACAGGAGTTTGAGACCTGCAATTGTGTCCTGTCAGTATCTACAGCTAGATAAGGTGCAATTTCTGGTACGTACATCTTTGAGCTTGAGTCTCATAGGTCTCGACATTGGGCGGAGTGAGGCCATAGGTGCGAAGATACCTGCGCACCTCTGGAGGGTTCGCGGTATCGTAGTCACCGGAGCTTGAAGATGGTCAGTGGGCATGAACATGATAGCCAACTACCTATTACCCAGACACATAGATACCCCAGTAGACAAGGGCACTGGACAGGTAGACAGGTAGCTGGAGCAGTACAAGTTTAAAGCTCACGTGGTGGAGAGTTGCCTCGGAGGCATGTTAGGGCGTAGTAGTTGTGAGCTCTTCATTTTCTGGTGGGGCGATTGGTCGTGTGCGAGCGAGGCCATAGGCTGGAAGAATAGTTTAGGGACTGGAGACTGGAGAGAGCAGAGTACGGGGCGAGAGGTCGCTTTTAAGGAAGAAGATAGAGGGAGCATTAGTGAAGGGCAAGTAAGCAAAGGAACAGCCAGCCGCGGCAAATGTAAGATGCAGGGCAGGTAAGGGCTGCTGTCAGGGTATGAGTGTGTAGTGTGTGTGTGTGGGTGTGTGTAGTATGTGAGAGGCGTGTTGGAATGAGAGAGTGTCTGTTTCAGGGTGGCACTGGCAATGACTGGATCACCGGAGCAGCAGTCGGAAAACAGAAAAAAAAAAGGAATCAATTCATCCTCGCGACGGCCCATATAAATGGACCTATTATTCCCTAACTATTACCATTATCATTATCGTCTGGGCCTCTTTTGTCCTATTCTGTCCGCTGGGGATGGCCAGAGCTCTCTCCACTCGGACGACTTGCAAATGGATAGTAACTAGTGATGATGACTCGGTGCCAGCAGCTATAATAGCTAATACCTACACAATCTCTCCCTATAATTTCTCGTTATGTTAATAATTACCGGGGCTTGTGGCTCTCTACTCAACGGTTTCCTTGACTCAGCCATCAGCCGCTTTTCCAGGAACCTGGTTGGGTGCATGCGTGGCCCTCACACTGCAAAAGCTATACGTTGCAGCTGCATCGTGCTCGCCCCCGAGTCCCAACGACAATAGCAGCCCGCAACTTGATGGAATTGGCTGGCCTGTGGCTTGAAGGAGCTGTTGGTGTTGAGCATTGGTCATGGAAGTTGAAGCATCTCCGATTGGGTTTCGTTGCATGCTCATCAGATGCAGCAAACTGGAACGTCGGTGAAGGGTCCGCAGCCAGGCCAGAGATGTGTGTATCAGAAGCACACATCGGTCGACCTGCCTCGACTCAATCTCAACCTCAGACTTTTTCTTCCCCAGGATGTTGGTTATGGTGTGTGGGACGGGGATGTGGGCACAGACTGCGTGCTGGCCGCTACCTGTACCCTGCTTGGCTGCTGAGAAATGGGGTCGATTCTTTCTGATGAGTTTGAAGTTTCAATGATGAAGCGGGCGACCGCGCCTTTACGGCGGCGTGCTGGTCTCAGACATGCTCGACTCAACCGCGACAGCTCTAATTATACGCTGATTGAGTTGTTGCCGTGTATAGTACCACTACAACCTGCAGTGCTATCTATTCCGTACCATGGATCATGGATCGTCACTCGGCTAGTCGGTCGGCCGTTGAGCACTATGCCCACACTTTCCACGTGGAGCCAAGGTGAAAAGTGAAAAGGTGGTCTTGTCTCTCTATTACCGTCCGTCTCTGATCCGCGCTTTCAATATGATTCACTGTCTCGACGACTGCGGATCCCCGCACGAGAACACCCAAGAACACCCGAGAGCTCTTCTACCCATCACACCACACGCGATTGATATCGTCAACGCGTAATTGAGCATCTTCAATTCTCGTCGACGTGAAAATGTCGTGGAACAACACAGCACTGCACTAGCTCGAGCGCAGTGTACCTGGTATCGCTGAACGGGATTTATTCAATAGCCGTCATTCCAGTAGTTCATGATCAAAGCTTCTGCACAAACTCCCGACCGTATCATCTTAAGCAGACGATTTTCTGGGCAAAGGCTTGAGCTCGACAAGCATCGGTGCCAAACCCATCATCAATAATGCAATGCGTTCCGTTGATGGCTGCATGTCACTACAGTACCTCGGTACAAGCCTGAGGCTGTATTATAGCCTGAGGCATGAGGAGGGTTAGCGCCACAGATGTGGCTTGGTATTGCGAGCGTCGTACGTCATGATGCGATGCGAAGTGAAGCTCCCGGAGGACATTCAGAGTTCAGCAGTTCACACGACGCCTACACTAACCATCCTTTCCAACTTCCAACCCGTGTGATACGTCGCTACCTTAACGCCGTTCCAACTTCTTGTATTGCTCCTTGGTCTGGTTCGCTCATGAGCACTTCCCTCGTCATCTTCTCCGCCCCGTTTGCTGCCTATAATGAGCACTCCCTACACCGACTCCTACACCTAGTACCCAGTCTCCTCTACACCCAACTCTAGCATAGCCCTATACTAGATGGGCCTCAGTACAAACATGTCGTCGTGTCTAGGTTTCCGCAAGTCCAAGGGCCAGGACACCGAGCCGTTGCTCCCCCAGTACCACGATGACACCGTCTTACAAAGGGAGCTCCATCAAAAACTGCACTCCTACCAGATGATTCGAGCCCTGACCAAGGGTTATATGCCGTCCAACGAGCAGGCGATAATTAATCTGCGTACGTTGTCTGCCGCTGACATCCTCAATCCGGACAATGAGGACCTCAGCGATTCCGGACGACTCCTGGTCCGGTACACGAAGCTGTTCCTGAAGCAATTCATGGAGATGCTGCAGCACAAGAACTCCGAAGACCAGATACAAGACTTGATTTGGTATCTGTCAAAGTCAAGGGTCTCTGTGGATGTTGACGATATCGCCGAAAGAGCTTCCAAAGCCAAAGCCAAGGCAGATACTGCTGCTGGTAAACGACTCGTGCTCCTGTTCTGATGATTTCCCGCTAACTCAGCCTAGCCTATCAAAGCCTCCGTACTGTTGGCTCCCTCCTCCTTACCAACTCCGATTTCCGTGTATTCCTGTCCGATATCACAACAATTGGTCGTGAGGTGTTCAAAGATGCTGCATTCAAGTTATCTGACGTCGCCGAAGAAGCCGGTAAACAAATTGAGCCTTCGCAGACTGAGCAGGATGCATTGAAGAAACCCGGTGCCGATGACAGGCCAGCGCCCACCAGCAATGAGCTCGCTGGTGATGTTGCAGACATGTCGAAAGCTGTTGGAAACGGTGCGCTCGAGGTCGCAAAGGAGGCCGAACAAAGTCTTGAGGACAAAATCACTGGAGACGAGAAGGAGACACTCCTCTACAGACTGAAGCAGGCCGTGACTAAACTTCGGAGAAGAAATGATTACTCAGACTCAGTTTCCACCATATCTCTGCTTATAAAGCGATATGCCATGGTATACTCCAGAGCTATCAAGGACACTGCAGAGACTGCCGACCAAGACATTCATACCAATCCTGCGACCGAAAGAGCTGTAAAGAACTTCTGGCTGTTCTTGAAGTCTTTTGGCGACGGCAAGCAGTGGGACAAATTGGAGGAAAGATTTCTACAGCTGAAAGAGCATGGTGAAAATGATCCGCAGTTTGAGGATATGATGATGCACCTTGGTAACTCGTTGGAAGAACTCCTGACCGACCCCAGCTTCTTCGACAATGCCGACGAGAAATTTGCAGAGCTACGTGAGAAGACCCGACTATTGGGCAAGGAGTCCTCCCTACGTGATGATGTTGACGCGTTCCTCGGCGCCATCCAAGCTACCATCCAATCGGTGTTGTATGATGAAGATATTGCAAAGTTGATCAAGACATCGACTACCATCGCAAAGATCTTGTCTCCTGCCCATCAGTACACCAATACCGAACTCATCAAAGATAGCATTCATGTGTTCGTCCCCTTACTTATCCAGGCAGTTCAATATCTCCCGATTCCTCGCCTCGAAATATCCACGCCTGAGATTGATCTCTTACTTGAAAACTTGATTCTCGAACCCGGTCGAACGATTAACCATACCTCCTTCTTGCCATACAAGTTGCGTATTGAGACGTACAATGATCTGGAAATTCGTAAGGCTCGATTCCGCACCACAACCAAAACAACGTCCCTGGTCACCATCAAGATCGACGGCTTATCCCTTCGTTCTGAGGAGGTCGGATTCTGGCTCAGAGCACACACTGGCATACTCCGTTTCGCCGACGAGGGAATCACTTCCTTTGAACTAGACGAACGAGGCATTGACATTCATCTCGATGTTGAGATAGCCAAGGAGAAGCTCGAGCAGATCCTCACACTCAAGGACGTCCGCGTGCACGTCCATAAGCTGAACTATAAACTTCGCAAGAGCAAGCTCAGTTGGCTCGCCTGGCTGTTCAAGCCACTTTTACGCCCTGTCGTGCGGAAAGTCATGGAAAAGCAACTCGCTACGGCCATTGCAGACGGCCTTCATGCTGCCAACCGCGAACTACTATTTGCTCGTGAGAGGTTGAGAGCAACCCGTATCTCAGATCCGAAGGATGTCATGACGTTCTTCAAGGCTGTCGCTGCTCGTCTCACGCCAGAGGAAGACCCCGATCTGTACAGCCGCGTTGGTGTTGCGCAGCCGGGCAAGGGCGTCTTCAAAGGCGTATATGCACCTGGCAGCGTGGTCAAGCTCTGGAACGACGAAGCAGCTCATGCTGAAGAACGCGTGCTCGACTACGAGCAGGGTGGATGGAGGAATGACATCTTCGACGTACATACGACATTCATGACCTAGTGTTCGGCATGCAGTGGCTGAATTCCGCAGTAATATGGAGTTTTCAAGGGCGGTGCAGGATCGATGTAATATTCCCTGAGTGGTGTTTGGTGGCATACTTTTTGAGAGGGCTTAAGTAATATCTGTAAAATGCGATCCCTCACCTTGATAACAGCTCTGAGCACAAGCACGTGCTGACCTGCCACATTCAACAGATTTGATTACGTCATGGCACAGTTTTCGCCTGTTACCTTACCATAAGGGAACGGCCTTCTTGCAAAGCTCAATACCACAACTAACATACACTCTGAGGATCAAGACTCCACCCTGGCATTCTGTTGGAGTTACCACATCCTTCTGATCTTGGTCGCGGCTGTACTCCTTCTCCTTACCCCGCATGAAACCTGGTGGCATGAGTCTATGCCCAAGTACTCAACACTAGTTTCCGCTTCGAGACGTCTATCACAGACTCTTGGCATCATGCCACATCTCCCTGTTGAGAAGCCTGGCTACAAGGCTATAGTGGATATGGGCAGGTAAGCCGATTGTCATCCCTCCATGTTGGGTTGAGAACCATTGTCCTTGTTCATACTAAGATCTCCCAGTAATGGTATACGCTTCTCGATCACTGACACTTCCCCTGAAGTCGCCCGTATCCTCCCGGTCATCTATCAACACCGCACCGGCATCTCCCTCTACGACGCCCAATGGCAGGGCTCCGACGCTATTCCCATCCCCTCGTCCACCATCAATGAGGTTACCGCTGCCCTCAAGGCCTTTCAACGCACCTGTGCTGCCTTTGGCGTCCCCAAGTCCAACGTCCGCATCGTCGCTACCGAAGCAACACGCACCGCAAAGAACTCCGTCGAACTCCAGCAAAGCATCAAACATGAGACTGGCCTCGACGTCGAGATGTATCCTAAGGACACAGAGGGGCTCGTCGGCGCATACGGCGTGGCATCCTCCTTTGACGCCGTTCGCGGCCTCGTCATGGATCTCGGAGGCGGCTCAACTCAGATCACTTGGCTCGTGTTCCCGGACCATGACCATCCGGAGAAGGTCAGCCTCAGCGACAAGTTTTCCGTCAGCATGCCGTACGGTGCTGCCGCGCTCCTGCGCCGGCTCCGTGAAGCCGAAGCGTCCGGCGCAGATGCAGTCGCAGCGCTCAAGAGCGAGATCACGACCGCCATGAAAGACGCCGTGCACGCAATCGGGATTCCAGACCACCTCCTGGCCGACGCCGACGGGAAGGGTCTCAATCTATATCTCTCCGGCGGCGGCTTCCGCGGCTGGGGTTTCGTCCAGATGCACACACACCCGGTCCAGCCATATCCGATCCCCCTGATTAACGGCTTCCGCATCGCGCCCGCAGCCTTCTACAACACATCCGCCATCACATCCGCCGTCGCAAGTCTCGTGTCCGACGACCACAGCGCCATCTTCCGCGTGAGCGCCCGCCGCGCAACCCAAGTCCCCGCCGTCGCCCTACTGGTCGAATGCCTCCTCGCCGCCCTCCCCACCATTTCAGACGTCTTCTTCGCTCAGGGCGGCGTGCGCGAGGGCACCCTATTCCGCGAGCTCGCAAACGATATCCGCACTCAGGACCCGCTGCACGTCGCCAGTGCCCCCTTTGCCCCACCGCACGCACACCTCCTCGCGCCCATCCTCAGCCACGCCATCCCGTCTCATGACACACACACCCCTGGCGAGCTCACCTGCCCATACACCCCCGCCGACATATCCGCCTTTGCCGGCACACTATACATGCACGCCGCCCTCCCAAGCGATGTCCGCGCCGCAGCCGCACTACGCAGCACCACGACGGGCGCCTTGGCCGGTACACACGGCCTCTCGCACGTGCGTCGCGCCGAGCTGGCCGTACTACTGTGTGAGAGCTACGGTGGCCGTAAGGCGCTGACAGGCGCGGATCTGGTGTTCTACACTAGTCTTGTGCGTCTCTTGCCGGCGGCTAAGGCGTGGTGGGTTATGTATCTGGGCCGTGTCGCGGGCGTAGTTAGGGGTGTGTGGCCTGCTGGGGTTGTGGTCGGGGATGTGGCGAGGTTGAGTGCTGGGTGGGTTGTACGTGGTGATGGGGAGAAGGGTGGGGAGGGTAGGGTTGAAAAGGAGAAGGAGGGGAAGGGCGAGAAGGAGAAGGAGAAGAAGAGGAAAGTAGCAACTGTGCGATTTGAGCTTGAGCTCCACGGTCCTGAGGGCGCGGCGCTGTGGACGGAGGATGTGCAGGGCAAGGTGCGTGCCGTGGAGAAGGCGGGCAAGAGGAAGCATTGGGTGGACTTGGACACGGGGTTTGGCGTGGATGTGGTTGTGCGGAGGTCGTGAGTGTCGTACGTAGGTGTGGTTGTGGTTGCTAATCATACATGTGGATGGATGGATGGATGGATGGATAGATACATACATAAGTAGTAGCATATCGCATACTACTTACTATATAGCATATATACATGCCCGCCCTAGACTACCGCCAATAGATAATCCATAGTATATAGCCAAATCTATAGACAGTCTACGATCAGTCTATACTCAGTCTACGACCACTCTATACCCGCTCTATAACCACTCTATACCCGCTCTATAACCACTCTACACCCACTCTATACCTAAGTTTATAACTACCTTATAGCTAGTATATAGCCACTCTATAGCTAGTATATAGCTACTCTATAGCTAGTATATAGCTACTCTATAGCTACTCTATAGCTAGTATATAGCTACTCTACAGCCAGTATACAGCCAGTATACAGCCACTCTACACCCACTCTACACCCAATCTATAATTCTCCACACCACCACTTGCACATCATCACAAATCAACCATCATTAGACTAAACATCATCAAAAAATAGCTTAAAAACCCATATTCATAGTAAGCAAACACTATATATATATATCCAATATCAACACATCACCCTTCGCCATTATACACGCACGCATTCGACGCAATCTAAGTAGTAATTACTTTATAACCTGTCTGCTCTCCAATCCTCTTTCCAATTCTCTTTCTAGTCCCTCTCTCTCTCTCTCCGCCCCCCTTCTAAGCCCTCTTCCAACCCCTATTCTAAGCCCCTCCCAAACCCCTTCCAAGCCGTCAAGCAAGCACGACTAAAAATACGCCAGCTCTACAAAACACGGGGCGTGAAACAGAAGGAACCCGAAACGAACGTACGTGCATGTATACGTGCATGATCCGACGGGAGCCAGCGACTGGGTGGATGGATGGGGTAGAACGGCTGGAACGGGGGGGGACGGGGAACCCGGAACCCGGGGCCCGCGGACACTATTTAGCAGTTCATTAATACGGATACGCACGGGGTTAAATGCATATATGGACACGAACACACGAAATTGGATGACTGTGTGGACTTTGGAGGGAGTGGGGAGTGGAGTGAGTAGAGCAGGGCAGAGCAGAGTAGAGCAGGGCAGAGCAGAGTAGAGCAGGGCAGAGCAGAGTAGAGCAGGGCAGAGCAGAGTAGAGCAGGGCAGAGCAGAGTAGAGCAGGGCAGAGCAGAGTAGAGCAGGGCAGAGCAGAGTAGAGCAGGGCAGAGCAGGGCAGACGGAGACGCATACTAAGACGCATACTAAGACACATACGTAGACGGAGACGGAGACACAAAGCACAAAGAGAGCAAAGCACAAAGCACAAAACGAGCAAAGAAGGAGCAAGTTCCGACTTAGCTTAATAATTAACGCGCACGGTAGGGAGGGAGGTAGGCGAGGGAGAAAGGACGAGAAGGGCAAGATGGGCTATCCGATAATTATGGACACTAACCCTCACTATCGGTAGTCTAGAATCATCCTTAGCAGTAATTATTACATCGCTTCGGCATGGTCGATATGGTAGCTATGCGTAATGCGTGTTCTACGGTGTGTATATACTCATTCATATATACATGCACCAAACCCTAATAAAAAACACCACCACCCAATCCAACACATACATATATATTTCCCCATCAAGTACACGCCAATTACCCGCACGCCGCCATGCCGACAGATGGAGAGCGTCCAGTAATTACTCTCACTCACTCACTCAGCTAGACAATTAATTAGCTGACTAATTATCTAGCAAAGTCGGAGAAATACACCATCCACTAATTAATAGTCTAACCGAGCGGTATACCCGTACGGGTATTGATCTGGAATTGACCTCCAACACTCTATCGGCAGCGATTAGAGCCGGGGAGCTTGGACGGTTGATCTACAGTGCGGTGCGATGTGCGATGGGCGGCGCGCGGTACGATGTGCGCTGCGTAGATGGATGGAGATGGAGATGGAGATGAATGGGGGAAAGATGGGATATTAGTTGGCCATCAGGGTACTCGCAGAGAGCGTGTATATTTGGAGTAGATGTGTACTATATTACTTTTGTTCGTGATATCATAGTGCGGATCGTGGCGTTCTAGACGGCAGGATTGACGACTTGACGGACGGGTGCAGTGCAGTGCAGTGCAGTAGGGAGCAACAAGTCTGAGATATCCATAGAACGGTCAACGGTCGTTAGGCCGAGTCTAGGTATGATCGAAACTGCCCGGTCCCGTCTGCTCTCAATATGAATGTGAATATGAAAATGAATACAAACACCGGCTCGATCAACGGGCGATATGATATATTCGTCCCCCGAAAGCTAGCTCCAGCAGCTGCTGTACGTACATAGATAAATCAACGACGATTATCGATATCGATTTTTCTTTCCTACTAATTAAATAGCCGGTCAGATCCATCCATCCATTGTGGGACACCCACACCCACCCGTAGACCTCCCCGGGCGAGCGCTAGAGTATGTAGGCGCGGGGAACGGGGCGAGCTGCCGGGGGGAGCCCGTCCGTTGGCGGCCTTGTTCGATCCCTCCCAGGCGGCGGCCAGGGCTCTCTCACATACGCACTAATCTTATAGTCGCTGATCGTTCAGACTAGACTAGCATTTGCTCATTCTAGAATATGCGTGTTTAGTGAGTGAGACATTCGTGAGATAAGATACGAATTACTCCGGGCAACGAACGAGAGGACGGAAACGGAGGGGGGGTAAGGTTGACGCGAGTATCAAAGTATCAGAGTATCAATCAATCAAGCAAGCAAGCAGGCAAAAAGGCCTCCTCCGCCATGGACACGGTACGTCACAGAAGGCAAGCAACCTGAATGAAAGAAGACGACACGACGACAGGGGCTGACTGGGTTGCGCGGTACCTGCGTGCCGTCCATCTGGCTCGGGAGTTGTCGTTGCAGGTGCCAAGCTGGGGCCCGGTGTACGATCTGCTGGTGCGTGTTTGGGGTGGTATTGTAGTGGCCAATATGCGTCGAGATTCGGGGCGTTGTTCCATGATTCTTCCTTCTCGACTGGAGACAGGACAGCAAAGGCAAGCAAAGGCATGGATCGGGTGCTGCGATGGACCGACGGTTGGCCAGCGTGCGGTGCAAACGGCTACGAAGTCCCGTGTGTGATGTGGGCGTGCGACGACGGCAGGTTATTCCGTGTGCGTTCGAGAAACCATCCTGGCGTGGTGTAGGCGCCAGACAACGAGATGAGGCGAGCACTGGGCAGCCAGCTATGTGTTGTGTTGGTTGTGTGTGTGTCTGATACTACTACTGAGAGTGAGTGCAAGAAGCGTGGGCGGACAAGCCCGGGGCCGTATTGGCGGGTTTAGGGGGGAAACCTGGAATAGTGGGATCTAGGGAAGTGGAGATGCTGGGGAAGCGTGGACGCGGCGTGGAGACGGTGGAGATCAAACCAGGCTTTCTTTTTTTCTTTTTCTTCTTCTCTTTCTTTTCCTGTTCCATGAATGCGGATGTGCGTGGGGGTGCTACGGTTGTGGTTGTCCACGTAGACACTCACTATACCCTACCCCTTACTTCCACACCCTGTAAACGCACGCTCGACTTCGAGTTGGACAAAGACGAGGACGGCGAGGTGTCCATCCAAGCCGTCTCAGAGTCGGTCTTGCGGCGGCCGAGCTCCAGTCAAGGCATGTCGTGTCCAGCGGCCAAGAGGCCAACTGTCTGGAGTCGCCGCGTCGCCGTATATACTACTCTCGGCGTGACACGGTGGAATGACATTGATGGACGAGGCACAGTCACAACATGGCTCGCTACGATATTGCTGAGTGTGCAAGACAGCAGCATGTCCAGTAACGAGACATGAGCAGTCAATCAGACTCTGGAGTCCGGGGGGCACACAGGAGTAAACTGCAAGTACCACGGCGCCGATCGCGTCCACTCCACACTCGGATTGATTGATTGAGTGACATGGTCTCATCTCAGCAATCCATGGCGCGTGTCGAGACGAATTACGGTACGATTCGGTCGACGCAGTCATCACCATCGCCCATCCACTCGGGCAGGGCCGTTCCCCGTTGCGCGATCGCGTTCCCCAGACGTCCGCCTCCACCACAGCTGGCCTGAAATAAGGACAGCAGTCCTGACGGACGGGGGCACAAGGCACAAGGAAGTGTATGCGTCAGCACAGCAGATGTGCGTGCCACGCCTCGGTTTGAGCGTCAGATGGAAACAAGCCGATGAAACGGCATGCAAGATGGCGACACAAGCAGACGGAGGCAAACGCAGGAGAACGATGAGGCGGAGATTTGGGCGTCAAACGTGCAGCTGAGTTGAGCTTGCGGGCGTGGAGGAATGAAGCGGAGACTGGAGACTGGAGACTGGAGACTGGAGACTGGAGAGCGCAGACTGGAGCAAGTGAACAACACAAGAAAACACAAGACAAGGACAGGGCGATCGGAGGTCGTGGGGAAAGAGTGAAATCAATGAATCGCATTTGCTCTTTGCTGCCACTAAATCCCACTAATCCCACTAATTTCTGGGCAGAGGGCACCCGGTTTTTGGGGGGTGGGTTCCCCTAATTTAGTGCGGCATGGGGCGTGTTTGGCGCGCCTTCCTCCACCGCCAAAAACAGCGGACGGCTTTCCCCCTTTCGGCTCCCCCAGACTTTTAGGAGGAAAATAGGAAGATATAATAATTACTTTCTGCTTCATTTCCTGACTCAGGCTTCTTCAAACACACTGACGCACACGCAAGCAGACTTCCTTCCGATGCCCTGAGCGGTGAAGGACCCCCGTTAGCTTCGTCTTGCTTCTTCGTGTAGCCGGTATTAGCCTTGGCCCGTGAATGAATACGCGAATGAATGGATGAATGGATGAATAGATGGATAGATGAATGAGTGAATGAATACTTTATTGCCCTCCCCCCCCGGTTCCCCATATCTGCGAAAAGACGATCCCTCCGTTTGCACCACGCTCCACTCCGACTGTGCATTCTTCATTCTGCGTTCTGCATTCTTCATTCATATATCATCCCTTGTCGCCCTGTTTCCCCCTGCTTGGACCTGCTACACCATTCACATCCACTCCGTCTCGTCCGCACACTCCGTCCGCGCCCTGACAAACTTAAAAAAGCCCGGCTTACTGCTTCTCTCCCCCCCCAGCCCCAGACGAGTCCTGTCTGACACGTCTCCGCCCTTTGCCAACGCCAGACAAGACAAGACCAGACAAGAAGGATTGTCACTTTCCTCCTCCGCATCATCTCGGTAAGCCCTGCTTTGCTGGTGCCATGGTTCACTGCCAACGCACCGCGCCCTCATCCCTCCCGCCCGTGCTGATGTTTATATATACGCAGGTCTCCGCCGTGCCTCTTGCTCCGAGACAAAAATACACCCGTCACAACGCCCCTTGAACCATTCAACAAAGAGTCTCCGTCTTCTTTGTCTGTCCACAGTCCTAGATAAAGCCACACTTGCGTCCGTCTACCCGGCTCTCGACCAACAAAACACACGAATCACACCACCACCACCACTACTACTACTACCCCAAACAACCAAACCAAACCTCACCACCAAACACCTAAAAATGTCATCCTCCAAAACCCCCAGCAAACCCTCCTCCAAACCCGCCCACCACAACCTCTCCCTCTGCACAAACCCGTCGTTCGGCCACGACGTCTCCGCCGCCCTCCGCATCTCCACCTCTCCCTCCTCCCTCACATCAACCTCGACGTCAAGAACAACATCAACCACATCATCCCACCACCGCAACTCCTCCTACCTCTACGAAACCCCCGCTCCGCCGCCCCCCTCGCCCGTCGACTTTGGCTTTCCCAGCTGTGCCTCGGATCGCAGCAGCAGCATCAGCGAGGACTCGGATTGGTCCTTGGATGGTAGTAGCTGTTATCACGGCGCGGAGGGAAGGAGGTGATATGTCGAGGCATTTTGTGTAGGGTTGAAAAAGGGGCAAGGAGGGAAAAGGGGATGCTTACGTTAATTCTGGGTGTGCTGATGGATCTGATGGGTTCCGGGATCGGGGAGATGGGTGTTCATCAGGCGTTTTCTAGAGCGTTTCCTTGCCTGAGCGTGCGAGTTCAATGTGTGGTATAAGGGGATCGAACTAGTCAGTGCGTCGCTGTGAGACGACGCTGTGCTGTGTACTTTTACTAAAGAGGATTGAATGATTGATTAATCAGTGATTTAGTGTTGTAATTATGTGGTATGTGCTTTTACGTCAGCGTGTCCTGGCCTACCAGGTAGGTATTACTAACCGTACGGTTCAAAAAAATATCGATATGTCGTCATCATCGTATAAATTTTGAAATGAAATAGCCTTCTTGAACTTGGATCTTGAGTGTAAACGCAAACGTAAAACGGAAACGTAATTTATGAACTCAAACAAACCGAGACGTAAACTCTGAATTAAACTCTATTCCAACGCACCCACACACGCACGCACGCACCATGAATGTCATTTCTCTTTTCTTGTAATTTCTTGTAGTCCTTTGTAGCTTGTCGTCTAGTCTGTAGGCTATAGTCTAGTCTGTATTCTAGAGTGTGGTCTGTGTTCTAGCCTGTAGTCTATAGTCTAGTCTGTAGCCCATGTTCTATCTAGTCTGTAGTCTGTGCATGTAATTACCATGCATAGATCATCAGCAAGTCATAATGAATGTACACTATATTATACTTTGTCGTGACTATGATACACTATATACAATCCAATACAGTACAAGACCGATCCACGCACAATGTACGACGTACATCATCATGCCTTGCGCCCACGGAGACGCAGCACCTGCGTCATGACCGCCGACTCATCCTCCACATGCTCCTTCAGCACCTCTGCCCACTTCGTCTCCACCTCGACGTCCTCGTCACTCTTCTGCGACCCCAGGGGCTCGAGCAACCGGCCCCTTTTGTCGAAGACACTGTTGATGGCGTCTTCCACAGACTGCTCCTCGGCGTCCTGCTGCGCCGCGCTGTCCACGGCTGACTTCTCAATGGTCGTGAGGCGTGCCACCTCGGCGTCGCTGTAGTAGTGAGCAAGGTTCTGGCTGAACTTGACGCTGTCAAATGGGCTGCCGCTCTCCATGTTCTGCTTCAAGACGCTACTGCGACTCGCCTCGTAGTGCTCCGCTAGTGCTAAGATCTCGTTTATTGTCTTCCAGTTCGCGAACCGGAGATCTGCGAGCGGGATGCCGGTCGTGCTCACGAAGATCTGCGTTTGACTGTTGTGCTCCGGTATCGGCTGGTCTGGGACCGTAGTGAGCTTGTCGTACACTGCGCGGAGCACCTCGTCGCTAGCCGTGATGATTGGGGGTCCGAGGATCATTGGCAATGAGGAGTCCTTGAAATATTGCAGATCATTCGCCTGTAGCATTCGCGCAACTTGATTGAACGTTGTCATGAATTGCTGAAGATTCAGCTCCAATGCCTCATGGTCAAACTCGCGCAGATTGTCTTTTGCCGATAAAGTAGGACCGTCAAGTGTAGTGCGGATTGACTCCTGGATTTCCTCGGTCATTGTGTGGCTCAACGCTTCCATTTGCGCCGCAACGTATTTGACATGTCGCGTCACCTTTCCTGCGTATGCAAACGCGACCCATTCCGTTTGAGTCAACTGATACCCCCTGGCTTGAGCTTCGTCTACAATATCTTGCCATACACGCTCCAACACACTCTTACTTCCGAGCTGGCCCGCAGCAACAAGACATATCCGGTACTGAATGGGATTCCTGTCTGTTGAATTTTGCGTCATCATGTTTGTGGCTGATTCGAAAATATCAGCTCGTCCCGCTTTGCCGGCGAGTGTGATGAGAGTTCCGAGCGTCGGAAGTGTAGGATGGATTCCGGTGTAGTAGAAGAGCGACATGAGCTGTTCAGCGCACTCAAGAACCAATTTGCCGTTTTCGCTGGGTTTCTGCTCAAAGCTTCGAAACGGCACCATCGAGTCCAAAGCCTTGACCACCACCCCAAGAAGATGGGGAGCCAGCTGTCCTCCAGCACCCACATATCCTTGGAGAGCGGCAGCAAAGCCCCTTACGATTAGTAAACAGTGGGATATCGAATTCACTTTTATACTTTGAGTCATCGCATTCAGCCAGATTGTCAGCGCCTCAGGCTTCGGGCATAGCCCTGATCGGCAAGCCATCATGAAGACGGGAAACGCTTCAGCATATGGCCGCTCCTGGAGAAATACCTCAAAAATCCTCCATGGTGTCTGAGTTGGGAACAGTCGTAGACATACATCCAGTCCGATGTATGCATTCCTCCAGTCTCGGTGCAGTAGTCTGGCAGTGATGATACCTTGGAGGAGCATTGCTTTTATGCGAATTCGATTAGGTTGAGAGCGATCAGGAAGAACGGCCTCTGGTGAGATATGATATTCAATGAAACCGTCCGGGAATCGTTTCAGTGCCGTTGCGTACAAGTCCTCAAGCTCACTCAAAGGGACCTCCCCTTGGTACGCAAGTAGCTCAATTGCAGATCCATATATCTCTTGACTGACATATTCCTCGTTCTGTTGGACTAACCACTGCCAGAGTTGCACTCCTGACTCATACTCCTTGGTCTCTTTGTAGATTGACAAAAGGTGCACGATCGCTTGACTTTCTGGCGGTAGCCTCCTCGCCTGCAAATCGCGGACGAGTATGTTGGTGAATGCCAAAAGTCCGGATCCGTCGAAATTCCGATTCCTCGTGCCTCGTATCTTCCTGTGAACCAACTGTGCGATGGTTTTAGTGTCTCTTGGTGAAAGAAGAGCCTCGGCTATCAAGACCGGGTATAGTCGCATGACTTCAGCCAGCTCGCCGTTGTGTAGGAATTCTCGGCATCGCATGATGGTATCCTTTAAGAATTATTAGCTCTAATGTTGTTGCATCAGAGTGGTGGAGTGACTAACCAATTTCTCGGCGCTATCAGGAACCCCATAATGTTTTACTTTGTGATCTCGCTTATATGATTCGACCTTTTTCCGTAGCAGATATTTTGACTGCTTTTTGGGTGCACTGTCCGTTGCGAAGTGCTGTTGTAAGGCCGGTGGCCATCGCGAAACGGATATCCGTTGATCTACGCAGGATAACAAAGACCAGCAGCTTCTAGGGACAAGGAAAGGGGCGTGTGGACATATGACACCGTTCACGATCTTTTTGGATGCCATTGAGCCGTCAACTACGACTCTCGAGTGAGTGCAGAAGATGTTGTCGCGTCGCCTGTAAATTTGTCCCTGCAGACCTCTAGAGTCCAGCCGAAGTTTGACCGGCCAAGGCCACGACCATCCTTCCATGAGCATGAAGACGAAGACGAACAGGTCGCCATTCTGTCTCCTCCCTGCTACGACGATCTTGACTTTCATAATGGCTCCAAACGTGTCATTGTTCTCAGTCAATGCGATCCTCGTCCTGGCAACGGACGATTCGTCTCGAATTCTCGCGAAATACTATGCACCTCCGCACCCTCCAGCGGGCACTCCTGCCAACTCTACCAGCTACCCAGGCGCAAATCCGTACCCAAACCTGAAAGACCAGAAAGCCTTCGAGAAAGGGTTACTTGAAAAGACTGCTAAGCAGACAAGCGATATCATACTCTACGATAATCGTGTCGTAGTATTCAAGATGGAAAGTGACATAATGTTATACGTGGTCGGAGGCGCAGACGAGAATGAGATCCTGCTCTACAATGTTATTCTAGCTCTAAGGGATTCTTTAAATATCCTGCTTAAGTGAGTTTCGCCTCTTGATTATCTGCTAAATCGCTGACCGTAAGCAGAAACACCGTAGACAAGCGAACGATAATCGAAAATTATGACCTTGTATCCCTTGCAATTGACGAAATCATCGATGATGGTATTGTGCTCGAGACGGACCCAGTTGTGGTCGCATCAAGGGTGAGCCGGCCCCCGGCGCAGGACATGACATCCATGAAGGGAATCGATCTTTCTGAGCAGGGACTTTTGAATGCATGGGAGTTTGGCAAGTCTAGATTAGCGGACCGGTTGCGCCAAATGTGAAAGGAGAAAGGCGTTTATGGTTGTATAGGGAACGGTACTGGTATCAACCACATGAAGAGTACGAAAGCTGTCTGGCCGGCTGGCTCACTCCGGTATAGCTCGTAGATTCCGGAGTGGCCCTTGCTATTGACGCAGTTCTATCCTGCTCCGCATATCGGAATTTGGACTTCGCGATTAACGGTGGGAAGGGCCGGGGGTTTTACAGTTAGGAGCAGCTACATGGCGCATATCTCGCCCGAATGCATTGAATGAGATCAAGAAGCATTCAAGGATGTGACGATCAACACAACACTATTTCGCGAATCTCTATGTGATGTGAACAACAAGCTGCAGGAAACCTCAGACCTCGAGTGTGACACTCCCGAACGCCGCAAGCTGCGAGCCGCGGGCCTGTACTCTATTTAGTGGGGCAAGACGTCAGTTCAATGACAATCTACGAGGTCCGAAAATGTGGTCTTTGACAAACACCTGACATTCACCAGCTGGGTCTATACGCTCGACACACTCACGCTGGAATATATTAAATACAGCATGAAACAACGATTTTCCTCTTTAGATGTTACTGTACGGCCTTTGCCCGCATTCACGATGACCACAGCTAATCTTCCCTGCCAAGGTCATCGCACATGAACTCTCAAAAAGTCTATGTTCCTTACGAGTTCAGAACATCTACGACTTATCATCTGTTTGTAAACCGATATCGGTCCAATGAATAGGCTAACAATGCTCAGCGTATCTTTCTGATCAAGTTTCAGAAGCCCGGCCAGCGAGAACAGCTAATTATCGAGTCGGGCTTCCGCTGCCATCTGACCCAATATGCGCGCACGACTGCGACCGAACCTTCCCCGTTCACGGAACGCCTACGAAAGATACTTAGAACCAGAAGAGTGACCTCAGTAGCTCAAGTTGGCACGGACCGAGTCATAGAGTTCCAATTTTCGGATGGGATATTTCGATTGTACTTGGAATTTTACGCAGCAGGTAACATAATATTGACCGATGCGGACTTGAAGATACTGGCACTGTGGCGATCTGTCAGTGAAGGCGAGGAACATGAGCAGCTGCGCGCCGGACTCAAATATGACATATCCATGCGACAAAATTATGGCGGCGTGCCACCACTAACGAAGGAACGAATCAAGGCTGGGTTACAAAAGGCAATCCAGCGACAGGAGAAGGATGCTGCCTCGGGCAAGAAATCAAAAGCCAAAGAAAAGGATGCGCTAAGAAAAGCTTTATCAACCTCTATCGCGGAGTTTCCGCCGCTACTCATGGACCATGCTTTCACGGTTACAGGCTTCGATTCGACCATAAAGCCGAATCATATTCTTGACGACGATGATGCGCTAGATAAGCTGATGTTGGCGTTTGGAGAAGCTAGAAAAACGATAAATGACATCACTAGCGCAGACAGCGCAAAAGGCTTTATACTCGCCAAACGAACCTCAACGCACCAGGGGGAGAACGATACTGGTGGATCTTCTAGCAGTATACTGTATGATGACTTCCACCCCTTCAGGCCTAAGCAGTTTGAGGACAACACTGAAACCGAATTCCTCGAGTTTGAGGGTTTCAACAAGACCGTTGATGAGTTCTTCTCGTCTATCGAAGGCCAAAAGCTCGAAACACGGCTACAAGAACGCGAAGCGACAGCCAAAAGAAAACTAGAACTAGCGCGAGAAGACCATGCAAAACGTCTAGGTGGACTACAAGATGCTCAACAGCTCCACATACGCAAAGCAGACGCAATAAAAGCCAATGTCGAACGTGTACACGAAGCCATGGGCGCAGTAAATGGTCTTATTGAAAAAGGTATGGATTGGGTCGAGATAGCTCGTTTGATCGAGCGAGAGCAGGCCCAGGGGAACACAGTGGCTCATATGATCAAGCTTCCCCTCAAGCTATACGAGAACACGGTAACTTTATTGCTTGCTGAGCAGACATACGACGCAGAGAGTGATGAAGAAGGTTACCACTCATCATCTACCGAGCCAACTTCTGATAGTGAGGATGAACCGGAAGGGGCCAACAGGAAGAAGGCGCTATTGACACCAGAAGACGGGAGGCTGGCCATTGATATCAACTTGGGACTATCACCGTGGCAGAACGCCAACGAGTATTTCGATGCAAAGAAGAACGCAGCAGTCAAAGAGGAAAAGACTGCTCAGTCACTAGGCAAGGCACTGAAAAACACGGAGAAGAAGATTGCTGCCGATCTCAAGAAGGGTTTACAGCAAGAAAAAGAAGTATTGCGGCCTGTTCGTGGCAAATTCTGGTTTGAGAAGTTTACCTATTTCATCTCGTCAGACGGCTACCTAGTTGTTGGTGGTAAAGACGTTCAACAGAACGAACTCATCTATCAGCGACACTTGAAGAAAGGGGATGTGTACGTATATGCAGACTTGCACGGAGCGTCTCCTTTCGTCATCAAGAATCTTGCGTCCACACCTGATGCCCCTATACCGCCGTCAACCCTTTCACAAGCTGGTCACTTGTGTGTATGCACGTCTGCAGCTTGGGACTCAAAAGCTGTGATGTCAGCGTGGTGGGTGAACTTTGATCAGGTCACCAAGCTTGGTAGAACCGGCGAGTACCTACCTGTGGGGGCCTTCAATATCACTGGCAAGAAAAACTTTTTGCCTCCTACGCAGCTACTTCTTGGGTTTGGGGTAATGTTCCAGATCACAGAAGAGAGCAAAATCAACCACATTAAGCACCGTGTCATTGGGAGCGAGGCTGGGAAAGACGCCGAAGAGGGTACAGATCTCGACGCAGGTCAAGCCGAAAACGGCATACGCAATATCAAACATCCTGCTAGCGACAGTGACGGTGAACTTCCTGACGATAGACTTGACTCTGGCTCAGATGATGATGAGGACACAGAGACTCGAGGACCTGCGCGTAATAACCCACTGGAATCATCTGTCAGGCCTGAGAAACCCTCCACTGACGACGATTCCTCTGACGAGCAGACTGGCGCTGCAGACGATGCAGGGAAATTTACCATGTCCGGAGCGTTGGGTGACCTGGTAACTACAGAAGAGTCAGGAAATGATATTTCAAAATACCGTACAGCACGTGAACGACGTAACATTCGCAAGGGTGAGCAAGAGACAGCCGAGCATCAACATATAGAAAGCGGCACAGAGAGTACGACAGAGTCGCAGGATGAAGTCCAGTCAAAGCAACAGTCTACCACAGCTATTAGTTCGAACACTGCCACCCAGCCCACCAAGCAACTTCCAAGAGGGAAACGCAGCAAAGCCAAACGCCTCGCCGCAAAGTATGGTGAACAGGACGAAGAGGATCGTGCCCTTGCACTGCGCCTACTGGGAGTTCAACCCGTGGAGCAGAGTGCGCAGACAACAAAGGTCGCCGATCAAAAAGCTAAAGAAGAAGAAGCACAGGCTCAAAAACAGCGGCGAAGAGAGCAACATCAACGCGCACAAGCAGCAGGTAAAGCAGCAGAAGAAGCTCGCCGTGCTGCTCTTGCTGAAGGTGGTGACAAAACCGGTGCTGCCACTGACCAGGAGCCTGCCAACTACGAACCAACTGCCGAAGAACTCGCTGCAATGCAAACACCCTTAGACGCTTTCATCGGTCGACCTCACCCTGCAGACTCCATCGTACTTGCGGTGCCCGTATGTGCACCTTGGACCGCACTATCAAACTACAAATACAAAGTGAAGCTCCAGCCCGGGACAGTCAAGAAGGGTAAAGCAGTTAAGGACATCCTTTCAAAGTGGGAGATTGCAGCAAAAGAACCTCGAAACGTCGACCGTGAAAGCAAAGATACCGAACGTATGTGGCCGGGAGAAATTGAGGCCATTCGAGCTTGGAAAGAAGCTGAAGTCTATGGCGTTGTACCTGTTGCAAAGGTTCGAGTTGTACAAGGAGGTGGAGTGGGGGGAGGCAAGGGCAGTGGTGGTAAGGGTGGCAGTAAAGGTAAAGGAGTGAAGAGTAGTCGCGGCGGACGAGGCAGTAAGAAAAGGTGACGTTGGTCAAAAATGGACACGGCTGCACAATACATGTTATATATAGAAAGGGTGACACCATGTTCAGAACTGACATGCGTATGGCCACTCGTATGCTAGACTTCGAACGAGGCACTTTAGTATGCGAGTTAATGGCAGCCACTTCTGACTATCAAAACTATCGACTGACGGCTCGTCTTGTCTGATCAGACCATTGAACATAGACCGTCAACTCCCTCGGCGCTCTCTCTCTATATATATATATTCATAGTACTACTACTGACGGAGACTCTGTTACAGGTTGGTGATATGACTGATCATAGTCCCTGCTACGAAGGACCAACCTTGGAGTATCATTTCCACACAATGTTTGCCTGAAGCGTGATTGCCGCCATCACAACTGGATTTCATATTTACAGCTCTAGGGACAGACAAACAGCACCACACTCTGGAGTACGAATGACATACTCTGGAATACGAATGACGACCGATGATCCTACCCAGGTATGCTTTGATTGAGGTTAATGAGCTCACCCGAGCTCACAAGGATACAGTTTTCTTCACGAGTTGCCTCGTCTACCGAGAAGACTTGTGCCAACTAGACATAGCAGTATTCAGAAGCTTCATCTAACACGGAAGTAGTAATATTCCAGCGTCTGCACGCAATCATACAGAGACCGGTAGCATTATACCATCGCTGCTCATTCCTGTCAGACGCACTTACAGTAATCACGGGTTCTGCAGAGAAATGTGCAGGCCAACGTGTGGTCCAACATCCCGTTCTCGTTGATGTTTCGTTTACCTCACTTCGCACAGTGGGTAGGCAATTCCATTTAAGCATAATCTGAATGCGACATCGGTAAATGACGGAAAAGTGGGAAAGCCAGGTATGCGACGTAACGGTCATCTCGATCTACTCGCACGTCCCTTTACTTCATTCATCCCTGCAACTCCTTATTGCAAGTAATACCAACAGATCGTCAGATTTCGTAGTCCCTCATATTTTCATAACCTACACATGACAATAGAATTTGGATTCTATGAGGCTATTGACCGTCTGTCTATGCCGTTGCCCTCGAACCGTAGCTCCATTGGAGCTCGGTTGGAGCCTAGTCGACACCAAATATCCATGAGCTCCTCTCCGAGCAACGCCTTGAGTAGTGCAGAAATGAAAAAATTATGCGTAACTTGACTCTAAGTTCAAAGCTTAATAGCTTTTAACTCGAGACGAAACAGTGTATTCCCATGGGTTGTACTGAAACTCACCATCCGTGTCAGACCGGACAAGGGTCATTGAGGGCAGCGTCGATACCTTTCTGAGGTGTGTCCGAGCCTCCGAGGTAATAGTGGTACTTTCGAGACTAAAGGGCATTTCGGTAAGCCTCTACCGAAAATCTCCACCGCTCTGTTTCTTGCTTGACTTGCTGAGCATGGAGATAGCCTACATGCTCGTCCACACTGTGTTAGCCAGGATCTAAATGCAGAGAATTACCACACACATTCTGTGGGCACTTGGTAGTGTCTTTAGCGCATGGTCCCTTATGACCAGTTAATGGCTTCTACCTGTGGGAATCCTTGAGTCGGATTGGTCTAGTGGGCGTTCCCACGATTGCATGTGAACTGGTTCAAGGCCTAGTGAAACAAAGCTAGATAAATTTCTGTTATTTCCAGTACAAATGGCGAAGGGACTCGTTCATCTCATGTACGCAGGAGATATGATAGTTCTTCATAATGGAATCTCTGTCTAGACCCACACAGCAGACTTGAATGTCATAATGTATTGAGAATCCGATATACACCTCTGTTGAACCTGAACCTGCATCACTGTGATGTATATCTTATCGAAAAAAATATCTTTGAAAGATTCCTAGGAAGATCTTCGAGTACCCCTATCCTGGAGATTTCAAAAACCAAGGCAAATGCCGGACTCTCGTGTTTCTCGAACCATTCCCACAAGCCATCGATGGCTGCTTTATGCTGCGGAGTACACATATCCTCTTCAGTGTGTTCCAGAATAGTGGTTCGGTCAGGTGAATTGTAGATGAAATCCATGTACTTTGCGAACTCGTGCTGATTTTCATTGTCGCAAAGAAGTTCCTCGATGATCTGATACTCCATGAAAAGTTTATGGACCCAGCTGAGAGAGCTTGCCACAACGGCAAATTTAGCCGAATAGGAACTATACCGTGTGTAGCGATACTTTATAGCACTGCCTGCCAAACGTTCCTTATCCAGGATATGTTTGATGATGTACACGGACGGTTTGAGCTTTTGGTGTGCGAAGAATCGGTCTTTGATCATCCTTCTAGGGCTATCATTCTCGGCTTTGAGATCAGAAAAGTCCAGACTCTGGAGCACAGGTTCCAATTTCTCTGGTGTGTCTTTGCCAGCCAACTCCAGGAATCTTCTAAGGATCTCTAGGGTCCCGTTGTTTGATATCAATTTGATGTCGCGGTTATTGCTCTTGATCTTCTGTTTCCGCTCGAAGTTCACTTCCGGTTGAGGTATGTTGTCCTCCAGATATTTTCCGAGCTCGTGTTTACTTCTGAAAGGTGTCACACGGTTTCTTCTAAGTTCCCACAGATGCCCAAGGAGTAACTCTTGTGAGTGTACATGGCCATTGAGACTGATCAGTATGTCCTTCTCCTCCCCACTTAACGTGAAATCATCTTGGGGCTTGTAAAAATGTTTGTGGCTAATCATTGCCCAAGCGTGCATGGCTGTAGATCGAACTTGGATCTCGCAGATGTCGTTTGGATCGTGACCTGTCTCGAATTCTTCTTCTCGAATATTGACACGATAATGTCGTTTCTTGAGGCCTGGATAAAGTAGATTGACATTTGCGCTATCAATATCGTCTATTTCTGGCTCTTTGCGGACGTCGAAGGCGTTCTTGATCATTGAGTGAACGACGTTCCATTGGTCCGCGTGAGGGAAGTAGATGATGATTCGAACTCCAGCAAAGTCAATGACGTCTTCTTTGATATCTTCATGGTTCCGGTAGCCTTTCTCGCTTCCAGGGACAGCCTTTCTGGTTCCGTATCTGTCTAAAACAGATTTACGGACAAAGTCCGGGTGCCTCTTGTACAGCTTATCCCTCAAGGATTTAGGGTCTTTCGCACGATGCTCATACATAGCTTCAACCCTTCCTTCGAGTAGCTTTTCGCATGTACTCCTTGCCTTTTGTGCAATGTTTTCATACCAATCCCTCGAGGTTCTCTCGTACCTTTTCATAAAGCTTTCAATGATTTCAATGCCGTCTCGAACCTGAGGCGCAGGAAGAGCCTCAATGGGTCGTCTTTGAAGAGTCCGAGACATATTGCTGGGCGTTCGTTTCTGGACTGCGAGCAAGAATGCTGCGAGCTCAAGCTTTCGTTTGATGCGTATCTCACGGGCCACTGTGGGAATTGCTTTGGTCGAGAGATTGCTTGCAAGAACCGTATGAATAATTGAGGACGATCAAAATGTTTCAATAGTCAGGAAGCGAAGGAGTTCAAAGCGCCAGTCGTGAGGGTATTGGGCTGCGTGAATATATTATAATGCTTCAGCTGAGGACAGAACTCCGTCTCTGTTCTCGACTTCGTCCTCGTCAAACAAATGTTTGGATAATACTCATGCCTAGACGACGAGTATTAATGTACGGTCGAATCGAGCCCGGTGACAGGTGATGAAGGAGCCAGTCAACTTACAACTATACTGCAGACGTTACAGTGATGAGAGTTGACTCAGAGCACGATTGCCAGGGTGGTCACTGAGGGTATAGCCTTGCCGGAAAAGTGTGAGCTCTATATGAGTGAAGGACTGATGGTAGAATTGATAGTCAATATAAACGACGAGTAGACTTAGGAGCAAGTCAAGACAACCAGGAGAGTTCACAAGACAAACTGATAAAGACACACCACAACTTTGTCTGTATATTCGCTTCAGAGAAAGATTCCTTCAATGATGAAAGAGCTGAGTATAGATTGCTAGAAAGACTGGACGAATCCTCAACTCTTTATAGTGCATCTACTGCTGCATGCCTCTCGTCCGAGCAAAGTCGCATCCTTAACCAGTCACACACAGCTCATGCCATTGGCGAATTCGGCCAATGTTGTCTTTACATGGATATACACGAATTCTTTACAATCTGATCTTGTGGCACAGCTTGGTAGTCGTTCTGACAAATGGAGCCAATAGTGTTGGTCGGCAAAAGACAAGATGCATTAAACTAAGCTCAGCCCGTCATTTTCAGGCGAGAGGCCACCGAGACTGTCATTTTCAGGCGCGGGGCCACCCACTAACGGGCCAACTTAATCGATCATTGGACGACGCTCTAACTTGCATATGCCACGACTGTTACGAGTATCAATCTGTCGGAATACATATCGAGTAGGGGTGCGGAAGAAGCATATCTATCAAATACTACTAATATATCCTATATATTTACTATAAAGAGATCACTTATGGAAACAAATTAATAGTATTAAGAAGTGTCTAAGTATTTCTATAATTGAGAAGTATACGTTAGTAAGATTAAAAATGCAACAGAACCGTTCATTGGTCGAATGATGTGAGGTTTGGCCAAGGTTCTAATATCATCTGGTCTCGGAGTCGGATCACGTGTCGTTTTCGACTTTGGCTACGAGGCTGAACTATTCCTCGGTCATGGAGTAATTAATCGCGGGCTTCACGGTAAAGTCTTTACTCTGCATTCCTTACTCTTGCCCGGTGTCAAGTGCATGTCAGTTGCTGCTGAGAACGTCACGTTTGCGACAGTCCATAGTGGAGATATCTCCATCACCGACATAGGGACAACCCTGTTAGTGCATGGCTGCAACCATATGCTCGTCGTGTTAAGCAGTAATAAATCTGCCGACTCCACTCGCTCCGGACGCGCATGCCTGCGTCTGGCTTCCGTAGCACTTTTGACTGGTAGGTGGGTGCCTGTTGCAATTACAGTCGTGGCTATGGTGGCACGCATCGCTGTGGTGATTCGAACAACGTCGATTGGGAAAAAAAGTATTGAGGCGCTGGTTGTCAACGTTTATACTTGAAACATGTTGGGCGCGGTTGGGTGTATGAAAGGTAGAGTAATGGTGAATGAAGAGGGAGGTCGTGGACGTGTTCCGCCGCCGCGGGTAACGCCCAAGCCCTGGACTGTGGTGTTTGCCCAAGCAACAGTGGTCCAAGATAATCACCGATCGCCGTTCCAACTCCCTGTTACTAAAATCTCACCTTTGATGTCGCTATTATCTAAATAGTATATCTCTATAACATCACCTTTACTTGATACTAGTTATAAGCAGTAATTAGAGTGTAGAGAGCTGATATACATAAGAAAAAACTTAATGTAGTAGTAATGCGAATTGCGCGCGGAAGTACGACAATCCATAACCCGGACTATCTTATTTAATCATAGAAGGAAACATGTAAGATTTAGACTTCTTAGCATAATGTATAGTAACAGAGGAATGCAAACGTCGTCGATCTCGTAAGCGAAACTTACTACAATTAAACATTTTATTCACCTCTAAAACCGATAATCCTGAGTACCTTCTTACTCAAGGACTCTGGAGCTAGAGTATTTTTAATTTGTCTATCACTACATATAGATTTTCAACATACATAGAGGGTTTGAACATAGTAGAGGATCGGAAGATAGCGATCCACGACCCTCTATTACTGTTTCCTACTTGCAAACTCCGCAAATGTCATCAAAGGTGAACATTCTTCTCTTACCGCCGAAACCACCTAAAGAAGTAAGATTACGACCCCTCTACGGAATCGCTCTGGACACTTTGGTCTCAAATAGGTCACAGGCGGGGTCTTCATTCGTCAAGAAGAACCTTTCCAAAACTTGATTTTCCACAATTGTGGTACACAGAGGACGCTAAGGCTCAATCAGGTAGTGCGCCCCGCCCCGTTCCCGGATCCCTCGGCCTCGATCAACGACCGCGGGTGACGGATAACTAATTACGGGTAACGGGTGACGGGTCGACTAAGGACTTAGATCCCATGGTAAATGAAGCTTAAAATGGCCTCTGCTGCTACTATCTATACCTATAGGGAGATAAACGCCTCTATGTTCGGTCTCATAACGTGATTCCATACGGCCAATCTAGTGGATTCTTACTGCAGTGGCATAACCACAACGACAAACAAGACGAACGACACCACTATATAGCTACACGAGCGAGTAGTCCATGTACAACAATTAGACCACGGGACAAACTAAATCAGTAATACAATAGATGTAATACTATGACCATACTAACACACATATCCACTAAAACAATCCTAGTCATCTACTAAAACAATGCAAGTGGTCTACTCATTTAGATTGATAAAGTAACATTATATATACATACTTTGTAATAATTAAGGATAGTTCTAGCGAACTCAGGGATGAAAGGAGATCAAAAGGAAAAGGAGAAAAAGGCACCATGGGAAGAAAGCGATAGAGAGTTATGTTGATGGATCCAGTTCATAAATTCTCCATTATAGTCTTCGATTCCTCGTCTGAATGATCCAAGAATGATATCGCTTGACTAGAATGCTGCCTGACAGGTGCCCGGCGAGCAACTAAGGCCGATCACCTCAGCTCGATTTCTATGAACACAGACATACCTGCTCCAACCAATTCATTCGTTTAAAAAGGGTATAGATATATATACAATCTAATTCAACCCAATCCAACCGAGTCCAGTTCGTCTCTATTTTCTTCGCCTCCAACCCCCTCAAGCATCAACATCAAACCTCACCCTCGGCCTCCCACTTCTCCTCTGCAGCCCATCTCCACGCGCCATACTGGACCTCACTCTGCCGCGCGGCCTCTGCGCCAACTCCGACGGCGTAGTCAGGAAGCCCTGGAGCGCGGGACGGAGGATATCGCCTGCTGCTTCTCGTTTTCGGAGCGAGGATGCGAGAGGGGTGTTTGTGCGGCGGGGGTTACGTGTGAGGGTTGGTTCTGGGCGGGTGATTGTTGATGGTGATAATGATGAGGATGATAGTGAGGATTTACGCGGTGCTTTGAGCGTGGCGCTTTCCTTTGGGTGCTGGTCGCCGCTCTTCGTCCTCTCCATGGCCTTCTCCATCTCTTTTACTCTCTCTTTCACTCTCTCTGTACTCTTCTCCTTCTCCTTCTCCTTGTGTTTCTCCGTCGGCCTACTCCCCTCGCTCACAACGCGCCTGTATCGCGGCTTCCAGGTTGGACTGGGCGTGAAGACTGGGCCATCTAGATACGTGGCTGTCTGCGCCTCATAGACGCGCTGCAGGCTGGTTTCGGAGTCCTGGGTCCGCAGGCTGCGCAGGTCAGGTTTCTGGGGCGAGGTGTGGTGGCGTAGGCGTGCTGGTATGGAGCTTGCTGTTGGGGGTGTGCTTGAGGGTGAGAGGTGGGAGGATATTGGGGAGGCTCTTGGGGAGGCTCTAGGTGAGGCCTTTGGAGAGGATGTTGGTGAAGTCGTTGGCAGTGACGAGGAGGTACGTCTGGACGGCGATTGAAGAGGGGTGGTAGGTGTGGTCTCCTGTTGATCCAGACGGTTGACACGGGAGGAAAATGAAGAAGGCGATGCAACTACAGACACGGATTCATGTGTCGTAGATACGGATATTGAAGTAGGAGGCGACTCAAGCAGCGTTATAGGCGGGTCCGACAGGGTGTAACGCGGCAGAGTCGCTTTGCGACACAACTCTGTCGCCTCACTAGAACTCTCCACACTCGAAGCAGAGGTATCGCTCGCACTCTGGAAGCTTGACGCAGACTTATTACTTCCGACAGATCGCATAGACGACGAGCTACTGGTCGAGCTCGATCTTAAGCTAGATCCGATATTCGCGGCAGAGGTGCCGAGGTACATGCCTGAGTCGACGCGAGACATTATTCTGGCAGGCGGTCGCTCCGCAAGAGGACTATGACGGCGAATGAAGGTAGGCATTACAGGCGCGCCTTCACTTGGCAGTCCAAGGTCTTCGACAGAGGCGACGCTGAACAGACGTGGGCGGATCGGGGGGTAGTGCATGCCCAGGGATTCTCTACGGGAGGACTTGCGCGGGATTGGGGGTGGAGGTGACGGGGCAGACGGTCGGATGGTATCGAGATCTCTCCAGGGCGTGTGGAGCGAGATGGAGTGCTCCGGGTAGTGAAGACTTGGAGCGGGAGAGACTGAGGGTGGAGGTGATGGGAAGTCCGAGTATGGGACACCTAAGTGGTCGGCGAGGGAGTTGTATAGGGAGGCCATGTTTGCGAATGAGCGCTGAGGACGTTGCGTGCGCTGGGAAGCAGTCATACTAATCTTTAAATCGTGCTCTTGAGGATTCAAGGTCCCTCGTCTTCAAGTGTTCCTGGGTTGGCTGGTATATGATGCAAACAGGTCTCCACAGAGTCGAATGCTTTAATCTCACCGTCGAATTCGCAGGATAGACACTGGAAAATAATCCTAAGCTCTTAGCAATATATGCTGCAATAAGGTCCACGCAAATTAGGTCCAAGTTCCAGTATAGCAGCACAGCGTCCGACAGGCCTGCCAACGAGACCAAGACAACGAAGCAAGCAAACGCTCCGAAACTAGGCCTGATAGATGGACGAGGAATAAAGGACTTTGACCGCACATAGAACTAGGCCACATAGGAGAATATATTATCCACGCGTGCTGTCTACAAGTGGTACAGGGTCACTAATGAGCACGAAGATTGATTCATTAATATGGTGGCAGGTAGCTTAGCAGCAGGTGTGGGTGAGCAGCTGTCATATTTGCCAGGAAGCTGACAGTGGCGACAGGAGGATGGAGCTACAATCTACATGTATGATTAGGTGCGTGTGTAAGAAGTCTATCGTTGGACGGTGTGCCATACGTTGATGCGCGAATTGTGCGCGTGAAGATGGCTGGCCGATGACACGATTGTGTATATGGAGTAGATGGTGCATCGTGGATGGATGGGAGTAAACAGACGGCTGGGCCGCGAATATATCACCAGCCTCAGCCAACTGCACTGCCGGCGATGCTAACAACACGACAGGAAATTATTGGGCCCAGCCGTCTTGAAGGTTATATGTCTCAACCATGACGGTCGACGGAGTGTTTACGTGCTATCCATCGGGGACAAGAAAGCGGTAAGACGTGGTGAGGTTGTCGTTGTTGTTGATGTTTCTGCCAAGCGACCTCGATGCATGTCCTCAGACCACGACAGCGCGGCAAGATAGCAGACTTATTACAAGAGGAATTGTCCTCAGAATCCGACAAAGAGCGCATGCAAGTGTTTAGTAGCCTGTTTGAAAATGTATTGTCGCATCGCCAAGACAGAAAGAGGCATATGTAGCAGAATACGGTGGCAGGGTGGCAGGGTCTTTTTACAGCCCGGATACGACCCGAGAAAGAGGGGAAACAGGGACTAGACCAGCCCTGTTGCCCGCCACGCAATCCCGGCTGTTAGGGCCTGATAGGGGTCCGGTCAGCCACTCTGCATTTATCCAACTCGTCATTCGCGAAGCCTGGTAATAGCTGATACAAAGATACCGACAGTCCATGTATGACTGACCGGAAATGACTGCTGCCTTCAGCATCTTCCTCTTATCAGCTACGGCTGAATCCCATAGAGCCAGTCAAGTGGACGCGAAAGCCCCCAGGGTCTCTCATATATCCCTCAACAGCTAGCTGGTGACCGACATTGTCACCGTTGAGAAGACGATTCTCCTATGCGAATATGGACAAGGAGGCGCCTATGCCATTAAAGTGTGTGGCTGTTTGTAAAGTGCATGTGTGATGAACTAAGTTTACCATGTAGACATCCATCAAAATAGTCAATAATCACTTTACTCCTTCATTGATCATGTCCAGTCTCCAGCATGCAAAAAGATGATCCAACTCCCTTTCCCGAAGCATTCATATGCCAGCGCCCCTTGGTATCAATGCTCAACTCCATATTGCCTCAAAACATGCAAAAGATACAAGTCATTGTTCGATCGCAGTACTATCACATTCGGTTTGTGGAAGACATGCTACCGTCTCGGCTTTCGTGGCTAATTATGGGTTGTAGCGGTATGCCATAATCGTCTTCACCGTATTCATCCTCGTCCTCTGCTGACTCCCAAGATCCTGGTATTCGAAAAGCGCGTCCAAGGTCATAAGTCCCAACTCCAAAACCCGCAGCTATCCGCGCTGCAATGCGGAACATCAGCTCAACTAGGTGCGATGGTGGGCTTAGTAATAGAGCACATGTCTTTTGGACGATGGTAGATGCTATTAACCGTGTTTGGCTCCTTGATCGGCTGGTGCTGATTATATTGGATGGGTGTGGCATAGGGGAATAAGCACGTCGTTGCGAAGCGCCTGTCAGCTTTCGCAGCCGAATAGCGTCAGGGGGTGTAAGAACGTCAGGTAATGGAGGCTCGAATGAGTCTTCAGTGTCACTCATCAGCGTAGGCGTAGTGGGCTCTGACCCGATCCTTATGATAGGTGGAGATGATTGAGCGGCCCCCTTCGGTGATGCGTGGCCGCTGAACTCAGTAGGTATGATAGTCATTTCTGATATGCCACGTTTGTGAGAGAGTGTCCGTTGAATATCGAGTGCCTCAGTATCGGGTAGTGGGTCATCATACAGGGACTCCGAGTCCAAAATGGACGGGGAGCGAGGGTGAGGGTCTCCACTCGCGAGAGAGTAGAAGGAATCAAAGCTGGTCGAATGCGTCAGTATGTTTGAAGCTTCTGGCGACCTGAGATTTTCCTCTAGGGTCTCTAGAGAATTCAATCGAGGTTCTAATCGGGCCTCTGGGTTTGTAGTCGCTTCCTCTCGTGCATCAAGTTGCTCTTTAGCTAGAGCCTCTTGGGGACTGGTTGTGGCTGGGCTGTGATCAGACCGGAAATCCACCGGCACGGGAGAGCTGAGCTGTTCTATCAATTGTTGTCTTGCAGCAGAGACGTCATTACTCGGTGAAGCGTTGGCAGAAGGGAATACGAATGAACTAGAGGCGGATGCATCAACGTCTGGTATGAGCTTGACTTTCGGGGTAACAATCACAGTATCTGGAACAGCAGATGGTAAGTATGATGCAGTAGGGCTCTGCAATACTCCTGTAAGTGCCCTGTTACCCAGTAATCGTTTCGTTCGCTCCGCGATTCCCGGGCCCGAAGTGTCTATGATCGTTGCTGGACTTCTTCCACGTACGTCCGGACTTACGCCACGCGATCGTGACATTTCCTCGTGGGAGCTCGATACAATGCTAGCAGTATCATCTTCCTCAGATGCCGAAGGCCCACTCTCTTCCGAGACATCAGATGGCACACTCTCGGCTCCTTCAGGTTTCCACCTCCTATCGAACTTCCACTTCTTCGCCCGCTCCAGCGTATCGCGCCGTGGCTTCCGTGAATGCAGAGGAGTCTCTACGGTGTCTTCAACATAGTTTCCTCGAAATGGACATGGTGTCTTTTCAAATTGTAGGACCTTGCTCAAGGTTGTCTTGAAGTCCTCGATAACACCTTTATCTTCTTCTGTCTGGTATGCCAGTTCAATGCGATAGTAGTTGTTACCTCTAGCCTTCAAGACAAATTTTCCTTGATCGTCCACACACCAGCATTGAGACTTAGGAAGGATTGGGTGGAGGAAGTTTCCGGAATTCAGGAACGAGACAGAGTTGGGAACACGGTACATCTTTACGGGACCTGCAGATAATGAGTAATGTGACCGAGACAGATTTCTTGGTGAACGTACCTGCAGCCATGGTGCGCTCGGTGGGAGAGCCCCATGGCATGCTTTGTCCAGCATGGCTTGTAGAAGGAAGGGAGGAGCGTCTGTCTGCGCTTGCGGTAGGGGTTTGAGATGTAAAGGATACGACGCGTGCAAAGGAATGAGTGAACAATGTCTCTATATTCTCCGTTCCTGGAGAAGACGGAGCATTTGCCGATCGGGATGTTTCCAGTTTCGCCGGGACTGTAAAGGAACGTCGTATGCCGCCCGCTTGAGCGCCCGGAAAACTGCGCTCAGGCGTCCAAGGACCGCTCGACATGATAGCAGTGTTCTAGATGAGCATTTCGTGATACTGAGTTCCCACAGGATAGCCTCGCGGTTCAAAGCTGTAGTTGGCAATCCAGGGAGCAGAGGCCGCTTTGTTGACAGGGTAAGTGTGAAGGAAGATCCATGCACGCGAAGGAGGACGAGGACGGTCGTGGGCTCGTGCTCAGAAGCAGCAAGCACTGCCTGAGGTCGCACCAGCCACACCTGAGGCTGAACGTGAACGCCACTTTCACTGTATCCCACTTCTCTACAGTATTATACCTATGCTTACCTTTGAAATAACATACCAGGGGTGTATACTTTAGTTGTTGTTCACATAGTCAAACATCTGAGCATTAGAGATATTTGCACTAGCTGGGCATACGTCATCACTTGCCGCGTCAGACCCTGAGTTGTGGCTTGACCTTTGATGGCCAGCTATTACACATGCGAGCATCTAATTGCGTTCCTCCATTGGCATCACCATCTTCAAAATGTCCACGAAAGATCTTAAAGCGAAGATGTCGAACTTTGACTTTAATGCCATACTACGAGGAGCTCAGCTAACTCTTGTTGGAGGTAAGTGACCTCATAATATCCGTCCTCTGAAACCCGTGACAGTTTGTTGACCATGTCTAGCCCATCGTGCTTTGCAAAATCCAAGTCTGTTTACTTCAGATCACTACCGACAGGTAGCTATAGCTGTAGTGGCAGGTATTGCCATTCGTATCATTATTGCAATCCCGGTACATGACGAAATGAACACTGCTGGGCATGAAGAGAGCTAATTGCCATATAGATCCTTAGCGTACAGGCTCTGATATGGTTCCTTGGACTGTTCATGGACCTCGAGCACGCCACATGGGACAATGATTTGATCCAAGGGCTTCATTTCCTGGAAAATTCTGTACTGCAGGTGCCATTTTTCCTAATGTCCCTACTAAGGTAAAATGCCTCTCAAGCTTGAATGCGGGCACGTATACTGATTCAGACATAGATCATTGAGCCCTACACTTGACAACCTGTGAGTATGCCAAGTAGATCTTGCATTCAGACTGTGCTTATCGATACCAGGTTCATAGAGTCTTTAGCATGGGTCGACCGCACCTACTACCAGAAGCATCAATCAGAAGACCCCCAGAATCTTCGAGCCTCGTATCATCAAAATCTAAAGATGTATCCTAGGAATCGACATGACGGTCCTAAAAAAAGTAACAAGGAGAAGGCCTTCACGTTCGCCCTGCGATACAGTCGTAAAGCTGGGATCTCACTTGCCATCTATCTTTTGTCGTATCTTCCTATTGTCGGTCGATTTGTACTACCTGCTGCCAGTTTTTACACGTTCAACAAAGCAGTAGGGACTCCTCCTGCTGTCTTAATCTTCGCGAGCGGCCTGGTTGTACCCAAGCATTACTTGGTCAGATTCCTGCAGACCTACTTCTCGTCTCGAAGCTTGATGAGGGAGCTGGTACGTACAGTCGTCTACGCATAATGGAACATCGCTTACTGTTTCTCCAGCTTGATCCGTACTTTTCTAGAGTACATTTCACAAAAGAACAGAAGAAAGCATGGTTTCGAGACCGCGAAGGCGTGCTGTTCGGGTTTGGAGTCGGCTTCTTCGTCTTTCTCAAGATTCCTCTCCTTGGTGTCCTCATCTATGGGGTTGCAGAAGCTTCGACTGCCTATTTGATCACCAAGATTACGGACCCTCCGCCACCACCTGTCGATGAGGCCAAATACGCCGAAAGCCAGGTCTCATGGAAGAACAAGCACGACTTCATGACGCTCTCCTTGGGCAACATCGACGCCCTGAATGTTGAGACGAGTGCAAAGAAGGAAGACCCGCTGGATTCCGGGATGCCAGGCAAGACATTCAGCTAACGTCCGTGTATTGGACTTGCTTGATGCTATAATGTGTGCAACTTATGCGACAAATGATATGGCTTGACGGAACAGGCGTCCATGAGGATCAACATGATGATATGACAATGCCGCTTTTACTATCTTGGCTACGGTCCCAATGCGGTACTGATATCATCATCTGATACATGATGTAAATACGACTGAAAAGGATGCTTTGAAACCCCGCCCTGGAACCCCACCTCCCCGCCTCTCCCCGCCCCCGCCCAAGCTACGACGCGACGCGTCCTGTGTATGCCTCATGCAGAATAGCAGTAGCATATAGTATATAGCACATAGCACGTGTTTACGTAGTCACGTACTGTAGCTACCTGTGGACCCAGCAGAGCTATAGCCATCTCCTTATCGCGCATCCCGCTCGGCCCTCAATTACCTGACGATGGCTTGTCACGGCTCCTTTTTCCCTATCAGTAGCCCCGCATTTATTTATATCTCGATATACTACTGTATTCCACTTCCAATCCTGACCTGTCATGCCAATTGACCTTCTACTACTCTTGAGCCTTTACCAGTCCTTTCTGCCGTCAACTGATCCAAGATCTCGTCATCATGGGCAAAGAAGGTCTTCGATACGCCGCAAAGGTTGACTTGGAGAAGCCAGCTGCTGAACAACCGCAATTACATGTACGTTGTCAACACACCAATGCGGATAACTGAAGCTAACATTGTCCAGAATCGATGGCATCCGGACGGTCAATACGTCTCTCTTTACGACCGATCCAATAGCTCACAGCTCCTACAGTCCCTTTCGCTGGAAAGATTAAGAACAACGAAGTGGTCAAGATCCAATGTGTAGACTGGACAGGCGGTCAGATTGGCAATAATGACTCCGCAAACGACGTCAGGGATGTCGATGTGAGATGTTCAAACAAAGATAGTGTGCCATTCCAAGTCTAACATTGAACCCTCCAGCTCACCAAGATCCACTACCTAACCGGCCCCTTCGAGATCGAAACAGCCGAACCAGGCGACATCCTCCTCGTCGAGATCCAGGACGTCCAGCCCCTACAAGACCAGCCCTGGGGCTTCACAGGCGTCTTCCCAAAGACCAACGGCGGCGGCTTCCTCGACGAGCTCTACCCAGACGCGTAACCTAGCCACCCCTCTCCCCCCTCAAGATCTCCCAAAGCTAACATCACACCCCGAAACAGAGCAAAAGCCATATGGGACTTCGAAGGCATCTTCTGCTCCTCCCGTCACATCCCCGGCGTGCGCTTCGCCGGCCTCATCCATCCAGGCATCCTCGGCTGCGCGCCCTCCGCCGAAATCCTCGCCGAATGGAACCGCCGCGAGGCCGAACTCATCACCGCCTGCGCCCACCTAGACCGCGATGTCGCGATCCCGCCCACGCCCCAGAACGTGCACGCCGGCTCTGCCGATGCCGCCATCAAGGAGAAGGTCGGCCGGGAGGGCGCGCGCACGATCCCGGGCCGCCCCGAACACGGCGGGAACTGCGACATCAAGAATCTGAGCCGTGGCAGCAAGGTGTACCTGCCCGTGCATGTACAGGGTGCGAAGTTCAGCGTTGGCGACTTGCATTTCTCTCGTACGTCAGACCTCCCTTTCAAACCCCCTTTTTACCCCTCCGAAAAAACAGGCACCGCTAACCTCCCTCTTTCTCGCGCACAACAGAGGGCGATGGCGAAATCTCCTTTTGCGGCGCCATCGAAATGGCAGGTGAAATCACGCTCAAATTCAGCGTCATGAAGGGCGGCATGTCCAAACTCGGTCTCAAATCACCCATCTACATGCCAGGCCCGGTGGAGCCGCAGTTCGGGCCGGGCCGATACATCTACTTTGAGGGATTCAGCGTCGACGAGCACGGCAAGCAGCACTACATGGACGCCACGGTGGCCTATCGTCAGACGTGTCTGCGCGCCATCGAGTATCTGCGCCGGTTCGGCTATGATGATTATCAGATCTATTTGCTGCTGAGCTGTGCGCCTGTGCAGGGCCATCTTGCCGGCATGGTCGATATTCCGAATGCGTGTACGACCCTGGGCGTGCCGATGGATATCTTTGAGTTTGATATTAGTCCTGGGGCGGAAGTCAAGAAGTTGGATTTGGGTTGTTGTGCGAAGGCTAGTTAGAAAGAGGATGGGACGCGTGGGTGCATTGACTGGCAGAACGGCGTTGATGATTAGAAAAGTGAGCGAGCGGTGGCGTTGGTGAGGGGGGTGCATAAGAGAAGAGGAGTTGAGCATGTAGATGTAGCTCGAGTGCGGTATATAACTTTGCCTGTACTAGTTCGGACAATATCAAAACTCCAGCCTGATGCTGCTAAATGACATAGCGTCTACCCAAGCGCCAATACCCGTGCACGAAGAACGCACCAAACAAACGTCCATGCCGGATCTTCTAGACCACGCCAGCGCCGGGTCCTCGTCCCTGAGTCTGCTTCTTCTGAAATTGATACAGCAGCCCCAACACACCCGGCCTCTGATCCTGTATCTCCATCTCCTTCGCATCCTCATCCTCATCCACATGCGCAGCCCTCGTCGTCCGCCACGACTCTCCAAGGTTACTATCCTCCTCGATGATGCGACTCGTCGTCATGTCCCGCGCCGAGATCACCGGACTCTCATCGACCCCACTGAACGGCTGCCGTGAGCCACGCTGGCGCGCCTGTGCATGCTGAGCTTGTGACCCCCGCATGATGGACATGGCCGGCTGATGATGCGGATCAAGCAGGATCGAGTGCATGGGCGACGCACGGCCAGGATGTGCGTTAACGCGTGGGGTATGTTGAAACCCACGCATTTGTGGCGTTCGGATAGTGGACTGTTTTTGCGGATCCGAGAGATTGTACAAGTCAAACTGGGGCGGTAGCTCGAACTGGAACTTTGTGGGCTTGCGATTATAGCGGCGCGTACTTGCGGCGTTCGTGACGTATGTTTCCTGGAAGCCCATGACGGAGGCGACGAGCTTTGCATCTTTGGTGCCATAGTAGTCGTCGCGGAGGCCCGATTCTTCGTGCGCCCGGTCGGGGCGGATGCGTGCGACATTCTCGACGTCTTTCTTGAAGTCAAAGACTGCAAAGGAACAGACGTTACCCAGGCCGTCCACGTTGATGGTGAATTCGCGGAAGAAGTCTACGATGCGTTCGCTGCATTTTGGAAGCCGGTACATAAGTATGTAAGGAGTTACAAATATGCTCAGTAGTTCCTCGAAGACGTTGACCAGCCGGAGTTGGTACAGGGTCGTGAACTCTTGACGGACCTCATCAGTATGTAGTCGATCAGTCCACGATGCCGGGCAGTATCTCGTACACTCGATAACAAAGGACAAGGCCAGCTTGGGATCCATCGTCGGTTCTTCTTGTGGACCGCTATTCCGAGCAGCGTACCAGATAGTTGAGAAGAGCGTAATGTAAAAGATCGCTGTTCGTCCATCGGTAATCTGAAATCCAAGGAAAGATTCCGAGTCGAGAAGTGTAGCCAACCCGAGCACAGCGAGAATAGCTGATGATATAAAGACCACGAAACCTGCGAGTTTCTCGGTCTTGTCTTTCGGGAATTGCTGTAGATATCTGTCAGAATAACCTAGGGCCATGTTCTTGCGTATGTCGAACAAATGAGGAAGTTCATTGAATTCTCGGAACTTCCACTCAGCAAGTCGAGTGAACGATCGTGCCATGATCTGGGATGGGTCTTTTTGAAATTCCTATGGTTGATTAATTCGCGTGTCTTCCATTGGCGGCAATCCACGTACCGTAAAATACTTGAAGAACAACCAGACCACAAAGTACATCGCCTGAAAGGGAGCACATACGATACTGATGAGACCTGTTTGTACAAAGCGACGTCTGAGAGTCTGGATTAGATAGTGTCTATTCTTATCAGACAGGCAGTGAGGATGCACGTGGCCTTGTTCATCCAGCATGAAATCTATTGCGGCCAGGTTGACATGGAATTCGGTCGTTCTGGAAAATAAGTGCCGTCTACCGAGGAACGGGATAGGTACTGTGAGGTCAAGGATGTCTTTGTTAAACAACGCTATCAAATAGTTCTCACGACGCATAAGCCTGTTGGCGATGTCGTGTGCATCCATGCGGGTTTTAGACTGGCTACCAATGAATCTTCGATTGGCGGCAGATATATTCTGCGCAGTTATGATATTGGAGTCTCTGAGTGCCATAAGCCTGGCAACAACAAGCTGCCACGAAACAGTCTGGATGTCGCGATCTGGTACATCCAGTAGGAAGTGGAAGAAATCGTGTATCTGCCAAAGCCGCGGGATCTGGATGACATATATGGCCAGGGCGTAGAACCACCCACCAAATAATATCCAGAGCATAAAGGACCAGAAGCCGTGCACTCTTGTTTGGATGCATTGGCCATGCACAACATCTCGAAGCTTCTTCTCATGTGATACTGCACTAAAGTCAACGCAGAAGGACACAAATGTCCCTAGCGCAACGATAAAGGCTACCTGTAAAAGCCATAGTACCTTCGATAACATGATCGAGTAGATACCTTTGGTCGCATAGTACTCGTAGATCTCGACCAGGAAGGCGTCTAAATCTTGAACATTGGCCCACAACCACAAAGCCTTTTCTCTTCTATCTTGTGTTAACGTTACTCTTTGATTTATCATGGGGATTCTGGTTCCCTGTCTCTTGTACCTCCCGTCACTATGAAGGCGCTGATGTGCTCGCGTAGCGTCCCATTGTGTTTGTGTTTGTGTTTGTGTTTGTGTTTGTGTTCGCTGTGACGATGGACCCGGTAATGCAGGGACCGCTGCACTTCTAGGTCCAGGGATATTTGTAGGCTTATTTACTCGTGGAGGTGCTTCTGTCCTGGCTTCAAGCAAAAGTGATTCCGGGACATCGTCATCATCGTCAGTATGCTCCCGTCCCGGCGCGGTCGACATCCATTTCGGCCTGCTCATCTGAGGCTTCCAACCAGCGGAGAAGGCCTGGCGCTTCCGATCAGGCGACGCTGCAGTGCTCGCAGTGTCAGCTTGACTTCCAGCAGCTTCAGCAAGCAGATGATCCAGATCTTGGTCTTCAAAATGCTCTCCTAAGTTCTCTTCGTCCAGGGCTGCTTCTAGGTTGTCAGGATCGGAGGAAGTGGACGACCGAGGTGGGCGAGGAGGTAATAGGTCTGAGTTCTCGTCGGTAGCAGAGGGGAGGAGCCTTGACAAGATATTCGAGGCCATCATGTTGTCTAGGAGAGTTGTGCACGCGGACGGGGATAGGGACGCGGGACAGGTCTGGAAGGAGAGTGGCTGCGTGACTGGCTTCGTAGAGTGGTATGGTGGGTGTAAGTATGCTTGCCAGCACGCAGCTAGAAAGGTATCAGACTCAAGACATTGCTATTAGGCTGTTTCCAAGAGGGTAAAGGGAGAACGTGTACAGGTCAGGCGCGTATTGATGTCGAAATGTGAGAGTGAAGTCATGCGTAAACCATGAGGCATCCTGGCATCTATGGACAGGCATGTGGTGGCCCAAGCTCCAAGCACCCCACACTACGCCACACAAGGTTAAGTCTGCTGCACGCATCGCAATGGTGTTCGTGGTATTTGAATTTACCAACAGACAATCCTCTTCTTTGTTTCAGGACGGCAGGAAACCATACAATGACAAGCTATCTTCAGGAACGCACTCTACGTCCGGGTCCGTCACCCGATGCTTTGGGGATATCAAGCCCAGGAACACCTTCGCAAGGAGTGGGACCTCGTGCAAACGCATTATCAAGTAGAATCACGAGTGTGTTATCCGCATCGTATTCGGACTTGGACATTCGCGATGCCTTAGAAACCTTGGATGCTCGGGGAATCAAGAATAACCAAGAGACTCGGAGGCGGCTTCGACTAGATGTCCAGAAAGAAGTCATACAGTGCAACGCCGACATCATTAAAGACTTTGGTCAAGTGGCTGCTGTATGTTCGTTGAGCAGCGAAATATTGTGATAATCTAACAATTGACAGCAACTGAGACGCATAGGCGTAGCAATTGAGAACCTGAATCGCTGCTGTGATGACATGAGAGCCCACATAAATGCAAGCAATCGAGAGAGCGCCCCGGTCCTAGAAGAGGCGAGTTCTCTCTTCAATCAAAAGGTACAGGTCGAGACGAAAGCAAAGCTACTAGATGTTTTCAACTCACACTTCATCATCTCTGAGCGAGACGTCATGGTCCTGACTTCGACCTCGGAGCCAGTCAACGACGAATTCTTTCAGGTTCTCACGCGCGTGAAGAAAATTCATAGTGACTGTCAGATTCTGTTAGGATCCGAGAACCAGGTATTAGGATTAGAGTTGCTAGAGCAGAGCTCAAAGCAACTGAATGCTGCATTTCAGAAGTTGTACCGCTGGATACAGCGAGAATTCAAAAATCTAGATTTGGAGAATCCTCAAATCAATGCCTCGATACGAAGATCTATCCGTGTTCTAGCTGAACGACCAGCTTTGTTCCAAAGCTGCCTAGATGCTTTCGCAGGAGCTCGAGAGAACATCTTGTCCGAATCCTTCTACAATGCATTGACTGGCACCGGGGAGAGCCAGATGAAACCGATAGAGTTCCAAGCTCACGATCCTTTGCGCTATATTGGAGATATGCTTGCTTGGGCCCACTCCGCCGCAGTATCTGAGAAGGAAGCACTGGAAGTTCTGTTCGTTTCTGAAGGGGACGAAATTGCGAGAAGCATCAAGTTGGGTCTGGAAAGCGAGCCATGGACCCGTGAAGATGGAGAAGAATCTGGGCAAGAGGCTTATGATGGCAGAAAAGCATTGAACGAGCTGGTCAGTCATGATTTAAAAGGCGTTGCAAGGCTCCTGCGGCAGCGTACCGAACAGGTCACACAGAGCCATGACGATCCTGTCTTGGTCTACAAGATTGCAAATCTCGTGGCCTTCTATCGATCGACGTTTAAAAAGCTCGTGGGCGAAGACTCTGAAGTCCTTGAGATCCTCGATGAGCTGCAAGACTCTGCCTTTCGAAGATTCAAAGCAAACATGCAGGATCATCTTGTGACTGTACAGAGCGACTTAGGTGCAGCTCCCGAAGACCTCTCACCACCAGAGTTTCTCACTGAGGCGTTGAATATGCTGAAGGCATTGCTGACCAGTTACGACACATCAATGGCGACAGCGGACGATCAGGATAGTAGCTTCCAGCCTGTGCTGACAGAAGCACTGGACCCCTGCCTGAACGCATGTGAGAAAATGTACAAGTCATTGACGGAACCCGAGAACGATGTGTTTGCCATAAACTGCCTAATGCAGACAAGAGCTACACTCACACCTTTCACTTTCACTGGTGATCGGATAACGGAGCTTGGATCTAGGTTGAACAAGCACGCTTCAAATTTAGTCGCATACCAACACCGCTATTTACTTGATGAGTCTGGACTCAATACCCTTATATTCGCTCTAGGGGAAGTTGCCGATTCCAAGGATAGTATTGCTAAGATTCCCACCTTGCCACCTTTCAGTCCTGATTCACTCGTGGCCATCAGCCAAAAGCTCGATGACTTCCTCCCATCAGCCCTTATGGATGCCAGGGAGAACGTCAAGTGTCTAAATAATGCCCAGATAGCCCAGGATATCACAGAGCATGCTGCAGATAAATTCTGCGAGGATTTCGAAGCAGTTGAAGAGAAAATCCTCGCGGTCGATGAAATGCAAGATGGCAAGCGGGAAGACGAGGAAGAGCCTTGTATGCGAGATCTGTTCCCGCGAACTAGTGGAGAGATCAAAGTTCTCCTTAGCTAGATAATATAGCTTCTGCTGCCTCGAGTAGAGCAATACGCTCTTATATATGCCCTGTGCAAATGATGTGGTAAAGTATGTTGATTTCATGTATCGCTTTTAGCATCTCACTGTGCCTTCTTCTTCTCCCATTCCTCGGGCGTATGACATTTGGGGGTCCATGCGTGGATCGCTGCAATCTCCTCTTTTAGAAGTCCGTTCACGAGTCGATGGCGCGCCAGGGTTGTTTTCTTCGCAAATTGAGGCGACACGATGATAGCCTCGAACATCTGTCCACAGCCACCTGTTCTGAGATTAGTGAAGCCCTTCCCCAAATATGTCTGGCGTAGGCCGAATACCTGACATGTCTTCAATTGAGACGTGGGTTGCGCCAAGCTCAGTCTCGAGCTTCGCCTTTAAGAACTCGGCTGTGATGCCAGTCGAGGCCTGAACTTGGTTTGCTTCTTGATCCGGTCGTGCACTCATGATTCTTGTGGGTGAAGGGCAATGTTGTGATGTGTTTATAAACGTTGTGGTAACCTCACATTTAGAGGATGGAGTACCTCATAAACCCCGCTTGATCTCCGAAGACGTGATAAGATTGATAACGTGACATGGTACGAACGCGACTGCCCCATTATAATGTCCAAGTTAGGCTAGTGTCAAATCCAAACTTGATGTATTCTAGTCAAGATTTCTGATTTGCGACTTGTGAACCTTGAAATTATTAAAACATACCGATTGATGTTCTCAAACATAGCAAAGCGTGCCTTCAGTATGAGTTCTACTACATCGACGGCGCCATTCTCGAAGGCTGTGGTGGCTTCGATGAGGAGACTGTATGTCCATCTTTGCATTGCTCCTCCTAGAGCTTGTTTACTGACAAGTACAGCTATCCGGAGGATTTGGCGGAGAAGGCATGGGACAATACAGGGCGTCTGTTCATGATTTCAAAATTCAATTATAACCGTTGTACTGATGACCAAAGTGTTACTCGAAGCTCCCTTTGATCCATCGCGCCGACAAAGGAACTCAGTGCTTCTCACTGTCGATCTCACGAAAGCGGTAACGGATGAAGCAATTGAACGAAAAGCTTCGATTATAATAGCATACCGTATGTCCACTCACGACCATTGACTTCTCGCCTCTAATGCCATCAGATCCCATAATATTCCGTGGTCTCAAATCAATCACCCTCGCAAACAGCCAACAACAATCTCTCCTACGCTTGGCCGCAGCAGGCATAAGCGCATGTCCTTCCCAAATCTCTCCTATTCCCGGTACCACTAACCCATCAAAAGGTCTACTCCCCTCATACTGCCATTGACTGCGCTCCCGGAGGTCTAGGCGACTGGCTCGCAGACATCATAACTGGCCAAACTCCTCCAAACCCCTCGCACTCCCAACCCACCCCCAGCACCAAGCCTACTGACGACCCCTTCACCCAGAAGCGCCCCACGTTCCAGCTCCAGCACTACCCGTCTGCATCACAGGTTAACACAGCACTAAATCTTGGTGTCACAAAGCACACTCGCGCACCCATCAAGCCCGTCGACTTCCCCGACCGCCCGGGAGCAGGCATGGGCCGCATTGTGCGTTTCGCCGAAGCACAGCCGCTTGCAGCGCTCATCGAGCGCGTGGCGGCGGGCGTGGGCAATCCGAAGGGCTTCCCGATTGCTATTCCCCAGGGTAAGGCAGTTGACGAGATCAGTGTAAAGTCGGTTGGCATCTGTGCGGGGAGCGGGGGCTCGCTGTTTGCGGGGTTGAGTGGTGTTGATATGTTGTTTACCGGGGAGTTGTCGCATCATGAGGCGTTGGCGGCGATTGAAAGTGGGCAAAGTGTCGTTACGCTTTTTCATAGTAATACGGAGAGGGGGTTCTTGCACGGGGTGTTGCGGGCGCAGTTGTTGGAGACTGTGAAGGAGGAGTGGGAGAAGATCAGGAAGGAAGAGACAGGCGGAGATGAAGAAGCGATGAGTGATGAGACGGTCGAGGTGGAAGTAAGCGAAAGGGATAGGGATCCATTTGGGATTCTCGTCAACGAGGCTTGGCAGTAACTGATGTATATAAACATTGCTCGTTGTGTAAATCTGATATTTCGACAGCCTGTACATGTACATTAAATCTTCCGTAGAACAGTGCTAGTGGTACGGATAACCCAGAACTCCTTCATGCTTCATCTTCCCTTCTGAAACACGTCACCCCAGAGTATCGTCCCTTTCCATACCATTCGCCTTCGCTAGTAAACTCAACCTCATACCCGTACATTGACCTGTTGCGTCCTTCCTGAGACCCGGCCTGTAGGTTTCACAGCCCCAGGTCTGGCAAGGGTATATTTGGCGAACGCCCTAGCAAGTGCCTTCTTACAGCTGACCTTCTGACTGCCCACGAACGAGTCAACCGCGACAGCAATGGCACGGTCGAGATCTACCGAGCTGCAGAATTCAGAAAGACGCATCTTGGCAAACGCTTCAGCGGTACGAATGATGGCTTCTAAGTGACGAACCTGGGATCTGATTAGATTCTGTAAGACAACGTCAATACGGGTAACTTACAGTGATCGGGTATGCTCCAGTAGCTAAAGACTCTCTACGCATGTCTGCGAACAGACGAGCAAGCTTGTCTTGATCCATTTGGTACAGTTTCGGGCTGCACTTCTCACGAGCGTATAGAATGTACTTCCTGAGTAGTTCTTGAGGGATCTCGCCCTCCTGCTTCGGGTAGTCTGATTCGACATCAACATCCATAGCCGAAGAAACATTTGGGTTGTTCGGATTGCTGCCTGCAGCATTGGTAGGATGGGCACGACCGTGCGAGTTCACCACGAAGTTCGCCAAACGCTCATCTTCGCTTGGGTCCACAGTGTCTCTCACCACGCAAAGAATGTCGAAACGAGACAGGATAGGCTCTGTCAACTCGACATTCTGAGAGAATGGGATGGTGCTGTTGTAACGCCCACCGATAGGATTGGCAGCTGCTACAATCGCACAACGAGCCTGAAGGGTGGTGACGATACCGGCCTTGGATATGGATATCGTTTGCTGCTCCATAGCTTCGTGAATGGATGTTCGGTCTTGGTCATTCATCTTGTCAAATTCATCGATCAGACAGGTGCCCCTGTCCGCGAGGACCAAAGCACCGCCCTCTAACGTCCATTCTGCTGTCAAAGGGTCACGGCGGACGCTGGCCGTCAGACCGACAGCACTAGCACCTTGACCTGTAGCAAAAACAGCGCGATGTGCCGTCTTCTCAACATATTTTAGTACTTGTGACTTCGCCGTACCAGGATCGCCAAGTAGAAGAATGTTGATGTCACCACGAATTGCATGCTTTCCTTGCGCTACTTTACTCACACCTCCGAATAAAGAAAGCGCGACGGCAGTCTTGATGTCAGTGTGACCGTAGATACTCGGTGCGATAGAAGCAATGATCTTGTCCACAATCTTCGGATCCTTGGACAATTTGCGGATCTCACGTTCATCTTCTTCTGTGAGCCTGAAGCCGGCCAACTGATCATGGGACTTGACAACATAGTTGGCTTCGAGAATCGTAGCGAACACTGGGAAACCGTTCTTGTTATTTAATTGCGCATCGTAATTGTTACGGTAGATTCCAGTAATTTCAACTTCTTCCCCGGGTTTGGCAGAATCAATCAGATCCCAGAGGAGGATGACCTCACGTTGCCGGGGCAAACGGCCTGCAGGAACAGTTCCCGGAGACTCCTGAAGGGTCAATTTTTGATAGTTCCGGTATATCGTCTTTTCGGTGTTCAAAGTAAAGGGGCCTTTGGACTGGCAGTTCTGGCAGTAAGAAATCTTCACTTCGACATTCGACTCTTGCTGGAATGGCCCCAACGTAATACCACACTTCTGACAGTCAAACTTGACAAGTTTAAGCTGAGGAAATACGCCTGTACGGCGAGTTACCACACCACTAACTCGCACAAGACAGTTGAGATGGGTCTGACGAAGTTGACGAAGTGTATATTGAACGGGCAGGTCGCTGATTCGTACGTGGATTTCAGAATGAATCTGCTCGTAGTCTGGATAGTGGAGCAGCGTGACCTCCATAGCGACGCGATCGAATATTTGGAGCATTTCTGAGGGTGCATTGGCCAAGAAGTAGGCCAGCGTTGCTTTAGAGTCAGAAAGATGGTCAAAGGAGACTTCCAGAGATTCTGCGTTGACTTCTCCCAGTGTTCTGATTCGTGTACCATACACGGAAGTGCCATGTTCGTCTGTATATGTCGTCAGAAATGCCTTGAATTCCCTTGCGATGGTCCTCTCGACAGCAGCTTGTGCGACCCAGTCTGTCAGACTTGCCGCCTTGACATCCTGGAGGGCTTCAATAGGGAGTTCCTCTTGCATCACGTCCATCTCTTCGTCTTGATCCTCATCGTACCTCCCACGTCTGCGACGGCGTTGTCGCATGAGATCGACCGCGCCATCATCATCGTCGTCTGGTAGGAAGGCAGATGGCATTTTCCGAGCTCGAGCGAGAGCTCTGTCGCGCTGGTTCAGGGCTGCCTCGAGTTTTCTACGTTCTGCAGGATCGAGCTCTTCGTAATCGCCTTCATCGTCGATGTCACGTCCTCTATATCCGTCATTGTCGGCCTCTGCATAATCTTTATCGAAGTTGTCGGCAAATAAATCTATTCCAGCTTCATCTTCGGCCATTTCATCAGCATCGTCGATATCACCGATTGGATCGTCGTCCGGATCTATTCCTGCTTCGTCATCGTCTTCAAATCCTCCAGGGAAAACCGGCGGTGAAGAAGGAGGTGCTGTTAGGGTGGTCAACAAAAATGACCTAGGACGAAGATACTGTCAAACTTACGGCTTGAAGGAGGGTGTGCGGCAGATGATGGAAGATCGTCTTCAGGCTCTCTCGAGCGCTTGCGGGAGTTTGCTGGACGAGGACCTCGATTCGCAGACGACATGCTAGGTCTTAGAGGGGAACTATGTCATATCAGTACTTTGGAGTCATAGAAATGTTACGGGCAGAGACTACCTCATTGCGAGTTTCAATTAGTATTCTAGACAGAGTCACAGGCGCTGATGTAGATGACGGGAATGTTGTGGTGGTGTTCACAGTTGAATGATGGCTCAGCGCTTGGACAGAGGGGAAACTGAACGGCGCGACGCGTTGGAGATGTGCCAAGAACACGCGCGGGCGCGCTTCAATTTACTCCAAATGAAGCTTAGCGCGAACCGGACTTTGGCCTCGTATCGCCGCGCAAATGCGACGCGCCTTGTGTATAACATTATACTTCGAGGACTTAACAAAAACTTCAGCCTTCAAGAAACGGCGCATCATCGCACTCTTTCTTACTGAAATCTACAACTACTACTTCGCTCTGTGTCTGCTGCACGAAGATGGCAAGCCGCATTGATATGGCTGCGCAGGCGCAAGCCGACCTCCACAGGTCAAATAGCATATCGCAACAATCCGAAAACTCACAAACAGCTGCAGAGTGAGTACTGAGGACTTGACAATAGTCCATGCCATACACAAACTAACCGCAACTCTCTTTCAGATTCATCAGTAGTCAACTACAACTTGAAGCCGATGCGCGCGAGGCCCTCCCATACGTATGCATACTTTGGACGTGAGTAACGCGTACTGATAATGATTCCAGCAATTCGATACATGTACTCGACCTTTCGGCGCATTGAAACAGAACCTCTTTTCCTGCCTGACCTGTAATCCTCCCCCGCGAACACCTGACGAGTCCTACACACCAGCGGGTGTGTGTTACTCCTGCTCCATTTCGTGCCATGGCGAACATACCTTAGTCGAGCTGTTCGCCAAGCGTAATTTTGTCTGCGACTGTGGCACTACTCGACTACCGACGTCTGCCCCTTGCACTTTAAGACGAGATGAGGCTACTGGCATCAAGGGCAATATAACCGGTGAAGCGCCGGCAAAGAGCAACAGATACAATCAGAACTTTCAAAACAGATTCTGCGGCTGCGGGGAAGACTATGATCCACACCAAGAAAAGGGTACCATGTTCCAGTGTATGGGCTTAGGCACAGTCGAAGAAGGAGGATGCGGAGAAGATTGGTGGCATTCCGAATGCCTTGTTGGATTTGGCCGAAGTGATTGGAGGAAGCATGTTGCTGAAATCGAACGGATAAAGCAGGCATGCAGGAAGACCAACGACGATAAGGATCGACAAGCAACCAATGGGTTAAGCACAATTCAAGAGAACGGTTCAGAGAATCGCACGATAAGTACGACTACTACGAGCGATACCGATAGAGCTCCGCCCGTGGTCGATGACGAAACAGATGAAGATGATGACGACGACGAAATTGTACCGGACGGATTCCCAAGAGAAGATGATTTCGAGTATCTCATTTGCTACAAATGTGCAGACGCTTTTCCGTGGATCAAGCAGTATTCCGGTGCACCTGGATATCTCGATGGCGTACCCTACCAGAAGGATGGTCCCGTCACGCGACAGCCAGCGAAGATCATTTCACAGCCTATCGACTCTCATTCTGACTTTGATACGAAGGCAGAAGATAATTCAAGAAAGCGAAAGTCTCCAGCAGACGATGAAGTAGAAGTCGCGGCTGATGGCGTTAAGCGCCAGAAGTCCGAACTATGTTCTCCTGAGCTACTTCTCACTGTAGCTAATGCGAGTGGCAGTCAGAATCCTGCGTCATGCAAGCGGACCTCATTAGCTCCTGCCCCAGCCGGACAAATTTCGTTGTTCTTGAAGGTTGACTTTCGCGAACATATGTGTAAATGTTCAGATTGCTTTCCCCTACTGAAACAGAATCCGCAACTCATCGAAGAAGAGGAGACATATGAACCGCCCATGTCCGATGACGGAGAGGCAGCAGCGGGCGGAAGTGTTGGGACCGGAAGTCTCTTAGACAGGGGAGAAGCAGCTTTCAGCAACATGGATCGAGTCAGAGCTATTGAAGGGGCTATGGTCTACGCTCAGCTTAAAGACAAAGTTAAGACCTTTCTCAAACCTTTTGCGGAAAGTGGGGAAGCCGTGGGCGCAGAGGATATCAAAGCTTATTTCGAGAAGCTGAGAGGTGATGCAAAGGCCATGAGCGAAGCAAAGGGAAGTGCTTCAGAATGGAGGAAGGGAGCAAATAATGATGATAATGACGATGACACGGATCAGAGGAAGGAGCAAAGCGGTAAGTCAATCAGATCAACATTGCTATCGAAGAACATGGAGCTAACGATTTTGCCAGGCTACTGAGATGGGATATGGGACATAGTCATCGAAAACTCCAGCCCTGTGCGTTTGTCGGACCAGTGTATCACTACTTCGGACAAAGGCGCTCAAGTCTGTCGAGAGAAAAAGCAACTCGATATCGTTCACGGATGTTTTAACACATCAATATCTCAATCTTCTCATCATATCATCATAAAGGCTATTCGGAACCTCGACAGACAAGACAGGAAAAGCTGCGGATCAATCGTAGGTTGATAACAGTGTATGCAAGCCAAGTCTGCGTATTGGCATAGCCATATTTTCATACATGGAAGGCATTTCAAATACCAACATTGTTTGGTGAGCGCCATGTAGCTAATCGCGAAACCTGCCATAAAACATGTTTTCCAGGACTCGATTATGCCTGCTTCTGGCCACGCGGAACCTGCAGGTTAGCAAAGTAGGTATTGACGATAGTAGGTACGTAGTCTTTTCGCGGCAGCGCATATTTATCTTCAATCGACATGAACTGCATCATCACAATACCAAAAATGTCAGGCATCAGGGTTTTTCGTACCTAAGAGGCTTAGCATCTGCAGCCGAGACAGGCCGCGTCATTATACTGGGCGCCGTGCAATCCTCAATACGAGGTAAGCGAGAGCTTAACGTCAGCGATTTTTTGACCGTCGAACACATCAGGCTCACAGTGTGGTGTTTGATTCTCATATATGCCATTCGGGACAATGGCGGTTGAGACTCGTGGAACGTCATGGGTCTGTGGCTGTTGGCGAGATCGAAAATCCGTCCCAGCGGTTGAATTGGGATATGCTATACGTACTTCATCTCGGCACACACTAAGTTGAGTCACTGACGGACAAGTACAAACTCTGTCGATAAGGAGCAATGCACGAATAGCAATTGAACACCTTAGCCACATGATCTGTATGATTGCAAAGTTTGCAAAGTATAGGGGTCTAAATGCCTGGCGATGCTCAGGCACAGCCACTCGTACCTGATGCTTCGGCTTGGAATACAAGCATACTCTCCGGCTCCGACACTATGGCTCATGAACAGGTGCTGTACTAATTCCAGTCGTACGGTGACAGTGTGGACTGTGTTACGCATTTGGTTCGCAGCCTCAGCCTGGGCGAAGCGACTAAGACCAATATGGAAGAGCTTGCGAATCTTGGCATCAGGTATCAAACGTCAACGTCCATTGCATAGTCACTTCGTTCCCGCCGGGACCGGTACAACGTTTCTGCCGTTTATCCATCGTCGAGTCCTACAGGCTATTGTTCCTTCTTTGGTCCATGTGTTGACCTATCTCCACACTTGATCTCTCCTTTTCTTGCCCTTTCTTCTAGTCATCGCAAGCCGCCGGAGCTTGTGTGTCTGACGTCCACGGCCCGGGTGGCTGTTACTATGGGTCGCTGTATGGTCAGGCATTACGCGGAAAACGAGGCTTCTATGTTGCGTCAACTGCCTCGGACCATCACAAAGCTGCATGCATTCTCGTGTGGCTTCATCTGGTGACGACTGTTATCATCGCAAGGTTCTATTTTGGTGCTCGGTGTGCTTGTACAATACACATATATGCGTTTCAGGTTAAGTTGCTACTCATCGATAATTGACGCTGTCTTAGTCCTTCCCTAAGCTTCCACACTTGAGGCATAGAGTCTTGTCTTCTTCATGTCAATGGTACTCAGTTACTGGAATCACGCCCACCTCTAATTGGCCGCCATGGTATACACCGGCAAGCCGTCAAGGGCATGTCAGATGTGCAAGTCTCGTCGAATAAAAGTAAGTCATGTCCCCACCGGCAGCATATAGCTCCCAGGCCAATCAAGCTTAAACGATGCAGTGTGACGAAGAACGGCCGAGTTGCGGACAATGCCTAAAGTCTGCGCGCAATTGCCCTGGCTACCCTGACGAGTTCGACCTTATATTCCGCAATGAGAATGTCGCGTTGGCGCGGCGTGCTCAACGCTCGTCGACGTCTAAGAATTCTTATTCCTCCAAGTATGTTCCACGCGCTATCATGTTCTATTCCTCTGAAGCCTGCCATGCTATTCGAAAGTCAATACTAGGCCTCTCATTACCCATCACTATACAGCGACAATGTACCCCTTGCGATTTAGGTGGCATGATGTGACACGATTGAGCCAGTTGTTCAAGCCGGTAATACCACACGTCTTGAATATGGATGTGCTCCCAAAAAGATCTCGAAGTGAATATTTTGCACTTGTCCCTTGTTCAGAGGCACCCTCAGCAGACTCTGCCCATCTTCATCTGTGTTTATCCTCAAGCGAGACATGATGGAACTTATCGTGTCACACGGGTCTTGTGAATTTTTACTTTGTGGAACCTATTCGTGTGAATCCTGAAATTGCTTCTACTGCCGGCATGTTTTTGTACTTCCTGCAACTTTCTGAGAGCTCTTTTCTGTGGCTCTATGTACATGAAGCTAACATAAAAGCAGCAAATCATCTCCGACCTCTACTTCTCCTACGCTTCAGCGATCTCCAGCATCATATCACGGTGAAAGTTCATCTGCATCATCATTGACGCCAGGCAGCGAACCAGAGGAACTTTTTCCAATAGCACGACAAGAATTGTCTATGACAGCAGACTTACTTACACCAACAATTCTACCCAGTCTGAATCCTTCAACGCAAACTCAAGCTACATCGTTCTTCTTTCACAATTTTGTACATTTGCCAAGAGAGGCCGAAAGTGTACGAGGATTCCTTGAATATCTTGGACCGGTATACCTCAAAGCTGGTACCAGATCGCCTCTACAGGATGCTACACATGCAGTCGCACTATCTGCATTCGGACGCTACCCGGAAAGGAATGACGTTCTCCGTCAAGCAAGGGTCATATACGGGCAAGCTTTACACAAGGTAAACGAGGCTCTCAGAGATCCAGTCAAGGCCAAGTCCGACGAGACGTTACTTTCGATACTTCTCTTCTCGCTATACGAAGTAAGTGTCGAATCCAATATCGTCTATGCTCGCTCTGCCGCCCTGGCTGCTGGATTTGGTCAAGCCTCCAGGGCTCGCTCTTTCATTCTCTCCGGAATTGCTTCTACTGGCCTCTCAAATTCGGCCAGACTAACTCAAGAACAGGAAATCGTATCGACAAGTGAGCTGGAAACACAAAACTGGAATCATCACGTTGACGGCGCCGTGGCATTAGTCAAGATGCGGGGCACAGAACAGTTCAATAATCCCCAATCTTACAACATATTTCGTGCGGTGAGATCGATGATGGTGCGCAAATGTCTTTAACAGCTTGAATCATACTGACTGTTAATAGCTCACTAACTGCGTCCAGAGGAAGAAGCCCGTAGACACATTTCCAGGCGAGAATGGTTGGAAAGGCAAGGACACCGAAGAAAACGCTGCCAATCGTCTCACCATGATATCCATGGAACTGCCAGAGATCAGAAGCCGCTTTGAAACTCTACAGAGCGGCCAAGCATCTGGAGATGTTTCGACAGAGGTAAATGCTTTACTGCAGAGCACAAAGAAAATGGATGCCGGTCTAGAGAACTGGGCAGCGACGCTTCCATCCACTTGGAATCCTCAAATAATTTCCATCGTCGAAGATTCTGATACTGACATCATGCTCTGTCCCGAATGGCCTGGCCCACAGCATATATATAACGACGTGTTCGTCTCGAACATCCAGAATGACTATCGGGTCACCCGTATCTTTTGCCAGATTGTCATCATGGGCTGCTTAAGTATCATCGGCGATATGGGCCAAAATTCGGACTTCGAGATGCTACGTGCCCAATACACGTCTCAGCAGATGGTGAATGATATCTGCTCCTCAGTCCCTTTCCACATGAGCTTCGACATGCATAGTAGGCCAAGGACAACGGGAGACGAGAATAAAGGTCAGTCCAACACCTTGACAAGCCTGCCTCAGCTGATGGATCATAGCTGCCGAAGCGCTAGGTGCATATTTCCTCGCCTGGCCACTTTTTGTATGCAACAGGGTCCCAAACGTCTCGGAACAGCAGCGGATGTGGATAGCAGGTCGCCTTATGCGCATCGGTGTTTCATTTGGTCTTGATGCGGCACAACTAGAGAGTATCGCTCGTCGTGGAGCTAAGATGAGCATCAACCCATCTCAGATCGGCTGATTCGGGAAGGAGGAGTTAATATCTTACGAATGATCGCACTAATGACCATGTACCAATAGCTTATCTTCCAACTCTACACATGGGAGGTTATGTACCTTTAGAATGTCCAGCATGCTCAGCATAGAAATCACAACGCATAATGTCAATGTATGGGCTCCGGTGTACTGGGAATAGTGTAAGGGCCGTATGTTAGAGGTGAAAGTGTGCTTTGGCGTGCCGACTCGTCGATTTAGCCAATTGAGAAAAGAAAAAGCTTCATAGTTAGATGGATCATATATATAATACCGGAACTGGCTTTATACTATCATCCCGGAATCCGTGAGTACACTTGGACCCAACATAGCTATGGAATCTCTCGTTCATAATCTGATGGGCTCCATACACCAAGTTACTGACATTGCGAGTAATAATCGTTCAGCTGGACACACTTATATGGCGTTACACAAACAGTCGATCCTGTATACGACGCCCCTCCGCACCGTGCATACTGGGCCACAGGTGTGCCTGTCACAACCGGCTTTGAAGACGTGATAAGAGTCGTCCGTACAGTACTTGTGGGCACCATAGTTATTGGCAGCGCATTCGTCAGCGTAGAGCTCACTACAGGTATCCCTCCGCCTGCAACTCCCGGGCTCGCCACTCCTGTCGTCAAGCTACCAGTTTCAACATACACACCGCTAAAGTACCAATCCTCTGAATTCGTGGTATCATATCCGCTACGCGGCAGTCGCAGTACGCCCAGGTGCCAGTCCGCACCATTTGAGGAGGTAGATGTACTAATGGGACCGGCGGTCAGCGTGAGCGCCGCACTACCAGTAGAGTGCCAGAATGATACAGAGCCAGCTGCGAAGTCGATTTCGTAGGCAACGTTGTGCCATACCTCTGCGTCGAAGGGAGTGCTCCATTTGGATTGGCCGGACACGAACCATTGCAGATTAGGATTCGATGTGCCAGATTCGCCGTTGACCCAGCCATACTTCATTTCGGTAAAGTGAGACTCACTGGCAGGTTTAGCTGGCATCAAGGGTGTAACAGGAGGGGTAAGGGTACAAGAAGTTCACTTGGTGCTCGTGATTTACACTGGGAGCATTCAGGGTAGAACGCTTCATGGAGAAATGATAGTAGACTCTATTCTTGTTGATTGCGGCGGTAGTCTGGGGGATAAGTTCAGTGCGCCACATATCACTGTTCCATTTCGCAGTGCTATCGAGGGTGATTTTGGCACCTTGCTTTGAACCTGTATCGGCAGGATTTTTGTATGATGTAGCCAGGTTCAAATATTTGTCGACAGTACCGCTGCCATGAATGTAGTACTGATAGTTGCCAACCTGATTGGCCCATGACCCTGACAGATGAGGTCAATTCAGGGAGAAAAGAAAGTATGAACATCGTCGTAGTACTCACAATTGTTGAGATCCGCGGAGGATGTCATGTCGTTGAAACGCCCATCCCATATTATTGTGCCCGCAAAGACTGAGCCAACAAAGGCACTGTACAAGAGGAAATAGCCTAGCATTCTAATAAGCTGTCTTGTGTCATGAAGTGGCGTGGTTACCAACGATGGGAGCAAAGAGTAAGAAGACAAGTTCGTATATATATATCTATGCTTCAAATTGCAGACCGCACACTAGCATATCATCCAAATGAAGGCCCATGAAGCCGAGTTAACACATAGAGTGCGGCAGCGCGATTCTGCAATCTACCGGCTGATATGATAGAGCCTTAATAGTACCGGACACGCGGTCCGAGGCTTACACATTTAGATTGCGGGGAAATGAACATGTTTCGGATCAGAAACATGTCCTTACACCCCCATATCGAGCTCTAGGAGGTTCTAAATCTCATCTGTTGTAATTTAATTTTTCTACAACTCGTATGACCTTGAAGAGGGTGAGAGATAAATTATCTTTGTACGTATTAGATTCATTGGACGAGCCAACCAGAAATAGGGGTGTGAGAATGAGCATTTAGAGGATGTTAGACGTATCAAAGTACCCGATAATGCGCTGTCTGCGATACTACTATTTTGCTCAACATCAGTGGCTGGAGTTCGTTGTGCAGTTTTGAACGTCCAGATCTAGCACAGTTAATGGCACGAAGTGCCTATCTGCGGCAATATCAGATATGTAGTCGAGGTGCCCGAGATCTTTCTTATCAGTGGGGAGCCGTCTAAGCTTCTGCTTCTCGGTGCTCAGAGATCATAGGAAGATCAGAGTTTCAAAAACACCATGTGATGTCTCGCATAAAGCATGTGAGGTGCGCGATTAGGACTCATAACTTCATCCAGAACTTCATTCCATCGACGGCTAGCTCTTCTGTGCACTTACCTAGGCAGCCAAATAGACAGGTCCAAGTCCATTGTGAAAACAATGGAATACTCAATGTTGCTGGCAGCAGACAGGTCCATATTTCGTCGTACCGACTTCAAAAGTCACTCATAGTTATAGCTTACCTATCGTTGTACCTACTCGCCAACAACGACAGTCACATTAGAGATCGGTATCCAACTTCATCAACTTCAGGAAAGACCTTTTGCATCGATCTTTCCCCCACTAGTGTTAGCAGTATGATCATCGTTACTGCACATGCTCTTCCAGGCTTCCTTGATTCCCCGCAGTTTGAGGACTCTTGATAGCCTTCCAAGGTTGCGCAGTCACCATTCCAGTACGCCCACGACCTAATTGCACCCGCTGTCCTCTTTTGTGCGTTCATTCTTGTTCAATTCAGTTGATGGCCATCGACAACAAGCTATCCAAATTCCAACGGCTTCTCTGTATCGGATCGGCAGACGGGTTCCCGGGCTTCTATTATTCTTCTCTCCTATTTCATTTCTCCCATTGGTCTCCACTATCCAGCCCAGTCCTCCGTTACACGTCGGTGGCCAGCAAAGCCTTCTTAATGCTTAAGACCACTATAGACTGCACTAGACGTGACAGCGTGGAAAGAGATGGCGGTGTTGGGGGTATTGGCGTACGTGCCGCATCAGAGCTCGGAGTCAGGTATACTTACCAGTCTTCAGGTCCTTCTCTCGTTCATGATCATGAATGCTTTCTGTCTGGCCTTGGCCTTCCTCATAACCATGTTTGAGCCTCTGTGCGAGACTCGGCGTAAACTGGACGCCATCGCGATCATAATGCGTAAATTACTGGTGGCGTTTTCCGACCAGCAGATTATCACCGGCATCGGCGTCCTCGTCATCAGTCTCACCAAGATGGGTTCTCTCGATTTCTATCACTTCTACATGGTCTATCTTATAGGCTGTTTTGCAACGTTCTGCCACATGGCTACGACAATAACCTTGTTCAGGCAGTATAGGGAAGATTGGCTGATGAAGCGAATACGTCAACTATTGATGGGCTTGAATGCTATGCTCAGTCTTGTCGTGGCAATGTTTCTCCTGCGATTCCTTTTTCGTAAACTCGTACAGACCCTGCCAATCGCGTGCGCCTGGGACAAAGCATTGGGACAGGAGGCGATCAGTGAAAACCCTATCTGGGGGAAGCCGATTCTACTGATCATCATTGTGATCATGTGCCATATGTTGCTCTTCGGGCTTGGGATATACTTTCTGAACATAAAGGAAGGGAAATCGACGAAGTTGATCCAGTGTTTCACGCTTGGGGTGCTCTCCGCCGCGTGTATCACCATTGTCGTTCAGATTATTGAAGTTGGGGACGCATTTCCGCATGAAGCGAACGCGGACGTCTATATGACCGGGAAAGATGAAAACTCTTGGGCTTACGGACAAGTTCTTTCCATGTTACTGCTATGGCTTCCACTCATGGCCTTGGTATCAATATGGCGAGGTGAGTATCATACCACTCAAGGAACTGCATCATCTAACACTGCTTTACAGAGGAGAGAGTGATGGCGAAGAAGGTTGAAGAAGATGGTGTTTCATTACGAGAGGTCGAAAGAGAATTCGGACTGCGATCGATCACGCCCTGTTCTTTCTATCATTGAGAGGACATCATTCACCTCGCGATTGTACAGTGTCCTACCCTACGGAAATCTACATAAATTTGATTACAGCCACACTGCGAACGTCAGATCGATTCGATACTTAATGTCATGTGAGCTGTAATGATCGAGCTTCAGACCCTGCAAAAGCCTTCATTACGACTGGGATCCGAGCATGAAGACTGCCAAATTGAGTTCGGCAAATGAAATGTCGATTCCTTCCAACGTGTACGATCTCCGAGGGAACCCGAGCCGGGGGCGTCCTTCAACTCGCTACCAGCACAGTAGTACGCACTGTGTTGCATAAGTCGCAATCATGTTGCAAGTCCAATACACCTGCCCACTTGTCTTCACACAAACCCTTGTGTGCAAGACTTCTTCGTCTTTCCCAATGCTTGCCAGATACGTTCCTCTTGTTTGTGCTGAAGAGCTGTTTGTATATATTTGACTAGACGCGTTCATGAGCTTCCTCCTGCTAGATGTAAGCTCGCCAGTTGGCGGTAAAGTTTCCTCTCTACACGTATCCATAATGCTATCACCTTGACAAAGGTTGTGTAATGAAGGCTTAACGTGCTTTTCAGTTATATCTCTCCTCTCCTGTAAATATGTTCTTATAGATTTCCGAGGGGCACTATCCGGAATCACACCATTAAATAACGAAATTGACACTCATTTAGAGCCTGAGGTTTTCTGCTGATCAGTCAGGTACCTGTCGATTTTTTGATACACAACTTTGTTTCTGGCCAATTCAATTTGAATCTCTTATCGTTGTCGAAAGGTCGTTCATCAATCTTGGCTGAAAGTAGCCATTGAGTTTACGGAATATAGTTATGAATTTGCGTCAGGGAGAAAGTGTGGACTTTGCACGTGACAGCGCGAAGCGGAAATTACCACGTGACTAGCGCGCAAAGAATGGTAGCCGCCTTACCAAACACAATCTAGAGTGGACGTCAGCGTTGCGACTTGCAACAGGTGTTTGTTTACGTCGCAACTGAGATAGCTTGCCTCTCATCATTCTAAAAGTCCTTCCCGGCAAATCCTTGTATCTACCAACGAGACGCTCGTCCTCCATCGTTCACTCGCACGCGCGAGAAGGTTTACTCGGTGTCTCACCTTATCTGCGCTGGCCAACTTTACGCATCATGACTACTCCAGATCCAGATTTTGATTACCTGCAGCCGGGCTTTGATCCCGCTTCTGTGACAGTACCCCGGCTGCGCAATATTCTCCTATCGCACGATGTCAACTATCCATCATCATCAAAGAAGCCGCAGCTTATTGACCTATTTAATGAGCATGTGTCACCACAGGCGAAGAGAATTCTCTCCGCGCGATCGAGAACTAAGCGATCGACGAGGGGCATACAAGATGTACCATCAAGTAACGCATCTGTAATAGACGAGGAAGAAGACTTTGAGCGCGATATCACTCCTGTCACAACAACAAGAACATCCCGAAGGAGTCGTGCGGCTCCCAGTGAAGAGGCTGGGCCTATAGAGCTTCCAGGGCGGAGAACGCCAGCAAGAAGTGTCGCAAGTAAACAGTCAAGACAGTCTAGTCTACAAGTCGAGGATAAATTGAATCGGCGTCGCACAAGAATGAGCGCAACCCCTGCTACTACCATCAAGAGTGAAGAAGATTCTGAATCGGAGTCGCACCAAAACAACGATGAGGAAAGTCCTTTCACAACCGACAACCCCTTTCAGAGCGGAAGTTCTCCCCTTATGCCAGACGCAAAGCCTAAGCGCGACTTTCGCCGCAAGACATTAGATCCACCAGAAGCGCATGAGAAGCGCAGAAGCGGAGCAAGCAGACGTCGGACCGATGTCCCTTTGTCAGCACACGATGAGGACAAACAAATATCGCGCTCATCGCGCAGATCTATAGTCCCGGTATCGCAAATTATCCCTAAAGAGGAAGAGGAAGATTCGGATGAGCCTGAAGCTGGAGAGGAGTTCGCGCCTGATGCCCAGCTGGAGCTCGAGCAGGATCGCGCGTTGGCAGGAAATACAGGACTCGTGCCAGCGAGACGACAGCAAGTGACCAGACGACCTGCAGCTGTTAAGCCTGCATTCCTGTCTGTCTTGACAGCCTTGGCTGTTGGCATAGCGGCATTGTGGAGACAGGAGAAGTTGACTGTTGGTTATTGTGGCATTGGCCACCACTCACAAGAGCTCGCTGGTGTAGAAATTCCAGAATGGGCAGATCCCATCAGACCCCAGTGCGAGCCGTGTCCGCAACATGCCTACTGTTCTGAAAACCTGCAAACGACCTGCGAAACTGATTTCATTCTGAAAGAGCATCCACTATCATTGTTTGGCATAGTACCATTTCCTCCGACTTGCGAGCCAGATGGCGAGAAAACCCGCAAGATCAAGCAGGTCGCTGATCGAGCTGTAGAGGAACTGCGCGAGCGTAACGCCAAATATGAGTGCGGAGAGCTAAAGGATGATCAGGGAAAGAAGATCGAATCACCGGCGATTCCAGAGGTCGAACTGAAGCAAACTGTCTCCGAAAAGAAGAGAAAGGGAATGTCAGATGCGGAGTTCGAAGATCTTTGGCGCGGAGCCATTGGAGAGATCTTAGGCAGAGATGAGATCACCAGTACAGTCAACCAGTAAGTCGCCCTTCACATTCCATAATCGCCTCCTTTCTGACACGACACGAAACTAATCAGATTCGTCGTTACTTCTACAGAGCGACCGATACCAGCCGCCTTGTCGCCTCCAAGAGCACCGCGAAAATCGGACTATCATGCGCCCTCAGACGATCCCTCCGAGTCGCGTTGGCAAGATATATTTGGCAGCTTGTTGGACTAGCACTTTTCGGGATGACAGGGGGCTATGGCTACCTCAAGATTACGTCGGGTCGCAAAACTGAAGCAACAGCGAAACATCTAGCAACATACGCTCTAGACCGTCTTGCTCAGCAGGCCGCGCTTCATGCTCATGATAGCACCTCCTTTCCTGAGAACTGGATCAGCATGGGCCAGCTGCGAGACGATATCTTGCGCAACGAGTTCTCCGCCAGTAGACGGCAAAAGCTGTGGGAGAGGGTGCAGAAGAAAGTCGAGCAGAATTCCAACGTACGACCAATGGTCCGCGAAGGGCGAAGTGGAGACGTTAGCAGGGTATGGGAGTGGATTGGTGCAGTTGGCGCATTGGACAGTGTTCCGAGTAGTGGCCGCCGTCAGAGCTCAAAATACAGCTTGGGAGGCATTGCTAGCAGTAGCCCAGCTGGTGTGGGTCAAGACAGATCGGAGATGGAGATGAAGAGCTGGGACGAGGGAAGACCGATTTATTAATATCACGTTCGCCTTCTTGGTGTACCTATTCAAGAGCGCATAGCGCATCGATTGCCGCATTTTCAAATAGGGGCTTGGCGCTTGTGTTTTCTTTTGCAGCAGAGATACCACATCTAGGGGTCCGATAGGTAGTGGCTTGGGCGGTGTCTTAGGTCGGATTATGTGTTGTCAGCGTTTCGGCCTTGGTATAGCATACGCGTTATCCGGCATCCCACGTCGTAGTTCCTAGTAGTTGCCTATCAATGAATGGGCAGGGCGGAATGTTGGACCTTGGCTTGCGCGTGTTTGGTTTAGGTGTCGCATGTTCACTCATCCCTCATCCTGCGCTGCGCCTTCGGATCATTATAAACAGCTCTCAATCGTATCTTATTTTCCCAGACCTGCGTTGGCCTTGCACTGCTACTCCATCTCGTTCTAACCCTGTGACAAATCTTGAATTACCTCTTCTCCAGCAAGATTGTTGCTTCGACTCATAAAGCGACGCTCCACTTCCGACGTTACCGGAAAGAAGCCTCGGAAAACCCCTCAGGCCTGTTTACCGCCAGCGAAGAACGATATGACGTCACAACTCCCAGCATCTCTCCGAATTGCCCAAGTCGTAGGCATCACAACATCCGCCTTCATTACCGGTATGTCGCTGTCTTACACATATCAGTTCTTATCAAATCCGGCGAGCCATCACTTAGCCGCATCTGCTAGCCATCTCAGTCCCAAGGCTGGTGAACATCATGCGATCAAATGGATCGACAGAATCTCCTTCTGGCTGTCATGTGTTGACCTACCCAAGCTAATGCACCAAACAGGCGGCTTCAGCACAATTAGCTATGCAGCCATCCCACCACTACATCTATCGCCCGCGCCAATTCTTGCACGGCAATGGAACGAACTGCACGACCTTGGAAGACGGATAGCGCTGTCGGTTACTCTGGCCTCGGCGCTGGCGTTTTCATATCTTGCTACTGACGGTGAGTGGGTTGTCGATCTCATCGAAGTCTTATCAGCTTTTCTGTCTGCTCCAATGAAGCACACGTTGCGCATGAGACATTTGATGCCTTTTCTCGTCAAATAGTCCTTGGCATTGCACTTGCTAATTACGGCTGTACAGCCGGGAAACACCCTCTGCGTCATAGTTCGTATGCGTTCGAGCTCTATACAGGAGCTGCGGTCTTTATACCGGCATTCGTGCCTTTCACCATGTTCTTCATGGCGAATACGACCGAGGATCTACATGCCAAGGCCGTAGATTCTAAGTTTGGTGAAGAAGAGAATCTACGTAAGTTGGTCTGTAATTGGAGATACTATAATTACACAAGGGCTGGACTGACTGCGGTTGGGGCTTTGATGGGAACCATCGCGGTGGTCGGCTTGTAGAATATGTGCCTGATAGATTGCAGAGCTGCCTAGCAAAAGCCACAAGATGTAGGAGGAGTCCACCTTCATACGTGTTGTAGTTCGTTCAATTATTTTCGCGTGTATCTTGATTAAGCCGTTGACGTTGCACTGGTCGGCTAGGGACTTACGAGAACTAGACCTAATAGAATTTGATCTTAGTATCGTCAGTGCAACTGTATTTTGAATCGTTTTGAGACATTGGCGCATTGAAAGGGATGGAAGAAAGCGTTTAATGGAAGACTGAATGAATATATCGGAGGTACTATCACGTGATAGCGGGCCGTCTTAGCGAGAGCACAGGCCACATTCACACTTGGATTTTCAGTATCGTGCAGGAGCACCACAACTTCGCCTCGATATCTACACCTAAACGACAACCATTCAAGACCGTCAAGATGGTAAGTTCATACACTTATCTGCGTTCCAATTGTCCTGCAAGAGATGGAAATAACTTTGAGCCCGACACTTGATGAATTCGGCCGCCGTCGTGAACTGGAAATCGGTACATGCGATAATCCGAACGGATATTACTTCCCACGACGCCCTCTCTTATCGGCATTTGTCGCTATATACGCAAGTTTACATAGTCTAATACTCCATACCTTATTGCGACTTGACCGCCTCCATATCTCATCACGACCGTTTTCGATACCGCGGGATCACTACCGAACCACTCGAGAAATTCACCCAACGTTGATACTTGTAGAGGACATAGAGTGCAATAGGTGCATTTAGGGCGGTTGACTGATTATCTGGTGTTCAGGTCAATATTCCCAAGACCCGCCGCACCTATTGCAAGGGCAAAGGCTGTAAAAAGCATACCCAACACAGAGTGACCCAGTACAAGGCCGGCAAGGTTCGTCTGAAAATGAATCCAGAGCCCAACAGTCGGACATATTCTGACGAAAAATTCAGGCTTCACTGTTCGCCCAGGGAAAGCGTCGTTATGATCGCAAGCAGTCTGGTTATGGTGGTCAGACCAAACCCGTATTCCACAAGAAAGCAAAGACTACGAAGAAGGTCGTCTTAAGATTGGAATGCACTGTATGCAAAACCAAGGCTCAACTGGCGCTCAAACGTTGCAAGCACTTCGAGCTAGGGTATGTGAATTTCCTCGGCCTGTTCAGCTTGGCTTGCAGGTCCTGTTCTCCTGGACGCATGCTAATAAATTCCGCAGTGGTGACAAGAAAACTAAGGGTGCCGCACTTGTATTTTGAACGGGTCTCCTTTCTTTGCTTGTGTTTGGTACGGGTGCACGAAAACGGAGCGGGAATGCTAGCAGTACGAGACGGCTTCTGCCGGGAAGCCAGGCGCATCATTTGGCAGCGTATATCAGAAGATGAATATCACGTATAGTCCATACGGAATGCTTAAGCTCCACGCTTCGATACCAAGTCATCTCAAGTTCACCGTCTCTACCTAAACTGCTTGTCGACGCGCACGTATATACTCGGCGTATCCGACTCGCCTCAACAAACTTACCCTCGACCCCATTACATTTATGCCATTATTCGTATATGCACTAAGCTCGAATGGCAAAACATATTAGTCACCGTGCCACTCAGCGTACCGGACACGTTTCAGCATTACACCGTTATGAAATCACTTTCCTCTGTGCTTACGGAACCATGATGTACAACAGCACGGCATCTTTGCCCAGTACTAACAGCCCCTTCTTGAGGATATTTATAATGCGCAATAGCTTTTGGTCGTTTTTATTCTGATGAGGTTCCTATGAAGCGTGAGTGCTGACAAGTAGGTCTATTTTCACCAAGCGTAGATACCTATACGCTATGGTAAGCGGGAATGATGTGCCCCAGTTGCCACGAAGTGGTGATGATGGGAGCCATCCGAGCACCAGTGCGTGATGCTTGAGTGTTGAGCAGTAGACGCAAGGGTCGCAACACACAGATGAGATTTGCCCGCAGCACCCCGGAATATTGGATATGAGGCGGGGAAATAGATACACACGGACCTTAAGCCGTCAGCTGCCCGTTGGCACTACCTTGTACGACATTGACATAATTGCTTCTATTGGATCTCGATTGTAATGCGAGTGCGGAGTCCAACCTCATCGCCGTGTCGATACTAATGCAACGTCTGACGGCTGATCAGGTACTTCACAGGCAGGGCTGTTCACCGGACCAACGTGCATCTCAGTCTAACCTATCGTATCTTTTGTTTACCTATCGTCCCCGCAGATCCCGCTGCAGCTTCTTTAAAAAACCATGCCCACGCTCTCTCCGCTCTTCTGCATCACGGTCGAGGCTTCAATCAACGTATCGAGATGTTGTTCTGCGCTCTTATTGCGACGTTTGCTAGCCTGGCAGCTATGGCTGTGACTCAGACGCCACCAATGGGCAACAATGCAACCTACATGAACCCTATACTTGATAGGGAGGCTGCAGATCCGTAAGTATAGCTCCTTAATAGAAAGATAGGTCTGACTTCTTCCAGATGGGTGATCCGATATGATGACTGGTATTACATGATCTTCTCCACGAATGACAACATCGTACTCCATCGAAGCCGTATCCTCACGTGAGCTCTGTCAATCAATGAAATTTGAAGCGCAGTGTATTTTCTGACAATTTTGACAGAGATTGGCGACAGGCGGAAAATAAGACCATCTTCACGCCCGAGGAAGGCCAGAACTACTCCAAAAGCCTATGGGCTCCAGAGCTGCACCAACTCGACGACAAGTGGTATGTCATCTTCACAGCCGATCCAAGGGGCGACGTAAGTATCATACACTTAAATTGCAAGTACAGAGTGACTGAAAGCATCAGAATCCACCGCCTGAGATCGAAATGTACTGCTACTGGAACTGCCCTGCCGTGCTGCACCGTATGTTTGTCCTCGAGAGCTCAGGCTCTGATGCGTGGAACTCAGACTACAGTATGAAGGCCGAGCTCAACACATACGACCAGTTCGCCATCGACGGAACATACTTCAAGCATGACACGGGTCTGTATCATATCTACAGCTGTTGGTACCAGTCCTACTCTGCGTGGCCCGCCAATCTCTGCATCCAGAAACGTAAGACCTCCCCCAACAGCACCACACGAGTCTTAAGATTCTAATCGGCACACATAGTCTCCAACCCCTGGACCGTTGAAACAAATTTCACCGAGCGTGTCGTCCTCAGCACACCGTCAGAGCCCTGGGAGAAGACGCCCTACGGCCGGCAAGAGAACGACCGCCTCTCTTCCAACGAAGGCCCCGAACAGCTTGTCAACCCGCAGACGGGCCAGATGTTCGTCATCTACTCTGCTGCACGCTCTGACAACCGCAACTACTGTCTCGGCCAGCTCGAGCTCGTCGGCGAAGACCCCATGAATGTCAACGACTGGAAGAAGCACACGGCCGGCTGCGTCTTCTACCAGAACGCGTTGGAGAAGGCGTACGGTGTCGGGCACGCCAGCTTCACGACGAGTCCGGACGGGAGCGAGAGTTGGATCGTGTATCACGGCATGAGGAACCCGACGAACGGGTGGCAAGCGAGGACGGTGCGGGCGCAGAAGTTTGACTGGAATGACGATGGCAGTCCGAAATTTCCGCGACCGGGCTATGGGCCGTATGCTGTTGCGTCGGGAGAGCAATGACTCCGCTTGGGGTGGAGCGATGATAACAATGGTTTCGCTGCATCTGATACCTTACAGCAGCTTCCGATGTGAGTCTATCTATGCAGTCTAGCAGTGGCCCACGAGGCTGGACATCATTATTGAAAGTGCCGTCTCTGCTCAGTGCGTGACCATGAAGTCCTCACAAAAACCAACTCATTCCGCATGCAGACAGTCGAAAAAGTAGGGCTCACGAGTCGGGACTCGGCCCTCTACTAAGAGCCTTCAGCGCACACCTACTAACAAATCATTCGCCCAAGCGTCCCTTGATCTAAGCCAAAACCCACGAGTATATACACCCACAAAATCACGAGGCACAACAAACACTGGGCCCTAAATCTACGCCGCGTGCCAGCCCCAACCAGATAAACTCCCATCTTTGCAAGCAAACTCCCCTCGGAAAACACTACCTCCCTTGACCCACAAACCAAACGTTGGTTTCGGCGCTTCGTAGTCTACCACAAAACCCAGTAGCCTTCCTTTCACGCTTCCTCTATGCCTCGGCCGACCAGACGACATGTCCCAAAACCATCAATCCAACCCTCCCGACCATACCATTAAGCCTTTTTCTCTTACTTTTCGCCCACCTCGCCACTCTATCACTAGGCGACATTTCCGCAACCTTAGGCTACCAGCCCGTCGTGTGCGGAAAGCATCAGGGGTGTGCCTGGCTCTTGACGTGTCGTGTGCGCGACGCCAAAGAAATAGTACACCGGGGATTTACACGCGAAGTTCGACGATGGCGAGGTGGAATTGCCGTTTTCGAACTCGGTTTGGCCAATGGCCGTGAAGGAAGAGCTGGAGCGGTGCACTTTTACGTGGCTCGGTGGGTTTTCCTTCAAATCTTTTGGTAGACATATTATTGGGACTGGGTTCTCGCCTTGTTGTGCGGCGCGCTGGCGATGCTGGGTCGTTGTAATTTAAAGGGTTTTTCTTTTGATTGCTGGGCGCACCAGAGGCACTAGGGGCGATGATTGGGGAGAATGGCAGAGGGACACATTGGAGTGGGGGATGGGAGAGGCAGTATGCTTGGGTTTTTGCTACGTGCTTTATATCACTGTAATGCTTTCTACTTTCCACTCGCCCTCTGCAGACACGATGTCGGGAGTTAGGCCGTGGAGATAGGCCTCGCCGACCAGGGTGTATGTGTTCTCGACGTCTTTGACGGGTCTGAAGACATACGGCGTCCCAGCCCCAGCAACCAGGAAGATGACATCTCCCACCTTGACGGACTCTGGCGCGATGCCCATGTACCCCTTCTCCGAGACCAGAATCCTTCGTCCGTCGTAGACCTGGGTGAAGGCATTGCCGAAGAGCTGGACTTGTTCATACAGGCCTTTGTCGTGCAGGGCAGAGCTCGTCTCGGCCTTGTAGCCCTTCCACGCGCTGAGTTCGCTGAGATTCTCGGTACCGAAGATCCGGCGTGCGAAGTCGAGGATTGTTTGGCGCAGCGATGTCCTTGGTGTGTTTGTCTCGTCGTGTTGGACTTCGTCTAGAGCCATGTAGAGCGCGAGACGGTGCTCCAGCGCCTCGATCGCATCGGTCACTATGCTTGGCAGCCATTTATCAGAACCGTCTACTAGCTTGATGATGGGATTGTCCTTGTGCTGAGCGAGCTGACGGATCTGCCAGAGCGAGAATGAAAGGTATAATCGGAAGCTCTCTCCCCACGCCTCATCATCGTTGGCACTTTGCGATTGGATATTGCCGATCAGCGTCTTCCAGAATGCATCGGCTGTCCGCTCTCCGGTAGGCTTGTAGATGGGTCCCATCTGCTCTAGTACTGGGAAGATATCTCCGAATCGTTCCTTGTTATCAGTCCAGCATGTTCGCATTGGCACAGGCGGCTTGTCGTAAGGAATGAAATACCACAGAGAATATTCCCAGCTCCAACTGGTCTCACCGATGTCCCGTACCACATCCCATTTCGCGCCTCGTAAATGTATTGTCTTGTCTTCGAACCTAATGTCATTGCCCTGTACAGGAATCGGAGAATCGAAACTTGAGCAGCCACAATATTTCAAAGGTGTCGGCCTCAACGGGCGGACCAGATCTGGAACCCATGAGGGGAGGCCTGCTATTGCAGGAGCTGTATCGCCAACCAACGAAAGTGAAAAGACTCCAGTATCTTCATAAAGGACATGTGCAAAGTTGATAAATATATTGGCGGTAGGGGCATCAAAATCCGCTACCGGCACAACATCGTGCTCCAGAATTGCCTTACCGGCGATGACCTTATCTCTTGGGTTCGTAACACCGCGTACTCTGATGGTGGAAAGGTAGTCCTCAGCGGTAAACCGCTTTCCTTGCTTAAAGTCTTCTTTAGCCTTGAAAAAAGCTGGAATCCTGTCCATGTAGCGGTGGCGATCGATGATATCTCGGCCCACTCCCTCCGAGAACATCAGGGGATCGTTCGCGTAGAAGTCCACGACTCTCTTCGAAGCGTCAGCAAGAACTGCTGGGGGTATATCACGATCTCCCATCATTATCAGCAGGTCTTGCGCGAGAAGTAGTTCCTGCAGAGTCCACGTCCGGTTGAACCAGCTTCGTCGCAACAGACGCAGAACTCCGAGCCAGTGGTATTGCTCACTGAGTACATTGGAAACTGTATTGATCACATCAAACGAGCGGCTAATCTTGCTCATTTTAGGGCGTGCTGGCAGCTGAGAAGGGGCTGACATATCTGTTTCTTCAGCTACCATTGGCACGGATTTTGATCGACGTAACTGGTCTATCTCAGGTAATGGAGGCAGAGCCAATAGGAAGTCCAACGCAGAATTTCTCGTCTTAGACATAATTCCGAGCCAGACTATAACTCGGACCGCCGACCTGTAGATTTCAGCCATTAGGCCGAGCTGAAGATTCTTTTCTTGGTCATCTTTTTGGTTTATACAAATCTGATCAATCCAGATAGGGGAGTACATCTTCCGTCGTCGAAACTCTGTGAGAGCATGATACAAGTTCATGGTGACCTCACAAGATTGGCCGTTACATAGAATAGGCTTTCTCTTTCGTTCTGATTCTGGTTCTGGTTCGTTATCCCACGCGTGATCCTGGTCCCACGTGTACGATAAAGCTTCAAAAATTGGTTCAGCATCCAGGTCAACCTCAGAGACATCACATGTTAATGCATCAGTGTCTCCTCCGGCCTGTATGTGCAATAGCCGGATGCATCTCGGCCCAGTAAGTGGACTGTATGTGAACGCCGCGAGATCTTTAGTCTGCAATATGTCAGATAATAAACGCAGAATCCTGACTTTCTAGACTTCAAATCCAGGACATTGGTTGTAAATTTCAAAGTAGTGGAAAAAGCGGAAGCGGGGCGTGCAAATCGGAGCGACAGCATGAAGATGAGGTCTTTAACATGAGCCAATAACGAGGCTCGGCTCCATACACATCCCAGGTCGGACGTGTTAGATGTACTTACTTTATATTCACTGACACTCCTTAGGTACTGTCTAGCGCCAACGGAGAGCGTTTTTGCCGAGACTCGATCAAATCGAGACTTTAAGTCTTTGCTTGAAAACATGTCTGTAAACCAACGGCTATCAAATTAGAAATTGGTCTTCCCAATGTAAATAGAGGCAGACAACCGCTTCTTCTGCCTTTGTTCAGCTGTGATGGAGTTGATTTGGGGGCCGACCGGCTAGGTGGTCTTGGCGCGTCTCCAGCCTACCGTCAGGATTTCCAGACGTCAATATTCTGATAACCATGACACATTGTTCGATATCCTTCATTAGTGGCATCAGTCTTCGAGGATATTCGTCGTGGGTTTTGTGAAATTTTTTGTATTCCTCGTGTACAACGCCATCGTACTACAATGTTCGAAACAGCTATCATGCAGCTCATGGTTAACACTCTATGCCCATACACAAGCTCTTCTAGCAACCTTTCACGCGATGAATCGATTAGTCCATGAATCGTATCATGGCATTCGTCTAGCCAGTCCAGTTGTATATGATGTATGACAATCTGGATCCCTCTACTTTCTTGACAGCCTCAAGACTGAAGCGTTCGTCGGCAGTCTCAAACAGATTCTTCCATTGAATCATATCTCGTTCTTTGCCGTTATTTAGTTCCATCATCACAAGATCCATAACTCTAACATGAATGTTAGCATTCGCATGGCATGACAAACTTGTGCGGCACTCATTTTCGTGTAGCACGGGAAATCAGGGACCTCAGGGAACTCACCTCATGGTCCCTTCTACGTAGCGAGATACTGTTCCAGGCCGTGGAATGACGCCTTCGGATATGATGACCTTCGCGCCGGGTTTAAGAGCTGGAATAAGAGCCCGGAGAATCGCTACACAATCCTTGTCTGACCAGTCGTGGAAAATCCAGCGGAAGTGATAGACATCTGCATCCTTGATAGGCTGTTCCGAAAAGAAGTTGTGGCCCTGAAACTCGACCCTGCTCCGGAGTTCAACAGGAATTCTCTCTGAGGCTTCGTTTTCGGTGTCAATGACTGCAAGATCTTGGACGACGCAGTGTAGAGATGTAAATTTCTGGGCGAGTGCAATAGCTTGTCCACCGTGTCCTCCACCGACATCAACCATCTTAGTCACATTGCTCCAGTCATACGCGTCACAGAGGAAATCGAAACGAAAGAACGGAGCCGAGCTGAACATGTTCATGAAGCGCGAGAATCTTGCCGCCCGTTCAGGGTGATCTTTGAGTATGTCAAACATAGCAAGCTCACTACCATTGGCAAGAGCAGAGCCCTATATGTGTTAGTAAAATTACAAGGTAGGGGTACAACATCACCTGCCGAATGCTTTCGCTCTTCGGACCCAGGCCACTTGATCATAGCGGGTACAGCCTATAAGTTCGAGAGTTAGTCAAAATTTGCGGGCAGACAAACAGGATATCAGATTTGCTGTACCTGTATGGCAGAAGGCCACATCTCTTCACAGATTGTGCCGACGTAATCGAACATTTCTGGTTTGCTTATGATAACTTTCGATTCCGCAGTGTGGCTGACATAGCCCTCACGTTTCTCCTGGAAGAAGCGTCTTGTAATGGCGAAGCGGATAATCCGACGAAGCTTGTCTTCTTCGACTTTGCATATGCGTGCCAGTTCTTGATAGGAGATGTCTCCATCGAGAGGCACGACTTTATGCAGATTGAACTTGTACACAGCATGAAGATAGATCAGGTTGCAATGCTAGGAATATCAGAATAGGAAGTAGCACAACTTGATGTTTTGTCTTAACATACGCCAGCCAGTTCGTCCCGAACATAGTCAAATGGTCCTTGCACGATATTGTGAAGGTCTCGAGTGGAACCAAGAAGCTCGAGTCGGGTTTCAGAGAGCTGTTTAGCAACGACTGGAGCTTGGTCGTTCTCTCCAGATTTCAAAAAGTCCGCATATCGGGCTGCCTGATTTGCGACCTTTACAGTAAGCTCCGAAACTAGGGAAGGATCTGGTGAAGTCATTCTACAAAATGGTGAGTTGATCGCACGAACGAATTAGCCTGGCTACCGAGAACATTTGAGGATGCCAGAACTAAATATGTATGGACTGACGTGTGGGAAGAGTGGGTCCTCCAGCAAGCACCCATGGTAGTTCCTGCATGTTCTGTGGACTTTCGTAGCCAGTGGTGGGTTAGTGAGACATTGTAAAAAGACAGGTCGAGTTATGTGAGCAAGCTCAGACCATGGATTTGAAAGAAAAGTAGTACCACTCTCATGTTATAGAACTTTCTCTCCTAGACCAATGGAATATCACACTAAAAATATGCTTTTGCTTATGTATATGCATGACTTTATATTTAAGTATATATGCACCGTGCACGGAACTATATTTTAGCTAACTTTAGTATACATTACTGTACTAAGCTAAAATACTATACTAACATAGAGTTGCTAGAGGAATTGGAAGCCCATCAGTCACTAATCTATTCATAGAGAAGCGTTATGGTTTGCGAAGATAAAGGTCGATGGCGTTTACATCGCATGATGTTAAATGTGTGCAAAGGGGTCTGAGCATAAGGAAGGTTTATTGAAAGTAAGTCTTATTTTCTTCGCCTTCACATTTAATGAGCCCCCAAAGCATCGCCAACGCCTACAGTGAAGTACATGATGAGTGAAGACTGTGTTACGACAATGTTTTGATACGATGGCGAGCAAGCTCTTTATTGTATTCCCATCAGACACATCACACATCGACTTGAGACGTGACAGTGACTACGCCGTACGGCGGCGGCTCTGACGGCCCGAGCAGCGCCATTTTGGCTGTCAAAGCAAACATGTGGAGCTGTGCGTATTTATCAGCATGCACCGCCTCAGAGTGTGGTCGTTGATATTCCATACTGTGCCTCTTCAGTCGTGCCTGAGGTGTCCGCTTTATTTGTTTTCACACGTCATTTCAAAGCTCTCCGTTGAGCCAAAGTAGGTAGGTACGAGTCAGAGTTTTGCAGCTCTTTAAGCAGATTCTTTTCGGAGTAGCGTGGCTGTCTCTCCCTTCTGTCAACGTCCCCGGCCTACGCTCCCTCCAAATACTATGTTATATTGAAACTCATCATGGCTGAACTCAAGACCGACCTCGATTATGAAGTTGAAGCTGCTCAAAAGAAGTCGATCTTCACTGCAAATCGCTTCTTGTATGCATCTGCCACAGGCTTGACCTGCCTCATTTTCTATCTGCTGCTTGCCTTCACTTTCTCTCCTCGCAGCCTATTTGAGGAAGACTCTGAATCGCTGACGACGCATATCGGCGAGCCTGGAGGATGTTCTAAGATCCAATTCCGCCGAGAATGGCGTAATCTGCGCAAAGATGAACAGTTGGAGTATATCGACGCCATCAAGTGCCTTCAGACCACTCCAGGACTTTATCGTGACGATCAGTCACTGTACGGCGACTACGCAAACTTGCACAGCCATGCAGGCAAGATTGGTAAGTATTCGAAAAGATCATGGAACACTTTCTGACAAACTCGATATAGGTCATGATACAACACTTTTTCTGCCATGGCATCGTTATCTGCTCCACAATTTCGAGAACGACTTGCGGACGCACTGTGGGTTTAAAGGCACCATCCCATACTGGAATTGGGTTCTCGACTGGGAAGCACTCGATCAAGCTCCTGTATGGGACAATGTTTATGGGATAGGTGGCAATGGGACAGGTGAAGAGTCTGTGGGTCACGGAAGATGTGTCGAAACAGGACCATTCTCTCACTACCAGGCGCTTCGCTTCGGTGCAAATGAAACCCATCACTGTCTGTCACGAGGATTTCTGACTGGCGAGAAGTCTGACAGGTACAGCGCAGAGTTGCAACCAGAGAAACTCGACGACATCATGCAAAAGGACGACTACTACGATTTCTGGAATACACTAGAGTTTGCAGCACATGAAGCCATCCCACGCTGGATTCAGGGGGAATTCTTCGAATTCACTTCTCCAAACGGTATATGGCCCAATTACTCTCTTGAACACGAACATCGTAACTGATCTCTCCTAGACCCAATCTTCTACTTCCATCACTGCCAGGTCGACCGTCTCTGGGCAGAATGGCAGCTCGCGGACCCAGAACACCGTGCCGAAACCATCTTTGGGACTATGGTCGACGACGAGCTGGAACTTGATAAGCTTGGGCCTAAGACGCGTATCCGTGACATCTTGCACACAGATAGTGGTCCGCTATGCTACCGCTACTTGAAGTAGTATCGGCTCCGGGACCATCTACGTTCCCGATGTTCCGTATAGCAAAGCGTTAGAGCGCTTGTTGGCGCTGTTGGCGCAACGTCTGCAGCGGTACATAGGGTTGCTAGCCGCCGCACTAGAGTGGTGGATCTACCGACGGACCTCTTTCTCCCGATGTATCTGCTACTTCATATCAAGTCTTCGATTCAATACATCACGATCCAATCCATCGGTATTCAGAGAAACTGTAGCGTGACCGTCTCGGCCGGGTCTAGATTTGTGACCTCTAGAGCCGTCACAGTACATGGGCTCAGACACTCGGAGGCTTATCCATACGCCCCCGGATTCGTATTTCAACGTCCCCCGACGGAAGTCTAACTTCGCATATAGTTAGGCGCGCGGCACAGGTTTAGACACGGGAGGCGTAACGTAAACGCCAAAAAATAGCCTAAACAACAGGACCATGCTAGGAAGTTACCAGCGGCATGGTTGAGCCGCGTCCACGGCACAGCACCATCTCTGTCATGATCCAGAGATCCACATGTACGTGGTACGAACTACCAGCCCTGTATTCTTCCAGCCAGAGAATCCTTGTAACACCATGCAGAGAAACTGGAGGGTTTGACCTTGAAGCATATAACGATTGCGGAGGGCGTTTCAGAACATGAATCTATTGCGTTCCTGGGAGATCACCTGACAATAACATTGGTACACAGGGCGGAGTATCCCTTGATACATAAATTACTTGCTATTTCCAGGGCAACAATTGATCGTGTCGTGTCAACGACTGATACACGCGTAGTCTGAAGTGATTGGCCCATTTCAACCTCCACGTACCTCCTCATCGACATCACTTTCCCCACTCCAAGCGAGCGAAGCGCAATAGACGCCTGCCCGAATCCGGAATTACACACTGCATGCATGCACTACACAAGAGAGAGCCAAAAATCACTTTACTCTTCCTCCACCTCCTCATCCGACCAACAACATCGACACAAACACCAACACCACCACCACCCTCCCACACAAACGACCACAACAGCCCCAAGCCCAAGATCTCACCCCCCTTCATCATCATCATCATCATCATTATCATCATCATTATCATCATCATTATCATCATCATTATCATCATCATTATCATCATCATTATCATCATCATTATCATCATCATTATCATCATCATCATCATCCATCGTCCATCGTCCGTCCATCTCCATCCGACCCCGTTCACCAAAAAACTCAAATCATCACACACACACACACACACACACACACACACACACACACACATCCAACACCCTTCCGTCCCCCCCTCGGAAAATCCCCCCAATCAAAACCATCCTCCTCCAACGTCAAGACACGGTCCATCAGTGAATAGTTCGTTTGTCTGTCCGTCTGCCTAGACCTCCTACCTGCAAGCCATAGCACACACACACACATACAAACACACACAGCCCTGTGGGTCCTCCCCCGCATCAGCCTCCATTCCATGCCATGCCATGCAATGTAATACCATGCCACGCTATAGACATCGCTCCGGTCCCAAGTCAGACATATCTCCTGACATGTCCGACGGGACCCGGACAGCCCCCCCCCAAACAGCGGGTATTTCCCGCGACTTTTAGCGCTTATAGGGCGCTTATACAGAATTTGTTATCAACAAGTAGCTACTGGGCGGCGCTCGCGGCACGGAGGATTTCAAATTATACACGGCGCTTAGCTAGGCAGTTTGGTAACTGTGGTTGCTTCTTGCGGCAGGATGGTCGCTTCTGGACTTGGATGTTTGTTATGGTTGCTGATGAGTGGCTTATATTCCGAGAGGAGGGGCTGTGAAGAATGTTGGGTGCAATACGAGGTTGGCTGAGAACTGGACTGATGATGATTCTGAATGTTCGATGGATGTGGGAAGAAGCTATGGCGTATGTCATTGGTAATGAGTTCAGGCGAATAGATGCGGTAGTCACATGGGTAGATGAAGATATGATGTATCTGATATGTCAATGATACTATAAGACCATGATAACACTAAGCCATCAAAGGACCCTCAGCAACTTGCAATCAAAGTATTCCATAGCTGTTCCAGCTCTTAACATGGAGAAGAAGTGTTACACTCTTGCACCAACAGCTCCATGTTTACATCAAGAGACGTGCCCATATATGAAGGAAAATCCGTCAGAATGATAAGGGAGAATGACTTTTACGCCTAATAATCGGGATAGACAACGTCATCATCGACCAGGTCACGCTTGTAGTCGGGATAGACAACGTCATCATCGACCAGGTCACGCTTGTAGTCGGGGTAAACAACGTCGTCGTCAACCAGGTCGCGCTTGTAGTCAGGATATACGACATCGTCATCGACGAGACCGCGCTTGTAGTCAGGGTAGACCACATCATCATCAACCAGACCGCGCTTGTAGTCAGGGTAGACCACATCATCATCAACCAGATCGCGCTTGTAGTCGGGATACACAACGTCATCATCGACCAGGTCACGTTTGTAGTCAGGGTAGACAACATCGTCGTCGACCAGGTCACGTTTGTAGTCAGGGTAGACAACATCGTCGTCGACCAGGTCACGTTTGTAGTCAGGGTAGACAACATCGTCGTCAACCAAACCACGCTTATAGTCAGGATAGACTACGTCGTCATCAACCAAGTTGCGTGACACTAAAAACCGTTAGCAAGCTCTATCTGGAAAATTACTGTATGCTCAAAGGCTTACCAGTGTCACCGCGCTTGTACTCAGGATAGACCACATCATCATCAGCGACAGTCTTTGAGACGAGGTGCGCTGGGTAGTTGTTAGTATGTGGAAAGCTGGTATGTATATATGCAGCAAGGAAAATTGGGATCTACTCACCAACGTGAAGCTTCGTAGGGGCAGCAACAGTACCGGTAGCTATAACAGCCATAAGGGCAACAGTGGTGATGAACTGCATGTTGAGATCAAAGTGGTTGGCTGGTTCTTGAATGGAGATTGATAGGTATTGTACTTTGAAAGCGTGAGGACTGGATGGTAAGTCGAGGGTTTTGGGACAGAGAAGCAGTGGAAGAAAATTTTAAATATGGACGTGAGAGCGACGTTTATAGTATTTGAGATGCTTGGCGAATGGGGTGTACGGTGAACAAAGCGTTTTCTGGGTGGCGAGTCTGGTCGTCTGGAAGGGGAAGGCTTATAGAATCTCCTTTTACCGATATGGCATGGATGGTTGGGATCCAGAGTTGAGAGCCCAACGTACACGAAGAGCTGACTGACTAAAAGCTGTGCCGTACAACAGGATAGTAAACCAGAGGTGAAGAGTTTGAGAGCGCACGCAACGTGATCGGAAGATGGAGGCAGAACGAGCACGCTCAAAAAACATGAAGGAAGTCGGGCTAGCGTGGAATGTGGGTGAAAAGATAAGAGCCCGGCGAATACGTGCCCATGACGAGTTCCCGAGAGGGAAGTGGCTTGTGCTCATGTGGAATATGGAAGTAGCATTGGGTGCAATTATTGAACAATCATATGTGGTCTTGATGTGAAGCGGACCAAGCAGACGGGATCAGAGCATAACAAGCCGGACGCAGCGCATAGAAAAGCCTACCGGATGCATTGCATGAGCAGCACCAGACTATTATCAGCATTACGCCAATGAGATAGAGTCAGATTTTTGATAGCGGGCGCAGGAATCGGGTCAATAACGCTGCCGACGGAGCTTCTGGTACATCCATCGTGACCGTCCTTGACCACACTACTTGGCGCCATACGCGGCAGGAACACCATGTAAAGCCAGCTACGAAGGGCGTTCCGGCCTTGCTCTCACTGTTCTAGTGGAATGGTCCCGAGCCAGTAGAACGCTGTGGTTACCACTGATCTTGGAATGGAGAATGAATGTGGACCAGACGGATGTGCCCAGACTCAGATTACCTTTGATACTGCTACCAAGGGAGGGGGAGCAATAGAAGATCGTAAACACTCGTGGATCTAAGGGAGTCACAGCCTTCCAAGGAACTATCTTGACCCCTCAAGGGTGTACGGATGCGGTAGTGAAGCTGGTGGTGGTGACTGGTGGCGTCTTGGGAAGAAGGCAAAAGAGTTGACGCAAGGAGCGGTGATGATCTGATGTATGTGTAAGAACACTCGTCAATACGATGTCTCTTACGACAGATACACTATGTAGAAAGTAACATGAAGACAGCTTCTCTGGCCGCGACGTTGAGTCGCCGATATGTCTACCTAGAACGGGCCGATGGCGCTAGTCCCGTAAGCGTCCTAGCGCTACGCAAAGCTTCACACTAGAATTACCTAAGCACTCAAATACCAACCTTACCTTATCTAAGAACCGAACCTTGGAGGAACATCACCTGCATGCAACCTTGACATGAAGATCTCAGATTGCTCACTGGACCTGTAGATCACCTGCATTAGCATCTGGGATCCAGGACCCAGCATCCATCATCTAGCATCTGAGCAGCTGGCATCTAGCATCTAGCATCTAGCATCGGCGTCTGCATCCAACAGCCTGCTTGGCATGACTTCCTGTCTATCCTAGGACGACAATTGAAGAGTACCTCGTATCAAGAACACCTAGTTCAATAAGGGTTCACAATAATCCATTGGGTCGCGCTGAAATGACACGTTTGGGCCCGCGTAAGAAGTGGTATCCCTCAAGGGGGGTGTACCTTTGCGAGGCCCATGCACGAACACAACAGACGGGATATACCGCTCTGGCCCGATATGACAGTGCACCCGTAAACGAAGTCGACGTGAAGGGATGAAAAATCATTGGTGAAAAGTCGTTTGGAAAGGCTGACATCGGCGAGGAATACCTCGCATGGACAGGAGCATGGCGTGACGGGATGAAAGTGTGACTGGGGACCCTGGCTTGGGGACTAGTTTTAGTTTCTGCATCATGGCAATATGGAAACAACGGTAATACACCCGTGAACGGCAGGAACCCCTCAAATGCTGTAGGCGAGCCATACACTTGCACTTCTTCGTGAGCTTGGATATGGTCCATGCGCCTCGTCAATGATTAGTCCCCCTTCCTTCTACTACAGCCTCTCAGAATACTGAGCAAGCTTCCACATCCACAAGACTGAAGATACACTCCAGACGTGTGGTCCTTGTAATCGCGATACCACAGTCATTCCCACTGCCTACCATCGCACATCAAAGTCTACCTCACACCAACAAAACACCATGGCCATCGAACACGCCCACCTCCTCAAATCCACCACCTCCTTCGACACCGACATAAACAGCACCACCATCAATGACGACGATGACAACGACATCGACGACACAACTCCATGGCTCCAACGCACCCACACAACCCCTCTAAAATCCAAAATGCCCCATCTCACACGCTCTGTAATCATACACACACTCCTCATCTTTTGCTACACCTTCTTCGCCTGGCTCTACATCTACACGAATGCCTCCTTCTTCCCCTTCCACTCACACGCCGCAGACTACCCAGCACCCGGCCAGACAGCCCTCCTCGCCATCCCCAGCCTCGACATCCAGTACGCATCCACGCCACAGGAACTGCGCTCCACAAGCGGCTACTTTGGCCCGCCAACGCCAGACATGGACGCACAGTGGGACTCGCTACTGGACCGCAAACGCATCCGCGTCACCGCAGCCGAACTGGCACGCAATGGCCGCACGAGCGTTGCCATGGGCGGCGACGGAGATACTGATGATGCTGGTAGCGGCGACAGTGGCTATCTTGCCTGGCTGGGCGTGTTTCATGAGCTGCACTGTCTGAATTTTGCGCGTATGTGGAAGGACCGCGATTACTACTATCCCAATGCTACCGAGTATGAGGTGAAGTACATTTCTGAGCATGTTGGTAAGTTTTGCACTGTTCCTTTCTGGTTTTTTTTTTTAAAAAAAGATATGTCCATCTTTTGGCCATGTAGAAGAGGCATCCAGCAGGAAACTGTTCAGCTGACTGGAGCAGACCATTGCATGGATCGGCTCAGGGCTGTTCTTATGTGCCACCCTGACGTCTCAGACCTGATCACTATGTATTGGGATAAAAGCACGAAGCCTATGGTCAACGGCACGCGCATCCTGGAGCGCTGTGTGGATTGGGATGCGCTGATGGCATCAACGGCAGACAGGCAGATCTCAGCGGAGGAGATGAGTGTGTTGAAGAATCCGACTTTGTAACATACGTCTTAAATTAAGTTTTCCGTCGTGTTGTGCGTCATAAAATACTCGCTTCATCATGATAAGCATTTCTTCTCCCTATACTACTCGACATAAGTCCAATCTGTCTCACAGCCTGAGCTAGCAGCACAAAATAACGCGCCCCCCTATTCCTCATCCTCATCCTTGTCCTCAAGAGCCAACGTCCACGGCTCCGTACTCTCCAGAACCTCATCCCAATCGTAACACATATGCTGCGCCTCAAAGCTATCCGTCCCATAAATCTCCTTGGTGCGATCCGCATTACACATCACCACCTGCCGCAGAAAGTCAATACAGTGCCGGATATGCCCATGTGTCGACGCATCAATAGCACTGCCCTCGCCCGTCTGCAGGTCAAAGTACACGCGCCGGATACTGGCCAGACAATGCAGCTGGTGGAAGACAGACAGCGTAAACGGGCGAGCCTCGTCCTCGCTCGTGAAGCGGGCACCGCGCAGTGGGAAGAGCAGACGCCAGTCCTCGTCGGACTGCACGGATTGTGGCACGGCGTAGATGGACTCAGTGGCGTGTGTCATGAAGTGTGGTTTGCGGAGGAGGAGGAGAGCTGATGTGTTCGTTAGTTTGGCATAAACTGGCTCAGTTGTGTAGCAGTAGATAGATCGATTTTATTGGGGGGAATAGATGTATATTTGCTTGTATTTTGTAAGGCATTGACGTACCATCAGCTTCAGAGTTATGTGCTGGGATGTGAACATGTAGACTGACGACCCAGACGACGAAGACTGCAGCGAGCGTCGACAACACGCCGGCAGCGAAGAAGCCCCATCGATTGATCCCAGTATGGGAAGCATGAGGACGAGCGATGAGACCGTCCTCCTTCATCTCGTCGTGAGAATCGGACAGACTGGTGTATTCGTACTTGGGCGAAGACATTGTTTGTTTAGTAGCTGCAATGGACATGGTATCTCTACATCGACAGAGAGGATGAGTTTGTCTTTCTTGCAGTCGGTCCGAGCTTTTGCTCGAGTGTCGAGAGATCTGATGCACACAGTAGTTGGGCACAGTAGGTGGGAGAGGGAGCTGGAGCGTGGAATTACCGGGCGTGGGTGTAGGTAGTGGTGTGCAGTGTGTATGGTACGAAAGTGTACTAAGGTAGTTACTACCTTACTTAGGTGGGGACGACAACACGGGCTCCACTTCCCAACGGCGCCTGCAGAAGCGAGCGGATCCACAGCTGCATTAGGACCCCGTGCAGGCGATCAACTATCGCCGATCTACCGAAAGTCCCGCGTGGCACAGCCGACATGACAGGCAGGCTTGAGCTCCCTGCTTTTCGCCGCTAATTAGCCCTACCTGCCAAACCAACCCAGATGGTATTAGCTTGTATACGAGTTATACGCGGAGTCTTGAACTTCGGCGTACTTCGGCGTACATAAAGTATATCCTATGTACCGTTATCTTTCTAGCTATATCTGATTCTATCTCTAATTATATGTGAAGCGCTACAGTAGTAGCTCTCTCACCTCGCCTTGTCAGGTACCAGGTGTTACTGCGTCTCCAATCACAATACATCAGGGTTCGCGAACACCCGGACGACCCACCCTGACCCCCTGATCCGGTCCCTTTCTATTTCTTGAATCTTTAAATTTCCTTTTACTGGCCCTATGCCGGAAAAAAAATCTATGCAAGGATTCCATGAAGAAGAAACAATATTTCATCATCGTCGAGCACCTTCACCTCACTAGCTAGCATCATCATCCACCGGGACGAGCCCCTGCACGCGGCGAGCAGCACCGCCGTTAGCAGTCCAACCATGTTTACAGCAACAGTAAGTATCCAAAGGAACGGAAAAGGGCGTCATCCAATTAGATCTCGATCGAACTGTCTTTCACACACATCACATAGATTTCTCGCATATGAATCCATGTGCACAGTCCCACAACCTGCACCCTGTGAACCATACCGTCTTCACGTGTCAGTCTGCCTCCATTCCTTTCCTTTCGGTACGCAAATGTTTTCCTGACCTGCCTCGCCGACTACGACGACGATATCAAGACAGGGAGGTTACTCCTTGGAGAAATAAGCAATGTCCCTGGAGAACAGACATGTCCTATTTCTGTGCGTGTATCTGATCAGGGTCACCCGGCGACATGCATGGATCCACCCTATAGGGCTGCAGGGCCAGAGCGGTGGTGGCGGATGGTACTAGATATACGCACCCCTTTTGCGAGCGAATCCCATGCTCATAAGTACGCACCCGGTGCTTGGACCAGGCTCAGGGACGGAAGGGCGTAGGCGGAAACCGGGCGATATTCGGGCATGCATGCACACACACGCACACAGACATGAGGTTCCAAGGGGTCCAAAACGCCCTTACAAGATCAGTGCCCCTCTATCGGTAACAAACGTAGAGCGAATTCTGGCTCGAAACAGAGTGCAGAAATTGAATTTGTGTTAAGGACTAGCAGCATCTCGAGTCGAGTCGAGCTTAGCCATCATGTGGGTTTTCTCAAGCAGCAGATCAGTCGCATAGTATGCATCCCTGAATGCCTTGAAAGAAGTCGAAAAGAGGAGGAAAAGAGGGAGGGCCTATGATAAGAATGTAGACATGCAGCAGAGCAAAGACAATACAAGGTTTGATACCACCACCGAAACCACTGAGCTCATTACCCACAGTAATCCATGCCATGCTATACCATTCCATGCCGCCGTCGTTGTCGTGATCATTGTCGTCGCCATCTCATGCTACCCCCAGCTGATACAATCAATCCACATAACCTTTAATTATCATGCTCATACAACGCCCGTGACTCTCCTGACAGTCCTCCTTGCGCCATCGCCACCAAGCATCACGCGTCCCTCGCTCTCCAACGACTTCAGCGCGTCCATCACCTCCTGTGACTCGATCTGAGCACTCACGGCCTCACCAAGCCTCTTAACAACCTCGCTGACTCGAGCCGCACCACCTCCTCCACACATCTCATCCACAATGCTCAGCACACCAGCACGGAGTTCTTCCTTGCGCTTGCGCTCGCTGGCACTGGTCCCTTCAGTAAGGAGCCCCATATCAATCAGCCCAGTGCGCGCATCTGTCGCGGCTTGTTTGATAGCAGACTTGATGAGACGCACCGCTTCGACAACGTCTGATTCTTCAACAATACTCGACAGTCGCATCTTGGCATGAGCCTCGGCTAGACGGATCATACTCTCGAGTTGACGCGTCGTGGCCGTGATTCGACGTTCTGCAGCTCGAACGTCGGATCCGAGCGCGCGCAGTGCAACATACGAGTCGACCAGAGTCTTCGTGGCGGCTTCTGTGAGAGTAGGATGGCAGTTTGTGCGCGCATACGAGATGTATGATGTGAGAAATTCCACAGGCTGAGAACCAAGTTAGCGTCGGTACCAGAAAGCTTCTGGTTAGCAATCCTTACCAATATCTCTGCTGCGCTAGCGTTTTCAGGGGTATCCTCAAGATACATGCCGACCAAGTGACGAGCCATGCGTCGATCGTTCTGCTCGTCAATTCGATCTAGGACCAAGTACACTAGGTCAAATCTACTCAAGAGGGTTGGGGGCAGGTCGATATTTTGAGGAACTGGCAGATTGATATTGTACTTGCTGCCAATAGGATTGGCTGAGGCCAATATACTCGTCCTGGCGTTCAATGTCGTGATAATTCCTGCCTTTGCAATTGATACCGTCTGCTGTTCCATAACTTCGTGCAAGACCGACCGTGTGCTTTCAGACATTTTGTCAAACTCGTCAATACAGCATACACCACCGTCAGAAAGCACAAGAGCTCCAGATTCAAGGACAAGCTGTCTGGTCTCTGGGTCGCGCGTAACATAAGCCGTCAAACCAACAGCAGAAGATCCCTTGCCCGAGGTATATACTCCTCTGGGGGCAATCTTGTGGACGTATTGAAGTAGCTGAGACTTGGCAGTTGATGGATCACCGCATAGAAGCACATTGATATCGCCCCGATATTTCGGGCTTCCTCCCTTCTGGAACGACTTGTTCGTGCCGCCAAACAGTTGAAGAAGAATTCCCTTCTTCACGTCGTCCATTTCGTAAATGCTCGGTGCAAGAGATCGTGACAGCAGCTCGTAAACGTCAGACCGAGTGGCGACTTCTTTGATCTTCGCCTCCTCATCTGGAGTGACCTTGCGAGTCTCTTCCATGCCGCCAGCGGCCTGCTCTGCAAGTTCCTCTTCGATCGTGGACACATCAATACCCATTCTGCGCTTATCGACCTTCTGGATGTGTAAAGCATCCACGTATGTCTTGAAGATATTCTTGACGGTGCGCATGCGGGGGTTGACGCGTACTTGGCTACACTTGAAGATCCCTGTGATTTCTACACGATCACCGGCTTTGCAAACATCAACTAGTTCGTCGTACGCACAGAGAGACACGGCATGTGGTGTTTGGCCGTCAGGAACGCTATCCGGGGTTTCCTGTAGTTTTATGACTTGCTTGTCTGAAAACCCCGAACGATTATGTACGATCTGCATTGAGTTTGCGGAGGCACAAACAGCGCGAGGGCAGACTGTGGGCTCCGCGATCATTCCACGGTCAATGTCGACCTTGACTGTGTGTCTGCAAACTGCACAGCGGAAGAATGCGTCCTTCATGTCCGGGATGATTGGCGTTGTGCGAATGACAAGACCTTTAACGCTGATGAGCCTGTCCATATCTCCTGGATCCAGTTCTCTCAGATTGATGGTATTGTCCAGACCGAATGGGCGAACCCGGTATATCTTGGTGTCTACTTCCCTAACAAGATCTGGAATTTCTGCAGATGCAACGGGGGTAGAAGGTTGGCCTTGATTGTCAATATCTGAGCTCGGCATAGGTGGAACTGAGCTTGCTTGTCGCCGTGCCTGAGTTCGAGGACCTTGCATTCGCACGTCGTTCATCTTCTTCTCGGCCAGCTCCAACATACAGTCCTTAACAGCCACATCCATGAGTGGGATGATCTCATTGGGAAATGATTGCAGCTGGTGCCAAAGCTTGCGGGTCGGCGGATAGGCTTTCAAGTTTCTGGCATCGAGATTGAGGGCCGTTACACCCATGTCAAGCATTTGTTTCATCATTTCGACGTACTCCTTTGTATTTCCTGGGTGGTCGGCTGAAATCTGTTCGTCCTTATCAAGATCCCCATCTTTGATCATTCGATACTTTTTCTGATATCGCATCAGGAAATCTTTCATGGCATTCATCGAGTCAAGGATGGACACATTGGTACCCCAGATGACTCTAGTTGAAGCGCCGCCAAGTACATCTGCGTCGGAAGTACCTGGATCGAGGTTGGAGAAAGTAGCAGCGTCTGATGGGCCGCCGTCATTTTCGACGGCAACTCCATTCTCGTCAACGAAAAGCCTGCGACGCCGCTGAGAGCTGTTCGCGACGAGGTCAGAATTGATATCACTGCGTCGATTGCGCGCTGTTGTGCCCGGAGGGCCAGATATCGAAGATCGAACAAAGAGACCGCTGCTTTCGCTACGGATATCGGTCCCTTGTTGACCTGTTCGTGGCGCAGCACTGGAACTCGAGGCATATCGGATGGGGGACGAATCTGGTGGTAATGGTTAGGCAAAGCGATGGCCATGATCATGAACATATTACCTCTTGCCGTAAGATTAGAGGGCCTTGGGGTTCTGTCGCCGTCTGTTCCAGCACCCCGCCTCAGGGGTGAGCTGGCACCCGCACCATTTGCTGCACCAGAGCCTTTGGCTGGAGATGACTGATAGAACAGAGGAGATGAAGCTGTTGTAGTCTGTTGCAGACGAGAAGCTCGCGGGGTTCCTCGAACGCTCGACCTGTTGGAGGCTTCTGATCGTAATTGCTCATCTGCTGTTACGGGGGCTGGGCTGCTGGAAGGGACCTGTGACTGTCGACCTTTGCGGCGAGGAGTACCACTTTGCGATGACCTCTGAGAACGTCTTGACGTAGGGGAAGACATGGCAGCGTGACAAACCACACTGGGAGGTTGAGATGTGAGTGTGAGTGAGGGAAGATGATGGCGAGCCAAGAACAAATGGTTATGCGGGCGGGTAAAAGTCGACGCGTCGCGACTTTCGATCGCGGGCTCGCGTCAAGACTAACCTGTTTCGTTAAATAGGCTTGGCGGAATCTAGGCGACTTACCTCATACCTTATGCCCCTCAGTCCAACGTACCAGGATATCCGATCAAGCAGCGCCACGGATATTTTGCCTCTATCCACAATGCCTCCACCCTCGAAGCTCGCAATCGCTACTTCATCTGTCAATCGACTTGTCAAGGAAGAGCTCAGTTATCACAAAGAGCTCGAGCAACAGGAGTCCAGCATCAAGAAACTCGAGGATGCAAACGGTGACGAATACGAAATTAAGCAAGAGGCATGAAAAGGAAGGACTTAGACGCCGGGAGCTACTAACCTTTTAGTAGAAAAAAGCTCTAGAAGAAACTAAAGTCATGATACCCACGGTGCGAAATTCAATTGCTAGTGCTGTTGCGAAGTTGGAGCAAGAGATGGTGAGTACAGCGGACGCTAAAGACTCACTCTGGTTGATCACTAGACAAGGAACTGACACCACCAAGGAAACTGCACAGGAGCAGGACAACTCTTCTGCCACAGAAGAGGTCACGAAGGCAAAAGAGGCTGTTGAGAATGCAAAGGCTAGCCTGTTGAAAACATCCTAGGGTGTTCTCCGGGTATAGATGATTTCGCAGAGTACGTTGATGGTGGAAAGTGCGTCTTTCCAGTTGAGCGATCCATAATCTTGTTCTAATAGCGACGGGCTCAGAGGTAGATGATAGATACCCACACGAATGTAAAACATGCAAATCCCGACACCGCGCTATGCAATGGACGATGATAGTAGCGAAATTCCTACTCTGTGACCATAGCCTCGCCGATATCAGAGTCAACATCTGCCTCGCCCTCCTCAATCTCTCCTTCGCTATTGGTCATGTCTGTATCATGGGTATCTTTCTCTTCTGGTCCCACAGGTGACAAATCTGTGCTCCTTGTGTGAGCGGGCGATCCTGACATGCCGTGTTGAGATTTAGGTACAGCAAGCTGTGATGAACTCTCATCTCCATTATTGCTCTTATGCATGGGAGTAACAGCACCATCAGGTTTTGGCGTACCCATTCGGCTTATTTCTCCACGTACTGTACTACCCTCACCGTCGTCTACGTCATCGCCGCCCTCCATACCTTCCTTACGCTCAGCCTCTTCTTTCTCGTCACGGATAATACGCAGCATATTCTTGCCTTCCTCCACAATCCTCTTGAACTGGTTACGCCGTTCGGTCCATGTCTCCGCATACTGCTCTTTCTCGCGCTCCAGTTCAGCAATCTCAGAATTCAACTTCTCCAACTGGACATGTTGATCTTCTCTTGGCTTTAGCATGCGATTACTCAGAATCTTGTCAGCTAGCTGATCGTAAGTCTTGCGAAGTGTAAGCTTGTTTTGGGCTTCTTCGAGTTGAACGTGAAGTTCTGTTGTGTTGTCCCTGACTCTTTGCATGGTCTCCTGGATCTTCAGCTTCTCAGCCGCGTAACGCGCCCTCTCTACTTCATTACTATTGTGAAGAAGTTGAATGCGCACAATGCTACTTTCAAAGGCTGCAAAATCAAGCATGCATTCTTCTCTCCATATCCTTCGCTGCTCCTCGATTTGCTGCCGGTCTGCCGTTTTCGCCGCGGCCTCTTCGTCAAGTGTGTTGCCGTCTGGAGGTGGAGTCGGCAGATGAGCGGGCGGTTGATTGATCAGCGACGTAGGCTGCAACAGTCGGCTTGCGATTCTCGTAAAGGGCTTGGTCTCAATAGCATATGGTCGTGATTTGTGGATTTCATCTATGTATTGGTTGGTACTCGGGCAGTCGCGATCAAGCCATTGACAAACCTTCTTCAGCCTGATCCAGCAGGCCGTAATTGTTGGATATTCTAGCGGTCATATTGCGTACTTCGGTTGCATAGGTTGTCGCGCAGGTTGTCGGAAGGATGCGATCGAGGGGACTTGTTACATGGAGCGGAGAACTTAGGCAGAGCAGAGCAGAGCTATTCAGAGCAGATGTGAAAGTCTAGTTGCTATTGTTCATGGATCGTCGCAGTAATTACTGGTCCGCCCTGCGCGCTAGCGATCCATGGATGGATTAATTAGCACGTGTGTGGCTGGAGAAAGAACATCAATCATTCACCTCGAATTAGCTCACACTATCAAACACTGCCCAACGAGATTATCGAATATGCTACAGACACTCTTTTCCACTCTGCAATATTCCACAGAACCATCTACCGGTGAATACATCAAATTGTTGTCAGACACCATAAGACTACAACATTGCCAAACTCTCCCAGGCTTGAACACGCCTCCACATTGCGACCACTCTGGAGAACATTTCACCAGGCCAGACCAACTGTTGTTTTCTTCGGTTTTGTTGTCATTTCTGTGCTTTGAACTGTATTCAGTTTGACCTCGTTTGACATTCGATCTTCACACCTCATCTATCTACTTCGCAATTCTCTGGCTAGAGGCGTCTACATTTAAATCGTAGATAAAAGAACTCTCTACTCAGCCCGTGTGTCGTCATCAAAATGCCGGTCGCATCTTTGACCAAACTAGCGCTAAGAGCAGTTGTCCGCAATATTACTGCTGTTGATGACGTTGGTTCATTGGAGTACGAATGGTGCCAACCATTTCTCAGGAAAATTGATAACCCGGAGCAACTATACCGGCTTGAGCAGAACTGCCCGCAAATTGCTGGCAAAGACGACGAGCTATGGTTGGCAATCATCCGCAAGGAAATTCCAAATTATCACAAATATCCAGAGGACCTCAAAGCGAGGGGACGCAAAAACTGGTACAAGTTCTACAAATATCTTCAAAAACAGGAGGCAGAGGCAGCTCAAAGATCAAGTCAGAATCTGGCTGAGCGACTCAAGCGTATTGAAGACGAACGAAGTATGGACAAAACTCAATTTGTACCTGAAAGGATCACTCAAGGCCCGAAGCGACGACGGACTACGCCCTTGAGACGTTCTACTCCAAGCATCATCAGCACCACAAGGAAGCCATTTACTAAGGCTGCGAACTCAGTACCGCACAAGGTACCCATCTCCTCCGACCTTATAGCTCAACGTAAAGCCGCCAAGGAGGCACAGGAGATGAAGAAAGTACCAAAGATCCTCCAAAGCGAACCCAGCAGGCCTGCTCCAAAACGGAAGCTTTCCTTTGACGACGAAGATGAAGACATATTCGGAGACTCCATGGCATCAATAGATGAACCAACGGCTACTCCTCCACGCAAGATTGCAGTATCCAAGACCAAACCCGTTCCAATCAAGCGCAAGACTGTCTCTTACATACCCCCACCACGTCGTAGTCCAACTGGCTTGACGCCGACGCCATCACCACCGCCTCCTCAGAAATCCTCCAACTTTACCGCAAACCTTTCTAAGACAGATGTCTCAGGACATAGGCAAACATCACCGACGAATTTGCCAGCCAGGCCGCTCAGGCGGAAGAAGAAAGACGTTAGCGTGTTCATGCCTCCAAACCAGAGTCGCTTTAAAAGGTGACCGCAAGTTAATTTTACGAAACTCTATGCATATTAGCGATCTATTGAAGTATACTTTAGCGTTCCGGGCCTTGATATGAGCTAGGCATGTTATCTCTGTTTCAGTCCATCAAATAAGGGTTATGATTTAAATGAAAGTACCTGTTATGAGCAATGGTAAATGATTCATAGCTCTCTGCTTCGAAGCCTTCGACACTTGTCAGCCGATTGCATAGATTGCGCCGTAGTTGAGCAAGGACAGATGGATAGTTTGATGTGCCCTTGCGCCTCCAAATCGTGTTTATTGCTGTGTCATGACAAAGTAAATCATCCAAACGCCCCAATCCTCATCCAGTAGTGTTACGATCCTTGGTGATGTTGCTCGCTGCATTCATCATCACCCCAGTGTGATATGCCTAGTTCGCAGTATCGCTGCACCCATCGTTGATCTCATGATGCCCTTGCCCATATACTGCCATACTTAGGCCGATCCACCACGCAGCGCAAGAACCAAATGCAAAGTGGCGCCTCCTTCGAGGTTATATTCGGCGGCGGTCTTCTCGTCAGCCCTATTAGACAAAGGTATTAGCCTGTGGACTGAGGCTTGGACAAGATCTGCTTTACATTTGCTTTCCGCCGAAAATGAGACGTTGCTGGACTGGTGGGATGCCTTCCTTCTCCTCTACACGCTCCTTTATCCGTGATACCTTGAATTCTGGGTCGATGTCGAGCTCGATCTCCTTGCCTGTGAGGGTTCTGACTCTGATCTCAAAGTTAGCTTCAGACACTCGTAAACAGAAAGAAGCTGGAGCAGGCATACTTGATCTGCATGGTGTTTGCTAGAAGATGGACCGTGTACGAGCTCTGGTTCTCGTGTGAAGCTTGAGGTTGGGGTCGAAGTATGTATCGCACCGGAACGTAGAGACACTGTGGACGTGAAGCCTAAGACCAGCGCAGGCGGTACTAGTGGTGGTGCCCCACGCTAGTGGGGCACAAGTAGCTAAGGACCAGGTATGCATCCATCAACGTAGATGGATCACCAACAGGTATCAAGCGTGCTCATTCATGGCTGTTTGCATGCATAACCTTATAACTTTGCTGCCCCTGACAGACCCTGGAGATAACCCGCGTCCCATAAAACTGATATTCTTCACGCGTTCCCCCGCTCACGGGCTAAGTGCTCCTGGATTTCCTCCTGCATAATATTCAGATCATCCCTTGATAGTCCTTTTGGACGACCATCAACTCCTATATCAGCCCCAGATGGGCCAGGATCGTTCAACATCTCGACTCGTCGTATTCGGCCACCACCATAGGCCTCGAGAACGGTACCTCCCTGATACTGCGAATCTTCACATAGAGCCAGCATGACTTTAGCAATCTCAGCCGGACTAGCCCAAGCACTCCTATCAGATTTCCCACGCTCAGAGCCCTCATTATCCCATTTGCTCCATAATGGTGTATTTACGGCTCTTAATCTGCTTAGTGAAAGTTTGATGCGCCAAAATGAAGACTAAGCGAACTCACCCAGGGGCAACGGCAACTACTTTGATGTTTTCTGCCTGAAGAGATGCTAAGGTACGCACGAAGTGGCTGATGAAGGCCTTGCTTGAGCAGTATATTGGAATGTTCAATGCAGCAACCTGCGCTCCGGTCGATGATATATGGACAATAACGCCGGGCTTGTCCGCTTTCAAAAAGGCCCGAATTGCGAGACGAGTGGCCTTCACTGGGTGTTCGCAATTAATGGCAATTGTCTTGTAACTGTCTGTCTCACTGTCCTCCCAGAAGTTTGACCATTTCTGCACGTTTTATCAGCCCGGTTTTTGCCAGAGATGTTGATTAGCATACTGGCTCAAATACTCCTGCGCCAGGACACACGATGTCTGGAACACCTAGATGACTCTCTGTAAAGGAGAATAGTTCCCCCAACTGCTTCCAGTCTGAGACGTCTGTTTCTTTAAATAGAACTTTAGCGACAGATCGAACGGCGCTTTCTTCCACGAGCACCTTTGATTCTTCGATCAAGCAAAGATCTCCGATAACAACATTGCAGTTTCTAGATTGCAGCAGGCGGACGAATGCAAGGCCAATGCCTATGGAATATTCGTCATTAGAAGGCTTCCTACAATTGTTATACTACTTGACGTACCTGACCCTCCCCCCGTGACGATTGCGACCTTGCCAGACACAGTATTTAGGGTCATGATATGTAATAATTTTCTAAATAACGTAACGCTGAACAGAAGCTTTCTATGGGCCGATTATGTAATAAAGAACTCCTGTTTCTCTCAATCTCGCCCCTCTTTAATTAGTAACTATGAGATCATTATCCGGACTAGTATAACAGTGTAAGTACGAACTACTAAAGGACGTATAGGTAGGGCAGTTAGAGTCTACCGGCTATACCTACGTCATATTATGGATGCTTGAAAGATTTCATAAATTACCATATACCGTATGCAGTTTTCATTTGCCATATAACGTTCAGAGAAGCATCCTTGACATACCCAGTGTACAGCAGACTAGCCTAGCTCGTTCGCTCATTAACCTCGACATCAAGGTCATGCCCTAGAATGATTCGCCTGCAACCCGGTGTTCGTAGCGCCTCAGGTCGTTTCAACACTGTTGTCGCTTTCCAGCTCAGCGTGGATTATTTGACTCGACAGCCCACCCTGTCATTACATTACATTATAACCACAGTCAAATGCAGATTTCCTTTTTGGGAGAATATTCAGCCAAGCACAGATATCTTCCTCAAGTTGCCGTGAATAAGAAGAAGTGGATGATAGCCAGTCATAAATCGTGAGGTTATGCTGTATGGAAGTAGTGCCTGTCCAGGTTGGTGATTAGTCGTTCAATCTGTGCTTGTTCTTTGAAGTGATACGAAACATCTATAAGACTGTAATTACGCAGTATAAGTCAAAGATCACCTAAGTATTTAGACTCTTCTTACCACTGTAACAAGGGCTGGCCAACTCTTTCGTCTTCGTTTAACGAAGCTGCTACGATATTTCTCCCAGAGCTATAGGTGTATGTCGTGTAAGATATAGTGTTCTTGCACATCCGTCCCCAGTCGTCGAAGGGAAGTATACATCCTTCATTGACTTCACATGTGAGATTATCTGTAGTCACTACTCAAGACATTTTGATAGCACTGTCACAAATTTGTCCTTGATAAGCTCTTGGACTTGATGATGACTGATCAGAGATGAATGCTCAACCCTTCATAGTACGGCCATATTCTCTGCACCTCTTCGGCCGATTTACCATACTTTGCACAGTGAGCTATGCAAAGTTCAAGAACCTCCTTGTTCTCCTGCTGCTTCTTCTCAAAGTCGTAATAGGGCGCGATCCAGCCGTCATCATCGGTATCCAAACACTGCCGGGCAACTTCAAAGAGCCTGTGGTGATCCCTATATTGTGAAAACTCCTGCTGATGCTTTTCAATCTCTTCTGCACTAAAATTGCATGGACAGTCGCTGGAGAATTGAGCTTCATTCCATATGTGGGCAATTGCAATTAGGCATTGACGAAGTGGTACAATACCCTCTTCCCGCGCCTCCCCGGTACGAAGAAACAATTGTCGAAAAAAAGGAGGAAGACTTATGGAGTCGGAGACCTTTCGAACCTTGAAACCGCAGGCCGCCTCGTAAGCCTTGCCCATCAATTTATGCTTGTGTTTGAACTTAACAACCGCTTGATCGTCGTCGTCCATCTCGTCGAAGTTGTCCGGAAACGGTGGGATTTCGAGCCCAATCTTGTAGTCCTCGTCAATGTTTATGAGTTCGGGAAACCGAACTTGAGAAAACAAAGGGGAGACCCCGGTAGACTGCCAATCAATGAGTGTGGCAATCTGGGTAGGCTCTTCATTATTAACATATATGTTTCCCATGTGAAGGTCAGTATGCCACAGGGTCGGACACGCGAGGCGTCCAGGAAGTGTCTCCGTGCCCATGTTAAGAAAGACCTTTTTGGCCGTTTGCAAGGCGGCAAGCTGTTCCTCAATAGAGCCTCGTGGTGGTCCGTGAGGAGCAACTTTGGGGTTCTCTTCAATCCGAGCAATCTCACGTTCGGCAAGCGCTACGCCGAAAGCAGGTAGAGTGGGCCCTAATAGGATATAACTCATTAGTAAGGAAAGCGAGTTGGTCTAGTATTACTCACATGGTCCTCGATTGAAGCGAGCTTGTACAGATTCCGTATCATCTTTACCGAACCATGACCGCTCGCAAGACGGCCCGATGCAAAATTGACCAGAAGGATCCAGGTCCGGGGATAGAAGTGTGTATTTGTCGCCGGTCCCCATCGACTCACGGAAGTAAAGACTTCCATTCGCCGGAAAAGCAATCGCCGCGAGATCAGCCTCAATCAGGCATAGGTTCTTGATGAGTTCGAGAGGATCTATGCCTTTCATCTCTCCCCATTTCTTGACTAGTTGGCAGCCAGCCGCCTTCTCCATTATAATATATTCGGCACCGACTGGATTCGAAGAGTCGGCGTTCCATGCGAGCAATTTGGGAACCGGGACTGTGGTGTGATCATGCACTGTTGATGTATAGATCAGTCGCAAGATTTCCAATCTAAAACATGGAGGACGCACAGTATTGAAGAACGGCTGCTTCAGATGCTGTAAGGTACTTAGGGGGTCCAGTAATAGAGAAGGGTAGTTTAGCAACGACCTCTGTTCCATCCTCTTTGCTCATGAGTAATGCTTTGCTGAAACCGCCTTCCATTTTCTCAATCTTGCGGACAGGCGATTTAGTATTGCCGGCAGAGGCGGCCACAGCGCAAAGCTGGTCCAAGTCGAATTTCAGATATCTTTGGTCGCATTGTTCCTTATGTCTGACTAAGAAGCGTCCGTTCGTATATTTGAAAAGCTCCTCGCGATCAATGCGATCGCCTATGATGCTTAACAGATAGTATCAATAGATAACAAGTGGTTCTCACCCCGACAGAGTATCGACAAAGTTCTAGATGAGCTTGGAGATATCACAAGCTTGCCCCTCCATAGCCTCATGCTTTTAGATGGAATTGAAAATCGAAATGGCATGTTGTGTGTGTGGTATTTGTAGGCTGGTTCGCTTGGCGCGTAAGGCACTTCTCAAGGAGAATTACACTTTCTCAAGTTCATGGACTATAGACGCTCGTTGAGAATGAGCCTCTGAAGTGTTGTTTACTCATAAGAAAGATGAACAACATACCAGATGCTGTAGATCCTTAGGCACAGGCCAGAGTCTCCAGTTGAAGGAATTCACGCGTAGGCCGTATCAGGCTCTCAGTCTAATGCTAAGCTAAACAAGAGTCCAGAGATAAGAGAATACAGTAGCAGGACAGGCGTAAGTGCGCAACACAGGCTGTAATGAGCTCAAAACCTGTAGCCAGCATCGGCGCACGTAAAAGGGGCGTGAAGAGATGTACGGATATGGACGGTGTAAATCAATGATGAGGCGACAATTTTGGGTTATTCCTCAGCTGAACATAACAAGTTTCCAGTCCAAAAATGAGAATTACCTCTCAGTGTAGAATGTTATCAACAGAAAATGTTCCTGGAAGAACAAGCGCTGGCTTGGACCACAACATCCCGTCCGAGTCCAGTCACAGCTGAATGACTAAGGACTGAATAAGCTCGATGACATACTACCCAAGGGAGTTCCCACTCATGGCTCTGTCTCAGGAAGGTGCTAATGAGCCTTTTCTTTAATAGATAACGCTCCCACACCTACGCACCTACAAACCTACACCTCCATACATTCCACAGAAATACTGACACACCCGACACCATGAAATTCTCCCTCTTCACACTCCTCGTCGCGCTATTCTGCGCTTATGCGCAAGCTCTTGCCAAGCCTGTCAGCCTTAAGACCGTCATCGTCACATTCCCGGACAACACCCCCGGTCACATCATGCAGCAAGCCAAAGACGCGATCGTCGAAGCTGTAAGTCGTCTTGGACCTCCGCATGGCTAGTAAACTGATCCGAACCTAGGGTGGCCGCATCACTCACGAGTACCGCATCATCAAGTAAGTTATCGTACCCGCTCTCTGCAAACGGGACTTGAAGCTAACGTGTGACTTTAGGGGATTCTCAGCACTGACTTCGGACAAGGTCCTCCAGAGCGTTTCTACACAGAGTCTCGAATACATGCCGGTGTATGAGGAGGACCAGCAGATGTCGATCAATGTTTAATCTAGAAGTGCATCTGGGAGCATTGGTTTTGTACGACGGCGTGGTACCGCTACGTCAAATTTGAAGCAGAAAGAGGCTTCATGTACATAAGGACCATGGAACTAGGCTGGGATTAACGATTAATGACTGATGGCGTCTGTATGTGGTTATTGTGTAAGCCACCATTATAGGGCCATGATGAATTGACAGAATCTCTATTCGAACATTGACAGTGAATGCATATGCGTTGGAGGAAGCTCCCTCGCGTATACCAAAACAAGTGAGCGAAACAGCGAACAAAAACACAAAACACCACTTGATGCTGTCATAAAACACAAACCATGGCTGCCGGCAATGAGAGCATATCCTCTGAGACCGCACTGATGAAAAATCCTCCAACTCCAAACGCTTCAAACGCTCCGATCAACGCTCATATCAGTCATAGTACCCATGCTATCATTACGCGGCGCTTTGGACAACCTTGAAGCCCTCTGTCACAATCTTGCCAATCTCCTCGTCTTTGTGTGGTAGCAAGCCTAAAGCATACGTAACGTCATTCCATTGTCGCTCTGTCTCACAGCGAGGTAAACGAGAAGCCAGCTTATTAGCGAGTTGTTTGGCGTGTTTGTCCTGCGTCAGGATGTCAGTGGATGTTGTGTCGACGAATATTTTCTGGAGCGCGGCGTGATGCACGACATACCTTCTCGATGAAACCTGTGATAAATTTCATGATCTTCTTAAAAGCATCTTCGTCTAGTCTGCTATCGGAGCTGAGCAGACTGAACACATCGACGAAATTGTTGTACACAGCATTATCTTTCGTCGCGAATTCGGTGAAAAACATACGGCTCATGTCGGCGATGCGGCGGTCTTCGTCCTCGAGACATTTCGCAATTTCACCTAGCTGACCCTTGACCTTGACCTGACCGGCCAGGATTAAGAACGTTAGAGTCATAAGACAAGTACGCTTCACACTGCCATCAGGATCATTGAGGCGACGGTACAGGAAGTCGGTATTCTCGTCGATGTGGTGGTTGAAACAGACAGCCATGTCACCAAGCGCTACAACGAGGTTACTACGCACTGTGGCGTCCTTGCTACGCTCTAAGATCGTAAGAAGAAGGTCTAGGTGCTGCTCGCAGTATTGGCTGCTCACACACATGAGCTTTGCAAGACACAGAGCGGCTTGGGCCTGGAGCTCAGCGTCGGCATATGAAGTATTATTCGCACATATGTCCGCGACCATGGGGCCAAACCTTGCGAGAAGGGATTTATCGCCGTACAGTAACTCTCTCTCACGGATGTGGGCAATAGCATCGGTGAAATCATCCTCTGTTGTGCTTCCAATCAGGTCGAGCTCATCCTTATCTTCCTGAGCGACTGGGGGTGGTGTAGCAGTATTCTTTGCGCCAGGTTTCCTCTTCTTAGGAGATTGATTTACAGCTGCGAGGGATTGTCGCTCAGATTTTGCAGCTTCGGCGGCCTTCTCTTTCTCTGCTTTGCGCTTTTTGAAATCTAGTTCGCATTGCTCAAGGTGGACGATCTGCTTGATTGCGACGTGCCCAACAATGAACAATAATTGAGATAGTGCCATTGCAGGCTTCTGTTTCTCTTCAGCTATGTCTTCTTTCTCTTCTTCGCGTGGAACAGGCATGGCGGTCTCTGGCTCGTCGACATCCATGGCGGTATCAGAATCTCGGGACATAGGTCTGGAAGTAGCTTTGGACTGAAATACATATCTCGTTTTCCTCCGAATGATGTTGGAACAAAGTACATCTGGAAATTTGGATAGAGCATAGATGGCACCGATCGCCTGTTCTGCTAAGCCAAACCATTCTTTATCGTCGGAAACGATCTCTGTCATAGCTGCTAGGCAGATCAAGATTGCATGGTCGTTCGATAGCTTGGCGAAATGGGGAGCGTTTGAACCAACTGTGGGTTTGTCGGACTTGCGAGCCTGGTTGTTGATTCTGCGAAGAGCAACACATGTGTACCTGGCCAGGCCGAGATCTTGACGTCCCAAAGCCCCTAGGCCTACCTTCAAGCATCTCTCCATTTCTTTGACAATGATATCAGGGTCGGCCACTGCGAGCATGCCAAGGATAATGATGGCACCACGACGCTGGGTCTTGGAGATGTTCTTTGAGACGCTATATATTTGCCAAAGTTTGTCAACAACAGCACTAGAGATCAAACCTGCCTTCATCATGGTGCTTAGGAGTTGTTCTAGGGATGTAAGATCGGCAGGAGTCGATCCGAACGTGAGACTTGTCATGTTGTTGGCAACAAAGAGTGCAGCATGCTCGGGATCGTAACTGTCTGGAGCATCGAAGAAGAGATGCTTATAGACATCGATCAAATGTCCTTGTACGCCCTTGCCTTCGTCACTACTACCCTTGGTCCAAATGAGCCGAAGCATACGCCGGATGCCCACACTCGCGGTTTCGATCTTGTAGGCATCTAGAATCTGGAAAAAGTCCATGGCTTCGATCACTTCGCTCTTGTTTTTAGAAGAGAGTAATTGAGTGACAGTGGCGGAAGCCTCCTCGACAACCACGATAAACTTTATCGCGTCGAGATGATACCGTCTAAAATTTTGGAGATTCTCCAGCTTTTCTGCGGTCTCCTTCTCCTCCTCGGCTTTCTTCGCTGCCGCTGCTAACTGCTCTGCCGTCATTGGTTCGGGTTGTTGTTCAATGCCTTCCATTTGGGTCGCGTCTTGCAGCATGCTTGCGTTTAGGGTGGGATCCACGTCCGAGGATTTTTCCTGAAGCTCTACAGGAGGTCGTAACGCATCTATCTGCGCCTCTATACTTCTCAGTCTGGTCTCAAATCCAGGTTTTCGTTGGTCTCCGTGCCGTGAGAGGGTACCATCGTCTACATTCTTCAAGGCCCGGAAATGATGGGTCTCGATTAACTTGCTTAGTAGTTTTATGGCATTTCTCCTTGCGTTGCTGGTCTTGTCTTCAAGACTCCGGGCCGCCAATTCAGCAGCATTCTGGCGTCGATCCGTGTATAGACCAAACGGGAGCATATCACACAATTTTGTGTACACTTGAATGGCACGACATCTACAATAAGGGCTTACATCCAGAAACCGTTCCTCGAGGACATCGAAGAATGCATTGATTTGTCCTTCTGTATGCTCGCTGCGCTCTGAACCTTCTTGTTTTGTAAGCATGATGATGAGGTTGCCGCATACTTCAATGATCGCACAGCGGAGTGTGTAGGACTGTAGCCATGTCAGACAGGTTACAGCGTTATGATTTGATCTTTGAAATGTACTTCACTGTCTAAGAACTTTGCAAGCAAGGTCATCTGCTTAATGACAAGCCGGGGAGCCAGTTCAGAGATCTTTGTAATGAACGTCGACACAGATTTAGGGCCCTTGAGATCATTGCTATTGAATTCCTTGCCGCTTAATTCTCTGTATCTTATTAGCATAACCACCACCCGCATACGACGGACTCTTACCGAAGAATGTCTTCTGCAAGTTGTGGGTAGTCGTATTGCTCATATAGAATATGTAAAAATTCTGCCATTGGCTCCGAAAGATGCTCGAAGTACGATAGATTCTGGATGATCGATGTTTGAGCGCCTGAAAATTAGTAGGTCTCCTGAGTACGAAGAAGTGTCAGTCTTACCGAAACCATGACCATGATGCTTTATCGCGATACAGAGCACTCTGAATGCATGCATCCGAGTTTCTTTGATCTTTATTCTTGTTTCACTCTCGAGGACGAGGTAGACGGGCCTCGTAAACAGACCAACGAATGTATCACGTTCTGAAGTAGTGTGAAATATCTTTGCAAGTTTCAACTTCAGCACCTTACTCATAACATCCAACGCAGTTTGTAACTGAGCGGTCGAATCCCAACTACCATCTCTGTTGGCGCCTTTGGTCTTCGGACCCTTCCCTCCTTTTCCCTTTGCTGGGGGAGCAGCTGCGGACTTCTCCGCAGCCTTTGTCTCAACTGCAGAAAGCGTCCATTGCAGCAAGAATCCATATATTTCAAGTAACTGTTTATGATGAGGGACCGTATCACTTTCGTCGGCTTCTAAATCAGCGTGAGCAGCATCTGTCTCCGAAGACAGAGCAGATACTAATATGTCAAGGATCTTGGACAGAGAAGTCGGAGGGATTTGCAAGGCGATTCTAGATTTGCGAAAAAGTTCTTCGTTAGGTTCATGTATATAATTCGTACATCCTGGAGCAGTGGTTGGTACACACTTGAGTAGAAATTGTAAAGTATCAAAATTCGCCGCACGAGTTATTGCTTCAGGATTCTCGGCAATAGCATCTATTACTGGATTGAGAGCTCCGTTCACGATTGCAGGAGTTAACGAGTCCGGGTCGTTTTCGCAATCAATTAATTCGGATGGGGCTTCGGGGGTGTTTACGGAGGCCGGGTCGGTCTGGTATTGTCGCAGGACGTCAGAGATGTTGAAGTCAACATGGTCGGCCATATTGAATCTTGGAACCAGTCCACGACTGGCTTGCCCATGAAGAGGTCGACAGTTCGTAGTAAGTCTGAACTTCTTTGTCGATTGGTATCGTTCTATGTTTGTTGACAATTGTTATGCGCCGGAGGTACCTCGGCACAACCACGACGCGTCGCGTCATAAAGCATGCTGCAGGAGGGGGTACGTCCAGCAGCAATCACACATGTTCATTGTAGCAAGAAACTAGATTGTCGTTTAATGTGTGTGACTCGACTTGTGTCTCTAGTTGTCCTTGCCTAAAACCTGGCCCCTATTAAGTCTGGCACCGCTAAAGGAGGAAGCCGGCATCGCCAATACACAAACAAACACCCCGCACTCTTCGACTTCTCATTCTCCACGTTACGGTATCATGGGAACTCATTTCTGAGCTCAAAAATTCATTCCTCTCATACATGAATACAATGGTAAAGGCGCGAATGGCGAGGAATTTGCAGCAAGAGGTGGTACTCCACGATGAGTCCGAGGAAGGGTCGGATTACGATATGGAGGAGAGTCAGGATCCACTGCAGGAAAGTGGATGTACAATCGATGGCAGTGATGAGGAAGAGGTCGATGAGCTGGTTCAGGAAGACATTGATCGATTTGCAGCCAGCTTCGAGGGTATCACGAAGCAGTACAGACTCATTAATCGAATCGGCGAAGGGACATTCTCGACAGTATACAAAGCAGAGGATCTACTGTACGACCACTTCGAAAATGACTGGGATATCGAAGAGAAGGAAAATAACCGGTACTTGACCCCAAATCGAAGGAAAGAGAAACGACAGCCCAGACGCAGAGCCCATTATGTTGCCATAAAGAAGATCTATGCGACGAGCTCGCCGATACGGATCCTCAATGAGCTCGAGTTGTTACACGATTTGAGGAAATGCCCTTCAGTGTGCCCCCTAATCACTGCTTTCCGCGATAAAGATCAAGTCATTGCTATTCTCCCGTACTTCCAGCACCGTGACTTTCGGGATTACTTCCGCGAGATGTCCATTCACGATATGCGCCTATACTTCCAAAGCTTGATAACCGCTCTCAGCTCTGTACATCGTCATTCTATTCTCCATCGCGACATCAAGCCAACCAACTTTCTATATTCGCCTGAACATGCACGTGGTGTGTTGGTCGACTTCGGCCTCGCAGAGCGGGAAGGAACGGATTGGCATACTTGCCTATGCGCCTTTTCTCCAAACGAAAGAATGATGAAGCAACGCACGAGCATATATGCAGCGAACCAACAAGAAGCTGCCGCGCAAGGGACTAAGCAACAGCCGAGTTATCCCAAAAATGATTCACGACCGAGTCGGCGTGCGAATCGGGCTGGAACAAGAGGTTTTCGGGCCCCTGAGGTACTTTTAAAGTGTACAATGCAAACCTGTGCGATCGATATGTGGAGTGTTGGAGTAGTGCTGCTCACGCTCCTTGCCAAACGCTTCCCATTCTTTCACAGTGCAGATGACATTGATGCGTTGCTCGAGCTGACAAATGTCTTCGGGCGCAAGCGAATACGTGAGGCGGCCATCATGCATGGCCAAGTCTTTGAGACGAACATTCCGTCGTATAGTGAGAATGGATATGGTTTCGAGAAGATTATATTGTGGTGCACAGAACGGACGAAGAAAGATGCAAATGGGAAGCGAATAGAAACGCTCGACCCAGAAGAAGTAGAGGCCATTCGATTTCTGGAGCGTCTGTTGGATTGTGATCCACAGAAGAGGATAACGGCAGATGAGGCGCTCCAGCATCCTTTCATTCTTGCCGCGGATCATGAAGACCAGGACGATGTCGATTTCGTATCCCCTTGAGATTGACTACTTTTCTGGGAGTGATTGGACGCATGGAGTTATGAATAGATCCGCCGGTATATTGAGGTCAGCATTCATGGTATAATTAATGGACAACGGGATATCTTCTAGTTTAGCATCAGTTCAGCGCTACTTGATTGATCTTAACGAGCTCAATCACGCTTCATGAGAATTGACCTACATGAAAAGACTAGTCATACAAGTATATGTACAGGATCTTACAGACTGAGTGCCCTTGGCATGTTTGTTCAAAGAGCGTTACTCGTTGCATGTCAAACACAGTCCTTTACGCGTGAACTTTGTCCTCGCTTCGCGGTGTCTCGAGATTGGCGACCAGCCTGTCAACCTGATTCTCCCTCAATAAAATCTCTCCATCTTGTCCGATCGCCCGAATTTTCTCCTTTTGTTTCTTATTCATCCGCTTCATCTTTTTCCGCAAAGTATTCCTCAACTCGTCTGTTTCTTGTACCCCTAATTTGTCAAACATGCCCGTCACCTGCGCTATAGCGACCCTTTTTACACTTGCCCCACGGCCTCTCGTAGCTTGCCGCACGTCTTTTTCCAGCCTCAACTTCTCCCTCGCCACGCGATACTCCTCAAGCGTAGGTAAGCGTGGTCGATCCTCCAGCGGCGAACCGAAAGGACTTAAAATCTTTGTTACGACGTGCCGTACATGTTGGGCTTTGCGCCAACCAGATTGAATCGATACAACGTCGCCCTCGCGGACGGAGTTTGCGGGGTCGTGGACAAGGTGGTGTTTTGCATCTGGGAAGTGCTAACAGCGTAGGCTTTAGCTCTGTGATCCTTTGTATAGTGTTCCAAGATACCTTAGAGTTCATACCTTTTTAACTCTCTTGTTCCACGTTTGTGTTGCTATTCGTACTTTTACTGTGCGGTCCATCTTGCCAGCGGACACGACGACGCCATTAAAATTGCGATGTAAAATTGGTGGTGGCATTGTGCAGTAGCAAGGGTATCTGCGGGCCTGATAGAAAAGCTCGTAGAGGTAGAGCTAGATGGCCGCCACGATATGAGTAGTACCTCGATTGACTGATTTCATCAGCTGGAGCTTCTTGATCGTAGTCCAATACCACAGATTGACCGGTGTAATGACCTTCTTCGCTGTAACCTTTATGATTTGGCTGATACGACGCTTATCATGGAGCGCAGAGCACTTCGGATCCTGCCTTGTGCCATAGAAAAGCACGGGGATATCCGGTCAAATCCCGGCTATATCGCGCAATCACGTGAACAGGTTTTGCCATATTTATAGATGCACAATCGCTACAAATTTTGTTTTAGTAATAGTTGTTCATTTGAATAGACAAGTATTTAAGACTCTCTAGGGGTTCATGTGCAGAAACGCTTCATCTCGCTGTTAATGAATGGCCCTTCAACGCCTTCATGCAAACTTATATTCTATAGGGACATCCAGGAAATCAAGGAAGAGCCTTCTTCTCCACGACTGGAGACCCAACGGCCTGGGGCACATTCGTGAGGCCATCATTGATTGATCTGTCCGGGAGCGAAAGGGTGCGAACTTTGAGTTTCTTGTCGGCCTGCTCAGAGATACGAACAAGCTCATTGACGAAAGATTTTCCCCACCAAGCACTGCGTATGTTAGTCAAAAATACGGAGCCAGAGTTTCAACAACTCACCTAGTGTACTTGTTAATGTACTTGGCAAGTTTCTGGTAATTCAAAGCTCGCTGCTCGTCTCCCATGGTCACTGAGTCATGAATAGCGTCGGCAAGCTCTTCTGTGTTCCATGGATTCACGATCAAACTGCCGTTCAAGCTCTGGGCAGCGCCAGTGAATTCGGATAAGATCATTGCACCGTGGCGTTTCTGTTGACAGGCGATATACTCGTACGATACTAAGTTCATACCGTCGCGTGTAGAGGAAACGAGACAAACATCTGAGACAGCATACAATGCGATCAATTCGTCGAACGAAACGGACTTGTGCATGAAGTGGATAGGCATGAACTCGACGGTTCCAAACTTGCCGTTGATCCTTCCGACGAGTTCGTTGACGACAGCGCGGAGGTTTTGGTACTCTTCGACGTCCTGTCGGCTGGGTACAGCAACCTGTACCAGTACAACCTTGCCTATCCACTCTGGATGCTCAGTGAGGAAGACCTCTAAGGCATGTAGCTTTTGGGGAACGCCCTTGATGTAGTCCAGTCGATCGACACCGACGATCAGCTTAACACCCTGGAACTTACGTTCTAGAGTGGCAATGCGCTCTTGAACCTTTGGTTTCTTTAAACCCTCTTCGAACTTTTCTGGGTCGATGCCGATCGGAAATGCGCCCACAGTCACGATCTTACCCTGGAACTCTACACCGTTAGGTGTTGTTGCCAGTCCACTGCTCAATGTCAGACATGTGCATGAACTTCCAGCCGTCATACTTACAGAATTCTAGAGCAGCTGCTAAGGAAATGACGGGCGTAATCATAAGTGTGGAAGCCAATAAGGTCACAATGAAGAACACCAATCAAGATCTCGTTGCGCACTGGAAGAATGCGGTAGATCTCACTGCTGGGGAAGGGGGTGTGCAAGAAGAAGCCGAACTTGACATTCTTCCGCGTGGTTCCAATTTCTTCCCTTAGCATAGATGGTAGCAACATCAAATGGTAATCATGCACCCAGACAAGGTCATTATCTTTCACATCCTTCGCGATAGCTTTCGCAAACAATCGGTTTGCTTCCGTGTAGGCGTTCCAGGCAGATTCATCGAATGTGATCTCACCTGGGTGGTAGTGGAAAAGCGGCCAAAGAATAGAGTCTACGCTCAATCAGCTCTGAGATCAGACTATTCCATGGAGACTTTCATACTTGAGAAGCCATTATAATGCCTATCGGCGAGCTCGTCATCCAACATGACTGGAACAGCATCGTATTCGTCCTTTAAGCGCTTCGTGAGGATAGGAATTTCATTTTCAGGAACTTCCATTCCCGGCCACCCATACCATTGAAACTTGGTGGACTTCGCTAGACCTGCCAAACCACTGACAAGTCCTCCAGAGGACATGCTGAAATCATATTTTCCTTCCTCGGATCGTTTGATTGTGATAGGAAGACGATTGGAAACGAGGAGCAGGCGACCTTCACCGGTAGATGTAGCGTCGGAAGACATTTTGAGGGCGTATAGGTAATTACGTAAAGCCTCGAGGAAGAATATGCGGATTTGATCGACTTAAAGTGTGGGCGCAAACGTGTAGTCGCTATGGGTATATAGTTATGCTGCGGCAATTGGTGAAGAAGTCTATTGCATTCTCGAATCGATCTAGTATGGTGATGAAGATACACAGCGTAGCGAGATGAGGTGGTTTGTATGCGAAGCGTGGAGTATCTTGAGTTGGTTGTTTTGGAAAGATTCGCCTAACATAAGGTAGGTGAACGATTTGTCAGGTTCCGGACGAGTTGTTAGAAAGTGTGTAAAGACAGAGAGGTGAAGAGGTTAGTAGTGGTCCGAAGGACAGATAGTTGAGCTGGTGATGACAACAGGAATGCGTCCAAGTTTGGCAGGGATGGCAAGAGGCCAGCGCAACAGGCCTTGGTTCTTGAACTTTCCTTGGAGCTATTTGAAACGCAGAGCAGGGAAAATAGCAACCAAGCCAGGGCATGCGTTGTTACAGGGCCCGGCCGGGGGTGGCACAGCTGTTGTCTAAGCCTGCGGACAGCCTAAAACCTGGGCTAGACAGCCGTTGCGTGCGGACGATCATTCCATCTTCCATCAGTGACCACACCTCATTATTACTGTCGGCCAGTGACCTTGCATCAAGGCTAATTGGCACGACAACGCTCCGCGATCAAACAGATGAGACAAATTGTCCGCTTCGTGGCAAGGGGAAAATTTGGCTAGGTCCCTCATAATAACCATGTTTCATGGTTTCCAAGCTGTAGCCAGCCCTAAGAGGCATTGGAAGTTTGGAAAGGTGCCATGACGTAGCCAGCTCCAGCACCTAGTCCAATGGATCCAAATTGGGTCGGGCTGAACCACCATCGCATTTGCGTCAGCAGAGAGAGTAACAAATCAAATTCTCGAGGGATGGCTTTGTAAACCAAACTGATCATTAAGTACCGGACATTAATAGAGTTCCTCCCCATGTTCCTGAATTTAATTATGATTCTTGGTTCTCTTTGTAGGATTAGTTGGGCACGTCAGGCGCTAATCCTGCCACTCATGATCCATCAATCTATCCGCGATGCGCGCCGCTTCCCGCGACCCACATTCGCGTTATGTTGTAAGCCCCGCACGTAAAGACATCGCATCAGCCACGCGTAGCTACCTTCTCTGATAACCTTCATAATCCTGATGTCCGACTCTGAGGATCGTGTATCAGTCTCTGATGATCAGATCCGCACTGCCCTGAAGAGTGCAATCACCAGTATATTCAAGGCTGGGAACCATGACGAGCTCACGGTCAAACGGATGCGAGCTGCCGCTGAATCGCAGTTAGGTCTTCCGGCTGGCTATCTGAAAGAAGGTCTTTGGAAGAATCGAAGCAAGGAGTTCATAGAAGCAGAAGTAGTACGTCATCAGCCACGACTTCCGCAAAGATACCTGCGCTAATATGAAGAGCAGACCAGGCAAGACGAGCAGCAAGCGGGAGACAGCGAAGAACGGGACGATGTGAGGCCAATACCACAGTCCAAGAGAAGTCAGAAACCGAAAACAAAACCTTCAATCGATGGAAAGCTCAAAAGTCGCGTGAAACGCGCCTCTCCTGCTACTAGACAGGAACCACGAAAGAGGAGAAAAGTTGTCGCATCAGAGTCCGAAGCTGACGAAGAGGAGGAAACCAGTCCGCTATCGGAAGCTGGAGATGACAGCGATGGAGAGCATTTAGAGGAGACAAAACCGAAGACAGATGCTACTGACCCCGAAAGCGAGCTGCCCGATGCCCTTGGTGAATCCCAGCTCATGAAGAATCTTACGAAGAATGGGCCGAAAGACCCAAAAAAGACCACCGTAAATTCGGAAAGTGAGCTCTCAGAGGTCCCTGATGAGCCTTCGCCTGTAAACAATGCCAAGAAAACGCCACCTACATACTCGAAGAGTGCTGCCGTAGACTCTGAGAGCGAGCTGTCAGATGTCCTCGATGAACCACCGGCAAAGAAGAAAGGTAGAAATACCGCACATACCAAGGCGACCCGATCAGAAAAGCCAGCGAAGGGTGCTAGGAAGGCAAGCAAAGCCAAGGACGACTTAGATCCCAATGATGCTGAAATCAAACGACTACAAGGGTGGCTAGTCAAATGTGGTATTCGAAAAATGTGGTGGAAGGAGCTTCAACCATATGTGACGCCAAAAGCAAAGATCAGTCATTTGAAGGGTATGCTCAAAGATGCAGGCATGGACGGTCGATATTCCCTTGAAAAAGCACGCCAAATCATGGAGCGGCGTGAGATGGAAGCCGATCTAGAAGCAGTCCAAGAGGGAGCTAAACGATGGGGTCAGGAGGAGTCTGAGAACGATAGCGGCGGTCATAAAGCAGGTGGGAAGCTAAGGAGAGGTCTCGCAAAAGGCTTTAAGGACCTGGATTTCTCTGATGATGGTATTGAGACTGACTAGGTCAGCGCGATATCCTCGCGTCTTTGGAACAAGAGCAGGCAGGACCTAAGAGCTGTAGCAAAAACTGGGTAGTTTGTGTAGGTATATTGCAATCAGTGACCGCCCTTATTGATCTTAGATACCAGAACCTCTCAAACATTAGCTCAAGAAAGAACAACCTTCCACCTCCGATTTCTCAACGAAGATGGTAATCCGCATTGAGCCGATGGAACCTACGCCAGGGGTAGACGTCCAGTGGTCATTCGTTGCGCTACCAGGCTGAAAAGGGCAACAGAGGACATGTATAGTACTAGATTATAGAACTGGATACTTCAGCTTTGACAAATATACTGTTTCTTCATACTGACAGCATTGCGAGAATACGCGCTTTCTTCAGCTTCCGTCCTAGATTCAACGAAGAGTCTCCGTAAGTTCGGGAGGTTGGCTGGCTTCTCCAAAGTCAGACTCCATGTCTCAGCGTGGTTGTGTGCACGCACCATTGTTTCGAGATTGGACTTCCTGATTCATCAGTCGTGATAATCACCATATGCTTAGGGAAGTGATTTGTGCGCATCCATGTTCGTTGTAATTGCGGCGATCTCGGTGGTTAGCCACCATCTAGCACACACCACTAATGAATCCATCCATCCATGCCAAGACTTACACACCTCGACTGCTAGAACAACTTGCCAATCCACAGCTATACTCCTCAACGCGATCCACCACAAAGGCCGAAGGCATCGTCACTGCTACCTACCCTCGCGCAATACCTCTATTGTAGCTGCACTGACTAGACTTGAGCCTCACCGTCAGGGCCTGTTCAAGTCCAGGCGCCCACAACTTGCCGCCGGCCGTCACTTTATGAGTGCGGGCAGCAGGCTCGTCAGTTCTACTGACCTTAGTAGACATGGCGGTCAACAGAATAAGAGGGGCCTTCGCGGTACCGCGAAAAGGAGAGACTTTTGAATTGAGAGCCGGTTTAGTGTGAGTTTAGATACCATTGAACTATTCAGGAGATCATAAGCTGACGATAATGCGCAGTTCACAATATGCCTGGGAACGGTAAGGACAACTACAATCGCATTACGTACATAAGCTTAGACCTTTCAGTAAGGAGTCAATCCAGAAGACGATCATGTCCATGACTTTGGGCAAGGATGTATCTGCTCTCTTTCCGGATGTCCTCAAGAACATTGCGACTGGCGACCTGGACCAGAAGAAGCTTGTATATTTGTACCTCATGTAAGTTGTACTATGTTCACGAAGTATAGTTTCTCATTTTTTCTCAGGAACTATGCCAAATCACATCCTGACCTCTGCATTCTCGCCGTCAATACATTTGTACAAGATGCTGAAGACCCTAATCCTTTGATCCGCGCGTTGGCTATAAGAACGATGGGATGTATTCGGGTTGACAAGATGGTCGACTACATGGAGGAACCGTTGCGGAAAACCTTACGAGACGAGTCCCCATACGTGCGAAAGACAGCTGCAATCTGCGTCGCGAAGTTATATGATCTGAATCCGTCCATGTGCCTGGAGAATGGCTTCCTGGAGACGTTGCAAGAGTTGATAGGCGATCCGAACCCTATGGTAGTGGCGAACTCCGTCACTGCTTTGGTTGAGATCAACGAAGCGTCACCAGAGACCAAGGCATTCAAGATTACTCCGCATACCTTGAAGAAACTGCTCATGGCACTGAACGAGTGTACTGAATGGGGCCGTGTGACCATACTGACCACCCTTGCTGATTATCATGCCGCGGATGTCAAAGAATCGGAGCACATTTGCGAGCGAGTGTCACCACAATTCCAACACGTCAATCCTAGTGTTGTTTTGGCCGCAATCAAGGTAGTCTTCCTGCACATGCGATATGTCGGTCAAGAATTGGCTCAATCGTATCTCAAGAAGATGGCACCTCCGTTAGGTCAGTTCACTGCTTTAGAGGTAGTTCTCAAATACTAATGACATTTAGTCACTCTGGTATCATCACAGCCAGAGGTCCAATACGTTGCACTACGTAACATCGATCTCCTGTTACAAAAACAGCCTAACATCCTTAGCAAGGAGATGCGAGTTTTCTTCTGCAAATACAACGACCCGCCCTATCTGAAACTTGCGAAGCTTGAGATTATGGTACGAATAGCAAACGATAAGAATGTTGACCAACTACTAGCTGAACTAAAAGAATATGCTATGGAGGTAGATATGGATTTCGTGCGCCGCGGCGTTAAAGCCATCGGTCAAGTGGCGATCAAGATCGAAAGCGCGAGCGAGAAATGTGTCAACACATTACTAGACCTTATTGCCACTAAGGTCAATTACGTTGTCCAGGAGGCTATTGTTGTTATCAAGGACATCTTCAGGAAGTACCCCGGTTATGAAGGCATAATACCCACGCTCTGTCAGTGCATTGATGAATTGGATGAACCCAATGCTAGAGGCGCGTTGATCTGGATTGTCGGTGAATATGCCGAGAAAATTAGCAATGCCGAAGAGATTTTATCGGGTTTCGTTGATGCCTTCAACGAGGAATTCACTCAGGTATATATTGTACTTGTACTACTAGTATCCGTCGCTAATCTCTCTCTAGACTCAATTGCAAATCCTTACTGCTGTGGTGAAACTTTTCCTAAAGAAGCCTGAACAATCTCAGGCATTGGTGCAATCAGTCCTTAAATCAGCGACAGAAAAGAATGATAATCCAGACATTCGGGATCGAGCATACGTATATTGGCGACTGCTATCCAGTGACCCCCAAATAGCAAAGGTAGGTGCTCCACTATGGTGGTCATTTGGCCTAGGTTCTGACCTGATGCAGAACATTATCCTCGCCGAAAAGCCTCCAATACAGTCCACCATTCCATCTCTACCACAAGCTCTCCTTGACTCACTCCTTCTCGAAATCTCAACTCTCGCCTCGGTCTACCAGAAACCACCTGAGTCCTTCTTGGGCCAAGGTCGCTTCGGCGCCGAAGCCATGCAAAAAGCTGCCATTGAAGAACAACGTCAAGAAGCCCGTGACAACCCTATAGCTGCTGCGGCTGCAGCTGCTGCAGTTGCTGGGGGCTCAGTCGCGCCACAGTCCAATATCGAGAATCTGCTAGATATTGATTTCGACGGCGCAGCCCCGGCAAGCATGCAAAAGGAGCCCTCAGCAGGGTCGAGTGGCTTGGAAGGTCTAGCAGGCACACCGCAGAGAGTAGAAAGTCCAGCAGTGAATGCGCCGGCGAATGCGAAGGCGAATATGGGCAACATGGACGATCTAATGGGCCTATTCAGCAATGGAAACCAAGGACCTGCCGCGCAAAGTCAGAGTGTAGGCGGGGATGATCTGATGAATGGTTTCGAAAGCCTCAACATGGGAGCAGGGAACCAGCCATCACCCCCTCAGCAACAGCAGCAACAGGGAGGCAAGAAGACGAATGAGGATTTGCTGGGTCTGTTCTAGGTCTGGCAGCGGATAGAGCAGGCCTTTAAGCGAGACAAGCAGTATGTAAATGCAAATACCAAGCCATGAGCACATTCTCGCTCCAATATATGATTTATATGGCTGTATTTACGTGCGCCGGTATATATCTAATCCGTCTATGTTAAACTGGTATCATAAAGCTTCATCACCCGAGCGACCTTCGCAGGCAGATCTTAATTAGAAAACACCCCTCCTGTATCAGTTAGTCGTTACAGCACCCTTTCCTTTCAGGCCGGTATCTTTGGGCCAGAGTCAACCGTCGGCTCAGGACTCGGTAGTGGCTTGTTCTTCCGATCTACAGGTTCTGGTTCTGGCCTGTTATCTGGGCCCTCGTCGTCATCATATATCTTCACTCTAGCGGCATACTCGCGGATGTTGGAGACGATGTGGTCCTCTGCTATCATCTCGCCTCGCCCGCCTGCGATGCGCAAGATGAGGTCGTTCAAAGACGAGCGGCCGAGAATGTCCACGTGGTCCCCTTTGTGTGTGTGTTAGCAAGTAAACATTCCACGCATCAGCGATGCAGGGAAATCACATACCCGTATTCGGCCCACCGCGCGGACTGAACCGATCAGGCTCATGCGGCATCTCGTACACCCTGATCTTTGCGCCAGCCGGGTTGTATCGCTTCATGTTCCAGCCCTTTGTGCACATGTATCCACTGCTCAGCAGGTTGACTGTGCCGTCGCCCTCGCCCATGATAATGCCATGATCGATGCTTTTGTCGGGGTCGTTGTATGCTGTGTCGATAGTAACATTGATCTTGGTCAGCGCATCGCCGTCATTGCGGTAATAGTATATGCGCTCCGTGGGCTTGCCGACACCATAGAAGCAGTAGATCTTGAGGGATGGAGCTAGCGGGAGGCGGGTTTCGAGGGGATTGATCCATTTCGAGGGGTCTAGTTGGTTTTGCTCGACTTCGTGGCGGGTATGGGCGACGCCGTGGGAGTATGAGGTCTGGATCATCTTCTTGTACCACTCCTCGGTGTGGTTAAAAAGGTAAGGAAGAGATTCCGAGACAGTGAGATTGTGCGACGGCGTTCCAGTCTGGTTCAGGTCGCGGAAGTTGAGGAAGCGGCCAAATGACTGTGATTGTCCTGGTTGGTCGTCAGGGGCCCATGTTGAGTTACCCCAGACCGCGTCGCCTCCGATGGGTAGCATAGAGGATATTCCAGGCATGGCGCGGAAAAGCTCAGCGCGTTCAGCGCGGGAGAGAAACTTCTCAAGCCCGTAGACTGCGAAGGCATTGAGTTGTGCGGTATCTTTCATCTCTCCTGAGAGGACAGCGGGCAGGCCTTTTACTGCGCCAAGCATGCAACCAGAGATATTGATCCAGGAGTCAACATAAGCATCCACCCAGCCTGGGCCGCCGTTGCCATAGCCTTCGGCCTCTACCCAGTGGAAGAAGTAGTATAGGACTTGGGAACCCATGCTGTGTGACAAAAGGACCACCTTCTTATTGGACAAGCGTACACCTATTTCAATGTGCGTCTTTAGTCGTGTGAAGTACTGGTCCCTGGTCTCGTAATTTAAATATGACATTCGCCAGTCATAAGCCGCAGTGAACGCGTTCGTCGGATCGTATCCAATAGTAGCCAGATTCTCCAGAATCTTGTTCCATATCCAGTATCCAGTAATAAAGAAGTCCGTTGCATCGAATCCCTGAGCCGCACGAAGCTTGACGCCTGGAGGGTCCATCCCAGTCTCTTTGTCCAGCATTATATGTTTCTTCCAGCCAGCCTTATCCAGAACAAGTGCTCTCATCATGCTCCAACTGCCCCATAACCTCTTTCGAAAGTATTGCCGGGAGTCTGTCTCAGTACCCCAACTTTCGAGACCAGTTGAAATGACTCCTGGTATCATAATAACGGGGTGTGTGGCCTTTATGCCTTCTGTCTGGGCGTGCAGTCCTACAGCGAAGGAGTCGTAGCTGACGGCTTCCCGTTCGTGTTTCTATAGTTTCCCATCAGCACCATTCTCTAGTCTAAACGTGCTTATCATGCTAGTGGTCTTATATATACACTCACCTGCAGCTCTCTAGCGTCGCTAATCAGACCCGCAGGAAGGACGTCCATAATGCTATCAAGACTCAAATCTTTAAAAGGTTCCATATCAAGCATATCCTGATTTCCTGCAAAGAAAGCTGCACTCGCCAAACCAAATATCCCTCCCAGCCCAAATATCCAGAAGTTCCTTCTCTTGCTTCCCTTGGCCTTCTTTGCCTTCTCCACATGTTTCGTTAGCTTTTCCAGCTGCTTTGCAGGAATCGCACGGAGGTCCTCTGCGACATTAGGATCTTTAGACTCGATGTTGCGCATGGGACTGGCATCTCGAGATACGTCGGTGGAAGAGGTGGGTGACGGGTCGCCGAGCAGACGCCGGCGGAGAGACGACATTACCGCGGCATGGATTTGTTCCGTTCAAGCGTATGAAGGGTGTAGATTCTATATATATATAGTTCTGCGTGTTTCGTTGCACACCAAGTTTAACGAGCTGTGTTGCGACAAGCTCCCCATCTGTCGTCACTTTCACATGCCAGTTAGCGCCCCACTAGCTATCCATGTATGAACATTGTAGCGTGACTGCATCGCACAAGCCAGGCTTTGATGGATCGCCAGCAAGGATATCGGTCGCGCTTCTCAAAGTGGGACAACAAGCTTGCAAGAAGGTCCCTACGATTCCTTGGATGGTGAGCATCGCCCATGTCGCCCACAGGAAATCTCTTCTCGTCCCTTAGACATGACGGAGAGCAACTCGCCTGCCACCGATAACCTTCGCTACCTCCAGTACGACATATCCAAAGAAGAGGAATATCTGCCTTCGATCCGCGCCTTGATAGGCAAGGATCTCTCTGAACCATATAGTATTTATGTGTATCGGTACTTCCTAAATCAATGGGGTGATCTTTGTTTTATGGTATGTTGGCGCACGTATACGAGCGCGCTAAAAACTGATTTTCTTCACCTGTATAAGACCCTTGACCCCTCTTCTGTCCTTATCGGAGTCATTGTCTCCAAACTCGAACCTCATCGCAGCGGCACCTTCCGTGGCTACATCGCCATGCTGGCCGTAGTGGACAAGTATCGAGGGCAAGGCATAGCGACCAAGCTTGTGAGGATGGCCATTGATGCAATGAAAGAGCGCAACGCCGACGAGATAGTCCTGGAGACCGAAACCGATAACGCTGCATCGCTAAAACTATACGAGAGGCTCGGATTCCTGAGGAGTAAGAAGTTGCATAGGTATTACTTGAATGGGAATACGGCGTACCGATTGATATTGTACTTGAAGCCAGGAACAGGGCTGAAGAGACCTGAACGTGACGAAGCGGGGATGGCCGCTGTGACCGATGAAATGTACGGGTGAGACTCGTAGGTCCAGACCGGCTATGATACGCAGAAGAGAATGGTTTAAGACGGAACAAAAGACCTGACCTTCGTATAGAACCCACATGAGGCTCCACATGAGGCTTCGAAGCTGAGCACAAGTTCCACTTCTATTACTCAAGGATGTACCTTATGAGCCTGGTCGCGTATAAGAAATGACAAAATAAGGGAATGGCCCCTGGTTTGTCGTGGGTATGAGATCCTATCTCTCGCATTGTTAGGTCCAAGGGATGCACCTGGAGTAAGTCTAATGTACAACTTAAGTCATCATTTCTCGCAGGAAAGAATGGACAGGCTCGATTACAAAGCCGAGCATACAAAATGACAGTACCATAATATAGCGCGATTAGATTAGCTTGAGCTGCGTTCTATACATGATTCTACCATGATGATTTCCGTAAGGAATGTAGGAAAAGTGTGTCCAATGCTTGGGCGTAGTAGTCTCATACTGCGCCTCATGAAGTTGATAAAAATGGCTCTGATCATATCTACACATTTATTGCCACGCTAAGAGTACAACCTCCTTCCCATCTTTATACACTCGTACTATATCCTCCTGGCAACCCTCTCCCCATTTTCCATCGTACATACCACTTCCTTCCTTCGTCCGCCCAAAATACACAACTCGCGGTCAACAACAAGCCGATGATATCAAACAGGCCCAATGCTTCCGTCTGGAAAACCCTCTGTAGCGGTGGGAAATACACGACCAGACCTTGCCCTAATAAGCTTCCAGCGACTGCAATATTGAACATTTTGTTTCCAAATATGTCGATTTCGCCACGTAGAACAGACTTGGACTCCGATCGGCAAGTCAAAGCATTGAACATGTCGAAGAGTACGAAGCACGTGAAGGTCATGGTAGTATCGCGTGCAGTGATCTCATGCTCGGCGGCCATTGCGCGGATATAGGTGAAAAGAGTACCAAGCATGATGATCGATGCAGACTGGAGCACACGGCGAATAAGAGGTGGCGTGAGAACGCGAGCAGTCTTTGAGCGCGGAGGACGAGACATTACAGCTGGATCGACAGGCTCGACACCAAGAGATTGTGCGGGAGGTCCATCCATTAAGATATCTAGACGGGATTAGCAGATTCTCTTCAAAGCAACGCGCTACCGAGACATACTTATCCATAGGATTTGCATAGCATTGAGTGGGTTCGGGAGCCCGAGAACGGTGCTGATGAGTACGAGACTGAGGGCAGCAGCACTGGTACTCAGCTGGAACGTGAGAAAATTCTGAATGTTATAGAAGATACCTTTACCCTCTTCTATGGCGTTGAGTATCGTTGAGAAGTCATCGTCTGTAAGGATCATGTCCGCCGCCTCCTTGGCTACGTCTGTACCCAGTTTTCCCATAGAGATACCAATGTCAGCTTTTTTAAGTGCCGGAGCGTCGTTGACGCCGTCACCAGTCATAGCCACCACGTCTCCACGCCTTTGAAGAGCGCGTACGATCTTCAATTTGTGCTCAGGGCTAGTCCTTGCAAATATTGAGGTACAAGATATAGCTTGAGCGAGCTCCTCGTCGTTCATCTTGTCTAGCTGGTCTCCTCGAAGAACAGGACTACCAAGTGTGGAGTTCATGTTGAGATGCATGCCGAGTTTCTTCGCAATCGCGACGGCAGTCGTCTCTGCGTCGCCTGTAATCATGATGACCTTGACTCCCCCAGCTACCAGCCGGCGAATTGATTTATCGACGCCTTTCCGAGGCGGATCACTCATGCCGACTAAGCCCGCAAAGGCAAGTCCACGATAGAGATCTTCGTCGTTAGGCAACTCCCCAAGACTATGCGGGCTACGATCTCCACGATTATGATGGGGAGTTCCGCTACCACTTCTTACAGAGAGAGTCGATGCGTTACTTCTGGCATAGCTTCGAAGTGGACCACTGGCAAATCCGAGCACTCTCAGTCCGTCTTGTGCCATGGCCTCAGCAGCCTGTAGAGCCTCCTTCCGCCGCGGCTCATCCAGGACAACTTCGCGACCAGCTGCCGTAATATACGTGTCGCATCGATCCAGTACTCTCTCGATGGCGCCCTTGATGTAGGCGACGTCTTTATTGGGCGCATCTGGCACAGAGCTGCTGTTGATGACTACGCCCATCCATTTCCGTTCAGAGCTAAAAGGGGTCTCATTTCGCCTCACACCGAGGCGTTCTCTAACATCCTCCTCTCCAAAGGTATCGAGAAGATCCAGCAATGCTACATCAGTCGGCTGCCCGGCCCATCGACTCTTGGCGTTCGAGACATCGTCACCCATTGTCGAGGACAACACCGAGGCACTAGATGCTGTAGCAACGCTGTCTGCGCGAGAGCTGAAGATACGCGCGTTGTTAACAATGTTACCAATCCTAAGGATCGTTTTGGTAGCAAGGTCAAGATCTGTCGAGCCTTGTTTTTGACACACATCTGCGGGAGTTCGCTCGTCGAAGTGCCACAACTTCGTCACTGTCATGTGGTTTGTGGTCAGTGTGCCTAGTATCTGTCAGGTCATCATGCGGTGAGGTTCAGCTCCAACGCAGCTTTCACATACCAGTTTTATCGCTACAAACTACGTTGACTGACCCTAGTGTCTCAACACTTGGCAATCTGCGAACAATAGCATCTCTCTTGGACATGCGGAGAACTCCAAGCGCCAGCGTCACCGTCACGATGATAGGTAGTCCTTCAGGTATCGCTGCCACAGCCAAAGAAACACCTATTTGAAACATCTCGAGGAACGGCCATCCTCGCCAAAGCCCCAAAAGCATAATGAACGCGATGATGCCAAAAGACATGTAGCTGAGCTCTTTTCCGAGCCGGTCCATGGATAGCTGTAGGGGTGTTCGAGGGCTTTCTATTTCCTGGAGAGACGCTGAGATTGCACCAAACTCGGTATTCCCACCTGTACCGATTACAATCCCTTGCCCATGTCCAGACCGTACAAGGGTACCCATGAATGCGATGTTAGTTTGGTCATTTAGTCGTATATCGGCACCAACAGTGCCAGCGGCAGGGGAGTCGTAAAGGGGTGACGAATTCCCCAAGTTTGTATGATGAGCTGCGAGCTGCGAAAGTGTGACATTGTCTGGAGTCTTAGTTACTGGTTCATTCTCTCCAGTCAGATTCGATTCGTCCAGAGACAGCCCGGCAGCTCGGGTAATGCGAATATCGGCCGGTATGCGGTCTCCAGTAGAGAAAAGGACGAGATCACCAGGAACCAGATGTGAAGCCGGGATTGTGGATGCAGAGGCCTCTGCCTGTTCCAATTCTTGCAATAGGGGCAATTGTGCCTCTGGAGTTCCGTTGGCTGCCGAGCTTGGTGCACCGGCAGATCGAGGTGCTGATGTTCCCTCCTCTGCAGGATTCGAATTTCCTCGTATAACATGTGCAGCATGGGGTACCAATTGACTTAAAGCTTCCAGCGACTTCTCCGATCTATACTCTTGAATGAATCCCACAGTCACTACTATGGTAACAGCGGCTCCTATACTAATAGCATCTTCCAAATTTCCCATCAGTAAAGACACAGCAGCGGAGCCAAGAAGGAGAAGTATCAGGGTTTCTTTGAACTGTTTCAAAAATCGTAGCCACAATGGCTCGGGTTCATCATGAGGCAACTCATTGAGACCATAGTCGTGAAGCCGACGTGTCGCCTCGGAGGGCGCAAGGCCATGTGTCAATGAGGAGGAGAACCGTGATACGGTGGCTTCGGAGGAGAGGATCGAAAATGATGCTGTTATCTGGCGTTTGCAACCTAGTCATTAATCACTTGATCTGACACATGGGCGCATGGGCTCAAACTGTACCGAAGATGAAGTTTTGACGCGCGCTCTGCTCGACGATCGTGAGCTGGTCGGCGAGCCTGGCCGCGACAAAACTGTAGGCGGTTGTAGTTTACTGGAGCTTGGAGGGGCATGGTATAATGGCAAGGCAGGCGTCGAAGCTCTTGACATGTTTTCATGACCCAGGGCGAGGAAGAGACAGGATCCCAGGAAGTCGGGGCTTGGAAAAAGAGAATCTGCGGTCAAACGCTCATCCTAGCATGACAAAGATCTACCAATACCAAAGTAGAAAGTCTTGGGAAGACCCTAAGAAGAATTAGAGAAGGAAGTATAATTGACTGATATGCGACGTCTCCGTATAACAGATGTGCCCTGGCCAGGCCGACCAGCCGGTAGCGCTAAAGCCGCATTGAGCAAGGGTAATGAAAGAGTGCAGTCTGCGCTGTCGATTTAATTATCTTCAAGACAATACAGTCCGGATCTGCCGTTGTGGTTCGTCTGTTGAGGTATAAACGTTTCAATCTAACGCATGAGTTCATTGAGTCGTGCTTAACTAGGTACGTTGACTATATATGAATTATACCAGCAGATTGCGTGGCAGATTTATGACAAGTTCATGAATAGTGCAGGACTACAACTTCGTATGAGAAAATACGGTCGTACACTGGATATAATGCGCGTCAAGCTCAGTCATCTTCTTTTCATTCTGCTCCACCATCAATGTCAGACGCGTATTTCCTCACGAAGAATGGAATTATAGCAGGGGGCATCAGGCATCACTAAGGGTTGAACCTTGCCAAGGTGGAAGAAGCCTGCATTTGCTTAGTCACGAGGGGCGCAAGTTTCTGGAATCCCCAGCCTCACCCAACCACAGGTAGAGCGCATTGGCAATCGCAACCTCTTGCCATCCACAACTCATCGCGCATTCGCAGCGTATCCATATCAATTGTGCGCATCGCAACATCGTGTATCATCATTAACTTGACCGCTGCCGACGACTAGCTGCGACCTTTGCGCACTCCTCTGCCTTCTGGGGCTCGTTGCGCTCGTCGGCCTAGTCGCGTCACCATTCCAAAACAAACGCGGCTACCCACCTCTCCTAGCACCAACTACGCGCCTCCATACCCTCCTACCTTCGAGCCAAACATCGTTCCACGTCTTTCTCCACGGTCGCAACACTAATTGGTAGCAATAATGTTTTACTCAGAGGATTTGCTTTCCAGGACTGGCCCTCTGGCCAAAGTCTGGCTTGCCTCAAATATCGAGCGCAAGTTGACCAAAAGCAATGTCCTGCAAATGGACATTGGCAAGGACGTCAATTTCATTCTGCAGACCGATACAAATCCAATGGCTTTACGCTTGACAGGTCAACTACTTCTCGGTGTAGTCAGAATCTACAGCCGAAAAGCGCGTTATCTATACGACGACTGCAATGAAGCCATAGTGAAGATCAACATGGTGAGGCTCAGCAGTGACCGAAGCCATGTATTGTCTGGCTAATCAAATGTTCAGGCGTTCAAACCCGGCAACGTGGACCTTGCGCTGAATCAATCAGCAACCGCCAACGCGGCTGCTCTAACACTCGAAGACAAGATCACCATAAATGACCTTTTTGCACCAATACCTGATCCTGACATGTTGTTGTCGACTCAGCCAACCCTCGATTTTGGTGTAGACAATACTATTATGACGTTCGACGATAGCCAGCTGCCTCCTGGTACCATCGAACGAGCGCGCCGCGACGGAGGCATGCTACTTGATGATGACGATGACGACCTTGGGATCGATATGACTGACGGGGATATGAGCATCGAGAAAGGGCGAGACGCGCCCCCTGTCAGGTCTGCTGAAGAAGAATTTGGTGGAGCCTCGAAGCTCCTAGATGATGCGGATGATCTTAACATCAACTTTGACGATCCATTTGAGCAGCAAGATCCTGTACCTGACGTATCCGCGAATCTCGGTGATATCGACATGCCGGATGTTTTTGATGCTGGTCAACTCAACGACGAAGGGACAGGCCGAGCGCGAGAAAGCCTCTCTCCTTTATCATCAATCAACTCGGAGGTCGAGCGAGAATTGGAAGAGCACGCACAAGAAGATCATCAAAATCAAACAACAACCTTCGAGCCTTCTGCAGAGGAGGAGGAAGAAGAGGAGGAAGAGACGATTATAGTACCACAGCAAGCGAAGAAGCGGAAACTCCTACATCCAGATACCGACACAGAGCTTCGTGCTAGCTATATCAAAGCCATGCAAGATGATCGGTCTAAGATCCTCAAAGCCCCACAATATCTCCCCCGCGATCCTTTACTCCTGGCATTGATGAACATGCAAAAGAACGGCCAATTCGTTTCGAGCATTCTTGGCGAAGGTCGTAGTCTTGGCTGGGCTCCTGAACTCAGGGGAATTCTCTCTTTGGAAGTCGTCCGCAGGTCAGGCGATCTGAAGCGGAAGAGAGACAGCGGCATCGCGGATGTTGACCCAGAAGAAGCAGAAGAAGTACCCCAGATCGAACTAGAAGAAGAGGAAGATGATCTAGAAGCGCCGCCCCGACCTCTTGATATCGGAGACGAGAGCGTTCTTGCGCGGGACCCGTCTATTCATGAGATACCTGCGCAAGATGATCTTGCTATCCCAGAGACCGAGGAGTACACCGCTCTCCCTGACAATTTCGACGAAACGGCAATGCCATTGATCCATCCGGCAGATAGCGGACCCGTTTCTCTAGCCACTAAGCACGCAGTACATATGCTCCGTGAACAATTTGGAGAAGAGGCACAAACGAGTGCATCAGCGCGGCAAAAGAACAGCGTACTATTTCAGAACATGGTTCCCGAGAAGACCACCACGAGGGCAGACGCAACAAAGATGTTTTTCGAGTGTCTGGTTCTTGCGACCAAAGACGCAGTCAAGATTGAACAAAAGTCCAACAATCTTGGGGGCCCTCTCCGCATACGAGCCAAACGAGGCCTCTGGGGTGCATGGGCAGAAACTCAGGCTGGAGGAGAGATCGCGACACAGCAAGAGGCACAGGCTGTCTCTATGGAGTCATGAACGCTATCTTTGAAGGAGTCTGGAGTTCTTATGATTGAGTGGCATTTCACCGGCTTGAATAGCAACATCTGGAGAATGCTACATGATACCACGCGCCTTATTCTTGGTGGCGCAATTGTGGACAAGCGAATCTGTTACCGTCGATACTTCTCTAGGGTAGTGCACAAATTCTGATAGGCGATAGTCAGGATATTGGCATTATTATGTGTAGGCCCTGCAGGGTGTTTTGGAAATATGAAGAATTGGCCCCGGGGACGATAGTATTTTGGCGTCGAGTGTACCTTATGAATATTAGTCCATGTGCCAAAGCACATATGCTACCTTGTCTATGATAGTGGCATGAAAGCGAGAGACCAACGGCCACGAAACCCCATATTCGCAGACCTGTAAACGGTTGTAATATATCACGTGATATCTCGCCTCTTCTGAGTCACAAGTGAATTTTCTTGTACCCCATCCATGATAATGATATGATCTACAAAAATGCAATCAGAGCGTCACACAGCTTATCTAGACTCGTCAGGCAGACGATAGCCAAGCTAAGTCGCGTGCGCCGAATACCTCCGTCAACTTTCGTCATGATGAATGATGAACACGAGCATAGGAGCTTGGTGGAAGGAGTCAAAGGAGATGCCAAGACCAAAATTGTACCAGTCAATGTATCGTCAGTTGGACGCATAATTACTTCCGGGCGACAGAGCTCAGTTCTGGACGATTGGGAGATCAAATGGAATGATGGCTCCACTGACCTTCACAGGCTTCAAAATGCCGCTTCACAGGTTAGGCAGTCTGATATACCAGTCGCATTCCCCACTGAGACTGTCTATGGCCTTGGTGCCGATGCGACGAGGAGCGAAGCGGTACGTGGCATATTTGCTGCGAAGAATCGACCAGTCGACAATCCACTCATAGTACATTTTCACTCACTCAGTCAGCTGAGGAGGTTCCTCCCTTCAAGTACGGATGGCACTTCGGATCCTATCCCTGCGATATATAAACCGCTGATCGAAAACTTCTGGCCTGGTCCTCTGACGATTATACTACCCACTCGCGATGATGGTGCTCTGGCGTCTGAAGTTACAGCTGGATTAAAGACCTTTGGCGCTCGTATTCCTCGATCTTTCCTTGCCCTGGCACTTCTCAAGCTTGCAGATGTACCCATGGCGGCACCGTCTGCAAATGCATCTACAAAGCCTTCTCCGACGACTGCCGAACATGTCTTGGAAGACCTCGATGGACGTATACACACCATTCTCGATGGTGGTCCATGCTCTGTCGGAGTAGAGAGCACCGTGGTAGATGGCTTGAGCAGCCCACCAGCGATCCTGCGACCCGGTGGTGTGACTATTGAGCAGCTCAGAACCTGTGCCGGATGGGAAGATATAGTGGTTGGATACAAAGACAGCGCTACAATTGATGGTACTGCACCTCGAGCACCAGGGATGAAGTATAGGCATTATTCACCCAAAGCACCAGTACTGCTTTACGAAGCTGGCACAACACAGCCTTCTCAAGAAGAGCTGCTCAAGGCTACACGAAAAGGTTCAAAGCTCGGGATTATGAAAAGCATGATCTGGACGTCATATTCGAAATCCGGAGTGCAGACCGGAGACCCGGCGCCCAGTATTAAAATACAAGCAGAAACCACTCTGAGAGTCAGGGTATCCTCTGATTCTAAGATGAACTCATCGCAAACACTGGAAAACCTTCTGGACACCCTTCCGCCAGAAGACACACTTACTTGCTGCCGATACCCATTACCCTTGGAATCCACTATCGAAATCTTGGAGGTCGACCTAGGGAACACTCCTGAATCAATTGCGCGTGGACTCTTTTCTGCATTGCGCTTGCTGGACAGAAATGGCGTTGATACAATCTTCCTAGAGGGCATAGATGACACCTCGGGCGGTGAACTTGCAGCGGCAGTCATGAATCGTGTCAGGAAAGCAGCGGAAGTTGCTGTACGCTGACTGTAATACTGGAACTGCAAAGCATTAAAAAATTCATGTATGATAAGAGCGGAAAATTAGCATGTTCTATTTGAGGTATACCCGATTAGAGGTTTTGGAACTGATAAAACACTTTCTGCCTGCAGGACGGCGTGGGAACAAGGGTTCGTTTGTGTTGCAGATTTTCCTGTCTCTGATGATGTTCTCAGGCGTGTTTGACTGCTCACACAACAATCTCCTGGTGAAAATACATGCCATACCGTTCTCGGCTATGCGCACGAAGAATTATTACGGGCATCTCTTGATCTAGTCTTGAGGAGGGGCAAGCTTGACTTCGCCGAGCATGGTAGCCCTCGATTTCCTGATTCGGCGATACCTACCCGAGGACGGCGACCAAACACTGGTCTTATATATCCAACGTTACAACACCCTCGTCCCGACTTATTCACATCACGAACCGTCACATCCTGCGATTTATCTCTGGGTCAAGTAGCTTCTTGCTTTCAGTCCATTCCTCAACGCTCGAACTATCGAAGAGATATCCTTGTTTACCTCATCCTATAAAACAACCTACACAAACTCAGCTTCGACCTCATCGCATCATGTGCATGAAATCAACCTGCGATACCTGCCGTATGTCTCGCATGTGTCTTAACTCACGACAAATAGCTAACTATATACCAGACAAGTCCACCTGGTGGGGTTGTGGCAATCACATTCAGTCGGTCTTGTCCAGCATCCCTGAGTCTGACTGGTGCATCTGTTCTCCCAAAGTCGAAAAGGATGGCAAAAAGTACCCGCCCAAGGGAAATTCTGCGGATTGACTCCGTGCGCTCTCGTTCTGGAATTGGTGGGGTGGGACTAATTCCGGTTCGGTGTCAGAGCAAAATCGATCAAGATGAGTGTTATAGGCGTGGCGGCGTTGAATGTGCTGAAGGTGCATGCATATGAACAGGTGTATGGCGGCTGCAAATTGTTATAATGAGCTGTTCTTGACTGGGGAGTTTGGCTGAAATATGCATCTTGAGTTGGGAGTACTAGTCATGTCTGTGGCAAAGCTACCTTCGTGAAAGTACTTTCCAATCATTATCACTGTCGATACAGCCTTCTCATCAAGGAGGGACCATGAATGAATAAGATTCTCAAACAAAAGTTCCAAACGTACCCTCTTGCAAACCTGTCATTCCGTCACCTCAATACAGCAAAGTCGACTACAGCTTTGATTGGTCTTTCATGAAGGCTCCCAAGGTTGGTAGGCTGAGCAAGGCTACGAAACCCCAAACCAAGTAGTCGGACTCGGGCCGCTGCACAACCATGGGACTTGAATGGATACAATTGATCTGATTCGGGTTCCAGCAGTGTCCCCAGCGATGAGTTCACGGGTCCAGGAATAGCCCGACTTCTCCGCCACGTCCTAGTGGGTCCTGCTTAAACGCAACATAATATTGAACTCTTGCGCACGCAGCTACAAAGAAGTAAAGAATCCAATAGAGCACACGAAATGCGCTGTTGGAACCCCACGCTGAGGGTACTAGGATAGGGGTTAAACATAAGATATCCTTAGCCCAGCGACGATGGCTGTCCGTACGGCTATGTTTCGGATTCTTATCTCTTGCAGGCAGGCTAGACAGGTACCTGCAGACCCTCCACACGATGGTTCAAGGCATAGACCTGTTTCATTGTAGGGTGGTAGCAAAGACGACAACCAAAAGACTGCAGAGCGGAATGACACCAGCAAAATGAAGGACAAGAACGGCGTCCAATCATATTGTGGGAATAATTATGCCGAAGAAACAAGGCCGCCTTGCCAAAATGTTCGGAATATATCGTTCTCATGCGCTTGAAAGTGTTCAAGGTCATCGAGCATCCATATATGAAGACTATTGACGCGCATGGTGCCTGGAGGTCGATCTGGTCTGGTCTCGGATAGAAGGGCTTGTCTTGTCTTTCTCTCAACATCCATTGTGTAAACCAATACCTACATACCCTACGCCGTGGCCTTACGCTAACCCCAATGGCAGCGGCCCCTTCGCAGGTCGCACCAATCAGAGGCGCGAAGCTCACTGTGAATGTCCAAGCATCTTCAGCGGTTATTATTGCTTTCATCCACCACACTTCACTCGCCCTGTCCTACTTTCGAGCCGCAAGCGAATGAAAGGGCCGTTGGAAGAGATCGTTGGAGTCGAATTTTCATAGACGACGCTCACTGGGTCCGGAATCCTCCTGTTCGTCTCTACTGCCTCGACAATCACAGCGCTTCCAGCAATCACAGCGCTTGCGCCTATTTACAGTGTCGCAGTTATTTACCCCACCACCCGTGGACCGTCTCCTCTTCCCCCCCCCTTCGACACACACCCCGCGGCACAGCAGAGCGCAGTGCATGCAGCTCTTTTCTTGCTTCATTCCCGCCTCTGCGCCTTGCGCTTCGGTATGTCTATTTTCGGCCCTGGCATTTCGCCAAACTACCGCAGCTTCTATCAGCTTATACTTCTCACTTATTGTCCATGTCGCAAGCGCTAACTACTGTTTCACCACCACAGTTTGATCAGGGCCTCGAAACAAAGCACTCGGCCTCGCCTACTTGCCCAGCCTACCATTAGCGAGTCCTCCCCGAGTTCACTCGTCCTCCAAACTTGCGTCAAGATAGTATCGAGTCCTCCATCTATCACTCCACTCCAAGCACAGGCCATAATCCGCCGACGAAGCCCAAGGCTCGGTTCCTCCTTACGCATAAACATCGACACTCAAACCATACACTACCATCTTGAATGCAAGAGGAGGTAGAGTCTACAGACACTCGAAACTTCCAGTGAGTCTCGCAACAGTCAAAGGAGCATCGGACCGACAAACTCCTATTGACGTCCTCCGACGAGTCTCTAGCAGTTGCTGTCCTTATAAAGTAGCCGGTATGTGTGCATCATGCAACCCGTCGTGTGCGATAGCAAAAGCAACCATACATGCGACTTGATGTGATGCGGTGCCTTTTGTCAAGGTATGACGAATAAAGGCACCTGTCAGACGCATGGGACAATGGTTGCAAGCGTCATGAGCTCGTCTAAGTTGAGGTCCAACAAAGAGGTCCCTTCACAAGTCTAGATGCTACACCTACCCTGATTGGGGCTGCACGGCATTCCTCAATAGCCCTCTTCACCGGTGTTGCCTCAAATGACCACTTGCACTCTTCTAGAATATGAGCTGACCAAAAGGCAGTAGTACAAACTCTACAACCTCTCTCTGTTTCGCTCATCCTCGCTCAACCTTCATACCTCTTCATACCTATCTATCGGCCCTCATTTGCTGCTTGACAGCTCCTTGTCAGAATGGCACAGCGAAATCCCACCCAAGGTAGCTCAAGAAAGATCTCCTTCAACGTGTCCGAGCAATACGACATTCAAGATGTTGTGGGTGAAGGCGCATACGGTGTGGTCTGGTAAGCTTCATTTCTGTGCCTGATCGACTAGTCTTGAAGCGCATGCTGATATCCCTCTACAGCTCTGCTCTACACAAACCTTCTCAGCAGAAGGTAGCGATCAAGAAAATCACCCCTTTCGATCACTCCATGTTCTGTCTTCGCACTCTGCGTGAGATGAAGCTACTCCGATACTTCAACCACGAGAACATCATTTCCATACTGGATATACAGAAACCTCGTAATTATGAGACATTCACTGAAGTCTACCTCATTCAGGTCGGAACATCTCCAAACAACCTTTGACAATTTGTGCTGACATAAACCAGGAGCTGATGGAAACCGACATGCACCGTGTGATCAGAACTCAGGAGCTTTCAGATGATCATTGTCAATACTTCATATATCAGACTTTGCGTGCTCTGAAGGCCATGCACTCTGCTAATGTTCTTCACCGCGATCTCAAACCATCAAATCTGCTCCTCAACGCGAACTGCGACTTGAAGGTTTGCGACTTCGGTCTTGCTCGTTCGGCTGCATCGACTGAAGACAATTCTGGCTTCATGACCGAATATGTTGCCACAAGATGGTACCGTGCACCAGAGATCATGCTTACATTCAAGGAGTACACGAAAGCGATCGATGTGTGGAGTGTGGGTTGCATTTTGGCAGAAATGTTGAGTGGAAAGCCTCTGTTTCCAGGGAAAGACTGTAAGCCAAAACATGCAACAGAGCAACCGTACGCTGACCGTCTCAGACCATCATCAACTAACTCTGATCCTTGATGTCCTCGGCACACCAACCATGGAAGACTATTACGGCATCAAATCACGTCGCGCGCGCGAATACATCCGCTCGCTACCATTCAAGAAAAAGATTCCGTGGAAGGCCATGTTTCCCAAGACATCTGATCTCGCGCTGGACCTGCTTGAACGTTTACTCGCATTCAACCCAGTGAAGCGTATTACGGTGGAAGATGCATTAAAACATCCCTACCTAGAACCATACCATGATCCTGAAGACGAGCCAACCGCTGAGCCGATTCCGGAGGAATTCTTTGACTTTGACAAAAATAAAGACAATTTGACCAAGGAACAATTAAAAAGTAAGCACAGGCACACCATATCGTACACCCCGTCATACTGACCACTGCTAGTGCTTATCTACCAAGAGATCATGAGATAGATTACGAGTTGAGCACAGGCCGATTGCATAGTGTTTCCAGCAGTTGATCCATGGTGATTGCATCTCAAGGATTGACACTAGCACGGCTTTTCAGAATAGCTATGTTATGGTAGAGACCTTATCAATGTTGGGGGATGCGGCGGTGGTTGCACTGCATTGAATACTGGCCATCTTCTGGATTGTACTGGTCAGTTGGGAAAACATTACAGGATTCAAATTTCATGGTCATATGAAGGCAGTTGTGGGAACCCTATTTTACGGCACTAACGGCCTTCAAGAGCGAGAGCTAAATCTCTCTCATCTTCTCTCAGCCTACTGTCTTCCAATACATAGACTAGCATTTTCAACGATGCCATCTGACTTATAAAGCAGTCTATTGGGTTTGTATCGTGCATTGCGATCCATGTATATATACATCCTCCCTTCGACAAATATTCTACACCTGTCAATGCAATACCCTCCAGATTCAATATATACACCCAATCTACCTTCCCCACCCTACCTTCTCAATCGCAACTCCCATCCCTCCACCCGGTCCGCCACCTCTCCTCCCACCGCGCACAATCAAACCTCTCCTTCCCGAGCTTCTCATTCACCGCATTATGCGCATCGCACATCCAGCGCCCAAACTCATCCCGACTGCTGACCCGCGGCGCGTTGCCCGGCCGCCGCATCCAGGCCTGGAAATCGTCCGCGCACACCCAGCATGGATACAGCTTTGCGAATGTGCGGATGAACGTTGAGGTCTCGGATTGCAGGGTGGGCGAGGGAGAGGCTGGGTAGGCGCCCGTTATGCTGTGTAGGAGTGTCCAGGTTGAGCGGCCGAGCTGGTCGACGTCGGGCGGGCAGGTGGAGAGACTTGAGGGTGTTGTTTGGGATGTTGTTGGGTGTGCGGAGGATGATGATGATGCTACTGCTGCTGCTGTGGTGGGGTTCGTAGTTGTGGATGCAGTTGCACTCGTCGTTGTATTCGTCGAGTGTTTAGCACGCTGCGTCAGGGCTTTCCAGCTTGCCGCCGATGTGCAAGTGCGGCAACTATGTACGCGCAGCATTAGCAACACTGTCTCAAATGCACATATTATACATCAGTGGGCTGCAGAGTAACAACGTACGGCTTCCCATCGGGCCCTAGGACAACTCCCTTTGGCAACTCCTTTGCCGTAGAAGCGGCTTGCGCTGCGGCTTCGCGCTGCTCAGGCGTGGCATCGAGGGGTTGAGGTGGCATGCCGGTGGTGGATTCGACGGCGCAGAGGAAGCGGGCGAGAATGGGGAGGTCTAGAGATGTCACCGGCATCTCAGTCGGACAAGGAATGAGGTTCGCGACTGAGGCATCAAGGTTGGTTTATCGATTGCTAATACGTTGAAGGTCTGTGCTGTGGGTAGGAGCTGCTGTGGCGGCAGCTTGGAGCTATCTGCATTCGGACGGCTATCGGAATCCATTGGTAAGGCTGATATGGATCTTCGGCTCGGCTATTGACACAAGACAACGTCTGTACTGTGCGGTTGACATTCTTGTGTCATTATGATCCTGAAGGAACCACCATGAGTGTAGAGAAGACGCATATCTCGGTCCCAGTATTGCTACTGAAGACCAAATCTACTCCTGCGGACGGATATGAGGAGCATTTCAATGCGTTGGATGATGGAATATATCAGCCCATATTCATTCCAGTGCTCGAGCACCAATTCAAGAAGACTGTATTAAAAGAGGTGCAACAACTGATTGAGACAAACGCTTTCTCAACGTCACCGAGCCCCAAGTATGGAGGCCTCATATTCACATCCCAACGCGCCGTCGAAGCATTCGCCGAAATCGTGCAAGCCATCCGCACTTCCTCCACAGTCGATCTCGACACTCTCCTACCGTCCAGCCTACCGCTTTACGTCGTTGGACCGGCAACCGAACGCGGACTGAAGTCCCTCAATCTCCACTGCCCCATCCTGGGCCAAGAAACCGGGAACGGTGATGCCTTGGCCCAATTCATCCTCGACGACTACAGCAAACGCTTCCCTCAACCCGCCAAACCAGCGCTCCTATTCCTCGTCGGCGAGAAGCGGCGCGATATCATTCCCAAGACGCTCTCCACCGCATCCATGACTGTAACAGAGCTCGTGATCTACGAGACGGGCGAGATGGCTTCATTCCGGTCCGAATTCACGTCGGTCTGGCAAACCCACCGGGAACGAGGCGTGACGACGCAATGGGTCGTTGTATTCTCGCCGACCGGCTGTAGAGCAATGCTGGAGAGTTTGGGGCTTATTGACGCGGACTTGGGTAAGGCGAATCCACTGAGTCTGATGAGCAGTGCGGAGAAAAAGCAAAATATGTATATTGCTACGATAGGCCCCACCACAAGGGACTACCTGCGGGCGGAATTTAGTCTAGAGCCGGATGTATGTGCGGAAACGCCAAGTCCGGAGGGTGTGGGTGCTGCGATTGCGGCGTTCATGACGAGGTTATGAGCAGTGCAAGTGCATACATGTCGATGGCAGTGAGACATCATCTACAAACAGAATGGAGTGCCCTTGCACAATACGAGCATCCGAAATAGGCTCACGTGAATACGCGACTTGATATATCCTGTTCGGGGATCGCGTCGATCGTGGACGCGGGTGAGCGATGGATGACGTCTACGTTTTTGTGACGTGCACGCGTATAGTTGTACGCGACAAAGCGTTACGTATATGTGCCATAAGTATGACTTGATCGGAACTGCAGCGGGCAGAATCAATTGACCTACAATTAACTCCTCGACTTTTGAAATAATACAACATTTTCTATTTTCACAGCTGGTCGGTGATACTTATTCCTACGATGTCCGCAACAAGATCAGGACGTAGTGACAAGACGTCCCAGGAAGCCAATGGCGCTTCCACAGGTGATAAACGCAAGATTGATGATGCATCGTCTTCTGAACCACCAAAAAAGGCCCAGAAAAGTCTCGAAGAAACCATGCCTGCGCTCGAAAAAAGCAATGGAGGTAAGGATACAGCCATTCAGGACGAAGAAAATGCCAAAGGCGCCGACAGCGCCAAGGAGTCCCGCGACGCTGAGGACGACAATGAGGAGGACAATCAGATGAAGACTGAAGACCAACCTCAAGTCAACGAAGAGCAAAAGCCAGAACCCAAGAACGAAACCAAGGATACAACATCCTACACCCCTCCCTCGACCCTCGCTTCCGCCGCAGCCATAACCCAACCCTCCTCGCGCGCAGCATCCATGCCCTCCAACATCCTCGAAAAAGGCATAATATACTTCTTCACCCGATCGCGCGTCGGCATCGACAACCCCGAATCCGCCTCCGATCTCCAACGCACCTTCTTCGTCCTCCGACCCATCCCCCACGACGCCAAAATCACCTCCGGCGCCCTCTCCGACTCAACCAACAACCGGCTCTTCGCACTGCCGAAGAAGACGTTCCCGAAATCGCACTCGGACCGCTTCATGGCGTTTGTCGAGAAGGCGGGGACCAGCATTGCGGATCTCAAGGAGGAGTTTATGGCGGGGAATACGTATGATACGAAGACGCAGGGGACGCGTGGGACGCCTGCTGTGAGCGCCGTGGGCGAGGGCGTGTATGCCGTCACGCAGACGGGGCGCACGACGCACCTGGCGTATATGCTCACGGTACCGGAGGACGTGGGCGAGGTGCAGCGGGAGCTGGGCATACGGACGCAGGGGAGTTGGGCAGTGAGTGTGAAGAATCCGGCGAGGAAGGGGCCGGCGAATGCGACTTTGGATCAGGGACCGGAGTGGCCAAAGGAGTGAGTGGGCATGGTTTGCTGTGTTGGAAGTGTTGCTGACCAGTATTCCAGGTTTGTGGATGAATTCAGAGGGCTGGCGTGGGCGCCGGTGAAGATGAAGTATTTGGACTACGCGAATGTGCAGATTCTGTTGATTGGAGAGGGAGGGGAGGATGGACTTGGTGGTGCAGTAGAGGCTACCGAGAAAGACCAGAAAGATGAGGAGAAGGAGACACCACGGGAGGAATTGGAGAAGCTAGAGCACGAGGACGAGTTGAGAGTTGACAAGCTCGATGGTATAATTCGACCCTCTTGCCAAATACTACATACAACCAATGAGCTGACTTTTGCTAGGGGATGACTCGATATTCGGTGATCTCGGAATCAGCAAGAAAGACTATGGTCTGCTTACCAAGTGGTAGGCCTATCAATGAATGTTTCGATGCATGCATACGGCGATCCCCAGATAGCACAGCCGACACTGGCTGTTCTGTGACAACTCGATAGCAAGTTGATCCTGATGGATTTGTAGACAGTTGATCATCAACACATTTGGAACTGATCATGGGACCACAAGTAGTTGAGAAGGCTTCAGGGCCAGACAGTTAAGCGGGATGTGTATTCGGCAACTGAAAACCCAGAACCACGCAAAGATAGTAATATGTGAATCGTCAAAGGTACTAGAGATCTGTCTGTACTACCTCAACCCTGGCGCCTTGCTTTGAAAAGTTTAGAAATATCTATTAGAAGTCACGGTCCAAGGGAGTCAGGGCCAAAATTAAACACACAAAGAAAACAAAGCTTATCTGAGGTTTGTAAACAGACGAAGTCCAGAGTGAACATACCTCCAGCAACTGATCGACGGGCCATTATGCAGCCAAGCCTCCGATTCTGCCACTGCCCGCATCTGGGGTCTCAATAGGACCTTCTATGGGCTACTCAACGGCGGCCAGCATGAGCTTGCATATGCTCTCGAGTCCAGAAGCAGTGTCACGAAACACTTGACTAGTTACAGAAGTAGTCACGACACCACCAGACTCGTATGTCCATGAGTGGTGACTTGAAAGTCCAATCCCCTGTCGTCTAGTACATATTTTCAGTGCCACCCAATTTTATTGACGTGCAGATGTTTGCAGTGATGGAACAACCAACGCGATCAGTGTGCGACGTTAGCATCGGCTTCACTTACTCCACAGAAGAGGGAGCCTACCGGATTGAGGAGTACGTCGGGGTCGTGGATAAGGCCCAGAGCTTCGGAAGTACGAAGTGAGCGCCTAATGATCGTCCGCGTGATAGACTGGAGGTCAAATTGAAGTCCGATGAGCAGGGTCATGACGTGGGTGGAGCAAGTAGATACTATTGGTTGGATGGCGCCTCACGTGTGAATTGAGGTCGAGATGGCGTTGGACGGTGATGATACGAGGCAGGATTAGCCATCAGATTGCTAGACCATCTGCGGTCGCAGAGGAATAGCACGCCCCTGATGTCCAATATTCCAGCGTTGAAAGTGGATGACGGCAGCATGAACGAGTGGCAGCCTCTAGGGCACCAGGGAAATTGAGTATCTCGACAAATGCCTTTGCCAATCGTAACTGAGGTACAGATCGCGATATAACGACAGCGAATAGGCTTGTGGTAGTCGTTCCATAGACTGGACAGGTTATGGTATTCTTAGCTGTGGTCGACGATAGATTATTCGGTTGGTTCCGAATAAGTATGTCGTGGGCGTGGGCTAGAGGGTGTACATCCCTGGCAGAAGTCCACTACGTTCGGGATTAACGCATCTGTTGCGCCCGTCCCGATCGAAGCAGCCGCCTTACATCGAAGAAACCACCAGACGCCAACACCAGACATCGAAGATGAAAAGTGCCCATAACCTACCTGAATGGCGAGCAACCAGACGACGAGCTTTGAGATGCCTTGCTTGACAAGACGTTTGCAGATGGTGAGAACGCGTCAAGACGCGTGGACAAGCTCAGTCTGCCCATTCTGCATCCCACGAAAACGTTGGTTGTTGGTACCGAAGAAGGTACTTGCGGTACCAGATCCAAGCATCGGCATCTGTGTGCAGAGTATGATTACAAACAATGCAATGCAGGGTGGTATTGAAGTAAATGGGCTCACACCGCATATAATGGACACATCGTCGTCCGCCACGCTTTTGAGGTTCAGAACCTCGTCCACGGTTCCTCTAGAGAATTGACGCGCGCGAGACTGACGCGTGGACGCGTCAATTCTAGCCGGATACGGAATGGACGGACGCGCCTCATGGGCTTCACTTGATGCGACCCTTGTGAGACAAGCAAAGCAGCTCGAATGGTGGCAGAAACGGCTGCATGATTAGCACTTCTGGCGACGTTACACAGATGTGGTAGGTCTTCGAGTCTTGTTGCCCACGATGCTGGGCGTGCTGTGATGCTGGCAGAGGTCAATTGGACGTGCAAGCCAGCCGTCCAACGCAGAGTCGGACGTGCGTCGAACCTTGAAGACGACGAGGAATGAGAAGCATTGAGGTGGAGACTTTTGGCAGTCTCTGCATCCCATAATCCATACGCGGACCATGTTGAGGACCGAGTGCAAGATGTGGGACCATGATCAGGACCAGACCACGACCAGATCAAGGACCCTTAACCAAACATCCAAACGTCTTTTGTCGTGAAATGTGTGAATCGTGTTGGATGCGGTGAGAGTACCCTCGCGGCCATTGCGTGGAGTCGTGGGTCTTGCACGCACAGCTTCACACAACCAGCCTTGACACAGCTGGGCTTTCCTTGCGCGGCACTCTTGTGTGCTGCAGGGGCTTCAACGGCGCCACCCCATGCCCATGGTCGCATAGCAGCGAGTATCAGAGCCGACTGGAATTACAAGAGTTTTGTCGCAAATGGATGCGGTTAGCAAGAGAGCACCTGGATAGGTAGCGGTAGCGGTAGCGGTAGGCCATACATAACTTAGGTAGCCCGAGTCCATGCGCGCCGGCTAACTAAGCGGTGTAAGTGGTTAGTTGGGTGTAGGGGTAGGGGTAGGCCAGTTAGGTCTGTCTGTGGGCTAGCGGCTCCGCTACTGCTCCCGCATTCCTTTGCTCGCCTCGTCGCTCGTTCCCTCCCTCACAAACCTCACAACTTTCCACCACCATCTGCCCCGTCCAGCCTCCTCTCTCCTACATCCACCTCCAGACGGCCCACCGCCCCTCTCCAAGAGAAGGCCCGTTGCAACCTCCATATTGCTCTTGATCATGTCACGATAGAGCTGTATTGTCAACCTCGCGCGATCTGTCTTGCTCTGGTCTCGCGCCAACACGTCCCGCCTCCATCGATCGTCTTGCTCTGCCCGGTTCCCTTTACAGTTGAGCAATCCGATACCGTTTGACGACATGAATTCTTGAGAAGCAACCTGACTACCACCTCTCGACTACCCACGATACACCTCCATCTCTCGGCCATAGCAAACGACGTGCGCGCCAGTCCAATATTGGCTGCTGCCTACTGAATCCGCTTTCAACGCCCAGCCACCACATCGACTTCCCTTTGTTCTTCTCCCAACACTACACAATCCCACTACCATACCAGTCGCAGGGCCACTTCGCTCTTCGAACGGCTATATATCGGACCAAACGGTAAACAAACAAACAATCAAGAGTCCGATAAACATCCGGGGACGAGCGTCTTGCATCAGGTCCGATCAATCACTTCCGCAGATCACAATTCTCCGACCAACTCTCCACACCTCTCACAATGTCTTTTGAACGTGCCCAGATGTCCATGCCACTTCCAAGAACACTTCCGCGCAACTTCACGTTCCATTATACCGATGGTCAACCTAGGACACCGGAACCGCAACAGTCCTCCGAAGCTGCGAATGAGCCTCCACGATTGCCCAAACTCAAAATTACTCGCAAGCGACCCATTCGTTCCAATCTTCCAAGCTACGATGTCAATGCTATCTCGCACGATGTTCCAATTCCCAGCATCGAGACCACCGAAGTTCCTGCTGGCTCATCTTTCTCTAACATTGATCGGCCGGAACTTATAGCAGGCTACCTTCAACCGGATGCCATCTATCACCGCTTCACCTCGCCCCCAAAGACGCCAGCGGCTCAGGTGGTGCCTGAGTTTCTGAGCTATGGTGCAGCTTGCGAATGGGCGGAGAGCGATTCCATGAGTCAAGGAGAGAGTATCAGTCGGCCGTCGTCCTCGTGCTCAGGATTTTCCGACTCCTCGTCTTTTTCTTCACTCTCATTTGGCGACAGCTGTACGAGCCCCGAGGACGACTGCGCGGATCCGTTTTTCTCTTACAGCACCACACCTCTAGATTCATCGGCCAACCCCCAATCCAATTACTCGCGTGCCCCAAAGCGCAAGGCACCGAAGCATATCTTTACGGAGGATATGGATCGACATCTTTGGTTGACATATATGCGATATCTGCAAGACCCAACCGTTACACCTTTTAAGATGCTTCCAAGCGTTGCGCCTCCTCTTGGAGTCTGCACACGTGTCGCTCGGGAGGCAAAGAAAACCTGGAAAGGCACTCGCTTGTCGTCCCTGCGGAAGGGAATATTCCACAAGCCTCAACCTCTCGGTTCGTCTCTAGCGGCTAAAAGTGGCAGTAGCACTCCCACCACCTGCCCTTCGACCAACAAGCCTATCGGAAATTGGCCGCGGGAGAATGGCATCGCCAGGAACAGATTGCGAGAGCTGACGAAGAGTAAGCCAACACTTTCAGCGCATTACACTCGTCTCGTCAATTGCCGGACCCCTTCGCCTTTCCCGTCCTCGCGCCAGACGAGTTTACAACCCAATTCAGGCCGTGGAACTCCTCCTGTACAAGATGTGTCAACATCCTTCGCTCGTGACATGAATGTCTCGCTCGTTGCAAGCACCGCGTCCTCGATGCAGTTGGGCAATCCACTTTCTCAACTTGGTACCGAAGATCACGCTGGTGCATCTCGCTCCGAAGAATCTTTCGGTCAGTCTGTGGCTCGGCCTTCAGTCTCTCATCAGAAAAGCCAGTCTCTGCATATAGGTTCACAGATCGACCACAGCCTTTCAACAACGAGCAACCAACGATCTCTCCGCTCTCCGTTCCATGAACGTGCACAGCGCTCAGGACGCCGCAGCACTTCGTACCGTCGCAACAAGAACAATGGTTCTACATTCGGGCCGCCTCTAGATGTACGGGCTCCTATTTCCCTCAATCGCTCATTCAAGCGTCGAGCTCAAAATCAACTCGACAACGCAACCTCACCACATCGTGAAATCGTCCTCCAGGAGCTGTTCGGCACTCCTGCTGAGATCAGTCATCGTCGTATTCGAAGTCGGGGCTTCAGTCTTGGTGACATGAGCGACGGACGGCATCTCTCCTCCTTATTTACCCCACCACCACCTTTACAACGGACACTCGAAACCACGTTTTGGCAAGCTATTACCCCACAGGAAATATCAAACTCCTCGATGCCCCAACATCCCGCTACCATCCGACTAGGATCTCCGTTCGGAGGGAGGTCTAGCAATGTTCATTTCAACACATTCCCGAGAAGGAACCTTACCTCTCAGCTTTTTGAGCCAACAACTTCTTTCGAGGATCGCCTCGGCAACATAAGATAGATATCCTCTAGTCTCACGAGGAAAATCGCATTTACGGCGTCTTGATGCATCTAAAATTGTCCCATGGGTCCGCATAGCCACTCACAATGACTGCACATAGTAAGCAGCCTTTGCTTCGACAGCATTTTCATTTCTTTCATTTCTTTCATTTCTTTCATTTCTTTCATTTCTTCTATTACCACTATAGTCTGGCGCTTTTGAGATACTTCATGACTATGACGAAAGCCACGAATGACCAGCGAATATTAGCGCCATCTGGTTTGCTTCTATCATTGTAATTCGAAAGCAAAGGGACGTCTGACTTGGATCCTTGCGCACAGGGTTATTTCTATTTTGTCCATGAAGCCAAGAACATCAAATTGGTGTTCACTTTTGATATATGATTGGGGTGGCCTGTTTCTTTTTACTGTACCTCTTCTTGCTTATTTTCTTTTCGTTTCATGACGACATTTCACGATTATGACGGATTGCGGATGATTACGCACTTGCTAATAATCGGACTTCTTCGCTAACCGGGCGACTTTGCTCTTTGTATCTAAACCTTGCAGCATAATCCTGAAATTAAACTACCTTAACCAACAATTTGCTCGTTCATAAGAACAGTTAACATATCATCTTTGCAAAATAAACTGCCCTCCATTCCGCGGGCATTAATCAGTCTTGTGTTTTGTCTTCACCACACGCAATACCATCCAGTATTCACGCTGGTGGATCAAGCAAAGTGCCCCTCTGTCCATGCGCGGGAGCTCCGCGATTTGCCCCACGCCTCGCTAATCGATACGCAACCAGCGCGTCGTAGAGCTGCCAGATATTTTGAGCGAACAGAAGGGTTCCGTGATTGTTACTGTGCATCTTCGTCATAGCTCCCCTTTCTCCTAGAACTATGGCGTGCAAACACGTCGATTCCCCTGGTACATTTCATAAAGCTATGAAGCGCAGTGGTGTCGCTAATTCTGCGTTCCAGACCTTTGTCCTCCTGGCCCAACGCAGTCCGTTTATCGCGAAGATTGTACGCAATGCTTCGATTCTATCGTAAGACTACGTACTCTGAAGCTTTACGATATCCTTTGGAGATTTGAACTGACTGTGGTATTACACCAGGATGACCCAACCGGACTGGACGTTTGTTTATATTGCTACAATGGCGGTTGCACTGCAGATCGGTCGCACGCTCGTCTTCACTGCGAAACGTCGAAACATCCTCTAGTCGTAAACATCAAGCGCACAAGAAAGATTGTAAAGCGAGATGAGCCTCCGCAAAAGATGTCTAGGTTAGCTATAGCTGCAGAGACTGAGAACGACCGCTACGACACTGTTACGAGAGTGAAATGTTATGAATGCGGCATCGAGGACGTGGATACAAGCTTGGGGAAGCTCTCTCAGGTTGTAGATGGAGTACTCAAGGCAAATACATTCGCAAAGCAAGAGGAGGTCAAAGCCTGGGAGCAAGAACTCACAGCTTGTGAGCATACCTTATGTCTAGAGCAAGAAGCGGCACGACAGATCCAGTCTGGCGACCTTGGACACTGTTCTGCGTGCGATCTCAAAGAGAATCTATGGCTCTGCTTACAATGTGGTAACCTTGGGTGTGGTCGCGCTCAATTCGGTGGCATTGGTGGAAATTCGCACGGTCTGGCCCATAAGGATACTTCTGGACATCCCGTGGCAGTGAAACTTGGATCTCTCACTGCCGACGGGACTGCTGATATATATTGTTACACCTGCGATGATGAGCGGATAGATCCTGAGCTTCCGAACCATCTCGCACACTGGGGCATCAACATTAAGGACCGCCAGAAGACTGAAAAGAGTCTTACAGAGATGCAGATAGAGCAGAATTTGCGATGGGAGTTCTCGATGACTACGGAGGATGGTAAAGAGATGACGCCTTTGTTTGGCCCTGGATTCACTGGACTGAAGAACCTGGGCAACAGCTGCTATCTTGCTAGTGTTCTTCAATGTCTTTTTGACATGCCCGAGTTCAACAAACGGTTCTATCACCCACACGAGAAGCCTCCCTCAACACCCACCCCTGCTGAAGACCTTGAAACACAACTGTGCAAAATCGCTGACGGTCTGCTATCTGGCCGATATTCCAAGCCAGACAGCGACGTCACAGTCTCGGAACAGAGTCCGGAAGTACCACATCAGAAGGGCATAGCACCAGCAATGTTGAAACACCTCATCGGACGCGGACATGCGGAGTTTTCCACCATGAGACAACAAGATTCGTTTGAGCTGCTTCTTCATCTGCTAAAACAAATCTCTCGCACGCAACATGTTGCACCTTTTCAAGATCCCGTGGATTCGTTCCGGTTCACCATGGAGCAGAAGCTTCAGTGTCTGGCCTGTAAAAGGGTAAAGTATCAGACAGAAGAGTACGAAAACATTTCAATACCAGTACCCATTCGACGTATACCACGAGATACTAAGATGGATGCCGTAGACAGCCAGGGCAAAGATGTTGACAGGGAAGAGTTCGAGCCTGTTTCCATCAAGGAATGCCTGGATACCTTCACAGCGCCCGAGGTAGTCGAATTGACGTGCGCATCCTGTGGAAGTAAAGACGGCTTCACTAAACAAAGTCTTTTCAAGACCTTTCCGCAGGTTCTTGCAATAAATGCTCGCCGATTCGAAATTGTCAACTGGGTACCTACGAAGCAGGATGTCCCGGTGGTCGTGGATGACCACTCGTTCCCCTTAGATGCCTATAAATCGAACGGTCTACAGTCGACAGAGGAGCTACTCCCCGAGGGCAATGCCAGCGGTAGCGCTCCAGAGTTTGTTCCTGACAATGCAGCGATGGCCTCACTGTCGGCAATGGGATTCCCTGAGGTTCGTTGCGCCAAAGCACTGCATGCTACAGGTAATTCCGACGCGGAGGCTGCAATGAATTGGCTCTTCGCACACATGGAAGATCCAGACATTGATGAGCCCATGGATCTCATACCGGCAGCAGAAGCTGCCACAGGGACTGGCTCAGTCATCGACCCTGAGAAGATTGAGTCACTGGGCGCAATGGGCTTCAACGCACCGCAAGCACGACAAGCATTGAAAGAGACGGGAGGTGACATGGAACGTGCAGTAGACTGGCTGTTCAGTCATCCTGACGCTGCCGGCGATTTCGGAGATGACACGGGTGATCAGGTGAGAAATATTTTCTAAACAAGTAGGTCACGCGTAACACATGACACTGACAATCACTATAGAGTAATGCAGGGCCAGATGGAACCAAGGAAAGGGTTGTTCCTGGAAATGCCACGCTTCCAGCCAACTTCCAGCTGCAATCCATCGTATGCCACAAAGGGTCGTCGATCCATGCAGGGCACTACGTAGCGTTCGTTCGCAAAGAGATACCGGGGGAGAACAAGTCCTCTTGGGTACTGTACAATGATGAAAAGGTCGCTAAAGGGGCGGATGCAGAGGAGATGAAGAAGTTTGCCTACATCTACTTCTTTAGACGCGTGTAACAGTGTGCGATTAATGCAATGATACACTTCCAGGTTGATCAGTGATGAAGGTATGATGTAGTAGTATGAAGCATAGCAAGGCGCAAGTTGGCGGGCAGCGGTTGATGTTGAGAATCCATCACCTCTGATGAGCTGATCAGAGGGTCGTCTCTAGGTATTCATGTAGCGAGATCATAATCAGATACACAACCTCGCAAATCATGCACATCGATTATTGAAGCATTCTTCTGAAGCAGTTTGTTCCTGCACTTTCTATGCTGTCTGTGCAAAAGCCTCGCAACGCCGTCCATAGATAGTAATTATGCTTAGGAAGCAACTCACCGCATGGCCGTCTCGTGGCCGGACAGTGCGACCATGCTTAAGAATTAAGAATATGGATGGCAAGGCGAATGTCAACAGTGCCTAGTGGAAAGAAGGTATCCCGAAATAGAAGTCCGGAACGGACGGGAATAGAATTTTACCACATCGACGGTCTGCAGCGTGAGCCCTGCATGCTGACCGCTGGCTGGCTGAGTGAGCCAATCCCACGCTGCAAGACCCGGCGTTTTACGTTGAAAAATCTGCTCCAGGAGCCTCGACTGAAAGGGGTTATGAGTGCGGTCATTCTCTGGCCATGTATTGATCCAAAAGGGTTGGAATTGGAGTGACAACTCTAGGTTCATCTTCGTATGGATACGGATCTATCTGCCTCGCCGCTCGCGTAGGTGCGATCTTGTCGGACTATCCAACACTCGGACTATCCATCATCTTATATGCCCCTTCTCGTCAAATCATGTCTCGTTGCTATGCACTGATCAGCGACCTTCACACCGGTCCAAGATTGTTCTACTGTTTTCTGAGAGGTCGTTCTCGTCACGATGTGTCAATGTTGATGCTCGAGGCTGCCTGAGGCCCTATATTAAATGCGATGTATGCTTCTGATTTGTTGAGAAGTTGACCGCCTCGTGACCCTGTGCACGCGAGTGCTTCCAAGGTTCCTTGGTCTATGAATGATCTACGGCTCAGGTAAGTTCCACGCCTACGGATACACGTAGTTAGATTTGTTTGAAACAGTCCGAATAGTAGACACGCGGGACTTTTAGGAAAGTCCCAGTGGGGCATTATTCAACGAGTCCGACGCTTACAACTTGTAAGTCACTGGAGCAGGTTTAGCGTTGGAGTACAAGCATCAACACAAGGAATCTCATTCATTACGTGCTCGACTCGACTCGACTCGCCTCACCTCACCTCAGCCATCCTCGACTCGCCCTCAATCTCTGCCTTCGACACGGTACCTCGTTACCAGCCTTCGTTGTGTTGCTGTATATGTTCCAGTCGTGGCCGCGAAAGCATTCTCGCAGCTCTACGGCGCTTTTCTGTGTCAGACCCCCAACGCATCATTACGCTTGGCCCGCAGCACAGTCCAGGGGGTCCCCTATCGCATCTCAGATAAGGTCCCGACATCCACGCCTTACTCAAACGGCCCGTCTAGCCATCTAAACGTCAGCATCAGTGTCAGTATATACACACGCTCACATCTTCCTCTGCAACTCCTACTGCATTCTCCTCGATTAAGTATTGTTCTACCATCATGGCATTCCGACAGCACATGGCACGGCCGCAGCCCCGCTTATCCTTCCCCGCGTCTGCACCACAACAGTCCCAGTCGGCCGCCGACCAGGGACCGATTGCGTCGCCTCTCCGCAAACATGCCCTAGAGGATTCAGAAGAATGGGTACTATTCACTCCTGTAGCAGAGAGTACCATCGCACATACACACACAACATCGACGGACCGCACTCGGACCGCCGGACTGTCACGTCTGAGCGACTTTGGCAGCTTAGATACCGCAGCACGCTCCGATCAGCAAGACGAGTACGACGATCAACACACAGAAGGCTCAGACAGGGAGGATGACGACCATGATCTCGACAGCCTGGATGACGGTCTCCATGCTTTTCACGACGAAGATGCAGGGGACGCCAGCCGAAGGTTGGGAGGCAGCGCACAAGTGCTACCTACACATGACGGCCTTGGGTCCTTTCCGGCGACTTCTTCGCTACTACAAGATCAAATCCGACAATTTGAGAGAGTGACTCCATCGAAAAGACATCAGCGGCGGCGGTCAAGCGTGCAGCGACGGCTAGATGCATTGGAAGAACAGCAGGAGTTTCATGTGGACGATGAGAAGATGCAGAGAATAGAACGATGGAGGTTGGAACAGAGCAGGGCGTTATTGGAAGAAATCGAACGGGAGACCAGGAGGATGAGGAGGTCGAGCCATATGAGTACAAGAGATGACAAGAGTCAAATGAACGGCTCCACTGAAACGGATGCTGCGAAACAAGCCACTGCAAAGTCTACACAGCAACCCTCAGAGCACACACATCAGGAAGAAGACTCGATGTCCTTCCTTCAACGGTTCACTCAAAGAGTCATTCGTGATCTCATGGGGATTGATGAGTCACTTCTATCTGTCATATTTGGAGAAGAGCTACCAGAGGAAGATATGTCTACGACCCCTACTCCTAACAACATCACACTGAGCGAGGCTCAAAGGCAGATGGACAAGGGCTCCGAGAACGATGCGATGTCTGCCGCCCCAAAGTCGTGGGAGCATCGTCTACTTGAACGAATAGCCCGTGAGCTTGGTATCTTAGTGCACCAGCTCTCGGAACACCCTGGCGCTTTCAACACATATCTCCGCACTCAAGAGAGCATACCTTATGCCGGGCTAGAACTAGGACCAGCCGTCAGCAATACCGAAGCTCAGACCGAAAGTCCCATAGTGTCTGAATCTCGACGCGCTTCCCTTCCACTGTCTTCCACCAACCAATTCAAACCCACGTTACCCGCCGCCCAACGCCAACAGACCCCGGCATATAGCGAAGCATCCCTTTGGGGGATTGAAGAAGAAGAAGGCCCGGTATCTTCAGCCATTCCCATTTCACCTACTGCTGCCGCTCACCCGTCCACGCGCCTTCATCAGGAGCGGGAGTATTGGGAGCGAGATCTTGATGCCAAGATGGTTTTTCGGTTCCTTATCAAACGCTTCTCACCCGACTCCAACATCTCTTCGGCCCGAGCTGGCTCGCCGATACTATCTCGAACCCCCACATCACAATCTAATCCTGCCCATCGAGCTGCTATCATTCGGCAACACCATCCTCTAGTCAACCGAAACAGTGAGAGTAATGGTGCAGCGAACCCGGGTATCAGGCGAAGAGATGTACTTCATAGACACCATTATCACCCCGCAGGTGTTCAGCCAATCCGGCTCAGATCAGGGAGTAGCTGTGCAAGTCAAAGCACCAAGAAGAGTAAACGCTCTCTCAGCGGAGGCAGTAGTCGAAACTACTGGGATATCGGTGGATCCGTAGGCAGTGGCCCCGGTGTCGGCGCATGGGGAGAAGTTTAGGTCACTTTTGATCTTGGAGTTTACTAGCATACCCCGTTGAGCGTTCTTTTCGATCCCAACATTTACAAGCAAGCAACCGGGAATCTCACATCATCACTGGACCATGGAGTCATGCGCATCCATTCCCGTATTTGTGTTCAAATACTCTTCCTATGCCCTCTTTCATCGCCACGACCCTGTAAGACTATAGAATCATTCTGTATCAGCTAGATATGCATGCGCGCGCTGTATCCGCTCCTGAAAACCTTATTTAGCAGAGTACGTGAGCGGTTGACGTACGATGCAGATAGTAACAATCATATTTCTCATCTTTAGTTTCAATACAGGTAGATCTGAATCGCAAAATGGTTCACTTTGCACCGTCACGTGCAATACTCTAGCCACACGTTCCACCCCGCGTGGCGCGACAGACTGCGGGGCTTGTGCTTCATTTATTTTGAGTCACAAGATTAGGATTTGTAACTTACAATTGGCTCACGCAAAGCTTCGTATTATTCACATTTTTCTCGTACAAATCTTGATCTCTTTACTTGAATTGAATTGACGCCGCAAAATAGAGGGAAAGACGTAGTATGGAGGAGCCAACAACCTATGAGGGCAGGCTGGCCCTCATAAAGGAAAACCTTCAAGAAGTCCTGAATGAAGAAATCATAGAAGATGTAATGGTCAAGCAAAACCGAGCTCTCGAGATCTACTGGGGTAACGTCTCAAACCAACACCCTCAGCTCACATCAAACGACTGATCGTTGCCCACAGGCACCGCAACAACTGGGCGCCCTCACTGTGGCTACTTCGTGCCCATCATGAAGATAGCCCAATTCCTCCAAGCCGGCTGCAAAGTCAAAATCCTTCTTGCCGATATCCATGGCTTCCTTGACAATCTCAAAGCTCCCATCGAGCTCGTGCAATTCCGCGCCGAATACTACCGTTTCGTCATCACAGAACTGCTCAAAGCCATAAACGTGCCCATCGAAAAACTCGTCTTCGTCCTCGGATCTTCCTACCAACTCACTCCAAAATACACAATGGACCTCTTCAAGTTGTCGTCTGTCGTTACTGAGCACGATGCGAAAAAGGCCGGCGCCGAGGTCGTAAAGCAGGTCGATAACGCAACTCTGAGTGGGCTGATTTATCCGCTGATGCAGGCCCTGGACGAGGAGAACCTAGGCGTTGACGCGCAGTTTGGCGGTGTAGATCAGAGAAAGATTTTTGCGCTGGCGAAAGAGGTGCTGCCGAAGATTGGATACCGGGAGCGCGCACATTTGATGAACCCGATGGTACCGGGGCTGCAGGGGGGCAAGATGAGCGCGAGTGACCCGGATAGTAAGATTGACTTGCTGGACATAGCAGACGCGGTACGGAAGAAGGTCAAAAAAGCACAGGCGGCGCCGAAGGTGGTGGAAGAGAATGGGCTGTTGAGTTTCGTCGAATATGTCCTGTTGCCGGCGAGTCGGCTAAAGCATGGGAAGCCTAGATTTGAGGTTGAGAGAAAGGATGCGGAGACGTTGGTATACGAGGATATTGTGAAGATGAAAGAGGATTACAGGAATGATGTCGTACGTATACATGCCCTTGAGTGTATGCTGGAAATTCCAATTGACGTTCCCAGCTCTCCCCACAGACTCTGAAGCCCGCACTGACGAACGCTCTCCTCGCCCTCCTGGAGCCTATTCAAGCCGCATTCCAAGCCAGCAAAGAATGGCAAGAGATCGAGAAGAAGGCCTACCCTCCGCCCCCTGTCGTCGAGAAGAAGAAGAAGGTCAAGGACAAGGGTAGCAGGCACCCTGGTGCAGGTGCGGCAAAGAACGTGCAAGCGCAGCCCGATGGCTCGGTGGAAGGCAATCCCGAGGCCAAGGACGCTGTCAATCTGGGCAAGGACTCAAGCGAAGCAATAGAGAAGCTGAAGCTAGCGGATAAAGCTGTACAACAGTAAAGAGGAAAGCTGTATAACTGTGACTATTAGCGTGGAATCCAATGAAAAAGGTATAGAAGTCTTGTACATGACGAAAGCAACGAAGCCATACGTAAAATTCGGGTATACATGTCTCTACAGTGCGCAGAATGCATCGTTTTCGATCGTAATGAGAGACGAAATGATAAGACACATAAGGGAAAGAAACAAGTGTGAGGTTATCATGCGTGATATTTACACAACTATGCGTCAACAACGCTAGTCGCTCGCACTGATTCTTAAGCTCTTGACTAAGACATGTACTTGATGTTATACTGTTGGGAGCTTTCCATATTGACTTGACACAAGAAATTCGCTTCGTAAGAACTCACTGGCAGAAGGAGTCTCAGTCCCATAATGTTCGAATCCCCCCTGACCAGTCTCCATGTTTCTTTCGCCGTTCAGTCGCTCGACACTGAAAGTGTCATGTGCTGGACTGTGTTAGCCTGGTCTTAAAACTCAAAACCCATCGTCGTGCTTTCGAGAAGGGTATGATTGGAGGTAGGTCTATGTATTGCCATGCTGAAGTCTGGGAAGTACAGTGTACGCGGCCAGTATCGTCGTTATATGTCGATTATGTTTATTGGAAGTCCTAACCCTTGACTCCCAATACAACCATTGCGGCGTGGAACGTTTCGTCTTAGAAATCTGCATAAGTAGAATAAGATGCTGTATCGCGGTCCATGAGTGCTGTCCTTCTTTGTTCTATGGAACCCTCGGATGTATATTATGCAACTGAGTATACTCTGAAGGCAGATGCAAAGTTGGTCGTGGTAAGTATAAGACCTAGTATTATCATTCACACTGTCCAGTGATCACACCTTTCACCGCTTGAACAGTGTCAAGCAGCCTCACTTCACGTCGGCCTGCCAGTTGACCGGACCTGAGCTCCGCCCACAGACCCCTGTGTCCCCCTATTGGCCCACCACTCTCACGTATGGCAACTATTCCACCCTCACCGTTGAACACCTGCCCAAATCTCGAATTATAGGAGCCAGTCAGAGGCCGAGCGCATTCCAGCCCTACAGCAACACATGGCTTTCCATGTGCCAGTCTCCACCAGACCCTTTCACGGCCCAGTCTACCCGTGTCCACGTTCACTTCCTTCCCGCTCGCCCCACTCGTGTCACCTATACCGCAGGCAGCCACTCAGAGCCCGATCGCATTCGAGACAAGGCAACTGAAAATCGTCCATCGTTGAAATTCCCTCGAATCTTGAATTATAGGAGCCACTCAGCGAGCGAGCGCATTCCAGCCCTACAGCGACACATGGAAAGCCATGTGCTGGTATCCACATGACCCCTTTCACGGCTTCATCCACCCGTATCCCGTGTCCACGTTCACTTCCTTCCCGCTGTCCCACTCATGTTCCCGCATCCACGTTCACTTCCTCCCGCTGGCCCCACTCGTGTCACCCAGAACACAGGCAGCCACTCAGCGTCCGATCGCATTCGAGACAAGGCAACTGAAAATCGTCCATCGTTGAAATTCCCTGGAATCTCAAATTATAATAGCCACTCAGCGAGCGAGCGCATTCCAGCCCTACCGTGCCCACGTGGACTCCCGCCCCTTCATTTACCTACAGTATGGTAGCAAGTCACAGTCCGATCGCATTCGAGACAGGGTAATCGATACGGCGTCCATCGTTGAAATTCCCTCGAATCTCGAATTATAGGAGCCACTCAGAGGCCGAGCGCATTCGAGCAACACGTGGGCACGGATAGAGCCGCGTTCACTTTTACCCCTTGCCTGGTCTAGGCTACACAGAGTAGGCAGCCAGTCACAGTCCGATCGCATTCGAGAGAGGGTAACTGATAAAGTGTCCATCGTCGAAATTCCCTCGAATCTCGAATTATAGGAGCCAGTCAGAGGCCGAGCGCATTCGAGCACCACGTGGGCACGGCTGGAGCCGCATCCATTTGACCCCTTACCTGGTCGAGGCTACACAGAGTAGGTAGCCAGTCACAGCACGAGCGCATACTGGGCGAGGCAATATGAACTACTTGGCTTGTTGGAATTCTGCGTTGCGTTGTGTTCTATGAGCCACTAGCAGCGCCAGCGTAATGGAGCACTGTCCGTCACACATGGATATTTCCCAACCCACGAACGTGAACGTACCTAATCATGTATTATTTGTCACTCATATGACTTGCTGTCGAGATGTGCGAGAGTGAACAGCGTGCGCAATGTCGGAGTGGCTGCATAGTGTAGCGAATGAACCCCTGATTTCCATGCGATACGAAAGAAAAACCTTGACACGAGTAAAGGGGAATCTCTTTTTTGACCACTAATACTCTTGATTTGTTATCGATTTATGAACATTTGGAAAAAGGTGCTCGTACACTTACCCCCTTGTGAACTGCGATGAATGGTTGACTACATGGTAGATGATATAGAGTGTCAAGCATACATCTCAATCATTGTTTACGTGAACCATAGGCTCATATATTTTCAGGACTCAAGTGAGCTATGGTGTTTTCCCGCAAAAGCAAGAGGCATCTTAATGAAAGTCATTGCTAAGTACAAGAAGGGCAAAATAGGAGAGGTGTGCTCCCCATTGCATACTAAGGATCTATGTTAGCTGCAACCTACTTGGGTAGAAAGTACATCAGTATACGATTACAAGTATATGATCATAAGACTTCGACGAAGAAAGGTCATGAGTAACCTTAGAGCTTGGTGTATCGGCTGACGTAGACTAAAGAAGACGGTGTAACGCGTCTCGAATACTGGCAATGAACAGATCTGTGACAAGACGCGCAATCTGTAGTATTAGAACGGTCACCGTGCGTTGATGTGAGAGAAAACATCAATCAGCGTGCATTCAATTGCCGATTACCCATAACAAAAGGCTTGACGTTGAAGGGCTCTAGCCTTTTCTTAGTCTAGCGGGGAGGCGTCCGGGGTGAGGACGCGCGCCATCCATGTTCACAGCCACATGATGCTCAGCCATCGTGCAGGTGAGCTTTGGTATTCAATTACCGAATCTTGCCGCCATTATTTCTCTTCTTACACTGCTCTATCAACTTTATTCATCTCTAACCCCCTCCTCTACTAGAATTCGTAAAACACCTTGCTCTACATAATATACGTCCCACCTTTTACGCCAAAGACGTCATACAAGAAGCATCCGAAAGGTCCTGGCCTGATCTAATATTGACTTCACACGAGCCCGATACTTGAAGAAAGCCAAAACTCCCAATTTCATTGCTTACAAGATGTCCAAATACGTATGCTTCTCAGGGACATCATCGCACACTCTAGCTAATGCCATTGCAGGACCCAAATGGCCCTCCCCCATCCTATCCTCAAGCTCCTCCCCAAGCGCATTATGACGCCGGCCCCTACCACAATAATCAATACGGTTCCCCTCCGCCACAAGGGTCTTACCAGCAAGGACCACCACAGGGTGCCAATGCAGACTTTTATGGCGCGCAAGGCCAGACATATCAGCAGCCAGGAGGATACCCGCCACAGCAACAGCCTATGTACTACCAGCAAGGGCCACCACCTCCAGGTGGTTACTATGATGACAGAGGACGCCACGGAGGCGGCGGTGCTGGAGGTGGCATCTGTGCCGGCTTGATGGCTGCACTTGCGTGTTGTTGCTGCTTGGACTGCCTGTTCTAGATATGAAGTAGTCAGTCAAGAGAAAGCCTTTACCAAAAGAGGGGATCTATGATGAACTACTGGCACTGCAAGAGTTATTTCATTTGCTCGTTGGATCCGGCGCATTGTTGGTCTTAATTATTAAGGGCTTGGTTGTTGTACGCGATTCGATCAAGCCAGCTGTAGTCTTGTACAACTAGCCACAGGGGACACCCGAAGCATGTCGTAATCATATCTATTATACTAAAGGTTCCATGGATATTGTAATACGACTCTTGAGTCAGGTTTTACTCTTTTACATTCGGATGACTTTTTTAACTCGGGTTATGTCATCAAAGCCTCTCTATTCGAAGGGCTTATTTTCTAACCACAATATGAGCCGAGCCGTGCGGCGAAATTTTGACATGACACTGATCCAGAATATTTTGTTTAACTGTCCGAGAAACGAAAATCAGAACAAAACAATAAGCATGCTGAGGCTTGTATTAAAGGCGCATACAGCATCACGGGGCTGATTGGCTGGGACTCTCAAGCTTCCAAGCCCTCGCAAGCCAAGCGCCATTCCTTCGAGATCCATCCGCTCGGGCACGTATAATCTTGGCACGGACTGAACGTCCTGTGCCTGCTCGATATTGTGCAGCACTCTTATCTTCCGGAGTATGCAAGATATCGTAGCAAAAACCCTTTGTCGCGTGTTGGAGAGTTCGTCTTCATGATGCCAGACGAGCAAGAGGCTTCGACTAGTCGCCGAGTGTCCCGCGAACCTGTTGGTGTTCGACGCGTCATACTTCATGGATGTTTTTACTAATCACGGTGCAGCTACGGCAAGCGACCTTGATACTACCGAAAACGGGCGAGCGAGTCAAACGAGCCTTCACACTCGGAGTACAAGCGGTGCAGAACGGCCATGTCGATGCTCAGGAACACATGCCACTCCTTGGTGCAGATACCGGACATGGAGAATCAGGCCCACGGAATAAGAGCTTGGTGTGGGAGAAGACGAAAGAGACGGGCGTCAAGTTGTATGATTTCATAACATCACCGTTGGGGCAGGGTATACTCAAATGCTCGTTGGCATATATTTTGGGAAGTCTTGGAACGTTCTATCCGCCAATATCGGGCTGGCTAGGGCACCAGGATGGAAAGCATATGATGGCAACAGTAACCGTCTATTTCCACCCTGCACGCTCAGCTGGGAGTATGGAAGAAGCGTTCTTCATAGCGCTGGTAGCTTTCTCATACGCCGCTGTCATATCGTTCACGAGTATGGCCGTATCGGCGTTCTTCGCAAGTCAGCATCTACTTCAGCTCGGACATGCTGTAGTCTTGATTGTATTTTGTGGCGGGGGCCTGGGTCTCGTAGGATGGACGAAGCAGGCGCTGAGTAACCCGCTTGTGAATGTCGTACGTATCATAGTCTGGTCAATACACCATACCTCGCTGACAAGTATAGGGGTGTTCCTTGACCTCTCTGGCCCTTATCACTGTCTTGACGAAAGAAGGAGCTGTACAGAATGGGACGTTCTCGTACGCGAAGATCTACCAGGTCCTCAAAATGGTCAGCCTTGGAATTCTGTCTACTGCCCTCGTTAGCTTCCTCGTCAAACCGATATCCGCAAGAAAAGAGCTACGCAAAGACTTCAAGACGGCCACGGTGTCGCTAAGTGAAATGGTAGCTCTGATCACAAAGAGTTTTTTAGACGGCGACGAAGAAGAGCTAGAACACACCTCCTTCATGTCTGCTTCCAGCAGCTACAAGACAATTTTCAAAAGGATTACTAAAGACCTCGGAGAGGCTAAATGGGAGCATTATACTCTCGGAACAGAGGAGACGTATCATATAGAAGCAAAACTAGCGAAGGCCTTGGAACAATTATCGGTCGATGTTAGCGGCTTGAGAAGCGCAGCGGCGACACAGTTCGCTCTAATGAAAGCCCAAGCTGACGGCAAATCTATAATGTCTGGTATGTCGGCCACTTACTCGGATCTTTCCCCTTCCGCTTCAAGGTCTCATGATTATTTCGCTACCCTACGTCAACGACTTGGCAGCCTGGCCTCTATCGATGAGAACCCCCGGACCAAAAGGCCAGAGCATGAAGACGGCCTGACTATGTTGAAGAGAGGACAAACAGTGGCATCTACTATGGAAAGTTCGACTGTGATTACTGCAACGACCGCTGCGGAGATCTTTCAGAACTTCCTGTCACAGCTCGGACCACCTATGGTAAGATCCATATATTATGCGACAACAACTTTTTAACGTATGTAGAAATCGCTTGCATTCACTCTCAAGGCTGTCCTCGAAGAGTTGCCATTCGGCCCGCCTCCAACATATTCCATTGTTGTCAACGAGCAATTCCGAAAGAGTCTGGTTGATGCAAACGAGCTCTTTACTACAGCACGCAAGGAAGCCCTCAGCCAAGTATACCAAAGCAAGGTCCCAAGCCACACGAAAGCCGAAATAGCAGCGGACTACGAAGAGGTTGCGGCTAGCTGTGGGTACTTCAGTTCTTCCCTGCAAGATTTTGCGGAAGATCTGCTTGAGTATATTGACATACTAGAAGAATATAAGCATGTGGCAGAGTCACCGTCCGTGCGAAGGTCCTGGAAATGGCTGATGTTCTGGCGGAAACGAAATCAGAAGCAGGTCGCTGATGAGGCCGAGCTCTTCAACACTCCCACACCACCAAACCCACCAAAGGATTTACTCAAAGTAACGCACAGAACGCTGAAGGGCGCAAGTAGAAACGTCACATGGAACTATACCGACGAGTTGCAATCTGAGAAGAAACGAAGGCCGATTACTTACCGCTTGTGGGTCGCTTTAAGATTCTTTCGAAGAGATGATATAAAGTTTGCACTCAAGGTTGGTGTGGGTGCAATTCTCTACGCCATGTGGTCTTTTATTCCCTCCACCCGTCCCGTTTATGCCTCCTTTCGCGGTGAATGGGGCTTGTTGTCATACATGTTGGTCTGCTCCATGACTGTGGGAGCTTCGAACACGACCGGATTCCACCGATTCGGTGGAACTTGTCTGGGTGCATTACTCGCTGTTCTGGCTTGGATCATCGCTGATGAGAATCCGTTCGTCCTTGCGTTCTTCGGCTGGGTGGTGTCTCTTGGATGCTTCTACATTATCGTTGGCCAAGGAAAGGGTCCCTTGGGTCGCTTCATACTGCTAACCTACAACCTCTCAGCACTGTATGCATACTCTCTGTCCGTCAAAGATGACGACAATGATGACGATGAAGGAGGTATAAGCCCTGAAATATGGGAGATTGTCTTCCATCGTGTCGTTGCCGTGCTCACGGGGTGCCTCTGGGGGATGGTGATTACTCGCCTCATCTGGCCAATCTCAGCTCGTCGCAAGCTGAAAGACGGGCTTGCAATCCTTTGGCTTCGTATGGGTCTCATTTGGAAACGCGATCCCTTAGCCGTGCTCCTCCGCGGACCCTCGCGCTATTCCTACATGGACATCGGCGAGTCACTCTCTCTTCAACGATTCTTGAACCACTTGGACGGTCTACGCGCATCTGCGGCTTCCGAATTCGAGCTTCGGGGACCATTTCCGAATAGGGTCTGCCATCAACTCTTGGAGTCTACTGGCCGGATGTTAGACGCCTTTCACGCCATGAACGTCATCATCCGTAAAGAGCTCAAAGCAACCCCTGGCGAACAGGAGATACTGCAGTATACACGGTATGAGAGGATACAGCTTTCTTCTCGCATCAGCCATCTCTTCTCCGTCCTTGCCTCCAGTCTCAAGCTTGAGTATCCTCTGAATGACACCATGCCGAATATCGAGCATACACGAGACCGATTGCTCGCGAAGGTGTTTGATTTCAGGAAGAATGCCGAAGGGCGGGATCTGCCAACGGACGAGGACTATGAGCTGTTGTATGCCTACGCGTTGGTCACTGGACAGCTGGCGCATGAGATTGGTGAGGTTGCGGCGCTAATCGAGACGCTGTATGGTGTGCTGGACGAGGAGACATTCAAGCTGGAGTGATACACATCATAGTTATTAGCATGGTGTTTGGGCTTGGGATACTAGAAATATGATTAATTCTTGCGCTGACGAGCCAATCCTACACACTGTATGCACAAGACTCTTGCTTCTCCTGCATTACTTCATCTTCGACACTTGGTTTCTTCGTAACTAAGAAAACGCCCTTCTGTGCGAGAACTGACAAATCTCCTAGCTACCGAAGAACGATTATCTGCTGATCTTCCCTGAATAGTTGGAGCAGTAGACATAGACATATCCGTCTACGCCCTGGGCTATAGAGAACATATAATATCAGAGTTTGGGCGCCTGTACGGCCTCAAAGATGAGAATATGTATATTCATATATATCCGTATTGGCGATGGGTGTTTGAAATAATTCATCGAGCATATCAAACGAGAGTACTAGGTGGTATCTGTAGATTAATATGTATCCCCTACGAGTCCAGCGATCTGGTCATATATTGCTTGTCCAATTTTACTTTCGAGATTTATATCGCGTAAATGGAAGCTGTGTCCAAGTCTGACTTATTTACTCTCTTCCTCTGATGACAAGAGTCACAAGACCTTATGGATCATAATGCTAGATACGACATGATATTACATGATATTGTAGTTGTAAACCTATACAAACCAACGAAGAAGAATAACATGATGCATCAAAGACAAGAGCAAGCAGTAGACGCGGCTCAAGCTTCCCTCACTCTCAGTACGCATATGACCTCCTACCTATTAAAGCTACTACGGTCCCGACCCCACCAAGTCCCCAACCCACCCAACCAATCACAACACCCCCGATCCCATCCTCGTAATCCCTCCCCGAACAGCCGAGGTCGAAACACGGCATAAGGGCAAATAGGCGTACAGACAAACGCGATCGATCGCAAAACAGCCACTTCCAAAGCCTCACTCAGCTCGCCATCACATCCTCTCTCTTCCTCTCTCTCTCTCTCTCTCTCTCCCCCAAAATACCCCCGTCTCTCCAACACAACCTTTCCCCAAAATAAACAAACCTCACTCCACCGACCCCCCAACCTCCGCCCCAGGAACCAACCAAACCAACCAAACCAACAAGAACCAACCAAACATCCCGCCCAAAAAATGTCCTCGTCCTACACCCCAGCCCAAGTCTCCGAGCACGCGAGTGTGGAGAAGGGCCTGTGGATTATCATCGACAACGACGTGTTTCAGATGGACCAGTTCGTGGACGAGCACCCCGGTGGAGCGAAGATTCTGAAGCGTGTGGGGGGCAAGGATGCGAGTAAGCAGTTTTGGAAGGTAGGTTGTTTTGACTTTCGATTTTGGTTGTTTCTTTGGTTCTTGGTTTTTTGTTTTGGGGCATGAGGGGGAGGGGAACGGGTATGGGAATGGGAATGGGGAGGGAACAGGGTTGTGGGAGAGAAAGAGGATAAGGAGAGGATGGGATGTAAAGGGAAGAGATAGGAAGAGGAAGAGGAAGAGGAGGAGGGAGAGAGGGAGACAGAGAGAGAGGGGGAAAAGGCAGTTTTTGTCTGTGGAGGCGATTGGAGGAGTGCGCTCGACTCAGCACGATCCCAAACGCAGCTCCGCGCATATCTTGCGGGCGAAAACCGCGCACATATGGCATATGGCATGTCGCATGAAGAATGCCATCTAGCCAGGCATCCATCCATCATTACGACTCGTAGATCCAGCCTCGACATTCCAGCTGGCCCCTGCAACTTCTTCTTCTTCTTCTTCTTCTTCTTCTTCTTCTTCTTCTTCTTCTTCTTCTTCTTCTTCTTCTTCTTCTTCTTCTTCTTCTTCTTCTTCTTCTTCTTCTTCTTCTTCAGTATTCACGAATCACACGCTAACTATTTCTCTTCTTCGTCCGGTAGTATCACAACGAGCACGTGTTGAAGAAGTACTCGCCCAAGCTGAAGATCGGATCGGTCAAGGAGGGCGCGAAGCTGTAAGAAAGACGAAGAAGAGGAAGAAGAATACATGGAAGAGATAATTAGAGCAGCGAGAGATACGCGTTTTGAACACATATACATACACACACACACACACCCCATACACACGCAGTAGTATCTTACAACAGTACGGACGTCACAATTTAGTAATGCATCTGGCACAGTCTGGCTGAATGAGTGAGAGCCTCAAAGTGTATTTGAGTAGTGTGTAAACATAATTGTCGTAGAGCTAGAGCTAGCTATGGAGTGCCTGCGACAACGCTAAAGTCATGCTGGGCCTCCGTACAGTCTTGAAAAGAGAACGCCATTGTGTCTGTGAGTACGCCGCCGATGCCTTGGAGAAGGACCACCTTGAATGATTTCCCCCGATACGCCTTACAGACTCGCCGATCTGTGTATGCATGAATGATAGCCGTACATGGTGTGGCTGACCAGAACTAAACGCCGGCCGAAATGATATGGTGGTCTGCGCAAGATGATTTATATCGAGTCGGACGCATGGCATGACCTTTTGACCCCATGTTCACGTTCCTCATGTCGAAAGCGCTGCCGAATTTAGAGCATTGATGGCTTGGTTCGCTGCCCTTAGTGGGGCTGTGCTCTCATTCATCTTGCGAGCATATGGTGTGTTTGCTGGGCTTTGGCTGCCCTGCCTGCTTTGGTCAGCAGATGGTCCAGTGTTATGTGGTGCACTGTTCAGGATGCTGCTTAAGCTGGTGACAGGGCCAATGCGTGCTGGAGATGCAGATGAGGTGTTGGCATGGCCTTCAGTCCCATTGAGGGACGATGGTTGGGGTCTTCCCCCACTACTGGGACGATTAGACGAGTGATGGTCACTGCCGGCATGCGCGCCAACGGGGGGCAGCTGAGGACCTGGCTCCGTGGTATGAGGATAGTGATGCGGGGCCGGATACGAAGTCTGCGGGGCTCTTGTCGTGAAGCTGTGGGGATATGGCTGACTGCTGGGATGATGGTGCTGCGGTGCAGGTGGTACCTGAGAGTTGCTAATGGGAGGAGGAACACGATCTAGATGAGTTGGTGGTGGGCCGACGTGTGGTGGATAGGCGTGGTGGATAGGCTGGAAATGCATTGGAGGGGCATGGCCTGGTGGTGGAGGTCCGTATGGATAGTAGATTGCGTAAGTTCCAGGGGGTGTCGCAGATGGCGTTGGCGGCCAACCGGGCTGCTGCGGAATGTATGTCGGGCCCATGGGAGCACGTTGATACGGCGAGCCAGCATTGGGCTGAGGTGATCCTGCGGAGAAGCCAGGTGATGCCATAGGAGCGCGTGTCACTGCTGGCATATTGACTTGTGGGTCATTCACAGTAGACTCCGGATACATGTTTTTCGGTGGGCGTATATGCCTGAGGTTTGGATCCGTGGATGGTTGTAAGAGATTTGAAGCAGATGGTGAAGATCGGGCATAGTAGCTGATGAGGTGCAGGTGTTGGCCGCTCGATGTGGTTATGCTGAACGATTGTTTCATGAGTCCATCTGGCTTATACCGGTATCCATCAGGTCCTTCTTCCTCTGAGTCGCCGCTTCTTGCATCAACCTTTGGACTTGGTTTCTTCTGGGGTTGCGGTACTGTGGCGTATCCATTTCCTCCTCTCTTGCCCTCCATTTCACGATAAGTGAGGAAGCTCCCCGAAACTCTACTGGCGCTCCAGGATTTCCCGTCTGTCCACCGACGCATGCCAGCTTCTCGCTCATCCCAGACGAACACCGACCCTGACTTGATCTGTTGCCTCTCTTTTTCGGACAATCTCCGCTGGACACGAGGCAGAAGTCCGATCCGACATGCTTCGAAGAGAATGATGGCGTCTGCGGGAGTCTTGACGTGGCCGTTGTAAGTCTCCATTTGAAAAGTGGTACGCGTGCGGCGCGTCGACCGAAAGGACGGTTACAGAAGCTCTGCGCAAGTTATAGTGTTAACAGGCGTGGAAAGTCTTGAGGAGGGTGTGAGAATGCTTGAAGCTGAGATGAATGGAGCACAGTAGGATCGATATGATAGAGACTGTGTTTCGATGTTTGGGGCAACTTCGACTGCGTAGTGCGGGCGGTAAAGAAGACGGTTCGGAGCTGGGTATGTGAAGGGCGGAGAAAAGGTAATAGGAAAAGCCGTGCAATGGTTACCTACCGGCCTGAAAGTTATATGACTAAGCCGATCGCAGCTGAAGACTGACGAGTCTAAATAAAAATAGAGAAGACGTTGTGGTGTATTTATTGGTTATGGCGGCGCAGTACGAGTAAAGTTGATTTGGACAACGACGCAGCTCCACGCTTCAAACACGCGAGTGAAGATATGACAGGGCCCTGAAAAGTCCCACTGCTCTTTAACACAACGGAGGAGTGAAACCCAGTGTTTTCGTTGGGCGTTGGTATTGTTGGCTCAAGCGGATGCGTCGTATGCGATTTTAGTGTGCAAGAATATGGGAAGCTTGGAATTGAAGCAGTGCGAGGCTGTAGTTGCTAGAACAAATATAGAAAACGAGACGGACGAATCGCAGGACACATTGACGAGAAGCTTTTTTGAACGTCAGCCCTGGAGTAATCGAAGCCGAACAGCGCCGCAAGAGAGTGTAATAGCAATTTTCAGAAGGGAAGAGTAGTGCGTGCCGGCATGTTGCTCGTATATAGTAATAATAATAGTTAGGACCTGACTCGACTTACCTAACGGAGGACCCCTCCCCTCACATCCCCTTTGAAGCTTGTGGACGGCTGGTGGGCTTTAGGGCTTTGGGGGCTTTGGGGCTTTGGGGGGCTTTGGGGCTTACGGCTTGGGCAGTTTTTGGGGGCTTCGGGGCTGCTAAGGTGGTAAGTAAGGGGGGCCGTGAGAGAGAGAGGGAGGGGGGGGGGTGAGGTGTGTGAGTTTGGGAGGGGACGCTTGTCGTAGCTTCTGGTGGCTTGGCTTTTGTCCGTCTCCGGCTTTCTCAGCGCCAAGCGGCACCCATATCGATGGATCACCTAACAAACACACTTGCGCATTCGCGAAAAGCTCGGGACAAGCTTTCTGTCGGCATTATCTCACCGTTGCATCCTCAAGAGTCGAAGACACTGTTACTGTTACAAGCCTGTCATGACTCTCTCCTGTACGCCTCCTTTCTGGTCCTCGCCTCCCCCTGTTAAACTGCTCCCTGGACTGCGCCTGTTCCCGTGAACAGATCTGACGGTATCTGTACGGCACAGCGTAGATATCCCGGCAAAGCAATTAGGGCAATAAGGGATACAGAGACTAATCATATGCACCGTGCGAGGCTGCTAAAAGGAATGTGCGTTACCAGACGGCACACAGGGACAGGTTTTATTCACTAGCAACCTCCTGCTACTCCTTGTACCCTTTTCTGATATAATAGATACATTAGCGCTTTGCTGGAAGCATGAGATTCTGTGCATGTTGAGTAAGAGACGCAATATGTAAGAGAGTCAGGACGACCGTTTGGGGGGGGCTCGAGGTGTATGGCAGAGTAGCTTCCAACATGAACATTTATAAGTCTTTCATATAACGGGCATCAAGCTTAGAAGCGAGAGCAACCGTGGTAAGGCGGCGTCTGCTAGTGCTCACTGCTTCGCAACCTCATAACTCTAAACGGACGCTTCCAAGATATCCTGATCTCTAATATCATACACAAGCCTTCGTTGCTCTTGGCACTATGCTAACGCCCCCGAGCCAAGTCCTGGGCAAAGAGACCATTCGCCCATGGAGAATGCCACATTACCACCATATTGACCTAATTCATTCCTACTCCCGTAATTCGCTCGTCCCACCCATTGCAGCGGAACTGATACTGTCATTTTCCGATGATACTTCTGCCGTGTCCAGCAACCTGCTGCCTAGACATACTGGGGCGGAGTAGCCAGAACAACGCCTGTCTGTCACAGTCGAACGGGCCGAGCGCATCCAAGATATCCATGTCAGCAAGCCAAGCTACCATAATAACCATACACCGCCCATGTTGTGGCTATGATATTGCTGCTCTCAACAATCTTGACGGGTCATGCTTGCAAAGACTTATCACCATCTACCCCATCGCCAAATGCTAAACAGCATCGCCTTCTTCTAGAATGTGAGAATCGAGGTAAAGTAATGGGAAGGTGTTCGCTTGGCTCCACAGCACCACTTAACGTTGCGACGACGCACAAGGTGCCGTAGGCCTCCCGCAGATAAGCACACGATGCTTAATTTCTCCAACCACAATACGGAGGTCCCAGAGAACGAGTCAGCCATCTGAGGTGACAAGGTCAGTCTCGATCATTCATCAACACTCTACGCGTCGTCGTCCCCACAAGATCAAGATCCCAAGCTATCTTGGTAGACGTGTACGTGACAAGCCTTAACCTCCTTTGGTCTCGTGCTCCGTTGAGGTCTACGCAAGTTGCAAGCCTCTGGCAGAGATTTCGAGGCCAAGCTCCACTTTGCGTCCTGCCTTCTCGTAAGTGTCAGCGACATGATCCGCTTTGATCCATCGCGATCCCCCATCGCAAGTCTCTTCAAGCTTCAAGCTGCCTGGTCGTTCGAGTGGGGATATGAGCATCCATCTACCGGCCGCGTCATCATAAGCTGGCATTACATTGACATACAAATCTTGGAGGAGTACGGCAGCTCATGGAGCGTTCGCAAGCATCGTCAGCTTGCCATCACCAGTACGTAGTACTTTGTGTAGTACACGGACTCGGGCTTGACCTAAGCTTGAAGCAGCCATAGCAAGGGCTTGGAACATGATCACTTGGAACTCGCTACCAGGATCATGACTGTGTCGGACCGACCTTCTTTTAAGGTTGGCGGGTAGCTTAAAACCCACGACCGGCTTTTTTGGGGCCGTCTCATCAACTAATAAGCGGAACAGCACAGGGTACCAGATAAGCTCTTAAGCATATTCCAACATGCACTCTCAACACTCTCACTGTCCGATCTCCCCACAACTGCAACCTGGCCTTAATGCCTGCCCGTATTTTCAGTGCCGGTCTTCTCCACACGAGTCCACGCAATTCGTAGTGGGTGGTGGGCATGGCTCGATTTGTGTCTTCTCATCAGGCTACGGGCCCCCCGGCTCTCCAAGACTACACAACTGCTACCGCCTCCGATCCATGGCTTGCACTACTTATATACAATTCGACCAACATATTCCAAGGCTCTGCCAAGGCTCCTGAATTCCAGTTAAGCCTCTTACCTTAATAGCTGACACGAGGGAACAGTTTGGCGAGACCTGGCTGCCAACGCCACAGAATCCCCTTCGTATTTGGTCGGCCGAGATCGATTTTGCACCAACCGATGCCCATTGTGCGGGCAGACAGGCCGCCAGCTGAAGATCAGATGCTCATACATGTTGCGATCAAATCAAATGCCAATACGAAAACGATAAATCCCCGCTCTACGAATCACAAACCCACCCCTCGGCCTATCTGAGACAGCCGTATCGTCGGGGCAAACGTGAGGGCATTATTAAGGTAGGCCAAGCACTTTCACTTGCCGCGGCTGGCTTGGCACTAATGGATATTCCGCACGAAGCGGCATGATCGGCCGCTCCTCTCCATTACTGTAATCATTCATTCCAGGTTAATTACTCCAACATTCCAACTTCTTGCTCTCCAACGTTGCCGATGCCGATGCCGATATCGCCTACTGTGTGGTTCTTATTGCATGGTAGGGCCCCTTGCATCCATGGTCTACTCATAATCATCGTCATCATCATCATCAAACATCATGAGATGATTTGGAGGCATCTCAAAGCGATTCTGCTACTGCAGACTATCCTCGTACTAATCCTGCATTTTGAGTACAAGTGCCAGAGCTACACTTGGTCGTACCAAAGTAATGCAATCGTCGCAAGACGGTGGTACTGCCTGACCTTCGTTAGCCGTGCGACGGCGATATAACCTTACATACACCTCGCACCAGGGCGGTCACACGCCAACAAAACTTCTCGCCATCTCTTTTTCACACTCTAACGTTGTCGAGATGCGTGTATCTACCATTTACTCAGCATTGAACTGACAATGATAATACTAGCTATCCATGTGATGACATTTCCCTGTCACTTCGGTCTCGTATACGACGATCTTCCGAGGATACGAGGTCTACTGGCCACAACCACGCCGCAGTCTTTATAGATCATGCAACATATCACATCATCAGCAGTAATAATACACTCCTACCAAATCTCCAGTCCTGTCCTAATCGGTCCTGTCTGGTGAGAAGTCAGATCATCTCTCGTTGCGAAACACACCGATCTGAAACCGCAACCCGATGAATAGCCAGCACAGCTTTTGCCATCCACTACCTACTCGACATACCTAGTGAGGTATAGTACGGACCGTGTAGGGCATCCTCGTTGTGACTTCCCGTTCTTTTTTTAGAATCAACCTTGACCCAGATTCTGATTATGTGGGCTCGAAAAAATTCCACGGCTACAAAAGGATCTAATGGTCTGACCACGTCTGTGTCCGACTCCCTGACAGCTACGAATGAGTACCATGAAACATACCCCTCGCAATGATCAATACCTGGTCATAGTCATATTACACCATGATCACTGCATCTTCTGTCCATCTGAGCCTACCAGAATTTCGAATATACTGTATAGATGATATAGCGGAAACAACCGTCGTAAAATATCGCGCAAGACTGCACGCACACACTCTCGTCTGCATGCCAAGATAGGCGGATATCGGCCAACCCCGCGATCAACAGACGTTCCCCATAGATGCCACCCTTGGTGGTGTGCGTTCATCACTGGTGACATTCATACTGATATACTGTAGTGGACCTGAGTACTTACGCATCGACCACCTCATCAATTCATCTTCTCACTCATCGACTCACCTTGACGTCATGGTTCGTTCGTACGCACCGCACCAACCATTTTTCCCGGCATGTCGCTCAGACCTCCCAAGCAACGTGTCCCCAGCGCGCAAGTCCCATGGGCAACTACCGGTCTTTCTCTCAAGTGACTCACTGCCTCCCTTCATGACTTTCCAAGGTTGTCCATGGTTTGTCTTTGAAGGACGCACAATGCAGACAGGATTCTGCCAGGAGCTGTCGATCCAGGAGAACACTCTCAACAGACACATCCATGCACGAGGATAATGTAGATCGACCAGAAGCCGTACTGGACTCTGTGTTCCCACTGAACGCACAATTCCACGCTGAGATTATGGTGCTGGCTTGCTTTCTACCGTAACATCTGGACCTTCGTGCCCAAAAGCGACGACAGGAACATGCTTCACGCTTTCCAGTAAGCCCACTCATCCGGGGTTTTCGAGGATCTTCAGGGGTATTCCCCTTGATCTTACCAGCTCTTTTAGAGTATGAGCAAATGAGCTGAATACGGCGTTCTCGCAAGAGCTGGGCGTAGAAACGAAGCCTCTTGTCGCGTACGGAGTAGTCTGATGGACGGAACAGTTGCTCTGTGCTCATGCTGAGATCGATCAATGGATAAATACTGCTCACATCTATCCATCCATCGACAGAACCAGGTTGCGCTTTTTGACTGTGGTGATAGGATCCGTAAAGACTTATCCAAGTAAAGTGGTATAATGCGCAGAAGCAAGTCATCAGCCAAACCATCGTCCTTCACACTCCAACGCCCGAAAAGGGTATTTACTCGTCGCCATTTATCCCAGTGGTAGTCAAGATTACTTTTTGCACTACCATTTCATTACATTGACTCGATATTCAGAACCGTACTCGACATTCGCATACCCGTGATCCAACCCAAACTATCCACCATACGTACTACATACACAACGCAGCCCAGCATCGTATACGATCCGTCGATTATACCGTACCTGTATCTATACCTAACTATACCTAAATCTCATCACATCTCATCACTCATAACCCAATCTCCAAATACCCACCACGACCACGCCGCCACGCCGTCTACACAGCTCCAAAGCCAATGAGCATTCTTCCTTGCTTGATCTAGTTGGACACGTACAGGGGCAGGAATAGCTACGAAGTGATGATTACGATGATAGAATATGCGTTTGTTTGTACGGGTCAGAAGCACAGCAGAACTGTGCATATATATGTGTGTGTGTTCCTGGTACTGTATGCTTGTATACCTGTAGCTAGACGGCATAGACACACAGACTCCAATAGCCGACGGGACAATCCCCACAGACGCCAGACATGGCTGTCTGGAAGACTTGGAAAGGTATGACATGTAGAAAGCGTGACCAGGACTAGGCACGCGGTCGACGAATCGATTGTCAGGTCTCGTAAGTCTTGTAGGTGAGCACTCGGGCCGTATGATCAACACACTGGCATACACATACGTCGGCAAAGAGGTCAGTCGAACGACGGTCAAAGCCACAAGAACCTAAAAGACACCTTAAAGGTCTTGATATGCCACATGTTGAGCTACTGCTACCTATGCTACAATCGACTGAGAATCTTCATTTCCTTCGTTCTTGGGTCTTGTGCTGGCCACAGAGTGGAATCTCCCATTGCTAGCTATGCTCCTCAGTCAGTCGATACAATGACTTATTTTTCCGGCTCCACACCTGGACCGTGTCAGTACGCCGTGAGATGCCATCCTAATGTACCGCCTTAAATCGACACCCGAACGCCAATGCTAACATGATCCTTTATCATGCACCAAATACATATGTTGAGTCGACACACTGTCTTCAGTGAGACCGTGAACTCCGCCCTAAAGATGAAAGCCAAAGGTATACCCTCTATAATGTCAAGTCCGCAGACGCCAAAAGAAGAGAGGTGAAGGATGCCGAGTGACACCCATTGTCCACGTCAATATGCATTCTAGCTCCGTCAAGAATGTTACTGAGTGTTGGGGAGAGACTACAATGTAATTCACATGAATGACGTCTTTCAGTTGGCATTCTCGTACAGCTTTTCTTTGCGGACAAGTCTGCGTTTCAGGCTCAGTTCGAGGCTGAAGTCGATCTTCGAGAACGAGGAATGGTATGAGTAGCGTGGGTTGGGCGTGATGTCGAGTTTGTCGGTCCTAATTGTCTTCAAGATGCCCACAAACTGATGGTCGCCCATGCCGACACGTCTGCGTCCCTGAAACGAGAGACGAAGCCATTTCAATTGAGCACCTCGAGCAAGCTGGCGAAGACACTCAAAGAGATGCTCGTCATGCACGAAGCGGCGGGATTCGGCGTCGTACTCGTGCGGTGCCGAGGAAGGATTTGCGTCTTCCAAGGTGATGGAGAGTTTGCGAATAGCAGCAAGGTTACGAGGCCCGATATCCGTCAGAAAGCGACGCATATCCTTGTAGCCAATCTCCTTGCGTTGAGCAGACCAGTACTGTCCTCGCATATGACGGCTTCGTTCGAAGCAGAACGTATTCTCGCCGTAAAGGATGCCTGTGCCTTCCTGGTGAATCTGCTTACAGGTGCTTAGAAAAGTCGCGGATCGGCAGAAGTTATCCGGGTGCCAGAATTTGAAGTCATCCTTGGCTAGGAACAGCATGCGGTATATCTTGTTACGCAGCTCTGGAGGCAAGGTCATGAATCCAGTCGGTGATTCAGATGACAGTTTTGAGCTCTGAGTATGGCGAGCGACCTTGGTGCATGGGGTGTCCAGGCTCCGCGCATAGGGGAAAGGTGAATTACTCATGAGCATGCTAGGATCCAATTGTACAACAAAAGGTCCTGTGAAGCCTTTGGGGACATTGAATGTCAATGAAAGCATGGGGGGAGCATCAATCGGAGTCACAGGTTGACTATCTGAGTGGCTGTAGCTGTCGCTAGAATCCACTTCATCGACGTCGGAATGTATTGGAGAGAGCGGTGGGGCTGGTGGAGGAGACGGTGATCGCTTTCGCTTCCTTGAAGCTTTCTTCACCGTCTTGCGCGGTCGAACGTCCTCATCGGAGGTCACGGTGTCCAACTCAGTGTCTCGATCCATATCGCTAAAACCTTCGAGGTCGTCGACAAGTGAAGTAGAGTCTACGTACTGAGGATGGATGGGCTTCTTTCCGGCAGTTTTGCGTAATGGTCTTCCGGAAGCGGAGAATAGAGAGATAGGGCTCGGGTGGAAGAAAGTATCGCCAAGCTCAGGACTGGATTGACGAGAGACCAGAGGGTGTGGTGGAGGTATATGAGCGAGGCGAAGCGAGGCTCTCTTGGACGCAGGTGGAGCCGCCATGCTGGATTCCTAGCAGTATTGTCAGTTAATGGGATTATTGGCACGTTAATGATCAGCGACAAAGACCGCGGCTACCAGACGATCGGTGAATCCCTGGTACAGTGGATCGCCTCGACGAACAAGCGCAGGAAGCCTCAGCCGCCTTGTGGCAATAAGCGGATACAGGGAACGGGTGAATGGCCAATGATGTGTAATCGTTTTCGTAGGCATGCCGAATCAGTGTATATAGATGCAGACATACCTAGTTGTCACAAGTCTCTCTACGAATGACGTGCAGGTGCAGCAGGATAAGAGGGCCGAACGGCTCTAGACTGAGAGAGTAAGGAAGGTCATGTAGCTCAAAGGTCTCAAAGGTCTCGAAGGTCTCGAAGGTATTGGTTGAAGTGTTGGTGGAGACTGGTAGGAGAGGAAGCTTTGCGAGCGGAGCATTGAGCGAGGCAGACCGAACGTGAAGTGTATAGTTGTGAGTTTATAGTTGCAAGGTGGAGGAGGGTCAATGGCGGATACTGGTATGCAAGTGAAGGTGAAGGTGAGGGTGAGGGTGAATGTGAATGTGGAGGTGCCGATGCAGATGCAGATGCAGATGCACGACGAGACGGTGGAAGGATCAGGAAAGGATTCCGGCTATTGAGAAAGGAAGGTGCAGAAAGGAAGGTCCAAGGTACCACTACAAGTCCACAACTATCCTACCAATACCACCACCACCACCACTTTTGCTTATGGAGACTGGTTAAGGCTAAGAATCCGGCACCGTGGGATCGATCCAGCACCACTGGACATCCGCTACATACCAAGAATAACGAAAACGACCATGATTTACGGCCGTTTGCTCGTGCCGGCGCTGGTGCTGGTGCATCCGCCAGAGGAACACGCGCCAAGTCGCTCTAGATTCTCTGTCCATGTCCTGGCAACTGTGGTGTTGATTGACGGCGCACCGTGAATGGTGTCTGCTGGAACGAAGCACCGAGACAAACGCTGGTCGTGGATGAAGGAAGCCATCTGGATAGATGCTACGAGGCACAAATATGCCACTCCACAGCGATGATAGCACGCTGCCGACATGCTGTGAGGAAGTCATCAACGAACAAGAAGCTGTTCTCATAAATGTCTCCCTGCTAATGCGTCGACAGACGAGCGTGCTCGTAAACGTACAGCCAGCTGGTCAACTCTACGGGCGCGTCCACGTCGGTTGATGGATGAGGAGGTGAAGAAGAGACGGACTAAATTGAACGTAACATACATGATTGCGCCCGCAAAAAGACAAAGCCAGCGCGAGGAATAGCATGTGTAGCAGGAATAATGCAAGTCGAGCAGCGCGGGCGACGAGTACCACACCATGTCAATGTCCATGTCCATGACCATGTCCTCCGATGCCCCCAAGATGTCGAGGAACGAACACAACAGGAAGATTCCAATCAGGTCAATTCAAACTGTTCCTCAAAAGGTGGTGAAGCGGGCCCGGAACATGTCAACAGCACCCTCACCCGTGAAGGCGAGAGGATGCAGCTGTCGTGGAAGCCATCTCATCATATTGGAATTAGTTGTGTGAAGAAGAAAAGAGAAAAGCGAAAAGGGTGAGGAAAGGATGAGTAGGAAACGAGACTGTCCAGAGTCGGGTCTCGCTTAACGGTGGTCTAGTCCCGATATGACCTTAGCGCATGATCCTCCGCCGCCGGAGTTTGCATGTCGGAGCCTGAGAGACAAGGCCGCCGATTGCCGCCGTCATCGCCAAAGAAAACCCCAAATCTTCCTGCGGATTTCCTGCTATGACAGCGACAGCGACAGCAATGGCAGCCATCATGAACAGCGTCCGAGCCTCACGATCCCTCCTTGCCCGTCCTCGTCTCTACCAGGCCCCCATTGCCCCAGTCGGTCGTCTTTTTGCTCAACGGCAAACATGGCGGGGCATGGCAAGCTCCGTTTCCTCTGATAGCCAGCATAAGGCGAGTCCTAATTTCTACAATTACTGCAATATGAACACCAGACTAACATCATGACAGCTGCTGTCGTCTCGTCTCGAGGAAGCCGATCCTGCCGTCTACGATATCATCCAGAAGGTATGCGAATTGACAGTCTCCAATCTCGCACTGACTCACACGCTACACGTAGGAAAAACGGCGGCAGAAGCATTTTATAAACCTGATACCCTCGGAGAACTTTACCTCTCAGGCGGTCTTGGATGCACTCGGCAGTGTTATGCAAAGTATGCTCGACGTGTGACACAATCTCGCAAGCAGCTAAGACTTCTGCTACAGATAAATACTCGGAAGGGTACCCCGGAGCTAGATACTACGGCGGAAACGAATTCATTGACCAGGCAGAGATTCTATGCCAGCAACGCGCCCTCCAGGCATTTCACTTGAATCCTGAACAATGGGGTGTCAACGTCCAGCGTGCGTATACCTCTGTCGAAGCGATCGTGGTGGTCTTTGTATCTGATGTCTATTCAAGCTCTCTCCGGATCTCCCGCAAACCTTTATGCCTACTCCGCCCTCCTCAACACACATGATCGAATCATGTCTCTCGACCTTCCGCACGGTGGCCACTTGTCGCATGGATACCAGACTCCGACCAAGAAGATTTCGATGGTCTCAAAGTACTTTGAGACGTACCCGTACAGGCTAGACGAGAAGACGGGTCTGATAGACTATGATAAGCTAGAAGAGCAGGCAATTCTGTACAGGCCCAAGATCATCGTCGCTGGGACATCTGCATACAGCCGCCTGATCGACTACGACCGCATGAAGAGCATCAGCAACAAGGTCGGTGCATACCTCCTGGCTGATATGGCACATATCTCCGGGCTTGTTGCTGCGTCTGTGATTCCCTCGCCGTTCGCGACAGCCGACATTGTCACCACCACAACGCACAAATCTCTGCGCGGTCCACGCGGAGCCATGATCTTCTTCCGCAAAGGCGTGCGTAGCACCGACAAGAAGGGCGTCGAGACCCTCTACGATCTCGAAGGTCCCATCAATGCGTCTGTCTTCCCCGGCCACCAGGGCGGCCCGCACAACCACACCATCACCGCACTCGCCGTAGCCCTCCAACAAGCACAAGCCCCAGAATTCAAAGAGTACCAGAACACCGTGCTCAAGAATGCGCGCGCCCTTGCGGAACGTCTAGGCAACTCCAAAGACGCTGGCGGCCTAGGCTACACGATCGTCTCCGGCGGCACGGACAACCACCTTGTCCTGATCGACCTGAAAGACCGCGGCATCGACGGCGCCCGTGTGGAGCGCGTGCTCGAACTCGTCGGCGTCGCGAGCAACAAGAACACCGTGCCAGGAGACAAGTCCGCCATGAAGCCCGGCGGTCTCCGCATGGGCACGCCCGCCATGACGACACGTGGTTTCACGGCCGACGACTTCAGACGCGTTGCCGATATCGTGGACCGCGCCGTGACTATTGCTGTTAAGGTGGACAAGCAGGCGCGTGAGGCGGCGGAGGAGAAGGGGCGGAAAAATCCCGCTAGCGTGGCGGCGTTCAAGGAGTACCTGGGCGAGGGCGAGGACGTTACTGATATTGTGCAGCTGCGGCAGGAGGTGGAGGACTGGGTGGGCACGTTTAGTCTGCCATGGGAATAAGTAGTTGTTTGGGGGCACCTGACGGACATGTGGGCGTTCAAGCGGTTTCAACTCGCCGGCGCTTTTCGGAAGGCTTGTTTTGTGTATATCTTGCGAAATTGGCATCTTGCGGGTCGGCATCTTGCGATTTTGAAAATAAGTGTTTTATTGTACTTTGCACTCACAAAAATCACACGGTGTAGTGCCTGCGTCATGAATGACTGTGTCTCTTGTTGTGATCAGAACGAACCTGTGAATGCCCATCATGCCCCCCCGGCCCCTACAACCCTAGGAGAAGAAACACGAGAGGTCATGGCGGATGGGTGCTCATACTTCCTGTCTTCGCGGTGGAACGCACACCGCACGCACTTGTATGCACGTACGTATATATATGAGCATATATGATCATGTATAACAAGAAGTGAGCTTGGACTCGACTCGACTCGACTCGACTGCTAGAGACGACTGTATGTATGTATATATGGTGGAAAAGGAAGAGAGAGAGGTAGAGAGGAAGAGGAAGAAGAGGAAGAGAGAGGAAGGAAGAGAGAGGAAGGAAGAGAGAGGAAGGAAGAGAGAGGAAGGAAGAGAGAGGAAGGAAGAGAGAGGAAGGAAGAGAGAGGAAGGAAGAGTAAGAAGAGTAAGAAGAGAGAAAGATCTACAATTACTACAACCATTACCATAACTATATAAAGAGTTGCGTAGAGTTACGTAGAGCTACGTAGTAGAGTCGAGTAAAGAGTATAGAGTGCCGAGGAAAGCGGAAGAGAGATGTACCCATCCGTATACATATCCATATCTCCATCCGTATACACATACACATCCATATCCATATATGCGCATCCATGTCCCTTGCTATGCTGTGCTGTTCGTTCGTGTCATATCCGTCCGTTCCCGTAGTCGTGGTATCCCATGTAATCCCCAGATCCATCCATCCTTTGCCCCTGCCTGTCCCCCGAGAGAAAAGCGATGTGCAAAAAACGGGACGACGTGATCATACACCACACCACCTATCCCCGGCCCCTCAAAATCCCCAGGAAACAAGCAAACACCAAACACCAAACCAACGCCAATCCCAAGCCCCCCCCCCCCCGAAACAAACCCCCTATATCCACCTGACTGACACATCCCAACAAACCCCCCAACCACGCCCGCTCAGTCATCATCACAATCATCATCATCATCATCAGTCGTACCACGCATATCCTCATCCCCATCCCCAAACACCCCACCCGCATCCCCCTCATCCAAAAAACTATCCCGCATAACCCTATCCCCACCACCACCACCACCATCCTCCTCATCAACACCATGCCAACTCTCCCCATCATCCTCCCCCTCGCCCTCCCCCTCCCCATCAGCAACCGTATCCCCATCCCCATCCCCATCATCATCCGTGCCCAAATCCGTCATACCCGCACCAACAAGCACGGGCCCACTATACGGCGTCGCATAGGCATATTGCGGATATGCGCGTTTGGCCGCTTGTGCTGTTGTTGCGGCGACTGTGTTATTGTTTGTGCTGGTGATGGCGTTATTGTTGCTGTGCTCGAAAAACGGCGAATTGCTGTCCTTCGCACTCGATTTGGAGCTTGGGGTAGATGTACGTGTGCGTGTGCGTGCGTGGGCGGTGGTGGTGGTGGTGGGCGCGGGGACAGGGGGAGGAGAGGATGGGAGCGGGGAGGATGGGGAGGAGATGCGGCGGCGCTTGGGGTGTTTTTTGGATGTGGTGGTGGTTGTGGTGTTGTTGTTGATGCGGGAGGACGGGGAGGAGAAGGCGGAGGAGGAGGAGGAGGAAGATGAGGAGAGTAAGGAGGGCGGCGGGCGTGGGTAGTGGATGTGGATTTGGCGGTGGGATGGAGATTGTGAGGGCCCAGCGGCGGCAGAAGCAGATTGAAAGCGGCGTTTCGGGACTAGAGACTGGCGCGAGGCGGGGCGTTTGGGCGTTGTTGTTGCTGCCGTTGCAAAGGCGGAGTCTACGAGGGATGGGGATCCGGCGGTGTGGCGGCGCTGCTGGCTGTGCGAGCGGCGTCTTGGAAGGGTCTCTTCTTGTTGTTGATGTTGTCGGGTCTCGGAGAAGCGCGAGGATAGACTCGGACCTAGGGGGCGCTGCTGCGGCTGACTAGCTGACTTCCCCGTTCGTAGCAGACTGGAACCATGCGCTTGCTCCCTAGGCAGCGGAGAGGACCGAGAATGAGCAGCAACGATCTGACTTGCCGGCGCGGACTCAGCCTGGAAAAAGGACGAAAAGGACGACGAGGCGCTGGGGAGCTGGTCGAGCTTGGGCACATACCGCCAGCACGGCTCGTCCGCGTCAGACTCGACGACGACGACTTGCGCCGGCCCGTCATTCATCTGCACGTCCAGGCCTGGCTCGAAGCGTGGCAGTTCGCGGATCTGCTTCCATGTCCAAGGGGTGTCCTTGGAGCTCTGCTGCATGTAGGCGTCGCGGTGAGTGACGAACAGACGACGCGTGCCGCCGGAGACGCGCATGATGATGCCCGAGGCCAGGAACTGTGCTGTCCATAGCGCCGACGTGGCCATTTCCTGCCGGCCGAGGAAGCGGAGTCTTGAGGACGAGAGGACTTTGCGCAGGGGGAGAAAGGAGGCGCGGAGGCCGGGCACGCGGCTGAGCATGTGGTCGGCGTCTTGGGAGGTAAAGGACGAGGCGAGCCCGTGGTCGTGGGGGACGGACTCGAAGCATTTGCCGATGGCGAGCTGGATGTCTTCGGCGTTGGAGCCGGTGATTTGCACGTTGCGGACGAAGCCTCGACTCTGGAGCCGTCGGTAGACGACGTTCTTCGGGCCGCAGGCCTTTGGCGACAGCCAGTCATCTGTATTGTCGGCCCAGCCGTGTATGTCTTGCTCGCTCCAGCCACTGAAGGACGAGCGCGGGTCATTGCTCGACAGACGCGACGATGACGCGTTGCTGCGCGCCTGCGTCCACTCTTCCGTGTCCTGGGGAGTCTGCTTCATCTCTAGGGCGTCTTCAGGGGAGTACCAGATACCACGGAGATCTCGCCCCCAGGGCAGAAACACAACCTCGACCTCCCATGGATCTGCATGGGTGGGTACACTGGCCTCGAGCACATCAAGCCGTTCGTTGATGCCCTCAATATCCTCCATCTTAGCATATAGCCCGCCCGATCTGCCATATTCCTCACCGTGCGAGTCGTGGCTATCCATGACAGTGTGTATCTTATCGTGATCCTCCTTCCAGCTCTCGAGCTCCAGCAGACGGCCCTCGAGAAACTCAAACCTCTCCGTGACCTCCTCTGCCTGGACATTGGAAAACGAGAGATTCTCCAGATTGTCGATCCGATCAGCCAGAGTCCGCAGGGACGCCGAGACGCTCGGGTACGAGGTGAGATGTCCCTGGATGGAATTTAGATGTATGCCCAGTTTCTGCAAGACGCTCGCAACAGAATGTGCAGTCGAGTTTGACGACGGGCCAGGAAGCGCCAATTCACGGTCCGCGAGCGTCCTCGACAGGAGATCGGCCATGCTCTTCGCCTCCAAGACGGTCTGTTCAATCTGGCGCAGCTCGGGCGTGTTGTCATTGCTCGGAGTAGCAACTTCCGTGGCACTGCCCGCGAGGTCTTCCGGATCGACGTTCCCACGTGGTTCGTCCGGCACAGAGATGGTAGGCAGCCTCCGTCGAGCGTGGAGAACGCCATGCATGAGCGCGCGGGACGGACTGGCACGTGTGGGACGCAGACCGGCAGACGGGCTTGTTCGTGTGCGTGTGCGTGTCTGGAGCGGCGTAAAGTCGCTCTCGCTCGGCGCCGCCATCTGGATCGTTGACGGGAGCGACTCTTCCCTCTGGCCTCGATTGTGGCCATTCGGACCAAACGACAAGCCGAGGCCGGCCGGATGCGCAAACGTCTTTCTTGCTCTCAGGTACTGCGAGTCCGATATGGGCGCCGTGTCGTTGTCTAGCTGGGGCGTGTTGGCGGAAGGTTCTGGCAGTAGACAGGCGCTGGGGATACGGGGGAGCCCGGTGGTCGAGCTGAGGTTGGAGGCGCGCAGACTGAATTGCGAGAAGCGCTCGTTCTGCGACGGGCGTGGGATTCCGTATCCATATTGACTGTTCCTCATCGCGGCTTGCTGACTTTGTTGTTGCTGCTGTTGCTGTTGCTGCCTCGCCGGCGCATATTGTTCCTGCCGACTCTGCAGCCTTTCCGTCTGGCTCCCTTCCAATTGACTCTTCGCCTGCTCTCTCGCGGACCCTCTCTTCGCCGTCTGACCTGCGACCCGAAGATCCCCATCAAATCGCTGCAGCCGATTCGAAAGCTGGCTCTCCGTACTAGTATGATACACGCCATCCTCCTGTCCAACCTCTTGCTCCTCCTGCTCCCGATCCCCATCCTCCTCCTCATCCTCAACCCCCACCCGGCGATGAAAGCACAAATGATGCCCACACGTACACGCCAAGCCCTCCTGCGTCCAGAACATCAGACACCCACACATGAACCCACGATTCAGATCTCTGAAATTGCACGCTCCGCCGGCTCGTCTTCGTTGTCGGGCTGGTTGGTGTTGTTCTTCGTCTTCATCGTCGTCTTCATCGTCGTCTTCATCGTCGTCTTCATAGTCTTCGGTGTCCCGCCTCCTCCTGCTTCTGCTTCGGCTCCTCATGTCATTCTTATTCTTTTGCTTCTGCTTTGGCTTTTTGTTCGGGACAGCAGCAGCAGCGTGCTGTGCTGGCCCGGCCATTTATGGCGTGGTGTGGTGTGGTGTGGTGTGGAGCGACGATGCCCTCGTGTGCGAAGTTGCGACTAGAGGATGGGCATTACTGACGGGTCTCGAGAGGTGTGGAGTGTGGTTTTGAGTGGTGTCATGGGTGACAATGGGCGGAGGACTGGGTGGATGGTGGACTGATAGATGGATGGAGTGTTAGCTGCTGTACTGGCAACGCGGGGTGGGATAGGGTCTGATACATACATAGCAGTGGTAGTGGTAATTGTCGTAGTAGTCGTCGTGATCGTGATCGTGCTGGCCGTGGTTCTGACTGTGGTTCAGGCAGTAGTCGTAATCGCAGTCGATCGTCCCAACACCAGCAACCAGCAACCCTCACACTCCCCACTCCACACAGACTCGAAATCCCACGTACAAACACCAGCCCGTATAACCCAGCCCAGCCTAGCACCGCACCGCACAGCCCAGCCCAGCCCAGCTCAGACGCCCAAGCACTCCGACCACGTATAAAAAGCACCAACAATCGCAGTGCCGGCCGGCCGGCCTCACAAACTCCGTCTCGTCAGGCGTCAATCGTCAATCGTAAACCAAAGCACGCGACGAAGCAAAGCAAAGCGATCGAAGCAGAACAGCGTAACAGCGGTCGCAATCGTAACAATATACTTCCCAATCGCAGTCTTGTCTCGCCGTATTCTTCACCGCACCATCTCAACGAACGGCAACAGCACAACGGGTTCCAAAGTCAAGTCGAGTCGTCGAAAAGTCCGATAAAACGCCCAAAAAAAACCCAGAGAAACGGTGACTCGACCTGCCTTGCTACCGCCCACAAATGGCGCTAGCAAGGGGTTCTACTGTTCTACTCCAATGGGATCGCCCACTGATCGTTCCACTAACCGTCCACTAATCGTCCAGTCAACCCACGCGCCCACTAGACCCCAATCCACGCGCTTCCCCCCGGTCGGTCGGCAGCGGGAAGACGGGTCCCGTGAGCGCTAACTGCTTATACTAATTAACTAGGTATCACGGGGGGCGCTAGGTGGGTAGGGTTAATTAGGGTATGTAAGGTGATGATCAGAGGCGATAACTACACAATTGTATATATATATATATATATAAGGAATAGCATGGAATGGAATGGAATACAGTAGTGTGTCTGTGTGCGGGACGGGGGATGTATGCAGGTATAACAAACACATAACTACCACATAGACTTTTAACCAAACGAGGAGGATGTATCATCTCACCGGCACCACTATAATCACAGATAAAGAAAACATAATTATCAGCAAAAAGCCGTTAATAATCAGTCAGTACCACCACCACCACCATAAAAACAACAATCAGCCAAAAAAAAAGGCGGTATACTTGTTTCGTAATTCTACATGCCCCTGCCATGCCATACCACACACACTATACCACACCACACCACACCACACCACAGGATCCAAAAAGAAGCCAAATCAGAACAAAAGCCAAAAGTCAAAGCCATCAACATGCCAGTCCGCCTGACTAAAACGTCCCTTGTCACCCGTCCAGCAAGCCAGCACATACTCATATAACCCTCAAGACCTCAAGACCTCAAGACCTCAAGACCTCAAGACCTCAAGACCTCAAGACCTCAAGACGAAAAAAAAGTGCGAAAGAAGTCAAATCATGTATTATAAAAAGGGGTTGTAGTAAGTACCTAGGTAGTAGTACTCCTCAATCTAACACACACAAAGTTACGTGCACCCCATGGCAAGACAAGACAAGGCAAGGCAAAGCAAGGCGATGTTGACACAGAAACCCCCAACCCATCCCAACCCATCCCGTAAAAAACACACGCGGCGAAATATGAAAACGTAGCAAGAACGACGTGAAAAATAAAAAAGTCAAAGTTGTATAGTAGCAGGCGCATCATAAAGAAAATCATTTCCGCCGGCGCGACGACGAGCCCGTCCCAGACCCCAACCCGGACCCAGACCCATTCAAGAACTGATCCGTCAAGGTCTGGAAGATGCGTCCGGCCGTGCCTCTGCCATTCAGCATGTTCTCCAGCTGGTCTGCGATGGCATCCGACTTCCTCGGCTGGCCCTGGGCGTCGAAGCGCGGCTCCATCTCAATGGTCTCGCCGGACGAGACGGAGTCGGGGGAATCATTTCGTTTGCGGTCGTTATCGTGTCGTCGTGTGTCTGTCCTGTCGGAGCGGCCGCGCTTGCGGTCCTTGTCTCTATCGTGTTCTCTTTTTTGGTCTTTTCTGTCGCTGCGGTCGTGGCGGTCTCGATCGCGGTCTCGGTCTCGATCTCGGTCGCCTCGTCGCCGGCCGTCCTCCCTGTCACCGTCTTCATGCCTGCTCCGCCGTCGATCTTCGCCGCCGCCACCAGAATCATGGCCGCGATCGTCGTCATCTGATAGAGGCGACCATGGTGGTTGTGGTTGTGGTGGTGGTGGTGGTGGTGGTGCAGACTGAGGCAGGTTGAACTGGACAGACTTGGCCGACGGCGGCGGCGAAGGATCGCGAATCGAGTTTACACCATCTGTCAAAGCCAAGACATGCCGTTAGTCAACCAGACCCCCAAGAATGGCATTAGATGTCCTTGAACGCACCACCATTGTAGTAGTGCTCACGTTCAGCAGCTGCGAGAGGAGCACTCACATTGTCGCCGCCGCCACCGCCGCCACGACGTTGCCTGTCATCTGGTGGCGGATATTGACCTTGCTGTACCGGGGACGGAGAGTATGGGTAGTCTGGGTGGTGTGCGCCGCCGCCGGGTGGTGGATGGTAGTCTGCGGGATTGTAGGGTTGAGGCTGGAAGCCTGGGTCCTGTGGTGGAGGGTAGGACATGTTCTGCTCAGGGGGCGGATAGCTTTGTGGTTGTGGCGGCGGTGGGAACTGGTTTGTGGCAGGATAGTACTGACCACCACCACCACCACCAGGAGGGCCTGCCGGAGACGTTACATAGTCTGTGGGATAAGCTGGGCCAGTGGGCACAAAGGGAGGCGGACTGAATGCGTCGGACGACGGAAAGTCACGCTCGCGTTCTTCTGCCAGGCCTATATAATGATCTGTTAGTCTTCGTGTGTATGTATTTTAGCTACAAGTCACTGGGACGACGACGTACGTTGCCGCTCTTTCTCAGCCTTCTTGCGCTCACGTCTCTTTGCGGCTTCATGCGCTGCAACACCGGCAACACCCGCGACGGCAGCCGTCTCTGCGAGCTTTCTGCTGCGGCTCCGGCTCCGGCTGCGAGGCTTGTCGTCCGAATCGTCGGAGCCACGTCTGCGGCCTCTGTCCCGACGGCGCTCGCGGTAGTCTGCATGATCGCGCTCACGACGGCCGTCTGCGGCCGTGTATATTGGGTCGCCGCCGTACTCGATAAGACCACGGTCACCAGTCGAGTTGCGGCGAGAGCGATCCCGGTCCCGGTCCCGGTCTCGGTCACCGTCACGCACTGACCTGGATCTCGACCTAGACTTGGACTTTGAGTGTGTCCTCGACCTCGACACCGACCTCGACCGGCCACGCTCGCCTTCATCTTCGTCTCCTCCGCCAGCCTCCTTCTTCGCCTTCTGTCGCTCGTAGAGGCCAGTGACAGCGGCACCGGCCAAGCCAGCAGCGGCGATGGGCACGCCAGTCTTTATGCGGCTGCGGCTTCTCGGCTTCTCGCCCTTGCGGGATCTTGACTTGCTTCGAGCGCGCTCGACCAGCCCGGCAACGGCAGCGGTGGCAAGACCGGCTTGGGCGACTCTTCTGTTTCTGTGCTCGGGATCGTGTCGGCTGCGGGAGCGCTCCCCGCCAACAGAGTGGCGTCTGCGAGAGCGACTTCTGCTCCGGCTCCCTGCGGCGGCAGCATTCTTGTTCTTGTTCCGTCGGCTTGCCGCGTATGCGAGGGCACCAACGGCGGCTATACCGGCCACGGCACCAATCTTCTTGCCGCGTGAGAGCGAACGCTTGCGGTGACGACTCTTGTCACGGCGTCCACGAGAGCCAGATCGCGAGCGGGAATGGGAGCGCGATTTGCGGAAGCGACTGACGGCTTCAGCGCCGACCGCGCCTAGAGCAGTATATCCGAGTGCCTGTCGGGCGTGATGACCAGGATCCTCGCCCTGGGAGCGACGATGGTGTCGCATGAGTTCTGCGGCGCCAAGGCCGACGAGAGCACCCTCTGCGAGATGACGGCGGTGGTGAGGACTCTCGTCGCGCTCCCATCTGTCCTTTCGGATGTAGACCATGTCGTCGTCGCTGAAGCGGTCCTCGTCGCGACGACGGCTGTCGTACTCTCGCTCTTCGTAGTAGTTGTCTCGATCCCGGGGCCCTCTGCTCGTCTCTCGGATCCTGCGCTCGTAGTAATAGTCCTCGTCCTGGCGCGGCTCACGGCGCTCCAGCTGGCGATCGTCCCTGACCTCTTCACGCTCGATGATCTCGTACTGGGGCTCTTCTCTCTTGATGACAATCTGCTGCGGCTGGCGTCGCTCTTCCTGGATGATGATTGGCTGGGGAGCCTCGTTCCGGATGACGATGGGCTGCGGGGGAGGTGGTGGGTTGGCAAAGTACTCGGTCGACTTGGAGTAGCGCTGGAGCTCATAGGGCGTCTCTGGATCGTCGCGTTCGAGGGTGCGAGTCACTCTGTACTCCCTCTCCGGCGAATCCGAGCGCTCGACGTCTCGCTCGAAGCGGTACTCACGGATTTCGCGGCGCGGAGGCGACGGAGAGCGGTCGCGGTCGACGTAGCGGTACTCGCGGATCTCGCGGGTAGTGGTAGAGTCGCGCGGAAGAGTGGGAGCAGGCACGACCTCACGCTCAAACTCAATCTCGCGATCAACGACTTCATACTCGCGCACAGAGCGGGCTCGCGGCTCCGAGTGGCGGGTTGTGTGTGTGGTGTGCGAGTGTCTGGCGGACTGGGCATCGTAGTTGTTATTGTTGATGTTGAGGTTGATGTTGTCATCGTCGGTGTGGGTGGACTTGCGCACGATGCGAGTCTCCTCGACGAAGCGATCGTCGTCGTAGTCTGTGTCGGGAACCTTGTATCGACGGACGGTGGTGTAGGAACGAGCGCCGTCGTTGCGACTGGAGCGAGAGTCCCAGTCGCGCTCACGCTCGCGTTCTCGTACCGAGACGGACATGGCGGTGTTGAGGAGGCGGTCCAGTCGAGCGATGGTGGTTGTGGTTGTGGTGGTTGGAGTAGTAGGAATAGAGAGTAGCAGAGTGGAGGATGGATGGAAGAATTGAAGAAGGATGGCGTCAGGGTGAAGTGGAGGAAATTGCGGGCTGCAGGATGACGACGAGTGGGTGCAGGTGGTTGGGAGTAAAAGTAGGCCTGAGGCAGTTAGTTGGGCGGCAGCGTGGGAGAAAGGAGGGGCATTGGAGGCAGGAGTGGGCAGAGTGGGCACTAACAAGCTTACTAGGCAGATGGCAGCTTGTTCGGCGGATGGTCAGCTCAGCTCAGCAGGGCAGTGTCATGAGCAGACGTGGTGAAGTGGAGCAGTAAGCAGAGTAAGTGCTGCGCAGGGAAGAAAAGAAGAGAAAGAAGAAGAAGAAGAAGAAGAAGAAGAAGAAGAAGAAGAAGAATAAATGGGTGGTGTGAGGCGTAGACGTCAGAGATGAGAGAGAGAGGGAGAGGAAGAGGATGGATGGCAGAGCGTGGAGGGAGGAAGAGTAATAATAGTAGTAAGCTGGTGGTAGGTAGGTAGGTAGGTAGGTAGGTAGGTAGGTAGGTAGGTAGGTAGTAGTAGGTAGTATGAGGTAAAGTGAAGAGAGTAAGACTCGGGCGGAAAGTGAAACAAGAGATGCGCGATTAGACCAGCTTCCGGGCCTGGCTCTGCTGCTTCAGGTTCAGGAGTGGAATAGAGCAGCAGGAGAATGTATGATAGAATGAATGATAGAATGAATGAATGAATGGATGGGAGGTGGAATGGGCAAGCAAGCAAGAATGGAATGGGTCTCGTGACGGAGTGGCAGGATGTGTATAATTAATTACAGGATGCAAGTATAGATAGATGGCTATAGTATCATGGCTGTGGCTGATGAGGCTGCACGTCGACTGACTGACTGACTGACTGACTGACCGAGACTGTACGCGAGCTGAGCTGCATACAGCATACTCATATACGATAACAACATACACACCTATGCACAACCGGTCTACAAGTAAGTCCACCGTGGCCTCATCATCGTGTCCAGACGTCCTCCTCCCGGTCAGCCCATCCATATCTACTACAGTAAACCTTGGAGTCAGTCCCAGCAGACCCCGCAGCGTCACCGTCACCGTCACCGTCACTGCCCACTGCCCACTGCCCACTGCCCACTGCCCACTGCCCACTGCCCCCTAATCGCCAGCTCCAACCCCGCCAAAACGCCCCCCTAAGAAACCCCCCGAAACGCTGCCCACGAGTCTTGCGTACAGTACTGTCAAATGCAGCAGCAGCGGTAGGAAGCGCGTCATGCAGCTAAAATCCATCCATCTACCCCGGCTTTTGGCTGCATTGACCGGCGACATGCCGTACTGTATACTGTATACTGTACGCTACTGTACGCTACTGTACGCTACTGTACTATTATACTATACTCTGACACTGTACTGTGCTATAATTAATCATGTTGGTGCGGCGGTCAACACTCCTGATTGGCCTGCTTGCTTGCTGGCCTGCCATTCTCATTCTTCTTCTCCCCAATCTGCTACAACAACAACAGTCTACGCCTCTATCGATTATATCATCATGGCCAGCTATTCTGACCGGTGTGTGCGTTTGTGGTGGTGGCCATCTCCATGCTCCATGCTCCATGCTCCATGCTCATGTCAGTCCTGCCCGCGCATCAGATAGCCCATGATGCCCCAGAGCGCCGTCATTGCCTCGACCCGGTCCTCTACCGCAAAGAGATCGTACCAGCGCGTGCGCTCGACCTGGGGTGCGTTCCATGCGGATCTATCACTACTGCTAATACTGCCACCACCACCACCCTCAAGCAGCCAGTCCAGGTACGCCGCATGCACCCGCAGCTTGACGATCCGCACATGGTGCCTGACCGACGACACCATGTACACCTCGTCCCACCCCGCCTCTCTACCGCCGCCCGGCTTGCCGATTGCTTCGTATCGCACTTTGCTGTCCCACATGCTCATGCCCGCCTTGACTTCCTTCCACGTCTGCACCGGTGACGCTCGCTTCCTGCTGCTGCTGCTGCTGCTGCTGCCTGCTCCTACCACTGCTCGACCTCCTGTCCCTAGCCCACCCTCTGCTTTCTCGTCGCTTGCCCCGCTCGCCTCGCCAACCTCGCCGCCCGTCCCGCCGCCCCACCGTGGCTCCCGCGTCCACCACTTGCCCGACCCCGCTCGCTTCTCCACCTTGCCTTCCTTGGCCCGCTCCTGTGCGAGATATAACAGTCCGCCAAACTCCCTCATCGCGTCCAGCTGTTGTGCCTGTTCCGCTTCCACGTTGCTACTGCTGCTGCTGCTGCCGCCACCAAAATCAATCTCTGGCCGACACTGCATCCCAATCACCGGCCCTTCAAACAGCCCCAGTCGCGCCCGTTTCCGGTCCTGTGGTGTCCGCCATCCAATGTTCGTCATCCGGACCGGGAATCGCACCTTTCCCACTTGAAGGTGAGCATGTCGTCGCGGCGGCGCAAACGTGATGCCGAATGCCCAGCAAATCGCCTCCAGGAATGCTCTGACCGTCTCGGCACGGTACTGCTCTGGCATCCCACTCCCATTGCCGATCCGGTTGCCCTTGTAGCTACCCTCCGGCACTCCCGGTCTGCGAACAAGTCTTCGTCGAGAGGTCGACGGAGAATGGGGTCCGGGCGGTGGAGGCGATCGTCGTGGCTGTAGATGCGACTTGGGCGTCATCAGATGGTCGAATGCGGGGTGGATCGAGGACAGTCCTGCTCCCGGCGGGGACACAACTCTAGCCTTTTTGCGCGGCTCACTGCCCTCCGCCGGTGGGAGGGGTGTATTGGCTTTTGCTGCTGGACTGCTAGGCGGTGTTTCATGCCGCTCTTCCGTAGCACTCTCACTCAGGGGAATGTATTCGTCCAGAGACGTGTCCCAGTAGTATGCCATGTTGTCCAGTCCCTCCCAGAATCGCCGAAGATGCACAAGTCGAGGCGGCTTCTGTCCCTCCGCTGCAGCCCGGGTAAAGGCCGAGAAGGCTTCCTGATTGGGACGTCGCACTTCCTCCAGTCTTACCCGGAACTCCTTGACACCAGGGACCTGTCTTCCGTTGCTCAACGTCGGCTTTTCGGCTGTAGTCGTCGCGTCCGTAGAGTCTTCCTTTGGATCTTCCAAGGAAAGCCATGACAAGTCTGGGAAAAACGCCGGGTCTGACGAGGGCTGCGACAGTAGATTCTGGAATGGTGTGTCTGCATTGAACCTTACGTTGAAGGCAGCCAGATGGTCGAGGCAGATATCGCTCGGCTTCCGGAGCGCAGCAAGAAGGGCAGACAGAGCAGGTGGTCTACCATCCTGCCAGCTCGACACTTGTTCCTCTGGTGTGACAAAGTTTGGTAGAGTCAAAGGCGTCGCCAGAGGGGGTGGATTGCGCTCCTGAGTGGGGTCATATTTCCCAGCGGTTAGAGAAGCTGCGTCGTCCTATATCAACATTCTGGACCTTTGCAATAAAAATAACAATAGACTCATGAGTAAAGTAGGAAGCAAGGTGTACAAATGATAATGCCAAGCAACAGGTTGTAATCTTCCTTTTGAAACAACGGACGTGACCGCAAAGAGAATGGCGAACATATGCCATCGAACCAACGCAAAACCAGGACAGCAGAATAGCAGGATAGCAGAGGCGCGCGTCTGGTAGGCCCTGTTGCGGCCACGAACCAATTGGCACGCCACACAGCAGCGCACTAAACATGATGGAAACAACAGCAACAACAGCTGGAGGACGGAGACAAACAAGAAACGTTGGGCCAACACTTACTACTTCCAGAGCCAAACGCAAACATGGCTGCTGCAGAGCAAAGAAAAGCCGTTCACGGGCCTGACGACGACGCCGACGACGAAGAAGAAGAAGAAGAAGAGTCCAAGGCGTGAAGCGGAACCTTCAGGCCAGCGGACAGACTCGAGGCGGGGAAGGTAGCGGTCGACATGGACATGCTCTGCCGTTGTGGTGGTAAATATTTACCCAGGCCGTGGATGTGCGGACGTCTGTTTCTGTGATGGTCGAGGAGGATTACGTTGAATATCAACAGAGATGAGATGGCAATTCACCACGTCGCATAATAGTGGTGGTGGTGTCAGTAGTGGTGGTGGTGGTGGTGGTGTAGTGCGGGCGATAGATCGGCAGGCGCGCTAGGGGTGTGCGATGTCTACTACGCGATGGCCGCCAGCTTGATGGATGCTGATGTTGATGTGGATGTGATAGAGGCGTCAAGTTATGCACAAAGTGAAAGCAACAAATGCCACAAGGCAACACCCAGTAAACAAACCGAATGAGTGATCGAGTGGTGTCCATGAAATGAACTTTAAAGTCATCAAAGGCTGGCGGACAACGACGACCAATCAGTTTAACCCCTGGAAGCGACTGGCTGTGCCAAGACCTCAGAGCCTCAGGCTTCCGTAGCTAGGCCGTATTGGGTTACAGATGCCTGTCTTTCCTCTCTGCACACGTGACTAGCCCCTTTGCCCTCTGCTCCAAACCACCTTCTTCTTCATCAACACCACCAGCACCACTATTCACTCCGTCCACCATAATCACAACCACAACAACCATCCACACGACTCCATCGTTCCATCAACGACACAGTCATGTCTTAGTCTCTATCCATCACACGCAGATGTGTCCAGTTTGTAGGCGATGAACAGCGTCCAAGACACGCTTTCCTGTCAATGGCTGCTACTAAGCGCCTCATGTGTGTAGCGGAGCGGCAAACGCGAAACTGCGCGAGCTTCAGGATGCCTTCACGTCGACCGACTGACTGCCTACCGATTGCGCTTTCCCAGCCTGCTCTGTTGCTTTCCTTGTTCGCCTCTTTATCCCACATGCATGTTCTTTCCATCTCCTACATGCATCTTCTTCCATTCTCCTCGCCCTCAGTCTCACCCGTCCACTCTTGCGCCAAATTATCAATTCATGCATCACTGCTCTCCCTCTGCTCTGCTCTCTACCCTCTTCGCCATGCCCTCATCCCGCCCATGTTTATGATATACCGCGTCTCCACTCCTTCTCTTGTTTCCATCTGATTTCGCCGTCATATCTTCGTTCATGGATATTTCATGGCTGAACCTCAAGACTCCATCACCACCTTTAGCGGTCGCCGCTGTACGCGCACTCGACGTCTTGATCCCACATCTCCCATCTCGTCCATCACAATCACTAGTAGCTCGCTGCTGGGCATGGCGCCGACTTCGGTGGTAGCAGGCAGCTCTGCGCAATCCGCTCCGTCATCCAGACAGGAGGATCCATCGTCGGCCACTATAGCCTCATTCGCCCCATTGCAAACACTCGCGCAGACTCCCACACCTTCACGAAATCTCCCGTCCGTACAGACTGCCCCCGTATCTTCGGGACAGGATTCGCCGCCTGGCAATGCTCAGTCAAGCCCTACAGGTTCGACAGCACCACCAGCGCCAGCATCAGACCTACTACCAACAACACAAGCACAACCTAGCGAGCAGACTCCACAACTCTTTGTATTGTCCTCGTTGCAAGCTCCAGGTACGCTTGATATTCCAGTTTCTATAGATTCTGATTCAACACCGGTGACTGTACTGCCGCATGCGGCAGTACCAGATGTATCAGTGGCAGTCTCTGTCCAGGCCGTGTCTGCTGAGGCTCCACAAGACGCCCCCAGTAGTCTTCGCTCTACTTCAAATGTCGCGCATAACACATTTCTCACAGCTAATTCTGTAGATCCATCCGTCCGACAGTCGCCTCAGCCGTCCGCTACGACATCAAGCACGCGCCTAATCACATCCATATCATCATCACCATCACCGTCACCGTCACCATCATCATCGCAAAGTGGGCCTACAGTAATTGGCGACGATACCAACTCCTCTCCTGCATCTTCAGGTGACGGTCCTTCGTCTCGGCCTCCCATATCAGTTCCCATTGCAGGAGGCGTGGTGGCTGGCTTGGTGGGCATTGCTCTTGTGGCAGCGTTGGTCTTTCTATGTTTCAGGCGACGGAGACAAGGCAAAAATGCGCTCCCACGGAGAGGCGAGGCTGGCGAGAAAGGTGACCAGGCTGGAGAGATTGATGAGATGAACGATTCTGTAGTCGCAGGTGCAGTACCAAGCCATGCACGGACCGACTCGAGGGAGAGCGAAAGCACCAACACCGCTGGCAGCCAAAGGAGGAGCCGGTGGTCCCATTCGACCGGCCTGCCTCCAAACTCTCCACGAAGCCGCGCAATGAGCGCACCAGTCGCTTTCCGCAGCCGCTTCAACGGCCTCGTCGCAGGCATCAAAACACGCATGGACAGAAAGAAAGACTCCCCACCCCTAGGCCACCCTGCCTCTCCATCGCCCAACACCGAAAGCCTATACAGCATCGACGACCCCTTTCTCGACCCAATCCAACCACTCCGTCCTGCCGCCCTCCGCATCGTCAACCCGGATACTAGCAAACCTTCAACCCCTATACCCAAAAACAACACCTCCCAACCCATCATATCCTCCACCACCATCACGACGCCAACCCGCTCCCCTCTCCGCAACCCCTTTGCAGATCCATCGAGCCCTCAAGGCACCACGCCAGAATATCTCCGCCACCCAGGCCACTCTCGCACGCAATCCCTCCAAACAGCTCTCCACTCCCACCCGCCCACACCTCACGCAACATCCTTTCATTCCGCCTCTCTTCAGACTCCCAATCCCAACGCTGCCGACTACCCACATCCATCATACTCATATCCCTATCCCACGCCTCACCTCTCTCCCGCCCCCTCCTCACCCCTCCCAAACACACATCTCCACCCCGCCGTCCGTCCTCTCTTCACCCCCCACCCCTCACCCCACCCAATCGACTCCACTCGCACAAGCATGACAACCCCATACCTATCTACCGCACGGCGCGTCCGTGGGAAGAGCGATCCCTTCGACCTCGACAGGCCCGAGGTCTTGGGCTTTGGCAACGTGAGCGGCCGGCGGGAGGTGCAGGATAGCGTGACGCGGCCTGCGCTGGCGGGCGTGCGGAAGAGTAGTACGCCTGGCTGGGGTGTTGCTGGGGGGCCTGAGGCGTCTGGAAATCGCGGGAGCAGAGCGAATGTCGGTATGGCGCGGTGAATGAATGCATGCATGCATGCACACACGAAAACCCGGGTGGTGTGCACAAGGTGGCTAATTAGCTGGATGGCGTATATAATGGTTACGTGCATGACGTGACGGAGATTAGGGTAGCGGTAGCGGGAGTAGAGAGCAAAGTGCTGCGGGCCAGGTCTTTGATTTCTTCGTCTTCTTTTCCTTTCTGGATACATATATTACATACTTACTATATACTACATATTGTATAACATATTAAATTCTGATATCCTTCTTTTTAGTACTGCATAGACTAGAGCAAGTGGGAATGCTAGTCTAGTGTATATATATAATATATATATATATATATATGTAAGATGTATGCATGTATTTATTCTTCACGCTCGTAATAAGCAGCTGCCTATGCGTGCACATGCATGCATGCACGTACGTACTTATGCACATGCACTCATCCGCACTCACGTCTTGTCCACACACACACACACATGTACGCACACACACAGAAAAACGCCCATGTCCCATGCACACCTCACACACACACATCTCCATACAACAACAACATCCATGTATTCATATATATATATGTATATATAAACACATACACCCCCCACCCCTCTCTCATCCCCCTCTCCCCCCTCTCACCCGTTCATCCAATCCCCCTCTCACACACCCCAACCCCCAACCCCCTACCCAAACCCATCATCACTCCACTGCGCCCCCTCATACAGCCTACCAACAGCCTGCCCACCATTCGGATCCAGCCTGACCAAAAACTCCGGCGGGACAGTGGGCAAATACTTGCGTTCGCGCTCGCGATTGACGCCGCCGAAGCCGGCGCCATAGCTAATCAGCATGTCCGTCGACGTGGGCAGCGAAAAGGGGAGCATGTACGAGGGGTCGAGGAGGAGGTTTTCGGGGGCGTCGGGTTCGTGCTCTGCGTCGCTGGCTCCGGCGGCTCCGGGGTATTCTGCGGGGGAGGGTGAGGGTGAGGAGGAGGTGGTAGGGTCGGAGGGCTGTTTCGCGGGGGTGGAGGGATGGGACTGTGTGGTTGCGGCAGGCGAGGAGTCGGTGGAGGTGCGCTTGGCTAGACTGTCGCGCTGCTTCTTCTTCTTGTCGCGGAGCTTGCGCTCCGAGGCTTCTTTCTGGAGGGCGTGGAGGTATTTGAGGGCGGTTTTGGCGAGAGATTTTTCGCCGACTTCGGGGCGGTAGTACTTGACGGCGTGGATGAGCTGCTGGTGCGTGAGGCGGGGGAGTTGTTGGAGGGTGGCGACGAGGGCTTCAAAGTCGTCGCCTAGCGAGGAGAGCACCTGGAGCCACTGGAGGAGTTGCACGGACGGGGCGAGATGGCGGGTGGAGGACTCGACTGTCGTCTCGCCTGTTGATGTCATTGAGCCGTTTTCGTAGTGCTCGGGCTTGCGGTTGTTTGACCGTGCCCAGTCCTCGAGCACGGACACGTTCATGCGGATCTGCATTGCTTTGGTACGTGCGAGGTACTTGCGATTGCTCATGATGCGGTTGAAAGTCTCGGCGCCGATCCAGTACAGGAGTTGCGACAACACCTGGGCGGTGATGACAGAATGGACGTCGTACAGGTCTAGCACGAACAAGGTCGACGATAGGAGCGAAGTGATGTTGCGCGGAGCAATTTGAGCGCGTCTCTTGGGTGAGGGCGGTCTGAATCGTTTTTCTGGCGGCTCTGGGGGTTTGGCTTTGGGCTTCGAGCGGAAGATCTTCCATTCGTTCTGGAAATGTATGTCCTCGAAACCAGGAATCGTCTCGTGGTCCAGCATCGCTGTGTCGAAGAATTTGTCTATTCTTCGCTCTGCATCTCGTATGATCAGGATGAATATCTCATTAATCAGATCTGCAATGTGGATCTGAAAGCTCGTTGTTGCTCCCGAAAGGCCCGTGTCCTTCTTCAGGTAGTGCAAAAGTAATGTCGCATTGGATATCCAGAATGCAAGTATCGTCATGTCCCATTGATGTCGCTCTACGACATCGTTAATCTTGTCCATGGCAGCGATAAGCAGTTTTTCCAAGAGCTCGGCACTGGCATGGTAGTGTGCATAGCGTGCACTCAAAAACAGGATGTTTGCCGGGACTGGCTTCTGAGAAGGGGATCGCTGTGGCGTCATGTTTGTGATGATCACATCAAGGATGCGTTCGAGATCGCTTTCCTGAAATACAAACATTTGGTCGTTCAGGCACCTGTCCCAAACAAACTCCTGCACGTCAGCGTCAAACTCCTCGGGATCCTAAGTACACGGTGAGCATCATGAACGTCGAGGGTGAATATCAGCGTACGCACTTCAGGCTGCTCATCAATACCAAGATTCCCGAGATCTACCTCCAAGTTAAAAGCACTCTCCATCATCATCCGGCGTTTCATCTCATTCTCTTGCATTTCTTCCTCGAATCGGTCCTGAGAGAAGCCTGAGTTGTAGAAATCATCCCCACCGACACCGACACCGACGCTTCCGATATTGTAGCCACTCTCGTGTAGATATTCGGAAATCTCGCTGTTCGGGGCAACAAAATCGAATGCCGTTCTTCCCGAAGATGATTTCACCTCCGGCGAGGCCCCGTGGTCTAACAGGACCTTTGCTATCGATTTGTGTCGGTTGGTCATGGCCCACATGAGAGGACTCCATTGGTTGCGATCTTGAATATCAACATTGGCCCCTGCTTCGAGCAGAGCAGCTACAACGTCTTCATGTCCAAAGCAGCAGGCGTAAATCAAAGGAGGGGTACCATCACTGTCCGCGGCGTCGATATCGATGTAGTCTTTGGCGCTGCCTTTCAGTAGTCGACCAACTCTTTCAACATCTCCATTGGATGCCGCCATGTTCAGTAAGCTCTGAAGTGTGTTTTGTTTCTCCTGCTCAGAAAGCTTATCATCTCCTATAAGCGTCTCCTCGTCCTCGTTTGCAGTACTGTCATTTTTGTGCCGTGCTTGACTCGCAAGCATTTGGACTAGGCGGCTATCGCTATCCTCAAGTCGAGACAATGTTTGTTCCTCTTCAAAGCCGCCATCGTCGAGGGTCAGGTTGAAGTCTAGGGGCCGTGCAGGAATCGGATTCGTCAAGAACTGCGACTGACCTGTGACCTTGGTCAGCAAACTTATAGCTGTAGACAAGTCTACTCCTACCTTGCCAGGCATCATAGATCTCGGTCTCTTCTCCCAGAATGGGTACGCTTCGTCGGTCATCTAGTGACGTGGGGAGATCACTTGGTAGCCGCCTTGGCTTATTTTGATTCTCGAAGACCTCGTTATCGTCGATCGAGTGATGGTCCATGTTCTTGCATTGGCCGGCCAGCTGTAGGGTCGAAAACTCCCTAAGTAAAGTTATCTGATCGCATACAATGCAGTGCTAGATTGTGTCGCTCGCTATAAAGGCGCTCATGTGTTGCAGTGAGGGTTGGAGTTGAAGAACCGCTAGTGTGCTGCTGCTCCTCATCTGCTGTGTCGGGTGGAGTTGAGATAGTGATGGTCCATCCCGTGATTCCAAGATCGCGCTTGCTTGCTCAGAGATTCATAACATCATTCTCGAGTACCAAGCTCAAACGTCAATAACTACTGTTCCCGGGGTGTGGATGTAAAGAGCGGGATACACGCGCAGGAATTATGGATGTGTCCAATCACCAGTTTCGGCCGCCCTAATGAATCCACCCGTAATTACGTACGCCGTAGTTCCCGCATCGAGATTCGAGATCGCGACAGTTCTCAGATTACATGACCCTTCCCTGCCACCTTCAGCGATCTCAAAGTCCTGACCTACCTATTCACAGCAGGATGTACAACTGGAATCTGAGCACATAGATATATCCGCGGCTGCGCTCGTGCTCCGCAAGCACTCGCGCATGTGCGACCATGACTTGATAGCGCAGACCGCAGCCCAACACACGCAAACATGGCAAGTGAAGGCCGTGGAACATGGATCTCCCAGATCTTTCAGAGGCTGTCGGAGATTCCTGGCTACACCTGGGATACTGAGAAAGAACCATTCCATTCTGTACGAAGATCGCCCGCGTCAAATGTGGTCAACAAGCAGCTAATGCTTCACAGAGCTACGACAACTGGCATTTCTTTGGTAGACGTATACCTGAGGCTCATCGGAAGAATGTCGAAACTAGGGTGCAGCATAAGAGCTCCATGTCCGGTACTATTGGGGCCCATACACAAGCACGATTTTTGAATGGCGAATCTACCATACCAATCAATAACAGTAAACCGAGCGAAGAGGCAGTACCAGTGGTGGCACGAGTCTCCAGTCACAAATTGAGATTAGAAAGAGAATTTACCGTGTGTAAAGCTGTTGTCAAAAGGTCCGATCCAGAATGCCACCACTTCATTCGGCCTTTGGAATTCATTCGCCTACAGCCGCGCGCTGGACAGGTAGCCCTGGTTGTCTCAATTTCAGAAGCACCCGGGCCTAATTATCTACGTGAGCTTGTCGAATTCGGACCAAACGCATATAGAGGTGTGCAAAAAGCAGATTCGTGGGAATTCAAGAGCATCGAGTCAAAGAAAGGCAAGGAGATATCCCTTCAATCCTTTCTACATTTCGCTATAGGCGCTGCTACATGTTGCGAAGTTCTTCACCACCAAAACGGACTTGTACACGGGGAGCTTAGAGGCGATGCGTTCCATCTGAACCGAGACACCGGCCGAGTGAAGATGATCAATTTTGGCTCAGGTGCTCGGAGTTTCGAACAGGGCTTGACGAGTTTCTCCGGATGGTCTTCGCTCAGTCGAGAGGTTGGTATAGAACACAAGTTGCAGTTTATCGCACCTGAGCAGACGGGCCGCTTACCCGCCGAGCCTGACCGTGAGTACTGCTTCGTATTGAATCTTTTGCAAAGACTAACGCCACTCTCACAGTCCGCACCGATATCTATAGCTTGGGAATTCTGTTCTTTACGATTTTGACCGGCGAGAATGCATTCAGCGGCCAGACTCCGCTGAACGTAATGCAGGCTCTGCTGAGTTCGCGTCTCCCTCCTTTGACTTCGAAACGACTTGAGGTGCCTGAGGCCTTGTCCGCGGTCATCCAGAAAATGACACAACGCAAGATTGACGATAGATATCATTCTACAACGGGGTTGAAGCATGACCTAATCAAAATCCAGAACCTACTCACAGAGGGCGACACCGCCGGGCTCGCAAATTTCAAGATCGCCGCAAAGGATGTGTCTTCTTTCTTCAGCTTGCCGACAGGTCAAATCGGTCGCCGAGATGAGCGGCAGAAAATAATTGACACGATAGACCGCATTGCCAAGCGGCAGCATCAGCCTCACGCGCTCCGCAGTGGAGTAAACACCATGAGCTCTACGTCATCAAATGATCCTAGAATGGAATCCAGCCACGCGGATGACGCCTTTTCAGAAAGCGGAAGCTCTGAGGGACGACAGGACAGCAGAAATGGAAGTGGCGTTGATCCTGCACACGCAAATGCCGCGACTCTGGGGCTCGTCAGCCCAAGGACGGTTGCTAACGCTTCGAGCAATGAGGACATGTCCGATGTTAAACCTTTGCCGGCTCCTAGGATTTCGTCTGACCACGGACGAGCCGCTAGTGCTAGTATCAATTCGTCGTCAATCATGAGGTCAAATTCACTCCACAGCGGTAGCAACGAAAGCCCATCAATACTCTTAAGGAAAGTTCAACGCCTGCGGCGCAAAGGTCATTGTGAGATCATAGCCATCAATGGCACGGCTGGGCTTGGCAAGTCGTGTCTGGTTCAGAGTGTTCAGGTACACGCTCGTTCGCATGGCTATTTCGCCTCAACAAAATTCGATCAAGCAAAACGAACTCCTTTCGATCCCGTTCTGCGGCTTATGTCTTCAATCTTCCGTCAAATCTTTTCCGAAAGCGACGTCTCCACCGAGTTTCATAGCATGATCCGTAATACAGTTTATCCTGTCTGGGGCTCTCTTCATGCGTACCTTGACCTACCTGCATGGCTTCTGGATTCTGGAGATCACACGAACAGCTCTCGGCAGAAGTCTCCCCCAGCTGATGTGTCGAGAAGAGCTTCTTCTCCTGCCCTGCAAAGTACAGCTGCTGGTTCATCAGGAAACACGGCGGCCGATTGGTTGCGATCCGGTGGATCCAACAAGTCATTGCGGTTCAAGAATACTTTCCTCGACGTACTTCGCCTCTTGGCCACAGAAAGTTTCATAGCCTGCTCAGTTGATGACTTACAATTTGCGGACTCCGAGAGCTTAGATCTTATCCGCAATATTATATCCAGTAAAATCCCCATTCTCCTAATAATGACATTCAGAGCCGAAGACATGCTACCCGAATGGATCCGCGCTCTATTACCTCGATCTACGTACATTGAGCTAAAGCCCTTCGCCGAAGAAGAAACGCTAGACTACGTGGAAGCAACCCTTCATAGAGACAGAGAGTACATACTACCATTGGCAGCGGTGATTCAGGAGAAGACTCGCGGCAATCCATTTCTGATACGTGAGGTTCTCGATACCTGCCAGCGAAAGAATTGCATATACTACAATTGGAAGGATTCACTCTGGGAGTACGACATCGACAAGATCTTTTCCGAATTTGAATCTCAGTCATATGGCGAACAAATTAACAATGACTTCATCACTAAAAAATTCCGAGCACTAGCACCGGAAACGCAGTCGCTCTTAGCGTGGGCGTCCATGATAGGGACGTCATTTTCCTTCAGTCTTATCAAAGATCTAATGAGCGGGACGTACACTTGCCTTGAAGCATCACCGATGCCCATCGTGTCATCCAAAGATGCTGTCGCTGGACTTGAAGGAGCCCTGGCAGTATATATCATCACGACTGGAGACACCGAGGATCGCTTCAGGTTCAGTCATGACCGCTATCTGCAGGCAGCCATGGCTTTGGCCGATGACTACAGCGCTGCTGAGATGCATTTCCTGATCGCCCAGACAATGATAAAACATGGCAGCCAGGACAATACTGTGGTAGGAAGCAAGTCTTTGTATGTTCGCAGCAGACATATCTGTCTAGCCGCCGACCTGATCAAGAGTCGACTTCCTGAACGTGCAGCCTTTCGCGATGTTTTATACCAAGCGGCGGAACATGCGTGCGAAACAGGAGCTCGCGAGACAGCGTTATTCTACTATAGCAACTGCTTGCAACTGCTACAAGATGACCCGTGGGACGAATCTATCGACTCACAAGTATCTGAATCTGGACTGCCAACCGCGCCTTGGGACGCATCGACTCTCGTTCAGGGGTCTAAGATCGGCGCCAAACACCAAGCCAGCAAGGATGTCAACTACCAGGAGACTTTGAGACTTTTCACCCGTACTGCGGAGTGCTATTGGTTCCAAGGTCTCTTCGAGCCTGCCCTGGGCCTATTACAAACGACTTTCAACAAGGCGAAAGATGCCGTAGATAAAGCGCCTTCTTGGATCCTACAATCGCGAATCTGGGCGATCCAAGGTGACAGTCACAACGCTTGGATGGCTTTGAAGACGTGTTTATCAGACCTGGGACTTACGGTACACGACGCATCATGGGAAAAGATAGATTCCGAGCAACAGGCGCTCTGCGCGGTCGTCATGCAACAGGAAGGTGGAACAGCGCTTGCTGATCGACCGTTGACGAAAGATCGGACATTAGAGACCATTGGTCCTGTTCTGGTTGAACTCCTCAGTGCAGCGTTCTGGAGTAACTCACTACTGTTCTATCAGATGACGCTTGAGATGGTCAAACTCCAGCTGAATCGAGGCACAGTGCCGCAATTGGCTCTGGGCTATCTGCACTGGTCCAGTATCGTCATCGGCAGGTTCAGCAATAGCAAATTAGGCATAGATATCGCTGCAATTGCCCGGCGATTCCTCGACCGCTTCGGTGCCGAGGAATCGTGTGGTGCATACACTTTAGGCCGTTTTGGGACTCTGTATCCACTCTTCATTGGCCACTTAGAGACCCACATCAGACATCAGATACCTTCATTGAATGAAGCAAACGAAGCTTCTGTGCAGGCGGGAGACCGGATCATGTCGTTACTCAACAGAGGCATAGTCAGTTCCTTTCGTCTGCAAGCCTCCGATGACCTAGCAGAGGTCGAAGCGTATACCCAAGAAGCTCCCGCAGAGTACAAAAACTGGCAGCATGATTTAAGGGGCGGCGTATTGCTAATATCTACAGCGCAATTCTGCAAGGCAATGCAAGGGAAAACGCGTACGTCTTCAGCTGACGGTGTCTTGAATGACGATAATCACGACTCCACCACATATCTCCAGGAGATTGATCTTAGGTCCTCCAACCCGAGACGACCGCGCACTCTATATCTATCATATCTTCTAGAGGCGCAATACCGTTACGGTCACTTTGAAGAGGCTATTGCGACCGGGGAGAGACTTCTCACGACGATGGAGAGTCTGTTCTGCATGAGATATACATACTCCAATCTCTTCTTCCTGAGTCTAAGCTACATCGGCCTCTTACGACGGAGGGCGGAGAATGGTGAGACGCATGTCAGTAGCGAAGGCATGAGCAGCATGCGCGGCACTCTACTCACCAAGATTCGCGGCTACTACGAGAGAATTCGCTCGTCAACGTTATTCAACGACATAAACTATCGACTATGGCTAGCCTTGCTATCTGCCGAGATAGCCGATGTCTCTGGTCAGGTCTCAGAGGCGATGAGAAGCTATGAAGCAGCCCTCGACGACGCTGAACTGAACAATTTCACCTTGGATGAAGGCCTTGCATTCGAACTCTACGCTGGTTCTCTCATCCGTCAAGGAGCCAAAAGACCTGCCAAACGCATGATGGTGGAAGCTATATCATCCTATCGCAGAATATCTGCATTAGGCAAGTGCACACAACTAAAAGACCAATACGAGTGGCTACTGCAGGGCTATTCGAGCCTGAGTACAGCTGATGCAGAATGCCAGACCACCATAATCGACACGAATAATACGGAATTTCGCTTGAGCCAGAATGAAGCTCAGGAGAATAACAAACTAGGCTTAGAGACGTCCGCCGACCGTACAACTGCATGGTTGTCTCCTCAGTATCCTAATGGAAGGAAAGCAGAAGCTTCCCTACCGGTCATGTCTAATAACGCTACACTCTCTGCATCAGGCCTCGATGTGATAGACCTTCAAGGAATTTTAGAAGCCAGCCAGGTCCTATCATCTGAGCTGAAAGAGGACAAGTTACTATCTAAGATGACCGAAATTATACTAGAATCAACGACAGCTGATGTTTCTGCAATCGTGGTCGAAGACCAAACCGAATGGACTGTAGCCACCGTTGGTACCCCTGACGGAGTTACGACGTTTCCCAAAGGACAACCGCTCCAATCCGTCGATGATCAAATCGCTCGCCAGGTCACTCTCTACTCACTTCGCTTCAAGGAGATCGTCTTTGTGCCCAATATCATAGAGGATGAAAGGTTTTCGAATGTGCCGGAAGCATACCTGCGTCGCAATCCTGAAGGCAAGGCCGTTATATGCATGCCAATACTTCATGGCAATAACGTCTTACTTGGGAGTTTATACTGCGAGGGACCACCAAACTCCTTTACAGAGCGTAATGTTACGGTTCTTGGACTTCTTGTTAACCAAATCGGTATCTCCTTGGCAAACGCATTGATGTTCAAGCGTATAGAGCGGGTCAGTGCGAGCAACGTTGCCATGTTGGACATGCAAAAACAAGCACTTGCGCAAGCTCGCGAGTCGGAAAACAAGGCCAAAATCGCCGAAGCTATAGCAATTCGAAACGTGCAGTTGAAAGAAGAGGCTGCACGTGCAAAATCACTATTTCTGGCCAACGTCTCACATGAACTAAGGACACCATTGAACGGCGTCATTGGCATGTCGGAGCTGTTAAAGGCTAGCCAAATGACGACCGAGCAGAACTCATATGCTGACAGCATCCGAACTTGTGCTGATCTTCTCTTGTCCATCATCAACGACCTCCTGGACTTCAGCAAGCTTGAAGCTGGCAAAATGAATATGATTGTGACTTCTTTAAATCTTACGGAGACCATTACCGAGGTTGTAAGGGCTTTATCATATACCAATGAAGAGCGTGGCTTGAAAACAAGGGTACTATTAGATGATCGTCTGAAAGACATTTTCGTGCTAGCAGACGGCATACGCCTACACCAAGTGCTAATGAACCTACTGTCGAACGCCTACAAATTCACTACGGAGGGAGCAGTAACAGTTTCCGCCTCTGTGATCTCCGAAACAAACGACACCGTGGACATTACTTGCAGTGTCGCCGATACTGGCATCGGTATCTCGAAGGACCAGAAAAATAAGCTCTTTTTACCATTCAGCCAGATTGAGAGTTCAAGCTCGCGAGGATATGGAGGGACCGGCCTTGGGTTATCGATTTGTAAAGCGATTGTAAGCGTTATGGATGGCAAAATCTGGCTGGACTCTACTCCAGGTGTAGGCACGACTGTCTCATTCGCTATAACCTTCAAAAAGGTGACAGAGACAGAGACGGAAGCGAGGGGACGAGACGTGAATCCTATGGCTAAGTTCTCTACACCAACTGCTCAGGAGGGTCAACAGGCGCCCGGTATAATTGATCTGTCCACGATCCCTCGAGATCAACTACGCATCTGCATAGCAGAGGACAACCTAATCAACCAACGCATCGCCATCTCATTTGTGGCTAAGCTTGGCTTCCAATGCGAAGCATTCGTAGATGGGAGCAAGACCATCGAGGCTTTGGAACGAGCAAGTCGGGAGGGAAAACCGTTCCACCTAGTCCTTATGGACTGCCAAATGCCCGTCAAGGATGGCTACGACGCTACTCGCGATATTCGCCGACACCCGGACCCGGTTGTGAAGAATGTATTGATTATCGCGATGACTGCTTCTGCCATACAAGGTGACCGAGAAAAATGTCTTGAAGCAGGAATGAATAATTACCTGGCAAAGCCTGTCCGGTGAGTCCTTCCTGTCACTTTGTGTATTACACTGTACTCGGATACGCCGTTTACTGTGTCATCCCCCAAAAGTCACATACCCTGATGTTCTATCACGCGTGCACGTGAATCTGATCTCATTGAACACGAGCTAAACTTTGAACAGAGCACAAACACTCAAGGCTCTAATCGAGACGTACCTAGCGCATCCTAGTGAGGCTGTTCAAGACAAGACGATCGAACGGCAAGCTCGTGATATCACGATGGAGGTCATGGAAAAAGCAAAACGCGAAGCAGGAGAGGATAGCAGTCCAGAGCCAAGACTCACGACGCGGAGGCCTAAGATTGCAAGATTTGACACAGCAGAAAGGATAGAGAGTGATAACGGCGGCGGCTGATACTGACGCCAAGTCTGGCTGGGCGTATGGTTTGTCGTTTATGGAATTATGTCAATTAGCGAGGTGTATGGGTACAGGGCGGTCTTGCGGTCTTGCATCTTTGAGGGATTACGGTTGCATCTCACCAGGCGTTTCACGAATATACAATCTGCATCTCGACTGCCACGAGAAAAGATAAATATTAATCAACTCTTTTCATTTGGGGAATGTACGAAATCTTACAACTGATTGCGCTGATGGCCATACTCTGGATGAGTCAGTAAAGAAGAACTTAGTCGCTAGGACGATGGCTTACATTTTCCAGAGTCGTGCGTGCCTTGATGCCTGAATCATCCAAGCCTTTCGCACTAGTGCATGCCAAGTCCGCTAAGATCCCACACAACACCAATTTACATCTTCAAAACTATACCGTGAACTTCTGATCCTGCACCGGAGCGTATAATCAGTTAAACCCTTCAGAACTTTCATTTACAAATTCTGAACACGCAGAGATGGCAATCAAGAAGAGCAAGAAGTCCGCCGACTCCATCAACAGCCGTCTGGCTCTGGTGATGAAGTCTGGTAAAGGTATGGTCATCGCGACCTTCAAATCTTGAACGTCTCCTAATCTGTCACAGTCACTCTTGGCTACAAGAGTACCCTCAAGTCGTACGTCTACCGAACTCCGCACTCGAATTAGTCGAAGCACCTATCGCGCGATGAACAAGATTTGAGACTGACAGCGAGAAGGCTCCGCTCAGGAAAGGCCAAGCTTGTAATCATTGCTGGCAACTGCCCTCCTTTGAGGAAGTCAGAATTGGAATACTACAGCATGGTACGATTCAAATCGCAATAGTTGAATGGACGTAGTAGTAATCCTTTGTAGCTGTCCAAGACCAATGTCCACCACTTCTCTGGCAACAAGTAAGCATATCCAACACCTTATGGTCTTTATAGCCCTGAGAACAGGCGCGCACGTCTCGGGAGGGCATACCCTGAGAAAGAGTCTTGTGACTTTGGAGGGTATCAAACGGCTGACATAACTGTGCTTACAGTATCGAACTCGGAACTGCGTGTGGTAAACTCTTCCGTTGCGGAACTATGGCCATCATTGACGCTGGTGACTCTGATATTCTCAGCGCTGGTCAGGCATAGATGTGAATAGGAAAAGGCCAGCGTACGAAGCGCTCGACGCTCGGCGCTCAAAATCCGGGGCATATCAATCGGGCGCATGGAATGTCATTTGTGTAGGCCAATGTAGATACCAATGAAAAACCGCCACACGGTTTGTGACTCAAGAAACTACTCTATGCTATGACTCTCGATTCTTCATGATGACATATGCCTTTCGATGTGAGACGGCGGCGTTCTCTTTCTTCCATATCTTGCTCGCCAAACAGTAAGCGAGCTCGTTCGGACAGTTACGCCCCCGCTGCCCGATTCGGCTCGCTAAGCGAGTGTGCTTAGAAATTCAATGAACGTCCAAAAAGCCCACCATTGCTCCTCTGTTTCGTCCTCGTCATTCCACCACCTCACGACCGCCATCAATACCGACAAAATGGCCCGTCGCCCTGCAAGATGTTACCGTTACTGCAAGAACAAGGTAGGCACCTATCTACAACCTGAAGCTGCTTGAGGTCGATTGGACACCGCGCCGGCAAGAGGTAGCCCTTCGGATGGACACGCCAGGACGAAGATTCACGATCATCTTCAGTGACAACCTCAGAATCAAAGGCTAATAATCTGTGACTGCAGCCGTACCCAAAGTCGCGGTTCAACCGTGGTGTACCTGACCCGAAGATTCGCATCTTTGATCTTGGTCGCAAGCGTGCGAACGTCGATGAATTTCCCCTCTGCATCCACCTCGTCTCCAACGAATACGAACAGTTGAGCTCCGAAGCTCTTGAAGCCGCTCGTATTTGCGCCAACAAGTGAGTTTCATACCCGAACCTACATAAGGGAACCATTCTGGAAAATAAAGAGAAATGCGGCTATGGATGACATGTGGCAAAAGCACAGAACAAGAAATATTTAAAGACGGCATAGAGAGTGCCCAAAGAATGGCCGACGTCATCATGGAATTTTGAGGTACAGCATGACTAACAGAATGCTTGAAGGTACCTCGTCAAGATCGCCGGAAAGGACAACTTTCACATGCGTGTCCGCGCCCACCCGTTCCACGTTGTCCGAATCAACAAGATGTTGTCGTGCGCCGGAGCCGATAGACTCCAAACCGGAATGCGTGGTGCCTGGGGCAAGCCCAACGGCAGTGTCGCCCGTGTCAACATTGGCCAGATTCTCCTGTCCGTCCGCACCAAGGATACCAATCGTGCCACCGCTCTCGAGGCTCTCCGTCGCTGCCAGTACAAGTTCCCCGGTCGCCAGAAGATTATCGTTTCCAAGAAATGGGGTTTCACCAAGCTCAACCGTGACCAATATGTCGAGGAGCGCAAGGCGGGTCGTGTCAAGGTCGATGGTGCATACGTTCAGTTCCTGAGGAACAAGGGTAACCTTGAGTCCAACATGAGGCGCTTCCCCACTGCTTTTGAGTCAGAGGCTTAGATACCAAAGGCGATAAAGTAAATTTGCATTCACGGGTTCTGGTACATTATGATTGTTTCCTTCGGGGTGTTCCTAGGCTCAAAAACAATCAATGAAAATCATGTTCATCATAGTCCCCATGAATCTAGACACAGACATCTGTGGAGGACGGTGACCAATATCTTGAATGTCCTATTAGGAGGATTCGTGCGGATAATTCGCACGAAATTATCCGCACGACTTGTCCGTCCGGCTCTGTTGATACTTGACCTAACGATTCATAATAATCAAATTGAATATATGTATATGACCGCGATTATCATTACGAATACAATTATGCTGTGTCATGGACCCGTAACAATGGCTGTAAGCACACTCCATTCTCAGATTAATCTCGGTCACTGAAACAGTCCCAACACTTCAAAGCGTTTCCCAACCCCCATTATTCACTTCCGCGTCCAGCCTTCTAGCAATCATTGTTTGGATCCCATGACCCAACCACACAGACCTCAAGAGTGCATCATATCGTTTCTGATTCAAGAACAACTGGTGGTGACGCCGCAACGTCGGGTCTGTCTCGCCATAAATGTCGAGATAGGGGGCCGGAACCCAGCAGCCGCGGATCTGATTCATGAAAAGCACCATGCCCTTGCGGATGTTGATATACATGCCCACGTTGCCGCCACATCTGTCAATGCATTAGCCACACTGTCATACTAGGATGTTAATGTATAGGTTTTCACGTACTTCTTCTGGTGCAAGGCACAGCCGCCCTGTTTATCCTGCATGCAGCACACGCCCTGGCTGCAGAAGATCTCGCCGCAGAAAAGACACACTGCCGGATCGGTGAGGTCCCTGCCGGTTGTTGGGCATCTACGTCGGATGGCTTCGTCTGTCAGGGTATCGTAGTTCTTTGGCAGGCCGACCAACTCGAAAATGGCGGGATGTGATAGCATGATGGTGTCAGGAGAGAGGTGGGTGTTGCTGTGAGACCACATTAGGTGTGAGATCCAGCCGCGGACCATGGAGCGCAAGACACTGCCACCCTCGGATGAGGACGCGAAAGTCTCAAAAATCTCGTCGAGGGAAGGGAGTTTAAGAGCAAGAGTCAGGCGCTGATGCTCAGTCATTGTAGTTTGCGAGAGGCCTGTGTTAGGGAAGTCGACGCCGTAGCGAGCGTGCATGAGTATGACGGCCTTGCGCAGGAATGGGAGCGCATATGCCAGCATGGCTTTATGTAGGAAATAAAGGTCGACTTGGTTCATCGGTATATCACCCTCAAGTATCGATTCTTGCTCATGATGGGCCTCTATCGAATCTCTGCCAGGGGTGCTTTTTGCAGTGATAATTATGCTTCGTATAAATATTCGCATATTACGCTCCTGGGTTTGATCACTTCTCTTAAGTTCAGATACCTTTGGCATAGTGCTCGCACTACCGTGCACACGAAAGAAGGAGATGACCACCCGGACAAGCTCAGCAATGTAACATATCCGCATAACATGCTGAATGTCGAGTTGCAGGGCTGGCACTACGCAAGTGGCGCACTCCGTGAAGAAAATGAAGGTATCTTGCGATAGAATAGACTCAAAGGGTTTGAGATCGTATTCGAGCGAGGGAATTATCGTCGACATCCTCGGATGTCCGTTGAAAAGTTGTTGAAACTGTCGAGTTCGAGTGTCCAGAAACTCTTGGCACGTGTTCGACAGACCTTGGTTTCGGAGACTACCGATCGCCATATACGAAGTCACAGTCTCAGATAGAATGCGAATATGCGTGAGAGTCTGAGGCGATATTCTATCCAGTAGAGTGGTTCCAACTTCTGCCTCTACACCCCGCTGCGCAATTTCTGTGGCTGATATGGTGAAGCCTAGGCATTTGGACAGTGTGTCTGTGTAAATGAGATCCTCCCGTGCTGCTAATGGCGATGGATTGTACACATATCTAGAAGACAAATTGTTGACTTTCATCGTATCACGAAGGCGCTGATATATCCGGACGAGCTCTAATATAGGAATTGGTTGAAGTTGGGGACCGTTCGAGGCTTCAGGATTGATTGTAGCCTGGTTTCCTGTGTCATCGAGAGCTGCTGTTGCCGCGAAGTGTGGCGGAGATGCGATACGAGGTAATGTACTTGGTATTTGTCCTGCAGCAGTTATTGGTGGAAGTGTCAGTAATGACAGACGGTTTATTTCTGGAAGTTTCGAAGCAAGCGGTTGGATCAAATGCTGCGTCCCAAAATCGACGAATATCTGTCGTAGTCTGGCCAACGTTTGCGCATTCGATGGGCTATGTTCCGGGCTTTTGTCAATCTTTGCTACATGCAATGCAACATCTGTGGCAAGCCAATTCTCAAACGTAGCGCTACGATTCTGTTTGAGTACCGCCGGATATGACTCAGATTTACCTTTCCAAATGATGGGTAGAAAGGCGTTTCCTAGAGCTTTGCATAGTGGACATAAAAATTCTTTGCTGTCTGGCCTCTCAGGATGGGCACGGGCAATCTGATTCGCATGTCTTCGCTGAGTAGCTTGTACGTAAACTTCGAAGCAGTGGTAATGCATTATGTGTCCGCAACCATGAGATATGGGACCTGGTTTTGTCATCTTCGCCGGAAAGCCCTTTCCCAAGTCCTGCCGTTCTGTGATGGTCTCACGGCCGTCAAAAGTAACCTTTGTCACCATTTTCCTATTCTTCCCAGACACACCAAAAGGACGAATCTGATCCGCCGACCTATCGAGACTGGTTGGTGTTTCAAAAGCTTCAGTAACCCAGTCACTGTCACGAATGTCTGTCTGCCTTAAGATATGACTATCTGTGATGAAAGCAAAGGTACCGTAAAGTCGTTGATCACTAGTCTCCTCTTGGCACAAGATGCAAGTTCCAGATGGGTATTTCCAAAGCTTCTCTTCCTCCGGCATAGGTGTAGCAAGCTCGGCTTCAAGGTCGCTGTAGTCATCTTCATCGTCGCCCCATTCAAAAGCTTGGTTAGCCATAAAGTTTGTCTGCTGCTCTTTGAAGGAAGCCATGACTCTGGCTTGTCTTTCTAGGGCTTGCTTCTTTTTTAGTTCCTTGTCTTCAGTACTTGGAGCAGGGGAACTAGTATCCATTCTTTCCGCAGAAACGTCGATCACCTTTAACGCTTCGGCGAAAGCTTTCGGTTCTCGGTGTTGAAGTCGGCGCATGATGGTTTTTATTTTTGGCTCACAAGTCTTGAACTCATCCATTTCAGAAAGACTGTGTAACAGTCCTATAACTAGCCGACCTTGTCTTGATTGGCATCGGATCAAATTATACGCAAATGAACATTGCATGCCGTCAAGACCTTCATTGCGAGCATTTTCTTCATCTGGAATAGCGACCAAAACTAGTTGCAGAATAAATTGAAGGTATGCTTCAACTCTAGTCGCTGGAATGCTCGGGTGGTGCTTTGATGACTCCAAAGCATAATTGAGAAGATAGTAGATGATTTGTATGAACAGCGGTACTCTCGTGAATCCAGCGATATCTTTGAAGATTCCTTGACGGATAGGCCGGAGTTTGGGTTCATAAACTATATCGGATGGTGATTGTCCTGTCTTTTTCGCCATGTGCTTCTTGTACAGAGCTTCGGCTTCCTCGCGTTGATTCCGACTGTACTGTGCTATATAAGGATCGATATCCTCAAAATACTGCTCCTTGAGCATGAATGTTCCTGTGTCTGATACACCCTCGGGCGGACGGAACGTAGTCATCTCCCTGAGTACCCCTGGGAACTCGTCCAGATCCTGGGTTTTATCTGGTAATCTTGCGGACAAATCCGAGTGTGGTAAAGGCTTGAAACAAAGTATATGGGCAATGTCTCTGCGGATGGATATGAGATGTGATCCAGGTTCTTCTTCAATCGGTAGTAATGATGTCCGCTCACTGAGCAGAATGATCAGCAGGTGTACGAAGTCCTCCACAATGTCCAGCTGTTGTTGTTCCTCGAAGCTCTGAACGTCACTGTATGAGCCTCGAATCCAATTTGACAGGCCGAATCTGTCCACTATTGAAGCCAAAAACCGAGTTTTGGGACAGATTACAAGTCCAACTTGCAGCAGGAATATATCTCGTTGAAATGCGACGTCTCTTTGAACAACCCCTCGGTAGGTAGACATTTGATGCCGAAGAGTAACTCCATTTCGAATCCATGTGTTTGCACGCATTTGGGCGAGCCATGCACACACTCTCAGTGGAAAATCGAAGAGACACAAAAGATAGTCATCAGCATCTAGTTCCGGTATTTGAGCTCGGAGTGGAACAGGCGGCTCCTTCAATTGCGACGCCGAAAATGATAGCAAGCTCACTAATTGATCACGAGACATGCTCTTGCCACGATCAATCATCCAGGACAGGGTATAATGTAGCGCGTGATGAAAGCTCATGGCTTCCTTGGACACAACGAATTCAACGACTTTGAGAGGATCGCTTGGGCTATACTCGAACTCAAACTTGGAGAGGGTCTTGAACTGAATTGGTTTCTTGATCTCCGCTGCTTGGAAACGTTTTCGCTCGGATGCAGTTGAATGTATGATTACCAGTTTCGCGGTGTCCCTAATGGCTCGGTATATACTTGAATTGTTCCCATCGATAGACCACACGAAGGCTTCAGAGAAATGTCGGCAAAGCCTGTTGATCTCTCTTGTGATAAGCGATGCGCTGATCCACTGGTCGTTTTCGTACTCGATGTGCTCGCCTACTGCTCGAAGATTTGGACAGATGCCTTGGTGCAGTTTGACCAGGTCCAGGAATTGTAGTAAGTATCGTGGCTCTTCGCGCAGCCTCTCCTTTATAAGGTCTGACCCCAGGAGATATTTCATGTCCAGGAAAAAGTGATACATCCTTCGGTTAGTCACTGCTCCTTCTTGAAAGGCCAGTGTCGCCATTGGGTTAACCTCTTGCGGGTATCCCACCTGGCGTGAAGTCAAGAAAGTGTAAAGAATTGCCATAAGATTTGTCAAGAAGTTGCCCCGGTCGACAACTTCTGCCGTAATAGAGGGTGTGGTCAGCATTTGCAGTGAGAGATTTATGATTGAATGATCTGGCTCCCGATCTGCAATCAGATACAACTGTGCTAAAGTTGTATACAGTCCAGCAAACCTGAGGCCTAATACTCTCTTAAAGTATGGTATTGTCACTACCGTACTGATGAAGACGTCGCGAAGGTCAACACGGGCCTTCTTCCACATCCTTAGGTCATAGAGAATCATCCAATCCAGCCGGACACGCTCCCATAGGTCTTCGTGAATAGGTACTGCGCCCTTTTTCTTCTTGTAACCTTCAGGTACTTCCAACCAATGTCGAAGTGCTCGTGGTGGTCTTTTCTTCTGGCGGATCTTTGGTGTCTTAGGGATGTCGAGGGTTTCGCCCACATGGCTTGAAGAGACTACCATAGGTTCACCCTCAGAATCCCCAGGAGTAGTTAGTGCATCGTGCCGTCGCACTGCTGGAGGAGGTGGTGGTGGTGGCGGTGGCGGATATCCAGCAATAGTTGCTTCTGAAGCTTCTAGCTCATCGTCGGGAACATCGGACGTGTCCATCTCTACATCGCCATCTACATCCCGGGCAGGCGCAAATTCGATGTCCATTTCATCTTGGTCCAATTCTTCCTCCCATTCATTGTCGGCGTCGTCTTCGTTATCGTTGGCGTCCTCAAGGTCAGCATCAGGCCCAGGGGCGGTTGCTCTGGCCCCTCTGTTGCGCATGTCTAACAGCCGACTAAATAGGAGATCTTCTTGATAGTCCTCCACTTCGTGATCATCAAGTCCGTCTGTCCCGATTCTACTATGATGCGCTTCGCTCCCGACCCGCCAGGCTTTCAGCATCTCCTCACAAAGGATGTTGCGCAGTATCTGGTGGTCAGGCCCTACACTGCATCCAGCAATGTCTGAAATCCACTCGATGATGGTACCACACATCTGCTCTCTGAAAGTGTCTCTTGCGGATCTGATAGTGACCGTAAGTTTGATCTCTTCGATGATCTTTGCCATCTTGAGTAACTTTGGAATGTTCGTATCAAATATTACGACACTTCGACCAACATAATTAACTTCGTTGGCCTTTTGTCGCCCGAAATCTTTCCTCTGTTTGCACGCTCTGGCGACCTGGTTCTCAACATCTCCAATCGTATGCTTCTCGTCATTCCACAGAACTAAGGCATACTCCTGATCATCTTCGTCTGTGTCTAATTCACCGTACCATTTCGAATGCAATCGAGACGAGTGCTCGTCTTGTCTGATACTTTCTTCAGTCTTCGCAAGTCGTAGCTGCTCGGGCGAACAAGAAAACACATCGCAAAAGTAATCAAAAATCTTTGAGATAGTGGTTCTGATATACTCCTGAAGATCTTCGGGTAGTGGTGATCCCTCCTTGATCTTTCCTGCTGCATGAGATATACTTTCTGCCCCGATTGTATGTATGTTGCAATGCACGGGTCGTATCCAAGCCTCATCATCGCCGCAGTCACAACATCCCGCATTGCCCGGTGATATTGACACGTAAACGGTGTGTCCCTCATGATCTGAAGCATCGAAACACCTGGTACAGATCACGCAGGTTTCGTCTACAGTGCATGTCTTACACCTGTATGTAGCCTCTCCAGATTTGAAGATATGACCACACGGATGGCCTCTTGCAGCTTCGGTGTATTCAGCACCCTCCACTGCACCTTGTGCCAATTTTAAGCTCCATTGTTCTTGTGTCGAGCGTGGGACGCCGTTGGGAAAGAAGTAGGGAAGGTATTCGTCTTTGAAACCGGTGAGTGATCGAAAGAACAGTTCTAGGAGCGCAGAGCTTGAATCATCGTTGTACCGGTTGTGAAAACGCCGAGGGAAATCTCTGAGCTGCCTACATAGAACCTGCTCATGCTGCGACACAAGCATAATGCCAGGTCTGTAGATGTGATCAATAAGTTGTATGATATGGCAGGAGACGTGAAAGGCGTCCACGACGGAATTGGTGGCGAGATGCAGCGACTTCGCTGGAACGATCGTACACGACTGAAGAGATGCGCGACAGTGGGCCGGCCACCCGCTGGCTGAAAGGTGACTTCGACCTGACGATTTCGTATCTTGTGAATGTTATCGGTGTGAATGGTACTGCATAGATAGACACAGAGCCCTGGAGCCGTCCTTCTGTTAGTGGGGCGAGGGGTCCGAGATCCCCACGATCTGAGTACCTGACCCCCACAAACATCCATCTATATAGCTAAAGAAAGAGCTAATCAGTTCACGTATAAGGAGCAACCCGAGTGCGATGAAATAGGGATAATGGCAGGCTTTATAAGTAAGTGGCTTAGCTGCTCTCTATCTATCACGAATGGCAGAAGTTATCCTTCAAAGTCTAGACTCTAAACACGATGTTTGGAACGACAAATAGCACACGTCATAAGAGAATAAGGTAAGCACTTCTTGATCTATAGGACTTATCACCGAATGTACTTCCCGACCCTGTCCAGTACTACTTTACAAGTTCCGAGGGAGATATCAATATGATCCAGGGTCTTCAGCCATCCAACAGTACCAGACTCCGAATCCCAATGCAACAGCTTAATAGTAGTGTATAGCAATATGTCCCTATCCCAAGAAGCACCGCAGATCCTAACGAAGACCGATCGAAACCTTAGCTATCGTTTGTACGCTTCAATAAATGCAAAGAAGCAGACGCCGCCAACTCCAACGCTATGATATACAAAGAGCCCCCCTTCGCCAGAAGTGCAGACAATCAGTACAGCACTGTGATGTCTGCTTCCGATAGGCTTAGGCGTGCCCCAGTAAGTTATAGTTTCTTCATTATGTGGTGATATGGTGATATGCTGGTGATGTGTTCATAATTCTTTGAAATCGCTGGGCCGCTGCGTTCGTCTTTGGCGACTCTGATGACGATGAGGGTTAACTGGTTTACGGAAATACGCATTGTCTTCTTCATTTCCAAGCGGCTCAGAAAAGAAAGTTCGTTGTTGATTTGGGAAACCGTTCTGGTGTGTACTATTCTGGTTCCATCCTGAAGGGCCGGAAGCATGTTGCTGATGGCCCTGCCATTGCTGATTACCGCCGTAGCCGTTCATGTTACGGCCACTGTTGTAATTGTTGAACATCCCATTTTGCTGATATACTCCACCCATGCCATTCATGTTTCCCCAACTGCCATTTTGTTGCATCATGGGAGTCATACCATTCGACATGCCCATCATGCCAGTCATCATACCCATTCCATTACCCATTGGCAAGCCCATGCCCATGCCCATGCCCATGCCCATCTGACTCATCATGGCCATTTGATTTGGGAAGCCCATATTCGAGAACGGCATGTTTGGCTGACCGTTCTTCATCATCTGGTCTAGGTTGTCCATTTGCTCAATAAACTGGTTGGTGGGGTCGTTTGCTTTTGCGGCAGCCTCTTCAGCGGCTTTTTGTTGTTCTAGTTGTTTTCGCATGGCAGCGGGAGCAGAAGGGATCCTATTATTCTCGAGCTCTTCTTCGGCAGATCTTTTGTTAGACGAAGGGTCTCCCGTGGCTGCTGGCGCATCGCCCTCAGGAGAGGTCTCGTTCGCAGGCTTTGAAGTAGGTGCCGGCGACGGAGACTTGGACGATGATTTTTCAGGCTTGAATTCTGAATTCTGATTTTTGATTGTATCCTCTGAGTCAGGCTTAGGGCTTTTAGCCGTAGTGGCTGCTGCAGTTGCTGCCGACGACGCCGCTACTTCGTCTTTTTTGGCCTGCGACTTTTCATCTTCATACTCACGGATACGTTTTGCCATATCGTCATCAGCAACAAGATTGTCGAGCAAGACCCCTGGTGTCGAGCAATTAGGGCACACGAAGTCAGAATCCAAAAGTGCATTCTCAATACAATCGATACAATAGGTATGGCCACAACAGGGCGTCTTCTTGGGATCAACAAACATACGCATGTCTAGAGGACATTCCAAACCACGGTCTCGTAACTCCTGGTTACCCTTGGCCGCAGCTTCCTGCTGGGCCTGAGTAGCCTTCGCCTTTGCCTGGTACTGCTCCCAAGCTGCTTTGTCTGGCTCTGCGATCACATACTCGCCCTCCGCATTAATCATCACACCTGCCGGTTGCTTGGTGTCATCCGTAAATCCATCGTTAGCAAGGGCCGTTGGCTTCTCAACGGTCTTTAGGAAAGATCGAGGGATGCCGGTAGTCCTTTTAATGCGTGGCTTGTTTTCAAAGTTTGGATCGTCATTTGTTGGACATGCCTGAATCCAATGTCCCTTTTGATGGCATCGATAGCAGACATACCCTACAGGAGGTTCATGCTCGGGAACGGTAATCTGTTTGGGTTTAAAACCGGGCCGAACAGGCTTAGCCGTAGCCATTTGCTGTTTTTGTTGTTCCCATTGATTCGCACTACTTTGAAACATGGCATCAATCCTCTCTTGCTCTGTTTGTGGTTCCCTGCCAGCCGGGGCTGATGACTGTACTGCTGGTTTTGCGAGGGTCGATGATTCGGTTCGAGGGTTGTGGCGAGAGGTGATTGGCATCTTTCCCGACACATAGCGGGCTGCTTTGCCGTGTCCAGGCTTTGAAGCTGGAGCTCGACGGGCGACGACGGTTGTCGCACGAGGTATCATAGTGGTATCATCGTTGTATTCTTCTTTTGTGTCCGCATTGGAGATGATGAGGTCGAAGTCAGTACCATCACCGAGAGCTCTAGCTTGGATGATGTCACGCTTTAGATCGAAGACTGTAATGCTTGTGCCATCGAATGTGATTAATGAAGGCTCTTTGTCATTTCTAAACTTGAAATAAACCGACGATGCCATCTTGCAAAGCCGACCGTTGGCGACCCCAGCCGACACCTACAAGTGTTCCCTACACAAGTTTTCAAGAAAGCGGATATACGAAGAAAAGTGAAGAGTAGATGTGAGCCAGATTTAATAAAAATCAGAATGTCAGAGATCAGGTAGTTGCAGATGGGCTGACGAGAGTTTGCGCAGGTAAGTTGAAGAGTGTAAAGGACGTGGCTGGATTAATAAGGAACGACTAGGCGGGCGGCGGGCAGACCTAAGCAGGTGCAATATGCTCGGTCACGTGCTCACATTGGCCATCCTTGGTAAGCAGTGAAAACCAGTAATTGCATACGCAATATTACCACACCGCACGTGCATTACTCTCGGGCTTTATCAGATCAATGAAACCAGGCATGTGCGCATAAAGAGCTCTTTGACTCAAGATATGACGAAAGTTTCACTGGCTGGCAGAGCTGAAGTCTTTGAAAATCTAGTACTTTGTCTTTTGTCCTCATTGAACAATTATGTAGAGTGTGTACGTACGATTACTATGTTTGCAGGTCGTCCCCGAGGCCCCGCGCATTGCCATCCGGGCACAGCCAGCCGGGCCCCACTCCACTAATTACGAGGTCACGAAAACCTTTACGCTAGGCTCTAGCTAGTCTTAGACCGTCGTCCAGACCACTTAATACCACTCTCCTGCTCTGACCGCCTACTCTTTCTCGTCAAGTCTACCACGCTTCCACCATCGCTTCTCGCAATCCGTCTCTCAAGCCTGTGCCTTTCCAATTACTGACGTCCGCTCCATCAAAGTCCTCTGGACATATTCATTGACAGAAGCAACCCTGGCAAAACTCAGCTATGGCGCGAATTACTACCTCCAGTAGTAGTCGAAGCAGCAGTAGTAGTAGCGGTAGCAGCATCCGCGATGCCAGCCCCCGTCTGAATAACATCCTCGCAACTTGCTACGTCGTTGATACTCGCTCCAGCCTGCTTCAAGGCTTTCACTACTCCACTACCGGGGCTGGCGGAGTCGATTGGCGTTCCTGAGGTCAGCTCGGTATGGTCTCCAAGAACATGACTGCTCATCACAGTTGTCACGTACAGGTCTTCATGCCTCACACAGCTAACAAGGTATGCAGGGAATATATTCACCACCTTCAAGTCCCCCCCTCTCGGCCACCACCACCGTGAAACCGAGCTCCGGCTCTAATTTCACGGCGCGGAGAAGGGGGGCAACTTATACCATTGCGGGAGAGTGTGAGAGACTCTTCTGTGAGATACTCCGTTCTGTATTTCTGGTTGAGGGGAATACGGAATGGCAGGACTCGCTGGCTCTGGATAAGCATTCATCTGCGATCAACTACAACGACACTGAGATCTCTGGTGGGGTCAGTGTCACACGACATGGGGCACAACATGGGTTGGGTTTGCAACCTTTCGGATCGATCGAACAACGGGGTGTTGTCACCGCTTGGTGCAAGGTCTACGACTACGTGGGCGGGGCTCTTTTCAGGTGCTTCATTGTGGAAGAGGATAATGGTGAGAGAGCTATGTTTGTCTTCTTTAACGACGATGTGAATGGGAGTGACCTCAAGCCTGGGTAAGTCTCAAAAATAAAAATAAAATAGTCTTTTCGCTTACGTTAGCTATAGGCTCATGGCTTTACTCGAGCTCTGCTCCGTCCCGGGCGTGCTTTGTGACACGCTCATTGTGTGTCTCGACCGAAGCGCGCATTCTTCAGACGGCTCTTTGATGAGAAGTCTTGGTTGGGTAGGTTTTGAGCCCACAACGCTAGAGAAATGGACGAAGAATATCGATATCGTTTCACCTCGATGGATGTTCATGGGCATGGAAGTTTGATTTGATACCAAGATTGCTTGTGTGGAGGAGTTGCCAATTCACATGGATGGGTTCTCTAATGGAGTAGCATCACATCCAAGTTTTCAAGAAAGGTCTTCTCTACATATTGAAGAGGATGTCCATCTAGGCGTTCAGCATTTGGAGGCCTTCGTTGGTTTACGTCTTCTTTATGCAAAAGGTTATCACTGGGCTTGATGTTATGCAGTAATTAATGAACTTTCGTTCTGCAACGCTACATTTTTGAGAATGCCTCTACCGTGAGTCTATTCCGCTGTCATGTACCTTGGGTCCCTTTCATCCCTGGGGAAACACCGAACAATCCTCACAAACTTTATAAATCTACGCGCTCGACCCGACAACAAGATTATAGCAAAGCCATCAACAAGGTCAACGACCCTGCCAATCGCACACTCCAAACTCCACTGCTTCTTCTCCAAGACCCCGCAGCACCGTCCTCGTCGCCTTTTGTCCGATTATATAACGTCAACCTAAAACTCATAGTTAGCCAGTCCTATCTCTTAAACGCTCATGGTGATACGAACGTCAAGCGTCCGCCACACCAGCTCTCGTCGCCGCCCATACACGGCATGTCACACCAGCTTTCGTCGATCTTCTGCGCCGCCGAATTAAGATACGGTGCGCACCAGCATTCGCGTGCATATTCGAGCCCAGCGTATTGTTCGCCACCGCAGAAGTCGAAGCAGCGTTCAGGTGTAAGTGCGTCGTCGCCCTCCTATTGCTGTTGTTAGACAATCTGGCAATGAGGCAAGAGCAAGAAGGAAGACGTACCATCTTACTCCCGGAGCCGCTCAGCGCGCGTGTACTCGGTGATCCGTCGAGGGGTGTCGTCTCGTTGTAGCAGCCGACGTAGACATAGTTGCCAGCGCCTGGGAAGACGCTCGCGGTGGGTGTGCCTGTTGTGTATGGGTTGATGCCTGAAGGCACGGAGCGAGTTGCCGTAGGTGCGGCTTCGCGGTCGTCGGGTTGTGAGAATGTGACTTGTGCGGAGGAGAGGCAGAGTAGGAGTGTGGTGATTGTAAGAAGGAGGAGGGTGATTGAGGACCTGCTGGGCACCATTTCGTGTGAGGCGACTCTGGCCCGCGCGATGGCGGAGAGGCGCCGGCGAGTGGAGGTTTAGTAACTTAGAACACGCGTTGGTACATATATCGCAATGAAATCGAGTGGAAATCCTTTTTTCCAACTCAGTAAGCAAAGGAATGTTGGATTATGAAGACTTAAGGGTCAACAACGGCGCTCGAGGCGTTGCAATTCGTACTCCAACAGACAAGACGGTTCCGGTTCAGCGCTGCACAAGAAGCTGCTTTGTACTGTTCCCCACCACTCTACACTATACTCAGCTCCCGGTGTGGCATCTTCCATGCAACGGCGACGGTCTCTATTTGGCGTCTGTATGGACCACAGGCTTTAGCTATTACAATCGTAGCTGCGTCCCACTTGTTCCTCCTTACACGCTATCGGATTTAAGCCTCGGTCAGCCCACAAGGCTATACCGAACCTAGCTAGCACCCCCACAACGTCCCGCTAAAACAAGCCCCCAAGCAGCATTCACTTGCATGGGATCTAACTGCTTTCTAACTGCTTTCAACATGACCACTATGCGGTAAAACCAGTGCAGTAAACTGGCGAGAGAGCAAAGCGTGCGAAAAGGGTAGGAAATGCTTGAATGTGAAGAACCGCCCGATAGCCTTGTTTCTGCGCCTTTCCTAAAACCCAGCGCCAATTTGAAGCCTATCTCACGCCTATCAGCCGGCATTGCTGTCAAGCTACTAGGCGACCAGCAATATTGGTCTCACCTCGAATGCATCTAAGAGCTTCTCTGTTCGTCGTTGCAGCCTTTCTAACGGTTCAGCCGTCTCGATTCTAGAGTCTGATCGGGAGACCCCATATTCTTCCATGCAAGTAAGCTGCATTGCTCTCACATGCATGCCATTAGCCTGACCCCTGCTGCATCTATCGATTTCCGTCTTCAGGCAAAAGCCCGCCAGCAGAAGTGTTAAAGCGAGAGATGTGGTCTCTTCATTGGCTGGCTGTTGAAACAGGAACACCTTTGGCGAGAATACGAGAGACGGTTCCTAGTATGTTTTCTTCATTGAACAGAAGGGTAACAAGTAGGGATTGACACTGTCCTGTACTATCTAAGCAGCTTGGGATACAAACGCGGAAACTGGATGATAAGACGAACGCTTGAAAACACGAATCTCTGACTGCGAAGACGCGTTGGCTTGGAATGGGATGATCGAAAGTCATGGTTTGGACATGTCACACATGAGACTGGCCACTGTCTAAGTCTCGTTGTCTCAATAATCATTAGCAAATCTCTTCTGATTGTAGTATTACACACCCAGCCTAGGCCGAATCAGAATATGGCCTAGTGCGTATTTCAGCTTCCTCCAACGTCGTCTGCCTCATACCCCTTGAAAGGACTGAGAAGACTGGAGAAAGGTCTATAGAGATCGCGTCAAGTCTGAACAGCGCTGTGCTGTGCAACTACCGCAATGGCTGCGATTTAGCAGAATCTCATCCGCTTATTTACCCCTTGTTTATGTATCAATATATCCTGAAGGAGGCCAAACTCTCGCCCCATACGATAACTTCGGGCTTGAAGAGTTTCATTGTTTTGACATTACACTACTCGATCCTGTGTTGGGCTTTAATCTCATGGACACATACACTCCCTTTCTCATATCCTCTTTCTTTCCTTCTCACCCTCCCTTCTCTGATATCTTCCAGACAGCTCGTCTAGATGGTATCGATGACTTTGGCAGGATGATACTGAATGCTACCATTGGGCTTGATAATGTCAGGGGCTATTATCAGACCCAGAGAGTGACATATTAGACGAGACTTTGCCCCCTTCCAGAGGAGAATTGGAACCATAAGATCCCATATGAACAATCATAAGACATAACAACGTTATATGCAGCAACCGACCCACGAAATTCCTTCTTCTCATGACTTACCCCTAACTCCACTCCCCCGATTCGCATCCGCCTGGTACGTATTTGCAGCACCCACCTCCGTCCTACCAACCCTCGTCTCATCCGCATCCAACTCATATCTATACACAGTTGCCTCCGTTTCCACCGACACATCCGCTCTGCGCGTTTTCCGCCCCAAGTAAAACGCCACAACGAAAACTGCAAACATCAACGGTATTCCCAGTCCCACACCTACGCCTACGCCTACTCTGCCGCCTGAGGAGACACAGCCTTCCGTTTGTGTGTGCGCAACAGTGCTCGTTGCAGACGACTGCGCACCTGATCCATCTGAGGACAGTGTCGTCGACAGCGCTGTCTGTAACCCCTCGATAGAGGTGAATACGACGGTACTCGGTTGCTGCTCGGATCCAGTCGGTGTGATTACGATGGTCGACAAAACCGTGGTAGCTCCCCCCGTCGTACGTGCGTCAGTCTCGCAATGCAACATTGCCGCGTCACCGTTGATGTAGTAGAGCGAGCTCGGCGGATCATCGCACATAGACACACACGCTGTGTAGATGGAGAAGAAGCCTGTTTCTTGGCATATGTATCGTGATTGGGCGCTGCTTAGACAATCGTCCTAGAGGAAAGGGAGAAGAATAATGTAAGTATAGGGTTTTGCTTAAATGTGTATGATGGTGATGATGATGATATGGATGCCGGCTTACTTGGCATGGATCCAGGGCCTCAATAGACATATTCTGTGATTTATCCTCTCCCTTTCACAGGGTTGGACAGTATAACGTCGTCAGTGTGCTTTGAGTATAGGTAACAAGAAAAAGATTAACGGATTTCGGTACACAACAGAGCGAGCACAGGTCAGCAGCTTCTTGGATTCAACAAACAAGATACGGAGTATTTCGAATAGCAACGAGAACAAGTTGAAGAAGGACATCGTCCGGACGAGGCTGGCACGGCGTGTTTATTCAAGATTGTGAACGGTTCTTGTTTGCGGTATACAAGAACACCCCGGTTCCTGGTCACCAACGCCAAGTTCACTCTGAATAGTTGCCTACACGTATACACGTAACAAGGCTAGCATTGCAAGAAGGTTTGTTTCAAAATCTATTTGATATGCAGTACTCTATTTGAGTTGCAGTGCATGTATCCCCTCTCCTTCGTATGCCTCGCTCGCAGCCTCGCACATCTCTAATCCACGCCGACTGACAGATAGATAGACAGAACCTACAACCCAGCCAGCACATCGCGCCAGATTGATCAGGCTACAGATTCTACGGCCTCGTCAGAGTTTCGGACAGCGATGAGGCGGGGAGCTCATACTTGTTGCTGTATTGTGTTTCGATAGGGAGCTTCTTACTCCCCAGATCCATACATGTTTGCATTGAGAGCAAGACCATGACTGCCACATCCTCGATCCGTTGGTTCTGTGTCGAGGACGGAAGAAGGAATCTGTCTATCTGCCCCACACCTTACAAACATGCGCAAGGATGGGATGGCGACGGCTTCTGGGGCGATGGCGGGACGAGTGGTAAGGTGCCGAGGATACCAGATGTTCAGAAGACGGCGAGGACGGGCTAACTTGCAGGTCAGTAGCATACCATAGTAAGAAGAAGTATGTTCACCTTGCAAACGGGGAAAGTGATATGAAAATGCTCTAGCCGGGTATCCGAAGTCCTCTATAATGCGCGCCCCCTGTATGTGAACATCTATTGTACATTACTCTACAACTCGTCATGCACCTTTGGCGCCGGTCTTCCACTGTCTTTATGCAAGTCAACACCTTGCTTCTTCCGCCACTTGTCCCACACACCGTGGAAGTCCTTCTCCATGCCCTTCTCCATCTGGTCTGGCAGCACAACCACGTACTCGACATGCAGATTGCCAAAGCGCCGTTCCGACTCTTCCGGGATCTCCTGTGCCCAGAACGGCATGCCCTCGCCGGGCACAATCTCGACATGGTTCGGCTGTACGACGCGCCCTCGCTCGCGGGACAGAAACACGGTATGGCCATCCAAATGCGTGATATTGCGCGTCCACTCACCCATCCACGCCTCGCGCAGACTGAGCACCTCCCTCCAAAACAAATCATGTCCACGCCTGCGGAAGAACGTGCCATCCGTCCTAAACGCCTCCTCGCTCGTGTCCATTTTCGGTTCCGCCTCCGTAACATGCACAATCAAATCGCCAGCAACATAATCCGGGCTCTCGTCCGCCTCGTTCTCATACGTCAACCGCACGCCATCCGGCATGCCGGGCTCGAGATTGAGCTCAAACGTCTCCGTCTCGCGCACGACACGCGCACCACCGCACACGCTGCACTTGTGCTTGATTTGCTGTCCCTTACCGCCGCACGCGTCGCACACCGCTTGTACCTGCTGGAACATGCCTGGCGCGAGCTGGTGCCGCTGGATACGCATGCCGCGCCCGCCACAGACGCCGCACGTCTCGACCTTGCCGTCTGCGCTGCCGCTGCCTTCGCATTTGCTGCAGATGGCCTGCTTCTCGATGCTGAACTGCGTGTCGCGCCCATTGTAGAAGTCGCGAAGCGGGAGTGATACCTTGACTTCCATGTTCTGCCCACGTCGCTCGCCGTGCCCAAAGTGTCCGCCGCCGCCGAAGAAGCGGCTGAAGAGATCAAACGGGTCATGACCGCCACGCTGGCCACCGCCACCTTGTTTGTGCTGTGCCAAGCCCTCGTGTCCGTAGCGGTCGTAGATTTTGCGGAGCTCGGCGTCGGAGAGACATTCGTAGGCTTCGGCGACTGTGGTGAATTTGTCCTTTGCGGTCTCGTCGTTACTATGAGTGAGGCAGGTTGTTTAGTATGAAGTCAAGGGACGTGATGAGGGAGAGAGCGCGTACGGGTTCTTGTCTGGGTGGTACTTCTTGCTCAAGGTGCGGTATGCGCGGCGGATTTCTTTGTCTGAGGCGTCTTTGTCTAAGCCTAGAATCTGGACGAATTGTTAGTGTTTGGACTGTAGCACATGCGATAAGGATCTTGTAAAGCATGCGAAGCCTTACTTTGTAGAAATCTTCTGCACATAGCCCCAGGGAGAACAGACATAGAAGCAAGAGCGCATGGAGTAGTTGCATCGTGCCCTAGAGATCCGCCGTGAGGCTGGAAGGAGTATAAGAGACAGAATAAACAAGAACGCAATGCACTTTAGGTGCTGTTACATGGATAGAAGGATAGAAGTACGACCAGGACAACAAAAGGAGCGACGAAAGCTCTTCAAAGCTACAAGAGTGGAAAACACAAACTGATTCGCGTTATCGATGGGGAAGTTTATGGACCCCGGTTTGATGCCAGATTTCCACAAGAGCGCTGGCCAATCATGACACTGCACGCTAAACGTCGTCGTCTGAGCCTGTGATTGGCTGTAGAGTAATGCCAAACGTCTAGATGCCCTATATATTCCTTGTTGGGGCATCTATCGCCTCGGACAAAGCCCTATGCGGCCCTGGATGGGAGGCCAGAGGATGTTCACTTCGTATAGGACAGTATTGAGTCCCAAGAGAGCCTTTGTTCGTCATGTGCAAGGCCTATGATTGGGTCTCTGCATCGATTTCAACCGAAACAGGTAGGTAGCTATGCAGACGACGTCGAACTTCGTGCCGCACAAGGTCTGTGCAGAGCAAACTATTTAATTCTCTGCATGCGTGTTGTCGCTGGCTTCTCTACTGTGTATGGCAAAATCATGGACTATTTACATCAAAAGCCTCTCGCTCCTCCGTTTGCGCATTGCGTGTGACCCACCTATAAATCACCCCTGATCACACGGATTTATAGATCCTGATATGGTAAAAGCTGGTGGGAGATCATCTCCCAGCATACATATAGAAACGAAAGCATACTACAATACATCCATGTCCATCTCCAACGTCATAGCAGCGCACTTAGTCGTGATTTACTATCGACTTTCCATTGCTGATGATGCAAATAGCACGGCTGTCCCCAGCCCGAGCTGCTGATACAACGTCATGGTCTGTATTCTCCTCGCAGATCCACCCCCAGGTTTGTCAGCCTTTCATGGAGAAGAATGAATACAGAGCATGTAAACGAATGCGCAGAATGTTGCAAAATACCGCCGTCCGACAACACCATTCGCATAACGCATGTGAAAAAAACATGGAAGTGTGCGCCAGAAACTGCCTTTGCTGAGCACATGACCACCATTCAAAACCGTGTGGTACTATGCAAAACGCCACCATGAGAATCCTCGTCGCTAACATTGCGCCGGTTGTGATGCAGTAATGTGCTGTATCAGCGGAGGGGGGAGGGGGGGCTCAGTAAAATATGTGTTTGGGATACTGTGGTTTAGGCTTTTTGAGATCTAGTGTGTTGATTCATTATGAACCGAGTCACGGCGATAATCTCGATAACTGTGCTCGAGAACGAAAGGTGATGGCAAAAGTTGCGCTCGCGAGTGGATGTTATCCTTTCTTGAGCGGCTTCATAAACTCGATTGGGCGCGTCTTGTCCTCAGGATCCAAAAATTTGTTCATGACGCCACTGAGAACTTTGAAATCGACCGGTTTCGTGACGTACGAGTTAAAGCCGGCATCCACGCATTGTGTGTACACATCGCCAAGAACATTGGCCGATAGTGCAATAATGGGCAAGTAAGGGAACTTGTTGCGCTTCTCCCACTTGCGGATCTCGCGGCAGGTTTGGTACCCATCTTTATTAGGCATGTGCAGATCGCACTAGAACAACAAAGTAAGCTTGTGTAGACATGAGTGTTTTGAAACTTACCAGGATGATGGAATAGTAACCATGAGGATGAGCAAACACCTTGTCTGTGCATTGTACTCCATCGAGTACGGTCTCGACATCAATGTCGATCTTACCAAGGAATTTGAGAAGTACCTATAGACACATTAGCATGCTTGCCAATCGGTTGGGTATTGCAACGATTACAGTCTGGTTGATTTGGTTGTCTTCGACCAAGAGAACACGCAGGCCCCTGTTTCCAAGCCTTCGTTTCAACTCTTCGAATACCTGTTTTTGGCTGACTGCGACTTGTTGAGCATTATCGTGCGAGCGGTCCGTCAGCATGCCTCTTTCTTTCCTCGGATCAAAGATTGCTGATATTTTAGACGGCTTGAGTGGTTTGAAGATGAAAACAAGACGAGCGTCTATCTTGAGCCTGTCAAAATCGTGGTAGGGGGCCTTTTGTATAATTTCTCGTTTCAAGGTCAAATCGCATACGACAACGACGGTGGTAGTCGAGTGTGCCGGGCCGAAACGTAGTACCTGGTCAATGAACTCAACATTCTCCTGGACAGTGCGTAGAACGAGAACAACATGGGTGAAAAGGACAGGATCCTCGCCCCCTAGCATCTGTTTGCACTCCTCGAGACTCTCACGGGCTGTAATCTGGTGCGGGATGCTTGTAGGAAGCGTGCTCTCCAGATGCTTGACGGTGGCTTGGCTGCTATATTCAAGTGGGCAGACAACTAGGATAGAGTACATTGGTGGCTGAGAGGAGATGGCTGGCAACGGCGATCCTAGAGGCTGTTTAATATCTGGTATGGACCCTCGGGCACGAGCAATCTCGGCAGGCATTGACAAAGTGATCGGCTTAAGTGATGCCTTGTCAGCGCTGAAAGAGGAAACGGATGATCGTTGAGAATGAACAGAATCAATAGTCCGCACTGAGGGATCAGAACTTGCGGAAGAAGGCGCTGGAGACTCGGACGCATGAGACATTGGTGACTCCACCAATTGATGGCCTGGAGAACCATAAGCTACTGAAAACTTCTTTTCAATGCGAGGAGGTTCATCGGTGAATGGTGTTGGCAAATTGTATGGCTCTTGAGCAGTACCTGGACTTGGTCGGTCATCGCCCGATGGAAATTGGAACTTCACCGTGAAAGTGAATGTTGAGCCTTTGCCAGGAACACTCGAAGCCTTCATCTTACCGCCATGTAGCTCAACAAGCTGCATGGATATGGCAAGTCCCAGTCCAGTGCCACCGTGTTGTCGTGTGCTACTGCCGTCAATCTGGCTAAAACGTTTGAACAAGAATTCTGCTTCTTTCTCCGTGAATCCTTTGCCAGTGTCTATGACCTGGAACTGGAGCAGAATTTCGTTGTCTTTGGGAAGCTCGACACCTGAAGTATCTGAGGCAACTCGGCACTGCATGAACACTTCACCTGTATCCGTGAATTTGATCGCATTGCCTATGACGTTTAAGAGAACCTGTCGTATGCGGAACTTGTCGCCCTTCAAATCGTGCGGCACATCGGGTTCAAGGACGTAGTTCAATTGAAGACCCTTCTCGACCGCCATACCAGAAGTCAAATCGTTGACATCCTCGATGAGTTCACGAACGGAGAACCATTGTGGCGAAAGCGTGATCATGCCAGCCTCGACCTTTGACAGATCAAGGATGTCGTTGATCAGATCGCGAAGGCCTTCTGTGCTACTACGGATAATGTTGATATGTTCCATCTGTTCAGCAGTAAGACTGCTATCAATAAGAAAATTGACCATTCCTGTAATGCCATTCAGAGGTGTCCTGATCTCGTGAGACATGTTACTGAGAAATCTTGTCTTTGCATCCATTGTCTCTTTGAGAGTTGCCTCAAGTAGTTTGTGGTCGTTGATGTCTGTGCAGGTACCGTACCAAGTGTCTTCCTCATTGCCGTCCTTGAAGACAGGCTCTGCCAGAAGTATGCGCACGAGATGCCATCGGTAGATACCATCTTTGGAGCGTAGGCGTACTTCCGTTGCATACGATGGACGACCATCCAGGTCTTTGGTCATTTTCGTTATCCCAGCACTTGCTAATCTAGACAGCCTCGCCTGTGGGATGCCTGCCACCGAGGGAGAGGTAATATTACCAGGACTTGGACTCGTGATCCGCTCGGTCTCTGATGAGGCTTCGGAACCTGGTGGCGAGGGACTCTTTGGGCCCTCTGCATGAACGGTAATTGGGGCATCTATAACGGCTGATCCATCCTCATCAAAAGTAGGTAATCGACACTTCGAAATATCGTCCGGGTGAACGTGGTTCATGAAACCCACGCCAGAGGCCTCGCTCTCGCTTTGTCCTGAAAAGACGACCCATTGCGAGTTGCAGAATATAACGCCTTTAGTTTGTGTCGCAGCGAAGACGATTTGTGGACTCGAATTTGCGAGGGCTCGGTACTTGGCCTCCGAAGCAGCTACCTCTTGTTGGCGTGCTGAATTCATCTCTGCCAAGTGTTGATCGTGGAAGTCCATGTTCGTTCCCATCCAGTGTACTATATTCTGACGCTTATCCTTTAATGGCGCTGCACGAACAAAGAACCAGCGATATGTACCGTCGAACCTTAGCAGTCTAACTTTAATTGCCAATTGAGCTCCCGTACGAAGTGATCTATGCCATTGTTCCATGTAACCATCTCGATCCTCTTCATGTATGGCATTCCATGGCTCCTGCAAGGCTTGCTTGGGGCTCTGTCCTCTATAGACTAAGAATTTGGAATTCACCCATGTCAGATTACCTGTTGCAGGGGCCGCGGTGAATATCTGTACGGGTAAGGAGTCGATGATGGTTCGCAGCAACGTCGAAGATGGTTGTACTAAGTCTGGTATTTCCGAGGCTGATGATTTGCGATTGTGAGCTAATCCAGGAGTTCGCGGAGTAGTCGCTGTAGGCAAAGGGTGGAAGCTCGAAGAGAAATTCGCCCCGTACGAATGAAGTAGCGAGTGCTTCTTCTCATGTAAGTATGAAGTACCTTGTGCCTCAAGTTTTCGTGGACCTACATTTTCAGCCTCGCGAGCTTGAACTGGCTTTCGGGGATCCTCACGAGAATAATCTGATTTCTGGCTATCTTTGGGCGTGATGGCATCATCCGTTTCATTGACGGGGCCGCTTTCCGTTAGCTTCTTTCGCGACAATGCTCTATCAACGCTCGGGGATTTTGATACTGGCTGACTCGATTGTGATGATTTGGCACCCATGATTATTTTCTTGGAATCAAAATAGCTGTCAATCGCATCCATGTTACTGATTTGGGCCGGAGTGCCTACGACAGAATGTCGACCACTGACACCATACATCGACGTGTCCCACCCTGGCGTACCAACCATTGAGGTGCTACCAGGACTTGGGCGAGAGTGACCCGAGTAGTCTGATGGGCTGGTCGTCTCACCTGGGGTTGTTTCTTGATATGATCCCAAATCTAAGCGTAACAAACTATGAAGACTCTGGGAATCATTGGTCATGGGAGTGTAACCAGTCTGGCTTATTTGAAAGCGAGTAAGTCTCAGGTTTTGGGCTTGATCAAACGCTTCTGAGAACTGTGCAGCGTTGGAATATGTCGTCGCCAGATGGGGTGCCAACAGCTTCAAGGAATTGGTCCAGTTCTGTGGGAAAGGCACCTCAGACGACATGAAGGAGAGTATAGCTATTGGTACTTTGCGATCTGAACTCTCCTCATTAGGCATCGAGGCCTTTGAAGAACGCCTGTATCTCCTGTTCCGTAAATCCGTGTGCGTTGTATGGTGGAAGGACGAAGTCTCGGATGGATGGACTACTTGTGACAAAAGCGGATGTATTAAAGGGACATGGGTAATAGTACTGGCCCTATCAACCCCAATCGCCTCGACCGGAACAGTCCCTGAATAATCACCGGACGCACTGGTAGGGTCAAAAGTATCGTCGACGTTGGTTTGACCAAAGAAAGGATCCTCATTCGGGTCATTCTGGACTGCTGGCGACGGGTGAGGTGATTGAGCCCAGGGTGATGACGGCAGCTGTTCATATTCTTCATATGGAACTGTACGCTTGGACGAATGGGATTCGAGCTTGGTTGTCCTGGACGGATGATTAGGTTTGTCCTTCACGTCTGTCTGTCGCTGTGGCTGTAGACTAGCGGACTGTCCAGGAGCATTCTTCGGTAGTTGACTCCTCTTAAGACCTTCAGGACTTGATTCAGAGCTCCATGAGACGCTGTAGTCACGGGTAAGGGTGACCAGCCTCCCTTTTTCTAAGATACGGTTCACTCCTGCGTCGTCGATAAGAGGATCTTGCTCAACATTCAGTGGTTGTTTCTGTGGGTATACCAACAAACAAGGCCTATCAGAGGCATCGCCGGGACTCGAGAATTCTGGATCGCTGAACGTGTTTCCCCTCGATGGTGATCTCGCGCCATCATAAGATACGGGAGACACATGACGTAAAGGGTGTTCTCCACGGGTCAAAGTCCGGGGAACATGGCTGGCGGTCCGTGATGGAGGTCCTGGCCTTTCGGGCCGACTCACGGCCTTGTTTGTGTCCAAAGTCGCATCTTTTCTTTGTCGCTCTGGACCAGCGTAAGAGTGACGCGCCTCAAGCTTTGGTCTTCTCTTGCTCCCACCTTGAATTAGGCCTCCGACAAGGTCGGTGGCCTCTTCTGGTGAGCGTGAGATGGATAGGTCCGAAGCTTTCGCGATGGAACTCGACGTTTGCGCGGCTGTGGCAGCTATGCGTCTGCCTGAGGCATTGTAAGTAGCTTGCTGTGTCCAAGGAACGTTCTGATCTGACGCGTCCGCAGGGACGGACAGTGAAGCTCTTTCGGCGCCAAACCATTCGTGACATAATTTCACCACAGTTGACCACCAAGCTTCGAGGCCCGGTTCAGAATTCAACAACAAGATTGTATCATAGAGGTTTGGTGAAGGATATCGCGGATCCTCAATCTCGTTACTAGGTGGTAGGAATGCCGAGACGGAGGCCGCAGGTGTGCTATCCCCTGACGTGAACTGTTCGCGTACTGTCGGCTGTCCTCTGATGTTGAGCGAGTCGATTGTTGGTGAGAGATTGGTGAATGGTTGATGGAAGGATGACGACCACGTTCGAGGAGTGCCTGGGACATATGGAAATGGATACGACGGCGTCCGTAGTGGCAATGCACTTGGTGTAGGCGGTACACTTCCTTTGATTGTTCTGACTGATTCTGTAGATTCTGTTGATGCTGTGTGCAGCCCAGCCGATGGAGGTGGACTGCTAAAAGATGCCTCTAGAGATGGCGACATATCTGTTATTTCCTCCTTTATGGGTGACACCCTACGTGCTGCTACACTGACAGGCGTTCTCCCACCTGGACTTTGCTTAGGGCTCATACTCGATATTGCTCTTTGCTGGTTCGCCGCCATCTTCGCGGACAATGCTTCCTTCAATCGTTCTATTTCGATGTGCTCAGGAGATTTACCCTCCTCATATTCCTTAACATCTGATAACGGCCCACTAAAACTGTCCTCGGTATCCTCGTCGGCGCTTTCTGAAGTGGTGCTTATATTGCTCCTTGGAAGTGTGGCATGCTGACTGCTCAATGCATTTGCTTGACTGTTGCGTGTAGGCTCCAGCAGCGATGTTATTTCCTCTGGACTACTACTCTTTCTGGCCTCCCTTCTTAAGCGAGGTCGAGTTTGTGTGTGGGATAGAGGGTTGCTGAATTGCGCATTATGAGTCAAGGTCGTGGTGGAACGTTGCTTGGCTGGGGTAGATGACGGTTTCGTGGACTTAGGCGAAGGAAGAGGGGAGGACTTCTTCATGACGTGCCCGCCTCCAGTATAGCGGTCAAATCTAGGAGTGAAATGTGTGGCTACGTGAGACGTGTGTCCCCATCAGAAGAAACGTGAGAGAGCGACAAGACGAGACGGAACGTAACGAGCGGCGGGCAAGCAGCAGGCACGGCGAACAGAGCAGCGCTAGGACTGAAAGCGATCACGGACGGGGCATCCGAATCGGTTGCAGTGGGAGGTGTGGAATGGAAACCCTTGTAGGTGATGGTGTAGTATGGTGTGCAGCGCAGGGCGGGCCTGGGCTGTACACAATACTTTGCGACAAGATGTGTGTGTGTGTAGAAGTGAGCCAGACGGAGAGACCTAATAATGCTTGCAGACCGTTCACCGTTCCCAGGGCGTGGCTAACGTGGCTCTAGCGCCCGTCGATGACGTAGGGTGAGCGACAGCAGGGACCCTGCCTCGCGACGAGAGAGCACGCGTACAGCAGTGGAGAATGTGAAGAGCAGAGGGTGAGAGTGGCAGGATTCGAAGAGAAAGGTCACAGTACAGGAGGCCGTGGTGAAGCAAAGGAAGGCAAGGGGCAAGCAATAACAAAGTCAGAGTTCGGTGCGCTTACACTCGTTTAACAGGGCGTGGAATCGTGGAGATAGGAATCATAGGATAGGATAGGATAGGGGAGGGAAGTATTAACTAATTAAGCTACCCAGGTAGGAGTAGTAATTAGGCATCGTGCAGCCAGACGGGACACTTCCTAGGGACGGGCAAGCAAATTCTTGGCAGACATGGTCAGAAACCAACTATAACAGCGAAGGTCTGTCTGTCATGTCCAAGAAAGAGTTCATTGTTGTTGCTCACCTATATCCACCTGGCTGCGCGAGAGTGTTTGATTGTATGGCAGAACAACTATACTACACCGGAGATCGTATCGAGCCATTATACTTCCTATTTTTCGCTAAAATATGTCCTATGTTAGACTGTCGAATAATAAGCTTCGTAATGCGCCTGATTCGACCAAGAGCCTCTGATAGCCCCAGAAGCCACTCAACGGCACAGTCAAGTAATAGTATTCAGGTAGGTATCCACGACAGCACTGAGCCCCTATTGGAAAGCATAAACTCTATCGAATGATACCTGACGCCTCATTTGTGCTACGGCGTACGCAAAAGCGAGTTGACAGTAGTCACTGTTATTAACCAACGCATTCTTCCAGCCATGATCGGACTTCTTCTCAGCCTATCGCTCAGCCTCAGCTGTCCAAGGATTCCTCTACATGCCATTGCAAACCCTTCTAGGCAGAGCTTGGATGGCAAACACACGAGACGGGGTAATTGCGTTCAAATCGAATCGTGCACAACGGCGTTAGTTATGCACTCTATTGAAAGAAACTTCAGAACCGCCTGGCACTAATATACATTGAATCAACCAAAATCCCCGTACACAATTTTTTGTCAATTATGGCATAAGGCGTAGCTTTAGAGGACGCTGTGGATGGGAATGTGGAGCATACTCCGCGGCCCCTCTGACATCACACCGTCAGCGGAGGGAGCGTGGTGCGTCATTCCGGGAGCTTGACCCGCTCGACCCAGCCCAGTCTCGGGCCCTGGTCCGCAGCTTTGACAGCGACAGTGGACTTACAATAACTTATGATTATACAATAATGGAGAAATCATGGCTGTAGGTATAGCAATAGCCTCACCTGCGCTTGGCTCGCCTCATGACTGCTAACCAGCCCCCTTTTGTCTCTCTAAAGGAAACCCTCAGACTGTAATTATTACCATGGAGTCGTACATGCATGCTCACGCTGACGCTCTTATAATACGTTACATCCAGGCTGCTGAGATGATACGACACACACCCCTGGCCCCACAAGCCATGGATCCTCAAGCGCCGACCCTCCCCTTCCCTTAATTCCCTTGACTCCGTCACTCCCGACTAGCTAGCTTCCCCAACTCGTCCACCCCCCAAAGTCCATGTCATCGTGAGAGGCGTATGTGCAAGTATGCATGCGAGATATCACTGCATCGTAGAAACTCCGTCCGCTAGAGTTATAGTGCTCCAGTAGTTCGCTGATTCATCATAATCCCTCCATCAAACATGCCAGTGCTTATGAGCCAAGAACAAGAATAGAGACGAAATATCCTTCACGCTCAACTCTGGGAACATGTCGGCCATGGAACGTGGCTAGAACGTGGAGTAGTCGTAGCCTTACCCCTGTAAATCCACCCCCGGGCCACGACCAACACAGTCGTGGGAGTCCTTCAGAATGTGTCTCGCTTTATGATTAGCCTCCTCCTTCCAATTCAGTCAGTCTCTGCTGCTCTAAGATATCTTTATCGATGCCCACTTAATGTCGTGCTGATATGCAATACTCGAGATATGCGTCGTATGTTTCTACTTGTACCTATTCCATGACCCTAAACCCGCACCATCCACCAGAACCCTCAAAGGCCCAAAAGGCTTGACTATTCAAACTCCTCCCAGTGTTTTAAGTGCCCGTCTTCCCAAACGCCATACGCAATGCAAACATACATACAATCGCTAATAGTTCCGTGCTACCGGCTGCTGTGTGAGCATTGGTGCCGGTGGGAGCAGCTCGATCTGCCGGATCAAGAAACTCTTCTCGTCCATAAACTGGTCGTCATCCTGTCGGTCTTGCAGAAATGCGGGAAGAAACTTGAGAAGTTTGTCTCGGTTGCCAATCAGTATCTTCTGTACTTCCATCGACTTGTTCGGATTTGCCACAAAGACCTTCTTAAGTCAGTTTTGAGTCTGGTGTTATGTCTTTGGGGCATATGGCACCTTGAATACGTGGAAACCTTCGTAGTTTATCATCTTTCGGTCATCTTTCAGCAACCGCATAATAATCTTTAAGTGCTCCCCGATATCGACATATTTAGTCATGATGTTGTAATTGGATCTGTCGAGTAATATCTCCCCAAGCAACTTGATCGATTGTCTCTTAGTGACGTAGCTTTCCGATTGTACCAATGTTTTATTGTACTTGGCAAAAAAACTGTCAAAATTGGCTTGTAGATACCGTGCAACTAAGCCTTTGTGTTTGGTCAAGAGCTCCTACATTGTGATTAGCGTGTTACCCTAGATCTCGAGAGAAGATATACCCTGAAAGTGTTGAATGCATCGGCGCTGACTTCGAAAGCTCCCTTATCTATCCAATCGAAGAAGTTCCAAAATACACCATTTCCGCTCACTGGAGCATCGAGATTTATGTTGGCCAGGTCCAGAGGTTTACCATCCGGATTTGGCTCATCATACAAGACAATCGCAGCAACAACTTCGTGCTTCAAGGCTTCCCTCAGTACTCCTCCGCACGGCATCGCGCTTTCTTTCCGATCGTACCCATAGCAGAGTGCCGTTATTATTTCTGGTCGTCGCTTCACGACCCAGTTTATAGCTATAGGGTCGAGATCTGGACTGTTCGGCGGCTTGAACCGAAACGCACTGGACATGATCACCTGAGTGTCTTTCCTCGACTCGAAGGGCAGCCGATGGATGCTCTTTGCTAGGTAGAGGAGGACATCTTCCTGCAGAAGCGCGGAGATAAGGCCATGCTGCTGGTCTGGACTAACTTCTAGCTCTGCTCAAATGTCAGTACTGTACGGACGACAATAGACAGAGACGGTTTTGGTAAGCCCAGTTGTGTGGTAACTGAGAGTGAGACTCTGCTCCCAAACTAGACGTACCTGTAGTGCCTTGGAGAACCGTTTTCATCTGCGTAAGACTCCGAGATAATTCTTCCTCGGTCTGAAGCAGCAGTTAGGCACAACTATCTGAGCGGCTGAGTGCGGGGTGGGAAAGACCTTGGGGTTTGCCTTCTCCTCGCTTATGTACCGTTGGAGCACCTCCTTCAATGATTTTGCCAGCTCTGGGTTGCTCTTTTGTCGGTTCCTATTGAAAATATTGAACGCCATTGTCCATCAATGTTTGTTGATCTGCCGTGATACAGCTGAGGACTCGGAGGCGCAGCGAGAGGAGGGGCAGATGATTGAGCCCCTGGAAGAAGCGCTACGTTTGACGTAAATGCATACACGGCGCACAGTCAGGAAGTTGAAGGGGCTGTGAGATGGGCGTTCTGCAACTGTTCAGACATAGGGTTTCGCATGCACGCTGTGATGGCTTGGGCCGCGATGGGAGGTGGCCCGCCAGCAAAGTAGCCAGGGCCGTCCTACCACTAAGAGAGGCTAGCAAGGGCCCACGAGTGCTTCCAACCTTGGTTGCTAGCTGTCCCTGCATTTGTGACCAGCATAGCGCATGGCACGGTATAGTACCTATCTCAATTCCTTCAAATCATCACCGGCACTCTCGGAGTTGCCAGCGCATCATTGCAGTATGTTACGCTTCTGCTAATTTCTATATGCCCGAATATGGGTGGCATTATAAGACTTATGTACACATCCCCTTCTCCTTTCATTGCACGTGTCATTCATTGCTGTACGACTCGGCTGCCATTTCCATGACTTATTGTTCGCTTCACAGGAAATATGGATGACGCAGGGCCTGGACGTCAATTAGCGCCTCTTCTTCAGATGGATAGTTAGCATGGGTCTCGTACATCAACTGCACTCAGACGCTGGCCACTCTCGAAGCAGACCAATCTCCTCACAAGATCACGCTCAACTTCCGAGGCGTGGGGAAGCAAGTCAGACCATGATCGAGGAGGGTATCGGAAGAACTGCATCTTGCCCCAATCTCTAAATTTCGCAGCTTCCTGGGAGAGGGTCAAGATTGGGTCAGGAACAGAAAATATTGACGTCACCTACAGGCCAAACATCTAAAGTTGGTGTACCCAACTTCTGGAACATGCTGTGAATAAGAGTCAATTCGCTGCCCAACTCACCAGATTCAAATAGGGGTTTTTGGCTATGATTGACGACTTCAGCCACAACGCATCCGGCTGCCCACATATCAGAGGCAGAAGTATAGCTTTGATGACCGAACAGAAGCTCAGGAGGCCTGTAGCTGGTTGTACCTACATCAGTAATCTTCCTGTCTGCTTTCTCAGACGCAGAATCACTCTCAGACCAGGCGATACCAAAATCTGCCAAGTATGCAGGACCGTCGAGTGATTTGATCAGAATGTTACTCGGTTTTACATCTCGGTGAATAATACCCTTGGAATGAATATGAGCCAGGGCAGTGAACACATCTCGCAGTATCAAGACGGCTTGTTCCTTGGACAAGTTTCTCTGAACCAGGAGCTCCTCTAGATCGTGACGCAAGAACGGAAACACAAGGACAAACTCGCCCCCTGATCGATGAAATGAATCCCACAGAGGAACGATACCTGGACCCTGGGCGTACCTTAAGATTCGCGCTTCTCGTAGAGAGTCGTGTGGTGGTCCCATGGTAGATGGTCTCGTCAACTTCAGGGCAACTAGTGCACCAGGTTTGTATACCTCAGAAGCATCGGGGGGTTTCTGACTTGGTGCAGTTGCTTTGTAGATGGCTGAAAAAAGGCCATTTTCGTAAAATGTGGCACCTTTATAACTGCCAAGATCAAGCTTGACGCTCGTATCACCCCGCTGGTTGTCTTGTGTGTTCTAAACGTGCCCGAGTCAATGTCTGCTTTGCCGACCAGCTGTAGCCTGGTTGTCTTGCCTTGGGAGTGCTAAGAAGCCCATCTCTGTTCAAATTCTTGATGAATGCGGAGCACCTCTCTTGGTAATCTGCCTGATCAATCACCACTTGTCTCAGATAACTTAGCTTGACCACATACTACAGAGGTAGCTTCATTGAAGGCTGCGGTCTCAACAGAGGTAGCTTCACCCTGCGCTTCGGCAGGCGTCGCAGATGAACTGGCCCCTCGATATGTGAAGCTGCTATATACAAATGTTAGACCAGCTTTGGCAGGCGGGCGTGCCGACCTACATTTTATGGACGTTAGCGAGCCGGTCCGAAAAACTCAACTCGGTTCTCCATGCTGTTGCCATGAGTGTTTTCGAAATATAGACCTTTTATTGCCTGGTGAACAAGAGTTAAGAGGTTCTGTCTGTATGGTTCGATAGCAAATCAATTCAAGATTGGTGAGCCTTGATAGATAATCACGACATCTGTGAGCAGTGTACGCGTTCTTTGATCAGTCACGCAGTTTGCGTCAACGTGGCAGCGTGATTGTTGATGCTCGGCATTTTATAGTCATGCACCTGGCCCAGGCCAGCTTCGGCGGCGGCGTGGTCTTTGCCGAGCGGCCAGCTACCCTAACGTCCTCCTTCACGGCAGCTTCTCTCGTGTCATAATGCACGACGTACTGGTCTACGTCTACCACTCCCTCTGATATATGGGACTTTAATACCATTTTCTTTGTCTGGCTTTCGCGATACTATTGCGCTCACGATGGATCTCCAAAGAAAAGAGTACCCGGCAATGCTGGTCCGTTGTAACGTCCTCGCGTCATTGAGCCGCACTGACTCTTCGAACAGGAAAACCTACAGCCCAGTCAAGCCGTGAACGTCCTCAATGATCGCATTAGACATGTTAGCAATGTCAATACTAGTATTGCCGAATGGCTAAAGGTGAACAAAATCTCACGACCACGTCTCAAAAGCTCCTCTAAAGTACTTAGGAACGCCGCCGGGTCGAAGAGCAATACGTCTTAGGCCTACGAAGACTCGCGCAAAGCTTACCAGCTGATTCGGCTCTGGATCTTGGGTATGGTGACTTCAGGTCCCTTGTCGATATGAAGCTAATTGGACCGGTAGAGTGTTTACATCTCCATGGAACAAGATCATCAGCTCAATAGAAGCCATTGCCGAATCTCATCATACCCTCGCCACCAAGATAGAGATCGATGTCGAACTGCCATTACGCGCATTTGTCAGCACAAACAGAGAGGTCCAAGCCATGGGCAATATAAGTGGCAATCTTGCCGCCATGGCGAAAGAGATCGATACGGCACAGAAAAAAGCTGAGAAGCTTGAAAACAAAGGAGGCAAGGCGTCAGCCTCCAAAGTCTCCTCGGTAGCTGGTGAAATCGAAAGCGCGCAAGCTGCATGGGATTCTCAAGCCCCTTACGTATTCGAGCAGCTACAAGCTGTAGACGAGAGTAGACTCAACAAATTACGGGACGCTCTAACCCAGCTTCAGACGTATGAAGTGGATCAGGTGGAACGCAATCGAACTACTGCTGAGCAATGCCTAAATGTTCTACTCGATGTTGAAACTGCAGACGAGATCAAAACTTTTTCAATTAGAGCCACAAGCGATATTCCCAGAATTGAGCGTCAGAGAAGCCGGCCTCAGGGAGGTAGCTCTATCGCTTCCGCGAGTTTAGCGCCTCCTATGTCACCAAGTACTCCAGAACAACGCGATGATGGTTCAAGCCATAAAGGCTCCAGTAGGTTTGCAATAAACTATATCGAGCTCTGAACTAATCTATTCAAGTTCAAGAACCAAAGTCTAGCAGTAAACCATCCGGGCTAAAGCGTTTCACCACAGTCCTGGGACGACGACGACAAAGTATACATCCTTATGAAAAGCGCGGACCATCTCCGGAGCAGAAGTCTTCGGGGAATCTAGCCTCGTCCTTGTTCGGCAGGCGAAAGGATAAGGAAGCTCCTCAGTCTCCCGAGAGGCAACGCTCACCAACGCGCCAACTAGCAGATCTCCCTGAATCAAGTACAGAACAAGCCCAATCCCCGGTTGTGCCACACATCCCGCCAGACAAGACGGAAAGACCAAATGGCTTAGGCCTACAGAATGATACAGACGCCCTCGGATCCCTCACGAATGGTGCGGCGACTACGACATCAATTCCACGCTTGCAAGAACCTCTGCAACCCATATCGCCCTCATCCACAGTTGCGACCGATGTATGATCTTCGTTATTTTCCTCCATTGATTGCGTACTAACGCGACTCACAGCCACGCAAGGATTCTGAAGGTTTTACTGTACCAACGGCCGGCTTAGATGCCATTTCACAGGCAGAGCAGGAGGCCGCAGGCTTATCATTGTTAGTTTCTACAATTCATTTTGATACAGGTATTGACTATGTTTCGCTAGGTCCGAAGACGCTCCTTCGCAGCAGTTCAAAGTAGACATAAGAAATGCCCCTATTCAAGAAGAAGATGGCGATGCGAACGCCGCGATCGCTAACGTTACTAACACATTACGAGCAGTATGTACATGCGTTCATTCAATCACACTGATGCTAACTGTGTCATATTAGCAAGCAATAGGCATGCCGTCTCGTAAAGCTGGCACAGTACGCGGACGAAGAGCCGGCGACGTCCGTAATACCATGTTTGTACCTGCGGGTCAGACTCTACAAATGAACGAATCAACTGGGGAACTCTCAATGCTACCTTCCGCAGCAGTACCTCAACCTACGACGCCTACCATGATTTCCTTGCCAACTTCACCACCTATGCCGTCGAGCCAAGTTTCGCCTTTCAAAATATCGCATCGCCCCCCCTTCCTCAATGAAGATCCAGCTGGCTCTGACACACAATCTATTAGATCAGGACGCTCATTAAGTAGTTCAGCTAGTACAACAGTCAGACACCCCGAACTCCATGAGCCTGGGCTCAACTCTTCCATCGTAGAAACCGTCAGCACCTGGTTTGAACGGGGTCAAGTTACCAGAGCAATGGTCATTGGCCAGGTTGCACTCGCATACAATCCGCCGGATATATCCTCAGGTCCATTCGGCCAGGAAAGCATCCGCCTGGAGAACTTTCCTGTTCTTGAAAAGGTTGCCCCAAATCCAGCATTCATTGAGCAACAAGCCGAGCATCCCGGCATATACAACGTCGATCTCTCCAAAATTACAAAGACCTCCGTTGCCTTCCACTACCAGGTACACCTCAATCCCACCAATCAGTCCTCCTTCTCACCACTCCTTCTATCCCCCGCCTGGAAGCCAGAACCCACTCAGACCTCCGCCCTACTCAGCTACGGTCTCAACCCCACACTTACTCTTCCGCCCGGTACTTCGTCCATCACCCTCTCCAACCTTGTCCTCGTTCTACGCCTCGACCCTACCGCCGGCAAACCCACCCACGCCCAATCCAAGCCTGTGGGTAACTTCTCCAAGGATCGCAGTCTGATCTACTGGCGTCTTGGCGACGTCACCCTGTCGGCCGACGCACCCGTGCAACAGCTCCGTGTACGATTCTTCACAGACGGTGAGGCCAAACCAGGGAATGTAGAGGCGCGATGGGAGCTGGATGACAATAAAACTCCTGGGATGGGCAGTGGTCTTAGTGTCTCGTCGATTGTTGAGGATGGCGCAAAGGCCACTGAGGCTGATCCGTTCGCAGATGAGGACGAAGGGCCGGAGAAGACGAGGTGGAAGAACGTGCAGGGGGCCAAGAAGATTACAAGTGGAACGTATATTGCTTCGTCGTAAGGTTGCCTTTGCAGTCGAAGGAGATAAATATCAAAATGGAGGTAGGGGTGGAGAGTATAAAAGGGGCCATCAATTGAGCATTCCGTATCATGCAGCTTGACGTAATGGTTGGAGCGTACAGGGCAGTCAAAGCTACAGATATCATTTCTTAATGTCATAGTAGGCATCAGTATTATTATTTATGGGACCTGTTGAAAAGGTAGGTCCGCCGACATATCACTCGATACCATTTCATATAAATTTACCATGATTCAACCGCACGATCTGCTCTCTAGGGAAGTGGTAAGGATGATATTCAAGCATTGACCAAACGTCGCTGCTTATGCCTTGGCAGGAAAAGCTAAAGTCAGCTATGCTCGTAACATGGATGTCTCTTAAAGGCTAGGAGAACAAGGCCCCAGAGACATCCACTCTGCTCCAAATTCCATCAACACTCATTCTTTCGCCTGCGACGAGCACCCCATTCGTATTACCACCTCCAAGCAAGGCGCCGTGTCTTGCACTTCGCCAGGTGTATCCAACGAACGCGTTCCTTTTCCTGATCTCCATAACGGTCTTCGCCAGCGCCGGGTCCCGCAGTAGCCTATCTCGAGGCCGTTTCTTTTCCTTTCGCGGCTTCACTGGCTTACCTTGAGCACCTGCGACATGGGGTTGGGGCAAGTTCCAGCGCGGATAAGGGCTTTCGGGAACAGCGTGATCTGCAGAGCGAGTTCTACGCTGATTGTCCAAAGGTTTAAGCGAATTTGCAGTCAGCCCCATCTCTTCGGCACCTGTCGAGCTGTCATGGCTGTTTGAGCTGAGAATGTCTTTTTCGTCGTCGAAGTACTTGGCGATGTCTCGATCGCCGACTTTAGGCACAAAAGGGGGTCGTGTCAAATGATGCATTTCCCAGTCAATGCCGGAGAAAAACTCGTGAGTTTTGATGTCTTCGGCGTCGTTGGCAAAAACAAAGCCTGGCCGCGGTCCAAGAGCATTGATGTGGCGTGGATAACGGAGGCCAGGGGCGCGAGAACGTGGCGAGTCATTACATCTGTAGCGAGGAGACGACAGACGCCATTCCTTATCTTCGAGGAGGGAACGCATGAGTTCAATGGCTGGGACAGTTACATCGGCGAGGAAGTAGCCGCCTACAGCACTATTGGGTCGAGCGATGCGCGTGCGGTTGGGAAAGCGCAGATAGTGCTTGTGATACTTAATTCGCTCCTTTGTGAGATTGCGGTCCTCGTTGAAGAACGGCGTGCTACCGTACATGCATTCATACATTATGATGCCTACGCTCCACCAGTCGCAGCGACCATCGTAGCAGTCGCCATTGATGACCTCTGGGGCCATGTACTGACTAGTACCGACAACACTGCGTGCAAACTTGCGCATATGGCGACCATTGAGCCAGTCCAATTTTGGTGGTAGGGGACGCTTTGTCTCCTCGACACCTGATTGACTCGGAACGTTCAGGGGATCAGCGAAGACGCCAACTTTGTTGAGTTCTTCCTGTATATCTTGGTCATCACCTCGAACCTCAATGTTGAAGTGATCGATGAGTGTATATCGCTGATCATTGTAGTAGGTCTGATTGTGTGCCCAGTGGCCGTCGAATGCGAGACCGAAGTCAGAGATTTTGAGATGACCCGAGGCTGTGATCAGGAAGTTGTCAGGTTTGACATCGCGGTGTATCCAACTCATCTTATGGGTTTCCTCAATACACAATATCATCTCTGCGATGTACCACTTGGTAATACTCTCATCGAGCACATCCTCGCGAAGTAACAGACCCAGGAAGTCTCCGCCGACCATATACTCCATTACGAGATAGAGATTAACGCTATCTTGGAAGCTTGCTACCAACGGTACTACCCAACGAGAGTTTTCCGATGCCACCAAAAAATCCCGCTCGGCACGAAGATGGGCCTCTTGACTGTTACGTAGCATCTCTGATTTCCGGATGACTTTCATCGCATAGACCTTCTTCTGAGAAGACGTTGACGAGCCATTCACACCAATGATACAAGTATCATCTGAAGACCCGGGCGTGATCATATCCTGTGAGGAAGCACCATCTGTTGCAGGAATCCGTCCTGATTCATCATTTGACGATATTGACTTCTCACGGACAAGACGGACCAGTCCGAAGCTCCCTTTCCCGAGTACACGGACACATTCATATTTGGTACTTGGAAAGCCTTTCCTGGTACGTCGAACATAAGAGTTTGCCCTGATGGAACGATTGTGTCTGAGATGGTTGCTCTCAGCTTGGTACCAGTCGTCGCGACGTCTCTGACGCTCTTCGTTGGTTATAGCTGTAAAGTTCAGAGCCCGCTCGAACGTAAGGCGTCTCATTGACCTAGGCGACGTATTCTCAGCCAGGATCGAGTTGTAGTGTGTTTCGAAATAGACCTTCGTTGATGCGATCTTCTCAATAGTCGCAATGGTAGGGACCATAGGATCCGGTGAGCTGAGAGCGCTATCCAGCCAAAAGGGAGCTGACTCTCCAAGCTGCAACGGTCCTAGACCCTGGAAAGGAAGTTTTGGTGGAGAGTCGCGTTGGTAGAGACGAGAAGTGGTGGAGCCCGATCTTGCGACCGGGTCGGTAAAGACTGACGTTGGTGCAGTGGAGGCGGGGGTTGTTGGGGATGTAGGAGGAGTGGGCAATGTAGAAGGGCTCGTAAAACGGGAGCTCGACTGAGTATTTTTAGGAATTTGAGGAAGTTCCAGTGGAGTCGGATCCGGTAAGCCCCCAGGAGCTTCAGCGTAGGTACTGGATCTAGATCTTACCAGAGGGCGATGATGTACCGTAGTGGTAGCAGGTGAGAATGATAGTTTACGCAACAGTGATAGGGCTGGCGTTGACTTCTTGCGGTTGACTGTAGAGTAACGTCTTGTTGTACCTGGCTCAGCAGGTCCGTCGAAGCGAAGTAATTTCTCAGAGCAAATCGGTGCATTGTCTAAACTCATCTTTGACAATTCATTTGTGGTCTTGTTGCTCACATTATGTGGTTGTTCCTCAGTGTCGGATGGCGGAGGTGTTTGACATTGTGACAGAGCCTTCAACACCGCAGAGGGTACAAAAATGTCCGTGGCATCTTCAGCGGTGGGCGATAACCTTAGGCTATGTTGACCAATGGTAGCTGCAAAAGTATTAGGATGACTACAATGGAAGGACAGCAAACAACATACCATTGCCACCACGAAACACAGATATCAGCCTCGAGCTGCTACGACGAATTCTCCCGATGGCACTATCAAAGAAAAGCCCATGATGTCTGACAGTAGCTGGATCTTCGTCGTCGTCTCGAAGGGCGTCTTGGGTCCTTCGGGCTATGACACGAACTTTATCATTGTTTGTGGGACCAAGTGACCGGCTACGAGCATTCTTCCTTTTCTTGTTAACGGCCAAAGGCATAACGACTGGCATGAGGATAAGATAAGAAAGTAATGATAACGGTTGTTAGAACCAAAATCGTGGATGTACCTCTACCGTAGTCGAGCTCCGGTCTCAGAAGGAGATAAATGTAGTGTTAAGATTCAAAGACTAGAAGACATTGCACAGTCGTGACTTCTTCCATCAAAAAACTCCTAGCTGCCTAGATGGGCTAGGTGGGTGTCATCTAGAGCACGAAAGCTAGATTTCAACACAGCAGGCGAGAATTGACATATCACGATAAGGCAAGATCGACTTACACTCTAGAAACACCAGACAAATAGAGGGGTATTCGCATTATAGATATATAGGTAGTGCTGGTTTCGTGTTGCAGATGGAGTAGACCAGCTAAAATAAAGTTGGAAGAAGGAGAAGAAAGAGTGGATATTAGGTACATGTCTGCTAACACTATTACTCTTTTCGAGGCAGGTAATTCGAGACACATAGAATTCTCGCGTCAGTGGGTGGTTTACGCTCAATGACTACACTCCTGAGGACTGAAAGGGTCTTTGTCGCGACTTGCAGAACCCAATCCTGTTCCGTGGTGCAGGACAAGGCTGAGCAGGAATAGGCTGTTCATGAGCTGCCTGATTGGGTTAGTAAAGAGACTTTTCAATTGTTGCACCGCTTTAGCATTGAATACAGAAGGGCCAATAGCTGCAATTGGTAGATTCCGGTCTGTTGGGTGATCTACAGAAATGACTGATCATGTGCGGCATTGGAGTTGAGGAGTCCTTTCGACGTCATAATTTGAAGTAGGGCTATATGTCATAAACATATTTCTGAAGAGTGGTTCGGTATCCAGTCGTGATCCTAAGATATATTCAAATCAAGATACGCAGGAGAACTTCCCCTCATATACCGCAGCCTGTAGTCAGACTTACGCATCGCTCTTACATACGCTCGCAACAGAACAATGTCTCGAATCTCAACCCTGCCTGCTCCAGGCGCCCCGATCACGCATGCTGGACCAACGTCGCAAGCACCTGAGTCAAGACAAACCCCAGACTTCTTTACACAAGTCCCTCCTCCAGCTTGGACTCGAGACACAAAGCCGGAGAAGCCCAGCGAGGACGCGACCCATGCTATCGGACCCCCTCCTTTCGAAGAGAAATATGCAGTCCCCCATAATGCTAGCAGCACACAGCCTACCGCAACCGAGGCCATGGCCTACAGGAAAGGGGAGAGCAAGAAAAATCGCGGGAACTGTGGTGATCCTTGGTGTGGGGTAGAATGCTGCACCGCTTGCTGTTTGTAAACGTTACTCGCTCCTTGCGGAGGCGCTACTTAGCTGTTGATAAAGAGAATCGATGTTACAAGTCACTATTCATAGCGGTGTGTTTCGTATTGATGCTTGAAAATAACCAATCTAGCACGTAAAGTAATATACTGCATACGAAAAGAGATAAATGAGATATGACTGGGTATACGGCCAACGTAAGGAGAGTGAAAAAGAATGATATCTCAGACCAATGCATATGCTTCATATCGGATTGATGGTCGCATCATGTCTCTCAACGTGCACCATTAGCAATCTTCGTCTTCTTCACCATCTGCTCGTCTCCATGCTGCAGCTGTTGTCCCTGTGCCGGCATCCCTGCCAACCAACTTGGCGGCGTGATGCCCGTCTGGTCATTGATTGTGCTCAATAATGGCGGCAGTGTTTGAAACAGATTCCGGATCGGTGCCATCGCATCTGCGCCCTCACCTCCCTGAGCACCCGTGTTCCACACATTGATCTTCGGCTGCATCCCACGGATTGCATTCGCATTTTCGTGCGCTAGCTTCTCGTACGTGCCATTTTGCAACATCATGTACTGCAGTACACCTTGAGGTCCACCGAATGCTGTAGCGAGCTCCGTGTACGCACTCGCCATCTCGCGCAGCCCGTCGGCTTCCTTCTTCGCCGAAATAAAGTTGGCCTCGGCGGCACGTTCGCGAGTGTAAAAGTCGGCTTCGGCCTGCTGTTTTTTGGCATAGAAAGCTGCGTCGGCATCCTTTTGCGTAACGATAAAGTTGGCCTCGGCGTTCTTTGTTTCGCGGAAAAGTGTCGCCTTAGCGTCGACTTCTTGCTGATATTGAACGGCGTCGGCCTGGCGTTCTTTGGTGTAAAGGTCCGCGTCGGCCTTTTGTTGTTCGGACTCACGGGCAATTTTGGCTTTAGTGACGGTAGTCGCGCGGAGACGCTCCAGTTCCATGTCGGCACGCTTCTTCTCGACGTCTTTCTGCAGGTCAATATCGCGTTGTTCAGCGGCACGCTTGGCATTTATGCGTGCAAGACTGAGTTCCTTTTCGATCGTAATCTCCTTATCAGTAAGTTTGGCATCTGCACTGGCTTTTTCGGCTTTGCGCTCGGTCTCGAGAACGGCGGTAGCGGCATGAATTTTGGCAACCTCTTGCTTGGTCTTGCCTTGCTTCTCTGCTTCACCAACCTCACCCATCATACGAGCGTGAGCGACATCGATCTTGGCTTGATTGAGGGCACCTTCGTGGGCTTTGCGGGAAAGGTAGGCAAAGTACTCGGACCCAGGGGTATCTTGAAGCTCCTTGACGTTTGCGTTGTAGATACGAAGTCCGAATTGAGAAAGTTCGACCTGCACACTCTCGATAACCTTTTGCTTGAAGACTTTGCGCTCACGGAACAACTCTTCCATGGTCATAGTTGAGACTATACTTCGAGTCTCTCCCTCGATGATGCCCTTTACGATGTCCTGGACGTGATTACTGCCTGGAGTAACAGCGCCTTTTGACGCCGCAGGAGTAGGGCGACCATCGGATTGTCCAGTCAGAAGCACCGCGTATTTAGTCAAAGACTCTACACTGTCATCCGGACCGATGGTGAAAACTGCCGGTAGCGAGAACCGCAGTTTTTCGACAGTCATGGCGTGGAGTGACATCGAGAAGTCAAATGGTGTGATAGAGATCTTGGAGACCTTCTGGAAAGGCAACACCAAAGCTTTTTTCTCCAACTTGACTTTGGAGATACCAGCGCCAGTAATGACGAGGTAGGAGTTGGGTTCTGCTACATGAAACCACATTTTGGGCGTGGGTAGTACGTCGTGTAACCTTGATAGTCGAAATATGATAGAAATAAAAAGCACAGAATAAACGAAAAGTTAGTGTTATTCGGAAGGCAATAGATATCCTGACGAGGTCAAAGTATATAAAAGTCCACACTGGCGGTTCTTTGGAGGATCAGTGGATGCTCTTGCCAGGAGATCGCGACAACGAGATCCCTATAATTATTTTATATGACACTCATGGTGAAAAAGATGCCAGATCCGGTACGGTTCAGCCTCGTTACTTCAAGACCGATTGAAACAGGCACTGGCGAGGCGAACATAGCCCTTCTACTCCGTGCTTGACCCGCGTGTTCCCGGTGCACAAGTTCTAAGCATGGCTGCATGTCCCACAATCAGTGATGGTGGCAGAATCCTAGGGACTTGGGTTCTAGCGCCATTCTTGGGCTGCTCTAGAGTGGGGCCACGGTCATGCTTTCAGCCTCATGCACCGCCTCGTGACTTGCCCCAGCCTTCTTCCTTGTCTATCAACCTCGCCGGATGCTGATGCTGTTTGTATAGTCCAAGGTCCGCAATAGTCATGACTATGGATCAAGCGCGAGGGCAGAGAGAGGGATCGTCAGCTTAGGACTACAGTTGTGGCAATATTCCTAACCGCGCTGTTGAACCGGTCTAATGGCTGATCCTTTAAGGGTCATAGATATAGACTTGTGACTACTGGGCGGTGTCAACCAGTGGAAAGTAGCCGAAGAACTTGGAACGTGGATAAGAAAGCGTATCGTGTTCGCTTTGGAGTGGCCAATGGACTGCATCGCCTTCATTTCTAACGTGGTTGAAGCCAGCCTGATCTGCATAGCCACTCTCCGCTACGCTGCGGCTAGCTTAGATATTAACCATGAGGTTGAAATGATAGGTATGATGAACCTGTACGTGCGCAACAGAATATCCATTCACACAACACGTATCTTCCTTCCGGTCAGCCCCCTGTGGTAAGTGCGAGCCCTGTGCGCTGGTGTTTTCGATCCGTGACATCAAGTCTGTAAAGTTGCGAAATCCTTCACCTGGTTTGTCGCGAGGTGCTGTGTCACTTGAATCCTTCAGGGCTGCCTCGATCTCAGCCAAGGCTGAACAAGCTTGCATAGACGTTGTACATTCCAGGCGTCCAGCTTCATAGTCGCCGCTATACTTTCCTTACGCGGGCCAGAACATTGCAGCTTCGACGAACATACCCCACGACGACCGTATCATGCCAAAAGCTGAGTTCCTGCCCTCGTACGAGGAGACCATTGCTAGCTCTGTCGATGAGAATGCGAGAGAAAAAGTGCCACAAGAACAAAGGATCATTGACCGATTGGAAATGGTACGGTCGCAGCACATTCGTTCTATCGTCGAGCAGCACATCTGCCCTGAGGTGAAAGAGCAAACAGATATGGGCATTGCGAGAACAGTCCTGGTATTATTACTTCCCGCCAATTCTGCTAAAACGGAAGTGGAGGAGTATCGATTCGGTGAGTATACTAAGTGATCGTGCGGTCCAATGTCTAAAATGTCACGCAGAAAGCGAGCTCGAACCAGTAATCCCAAGAGTCGATTTGGTAGGCTTTTCAATCGATGATCATGTCAGAATTATCCAACTTGAGGGCATAATGAACCAGGCTGGCTTCTGGAAACAAACCGGAGTGACAGAAGATCTCCAAAGAGCATTATTCGACCATCTCTCCTCACCACGAGTGCAGACGCAAAGCCCTTGTTCGGCCCGTGATGTGAGAGCAAATGCACTTGTGAGGCAAACGAAAAAAAGCTTGTTCAAACGATTTACCGAATCAGTTCCGCGAGACAGTCAGACATCCATGGTTCATAGCACTGAGATAATGCCCGAAGAGCGGATTAATGTAAGCGTCGAAGTCGATGAAGGATTATGCCAGCGCACGGTATCAGCTATGGGTCTGAACGAAACTAGAACAAGGCAGGGAGTTGTTGTAAAGATTGACATCCGGTCGTGACTTTGGTGCACATGTATAGAGCCGTGCGGGGAGACTATATAGCCGCCAAAGAGGGTAGCTTGGAACCAACTTCTCTATAGAATAGTTGGTTTCTCCGGTGTTTGAGTCGTTGAAGCAGAGTGACCTTGATCAATGTCTAGATCAGTGGAGACTTTCAGCAGTTCGGTCGCTCAGTCCTCGGCCTTCTTCTCACCCTCTGCATCGAATCCTAGAGCATTAAGTTGTCGAATGAGTTCGTTGATACGAATGACCTTCTCAAACTGTTCCGGTAACAACTGGTCGCCTTTATCCTTCTTATCCTTCAGTTCTCTTGCTTGTCGAAGTTTCTTAGCGAGTTTCTTTGCATCTTTGGCTCTCTGCTCTTCAGCATCGATGATTTCCCCCTGATTTACGACCGGAACTGCAGTTCCGGTCGCATGGTCTGCAGTATTGGCCAGCGACTGGTCCAACCCTGCCTCCCTAGCTTTATCTGCAGCCTTCTTTCGAGCTTCCCTCCGCTTAGCATTCTTTGTGCTCGATGCACTTTGGTCTACGTTGTCATTCTTGACTGGCTCTGCGCCTGGAACACCGCCTTTGCCTCGATTTTTCCATGCCTCAGCGGTCCTGTTCTTGTACACCTCTACATCCTCCGGGGGCCGGTAGCCTGGTCTTACTCGAATCTCTTTGCGCACTGATCCATCTGCTCGTGTACTGGAGGGAATGTGACGCTGGCCTGTTTGTGTGTCGGTTGCTATGCCTGATTTCGACACGCAGTCTTCAGAAGTGGATGCCTCGCTGGGCATGTTGGGCACACGTCAGGCGTGTCGGAAGGCGCCCCGAAAGTTGTATGGTATCAAGGAGGCGTTTCAATGAGTACAAGGTCTATGGCTTCCCAAATGGGCGGATGGTGTACATAGCTCGATACTATAAGGCTCAGAGAGAAAAGAATGAGCCGGAAGACTGACCAACCAGAAGACAAGAAGACTGGTTTTCAAAGCACGAAGCACGAGAGTGGCCCGAGCGTTCCGGGTCGCAACGAAACCTCACCTCAAGTCTATGACTTCGTCTCAGTTTTCATACTCGTAATTGACATCCAGGCCTTGCTTTGCACTCCCATACAGTCCAGACCTGGTTGCTTCCTTGCTCAAGATGCCTGTAAGTGCCAATGCGATGCCTTCAGCCATCTCAGAAATCAAACAGGCCTCGCAGCTAATATCCTCTCAACAGCTCTCTAACACCATCTACAACAGTCTTTTCAGACGCAACACCACCATGCTGTTCACGGTCTTTGCCACTGCTTTTGGAATCCAGCTAGCTTTTGACACCGGATCAGAGCGCCTTTGGAGCGCAATAAACCGAGGGGTGAGTGCGCCCAGTCATGTCATCAACCAACTACCCAAAATACGTTCTTGCGCTGCGGCTGTCCTCATCGTAATGAATCCAACCGCAACGAGGGCAATGTCCATATACAATCATCGAAAACAGAAGAAGGTGCCATAGTATATTCAGATCATCGTCCGAAGACCAACGCACGACATGGGACACGATTTTGCATTGATTATGGCTCATGAACTGACAATTATACAGCGCCAATGGCAAGATGTCAAGCCCATCGTGATGGCAAGAGCAGAAGGCGGCGATGATGACGAGGAGGAATAGATGCGTCCATGGATTGGAAGAAGCGAAGAACGAAGGAACTCCTCTGTAAATCATATCATCTTGGAGAAGCGACAACATCGATAGAAGGACAGAGAAGCTTTATGACGGTTGTTGAGAGCAAGCCGACATTATCTGATGTAAAAATGTATCATCAATGCTATCATCACCGGACCCAGTGGTGTAATCGTTCCCGTTGAACAAGAGTCATTATCTCTACAAATTCACTATTCCAGGTTACAGAAGACAAGCCTCGAATCGCATTGTCGTTGGAGGTGTGTTCTCAAGCCCGAGTGAGGCAGAAGCGATCTTGTCCTCCTCCAGATCGCAACATTCAGTGGCATCCTACCGCTAAACGTAGGAACCATGTCACGAGCCACATGGATGCCACACAGCACGAGAGGAATGTTGACGATCAGGAGACACATACATTAATCTCATTGAATGCACATGAGCGATGGAGCAATATGTGAAGCAGATATGACATAAGGGTGCGAAAGTACTAAGCCCACTCAGTGTCATCTTCTTCATGCTAACCTTGAATCGACCTACTGACTTTAGTCCTGAATCTTTGTGAGACGCTACGCCAGCCGGCAATGACCACGTTGAAAGGGCATGTTATTCTGCTCCATGACAGAACACCACACTTCGAGACTGGAGAACATTGACATGGACATATACTTTGACGCCACGGCCAATGGTCCAGGATGCGTGGCAGCCACATAACAGTCAGAGGACGAACGGAGGCTTGGGATTTTGGGGGCGTTGGTCCCGCACTCGCGCGACTCGTTCCCCAACCAGGACCCGACCTTGACTGGCGGCCTTCCCCTCCGATCCATCAATGATTCAAACCCCCCTTCATGCGACATGCAAAGTTATCAAGCTCTTCCAATGTGCAACGGCCAACTGTCCGCTTCTGAACGCACAATTAAAGAACGGTGGTCACCACTTATGCAATCGACGCTCGATCCGAAGTCCCAAGGGAGAAGTCGGCTTCCAATTGGCAAACCTTACTATCTGGCCGCCAACGCACACCCGTGCTGCCATCATCCCTGACAACAAACTCCAGAAGAAAGTAGCCGTCCCAAAGCCTATGCCGTGGTACAGCCTTTGCTGGCGGCGTTATTATTGCGATCCTCCTTAGCCGGCATGACAACTTCTACTCGCGACTCAGAAACCATCTATACTACCTCCAAGCAGCCTGCTGTCGCTTACGGCTAGTTGCATGTTGCGCTGTCGCCAGCGTCCAACCCAAATGAACTTCGTCGACGAGCTTGGCACCAAAGCGCTGCAAGGCTTTATCCTCACGCGGCCTCCTCGGTATGGTATGTTCAAGAGTAGCGGTTTTACTCACTTTTATCTCCTGCCCTTCGATTGCTAACACGTTCTTTCCCCACCACATAGGATGAGAGTTCTAGCATTGCATCAAACCGTCCGTGCTCGCTCAAAATTGACTCTGACGTAGGCCCATCAAACGAAGGAGCTAAAAGATATAATCGGGACGCCCAGTCACACACCGCCAACCTTCGAGAGAGATCATCGAGGCCAAAGAGCCGGTCTGACCCAGTTGAAGCTTCTCACGAATGTACTCGCCCGTCACGCTCCTCGGGCGATAAAATAGCACCAAATAAGACGCGTCCTGGTGGTCGCGCTTCACGATCATTAACGGAGCCGATCGTTTCCCGCAAGACTCACTCAGACCGGAAATACTCGTCAAGATCGAACAGCGAAAAATACTCAGGAGGGTTCTTCCCGCGATTAGGACGAATCTTGGAGGGTAGAGAAGGCGATCCAGAGCGCCAGCGACGTGCCCGCCCATACAAGACACAAGGAAAGTCTATACAGTCGGCGAGAACACGGGGGGTCGAAGAAGGAAGTCTTGTATCGAGGCGACCCTCTCGTACACACCGAACTACTCTCGAGAAACATGCAAATGACCTAGCCGGACTAATACATTCAAATCCATCCCTGACATCAATCTTCTCAAGTTTGACCGCAACTTCAGGAACATCTAGTGGAAGCAATTCAACAATCACTCAGAAGTCTTACGACAAGGCTGGAGTATCTAAGCGCAGACGGAAAAAATATCGGAAGTCGAGCAGCGTTGACTCAGACGAACCACAAAGTAGTCAAAGGAAACGAAAGCCTAGCTACGACGCCTCAAGCGTGTTTCAGTATATGCATGACCCATCTTTTAATACTTCCAATTACGACGTGTCCGGAATGGCTAGTGACGTCTCTTCTCCACCTTTCGACCAAGTGAAGCAGCGACAAGATCCAATCTCACATTGGAAAGATCAAATGGGGTCATATCCTTCCCCACCAGCATCCATACATCTCGAAACAGCAGATGACAAAGATGTTGAGCGAGATGATCATAATCTCCATCCCGAAATTTCTGTGAAGGCCAGCAGTCCGGGTGTTCCTGGTACACCATTGATTGCATCTGGAGCTCCGGAACAGCCGGCAGATGATGCTAGCGATAGTAGCAGTGATGAATCTAGTGACAATGATGATGAAGGAAATGGGGACGGAGATGACGAGTGCCGTGAACAAGGGAGTGAACACAACGAAGCAGCGAAAGCACCCTATGAGGACCAGGTCCAAGACAGCACAGGCTTAGAGCCATTCCGCTACGGCAGCAACAATGCAGCACCTGGTCCTTCCGATGTCGAGCATGACCATTCTGCCCGCTTAAGAGCCCAGGAGGAACAAATAAGGCATCACATGCTACACAGTCCAAGCCCGCAACCGCAGCATGATTCTCGATTCTATGCGCCAGGGACTATGTCGCCACGTCCACCTGTCCCCTTTGTATCGCCTTTCCAGTACATGGAACCACCATCACGATATGGATTATCACCAGTGCCATTGTATCATCCACAACCGAATCCTCCCCCTGTACCCGTTTTGCCACAGTACACACAGATACATCAACCATCACCTTTTCCCCCTCCGGAAGTTATTGACAGAAGTAGGGAGACTATTACTGGATATGAATTAATAGCGCATCGAATGACAGAAAAACCCAAGGATGCAAATGATGACAAGAAAAGCATACCACCTATGTATCGGAAGTTTGAACATCTCAACCACCGAATCCTGCTACACCTCCAAGACGAAATCACTGAACTAGAGGAGGAGCTTCGGTTTCTAGACGAGAGCATTGCGCAGATGGCGCCCCGTGGAAGAGACGGCAGCATACAACCTGCCTCAAGGCGTGCCGATGCGCGTTATGGTAACGATCTACACTATCGAAGAACCGAAATATTGGGGAAGGTCTACGTGAAGCTGGGACAATATAGTACGATCCTTAGCTGTTGATATCTGTAAACCTAACCTCGTCTCAGACCAAGCGCTGTCCTCTTTCCACTCGGTCAAAGCCATCGAAGGCCCGAAGACAGACGACATCAATGATTTCACTTCCTGGCTAGAGCAGCATACTCCAGTCGACAAGATAGAGACGCAATTCCTCACGAAAAAAGATGATTTGCTCAATATAAATACCACAACAACACAGGCAACGCAACTTCACCATGCCCCTGAAACAGCCAGTCTATCACCCGCTTGGGACTCTATACATCCAGCCATGTTCGTGTCTCCGTTCGCTTTCTTAGTCCCTCTCTTCGCCATCGTCTTCATCCCAGGAACGGTCGCCCGAATGATCGCCTTAGCTGCCACAGCACTGGCAATAGCGTCGCTCATAAGCCTCACACGGCTCCACGCCTGTATGGCGCATCGAGACTGGGCGATCTGTGGCTCAATGTATGCATTGATGAGTTCCAATGCTCAATATATCTGATAGCTGACGTCTGATAGATATTTTGGTCTCATGAGTGTCCTCGCGGCGCTCATTCGCTAGCCTTGCATTGGCTAGTCACTGCCGTCCGGCGAGTTGACCTTTGCGACTCGTCAACGAGCCGATCTCATCTAACTATACGGCTAAGGCGTTTGAGTAGCCTATACGAACACCGAGCTTTCTCTATAACGAATTCTTCGTGCACTGGACGGCGATACCAACGCACTATTCACATACGCCTTCATCTTAACACCTTGCTTTTTTTTATTTTTTTGCTTCAGACGCATTTATCAGCCTCATTGTACAGCAAGTCCCTTCGCGTCACACGTCCATGATGAGCTCGCCGCTCTAGGTGGACGGGAAAAAGCCATATGTTTAGAGAGTGGGGCAGCCGCCCGCCAGGACCACTTGCTAGGATCAAGACACCAGGATCGTGGAGGCGAACCGGGCGGCCCACTCCATACCGATCGCCTCGATCCGCGGACACATGGCATGGTTGTGCCTGCGATCCCATCTGTCTCGACTGCCTTTGGTCATATAAGTCCTCGATATATAGGCCTCGAGTGTTCATGTAATGCAGGCCTTGTTTGCTTTTGTGATGCTTTGCTGATGGCGGTACGGAGAGGGCACCGACGCCAATGGAAGTGTTTATGTTTATGCTTTTCCGTGCGACTCTCGATGTTTGTCCGCGGCGATGAGTCAATCGTACCTTACCTGCTCCGTTACTGGTGAATTATGTGGAGGTCAAGATGCAAAGATGATGACGAACGCAAGTTAATCGATCCCGTTCAGCGGTGCTTAGATCTCAGCTCTCAGATCCCTCGGGAACGCCAAGGGCTGGCTGGCACGGTGGGTCTTGTTGAGACATGCGAACGACTTTTCACGAATGTAACGACTCTGTTTCCCCTTCCATATTATTGTGTTATGAGTCAATTTTCAATTTCTCCTTTTGGGAAGTTCTTGTTTGTTTGTGGAGTAGAGAAAGACGGGGTTTTCTTTTTCTTTCTTTTCTCTTTTTTCTTTGTTCTAGCTAGACTGTAGGTGCATGCCATATTATTACCTATATACACTTCCACCCTAACACCCCCCGCCAGCTTTTCAACCTTCACATACACACGTACGTACGCACGTAGTAGAGGCTATATCATAATATTACGTGCGGGTTTATCGCGCCTGCACGTACTTTGATATACGTGCCCCTCCCATCCTTCCACCTTGGCACCTATATCCGCCAAAAGTGCAGGTATACCTATAACAATACTCACACAGCATAATAATACACCTGGTCTGCTATTCAAAACATCCAAACACCCCCGTTTCTTTCGATATTCCCCCCTTCCCCTCATCTCCCCCTCCCCCTAGTGCTGATCTCACGGGTTGGTTGGCAATCGTATTCGTCGATCCACCCTCTCGATCAGATCTCGCACGGGCCTTTCCCCCTCCCGCCCGATGTCGCTTATCTCGCAGCAGGCGGCGTCGTTATCGATGCCGATTTTTCCTTGTCAGCTTGTCATGCTTGCATGTTACCTGCATGCATTGGGGCTATGTGTGGAGAGTGAGAAGGTGAGAAATTGAGAGAGAGAGAGAGAGTGTGTGTGTGTGCAATGCGATGGCTGGGGTGCGTTGGGTTCGGGCACGGCACGGCACGGCGGCAGCGCCGTGTGAGATCAGCAGATGGATGGATGGATGTATCCATGTATACATAGGATTGGGATTATCTGCATGGGACTCTAATCGTCTAATCTACTCTACTCTCTGTACAGAAGTAGAGGGGGAGGTGCAGTTTGTGTGGTGCTCTGTCTATGTGTTATATATGTATATATGTGCAGACAGGGACAAGCACAGCACGAGGATGTAGTAGGTGATTGTGTGCTGGCTCGGGAACGAGATTAAGTGGTGTTTGCGAATGCTACCTAACAGCAGTAGCAGTAGCAGTAGTAGTTCAGTAGTAGTAGTAGTAGCAGCAGCAGCAGCAGCATGGCAATCCAGGAATCCGCGCAGGCATCAGTAGTGCGGATGACTTGCAAAGGTGCACATATAGTATGCGGTCGCGACTCAATGTAGATCTACGCACCTTGCCTTTCCTTTGTTAGAAACCCGAGGACATCGCGACGAGCCACACCCCCCCTCCCTAGACATGTCGCTGGCCTCGTCTCGTGCGCAAGAGTGGTACACTGCGCAATCTCGTGGCTTTTTTTTGTATGCTGCTCGATACGACTGGATGAGGATATTGTCGAGGCTTGCGGGGGTGGAGGGCAGAGCCGATGAGCGAGAACGGCGATGCGGTGCGTGGTGAGAGTGCTGAGGGTGGTCGGCGCCTGGTGTAACGTGATCGCGATGCGAGAATGCTGTGTTGCGTTTGGATGTGTGTACATTCCGAATCGTGTTGGTGGGTCGAAGGTTGGATTAAGGAATATTTTCTTTGGGTAAGGTGTATGCGGGTGAAGTGCCAAGACTTTGACGTTAGACCTGCCTAGGTAAGGAGGTAGGTATTACCTAGAGGGTGGAGGTATACGGAAAGGCCATGAAAGCCAGACGTCTGATATGCTCTAATCGCAAGAACGTGGAGAAGTCGTAATCTATACATTCCGGATACGGTGTACCCCGGAAACTTCACTGCATCACATCTCTGCACTTGATATGCGCATATCTTGAGGTTCGGAAGATGGGCGGACGCAGAGACAGGCTGCATGTAAGCTGTGCTCGATGCGTAGATCAGGACAATGAAACCCCATGGGGGTACTGCCTTTTCGATGGCATGGGGAAAGTCACGCGCTCCGGGAAGCTGAGGTCTACGACATGACCAGCATTAAAGTTGGCGATCTCCATCTTTTTCCCCAGTGGTTGAATCTTGTTCCTGTCTTATGGAGATCGGCTTCGAAAGCTCCTAGGTGTTGTTTCAGGTGGTGGCTTAGCGTAATGAGTTTCGATTGCCGGGGTATTTTGCGAAAATCCGTATCGAAAGAAATTGGTCGCGCGAGGAGCAAAGTCTGGGCGGTCGGATTTCTCATGTCTACATTGCTGGATATTGGGTAGAAACTTAGTTGCATAGGGTTAGGTATGCATACAGGAGGGACGTGCACGTAATCGCATCTATGCACGCACGATCTTGAAGCCTGAAGACCATTGGTCCGTGTGTCTATCAAGCTGGCCCTGCATACGGCATGCGGCATGCCGAAGAAAGGCTTAGGGCTTGTCGTGGAACGTAGCGAAAAGTAGTGGGAGTCAGTACTTTGGCCACGAGTCACGACATCTAGTATTCCCATTTTGGAATATGGTTGCCAAGCGCGTGCGTAGTTGTTACTACCTAGGTACCAGACAGGTATCCCGTGCTCTCAATTAGGCTTGGAAATGTCCGCCACGAGGTCTAGCTACTGGCTAGACTGCAAAAAGGATGATGGAAACGAAAGAAATGGTGGTGCCTGTGACGATAGTGATGATGATGACGATGGAGATGATGATGATGATGATGAAAGTGTTCACATGTTGCCAGGATGAAGCGCTGCGGCCCGAAACGACATCGTGGGTGATAAACTGATAATTCTGTCGGGACAGCTGAGGCTATTCCTAATAGGAGAATTGATCAGTGCTCTCGTTCTTTACCAAGCGAACTTCTACAGCGTTTGTGGGAGAACTGTGAATGCGATCTGTTGAGTGGATTGTGACTTCGGGTGGAAGTTGCGCACTGGGAATGATGGATAAGACGCATTTATGTTAGCTCAGAGCCCAAATTGAGATGAAAAAGAAACTCAGAGGCTAAAAGACAAGTCGACGTCAGGCACGACAGGCTAAGACACAATGTTACGGTTCAAGGGCTTGTGGCGCATCAGCTGGCATCGCAAGCCAGACTGGTTCCTGTCAAGTGTATAAAGCTAGCAACGGCAGAGCAGAAAGTTGAAAGCAGCCACGGCAAAGACGGGAGCCCAAAAGGGGCCATTGCGATCAGGCATGTGACGCGATACCTAGGTAGGGCTGGCAGTAGATGCAGTGGCTGACCAAGAACACACCACCCAGCTTTTCGAATGGCGCTGGATAAGCTGGAGTCCGAAAGGTTGTGGGAGACAAGGCCGCGTGGTCTAGTTACGGGCGACTGTTGAACCGAACCCTTTGCTAAGGAAACCTACCGATATTGCCGAGATCTGTGGAGGTATGACTGTGACTGTCAACATGCGAGAGTAGTACAGCAGCTGCAGGATGTGTCTAGAGGGTATAGAGGAGGCTTTATGTACTTCAAAGCTGTGTGGGCAGTACTTGAGCGTCTGAACATCGAACAGTAAGGCAGTTTACTCCTTGATCCTTTGACATTACCATCTCATCATTGTTTTGTAGCGTACTGTACTGAGGCACTAGCTAATTGATATTTTAGAGGTCCCGCGGCAGTAAAGCGGGCGAGAACGAAAAAGCGACGCAGGTGCAGGGAACATTGGGACTGGCACGGGTACCTGGCCCTGGTTCTGGGCTGGCGCCTATAGCCATTAGTTACAAGTGCTCTGTACTATTGTATAATACCCAACTACGCATGTGGACCTCTGCATAGGCGATTAAACGACAAGCCGGGGCACACTAGCACGAGCTCAACGGGTATCCGTGCTCGATTGACGAGAGGTAAAGAAAATATGTGAGAGGAAGGGGGAGGCGATGCTACCAAAGGAAAAAGAGAGAACAGATGGGACCATCATCCATGGCCAAAAGTGCAGATTGCTGGGCGGGTCCGTGGCAGATGAATGATGAATCTTCAAACAATAGTGTGCGTGCGTGTGCTTGCCTGCTCACCTGTGCTGGCCGGTCTCGTTGTAATTGGCAATAATTAGATGGTAACCGGTAACCGATGCGACAGAGGCAGCTGAGGAGTCGTGGATGGGTCTGGTCGCTGCAACATTCTTGATGAAGATACTGTGTAAAGTGTATCTCCGACTGCAAACATTCTCCCAAGCCATGTCTGACAGACTGACTGTATGGCGCATTCTTTTCAGATGAGACGAAAGTAGAGAGCGCCGCCGATCAGGGGTCAAGATGGTGGAATGGCGGCTAATAGGGAGATTTAGCGACTTGGCTAGGCTGGTATTGAGTTCTGAAACTGTTTTGCCCACTCGTGAAATGATAATTGGTATGTCTGGAGCTGGTTGCTGCCCATGCTTTGCCCATGCCCATGCCCACGTACGTCCCCCCGGCCATCCATGCTTTGCTCGCCCGTTGCCCGTTGCCCGTTGCCCGCCACACCACCACCCACCACCCATTCTTTTTCTTTCATTCCCCCGCTTATCGCCTACTTTTTCCTTAGCTGCTGCTGCTGCACTGTTGCACGCTTGATGACCTTTTGCCTGACTTGCCCTCCTCCTAGGCCCTGCCCGGCCCTGCCCCTTACGACTACTCCACTACTACCATTACCACTACCACTACCACCTCCACCACCACCACAAGCACCAACCGCCATCCATCACAACCATCTATCGTCAAACCCAGTCCCTCTACCTCTCCTTCTCCGCGAATCCACACCACAACCTTCTCTCTTCCACTTCTTACGCCTTATTCAACTCTCTGATTGACCTGTTGCTGCTGGTCATTGGCTTTTCCTCACCTTCTGGAATGCCACCTCAATTCCTCCTCTAATCTCCCGCCCACCATTCAGGCTGTCCTGTCGCACACCCCGTATCCCGCCGACCTCAACTCACCTCAACTCATCCTCCTCTTGTTTCAGGCTCGAACCGCACAAGCCAAACCTCCAAACACCTGCGCACACGTACGCACGCCCAAGCCTTACCTACGCCGCTATCCTGCATACGCTTCTGGTAAGCTTTGCTCGTACGGCTCTCTAAACCCCAAGCGCAGACCACCGTTTGACGGTCCCGGTGAAGCCGGCGAACGAAATCCCGCACACACAATTCATACTGTCAACAAAGAATCAAACTCGTCTGCCGATTTAGATCACTGCATCTTCCTCGCAGCTCCCTCGGCGCATCTATCCTCGTTACACTGGTACCTGAGTTGCACCACCGTGGCGGTCCCTTTGTCTACCGACGACTTATTGCTCCTTCGCGCTTAACAAGGCATATGTCAATTATATTGGGAGCTCGTGTCAGTAACAATCAGCAATAGACTACCAATTTTCAGAGGCGCGCAATGTCCGTCGCCATGCTCCACGCCCCGTCAAGAGCCTCCACCTCTTCATCTTCTTCCTTTCAACCAGTTACCCGTCAGAACACAATGTCTTCACATGATGGTCAGCGTTCAGTGCGGCAGTCAAAGCGGTACTCCGTGACCGCTTTGTACTTGTCCATGTCTGCAAAAGATAAGGAGCTGGAGATTGAAGATGACCTGGCAAAGGGTATGGTCCTACACTCAGCGTTCATATTGGCTCCACGCTGGTCATACTGACAAAAAGTATAGCTCAAAAAGTCCTTCGCGACCTGAAGGCGAAAATTTCTTCCCAGTCGAAAAAGAACTTCGTTCTCGAAAAGGACGTGCGATACCTTGACTCGAGAATTGCCTTGCTAATTCAGAATCGCATGGCTTTGGAGGAACAAAACGAGGTTGCCAGTCATCTCGACGAAGCGGCCGAACTGCAAGAAGGCTTCTTCCCGAACGACGACAAGACACAAAAATATGGCAATTTGCTGTTCCTGCTACAATCAGAACCTAGACATATCGCACATCTGTGTCGTCTGGTCACTATGGCTGAGATTGATTCTCTACTTCAGACAGTCATGTTCACGATCTATGGAAACCAATATGAGAGCAGAGAAGAACATCTTCTCTTGACCATGTTCCAAGTAAGCAATCAGGGTGCCCTCACTAATATTTGCTAAATTTGCCTCAGTCTGTGCTCACCTATCAATTCGACAACACTCCGGACTACTCCTCTCTTCTACGCGCCAACACTCCCGTTTCGCGAATGATGACCACGTATACTCGTCGGGGTCCTGGCCAGAGTTACCTGAAAATCGTCCTCGCAGGACAGATCAATAATCTCATTGAGACTAAGGACTTGGATCTCGAGATCAATCCTCTCAAGGTTTATGAAAAGATGTGCAAGGACATGGAAGAGAGCGAGGGCAAATTGCCTCCATCTCTTCCCCGTGGTGTCACTGCCGAAGAAGCTGCAGATAACGTAACCGTTCAACAGATCATCGCACCACGCCTGACGCTACTCATGGACATTGCCAATTCATTCTTAACTACAATTATTAAGGGACTCGAGGAAACCCCTTATGGCATCCGATGGATCTGTAAGCAGATCAGGAGTCTTTCAAAGAGGAAGTACCCCGATGCACAGGACCAAACGATCTGCACTCTTATTGGCGGTTTCTTCTTCCTCCGATTCATCAATCCAGCCATCGTTACACCAAGGTCGTACATGCTAATTGACGGGACGCCTGCCGAGAACCCCAAGCGCACACTGACATACGTTGCCAAGATGCTGCAGAACCTGGCCAATAAGCCATCATATGCCAAAGAGCCCTACATGATTAAGCTGCAGCCATTCATTGAGCAAAACAAAGACCGTATCAACAAGTTTCTTTTGGATCTCTGTGAAGTACAAGACTTTTACGAGAGTCTAGAAATGGACAATTACGTGGCTTTGTCCAAGCGCGACCTTGAGCTCTCTATTACTCTTAATGAAGTGTACGCTACGCACTCATTGCTGGAGCGCCACGTGGCTGTGCTAGCAAAAGATGACAGCTCGCATCTAGGTGTGCTTCTTCAGGAACTGGGCCCTGCACCTGCTCAGCTTCCGCGTAAGGATAATAGGGCCATCAACCTGCCTCTATTCAGCAAGTGGGAATCTCCTCTCGATGATTGGACCGCTGCTCTCGATATCACACAGGAAGAGATCTACTTCATGGAGGCCAAATCGACCTTTGTCATGATTCTCCGTTCGTTTCCTACCAACACGCCGGTCACTCGGAGACCACTCCGTCTGGACAAGATAGCAGAGGCTGCTGCAACCACCAAGAACGACTCAGTCATGGTCAAGAAAGGAATTCGTACTATGGAGCTGCTGAGCCAGCTTCAAGAGCTTGGTGTGATCGACAAAGACGATGGATTTGCCCTGTTGCGCGACGAAGTGGAACAGGAGCTGGTTCATCTTGGTTCGATGAAGGAGAAGACAGTCGAAGAAACCAAGAAACTAGACGAGGTCTTCAGAACCATTCGTGATCACAACGCATACCTCATCGGTCAGCTAGAGACCTACAAGTCGTATCTACACAACGTCCGAAGCCAATCCGAAGGCAAGACTAGAAAGACGCAAAAGCATCAAGTGCTCGGTCCGTACAAGTTCACACATCAACAACTCGAAAAAGAAGGCGTCATACAGAAAAGCAATGTACCGGAGAACCGACGAGCCAACATCTACTTCAATTTTACCAGTCCTCTACCCGGTACATTCGTCATCAGTCTTCACTACAAAGGTAAGGTTATTTCCACAACGTAAAGAGTGTCTACTAACGCATACTACAGGACGCAATCGCGGTCTATTAGAGTTGGATCTAAAACTCGATGATCTTCTGGAAATGCAGAAAGATAACCAACAAGATCTAGATCTCGAATATGTCCAGTTCAATGTGACAAAAGTTCTGGCCCTGCTCAACAAGAGGTTTGCGAGAAAAAAGGGCTGGTAAATCAGCCTGGACCGACCAGAGACCCATGCAGAGTGGCCATACTGGGAGAGACAGATCGTGTGAACATGTCGCACACCATGTCAGTGGCGGGAATGTACATGTATTCATTCATTGTTACTGACGCAAATTTGTTTGGATTGGATTGGAAGATACCCATGGGACAGGACACAAGAAACGATAATGGTGCAGCATCTCCAGGTCAGTGGACTAAGCATTGAAACAACAGAAGGCATAGTATGGAAGGCGCTGCCCGGCTTATTGAGGAGACACTCATACACCTAATGAACGGCACTTGGTGAGAATCCCCGAGAGCGTTTTTACTTCTTTTCATTTGTCATTGGCTTGAAAAGCCCAATAGTCCCGTTTCCATTTGTGCTCGGGCTGGCCCGGGGAAGGGGTTGCGAAGTCCATAATCAGCGGAATGTGCAGATAGCGACGCAGATGCAAATGAAGATCGGGATTGAACGAGTGCGGGACTTGGCGGCGTATATTCGCGCAGATGATATCCCCAGTGTACAATTATTTATATGTATGTTTCAAAGCCAGAAAGCCGTCAAACAAACACTGCTTGAACAATACGTACCTCGATGCGTAGACTTGACTGGGTTTAGTGCAGAGCATTCGATCAATGCGTAATCTAGAGTTGATATACCTATGGATTCCAGGTGTGTCAAACGTTGAACAAGCAGAATATAGGGAGCATGAGCATGTATTGATAATGATTGATCCATGCCCATGTTTTCCCCCTGGCCTCCCGACTCCCTATATTCTCTTATCGCCCCCGCTTTGCTGGCGCCTTGACGTTTCTTCACGTGCGATAAGTGCGATAATGGCCTGCTAGGCAGCTGCTACCGATGCCTAGCACTAGTGGATTGCCTAATCCGTCAAGCACGTCCGCATCCTGACTCACCCACGCAACAACCAAGCTTACCCCACGTCATGAGCTTCGGCTTGCTCTTGTCTCTCACTCAACGCTGAACGTTCAGACTGTGCATTTCTCTTCCTTGAGAGAGAGTCTTAAACGCAGATATTAACTTACTTTCACGACTCTCACTGATTCATGTCGCCAAATCCAAACTCTAGCTGGTAGTTCTCTAGTACTGGGCCCCAACGTTCTCAACAGGTAGACGAACACCATGTCGTCCTCTATCCCCATTCCTCGGCGCAAGAGAAAGTCGAGTAGCCACTCCACCTACCATATTAACGAGTCTTCCTCGTCATCCTCCGCGTCGTCGTCTTCATCCTCGTACAAAAGAACACCATTCTCACACAGTCCCACCACTCCACCCCAGGCAGCTATATTCGGCCGAGATCGGAGACCATCATTGTTAAGTATGTCATGGCAAGCGCGAGAATGCGGTAATTACAGTCAGAACTGAGAACTAATTACTGCCAGGCGAGTCGATCTCCAAAACCGAGCACATTGTTATCAACATTGGGCAACCAGATGCACCACGGCTGGTAAGCACAGTTGAGCCATACTCCGAATCAAATGATACTGACGAGCAATTTCAGATATCGTGCGTCAAGGCATCACAAGGCTTTGACTGGAACCCTGGTGAGTACCGAGCCTCGCATTTACATCAGTTTTGCAAGCATCTAACGGTGAGCTGTGCAGATATCTTCCTCCCATCATACCACGACCACGACTATGGTGACCTGGAGCGCAAACAGGAGCCAGTCAAGGACATCATTCTCACCGATGAAGAGATAAAGAACATGCTCCCGCAATGAATGCCACATCACGATTTTCATTTCAGATTGCTTTATACGTTGTGTAAAGGATACCTCAGATGCATCCTATGGTCATGGGGACGATTTAAGATATGGTTTCAACAAACACACGAAGCGTTACAGAGCTCATAACGAATAACATTGAGCATGGTGTGTGAAAGCTTCGATGATGGAGCATGGCGCTCTTGTTGCGGTTTGTCTTCAAAGGCGTTCTGGGGTGTAAGGGATCACGGAGTCTATGGAGCCCGTACTCAGTCAGCGTTACACTCATCTCCACTCACATAGCGAAATAATATATCAGTGCTGAAGCATGACAAGTTCGCTCTTGTGACGTGGGACTGGTTATGGACATGGTTTCTAGGTTCAAGTTCAAGTCCACCCATACGTGTCTTGCTTTCAGTCCTGTTGCTTCACTCGCCGGTCGTTGATAGGCCCTCATCTCGAGCCCCTTGTTTGATTTCACAAGGCATCATATCTGAGCCCATGTAGGTGATGGGCTACGTGGAGAGCTCAGATTTGTGGAAGCTCTGTTAGTAAGGTCGGTACAATTCACGAAATTTTAAATACTAGACTTAACGTAGGATATCAGTGTGACGTTTCAAGGTTCGGAAACACCGTTTGAAACCGAAAAGCCACGGCTAGGTCCAAATATGAGATACCATTCAAGTGAGAGATATGAGAATAGACATGGAGATGTGAGGGGTACGGTGATTCCTACGAAGAACGTAAAATGTGATACTATAGGATTAAGAAGGCTATAGAATGCTATCTAGTATGTGTCAAAGACAATTCCGATGACATTTGCGTATCTCTCCTCGGAGAAATATACACTAGGTCCCGTCATAAGCTAAAAGGCCAGTATCCAATCCCAAGAACGCGAGCTCGACGAGCCAAACTGCACAAAACCAGTAAAAGCTCCATTGGCTATACCAAAAAAGAAACGATTCTCTAACCACATATTATGTTTCATGAAGCCTCCAAGTCACCCATCCCAGCACCCACCACCACAGCTCCCCATTTCCGTCAAAAATCTCCTTTATTCCTCCGCAATCTCCCCTCTCTGAGCCCCGAAAAGCCACGTCCTCCGCCTCACGCTCTCCACCCCTTTCCCCGCCGTCTGCACCACCATCATCGCCATCCTATCCCGGACCGCTCTCACCCCGAGCGAGCTCTCCGCCGCCCGCTTTCTCTCCTGCCACCACTCCGGCACCGGCTCGCGGAAGAAATCCCCGAGATACAAATCCGCGACTCCGACGTAGTTCTGTCGGCGGCCTGTGGCCGTTGTTTCCGTCGTCGTTGCGCGCCGGAAGTTGCGCCATGTCCAGTGGCCCCATGCCTGGTCTGCTTTGAAATCGTCGCTGTATATGCCGCGCAGCACGAGGTCTTGCCAGTCTACGTGTGCGAGGAGCCCTGGTTGTTGCTTCGGCGATGATGGCGGTGGTGGTAGTGGCAGCGCTGCTGGTGATGACGACGACGCGCTTGCCGCGTGTGTGCTCCAGCCGTCTACGCTGTCTGCCACATCCACATCCGCATCCGGCAACCCACGCGCCATCGGCAAGCCGTGCTTGCGCCGCACCTCCTCGGCCTGCTCGAGCACGTAGTGGTACTGCAGGCGCGCGTCGTGGGAGAAGCAGACGGCGCGGAAGCAGGACGCGCCCGTCTCGCCGAGGACGCGGAAGTAGGCTGCCAGGTAGGCGGGCGGGAGGGTGTGGGCGAAGTGGGTGTTGAAGATGTGGGCGATGTTGTGCCAGGTGAGGAAGGTCCAGCGGCGGAGGTAGAGGAGGAAGATTTGTTGGAAGGTGGTGAGGTTGGGCATTGTTTTGGTGGAGGCTTGGGCGTGTGTGGGATTGGAGGTTTGGTGGGTGGGAAGGATTTGGGATAATTCGGATTGAGGTCGGAGAGGCGGTTGGGTCGTTGATCATAATGATGATGATGATGATGGGTCTTTGAGCATTGGGTACATGCTGGGTGTGGATGTGTTGGTCAGTATTGGTCAGTGTTGTCGTTGGTGCATGTGGTCGATGGTATATTGTGGCGGAGCGGATTAACCTGATCGGTGGAATCTCATTGAAAGGGGATAGATTCCTGTCGTGGTGTGGTTCTCTGTGTCACAGGAATATAGTCATCTACCACGAAGATGCGTTTCCTATAGCAATACTCATTCGTTACTGGCACTCATATACCATCACCCGGACTCGGAGCAGAAACTTCGTCATGTTTATACCTGTCATCTGCTTTCTTCCTCCCCGAGACTATACAAATGCTCGTCGCAGACAAGTCTCCTGGATGACAACAAACTGACTTGTGACGGTCGATGTTTCTGGTCACTTCGTCGACGCATGACAATACGACTTCTTGAAGTTCAACCCGGTGGTATTAGCAGATAAGATTGGTTTCTCTAGTATGAGACGTCGAAGGTGTAGTAACTAAGTTACTCTCGTAAAGGAGATAACCATTAGATGCCAGCACTTTGCTTACTTTATCCCCCAGAGATTAGCCCATCAAGTCCTCCTTTTCGCAATCCAGATATACAGCTTTACTATGCCATGTAAGTCTATCGTTCATGCAACGGGTGCTGGATAGTGTTGAGCAAGATTCTATCTTATTGAGTTACTAGCAGACCATACCACAGTACGTTCCCCCTATAACATATTATGTCTATAGGTCCACTCGCTATCTTTTTCAAGTATGACTTCGTGCCGTGGCAAGCTCGTGCTAATTCTCATAGCAAAACCAAGGATCAAAACGGATCAATACAAGAGGATTTCTCAAGAGTTGGAAGCTATCTGCAGGAAAAGATTCCATGGCCAGGGGCAATGTCTGTTCGTTTGGGCCTAAGGGAGGACGTGCGTGTTCATGATTGAGAAACTGGTGCCCTGATTCCTTGGATATAATAGTGTTGGTGGAGTGCGAGAGTACTAAAACCAGGGAGATATTGAAAGAAGGTACAGAAGAACTTGACTCGCGCACACATACTCTTGCCAGTAGCCCCAGATAACATCTGAACAATACCGAGTCGAAGAGCAGCACTGCAAATTTGTAGTCCTGCGTCAGTCTCCTGTGACTTACCCTGGTCTTATGGAGACCCTTGTATATTCCACTGTTCTTCAAGACCGGACATGAGGCAAGAACAGTATGAAGAAGTCTTACAGACAGCAATAACAGGCTGGCCTCGTTACTAAAAAATTAGTTTCATAGCTTTGGATAATCAATACCACGCAATAAAGGAACAAAAGAGTACATTGTTATTTAAATACATCCAGCTGTGTGGATAAGAGTCCTCACGACAGATGAAAGGGACAATCGTGTCATTGTAGAATGTCACACTATGTACTGTTCACTGGGATCTACAAAGAACGAAATATAGCGAGACTCTGTGGAAGAAAGGCATACTCTTTGTGGGTTTCTGGTGCGCAAGAAAGAGAACTTATTGTATCATCTAAGATATCATGCTTTGTGACATGAGACATTGTTAGGGGCGGAGTACATGACTGCTTACTGCGAAAGCGAAAGCGAGGAGATAGACTTAAAGAGATGATTTAAATTCAGTTGACGGGAAAAGCGCGCTGGGGGGTTAAGGCGTATATATGAGAGAAATAGAATCTCAAGTCGATACACTCTTTTTTCACAAACGGAATTCATTGTTCATCCCTGTGGTACCACAGGCCCGAACGAGCTCGACGGTTCATCCATGACTCTTCAGACTCATGGTGCCTTGATGAGGGTCCTGGAGTATCGTATTCATCGTCCATCTGATGGACGGGTAGATTGAGGGCCTGGAGCGGCAGCCGGTCCTCATCATTGTCGGGGCGAGGTAGATTCTCGAGGTCTTCAGCCTCGAAACCTTGTGTATCATTCTCCACATCCTCGTTCTCATCATAGTCTGGTGCTTCGTCGGATTCGCTGTCGTCGGTGGTCTCCCAGTCAGCCTCTGTGTCAGACTGTTCTGTTCCAGGCGTATCTTCGTTCTGATCCATTGATCTCACTGGGAATGTCAGGCGAGCTGCGAAAGCAGCACCAGCAGCACCAGCCTCAATGGGCTCAGGGGCATCGTCACCAGCAGCTGAGGATTCCATCCTCGAGCTTTGCATGCCGTTGGAGCTGGATTGAAACGCCTTGCGTTTCCTGACCTCTTCGTCGTAATTGCCCCCGGCTCTTGCCCACTCCTCGAAATCACAGTCATCTACGTGGATATCAAACGAGGTCTTTGGGAGGGGCGGATCCTCATCATCCTCTTTGGCTGGTTCTTTCCCCTTGTCGTTCGCACCATCAAACTGGCCTATCAGTGGCTCTGAAGGTAGTGTTTGATCTCGCGGGGAGGCATCTGGAACGGAGAATGGGCTCTGCCCAAAGTACTGCTTGATGCCCGTTGCAGCCTTGAAGTATACTCTGTGGGCTATGTGAACGGTAGTTGTTAGTCAAAATTGAGAAAATGGCAGATGGACATCCTCAGCATCCGATCCACTGAAAGGAGAAATAGGAGATAGCATCCCCAGTAACAAGAAACAGGATCAAGAGGCAGGGTATAACCTACTCATGTTGAGCTAGATAGGATCTGAGATCCTGTTGTGGTTTGGGGTGGTCTGGTGAAGGTGTGAAGGTGTGAAGGAAGAGGCCACTACAACGTTGAAGTGTTTTCAGTTGTGGCGGCTGGCTGTGTGAATTTCTAAGCTAGCGAAGCAAAACAATTGCCAGATTCTCCGTTCCGGAAGTGCCGGTGGCTGTCCTCAGACCAGGTTTGAACATATAAGACATCCTCTCTACTCGATTATGCCACTGCAACATACACAGTCAGTTGTCCAATATGTGAACATATAAGCTTATAGCCATTTGAAGTCGACACGGTCTCATGGGTAATCTGAAGCTGGCTATAGGAAAAGTTGAGGCCTATTGACTGATTCTCTCGAATTATGAAGGAGTGGCTATCATTAATTCAGGTGATAAGTCAGTATGTTAACATCTTTCAATTAGGCTTTCTCACTGCACAAGAGGCACTGTGCCTATCATACACATGTAAACATAGCAGTAGCCTTTTGTATTGCGATGCTCTCACATGCCAAGAAGGACATATTCACAAGATAGCAACTCGATCTTGTTCAAACTTGAACCTAGTATGAAAGGCTGAAAAACTGATGGCATCTCTTTGATTACGCGTGTCGTCCTTAGTGCAGGGGCCATGATAATCTTCTCTATACTGTCCCAAATTGACCAATTGCCCGAAGGCCAAGTTCATTGTGAATAATGAACTTATAATTTGCATTTGTGATGTATATATATATATCTTCTCAGGCACTAGGCTCGTTTTTTAGCTAGTATACAGCTTGCTTAATTACCTAGTCTCGAGTCCTCGACGATCGCGTCAACAAAGGACCTGAACAGCAGATTATCAACCTAGTGGCCGAGGGCTTTAAGCTTTATACGGGCGGAACTATGTATCTTTGAAAAATAATTTTGGAAGTTCTTTGAAAGTCCTTTGAGGGGGGGGCATTCTGATGAACTAGAGCGGTGGAGGGTACATGCATAAATGACTTCATCGTATTCTTCGCTCTAGTAACGGAATCTAGGTTATGATCACTTAGTGCCATAGCGAACATCCCTTCTACCCACCATTGATAGTTTCCAGCTTCATCTGTAAAGTTATTCGTCAGTGACTCTATTATATAGTCCTAATCTTCGCCCTCTACTAATGTTAAGCAGTCACTGCTGAATTGAGCAATCATAAAGGATTGGCCCCACAGTTTTACAGAGAGCCACGCTCAACTTCTCTTGCTCACTCCGGCGCCATTTTCCGATCTCGAAATCCGGTCTCTTCTGATGGACAATATTCCTGAAGTCTAGGACCCCCTTAAGCGCCTTGGACTAGACACCTGTACCTGTATTCGCAACTCTACATCTTTTCTTGAAGTCTTGTGGACCCAGAACAAGTCGAAATGAAGGACAGGTATCAAAGCAACTTTAGATACTTACACGCTGTAGGCCTACAATCGAACAATCCTGACTATGCGGAAAGATTAATGCTGAACCCACCCTGGTCAAACAGCATGGCGCTGCCAGACTTCGAAGACTCTGAGCTTATCGATATGTATTTACCATACCCGACGATCGAACTTTCATATCTATTATTCACGTCGCGTTGCCCCAGTCAACCAGAGCCAAAGCTAGGCGAACAGTTGCTCCTTATCTGTCGTCAGATCCACAACAAAGTACAGAATGCTGACCTACTTAGGAACACCTTTACTCACCTTCCTAGCGTAAAGCCCACGCAGCAGTATGTCCAAAACAGAAGACACGAGTACTGTATGCTCTGAGATGGTAGCATTGAAACGAATCAAGAGTGTTAGATTCTTCTCCCGGTCTGAGGACTTCGAACAGACGATTTTGATACTACGGCCATGATCAAGCTTACCGTCTCTGAACAAAGCAGTACTTCAGGCTTATAGATAGGATACGTTACAACGTATAGAAGAGACATCGAATGAGCAACGGCGATCAAGTGAGTCCTCCACTAGCGCTTCAGCACCTATTTGTTGTAACGCAGAAGAAGCTAGGCCTAGCATATGCCTCCCTTTTACCAAATTACATGAACTAAAGTTCAGTATAGGACCCAACCAGGGATCGTCCAACGTCGTGTGGTATTGCGGCTCAACAATGTACCAGACTGTCCAGTATCCTGCTTTTGGGGCGACTGAGCCTACCTCGACCCAAGATACATAAACAATGACATTCTCAGAATTCGAGGCTACAGACAATTAAAAAGAGAAGAGATGATTCGCAATCACGGGAGCGTTATGAGACTAGCGCGTCTATATGGCAGGCGAAAGAGCTAGAAGACAACTGTAGGCATGTCGTACTTTTTGGATAGATGGGGTCATGTGAAAAGTTTCTAGAGCCCTAGATAAAGGCATATACGATATAGTATAGAGTGGTGACGAGAGGGCGTGTCGCAGTATAGATGTGCAAGAACAATATGAAAGTGGCGAGCATAGCTCTTTTTAATACCGCCTAGGGACTATTGACTGCTGAAGTCATCAGATAACGCCAAAATGACACCAGGGACTCAGCAAACAGTACCTTGACGTCTTTAAGTTGCAGATAGCGTGTACAGGAGAATAATGAGTGTCGGAGGCTTCCTCGGGAACTACCGAAATTTAGCCTAATAATGCCTAAGGCATCCATGAATATTTTAGTCTTCTTTCGACTGATTCCCGCTACGTTCTTTGACTTTCATACATCAAGACTGCATCAAGACTGTATCAATGCCGTCCACATGACAAGTACAGGATCTAGATGATGAAGACATCTACGTCATTACCTATAGGTAGACATGATAGGCCTCCATACCCGAAGGAACTGCAATACCTATTGTCAATCACATGTATGCAACTGTGCCTCACTCTAACAGCCAATCAGACCTACAGTTGAGACAAGACGAGATCACTCCAATCGAACAAGGTGTCATGCACTAGGTGACAGGATGTCAGCGAAGTGCTCAGCCTAATGCCCCGCCCTGCTCTTGCAATTGAGTTTCCAAGCCTTTTTCAACCATGAGAGTCCAGCTAAGGGACCTTTCTTCGAGGCTATGGATCCTATATCTGCGCTCAGTGTTGCTGCTGCGTGCGTACAATTCTTTAAATTTGGCTTGGAGACCGTGAAAGTTTGTCAAGATATATGCGACTCCAAGGATGGGTCGACGAAATGCAATGATGCACTCAAGCGACGAGCGCAGAATGTGAAAGACCTTAGCTGCGAGATTAAATCGTTATCGTTGAAGAATCCGAAGAGTGAGGCTGCTATCACAAGACTCACGGAAGACTGCTGTGCTCGTACTGAAGAGCTTTTGGACCTATTGGAGAAAATACGGAAGTCTGGCAGAAAAAGCTTTTTTGGTAATGCCAAGCGCACTTTGTCTGTTCTTAAAGAGCAAGGAACGATTGCGAACCTAGAAGAGAGGCTAAATAAAAGTCTGGCAGATTTGAGCAACGCACTGCTTCCAGAGATTCTGTCAGACATTAGCAACTATCAAGTAACAGAACACAAGCTCATAATTAAACAGGACACGAATCGATAATCTGACCATGAGTCTAGAAGACAAAGTCTCTATGGTACATGTTGATTTTCGCAAGCGTTTCACGGAGCTCGAAAACTCTCAACGTGCGAAGGACTCGGTCGATTCAACACATCATCGAGAGTTGCGTAGCGATATTGGACAACTTCAGCAGAACATCCGAACCGTCGAAGAAACAATCTATACCGGCAACGACACACTGCGGAATGACATAAGCCAACACTTCGTAGATTACAAAGCCTATATGAATGACACAAATAGCCGTACTGAGCTTCTACGCAGCCTCTTCTTCCCAGACATCACAGTGCGCCAGGAAATGATAAAAAGGCCATGGCACGATACTTTCAAGTGGCTTTTTGATCCTCCGAAGGATCACAAAATCGTATGGTCTGACATATCTACGTGGCTCAAATCCGAGGATGCAGTGTATTGGGTCAATGGCAAAGCCGGATCTGGGAAGAGCACTCTCATGGTTCACCTTGCAGGTCATGACCAGACAATGACTCTCTTAAAAGACTGGGCTGGAAATAGACCTCTCTATACGTTTTCCTTCTTTTTTTGGAAGGCAGGCTCGGATATGCAAAAATCCCTGATAGGCTTGATGCGATCTCTGCTATATCAAGTTTGCAAGGAGATTCCAAGGGCAGCGGGAACATGTTTCATGAAGCTCGGTTTAGCCGTGGGACGAATACCACATTGGACGGAAACACGTCTTAGGTCTGCCATACACGCCGTCCTTTGCGATCTATCGAAGGACTGTCTTTGCATATTCATAGATGGCCTTGATGAATTCGAGGGCGAATCCGATGTGCTCATGGATCTAGTGATGGGGATCCAGGACTTCAAGAACATCAAATTATGTGTTTCGAGCCGTCCTGAGACAGGACTTGTCCGAAGGCTTAGCACCTGTGCACAACTGAGATTACAAGATCTTAATGAGGATGACATCAAGACCTTCGTTTCAGCACAATTGTCGCAATACAAAAAGAACCGCGAGATCCAGGGTCTGGTGGACTCCATTGTAGGGAAATCCGAAGGAGTCTTTCTTTGGGCTTCCGTGGTTACTCAGTCCATCAAGAAAGGGCTTGAGAACTACGATCACGAGACCCTTCTTCAGCGGCGATTGGCAGAAATGCCGCGTGAACTAAACGATTTATTTAGCGAGATGTTTTCCAAAATTGATCCCATATACTACGAATCACTTGCATCCATCCTCTTTCTTATAGATGCACACACAAGGCTTGGGCTACCTACCCTTTCTGTTGCTAGAGTGGCAGCATACCCGAATCTAAGTAAGCCTATATCGGGAGACAGCTTTGTAGCGACGTGTGAGAAAGCAATGAAGCAGATACTAGGCCAGAGTTGCGGGCTAATTGATATATCGAGGAGACCTCATGATTACGATGGTCCCGAAGTACTTCTCCATCGTTATCCCGAACCTTTCCAAATCGACCCAGACAGAACAGACTACGTCTGCCTGGAGTCATATATCCAGCAAGCCTGGTGGATCTCAAATGAAGAACCACTGAACTCCACACTCATTCCGCGCAACGCCCCAGCTTATGCGAAGAGTTTGATCCGTTACCAACATATGGATCTGAACTTTGTTCATCGTTCAGCATATGAATTCGTACTCAGCCTTGGATCCGAACACGAACTTCGACGGCACAATCGGTACACAGACATCGAGCTACCTTCGAGATGGTTGGAGTCCGAGTTTTATTTCTTAATGATTGTGCCGCGCAGCCTGTCGGACATTCAAGAGCCGACAACCACCATATTAAACCTTATTGCATTTAGTCGTTTTTTCGATAAGGACGACCACAGCTATATCATTAACAGGCTTTGGCAAATTCTAGTCTGGCTATCTGGGCTAGGATATTGTCCATTAGAGGAATGCTTAACCTTATTTGAACCAGTTTGGTTTTGGGATCTATACATGTATCGCATTTCAGTACACCGTCCACTCAACGCGCCATGGGAATATGTCATCTCTCGAATTAAGCCTCAGCTCGCCGTTTTGGCTAAGCGACCGTATAAGGTTACACTTTTTCGTGCTATAGCATCTGGAGCTATACGCACGATAAGTGAACGTGTGCAATATGGTTGTCCCGAATACCTTACAGGACTCGCGCTTTTAGCTTTGACACAGTTACTATGTGATGCGGACGACTATCGCAGATCAGTACATCCAGCGCATTGCATATCATCAATTTATCATCGACCTACTCTATCACGTCAAACATGTTCCAGTCATTTCGTTTCGTGGCAGGTATTCGCATGCAGCCGGGAGTGTGGCATAGTAGCTGCGATTTACTCTGGCGAGTGCCTCTTTTGGCTACGGAATCCGCCTCGTAGACGCAGGAAGCATATCTTCGCGGACTTCATTGAGATCATCAACGCTCTGGGCGATCTATTCGAGATAGAAACGACCCGCTGGAATTGCCTGGAGATAAAGCAGCCAGCAATAAATCACAATGGTTCAAGGCTCGTCCAGCAACATTTCACGTCGCAGGAGTGCTACATGTGGGCAAAACACGCCAGAAGAGCTAGAATCTTTGTACAAGGAGACTTCGGTACCATATTGTCGTGGACGGACTCCATGCTGGCTCGTCTTTCTGATGCACGTCAACGGCGCACATCATGGAGGTTTATTAAGCATAAAATAAGTCGACGGATGCCGCGTATCCGTCTCACCTTCGGCTCGATAGCTTTTACTGATGGAGAAGTGTGCAACAAGACTATTCGGGCACGGGCTTATTATGACTTGAGTACACCTACTATCATGGAGTTACTCCATAGGGCTAGTATCGCCGGTTTCTCTAGGGGATATAGCGCGCATGGGGCGGTCAGTTCTACGCACTTTGGTGGAAGTCTTGAACATTTCGAGCAGTTCCAGAAAATGCTTATAGAAGATTTATGGTCGAACGAGAACGGTCAGCTAAACGCGTTCCAGCAGTTGTATGCACTGGCTTGTGTACGACTTCAGCTCGAAGATATCTGGCATATTGACTGTGATTGCGATGAGCGTTCTCAGACTCCACTATTTGATGCTTCATATCCTGAGCTAGGGCCTACATATGGAGATGATGAGTTGTCCGCGAAAGAGTGGGATGATTCTTCCGAGACGAGTGAGGCGAGTGTTCCGGAATATGCCGACTATCCGAAATACAGTTTAGTAGAGCTTTCGAACGTCGACCTTAAGTTCTAAACCAATATACGAGTTACGCATCATGGCTGTGGTTAAATTTAACTTAGCGAAGAAGTACGGTATAGATCGCAAAACAATAAAATGACGACATAAGTACTTCCACACGCGAGGAAATTGAGAATTTCTTCATGCCCGTTGTTTCGCTACTAACAATAAGAACAGCGTAATGGGAGTGTTGAAAGGCGGTACATAGTTAATAGAGTTTCTTGACGATGACTGAACGTCAGAAAAACCAGATGGCTAAAAGATACTTGAAAGGTAAAGCCTCTAATAAGCAGTCAAAAGCATGGCATGCTAGTGAAATAAGATGGGCATCGTTATTAGACTCCAATCCCTGCTACTATGTCTTGTTATTACGAACTACATATTAGAAGAAGCTGCTGACACATAGCCCCGGCTTCCCAGATTGGACTAGTGGCCGGTTAGTTAAATAGCTTCTATAGTCTCTCACTCTCTCTTACTTATAGTAACAACTTACGTGGGAGCAACGGTGGTTGGGTGGTGAGATCCTAGGACCCAACGGCCTCACTTCAAGCTTCATCTAGCCCCTTTCGCTTGTTTCGCTGTCTTTATCATTCCGCCCAGCAGCAAGACATCTGTTCTTACCACCCAACGTGCCGCTTCGCCGGGCACTCGACCGCGATCATTTTCCATTCCATGGCTGAAGATACCTCGCTCCTCATTTCTGATCCAGATGGCGCCCCATTCAGAGCCCTATCCACCGAACAGGAGAACCTTCCTCTCCTGCTTCGCTTTCGTCGGCGCTCTTCCTGCTAGATTGCTGAAAGCAATTCGTCCTCTGCCTAGTATACCGAGCGATTCCTTCCCTATAGGAACATTAAAATTCATTGCCGCCGGAAAATCCTCAGCTGTTTACAGTATTGACAGAAAGAGAGTTCTCAAAGCTTTCCACGAGCACGAGGATGGTGAACTTGAATATCGAGCATATGAGCGTCTTAGATCGCACCCAAATATAGCGAAGATATTAGGTATCATGAAGGATGGTTCTATCGTACTTGAGCGAGGTACGAGCCTTCGATCGATTTGTCGGGATCCCACCGCTGCCGACATACCCATACAGACGAAGGTTAAGTGGCTTAGACATGCCGCTAGGGGCTACCAACACTTGCATAGCTGTAACATTGTCCATGGCGATGTTGGGTGTAATAATCTTATTTTAACGCGGAAGAATATCGTTAAGTTAATCGATTTTGAAGGCTGTAGTATCGACGGTGGAGAAGCAGGTTCATGCTATGAATGGTTTAGTTATCGACCCTCTATACCTAGCGTAAGCCAACGGACGGATGTCTTTGCATTCGGTTGCGCAATCTACGAAGTCGTAACTGGAAGACCACCACATTACGATCTTGAATCATCACGGAACCAAGATAGGGAGGTCGAGCAGCGATATATAGATGGCCATTTTCCTATTGTTGCCGATCTACCCATGGGACAACTAATGCAAAGTTGTTGGCTTAGCAACCATATAACAATGAGTGAAGTTGTTCAGACTTTAGAAGCGTTTGTTCCCTAGACTGGAATAATTCACGCGAATGTTATTTCTATCGTTCCATTGATGTAAATCATCACAATCTATATAATCTACTGTTCTAGGAAAACATCACAACAACTCTTTAGCAGCCCGATGATTACGATTGCTACATAGGTCCGTCGCTCGTGGTTCCAACGCTAGTCCATTTTATCAACCTTGTATTATTAGTACACAGGACCAATCGGCTTAGATACAACTCACCCATTTAGTTTGGTAGATTTCTTCTGCTGATATTCCAGAATCCCTACATGCTGGACAGGGACCCCTTTCCCTGGATTACAGGAAATCCAGAATTATGTCGGACATCGGCGATCCGGGTATACCCGTACCCACTGTTGCCTTGCGAAATACCGGGCCCTCTGATAGGTGCCTGGATGGATACAATTCCCCACAAAGTCTTCGACCTGCGACTGACGCTCTGATCTACCCTCACCCCACAATTCGCCTAATAGTTCTGAACTTCATTCGCGCCTGTGAATGCCTCGACCGACTTCTCAAGGGTTTATACAGCCGCTCAGCCCCGAGACTACAGGCATAGTCTCTAAACATAGGTCGCAAACATAAGGCACATCGCCAGGAGCTGCAATCGAGCAAGCCGTGGCACGAGCACGAGAAAGGCAAGGGCAAGAGCAAAGGCAAATCTAAACACAAAGAGAAAGGAAAGAGAGGGCTCTCTGCCATGGGCCAAGAGAATAGCACTCCGATAGATGAGCACACGCCCCCGGACACGCTCGAGAGCAGGACGCTGGAGGCTCTGGCCAAGTACATCAAGGATGGCGAGCCAAAGAAAATCGTCGTTATGGTTCGTTTGCTGGACTCGTGTGGCTACGAAGAGAAGCACTAAATCTGTGTAGACGGGCGCAGGGATCTCGACCAGCGCGGGGATACCCGACTTTCGCAGCCCAGAGACCGGGTTATATGCAAATCTTGCAAAGCTGAATCTGCCATATGCTGAGGCCGTGTTTGATATAAGCTTCTTCAGAAACAACCCCGAGCCATTCTACACTCTTGCGCAAGAGTTATATCCTGGAAAATACCGCCCGACTATCACACACTCGTTTATAAAACTCCTCCACGACAAAGGCCTGCTACTGAAATGCTTCACACAAAACATAGACACACTGGAACGCGAAGCCGGTGTCCCGGGTGACAAAATGGTCGAAGCCCATGGTAGTTTCGCCGGACAAAAGTGCATCGAGTGCCGCGCGCCGTACCCGGACGCCCTGATCAAAATCGCAATCCATGAGAAGACCGTGCCCCACTGCGAAGCCTGCAACGGGCTCGTGAAGCCCAACATTGTCTTCTTTGGCGAAGCCCTCCCTGAAGAATTCTTCCTGAACAGACACCTGCCTGCCACCGCCGATCTCGCCATCGTCATGGGCACAAGCCTCACCGTGCAGCCCTTCGCCGGCTTACCCTCCGAATGCGCGCCACACATCCCGCGACTGCTGATCAATAAAGAAGTTGTCGGTGACTTCGGGTACCGCGCTGACGACGTACCACTCATCGGAGACTGCGACACCGGCGTGCGCGCGCTCGCAGAGGCTTGCGGCTGGCTCGAGGAGCTCGAGGCGCTGTGGGCGCAAACACAGCCCATAGCTGCCGTAGATATGGGCCGGAAGGAGCCGGTGGCCGAGACGGAGACCACAGATCAGCGCGTGGAGGATGAGGTCGAGAGGCTGACGCGGCAAGTTGAGGAGACGCTGCACAAGACGGAGACACACCGCGATTATGTGAATGGGTTTGCGGCAACACATGGAGCGGGCAGGCCGCAGAGTGGAAATGTGGAGGATCTGGCGAGTCAGGTGCGGTCTGCGCTGAATATTAGCCGATCGCAGCAGGACTATTTGGACCGGCAAGTAGATGCGAAGACTGGAAAGTCGTATTCGGATATGTTGGAACCGGGTTCGCCAGTTATGGAGCGATTGAAAGAGGAATTAAAAGTCGAGAGTAGTGTCGCGGAAGGGGGCGCACAGGACCGAGGGTTGAGACATATCTTTCCTTATGCGGAAACGGAATCAAAGGGACCGCCCTTATAGGACCGACTTTGGGAGGGTTGTATTTCTAGAGATGAACAAGGATGAGGTCCACGAACCGGATGGATATGGATGCTGATCGTGAAGGCTGATCTAGGCATGTAATAGATACGAATGACTTATGATATCTCGATATGGAAATGGTATCTAGGAGGAGTGGAATAACCTAAAGGAAGATCCTGACAGCTTACTATGACCGGGGGAATATATTACAGCACAGATACCCATCCAAAAGCAAGGATATCGAACTCCAGTAATGCCTCCAACGATGCCTCCGTAATGCAATACTGCAATATGCTCATACAATAAGATACAAACTCGTGATCAGGCTTGGTCCGATGAATAGACCTGCCCAGAACATGATATTACCGATAGTCTTCCTACCTTTCAGCAGCTTTGTGCGCGACAGTCCAGCCAGTGGAATCTGCAACAACTGGAACGTGAACAGATACCCGCGCACCTTGTGGAACAAACAAAACATGATCAGCTCATGCACACATGCGCTCAGGAAGAACGTCGCGAACATGGCCGTCGGCTTGCTGAAGTGGAACGCAGAGATGCTGCTATGATAGACATGGCGCAAGAGGAAACTATGCACCGGCCGGTTCCAGTCGCGCGCATACTGGTCCCAGCTCACACTATTCCACCAATCGCCGTAGAAGCCACGATCCGCAAAGCGCGTGAGTTCGGCGAGGACGTTGAGCACACATTCCCAGATGACGTACCAGGACAGTAGTTGCTCGAGGAGCATAGGGAATAGCAGGTCGGATAGAATCCAGGGGAATTCGACCCAGCGCTGTTGAAGTGACATGCCTGCTTCCTTCATGCGCACGGTTTCGAGCACGGCTGGGTAGATGTAAGCTTGAGAGACGACCATCATGACCCAGATGCATCCAAAGGTGGCGGCGGTTTTCTCAGCTACGTATAGCCAGTTGATGCGTTCCTGGCGCGGGTATTCGAGCTCGTAGACGAGCGTCGGGAGGACGGTCCAGTCGGCAAAATTGGCAATGTTTAGATTGTTGGGATATGCATTCGCTTTGTTCGTGCAGCGGGCAGAGAGTTCGTCGTCAAGGATTTCAATCTCGGTGTTGATGATCGAGGTGAAGGTGCGGAGTTGATCTCCATCGAGTGGCTCTCCAGATTCGATGGCGGATGCAATGGGCGAGATTCCAGACTTCTCCTTGAGTAGATTGGTTGATGCTTTGGGTCCCATGGAGCCGCGGCGTCTGAGGTTCTTCCCGGCACTCGGACTAAAGTCAATATCTGTGCCAGTGGTTGAAAATGAGCGGCGGACCTGTGGCGATTGTGGTGTAGGTACAATGTCGTCTAATTGTTGAAGCTTTTGCTCCAGCAGCATCTTTCGGCGATATACTTGTGACACTGCCCTGAATTAGTCATATATACCGTCTGACCATGGTAGCACTTACAGTAGCCATTGTAAAAAGCATAGCTATGTTGCTTCATTAGAAAAACGAGGGAGTGTAGCGTAATGAATATGGTATGGGTCCATGGCCATTCTCTGTAGAATGTCCACCCAAGGAAAGCTCCGAGCCATCCGGCTTGCCACACATTCTGTATTATCCATCCCGAAGAATTCCAAGATATCCAGCCCTTGAGAATGGCGAGCTGAAGGACCAGTCCAACGACCGGGCTTGCAGCCATAGCTCCATCAGTCAAACCGAGGAGTATAACGTCGCGACCAAACATCATGTGCAGCAGTTCAGCTCCTCCGAATACACTTCCATGCTCCTTGTAATTGTATGCTGCGATTCGTAATAGCAGCATAGCGAGACAAAGCCAAAATAGTGTAAAGAAGCCATGAAAGGCGGATTCTGAGCTCAGCGGATTCTGTCGATCAAATGTGGTGAATTGCTTCGTAAACATAAGGTCGCGAAATCTCAGTTTCTTCTTCTTAGCTGCGTCTGCTACATCTGCTTCCCTCTCGAGGCTCCTCCGTAGAATCTCCCTAATTTCAGGGTCATCCGCAGTGATTTTGTATCGCCCCTTCCTATCAGTCGTCTCTAGAACAACTTGGATGCTCTTCCTCCGAGCTATCTTTGGCTTTGCTCTCGCAACATTGTCCGCATCTCCTGATGGATAGTCCCCGTCCTTTTGTTCGGTGTCCTCGATGCCTCCCCCGTATGCGTCATCTCGTAAATCGTCGGGATGAGGTCGGAGCTTATCGTAGTCCTCCTCATCAGAGACAGAGCTTCCACTCCAGCTGTCGGAGCTATTTGTGACTGGATTTAAAGCTTCCTCGAAGTCGACTGATCGGTTCTCATTACCGGCTATCTGGTCCAGCCTCTCATTTGAGATGAGAAGACCCTGAGATTCCACTGAAGCCATATAGACGTAGGCGCACAGCTTTCCTGATGCGATCTCAGGCTAAAATGTTGAGCGGACCGAGAGATGGGGCAAAACAAGCTGTAAAGGACGGTACTGAGTTGCGTATCTCGGGGATGATGGCACTCAAGCGGCACGTCAAAAAGCAGCAGAGCGCTTTTCCGGGTGATCTCATAGACGTTGGGGACCTTGTTGTTTGCCGCAGCGCGAGAAAGCTCCAACTCATCCGTCGGCGGAACGACAAAGCGGACTGGCTCGGGCATTATTGCTCGAGCTCAGAACATCTATGTAAAGCCGAAGCCGGGGCCGGGTCAGGGATATGGGTAGCGTGCTGTGATATGCGCATCCATATGCAGCTTACGAACTATGGGGCCGCCATCCATGTCCTTGGTCTTGTTGGCCTTTTCTGCCTTTGCGGAGACGGGTTCCGGGTGTGGGTGTCTTACTCTTCTTCTTTTGAATGCTGCCGGGCCATATTTAGATATAGCAACTCATGACCTTTTTTCATTCATCTGGCCGTTCCAAGCCTTTTCTCCACCAATTGTCCAACAGGATTCATGCTGGTCAAGCATAAGGAACACCCGAGGATTGCTCAGCCGAATATCATGGATGAGGAGTAAAGTCAAGTCACTTGGTCGAAGTCAACAATGACGTCAGCTGGAATGGTGCCCAGTACTCTACCACCCTGAAGAAGGGGTATGTTGCTATAGACACAGTGAAATAACTCAAAAGTTTGCGTCAAACTCCATAATATGATGCATGCGTGCCAGTGCCACTGGAGCCTTCCATGTGATAGAACTACAAATATTTTTTAGGCATGCTCTTCAGCCTTCGCTTGTACAATATATAACCACCAATAAGGATTATCTGGACGGCAATGATGATTAAGACAAAAGTGCTTAGCTTAGGACCATTTTTGCTCATGACTAGACGAAATAGTTAGCTATGTGTGCTGCTCAGGACGACCTGGATACTCACGTTGGTCCATTTGCAGGGGGAGGTTCTGCATCATGTTGCTATGCCCGGCAGTGACCGCTTGCTGTAACGCGTTGATCATGTCTTTGTAGTCTTTGCTTTCGATGTCCTTTTTGATCTCATTCACTCTGTCCTCAATGCGACTTTGCACTTGTTTGGCTTCGTTCACACGTTCATTTATGGGGCGAAGTTGATTATTGGTCTCGACCTGGATTGCTGCTTGCTGTTCATGTAGCTTGGTGATTTGGTCATGGAGAATGCCGATTTGGTAGGTCATGGCTTGTAGCCTGTCGTGCAAGTCTTTGAACTGGGCTTCTTGAGTTTTGATGTCTTCTGCCAGAGAGTCCGGGATAATGTTGTTGCCTCGTGAAGATGGAGGCTGCTTAAATGCTTGTTGGTTTTGTTGTTGATCTCGTCGTGGTTCTTCACGAGTAGTAGATCCAGTCGTAGAGACCCTGAAGCTCGCTACTTCGAATGAATCAGGATTCTCCGCAGATGCAGCTGTGACTCCGAATTGATAGCCCGTGGGCAGGATCACCTGCTCGCTTCGAAAACACGGGATTCCGTCTACCATTACTTCTAAGCCGTTGGCCGTTTGCTTTACGGTCAAAGGTAAAAACTTCCCGGTGTTGCGATACGGGTAGTCGCATTGGCCAAATGATAAAGCGTCCACGCTATGGTGCCCTCTGAAAGACTTTGTACCATCATTCAAGAACCCACGTATCACTCCGCCTCGGCCGCCATACGTGTCGATCTCAAGCATAAGCCCGTCAAACTTGTCAACCGTATATAGGCTGTTTGTGCCCACCGAGCTCTTCCCATCCTTAACGTACCATAATTGCATGTTACCTCCAGCCCTGTCATCCCCTGACGCCCGGAAATTGAGCTCTCCCACCCATTCAGTATTGGGCATCGTATTGATAGACCAAATCGCACCTCTTTTGTTTCCAGGATAAGGTGGCGTCAAAATCACACGATCTGACAACAGGTATGGAGTATACTGTTCGCCGAGTAGTTGCCATCCATCAACGCTCTCGTCATTCGTAGAAATTCTGCCATCTTTGTGTCCAAAGCTTAGATTGTCTAAAGTATATTGCGCTTGTACTGCGGATACGAAAGCAGACAATCCTGCGACTCGCATTATAGATCGCGTTAAACGCATGGTGCTGGTCCGGTCGAAGAATGTCGTCGAGAGTAAGGTAAGGGCGCGACAGGGGAGGCGCGCCGGTTATTAGAACGAGCAGGTAGAGACTGTAGTCTGAGTCCGGGAGAGGACTGAATACAACCGTCAGGACAATAAGAGCGCACACATGGCTCATCGACTTACCAAAGATGCTGATAGAGTGGATGGCGTATGACATGCGATCAATGGCGGGCTATGACACCTGCATAGAATGCGGGCGTGGACAGCGGAGGTACGAAGGTCCAAAGTCTGGGTTGGCGTACTTCGTGGGAGAATGGTATCATGAATTGTCCTGCGCAGCAAGTACTATGGTCTTCGATTCGCAAATGGAAGGGCCAGCTGTTCTGTTTGGTCCCAGGGCACGCTCGTGATTGGCTACAGACGCCAGAAGCTATGAAACTTACTCATTGGGTTTCCAAGATTGCTTTGCTCAATGTGCATGCTTTACTATTGCAGCGTTCCCGAGCTGGATGAAGATGCTTCAGACATGGTCACTCTATCGAACCGAATGACGGTCTAAGAAATTAATATCAGCGTTCTCAAACAGATGAATTATAAAAGTTCAAAGTCCTAGATCATTCGTGCGTCGGCGTAACTAATAGTGTCGGCTTTCGATGGATCCTAGTAGGTCACGTGTAGGCATGAACGTGATCCTGGTACATTTCTCTAGCGAAGCGGAGGAGCTTCAGTCCAGACAGCTCCGCATCGTCGCCTCACAGAACCACCACATCACCGCAGTTTCGAGAGCCCTTCCAAGACATCATTCATCAGCCACATTATTGCGCCCGCTGAAGAATGTCTGGACCTGAAGAGACATGGAAGCGCCTTCAGCGCTCATTGCAGAATGCTCAGCGCAACGGTGGTTTCCCTCCACCAAAAGGTGCCGGCGCCGGTCTTGTTGGTCTTGTCGTCCTTGGTGGTGTTCTGATGGTTGGTAACAATGCACTGTTCAATGGTGAGACCATATCCACTTGGTAAAATCAGAGACTGACGTTGTCTACTCCCAGTTGATGGAGGTCATCGTGCGATAAAATACACGAGGTTAGGTGGTGTCGGCAAGGAAATCTACAACGAAGGTTCGATGACTGCCGAAACTTTACATCCTCCACAGGATTGTTGCTCATTCAAAGCTAGGAACGCATATTCGGATACCGTGGTTCGAGACACCAATCACCTACGACGTCCGCGCCAAACCTCGGAATGTCGCCTCCCTCACCGGTACGAAAGACCTCCAGATGGTGAATATCACCTGCCGTGTCCTCTCGAGACCACGCGTAGACGCTCTTCCACAGATTTACCGCACCCTTGGGACTGACTATGACGAACGAGTGCTCCCATCGATCGTCAACGAAGTCCTCAAGAGTGTAGTCGCTCAGTTCAACGCTTCACAACTTATCACACAACGTGAAAATGTGTCACGCATGGTCAGAGATAATCTCGTCCGCAGAGCGGCCCGATTTAACATCATGCTCGATGATGTATCTCTTACCCACCTGGCCTTCTCACCAGAATTCACCGCTGCCGTAGAGGCGAAGCAGGTTGCGCAACAGGAAGCTCAACGTGCCGCATTCGTTGTGGACAAAGCTAGGCAAGAGAAGTCGGCAATGGTCGTGAGAGCCCAGGGTGAAGCACGTAGTGCTGAGCTTATCGGTGACGCTATCAAGAAGTCTCGATCGTACGTTGATCTAAGAGAATTCGAAAATGCTAGGAACATCGCGCAAATTCTACAGAACGGAGCCAACAAGGTCTATTTAGACTCGCAGGGACTTGGCTTGAACATCAACCAAACTGCTAGCGACAAAGCCGCGAGGGCCAAATGAGCGTTCCGAAAAAGTCAATCGGTCTTTAGTAATATTCGCCTGTGACCAGAATGTCGTACATAGGCAAAGTCTCTGTATTCTAAAAAGGGGGCAATATGTGGTAGCAAAGCATTGTAAGCGGACCTCGCAATCATTCCACTCTGTAATTAGTATGGCGAAAATGAAATGCCTTTGAAAGCTTCCGAGCAATCTCTGGAAATAATTTGACACTTAGCTCAAATGTCTAAATTCCACGCATCAAGAACCAGTGTCATGCACGATTTGTATTATTAGGTGTTATTAACTGCGCTGGGTTACGCCCTGCCTAGATGTGGCCCTACACGTTTCCGTAGCAACTATCATCTTATCAAGGGCATAGCCGCTCAACAATGCCTAAACAACACCTCCTCGAAGTCATTTGCGACACACGTTATCAGTTTGTGCGCCTGGATACTAACAAAGCAGAGACACTACTTTCGATATGGCTGCCACCGATGATCTAATTGACTTTGATCTTATTGAGACACATAAAGAAAACATACAATCCCTTCCGAGCGGCAGGTCTGCAAAAGCTCTCGCTTCTCTATATGCGCCTTTGAGCGTTGGACCCTCTCCCTCTCCATCACAAACACAGAACTTGAACGATGCACTTCGGCACGAGTATGAGAAGGAACTTCTCACGATCGATGAATTAGATGACCCGCTGGATGTTTATGAACGTTATGTGAGGTGGACGCTACAAGCGTATCCTTCGGCGCAGGCTACACCGCAGTCCCAACTTCTTCCTCTTCTTGAGCGCGCGACGAAGGCATTCCTGTCTTCGCCTCAGTACAAGAATGATTTACGGTATCTGAAGTTCTGGCTTCACTACATACGTCTCTTTGATGACACTCCGCGGGAGACATTTGCGTATCTCTCTCGACAAAACATAGGCGATGGGCTCGCTTTATACTACGAAGAATTTGCTGCATGGCTCGAGGGCGCTGGTCGTTGGAGTCAAGCGGAAGAAGTCTACAAGCTAGGAATAGAAAAGGAGGCGCGTCCGGTGCAAAAATTGCTGCGCAAATACAAGGAATTTCAGCACCGCTTCGAGAGCCGACCCCATGATGCGCAAGAGCCAACGAGCCCGGCGCTTCCCACGGTTCGCCCAGCGCTGGCCGCGAAGACCGACCCGTTCTCCTCCCATGCTGCATCACCTGCAGTAGATCCGCAAGCAAGAGGATCTGGCGTGACAGGCTCGAAACCGGGCAGGCAGAAAATGTCAATCTTCTCGGATACGGAGGAGCCACCTCGGAGCGGTTCTAGCGATAGCTCAAAGGGTTGGGATAGAATTGGTTCGCTCGCGGAGAGACGCAAGGAGAATCGTATTGAGGCAAAACCGTGGGCGGGTGAGCAGCTACGGACGGCCAAAACCAATAATGGTGTGCCAAAGATGGCTATTTTCAAGGACGAGGTAAGTGCTTACAGCGATTGCGCTTCCCTAAACTCCCTATTTACGATCACAGGACTGATAGGTGCGGTTATTCTGCTTTTGTATCCAGAGATCATCCATTAATGATAACGAACCCAATCCATTACGAGATATGAAAATGACTTTCAACGAAAAGACTGGTAGATATGAGTGTGTCTTTGTCGACCTCGAAGCGGTGTATCCTTCGTCGACCGTGAAAATCGAGTATTGTTTTGAAGAGTTGCGCGCACGGCACCGCGGCTGGTTAGATTGGGGAGCAGAGAGAAGACGAGAAGAGGAAACTGCCCCAGGACCTGACCAACAGGATGCAGTATTACAGGTGACAGTCGAAGAGAAGTCTGCAATCACAGACACTTCCGCACAGGCTGTCGTTCAGGGAGACCGAGAAGAAGCTTCACGAGACGACCGGCCACTCAAGATTGCGATACACCACGACTACGAAGATTCCGAGAATATGCCCCCAACCACGGTGCCTCTAGATCATGCTGGTCGGGTAAAGAAGGCGCGAAGAGAGGACCGAGCGAACAGGACGAAGAAGATTAGGTTGAAGGAGGTTCACAACGAGACAACCAAAGGTGAGTTGCATTCTGGTCTTACGATCGCGACTTTGTTACTGACTGTGTTCGAAGTCATGACCAACCTTGATTCTCCGACAGGAAAAAAACTCAGGAGGAAGAAAACTGCAGAGCCGACTATGACTATATGTACCCGGGAAGCCATGGACGAGATCTATGGAATATTCAATCAGCCTTTGAAGTCATCACAAGACTCTGAGAATGAAAGTGACGAGGTTTCTAGTGATGATGACTATACGAGTGGCGGCGAAAGTACTACAACTGGACGGATCTCTGTGAGTGCGAGCGATTTTGGTGACACCACGAGTGGAGACTTTACCACCCAGACTGCAGCAGGGGCCGACGACGATATGGATAGTGACGACGATCAGGCTTCTTCAGCTGATGTTAAGAGTGTCTCAGAGTGGTCCGACTTCACAGCTAGCAAACATGTCCCCGAAGGTTTAGCAAAACTGGAGACTGCTGGTGATGATAATGATGACGATGATGACCAGGAGCAAGCAACTGAGCAGCTTTCCTTCGATGAGGCTGCAGCAGAAGACCTAGTCACTCCAACATCCCCGTCAGCTATTGATGAAACGAACTCCAAGTTCGTCCCGGAGCCTCCTGAGGACATGGAAGTACCTACGAGACCGTACCGGGATGTTGGACGCGCTGCACAGAACAGGCTCCCCTTCATGACCCCGATAGTGGAGAAGACGGAGTCATCTCTTGGTGCAGCGACCGCCTTTGCGCAAGCTCAAAAAGAGAAGGACTACTTCAATTCAAAGACTCCTACCAAATCTGCAAAACCTGATGATGACCTTTGGAGCAGTCCTGTCGGAGAAGGCCTCGATGAGGCTCAACGTCCGTTCAAGGTCCCACAGCCTGACCTGAAGATGGCAACATGTGCTGCAAACACAACTGCAACGAATAGTGCAGACTCGCGTAGCCAATGTCTTCCGATACAAAATGGCCCGATCATCAAAGATTCCCGGTGTAATCCAATCAACTACGAGATCAAGAACATCATCCTCAATCAAATCCAGCCACCACTATCTTCGTACGACGGCTACTTCGAAGACCTGTCTAAGACGAATGGAATGTCTGCTGAAATCCGAAAATTCACTAAGGCCGTTTCTAAGGTAAACAGGAACGTCAACGACAAGACGGCCACGAACCTGACGATGCCACCTGTCATACGCCTAGCAGGGTCGGATAGACAGTATGTCGTGAAGAAGGAGCTTGGCAAGGGTGCCTTTGCGCCGGTGTACTTGGCCCATAGTTCCTCTTTAGACGACGACGACGACGATGAACCTGGCATAAAAATGGGCAAGGGCGCGTTCGCAATACCACGTGGGGACCTTGAAGCCATCAAGATGGAAGAGCCGCCTTCTGCCTGGGAATTCTATTTGATACGTCAAGCTAAGCGCCGCTTGGGCGTCCAAAGGCCAGCCGACTCTATCGTTCAGGCATATGAGATGCATATGTTCAAAGATGAGTGTTATTTGGTTGAGGAGTTCAGGAATCAGGGTACACTACTCGATTTCGTCAATCTCGCTAGGGCAGACGCTAGTGGTGGTAATGTGATGGACGAACTGCTCGCGATGTTCTTCACTATCGAACTGCTGCGTACTGTTGAGGGCCTCCATAGCAAGGGTCTGTTGCACGGTGACATAAAATCGGATAATGTTCTAGTACGCATTGCGCACGCCGATGATGACTGGTCTACACAATACTCCAGAGACGGGAAAAATGGCTGGTCTGACCGTGGTATCACCATCATCGACTTCGGTCGGGGAATTGACATGAGAGTTTTCAAGCCAGACGTCCAATTTATAGCCGACTGGACACCTAGTGAAGCCGACTGCGCAGAGATGCATGAGACTCGACCTTGGACCTATCAAATTGACTATCACGGCATTGCTTGTGTTATACATAATCTGCTGTTCGGCAAGTACATGGAAATCGTTGCTGAGCGTGGCACAACGCTCGGGGCCGGTCAAACGAAGACGTACAAAATCCGGGAATCTTTGAAAAGATACTGGGAGACTGAGATCTGGGCGGAGGCATTCAGTCTCTTCCTGAACCCTTTGATGCATCTCGAGGGCGAAGAGGGTCGGAAGATGCCTGTGCTTCACGGCATGCGCACATTGAGGGAGAAGATGGAAACATGGCTGGAAGCGAATTGCGAGAAAGGCGTGGGCCTGAAAGGTCTGCTCCGGAGGTTCGAGGTCCAGATCAAGGAGAGGAGGAAGTAGTTGTGTCAGGAGGGTTCGTTTGCATGTTGAGGAGTTTGTGTTGGACGGATGCATTGCATTGGTTTCGGCGTCTGGTGGTGTAGTGAGCATGCATCGTTTTCAGCGCTCCATTGCTTTAGTCAACTGAATACCGACATAACAGAGTATTGACTGGTTTTCCAACCTTGAGAAGCGTGCATCAATGTCTTGTGTTTTGTTATTTGCCAAGTGTGTCGTAAGGATACCAGCTTGACGCTCGGGCCAAGTAACGCGGGCACGTTCCAAAACTACCTAAGCTCTCATATTGTAATCGGTAAAGTTACGGCATGCACTCAAGTCACTTCACATACTCTGTTTACCTGTTGCATTACCAGGAGTCTTTTGGCCCTTCGAATCACTTCTTCTTTCTCAGCGCGGCGTACCTGGCTTTCACCCTCCCAACCTCCTAGGCAGCAAGCGTTCCATCGCCCAGCGCAAGCAAGCATCACGAACACTCGCGCCCCGCCCTCTACTTTCAACTATCGTACGACAAGAAGATATATCCTTGTGAAGACGACTTCATAGGAGTCACCCTGGAACTTCATACAATCTATACAGCTCGACATGTCTGATCTAGCCTCAACGCTCCTCGCCTTCTCTCCAGACCCGCAACTTGAACCATCAGAGTACGATAAAAATGTAAAGAAGTTCTCGGCGACGGTGAAGAAGTTCTCTTCAAGAGAATGGGTCAAGAGTGCCGAGTCAGGGAGTCTGTTAGAGGTAAAAAGAGCTCTTGAAACCATGATGCTACTGGAGCTGACGTTGTATCTTCAAGGCCCTGGATCCTGCGCTGAACTCCGTGTCCCTACTCCTCACTCTCTATACCCTAGCACAAAACCAGGGCGACAGTGGACTCCGTCCAAGGTCTGTCAATCAGGTATCAGATGCATGGCGACCGCGAGCTGTTCTTTGGAACAAGACTGAGCAGCTGCTTAGCTCTTTCGACCCCATATCGATACGATACTTCGGACAGCAATGGCGTGAGCTTATAGAATTTATTGGGCTTGTAGCAAGCATACTTCGGCAGGTCAGTTTCTCCCTTGAAGTTGACGTAATGCTGTATATGATGCTAATGTGCTGCTGCAGCCCGCCATGGCGTTGATACCTATCCGAACAGCGATCCTGCGACTTGACCCTTCAGGTGGAACGTTGACGACTACACATGTAGTTTTCATGCAGTTATGCATGGAATCGACCGCATATGCCCAAGCTGTCCCACTCCTCGACTGTATCATCCACAGCTTCCCGCCCAACGCAAGCCAAGGCGGAGAACAAGGGCTGCTCTGTGCAGATCACGGGCTGAGCAACGGTTACATTACAGTGAAATCAGGGTTGTCGGAAAAGATCCGCACGGCAGATGTGCAAGAATACTTTTTGCTGGGCGCCATGGCATTTCTTGGTCTGGGGAAGTACGACGAAGCACAAGCACTACTGGAACACGTCCTCGTAACTCCGACAAGTAACACGGCAAATGGACTTATGCTAGAGGCGTACAAGAAATATGTTCTCGCGGGCGCACTAGCTTCCGGACAAGTCAGTAGAAGTATGCTTTTGACCGGATCCTTGTTTGCTGACCATGATGACAGCGGCCGCCTATACCAAAAACGGCCAACGGCAACGCAATGCGGACGATAAGATCGGCATCAAAGGCCTACGAACAATTGACGGAGGTGTTGCATGATCTGAACCTACCACGATTGCTGGCCGAAATCGAGGCTGGGCTCAGTCTGTGGAGTGAGGACGGAAACTTTGGGCTGGTGCAGAAGCTTGTGGAGAACTATCCTCGATTCCTGCTGTACAAGCTACAGCGGACATATGCCTCGATACCACTTGACGAGCTTTCAGGGTTGCTGAATAAAGGAGACGAGGAGCTGGAGATGTATCTGAGCACTCTTATCAAGGAAGGACAAGTCAATGCGAGCATTGAGCGGTCGATCAAGACGCAGCAGCGGGTGTTGAAGTTCTATTCGGACGAATCGATGGGCCCAAAAGCAAAGTCGGAGCAGCAACAGTACAAGGAGCTGGTTGCGTGCGCGACACGGACGGAAAGTCTTACGGAGCAAACCAGAGCAGCGGATCACCGGATCAACCTGACGAAGGAGTTTATTGAGGTCGAGAAGAAGAACCGGATGAAGGCGGCACAGGCAGCTAGTGGGGAGGAGGCCATGGACACGTCTTGGGATGTACATAAGGACGGGATGGACGAGGATGTGATGGGCGACGCATGACGGGAGGGTGTATGATGATGATGATGATGATGGAGATGACGATGACGATGACAACGACGATGACAACGGGAGAAGCAGGTCAATTGAAGAGACGAGACCAAGCATGTCGAGCGTTGACGGAAGGGGATGTCAGCGGGGACGTACCGTTGTTGCGTAGTTTAGTAGGGTGGTTTGGTAAAGAATGGGTCGGGCATGGCATGAATAGCATGCACATGAGGCCAAGCCCAGTCGGACAGTCAAGACGGCGTTTGGGGATTCCATCCAATGGCAGGCAAAGGACATGCATATTCGACCGGCCGGCTGGCTGGGCCAAGAGAAAAGATGAGCAAAGTCTGGTGTGAGTGTGTGTGTGTTACAGGCAAAGTCCGACGACGGCGGTGGTGCCAAGAGCGTTGTTGGTAGATCGCATGTAGAAAGAATGATATCTAATTAATAGAGAGGCCCAAAAAAAAATGTTCCAAAAAAGACGAGCGGAGACGGAAAGTCTAGTTCAGTCCCAGCTGGTAGTTATCGGAAACAAGAATTGAAGAAAGAAAGGAAAAGCGTGGTTCACGCATGAATTTTGACGCATAAAGTCCGCTGTTCCGCGCCGCGTACGTTGCGAGGGAAGGTGTACTACCCGGTCCCCTGGCTGGTCCCCTGGTCGAGGGTCGAGGGTCGAGGGTCGAGGGCGCGACGATGCCAGTGAGAGCGTTTGATGACGGTAACGGTAACGGTATTAATTAACGGTGACAGTGACAGTGACGGTGACAGCGACAGTGACCGCGACGCGTGCGTTTGCAGTACTTAAATTGTCTGTTTTTCTCTTTTCTTCCTCTTCGATTTTGAACTTGAACTACTACACTGGATTGTTTAGTCTTTTGGTAAGCAAGCAGCGAACGAAGGTTTGGTATTTTCGTGGATGAGATTTAATGTTAGAGGGACGGATGGATAGAAAAGGTTAATGATAGTGGGATGAGATGATTTTGAGTAGGTGGAAGATGGGAGGAGGAGGAGGAGGAGGTAGGTGTTGAAAGTGTATGTGTGTGTGTGTGTGTGTAGTGTACCTTGCTACTTGCGACCCTGGCTGGCAGGTTCTGTTAAGGATAACGGTAACGGTGTAAGCGTGTCTGTCAGGGTTTGATATGTATGTAGGCTGGCAGGGTTCAGGCAGGCAGGCAGGCAGGATTCAGGGTTCAGCGTCAGGGTTTCAGGGTCTAAGGGGGGGTGGACAGAGGTGGCTGGGCTGGGTTGGGCTGGGCTCTTGCCTACCTGACAGGTGGTTTGTCTGGCTGGGTTTGCTGTGAGCTGTTAATTAGTGTAGCTAGCTGGGAGAGTGAGTGATGATGAGTGAGCGAGTGGTAATTGATTAGAGCGCAGCAAAGGTTGCGGTACTTATTAATTAATGGTGTAAAGGCAGTGCAGTGCAGTGCACCGACGAGGATGGTGTTCGTGATGGTGAGGATGCGCTGGGCCTGATGGACAGTGGACTTCACTCACCGACTGTTTAATACCTATATGCAGTAAACCGCTGTCGTCTGCTGGAGCGGTTGTTGTAGCTGGCTATAGCTGTAGCTGCTGCAGGTACCATGGCCGAGTGTGCAGCCCCGGCCGTTGGAGCGGATTTGGCGGGCTGGACGGGCTGGACGGGCTAGACAGGCACCAGGTAGTAGCCAGCACTTACACAGACAGCTATATTCACACATACAGGCACACGCACACGCACGACTGGACGACTGCTTGGATGTGGGATAGACACGCTCTAGAGCCAGATAGCCAGAGCCAGTCTCCACCAGTCAGCTATTACAGTAAATACAGTAGTAATTACTGTACAGTATGTGTGTCTGCTGTTGTCCGTGTGTGTGTATGTGAACCCCTGGCTGCCGAACCATTCCCCTTTTTGACTCGCTCTCTCGCTCGCCCATCCATCCACCCCCCCAAAGGCCTCACTCACCTTCTCACCTCCTAACCGCCTGCGGATAATTGCGCCCGCGCCCACGCACACGCACACGCACACGCACACGCACACGCACTCGCCCACTCCCCGTCCTCCTCCTCGTCGTCGTCGTCAACTCAATTCGCCATCCATCCTTCGTCGCCGCCAACCCTTTCCCCTTCCTACTACTACACCCAGACCTTACACCTTCACCTTGCTTGCTTGCATACACCAACTCCTTGACCGACTTCCTCCAAGCACGCTCCTGGCCATTACTGCCCACAATCGCCATCCTCTCTTCGCCTTCGCCGTCTCTTTGCTTTTGTCTCCTGCAATTGCGCCCTCTCAATTCCGCTCCCATCAACCCTCTTCCCGCCGCATGCCTTCCAGCCGTCGCGAGTAGCCGGCCCCTCGGCCCCATGAGACACACCCACACCCACACCCACACCCACACACACCGCGATTCCGTCCCTACATCCTCTGGAAAGCAATGACTGTCGAATGAGAGATCCCGACCCCCGCCATGTATAGCAACACCCTCCTTGCTATGAATGATACGCCTCCTCCTGCCAATTCCATCTCTTCTCAACGCCGCCGGAAATCGAGGTCTAATTCCGTCTCTTCCTCTGTTGTCACCGTCAAGCGCTCTGCCTCCCTGAACTCGCGCGCCTCTGCCTCTCTACCTCCCACTTCCCTGTCTGATACTGCCCCTACTACACACGACTTCGCAAAGTCCTCCTCGAGACCTTCTGCGTCCCGGAGGAGATCAAGCGTCGCCCACCTCGCCCCGGAGGTATACACGTCCTACAAAGATCATAACACTGCTGCCAGCCTGAACCGCTGGTCGCAATCTACAACTTCGAGTAGATCTTCCGGGAATCACGTCCATAACGGGAAACTGGCCTTGAGTGCCACCATCACTCATCTGCCATTCGAACAGCCTCTACGCTCTCCACCTCGCCCTCCGTCCAGTCCTTCACGCCCCTCGCCCACATCAAGCCCGAGAAGACGACACCGAACCTCTCCGCCGCCGATTCCCACGACTTCTGCACGATCTCTGCCTCCCTTGGACACTCTCCCAACCTTATTACCCAATGTATACGTTCCATATTCGGCCTCTACGTCTTCTATGACGCCTTCGACGACCTCGGCCCCGTACACTCCAAATAATCAAGGCTCGTCCGATTACTTCAGCACCAAACCTCGTCCGCAGCAGAGCTCACTGGCAGAGAAGACAAAGCCACATTCTCGGAACCAAACTGGAAAATCTCTTGGCTCGTCTCCAGTCATCCTTTCTGCAGCCGAAAGACAACTTTCTCAACGACCACCGCCCGTTCCAGCTTCATCTTCTCAACCAGCTAGAGATGCTGCCTCACGTATCCCACGTAGCGACTCCAGAGAGAAGAACATTTATCGCCCAATGATGGATACCACCGGCTCCACATTCCCACAAGAGGAGTATCCTATGGGCACTCCACCGCGCGTGAAAGAGCGCCGGGATAAAGACAAGAAGACGATGCTGTCAAGGGCGTTGCAGAAGGCCAATACTGCTGTATTACTTGATAATGCCCAGAACTTTGAAGGTGCCATGGATGCGTATCAGGATGCCTGTCACCTGTTACAGCAGGTGATGATACGGAGTAATGGAGAAGAGGATAGGAAAAAGTTGGAAGCTATTGTGAGTACTCTGGAGTTCAAGACCGGGTCGAATGCTGACATCTTTCAAAGCGAGTAACCTACACCAACCGAATCGAAGAATTGCGTCAACTTGATCCTTCCTACACGTCAACCTCTGGAAAAGCCCTTCCGAACCGTCCAATGAGCAATGAATCGGTCGACAGTCTTGGAGCAAAATCAATCTTCTTCAACGAAAATGACGATGCAGTGATTCAGACTGCCACTCTAACCCGAATCATTCCCGATAGCTCGATCTTGCCTGATCCCATCCCAGAGAGACTCTCATCAAAACGTGATCCGCGAGAATCGACATTCACCTCCGCCATGCGCGAAGTTGAGCGCTCGATCCCAGATACAGATCCATCCACCTTCCTGCTAAATTCATACGCATCTTCTTCGTTAACCAACCGCCACCAAGCTTTAGATCCACGTATGGAGCACACGTATATGCCACCACCGCTATCGCCACATCCCCAATTCGCCGCAAGTTTCGACACCACCACTCGCGACTCGCCCGATATGACCTCTGGTCGCCGCCAGACGTCTGAGTCAACAAGAGATATTTCACGAAAGCAGCAGCACTCGCGGGAAAACAGTGAAGAATCCATGACTTGGCTTGATACGATAGATGAGTCTGGCTCGTCATGCGGCTCATCAGTACACTCCGTCGACTCTCAGGACGGCACTCGCCGAAGAAAGCACCTACACACGGGAAGCAATGGTACTGAAGCGGAGTTTAATGCAGCGCTTGATGCGGCAGTGGAAGCAGCCTATGATGAGGGCTTTGAGCCATATGAAGCAGGTGAGCACTCACTGCCTCGTGGCGGCAGCGTCTCAGCAGCAATGCGCAAAGTCGAGATTGCAAAAGAGAAGGTTCTCGAGCTGGAAAGGGAAGAGGCTATCAAGGCTGCGAGCCTGCGTGCTAGAGAGCTTCGGCTGGGGGATGACGATAGGGGTGGTCTACCTGCTATTCGCCAAAGCGTCGATTATGGCTACGACATTGACGTCGATGCGAACCAGGATGAGGAAATGCTCGAAGAGATGACAAAGGAGTTCATGCTGGACGGCTTTGACTTTGACCTACAAAGCAAGTCTGCTCTCCCACGAGAGTCAGACTCCAGTGGCATCTCCGGGAGCACTTGGAATAGCTCACGCTCCTCGAAACGTACGACTGCAGGCCAATCGCAGACGACGCATTCGTCAATGTCTTCTAAGCTTGCACAACCTCCACCCCCAGACAAGAAACCACCTCCTCCTCCTCCACCACCCTCGATGCCGCAATCCTCAGCCAACTCTGCCTCCACTGTGCGCAATCGACGCTTGTCTGGGAAGACTGCGGGTCAGTTGAAGATTGACACATCCGTGCACCGCAATCTACCAGCCCCACCTCACACTGAGCAACTCACACCAAAACACGATGACTTTGACCCCACGATAGCTCCCCATCCGAGATCAGCACAGCCTGTCCTACATCATCATCCCCCTCCTGAGCGCCAAGCTCCGACGCCGAACACCATCGACCAAGCTTTGCGAGCCACACCACCCATCGTCCCGGCTCCCAGTCCATCTGAGCCAGCCGCGAACTCGCCGGTTGCCTCCACCTTGACTCGCGTCCAATCTAGCGAGCAGACCATGGTTCCGTCGTCACCAACGTCATTGAAGGGCTCGAGAGGTGGCATAGGCGCGCTGAGGAAGAACAAGTCATCACTAAGCTTGCGAAATCGTGCTTTGTCCATCTCTAGCCCGGACGGATCGGATATTTCTGGACATACCCCGCTGAGCAGCACATTCTCCAATATTAGTATGCGAAAGCAGAGCAATGCCGTACCGTTGACTCCAATGTTCCCGGGTTTCTCCAACGAGCCTCTCATCAGCGCCGGTATACAACTTTTTGAAGCTGACATTCATTCGCCTTACAGCCCTGGCTCGCCAAATCCAATGGCCATCAACGCGCCTATACCGCTGGAACCTTGTCCGGATTCGTACCTCCTGCGTCCGTTCTGGCTGATGCGCTGCTTCTACCAGACCATTGCTCACCCCCGCGGTGGCTACCTCAGCACAAAACTATTCGTACCACGTGATGTATGGAGTGTCAAGGGTGTGAAAATAAAAGCAACGGAAGAGAAGATTGCAAACTGTGACCTCTTGACCGCAGCTCTAATGAAGCTGGGAAGTGTCGATACATTGGACGCGGATGCCGTACTCGAAGAGATGCAAGGTCTTGAGGTGATTCTTGACCAAGTGCAAAATAATCTAAGCAAGAAATTGGGCAGCGAGGTCGGTGTTGGTGGGATCAACATCTTCTTCAAAGACGCCACTACTGTTGGCAATGGCGCCGCCACTGGTGTTGATACGGTGGAACCTTCTGCCAACACAAAGGCTGCTGGTGATAAGAGCAAAAACTATCTGACTTCCTGGCGCAAGCTACGCTCAAAACCTAGCGGTGTTGGTCTGTCACTCTTGGCAACGAAAGATGTGAGCAAAGACTCGCTGACGATGAGCTCCCTTCCAATGACCTCTCTCCCGAACATTCGATTCACGAAGCGCGATATTAGTCAAGTGGACTTCAACGGCCCGAATGCCCTCTATATGAGCAGCTTGGCAAAGCTGTTTGACGCCGTTCAAGTTGTTGGTCAGTCAATGAAATTCTTACATACATATGCCATGTTCCTAACCCGTGCCCCTAGATCGTGTTGCGCGCCAAGTCGAGGATCCAGGTCTCAAACACTCCAGTCAAACTCATGTTGGTCTGGAGCTGAGCACCAGACATGCGGCCGAATTCTTCGGCTTCTACATTTGTCGCTTCGTACTTACCGATTTGACCACGATGCTCGACAAGTTCATCAAAAGAGGCAGCGAGTGGGTGCTCGTATAGCTGCTGTAGAAGCTGCACTGTCAAAAGAGACGAGAGATGTGAGATGTGGTTGACGTCTCATTTTGTACATGACCAGGCGACCGGCGATGACGAGGCATGCGAACTTCCCTGTTCTTACTTGCTTGACACTTTGTCTTGAGCATTATACCCTCGTTCTGCCATTCATATTCCCTTTCCTCAGTTTTTCCTCTCTCAACACTGCCTGTGCAGTGTGGCCTTCCCGTCTCATATGCATAATTTAATCGACTCGACGTCGGAAAAACGTGGGCCTGGACGGCCCTTGGCTGTACGTACCATCCGGGATGAAGATCGGGTCTGCACATGATCTGGCTATGTACATGATTGTTTTCTTTTTCTTCTTTTTTTTTTAGTTTTGGGGGAGGGAGACATGTAAAGCATCGGGGCTTTCTTTTTCCTATTCTTTGGGATACCGGAGATGGCGGTATAGGTAGGACTGGATGTCTCTCTCTAGTGTGTGTGTGTGTGTGTGTGTGTGTGAGCTGCTGCTGCTGCTGCTGCTGCTGCTGCTGGGCGAGGCGAATGTGTAGATGGCGATATATTATTATTACTACTGAAGAGGAATGAATCTGTCAGATTTCTGGCAGTTGTGAAGGCTGAGATTTTCCTCTTGTGTTGTGTTGTGAGGTGTTGTGAGGTGTGTGCTTGGGCGTGTATCAATGAAGACTACTACCATTTGATATGTAGGCCCGTCACACATGTATTACTGCCGCAAGCCGCTTACTGATCATCATCACATCAGAAAATAAATCTGGTTTCTCGTGCGTGTCGCAGGCCAACCCCTTTTCTGGGACCCTGCCCTAATAATTAATTAAATCCTAGGTGGCCCCTGCTCCCGAGCTGCCAGGGCCAAAATAAGCTACTCCGGGGCTCTTGGCATATGGGTCCGACCACCAACCAACCATCCAACCGCGGTCAATTGTCGCCTGCAGGCAAACCAATCCAACTCCGTGTAGCGAACACCAGATCTCAATGTCATAATATTCTAAAGCGTTTCTTCCCTCACGAGCACCCACTCTCACGGCCGCTATCATCACGACGTCGATGCCTTATTCTGTGCTTCATACTGCGCCTGTTTCGTTACGCCGTTCAACTACATCACCCATTTAATCGCCCTCAGTCAGCATGGAGAAGGAGAACAGTCGGAGTGATGGCGCGCCGCACACAGATGTTGCGATAGAGGACCGAAAATCAGAAGAGACTCCCGCCGAGGAGAACGTTTCCAAATCCGTACAAACACCCAAAGATGCTCAATCAATACAAGCTACGGCGCAGACCGTCACCGATCGCGCCCTTCACTTCCTGTCCACGGCGAGCAACGAGACTCTGGGCGCATGCATAGTGGGCCTCAGTGCGGCTACATATGTAGTTCTTGGCAGAGTCGGGCTGGTGCTCATTGGTGTTGTCGGGGGTGTGGTCCTACATGCAACATGGGAAGGCTCAAGAGGAAGCGGGAGTAGCTCCGGTACCTCGTCAGAGGAGCGGCGGCGGGAGACTGGGTTGGAGATTGTGAACAGAGTCCTCCGGGCGCGGTCAAAGGGCTCACAGGACCCCATGACTGACGAGGACGATCATGCGGATCTTGATGTGAAGCTGTCGTCTGGGAAGGTGCTGGACTTTTCCGAGTTTCAGCCTGAGATTGCGTCTGCGCTTAATGAGCTTACGGACGCTGTGATTAGAGACTATGTCAAGTGCGATGACACCTGTATGCGTGGATTGTGAGTTTTGCTGACAAGAGTGGTGGTCTAGGTGGTGGTATTCGCCCATACTTCCAACGGAAGACTCCTTCCCGTCGGCATGTCGACAGACTTTGACGGCCTTTATACTTTCTGCGTCCTCACACCTCTCTCGAAAACGGCCTGCGGATGCATTCCTTGACTTTCTCACGAATTCCTCTTCAATCGTCATCGTCTTCCTCAATGAGCTGTGCGCGGCCCTCAACGCTTCGCCAAATACGTCAGCCGCAACGGCCGTCAGCGCGTACTTGGAAATGAAGCCCGATAGCAATCTGGCAAGCGTGCTAGACACGAAGCACCAGTCACGAAAGCTCGACATGGTTGCCGAGGACATTCTACAAAACTATCTTGACTTTAAAACATATAATTGCCAGGCAGCGCACGTCTTCCTGCGGGAGATTCTGTCTAAACTAATCATCGAAATGACGATACAGAAATGTTCCAGGCCGGAATGGATAAACGAATGGATTGTATACCTACTCGAGGACGGCGAGCCCGAGCTAATGAATGTCATCGACGCGGGCGTCGAAGGATCGGCGGGGCAGAAGTTGGAGAAGGTTAAAGAACAGATTCATGCGTCGGAGGAGGCACACAGCAAGGCTGTAGAGGCGCAAGAGGCGTCGCACGACGAGGAGTCGATTGGCAAACACAAACGAACCGTCAGCCGGGCGCAAGAGGCGATGGATGAGGCCATGAAGGAGGCCCAGCGCCTTACGGAAATGATTGCTGAAGAGGAAGAGAAGAGAACACGTGGGGAAGAAAAGAAGAAGTCTGTGACGAGCCTCAGTGATAGTGTTTCTGGGTTCTCCGAAACCACAAATACGACCCAAGGCATGCCTACGCCGGCGTCGTCACAGGATGGCTCGAATGACGGAGGCGAGCTTGCGGGTCTGAGGATCCATGGGGTGGAAGTCGCATCACCTGCACCTGAGGAGGCATATTCGACTTCGGTGCAGCCGGTAGCTGCTGAGCAGAAGCAACCATTCACCTCATTCGATCAATTTGTTCCCTCGTCGCAGCTCACAGCGCTGTCGGACGTCCCTGGCAAGAAGGAGGATCCTCCTCCTCTCACACTACATAATGCGAACATGGCTATTTTCGATGACGCCGCGCCGAACGACCGAAGCATAATTCGGAACAAGCCAAATATTGACTATCTCATCCAGATTGAGCCCAAATCGTCGCATTACGCCGGCTGGATGATTGCCCGGAAATACGCAGACTTTGAGACTTTGCACGAGATTCTGAAGCGTATTTCTGTTATATCAGGAGTCACCGGGTTCACAGAGTCTCATGCCCAATTGCCTACGTGGAAGACCCACACGAAAGCGTCGCTTCGTGACGCTCTAGAACGATATCTCAATGCTGCGGTCAGCTACAAGCAGCTGGCTGATAGTGAGGGCATGAAACGGTTCTTTGAAAAGGACAACATCGCACGGACAGGCAATGGAAAGGGCGGCTTCCCCGGGCTTGGATGGCCTACGCCTCAAGCTTTCGAGAATATGGGCAAGGGCATGATCAACGTGCTGACTTCCGCACCTAAAGAGGTTGCTGGAGGCGGCAAGGCTCTCTTCGGAGGCGTCACCGGAGCGATTGGCGGCGCTCTGGGTCCGAAGAAGGTCGCTCCGCTAGTGACAAGTCCCGGGCGGCCGAACGGTGCCTCACATCAACGCAGTGAGAGCACAGTTCCACCGCTACCAGATATCGAGCCACGAGGGCGCTCAGTAAGCACGGTGTCACCACTGCCCCAACTAGGCCGAAAAGACCAAGACAGCCTCCGAAAAAGTCAAGACAGTCTTCGCACCGGACCCATCGTAGACACGCAACCCACCCCTGTCCCCCAGATGGAACGTCGTCCCAGCTACGAACCCCAATCACGGCCCTCGACATCCTCCCGTCGCTCCTCCGTCTTTGGCATCTCCAGCCGCGATCACAGCCGCGCCCCCTCCATCCGCTCCATCCACGACAGCGGCGACCTCTCCCCCGTCATGGGCGGCGACCAAATCCTCAACCTCCCACCCCCACCCACCGAGATCGCCGACGACTTCACATTCAACCCCGCCAGCGCGCCTCTATCCCCGCTCCGCAGAGAATACGACCCAGAACCCCACACCGCACCGCCGCCTGACTCCGCCCCCGACGCCGACAACCCAGCTCCCGAACCACCCAACCCCCCACGCCCACCCCCGCGCCCCAAACCCCCCATCTCCGAACAAGAAACCCAAGTCGCAGTCGAGCTCCTCTTCGCCATCATCACAGAACTCTACACCCTCAGCTCCGCCTGGAACATCCGCAAAACCCTCCTAACCGCCGCAAAAACCTTCCTTCTCCGCCCGGGCAACCCCCAACTCGACTCCCTCCGCACCCTCCTCCAACACTCCATCCTCGACGCAAATACCTCGCCACAGGGGATCGCGCACCATCTGCGCTCCCTCCGCGCGAATACACTGCCTACGCCCGAGGAGCTGGCCGCGTGGCCGAGTGAGATGTCGGAGGCGGAAAAGGAGGCGTTGAGGGTGAAGGCGCGGCGGTTGTTGGTTGAGAGGGGGATGCCGGCTGCGTTGGTCGGGGTTATGGGGCAGGGGGCTACGGGCGAGGCGTTGGGCAGGGTGTTTGATTGTTTGCAGGTTAGGGGTGTGGCGAGGGGGTTGGTGTTTGGGGTTGTGTTGCAGGCTGCTAGGGGGGTTACGCATTAGGGGGGGGGAGGGGGATCTGGGGTTTGGGATGGGGGATTGAGGGTTGGGGGGAAAGGGATTGGGGATGGAGGAAAGGGGATTGAGGGGGATGGAGGAAATGGGATGGGGGAAATGGGGATGGAGGAAAGGGGGGAGCATGAGCTGTGTTGAGTATGGGAATTTAGGTATTTAGCTTGCGATTGTATGTGAGCATGCATAGGTTGCTGTCGTCATGCGTGGCATCAGTGCATAGTGTGTAGTGTGTGTGATTGCTGGGCAAATGGCGAAGTGTTTTTTTTTTTCTTCGGCTACTTTCTTCGTGTCTCTTTCTTCCCGGAAGATGTGCCTTTTTGGGAAAAGTATGCTTTTGGGAAGAGATGATTGATGATGATGATGGATGGATGGATGGATGGATGGATGGATGGATGGATGGATGGATGGATGGATGGATGGATGGATGGATGGATGGATGGATGGATGGATGGAT